TCGAGTCGGGGACCTCGGAGAAGATAGGACGGAACTCGTGGACGCGCAACTCGCACCCGTTGCCCGAGGTGCACGCCACGCCGTTCGCCTGGGCGACGGACGCGAACTGCACCTCCAGCAGGTTAGCCGCGAACTTCGGCGGCTTGAGCGGGCGCACGACGTGGAACGGGCCGGAAGACAGCTCCTCATGCAAGACGACCTCCTCGTACGCGCCCCCGGCGGCATCCAGGGGGTAGCTGCCGCCCGTGGCGGCCCCGACGCGCTTTGCGACCACGCGCCACGACGTCGCGAAGCCGGGCCCCTGCATCGCGAGCTCGAACCCGCGCCACTGGATCGGATTTTCACGCCCGTACCACAGGACAGACACGCGGGGCACGAAGGCCGGCACGCTCTCGAAGTGGCGCAGATCCATGCCGATGTAGGTCGCGGGGTCGCCGTCGACGACGTTGCGGATGTCGTCCGCGGCGTCCGGGCCCTCGCTCCTGCGGTGCCACACCAGGACGTTGAGGCCCGTCCGCAGGTCCTCGGTCTCCGACATGCCGTTGATGTTGTCGTACGGCGCGATCTTGCCCGCAAGCACGTTGTTGCCCTGTCCGTCGAGGACCTCGATCTGGTCGAGGACCACCCGCTGCGCGTCAGCTCCCGCGCCGTTGGGGGTCATCTCCAGCCTGTATTGCTTCGAGGCCGGCGCTCCGGACAGGGCGACGGTGAGTACGCTGAAGGTGCCGTCCACCGCAGCGGAGGTCCAGTCCACCGCCTGGCTGGGCAGCAGCTCCAAGGTTGGGTTGGAGGAGCTCGACCCGGCGACCCGCAGGCTCGAGAACGCGGCGAGCGGGAACCCGTCCGTCCCGGTGGCGATACCAGTGAACGTCGTGAACCTGACGGCGGACGCGGTGATGTCGCTGGGCAGCGTGATGTCGACCACGGCGGGGGCGCCTGGAGATGGCGCCCCGACCGACACCAACCCGTTCCCCGACGTGAACAGAGCGGTGATGTCGTCGGGCTGCTCCAAGTTGCCCGTCGCGAACACGGGGATGTCCACGGAGACGTCGAGCGTCGTGATCGACACCCTCCTCTTCGTGGCGTCGAACGAGTACAGTCCCGAGTGGTACGGCCCAGCGCCCCGCGAGACGCTCAGGCCGACGGGGGGAACAAAGTGCGTGCCCGGCCCGTAATGCTCGGCGGGGAGGGCGGCGCGTCCGGCGGCGGGGCTGCTCCCGAGGACGCGGGGGCCAACCTCCCAGTGGTCCGCGCACTCTGTGAGAGGAAGGAGACAGCACAGGGTCAGGTGTGGAGCGGCGCACAGGTGTGGCAACGCACAGGTGTGGGAGCGCGGGGGCGACAACCCGGTCGGTCATGGCGTGCATCCGTTGTGTGTGCCTCACCGTCGGGTCTCACGCATCGGTTCCCGGTGCCGGTGCTGACGCACTGCGTGCCCGACGGACACTTGTTACTGATGGCGTTGCAGCGCCCGCCCTCCCGGTGGCAGGTCGCCAGCAGGGCCACCAGGCCCTTGACCGTCGGCACCGCAAGCAGGCCGTCGGGCCCCATCCCGATGTCGCCGGGCGCGGGCGCACCCGACGTCGTCGAGTAGCTGAACGCGGCCATGCGGGTCCAGTGCACCCCGCCCTCGGCCGTGCTCTGACGGCTGTACACGACGAGGACCCCCACAGTGCTCTTGGCAATCCCCGCCGACGTGTCCGCGACGCCGCTTGCGACGACCGCGCCCCCCGAGGCCACGAGCAGCGTCCGCCCGGCGTTGGCGAGCTTCACGTGCTTGCCGACCTGGGGCGCGAACTGGATCGCGTTCAGCGGCGCGGTGAGCGTGCGCGACATCAGCACTGTCGCGGAAGCCAGCGTCGGGGCCTCGGGCGGGAACGTCCCGTTGCCCTGAGTCAGCCAGGAGAGCTTGCCACGCACCGGCTGAAGCGTCCACACGTACACGCGGCCCTCCACGTGCCCGAGGCCAGGGCAGCCCACCACGAGCTGGTCGCCCTGGACGTGCACGGACGATCCGCAGGCAAACTGCGCGTGCGCGGGCTCGTGCCAGGTCACGGCGAAGAACGACGTGCCGCCGTTGTGCCACATGTAAACGGCACCGCCGTCGTGGTTGGCGACGCCTGCGTCGTGCCCGGGGGCGCCGAGCACGACCAGGCCCGTGTCCGGGTCCGCGGCCATGCTCGCCGTCTTGGTGCCCACGTGCTCCGAGCCGAACGCGGCGATGTCCTGCACGCCCGGGGCTAGGGTGTCGACGCGGGTCCAGCCGGCGCCCGCGTCCTCGAAGATGTACGCCTCCTGCTTGGCGACGCTGCTCGTCATCATCCGCGCCGAGCCAGGCCCGCCAGTGCGGGACGCCACGTCGCGCCGCGGCGGCAGGAGCTGCACGCTCACCGCGCGCCCGATGGTCTCGAGCCCCGCGCTCGCGCCGTCGATGACCTGCTGCTGCCCCCACCCGACGCCCGGGACCTTCCGAAACATAACCACGGAGCCCTGGATTCCCATGCCGGGCGCGCCGACGGCCAGCACGTCGCCGGCGCCCGCCAGCGATGCGCCAAAGCGGTGCCCCGCCGCGGGCGCCGAGGGCCGCAGCGGCTGCAGCCGCACGAACGAGCCGTTCCGCGCCGCCTCGAAGACCGCGACCTGGCCCGCGGCGCCCCCGTATGCGGGCTGGCCCAGGAAGGCCGTCGTGCCCAGCATGACGCTGTCGGTGGCGTCCGCGTCGGTCCCGGGGACGAAGCCGATCGGCGCGGCCAGGCCGTTGAAGTGGATGGCTCCGTCGCTGCACGCCACGGTCTCGGGCGCCCGGCGGTGCAGGCACGGCTCCGGGCCGCCGCCCCAGACCTTGCGCACAGCGCGCACCCTCCCGCCCCGCCACTCGCCGACAAACACGTCGCCGCTCGGCGCCACCGCGATGCCCGCGATGGCGTCGAACGTCGCGGTCGTGCCGGGGCCGTCGACGTGCGAGTGCGCGGCGCCGGTGCCCGCGAGGAGCGCCGCGAAGTTGTCCGCAGCATAGAGCTTGACGAGGCGGTGGGAGCCGAAGTAGACGTTGCCGTCCGCGTCCGCGGCGGCCGTGAGGCCCACGGGGGTGGCGCCAACGGTCGTGTACGGGCCCTCGACGAACTGCGACGGCTCGTGGTGGTCGTGGCCGTCCCCGGCCGCGTCGGCGGCCAGCAGGCCCCGGTCGGCGACCGCGCCGAACACGGCCGTGTCGAGATCCAGCACGACGAAGCCCGGCCGATACGCGCCGTCGACGGCGTGGAACAGAAGCCTCCCGCCGGGCAGCGCCGCGCCGCCGGACGGTTCGCCGCCCACGGCAAACATCTCCGCGCCGGCGACGCGCGCCGCGACGCCGGCAGCGCCCGACGACGGCTCGTACCACACCACCGCCGCGGTCCTGGTGCCGCCCACGAAGGCCACCGGCACGTACACCCGCCCGGTCTCCGCGTGGAAGGCTGCGCCGCGCACCGTGCCCAAGTCCAGCGTGAGGGGGTCCTGGACCGGCGCGCTCGCGGCGCCGTCCGGCGGCAGGACGCTCCCACCGCCCATGACGACCGTCATCTGGCCGCCGGACGCCCTCCAGAGCACGTGGTTCTCCGCGTCCGCGAGGTAGAGGTCGTGGCCGGTGCCGCTCCCGTCCGGCGCGACCGCGAGCGCAGTGATGTGGCCGAACCTGGCGGCGGCCAAGGCGCCCTCAGCGCGGGCGAGGGAGGCGCCGACCGCGCCGGCGTAGAGCGCGGCGGGCCCGGCGCCCGCGGGCAGCCGGTAAATGGCGCGCTGGTGTGAAAAGTACACGTCCCCGGTGCCGGGCGCGACGGCGACGGCGCCGATCGAGCCGCTGCCCATGTCGGCGACCGTCGTGACCTCATGATAGTCCGAGCAGGCTGCAAGGGGGGGTGGAGGGCGGGACCGGGCGCATTGCGGACACGACTCACGTTGTGTGCCGTAAGCAGGCTCGCGGGAGGACGCCGCGATCCGTCGGTGGGCGCACCTTGGAAGTTCGTGCACAGTGATCCGCCGGGGCCCGAAACGCAGCCCAAATGATGCGGGCAGGCCCCTGGCGCGCACTGCAGGGACGAGTTCGTGAATGGTGCGGAAGCAGAGGGCCCGTCCTGCGTCGCACCGGCGATATAAACAGCGCAGGTGTTGATTCCGCATACGATATCGCATCGCGGCGGCAATGCGTCGTCGTCGTCGCGCAGACGAGGCACAGAAAGCCCCACGCATCCGCCGACCGGCGCATACACCTCGCTGGCTGCGAGAACGAACCGAACCTGCAGCTGTCGTCGATGAGATGTACCCGCAGCCCCTGCGGCTGCCGCGTGCGCAGATACAGCGGACCCGGGCTCGGCGCGCGCGAACCAGAAGCCCCCCATCATGGCCAGCAATGCCGCGAGGAGGAACGTTCGCGTAGACTTCATGGCGCCAACTTGAGGCCTATGATGGACTCGTGCCGCGACCCAGCTGGACCACGGCGAATGCACGGCACCACAGGCCGCTCTGAGCCACTGGCGCGCGAGCACGCCGTATGAGCCGCCTCAGCCGAGGCAGACCCTTCGATGTGACACAGCAGCAACCTCAGTGCCTATGTATCGACGACCGCCTCGTGCAGATCCGGCCGGCCTTGAAGGCCCGCCAGGCGACGAAGTCAGCGACTGGCTGTGTGGTACCCCCACCCTTCCGTCACGGCCGCTCGGCCCCGCCGGCCGCCGCCATTTGCGCGGCGGCACGGATCGGCATTGTTAGTGGCGCCGTTCGCAAGCGTCGCGGCCACATCGCCGCGCTCGCTCGACCGGCGCGAGCATCGAGACGTGCGCCACACATTGCGCGCACGAACGCCGGCCCGTTTGGGCCCGCCATCATGCGACACATTGTCCTGGTATTGATACTTGTGCTGGCTTGTTGGTGCGGGCGCGTCATCGCCGGCGTTCCCGAGCTCAATGAGCCGGTCTCGTGGGCGGAAAGGCGGTTCCTGCGCCGTGTTCGGCGTTCGGGATCGCATGCTCCAGACGTGCACAACGCGCGTCGATCGACGAGGCGTCTCAAGCAGGTGCGGGGCAAGGAGCGAGCGAGCGAGCGCGTCTGCCTGCCTGCACTGAGCGATCAGCCTCGCCTCCGGGGCATGCATACCGTGCCATCGCGAAACGAATCGCCCAAGCCAGCCGCACCATACGTGCACACCTGTGGGCGCGCTCATTCGCTCGAATCAAGCGAGGGGCCGCCTGAGGAGTTGCTGCTTTTGATGTTCCATGTGCTCCTTGCGCCACGGTTTTCCTTCCTGCCATTTCCTCGGCACGTCGCTGCCGTATGCGCAATGTAGAGCTTGATCCACGTCGCCCTGCAGGCGGACTGCGCCCCTCCGGCAGCCTGTGCCACTTTGCCCGTGGCTCCCCTGCCCGGCGGCGCCAGCTCCAGCGGGGACCACCTAGGGAGCGCCATTGCGACGGACGGCGATCTCGCGGCGGTGGCAGCCCCCTGGACGAACTCCTCCGCGGGCGCGCCTAGCGCCGGAGCCGTCCTCCTGCTCCAGCGCCGGCCTGATGGCACCTGGGCCCAGCAAGGGCGCCTCCATGCGCCGGACGCCGCCCCGCACGACTACTTCGGCCACTCGCTGTCCCTCCACGGCGACACCCTCGCCGTCGGGGCCCACCTCGCGGACGGCCCTGGACCCGGGGCCCGCCACGCGGGCGCCGTCTACGTGTTTGCCCGCAACGCCACGGGCGCCTTCGTGCCCGCCGCCCGCCTCTCCGGCGCGGCCGAGCCGGGCGCGCTCCTCGGCACCTCCGTCGCGGTCGCGTCGGAGACCCAGATCCTCGCGGGCGCCCCGCGGGGCCTCGCGGGCGCGGGCGCCGTGGCCGTGTTCACCCGCGGGCCCGACGGGAACTGGACGCAGACCCAGACGCTGCGCGCGTACGATCCGGACTACTTCACCTGCGCGCCGGGGGGGCCCAGGGCCGGCCGCGAGGCCCGGCCCCTGCCGCAGTGCCGCTGCGGTGGGCCCGACGCCGGCCCTGGTTGCTGCCGCTGCGACGAGTGGACGGCGGGGGACTCGTTCGGCGCGAAGATCGCCCTGGACGGCGGAACCCTCGCCGTGTCGGCCGTCGGGGACGACCTCGCCGGCGCCGCGGGGCACGACGACACGGCGTACGACTGGGGCGCGATCCACATCTTCCTCTGGGACTCTGCCAGCGGGGCGTGGGCCGGCACGCAGAAGCTGCGCGCGAGCGTCGCGCAGCGGCACCTGCGCCTGGGCGGCTCCCTGGCGCTGTCGGGCGACACGCTCGTCGCCGGTGCCCTGGGCCACGTCGGCGCGCACGGCGGGGCCATGGCTGTCGGCGGCGTGTTTGTGTTCCGCCGCATCGCCGGCGCGTTCCGCGAGACGGCGGTGCTCGAGCTGCCCGCCTCCATCACAGGCAGCGGGTCGTTCGGGCGATCGGTGCACCTCGCCCGGGGCGGGCGGGCGCTGGCCGTCGGCGAGGCGGGCACCCCGGACCGGCCTGGCACAGTCACGCTGTACACGCACGCGTACACCGCGGCGCAGCCCGTGGAGGGCGAGTGGACCGCGCGGCACCGGGTGTCCGTCGCGGACGCGGCCATCGGGGACGCGTTCGGCTCGGCGGTGGCTCTGCGGGGCGACGGTGAGCTGCTGGTGGGCGCCATGGGCCGTGGCGTGGGAGCCGGCGCGGTCTACTCTTTGTCGGTGGACTTGTGCCCTGGAAGCGCGGCATCAGCGCCGGGCCCGTGCGGGTGTCCCGAGGAGGCCGACGCGGACGCGGACGGCGTGGCGGGCGCCTGCTACGCCGCCCTTGGCGGGGAGATCGTGGGCGAAGTGGGCGGGAACGCGCACCTCGGCGACGACGTCTCCGTGCAGGGCACCACCGCTGTCGTCTCTGCGAGCGGCGCGAGCGACGCGCGTGGCGAGGTCGTGGTGCTGTCCCGCGGTGGCGCGAACGGCACGTGGGCCGAGACGCAGCGTCTCTCGGCCCCGGGCGGGCAGCCCGGCGACCGCTTCGGGCACCGCGTTGCGATGCAGGGCGACGTGCTCGTCGTGAGCGCGTACAAGGCCGACACCGACGGGCTCGCCGACAGCGGGGTGCTGCACGTGTTCCGTCGGCGTGGCGGCCAGAGCCGCTGGAGCTACAGCCGCGAGCTGACGGTGCCGGCTGCCGGCGCTCTGCTGGGCGCAGACCTCGCCATGGACGGGCGCTTCTTGGTCGCGGGAATGCCGGGCTGGAGAGGCCGAGGCGCCGCTGCATTGTGGCACTGGGGCCTGGACGAGACCTGGACGGAAATGCCGCTGCTTCGCGGCGACGACGAGACCTATCAGTCGCTCTCGCCGTCCGGGGCGGACTCCCACCCGCAGCTCCCCGAGACGGAGGCGTCAAACTGCGACTGCTACACCGCGGCCTTCCCCTCGGGCTGCCTGTGCCGCCAGCCGTCCTTCGCCGACCACTTTGGCCTTCACGTGGCCATTAGCGGGGCGTGGATCGCCGTGGCTGCCCCGGACGACGACGCGGACGGCCCCCAGGGCTACAGGGACATCAACTTGAACACGGGGTCAGTGAGCCTGTTCTTGCTGCAAACCGAGCAGGGCGATCCGAGGGGCAGCTGGGTGCGCCGCCAGCGCGTGCGTCACGCCTCCCCGCAGCGGGGTGCGCGGTTCGGATCGGCGCTGGCCCTGTCGGGTGACGTGCTCGTGGTGGCGGCCCATGCCTCGCCGCACTTCCTGCAGGGCCGCGGCAGCCTGTCCTTCTACCAGCTCAACCGCGCCACGTTCGTTTTCGAGCTCCAGCGTTCGATGCAGTCGCCCCTCGACGGCTTCGCCGACGTCTTTGCAAACGGGCTGCGCACGTCGGACGACGGGCGCTTCCTCGCCGTGTCCTCGCTGCGGGACGTCCCCCCGCGCAACGACGTGAACGATCCGCCCGCAGCCACGGCCTTCCAGAACGGTGTCGGCATCGTGCAGCTGTTTGAGCGGCCCGGCAGCCCCACGGGGCCCTGGACGCTCCGGGCCGACCTGTCGTCGTTCTCCGCCGGACGCCACATCAACGAGGGCTTCGGGCACGCGGTGGCCGTGTCGGGCGACGAGGTCTTTGTCGGCGCCCCGGGTGCCCTCGGCGGGAGCGGAGCCCTGCGCGTGTTCCGCACTGACCTGTGCGACGCGGATGCAACGTCCACGGGCGCGCACTTCGGCATCTGCGGGGCGCGCACCCTGCGGGACGCGTTCCGATATGCGACCCCCCCCCTCCCCGCCTGGGCGTGGGAGGCCCTGGCGGCCCGCGAGCTGGCCGCCCTGGGCGTCCCCGGCGCCCCGCACCTCGACTCCGAGCACCTCGTCGGCAGCGTGACCGCCGTGGGCGGCTCGGTCGCGGCGGTCGGGCCGGACACGGTGTGCGTTCGCGACATGGAGCTGCGCGGCAACAAGGAGCAGCCGCTGTTCGTGGATTCGGACGGCATCTCCCTGTTCCTGCATGAGTATTGCTTCACTGAGACAGAGATCAAGTCGGTTGAGGCGACCGTCGGCGTCGCACAGGACTCGGACCCGCGCCACAAGGTTGCGGGCGGCCAGGTCGTGCGCGTGCGCTTCGCCACCACGGACCCGTGTCCCGCCGTGGGGAGCGGCGCGCCGGCCTCGGTCTCACGCGTCGACGCCTTCGATCTGTTCTGGCTCCCCGGCGTCTGGGCCAAGGACGGCGTCGAGTTCGGGGGGCAGGGTCGGGGCGCGAACGTGAACATCAGCCTCTCGTCCCCGGACTTCGCGTCGGCCCGCGTCCGCCCCCTGTGCAGCGGCACGCGCATGGACGCCTTCGAGGTCCTTGTGTCCGTGTACCAGTCGCCGTACACCATCCGCACCACCGTCAACTGGGACGCAACGGACGCGAACTCGCCCGGGATGTCGTTCGCCGCGGAGACGTTCACGTACTCGCACGACACGCGCTACGTGGGCGTCACGGGGCGGATTGTCGCGGCGGCGTCCGAGAGCCGCACCCTCGGCAGCGCCACCCTCGACGTGGCCAGGCGCACCCCGGCGCCCGCCGGCGACATGCGGCACGAGGTCAAGTTCTTCGCCACGCAGCTCTACAGCGCCGACCAGGCGGTGGCCAGGGTCGACAGCCTTCAGGACGCGTACTACAAGACGTCAGTGTTTCATGGCGTCACGTGGCCGTCGCGCGCCAAGGAGCCCGAGGCCTGCGGGTGCAACCCCGCGGCCCCGCCGGAGTGCAACGACGACGACGCGGACGGCCTGACCAACTGCTACGAGATGCGGTTCCGGCTCCTGCGGGTCGGCGGCTCGCAGCGCGGAGACCACGTGGGACAGACCATCGTGCGCACGGAGGACACTGTCGCGGTCGCGGTCGCGCGGCGCGACGACGGTAGCCGCGTCCTTATGGGAGGTGTTGCCGTGTTCAACAGGCTGCTCGAGGCAAACTCCGGGGCAGTGCTCTGGCAGCAAATGCTGCTGATCTCCCCACCGGCCGACATCGCCGGTCAGAACAACACCATGTTCGGCAAGTCGCTCGCCATCGCAGGCAGGACACTGACGGTGGGCGCGCACCTCGCTGACGGCCAGGGCGCAGGGGAGGTGGACGTCGGGGCCGTGTACGTCTTTCGGGTTACTCCGGGGGCGTTTACGTCGGAGCAGGTCGCTCGCCTCGCCCCTGAGACGGCGCTGCACCCGGGCTCCCTCTTCGGGACGTCGCTTGCCATGGCCGACGAGTTCACGATCGCGGTCGGGGCCCCCGGAGGAGCCACGGGCGCAGGCGCCGTGCACGTGTTTCGGCTTCGAAACGAAACGTGGCGCGAGACGGCGGTGATCACCGCGACGGACGAGCGGTACAACACCAGCCGCCCAAGGAGCATCGAACCCGTGCCCGGGCATCCCGGAAAGCTCCGCCGGATCAAGGAGAGGGACAACTGCGAGTGCCCGGCGGCCAGCACCGGGGCGCCGTGCAGCTGCGCGCAGGCGTCCGAGGGCGACTCGTTCGGAGCGACCATGGAGGTGTTTGGGGACACCTTGGTCGTCGCGGCCCCCGGCGATGACATGGACGGCCCGGAGGCGTACCTGCCCGAGAACATGCAGTTCGACGTCGGCTCGGCGTACGTGTTCCTGCGGCAGGCCGATGGCAACTGGACGCAGCTGCAGAAGCTGCGTGCACCGTTCAACACCGCCCGTCTCCGCTTCGGCCAGGTGGTGGCCCTGCACGGAGACTCGCTCGCGATCAGTGCCCCGGGCTTCGACGCAAGCCACGTGCTGGACGAGGGCGTGGCGCAGGCTGGGGCCGTGTTCACGTACAGCCGCGCCCCGGGACGCAAGTTTGCTCTCACGGGCACGGTCTTCGTGGAGCGTCCGACGAAGAACTTGTTCTTTGGGGCGTCGATGACCTTCGGGGACGGCGGCACGCGGCTGCTGATTGGCGCCCCGGGCGACGGCTTCGCTGCGGGCGCTGTGTACGAGTACGTGCAGCAGGGCGCCGGCTCCTGGGTCCTGCACAAGAAGGTCACGGCCCTGGACAGCCTGCCTGACGACATGTTCGGATCCGCGGTCAACATGCTGGGCGGCACGCTGCTCGCGGGAGCGCGCGGACGCGACTCGCAGCTCGGCGGTGTATATGAGTTCAATATTGATCTGTGCCCCAGCAGCCCGAACGCCACCGAGCCTGGTCCATGCGGCTGCGAAGGCGACGTCGATCGCGACGGGACCACGGACTGCATTCGGCCCGTGTCGCTCGCGCCCCTGACGGCCAGTGACGGTGCAGAGGGCGCCTTCTTCGGTCACGCCATCGACGCCGACGGGGACGTGGCGGCGCTCGCGGCCGCGTGGGCCGATGACGGACGCGGCCACGTCTATCTCTTTCAGCGGAACGACACGCACGGTTGGACGGAGACTCGACGGCTCACAGCGCTGGACGGCGCCCCCGGCGACCACTTTGGACACAGCGTCATCCTCGATGCGGGTCTGCTCGCCGTCGGCGCTCACACCGCGGCGGTGGGGGGCGAGGCGCACGCTGGAGCCGTCTATTTGTTCGCAGAGAACGGCACGTGGGCGCAGCAGGCGAAGCTTGCGGCGGCGGTGCCCGTCGCGGGCGCCAAGCTGGGCGTGTCAGTTGCCGCGGCCCACGGGCAGGTGCTTGCGGGCGCCCCCGGGGTGGGAACCTCGGGGCACGTGCACGTGTTTTCCGGAAACACGTCGGTGCCGTCGGGCTGGGCGGAAACGCAGGTGCTGCGTCCCCGTGTCCGCACGTACCAGAGGTGCGGCGGCTTCCCCGAGTCGGACCTCGCGTACGACGGGGGCGAGAACTGCGACTGCTCAGGCAGTGCCGACGGATCGCTCGGCTGCTGCACCTGCGTGGAGGCCACGCGGGGCGACTCGTTCGGCGCGAAGATCGCTGCGGAGGACGGGACACTGATCGCGGCCGCCCCGACGGAGGACCTGGACGGCAGGCAGGGCTACTTCGATCTGCGCCAAGACTCGGGAGCCCTGTACGTGTTCGCTCTCGGTACCATCGAGTGGGCGGAGGTGCAACGCCTGCGGCCCTCGAACACGCGCCGTGGAATGCGTCTGGGCACCGCGCTCGCGCTCTCCGGCGATTTGCTCGCGGCGCAGGCGTCGGCGCACGCCACGGGCGACGCCGTCGTCTACGTCTTCAGGCGTGATCACACCGCGGCGTGGACGGAGGCGGGTGTACTGCTCGCCGACGCTGGCGCCCCAGGCGTCAAGGCTGGCGGTGCGCTCCTGTTTGTCCCTGGCACCGCGGGCGACCTCCTCGTGGGTGCGCCGGCGTCCAAGGGCCGACTCGGGTCGCTGGCCGTGTACGGGGAGGACGAGGACGATGCTCGCTCCTGGGTTCGCAAGTCCGAGGTCAACGTCGCAGGGCTCGGGGCGGAAGACCGCCTCGGGTCGGCCATCGCCACGGCGGGCGCTGGGTTCCTGGTGGGCGCCGCGACGCGCGGCGGGGGCAAGGGCGGGGTCTTCGAGTTCACTGTGGACCTGTGCCCCAGTAACCCGTATCTGGATGCACCGGGACCGTGCGGCTGCGGCGGCGACGTGGACCGCGACGGGGTGTTGGACTGCCTGGATTTCGTCGGCGGCGCGGTGGCCGCCAGCGACGGCACCGCCAGCAACTCGTTCGGGTCCACAGTTGCGATTGCGGGCGACAGCTTCGCTGCCGTGGGCGCCCGCGAGGCCGACGACGAACGCGGGTCGGACACAGGTGCTGTGTACTTGTACCGGAGGGCGCAAGGCGTCGCGCACGGGAACTGGACCGAACTGCAGCGGTTGCGTGCTGCAGATGGCTTCGCCGGGGACCGTTTCGGCTCTGCCTTGGCAGCCGAGGGTGGCACCGTCGTCGTTGGCGCCCCGCAGCATGCAGCTGGACTCGGTGCCGCCTACGTTTTCGACGCGCAGGCCGACGGAACGTGGATCCAGTCCCGGAAGCTTTCGCCCGCTGCTGGGATGTCCCGGTTCGGTTCCAGCATGGCCATGAAGAGCGGCGTTGCTGCCGTCGGCGCTCCCGGCGCCGCGAGCGACACGGGCAAGGTGACGGTGTACTCGACCGCGTACGACGCGGCCTCGGCGTGGAGCGTCGTCGAGGTGCTATCTACGAACGAGCTCGATGACTTCGGTGCGTCCGTGGCCCTGAGCGACGGCGTGCTCGCCGTCGGGGCGCCGCGCAAGAGCCCGACGATGCTGGCCAGCGGAACCGTCCAGCTCTACTGGGCGGGTCCGGCCGGGCCGTGGAGCCTCAACCAGAACATCTCGTCGAGTAACTACCGCCCCCGCTTCGGCGCGACGGTTGCGCTCGCTCACGACTTCCTGGCCTCGAGTGACGCCGGCACCGTGGACGGCCAGCCTCCCCTGGTGTACGTCTTCTGGCGCGCTCCCGGCTCGGCGACGTTTGCATTTCAGCAGCGGCTGAACTCGGCAACAACGGCACTGGATGGCTTCGGGAGCGCGCTTGCGTTCAATGTCGGCCGCAGGGTCGCCACCCTGGCGGTCGGAAACGTCCCCGGGCGCCGGGGTGAGGGCTCACTGACGCTCTTTGCGCGCACAGGACCGTCCTGGACCATCACGCGCACCGTTGGGCTCGCCGATGTGCCGCCGGGCGCTCCTGTCCCGACGAGCCTCGGCAGCTCAGTCGCCCTTGGGGGGAACTTCGTGGTCTTCGGTGCATCCGGCGACGGGCTCTCGACCGGCGCCGTCGTGGAGATGGCAGTCGACTCGTGTCCGAACAACCCAGCTCTGGTTGTCCCGGGCCCCTGTGGGTGCGACGGCGACCGCGACAACGACGGCATGCTGGACTGCCTGGCCGCAACGGGCCGGTCCATCGGGGCCGGCGACGCGGGCGCGGCGACGAACTTCGGCTCATCGGTCGCCGTCGACATCTTGGACGCTGCGGTGGGGGCGAGCGGCTACGACACCGCCAACGCAGACGACACGGGTGCCGTGTTCATGTATGCGCGCGACCCCACCTCTGGCTCGGGGGACTGGGCCGCCGTGCAGCGTCTGATGGCCTCTGACGGAGCCCCGGGGGACGCGTATGGAAGTGCACTCGCGATCGAGTCGGGGGTCTTGGTCGTGGGTGCCAAGAATGCGGCGTCGACGGCCGGCGCGGTGTACGTCTGCCAGCGTCAGACTGACGGCTCCTGGCTCGAGATCCAGAAGCTGTCCGAGTCGTCGCCCGTCGCCGGGTCCCAGATGGGGTCCGCAGTGGCGGTCGCCGAGACTGTCGTCTACGTCGGCGCGCCGTCGGCGGGGACGGGGACCGTGCTCGTGTTCACGGGGGAGCTCGGCGCCCAGACACAGGCCCAGACGGTCACCGCTTCCGACGGGGCTTCGGGCGACCGATTCGGGCACACTGTGGTCATAAGTGTGGGCAGGCTGCTTATCGGCGCGCCCGGGTGGGGCTCTGGCGTGGGCAAGGTGTACCTGTTTGAGGCGCAGAGTGACGGCACGTTCGTCGAGTCCGCCACGATCCAGGCGGCAGTACCGCTCGCAGGCGCGCAGTTCGGCGCGGCGGTGGCAGCTGTGGACAACCTGGTGGCCGTGTCGGCCCCTGGGACGCGGGCGACGGCGCCGTGGTCGGGGCCGGGATCGGTGCACGTCTTCCGCAGGACTGTGTCGGGTTTCCAGAACACCACCGTCCTGACGACGTCGCGCCCACGAGGCTCCGTTCTTTTCGGGGGAGACCTGGCCTTCATCAAGTCCTCGGTGATCTCGCTGGCCGTCACGGAGACCCACGCAGAAGCTCCTGCTGCGGCGCAAGCCGTCGACGTCCTCAGCTTCGAGCTCACCGCCGACGGCGACGTCTCCAAGGCTGGAGCCTTGCAGCCAGCCATCGAGGGAGTCGGGGCCGACGCGACGGCCGTGCGGCTCTCGAGCAGCGGGGATAGCATGCTCGCTGCGACCACGAGGTCGGGGGCGGCTGGGCAGGTGTCGGAACTCCAGATCGATCTCTGTCCTTCGAATCCGCGTCTCACGGTCCCGGGGCCATGCGGCTGCGACGACGACGCCGACAAGGACGGCACGCCCGATTGTCTGAGCCCGACGACCGCGGTGATCTCGTACCCCGACGCCGCCGCCGGCATCGCCGGAGGGTTCGCTTCCGGTGCCATCGCACTCGACGGGGGCGATGCCGCGGTTGTGTCTCTCGCGAACGGCACGGTCGACATGTTCCGGCGGTCGGGCGCGTCATGGCATGCGGCGCAGCGCATCAGCGTCGGGGCGTCGCCCGCGGTGGACGCGTTCGGAAGCGCGCTATCCATCCGGGACGGGTTCATGGCAGTGGGCGCGAAGTATGCCGCGGCCAGCGGCGCGGCGTACGTCTACAGCCGCATCAGCAACGGCACCTTCCTGCAGCAGGCCCAGCTCGCCGCCCAGGCGCCGGCCCCCGGCGACCAGTTCGGAGCGGCGGTGGCTGTGGACAATTTCGTCGTTGCCGTCGGCTCCCCCGGGGCGGCGTCGGGGGCCGGTGCTGTGTCGTGGTTCCGGCAGACCCCCGGCGCGGGCTTCAGCGCCGAGGCGCGGCTCGCGCCCGCCGCCCTCGCCGCGGGCGATGCGTTCGGCTCGCAGATCGCGCTGCGGGACGGGCTCCTCGCGGTGTCTGCACCGGCTCGGGCGTCGGGCGCAGGGGCCGTGTACATCTTCTTGGCTTCTGGCAACGCCTTTGTCGAGACGCAGATCCTCACGCCGATGACCACGGACGCAAACCAGCACTTCGGGACCGCCCTGTCACTGTCCGGCGGCATCCTCGCCGTTGGCGCGTGCTGCGGGGTCAACCGCCGGGCGTACGTGTTTGCGCCACTGCCGGATGGCTCCCTGGCCCAGGAAGCCGTCCTGTCGCCGAAGACGCAGTCCGCAGGGTACATGTTCGGGTCGGCCGTCGCGCTCACGGAGTCGGGCCACGGTCTCTACGTGGCGGCGCGGGGCGACCCGAGCGGCGGGGCGGGCGACGTGCAGGTGTTCTCGAGGTCCCTCGCGGGCGCGTGGTCGCAGGAATACTCCTTCGAGGAGCAGGTGCTGCCGTCGGACAGGTTTGCAAGCGCCATGGCTGTCGACCGCGACGAGGTCATGATTGCCGTTGCGGCACGGGGGGAGGTGTTCAGCTACCGCGTCGATGCGTGCCCGACCAACCCGGGCAAGCAGCACGCGGGCACCTGCGGCTGCCCGGCCGACGACACCGTCGATGAGTTCACCGGGATGGTCGAGTGCAAATCGTGCCCCGTCGGAGGCTCCGCCGGCACCGGGTGCATCCACCGCGGCAACTCTCTCTATCGGCTCGTGGACGCGCCGGGCCTCAGCAAGCGCATCTTCTCCAATCAGATCGGCCTCCCACTCGCGTTCACGACGACGTGCTTCGATCCGTCGTTCAACGGGTATCGGTCCTACTTCCGTAAGTACGACGACTGGTTCCCCACCATTGGCCCCCCGCTGACCGACGGCGTCAACGACCTGCTCGCCTGCGCTGCTGCGATGCCGAACGTGCACGTCTGGGGGCCCCTGACGACGGAGGAGCAGCCGCTGGTGTCCGCTGACCGTACCTTCTCGGAGCTGGCGAGCCTGCCCGCCGGGGCGCGCAACTTCTTCCTCTTGCACCCCGGGACGATTGTTGAGCTTTTCGACAGGCCCGGGTTCCGGGGCGCGTCCGTGAAGCTCCAGAACAACGACCCGGAGAGGGCCGAGCGGTACACATGCGAGCCTGGGGACGCGTGCGTGGAGGGCTGGACAGACGGGTCGGGCCGCGCCGCGTCGATGCGGGTCTACGGGGTTCCGCAGACGCACGTGCGCGACTTTTTCACGTCGAGCGAGCCGGACCCGTACGTCAAGCTCTACACCGACGACTTCGCGTTCGAGCTGGGCGACTTGACGGGCGTGGGCGCGGTCAATAACCTCGTGCCGAGCTCGGCGACGGCCTTCGTCGTCGGGCCATGGTCCGAGGTGCACTTCGTCCAGGACTCGAACGCAGCCCTCGAGCCCGGGCCGCCCACCAACCGTCACTACGTGGTCTCGAACCCCTCCCCAAACCTGCTGCCCGTCACGACGGGCACAGTGTTCGCCGACATCGCGGAGATCACGGTCGTCCGCAGCACCCCGGGGTGGAGCTCGTACTTCCCGCTCCAGGACGGCACGTTCAGCGGAGAGGGCTTCCACTCGGATGTTGTCGAGGACTACTACCTGACGTCGGGGCTGGAGGCCGGCGGCACCACGGCGCTCGGGATCAGCACGCGCATCGCCATGCGCCAGTTCACCATCCAGGCCGACCTGCTCCAGCTCGCTGACGCCGACCTGCGCGCCAGCCCGGAGCTCCACGACCGCATCCGCCGCTCGATGAATTCAATCTTCCAGTACCTTGTCCCGGAGGCGGGCGCGACCACGTCGCAGAACTCGGACACCATCGACCTCCCGAGCCCCAGCGGGACCGTCCCGGTCGTCATCGACAAGCCGGGATTCATGCAGGAGGTGGACTACAAGCTCAAGTACGAGCCGAGTCCGTACTGGTGGGCGGAGGTGGACCTGCGCCACAAGTTCGGGCTCGCCGCGAAGGAGCAGGGCATCTGCGGGTCGCTGCTGTCGCCGACGCGCGGGGTTTACTTCTACCCGCGGGAGCAGGGCAAGCCCGCGCTGCTCGGGGTCTTTTTCCCGCTGAACTCATACACCATAATCCCGACGCTGTGGGAGGACGCCGTGAAGACCGTCAAGTTCCGCTGCCAGGGTTTGACCGCCGTGGGCGCCGAGGTCGGCTTCCCGGACGGCATCCGGGTCGACCTTGGCTCGCAGTTTGGGAAGCTCGTCGTGGCGGACGCCCGGATCGTGCTCAGCCTGGCAGCGTTCCTCGCGGAGCGTCCGGCGACCATCGTCGGGTCGATCCTGGGCTTCCGCGTGGAGATCGACTTCTACATCCACACAGGGGAGTACACGCGCGTCGAGATCTTCAGCATCGACGACTACCGCGTCACCGTGGGCGAGGTCGTGGCCGCAATGCCCGACTCGCCCTTCGCCAAGGTTGTGCACCAGTCCGGCGTGCCAGGAGTCCCGGACGGCAACACGGACATGTACAACTATGAGATGTACGCCGTCAGGCTGATCCACGGCGCGACCGAGCTGCTGGCTCCGTTCAACCTGACGGCAAACTTCACCCGGCCCGTCGGCGCCCACGAGTCCCTGGCGCTGCCGATCGAGAGGCGCTCGCACGCCGCGTTCTTCGTGAACAAGAACGACGGCAGCATTGTCCGCATCGCACACATCCACATCGGCACCACCGTGGAAGGCGTGGCCTCGTTCAACGCCACGGGCAAGCCGTGCGATCTGGCGGTGCAGCTGTCCAGCTCCATCGACTTCGCGGCGAACCAGACCTTCCCGCAGGGAGGCCGCATGGTCGGCACCGCCCTCACGCGCTGCACGGAAGTCCAGACCGGCTGGGTCGGCGAGCCCTGGATCCGCGACATCGAGGTGCAAGCATCTTACCCGACGGTCGTGGGAATCACGATGAGGCTGCCCGTGCTGGAGACAGACGGCCTGGTGGAGGTAAACATCCGCACGTCGGACGTGCTTTTCGAGACGGTCGGCATCCTTTGCACGGACTACACCACCGCGACGGGCTGCAACGTGCGCCTGGAGTTCGGGACCTCGGGCCCCATGACCGCGCTGGCGCTGTCGACCGTGTACATCTTCACGCCCCCGGAGTTGATCGGGACCGTTGTTGACGGCGCACTGCTGTTCAGCCTCGTCCGCGACGCGCCGCAGCTCTACGAGATCTTCACGGAGATCGCGCTGCCCGGGATTCCGAAGGGTGCTTCCACGGCCGTGGACGTCGCCTTCTTCAACGCAACGCAGTTCGGGGCCAGGCCGGGATCGGCGCTCGTGGACTACACGCTGCCCGCGTCGCGGGGAGACATGATGCTCACGGCCAGCGTCGAGACGGCGCGCATCCACGGCACCTTTGACAGCTACCTGGGCTTTACGCAGCTGAGTGCATCCTTCAGCTCTCCCACCTTCCTGCGGGCTACGGCGTCGATCGAGAGCCCCTGCGTGCAGCACAACAGCACCGCGGTCGACCTCGACATCCGCAACCTCCCCTGGGCGGAGTGTCTACGGGTCACCCTAGGCGGGGCCTGCCAGCAGCCATCTTCGAACACGGGCATCCTGGTTCCCGGGCGCGCCGTGCTGCAGTGCGACGGCCGCAGCGTCGAAGACATTCGGCTGGAGGCGACCATCGCCGCTGTGCGGGTCGTGACAGGCCCCGCGGGGGCGCCGGCTCCGCTGGTGCAGGGCGTCCTCGAGGCGGCGAACGCCCAGCTGGACTATTCGCAGGCGCAGCAGCTGTTCCGCATCTCTGGTCCCGTCGCCTCCGCCGTCCTCCCTGGCCTCGAGGTGGAGTACAGGGTCTCCCTGGGGCGGATCTCAGAGGCCAACTTTGTGCTCGAGCCGGGGGCGCCGACGAAGCGCGCACTGGAAACGCAGGGGTCGGTGTTCGACCGGCCTTCCGAGGACACTCCTCGGATCGGCTCTCCGATGCACACTGTTGCACAGCTCGACGAGGGCTTGGGCGGCGGGCTCACCGAGGCCCTGTGCATGCACGGCGTGCCCGAGCTCGGCATCGCGCCCCTGGACACGTCCTCCACGATTTACCAGTCAACGGTAGACGAGCTGTGCGCTGAGGCGCGGTCGGTGCTGCTCTACAATCCCCGAGTTGAGATTCTTCGGTCGGTCGCGAACAGCTTCGCGCGTGTGCGCATTAGCGGCCATGCCGTCGCCTCTTCTGCGCGGCGTGCTCGCGCGCTGGCTTACATGACTGGGACCGTGGCTATCGACGCCCGCATGGAGCACGTGGGGCGCTACAGGTCTTTCCAGACGACGGGATCAGGAACCATCCAGCGGTACGACTTCAGGCCGTTCGACGTGTCCACGTTCGCCATCCAGCCGCTCAGTGACTTCTGGGCGCAAGCAAGCATCACCGGAAGCACACGCATGTCGTCTTTGGGGCTCGCGGTGCTTGGAGCCACGAGCTGCCTGGACGCGAACGACGCCCCGAAGCCTTCCTGCCAGTATCCAGCTTCACTGCTGGAGCACGACATTTGCACGGCCGGTGACATTTCCGTGGCGGCCGCTCTCCCTCTGTCAAGCATGCTGGAACACCCAGCCTCGCCGCCGTCCATGGACGCCACCGGCTTCGCCGCGCTTCGTTGCACGAACTTCCGGATCGTCGACCTGGCCGTCGAGCTCGACGTCTCCGTCGCCCCGGGTGCAGTGGAATGGACGGGACTGGTCGGACGCAACAACGTCTCTGGGCTCGTCTGGGACAGCATCGTCGTGGACGGCGCCGGCAACGGGGTCGAACTTCGCGGTCACGTCCTGGGGGACGCCGGAACGACCGACGTCTTGGAGGCCTTTGGTACGATCGACGTCGCCGACGGCACGTACGTGCGCGGGCCGCCGCCGAGCAAGAGCAAGCTGTCGATCAGCCTGCCGCACATCTCGCACTCCCACCTGGTCGGCAGCTCACGCTCCGCCGCTGCCGTGGACGTGTCGAGCCTGCCAAGGTCCGTCCGCACCGTGCTTGGCAAACTCCCAGTTCCCGGCGTCAACTTCACGGCGGCGGAGACGGCGGGCGACAGGATCGACGTACTGGAGATGGTGCTCACTCTGCCCGAAGCTGGAGAGCCCCTTGCGCCGGTGTACGTGGCCCTGAACACCAGCGGCCCCGGCGTCAGCGGTCCGAATGCTAGCAGCAATGGGACAGTCGTCAACGCCACAGCCGCTTCTCTGGAGTCCATCTGCGCCAACGCGTCGGTGTCGCTCTCCGGTCCGCCGGCCAACGCGAGCTGCGCGCTGTCCTGCCCAGTCGCTGTGGAGAACATCCGGGCAACGGCGACGTTTGCACAACGCGGTCGCTACATTGCTTTGGAACGAGCTGTGTTCGAGGTTCTGGGACTCGAGTCTGACGCATGCAACGACACTGGCACAGACAACAATGCCAACAGCAGCCACACTGATCTTCCCCCAGGGATCAACTGGACCGGCGCGTCCGCGGTGATGCAGGTGCAGAACGTGACGAGTTTGTCTGCAGCTCCGAATGCGGACATGGCCGCTGCCGCGTCCTCTGGCGACTACGTGGGCATGGCATTCCTCGCGGAGGGCTTCACATGCGGTCGCGCTGTCAACACGGGCAAGCTGTCGCTGTGGAACCTGCCGCTCGGCATCCACGTGGTGTCACCGGATAGTGCGGTGCACTACCCGACGACCGTGGAGGGCAGCCCTCGCGACCCGCTCCTGCCCCGGCCGTGGGCCGCGATGAACGTCAAGGCAACGAACGTCGTGGTTTCCTGCGAGGCCGGCGGTACCGAAAACGACGCGTCGATTGTCGCAGAGCTCGGCACCATCGCGTTTGAAACCGTCGCCCTGGGGCGTGTCCGCATCACGAGGGCCACAGCATATGTTGCGGGCGCCAGCCTGAGGATCCAGGGGACGGTCGGTGGCTTCGACGCCGTCATCGAGCTTCCTCTCGTCAAGACAAGCAACTCGACGAGCATTCAGCTCACGCGCCGGGAGTCTGAGAGCCCCATCAACCTCGGGGAGCTCATTGATGCCAGCGTGCCCGAGTTCAGGCGGCTCGTCGCTTCGGCGGGCATCCCCGGCCTCGTCCCGGCGGGCCAGGGTATGTCTGCCGCAAACAACGTCACGGTGTGGGAGCTGAAGGTGGGCCTGGGCGCGGACACGAGCGTCACTGAGGCCCGAGGCGTGGGGTCGGCCGCGGCGTTCGGCAACACAGACGACGGGTCTCTGTACGGTTGGACCCGCGGCGGTGGCGGCGGAAGCTTCCACGCCAAGTTCGACGTCGACGTCGCGTCGATGACCGCGTTGGGAGCAGAGTTTGCTGGCCAGTCGGTCCAGGCCGTGCAGGCGACCCTGGCCGCCCGCGATGGGGCCCCGATCAGCATGCCGCCATCAAACGAGACCGTCCCAACATGGACCGGACACGACACGGTGGTGTTCAACGGGACGAGGTGGTCGTTCGACGGAACCACCTGGGCCGAGTCGTCCGCTGCGCCCGAGGCGTGGCTTGAGTACGACTTCGCCGTGGAAATGTGGCGATGGCGGTCGAGCCTGGGAGCTGCGATTTCGGAGTTCCCCCCATCAACTCTGTTTCAGCTCCACTGGTCGTCTTACTGGCGTCTTGCACTGGTGCGCGCGTCCGTTGAGCCCCCCCCGGCCGCGACCTCTGTCAGCGTCGTCACGTTCGTCACGGTGTCGTCGACGCGCTACCTGCAGCGCCCGGGCGTCGACCTCATCTTCACGACCTCGGGCGATGCCTGCGTGCTGGGCGGGCACCAACCTGTGGCGGGAAGCGTCATCGGGCCGGTCGCGTCGACGAACGGATCGACCGTGGTGACGGGGTACCCCGCATCGATGTCCGTTTTGGGCAGGGCCAACATCACGCTTGACCCGTTGACCGCGCGCGCCACAGTCACGTGCAACAACCTGACCGTCGTCGGCTTCAACGTCTCGGTCCCTTCGCTGCTCGGGGAGCTCAAGTGGCGCTTGCCAGTGCACGACCTGAACATCACGCTCGTGTCGCCGTCGCTGCGCGCCGTGGCGAGCACCTCGGACAGCCAGGTGCAGCTCGGGGGCGGCCTCAGCGGCACTGCCTACTCCGGGACACTCACGTACGCGTCCGGGAGTCTCAACGCCCCGGTTTTGCGCCTCCGGGCGAACAGAACGACCCTCGAGGAAGCCACCCAGCTCTTCGCCTCGGTCGACGGCGGGGCGCTGAGGAGCGCCGTGCTGGCCGCTGGCATCCCGGATCTCATGCACGCAGCCAACGACACGACCCCCCTCAGCCACTTCAGCCTGATCCTGTCGAACACGGAGCTCAGTGCAAGGTGGCTCGGGAACGTCGTGCTCGAGACGGCCGTCGCGCACGTGGACCTCACCGTCGCGGCCCGCAGCAACCTCACCTCCCAGGCGTACATGAACGTCGCACTCTCGAGCGGACCTGCGACGATCACTCGCCTGTACGTTGGGCTGTGGCGTGGAGCGGACTTGCCATCCGACGTGCCCACTGCTGCCGGCAGGGGCATCGGCGAGTTTGATGTTCCCGCCGGAGTGCCAGCGAACGTGTCGTACGTCCTGACGGCCGTGTCGGCAGACCTGCCCTGCGACAGTGCCAGCACGATCCACTCGAAACTCGTGATCGGGGGCCCTGCGCTTGTCCCGGAGCACATCGGAGACGTCACCGCGGCGGGCGCGGCCTCCACGCTGCTCTGCGCGGGCGGCAGGCCCAGCTCCGTGAATTTCGCGGCATCTGCCGCACAGCTTGCTCTCCGATCCGGCCCCGAGGACCTAGAGGTCTTCTCTGCGGCGTTCGAGGCTGGCTGGGTTGACGGGGATGTGCTCATGCGCGGGGCATTCCGCGCGCTCGGCGCCTCCGGAATCACGCTCGCGGGCAACACGACGTTCAACATGGCGACGCCTGGCGGCGCGAAGCACACCGTCGACGTCGGAGCTGGCCTGGTGGGCGATGTGTTGTGTTCCTTCCCTAGCCTGGGTGGGGCACTTTACGCGCACGGCGTCCCGGGAGCGCTGGCCCCGGCCGACGGACAGGGGTATGTCTCGGCCGGCAGGTTGGGCGCGGGGGTCGCGTCGGCCAGCGGGCGAGCGGCCGCCGTCCGCATGACGATGGTTTCGACGGTTGCGTCGGGCACCATCGACCTCCGCGTTCCGGCGCAGAGCTCGTCCGGCACCCAGCTCGAGGACCTGCATGTGGCCTTCGAACGAAGCGGAGGCGCATCTCTCGCCGGCAGCAGCATCGCCGTGGGCTCGGGCTGCCGGGTGGACGCGGGCGAGTGGCACATGACCGAGTTCCTCTCCCAGCCTGACGTTGACTTCACGATCGCGTGGGGCCTGCCGAACGCAACGTGCTGGTACTCTCCGGAGCCGGCAGACATCTTGGCGCGCGGCTCATTGTCGGGGCTGCCCGCGCCGCTGTACAACGCCAGTCTGACCAACGCATCGCTGTCCGCGGTCTGCGCTGATGGCAGGATGTCGTCCTTCTTCGCCGACGATCAGCTCCCGGCGGTTGTGTGGCCAGTTCCTGGTTCGACGGCCAACGTCACGCTGCCGACACCGACCGCGCGCTTCCAACACCCAGCGTCTTCGCTGACGTTGCTCGACACCATCGCTGGGAGTGGCGGCCTGACAGGAGCGCGCGCCACGGTAACGATCGCACAGACCACACAGCCCGACCTCGAGCTGTTCGCCCCCGTGGACGGCGCCCGGCCGCTCGGCTTCGACGTCGCGACAGCGCTCCCGGCCTCCTTCGTCCCGGAGCTGGCTGCCGCTCTGCAGTCGACGGCCCTGACCGGTGGCGCCGCAGCGGGGGCGGCCACCCGCATTTACGGCAACATCTCTGTGGCAAGTGGGCAGTCGATGCTCGAGGTCTCACTGGGCCACCCGTCCGGCAGCGGCTTGGACCTCATCCTCGTCGCCGCGGGGGGCGCGGTGACCGAGTTCGAGGTCGCACTCGTGCGATCGACGGCGACGATTGCGTTTGCGGCCTCGGCGGGGCTCGTCGACCGCGTGAACGAGACGTGCGCGGCGGGCAACGTGACTGCGCGCATGTCACAGTACAGGGCGTGGCTTCGCACGGGTGACGGCGCGCGGGACAGCGGCGCGCCGCTCGCTGGCGGCCCGTGGACCGCTGGTGTCTCGGCGGGCGTCGTAGGTCACGTGGAGTACGTCGCACGGCTGAGCAGCAGCAACATCAGCGCCGCGTGTGCTGGGGCGGCGACGGGGAGCTGGCTGTCTCGCACCAGCGCGGGGACAATCACCGCTCCCGTGTCGGGTGGACTTGTGTGCGCACCGGCGGGGTCAATCCTGTCGCTCTTCGCCAACGTTTCGGACACCACCGCTGCCGTGCTGTCGCATGCAGTGTTGGGCACGGTCCACGTCTCCGTCGTCGACGGCTCGTTCACCGCCGTTCTGGGGACGCCATCGGAAGGTTCTGAAGAGGTTTCGAGTGCCGAAATGCTCGTGTCGGCCCCAGGGACGCCGTTCAGCGGCGTCCTGAGTCTGTCATACCAGCCTGCGCTGTCCGAGGAGAGGCTCCACCTCGCGCTGTCCGACGGCGCGCTCACGACGGACGCGGGCCTGGCGCTCGCGCCGCTCATTCTGTCCGTGGCCCCCACGGGCGCGCTGTTCAAAGTGTTCCCCAACAGTGCTGTTGGAGGGTCCCCACCGGGAGCCGAGACCTTTGTCTTCGGCAACACGACTCTCGACGTGGACCTCCGTTCCCACGCCTTGCGGATGTCGTCCGTGCTCCAGGGCCAGAACGCCACGAACACATCGTCCGTCACGGCCCGCCTCTCCTCCTCAATGCACATTGCGCTCCCACCGCGATCGGCAGCAGACGCGTCGTGCGGTGGCTTCGTCGGGCCCGAGATACCAGCGCCCGCGATCAGCGATCTTCTGACCTCTTCCGGCCTGGCCGCGGCCATCGCGCGCTTCAACGTCGATGCATCGTCCGTCGCGCTCGAGCGCAGGGACGCAGCGGGGCGCGCGGTCCGGATGACGAGGAGCGGGCGGTACGTGTGTAGCGCGGATGAGACGGTGAACTCGACAATCTCCGTGGATCTGCCGCCTATCATCAGCGGGCTCGAGACGGACGGCGCCTGGGACTTGGACTGCTCGTTTGCTGGCGACCACATGCCGTCTATCCAGCCGCACGTCGGCAACATTTCGACGTATCTTGGAGCTTTCGGAGACCAGAGCATCGCTGACGCGATGCTGGAGGTTTCTCCGTTCCTCGACAGCGTGGTGATCGGCGGGACGCTGGCCAATGTTGGGCAGCTCAACGCGACGGTGGCGGCCCTCCTCGACGGCCCGGCGACCCGCGTGACGATCGCATCCTCGCCGGACGTGTCCACGTCCTTCTCCTCGGTGGTGTCCGGCACCGCGGGCACGGCCTTCTCTCGCAGCGTCCTGGACGTCGTCCTGAGCCCTGTGGGCACGTCTGCGCTCTTTGCTGACGGCGTCACGAACCTGACGCTGGGCACCGACGTCGCATCCGGCGCGAACATGACGTTCGACATCGCGGGCACCTTCGACGTCCCGGTGCTGGGCGCGACGACGTTCGCAGCCAAGGTTGCGACGGACCTCGCGACTCGAGGGCAGTCGGTTCAGTTCGGCTCGCAGATCGACAGTCTGGAGGTCTCGGTGGAGGCTCGCAACGGCACCGTCGTCGGGTTCCAGCTGTCTGCGTCTCGCCCGTGCGCGACCGGGGTCGCGCTCGGGTCGGTCACGCTGGTGGGGGTGCCGGGGCTGCAGGATCGCTTCCACGCCCTGACTCCCGCCTCCATCGGCGTGCAGTGCAGTCCGGGGGGTCGCGTCGTGGGCTTCTCTGGACTGAGGAACGCGACTTCGCAGGCGCCGTTCCGCCTCGTGTCCGTTGACGTCCCACAGGGAAGCGGGACATTGCCGCGCCTCAACCCCGAAGTCGACCTGACCATTCGCGACAAGGTCGCGACGCTTTCGTTCCAGAACGAGGACCCGGGAGTGATGAAGATGCGCGCCGACGTCGACCGCGGCCTCCTGCCCATCGGCCTCGAGTTTGCACTGCCTCCGAACGTGACGCAGACGCTCTCCGAGATCGGCGCCAGCAGCGGGTTCCAAGAGCTCGGGGCAGCGATCGCAGCGGTCGGTGTCCCGGGCATCCCGCAATCCGTGTCCCGAGACGATGTCCTCGTGCGGAGGATCTCCGTTGAGGTGTCGCAATTCGGAGCGTTGACGCTGCGCGGCATCTGCACCATCAACTCGACGAGAGACGCGACGATGACCTTCTTGGCCGCTCCCAACACCACGCTGGACGTCGAGGTTGAATACGGCGCGAGCTTCGACGCTGCAACGCTGAGCCTGGTCACGACGCTTGCGTGGGTTGACCTGAGCGCCGCGGTGCGGCACCCCGTGACCGGTAGCGAGCTCGCGAGCGTCCAACTGCGCGGTTCGGACCCTTGCAACGCGACGAGCGCGGTCGGCGGCGTGCTGGTTGCTTACCTGGTGGCGGAAGATGCACCTGCTGGTCCCCGCCTGCAGTCGGCTGGCGCGGGCGTCGTTTCTTGCCGCAATGGCAGCCTCGAGGACTTCACGATCGAGTCGTCTGCGGAAAACGCTGCGCTTGTTGCAGGTGACCTCGGCGTCGTTGAGGTGACGAATCTGGCGGGCGTCTTTGTGTATGCGGACCGCAGCCTGACGGTGTCGGCGCGGGCTGGACTGATGGAGGCCTCGACCGCGTTTGACGTCACGGAGCTCGCCGGATGGACACGGACGTTGCGGCTGACTGCGACGCGCCCTGCGGCGCTCACCCTGGGCGAGCTCGGCGACGCGCTCACGGTGGGCACCGGCGGGTTCGGCAGCGCCCTTTTGACGGCTGTGCAAAATGTCGGGATCCCCGGCGCTCCGTACTGCACCTCTCAGGCGTGCATCGGGGCCGCGACGGTCTCCTCCCCAGACATCGACATTGCAGGACAGGTCTTCAACATTTCGCTGCAGCAAGTTGAGACGCAAAGCTCGACATGCGCCACTACCAGCACCATCGTCATGGAAGTGGAAGTTGCCCCGCACAACGGCCTGGCGTCGATCGAGCACCTGACCCTGCAGCTGTCCTCAGGCGATGTCTTCACGATTGCTTTCGAGGGATCCAGGCCCTGCGACGGCGCCCTGAACGTCACTGGCGGGGCTTTTGTATCTCCGCTTGCGGACTCCGGATCGATCACGGCCGGGACATCGACCGTCGAGGTCGGGTGCACCGGCAGTGCAATCTCATCTCTGCGGGTCGTGGACGTGCGGGCGACGTTCGCTTCCGGTTCTCCCGTCCGGATCGACACGAACACGTCGGGCACTCTCTACGCTACCGATCCGACGCTCACGCTGGAGTGCGGCAGCGGGGGTGTAGACTTGTTGTCGATCAACGGCACTGCAGTCTACAGCGGCGGCGCGGCTGCTGGCGCCGTCATCGTCGCGCTCTCCTACCCGCTGACGAACCCTGCGGTGCCATCGATCGCACTCGCGTCGCAAGGAAGCGCTCCCCCGGGACTGTCTGTGCTGCAGCTCGTGGACCTGTTCCACTCCCCGGCTTTGTACGAGGCAGTGCTAGCGTTCGGCATCCCAGGAGTCGCAGCAGCGCAGGACCTCGCGGCCATCGCGCGCACGCAGATGGCGAGCGTTGACACGACGATCGACCCCGTTGCGCGGACGATGCGCCTGGCCGGCGTCGGCGTGGCCAGCGTAGCAGACGTCTCATACGACATGCCCTTTGCCATAACGGTCAAAGCTGGCTCCGGGCAGCTCGAGCTGCAGGCCGGCGGTGTGCGCGTGCTGGGGCTCGCGGACCCGGCGTACACGCTCAAACTGGCCGTGAAGGGAAGCCTGCCCTGCTCCACCGCCGTGCCCCTCCCGGGCGTGCAGTACCGGCAGGGCAACTTCCCCGTACAGGCGGTCCAGATTCTCGACGGGCCGCCAGCCGTGGGACGGCCGCGGAATGACCAGGCGATCCCGGACCTGACGCTCCAGGACTACCAGGTCTCGTCGCTGTGCGGCGACATGCTCACTGGTGACGACGACTGCAGTGTCGGCACGGCGTCGTTCGTGTGCATGAACGGCAGCCCCATCGACGCGGAGCTGTCGTTCGACTTCAACACCACGGCGCCCAAGAACGGGCCTCCGGGGCTGCGGGCACACACCACCTGGTCGCCCAACGTCCCCGGCATCGGCTCGATCGGTCCCCTGCTGTCCCCACGTGGCGCCCTCAACGTCTCGGGGGGTACGCTTGTGGTCACTGGGCCGCTTCCGGCCGTCAATGGCGTCCAGCTGGAGGCCGCCGTCACCACCAACATGGTCGACTCGTCTGCAGGCCCGCAGTTGGATGTTCGGTTGCCGGAGAACGCGACTGCCACACTCGGAGGCATCCTCCAGGCGCTGAGCGTGTTCTCCGTGTCGTCCGTGCTGTCGTCTTCGGGCCTGCCGGGCTCGAGCTTGGCACACGCGCTCGACGAGGGTGCTGCCGCGCCGCTCAACGCCAACGACACGGTCGTCGAAGCCTTCCGCGTCACTGCCGTCGGTGCCGACATGCGCATCTCGCTCGAGCACCGCCCATCATCGACGGTCGTGGTCGAGCACACGCTGCTTGCCGACATTAGCACCTGGACCCGGCCCGAAAGCGTTGAGCGCTTCTCGGTGTTGCCGCGCCTGACAAGCACGTCCTTCTCGATCACGACGGCCGGTGGGACGCACGTCCTTGCCGTCGGTCCCGACCGGCCGTGTGCCTCGGGCACGGGTTACACGGGCCGCGTGACGCTGGTTGTTCCCGGTGCCTCCTTCAACTCGTCAGCGCTGGGCAAGATCGAGGCGCAAGGGGCAGTCACGTTCAACTGCTCGTCGACCGCGGACCTGCGCCCGGCGGACCTCGTCCTGCAGGCGCACGGTGCGACGGCGCGGGTGAGCGGGGGGGCCTTTGGCGACGTGGCTTCGACGAACGCCACCCTGCTGTACCGTCAGCGGCATGGCATGGCTTTCATCGAGGGACGGGCGACTGAGAATGCCACGTTCAGGACAGACATCGCCTCGACGTCGCCGTTGACCCCGACGCGCGCCGCCTACGCGGTGCTCCCACACCTGTTCGAGTACCAGAAGCGCTCGCAGTGGTGCGGGAAGTTTGCCCCCGACCTGACGACGGTCGATCCGTCGCTCGGCGCCAAGAACCTCGCCGTCGGAGCGCCGCAGCCCGCGGCTCTCCACGCGCCGGCGTCCTCGCAGCCATGCCGGGACATCAACGGCACCATCCGGGGCTCTTTCGAGCCGCTCGACTGGTACCCGTGGTTCTCGCACGCCAACGCCACCACGAACTCTACGAATGGCACTGGTTTCGCGAACGACACCATCTCGATCCCCGCACAAAGCCTCCTGGCCTGTGCGGTGTCGAGCGCGACGATCGCCCCCCAGGCAGTTTTGTCGTTCGCAGCATACTGCACGCTGCCTGCGGAGTCGCATTTTATCGTCGCGGATGCTTCGGATGCACCTGCGGTAAGCACTCCGTTCCGCCAGGCCGTGTCGGGGTCGTGTGTGTGTCGGACGGGCTGCAACGATGGATCCGCAGTCGCACGCTCCCTGGACGCGTGCAAGACCGCGGGAAACCTCACCTGTGGCGAGTCGAACTACTTCGAGGTCGCTCGCACGGCGGTTCGCGTCACCGCGGGAACCGTGGGGGATGTCGCTGACACCCTTGGGCCAGCGTTCCCGGGCAGCTTGGAGAGTCTTGGCGTTCCAGGGCTTGCTGGCGTGTCTCCCGCAGATGTCCTTGCGCGTCGTATCGACGGCGATGGTCTCATGGTGGAGTCGCAGGCCGCCGAGGGGTGTATGGTGCTCAACGGAACGTTTGCGCACACCGGGGCGCTGACGTTCGCGCTGAACATCAGCGCATGCAGCAACGCCACGCTTTCGGCTATCTATGCTATTCAGAGGCAGGCGGAAGCAGTGAACGGGACGTGCACGGCGCTGCAGGCGGGCGGGAGTGGCTTTGTCGCCGACAGAGCCGCGTCGGACCTGCTGTCGTCTGATCAGGCCGTGCAGCTCCTCGCGTCGAACGCTCCGCGTCTAGAGCGCTGGGACGTGCTTCAGGCCGAGGAGCTCTCTGTTCGGGTGTACCACGACGGTGCTTCCTCGTCCCTGGATGCCCGCTTCCTCTCTCCTGCGTGCTTGTCGGGTGGCTCGCAGCAGTCGGCATCGCTCGCCTCCCTGGAGGCATCCTTGTACAGTATCGAGCTGTCGGCGCCCGCGGCTGCAGCGGCGGTCCACTGCGCTCTCCTCGGCCCCTTGCAGAAGCCTACCCCTGACAACTTCACGTTGGAGGCCGCTCCTGCCAACGCCAACATCACGGTCGGACATCTCTCCGGCATCGCTGTTTCCGGCCCAACATTCACGCTGGAGAGCGGGGCCAGATGGTTGGACTGGACGGCGGCCGGCGGCGGATTCCATGCACAGGGGATCGCGCATGTGCTGCATGCCTCCGTGTCGGCGGACGCGCTGGACGTGGTGTCTGACGCGGGCGTCGTGTCAACGCTGGACAGCCTTGCGACTCTGTTGCCGTCAGGAGACAACCTGCGGGGTCTGACGGTTGCGATTGGCGTTCCGGGCATTGACCGCGGCGTTGTTTCGGCGGCCCCGCTCTGCAGCTTCGCGCTCTCGGCTCGCGGTGACAACCAGCTGGCGCTCAACACGTCCGCGAGGGACGACGGATTCACTCACGCCGTCGCGCTGCGCGCAGCGGTGCTCCCTGAGCAGACCTTCGAGGGCTGGTCCGTCGGCGCCATGCACTTGAACGTGACGCACGCGGAGTACTCGATTGAGTCGTCGAACAACAACAGCGCTCGAGTGACCTTCAAGGCGCAGGGAGCGGGGCACCCGTGCTCGGCGCGCCGCAGCGCCAGCTTGGTCGTCGCGGGCGTCCCGCACCTGTCAGACCTGCACCTGAGCGGTGACGCTGCCCTGCTGTGCCTTTCGTCGGGGGTTGTCGACGGCTACGAGGCGTCGCTGACGTCCGACGGTGGCGCGCATGCGTCGCTGGAGACAGGCGCTCTCGGCAACGTGACGCTGTCGAACCTCGCGGCAAACTACTCGAGCAGCAGCAAGGTGCTCGATGCCACGTCGCGGAGCAGCGACGGCAGCCGAGACCTGGAAATGTCTATGACGTTCTGCAACGGAAACGAGACCGCTCGGGGCGTGCCGTGCGCGACGGCGGGCGCGGCGGGGGTGTGCAACGTGACGGCCAGCATGCGCGGGGCGCATGGGCAAACCTTGTCGCAGGTTTCCTCGCAGATGGGTCTGCAGCTCGCTGCAGTGTTCCAGGAGGTCGGCGTCCCGGGGCTCGACGCGTCACAGCTCGCTCTCATCCCGAGCGCCGAAATCTCGAGCCTGGTGTTTGCCATGACTCCGCTAGAGCAGTGCGTCAACGTCACCTTTGGCCTCTTCGACCTCGGAGACGGCACGCAGCTCAGGAACGCCCACATTAACTACTGTGCTCACTGTGCAGCAGGGCGCCGCAGCGCCAGGTCCCTCGCGCAGGCTTCGCCCGCCATGGTCTACCAGACTGACAGCTTCGTTGAAGTCTCGCTGCACGGTGGGCTGATCGAGTTCACGGCCTCGGGCGCGAGTCCATGCCGTTACGTCAACGGCTCCGGCGCGATCGTGACGTCTGCAAAGTCGGACACGGGCGTAGGAACGACGGTAAACGGCAACATCGTGACCATCGGCCTCGTGGGCGCCGTGCCCGGCACATACGCGCTGTCTTGCGGCAGCGGCGGGTCAATCGTCGGGACCACAGTCGCCGTCAATGCCAGTGGACTCGTGCTGTCGGACGGCGCCCTCAACGTCACCCTTGCGGAGGCTGCAGTCCTGTACAAGTCGGCGGACAAGGCCGTGGCGATCCAGTCCGCCACGACCTCGGGGAGCGCGGTCGACATCGCCCTGCCCCTCGCTGGTGTCGCGAACGCGACGTCGGTCGCCGGGACTTCGGTGCTGTCGGGCAGGCTGTCGGTCGTGTCCGCGCTGGCCAATCCCAGCAACACATCGCTCGCCATGTCGACGGTCCTTGCGGACCTGGCGGCCCCGGGCGTTTCAGCCTTATTTGCTGCAGCTGGTATGCCAGGGTTCGACGTCGCGACGTCTCTCGACGGGACGGTTGTGCGATACGTGAACACTTCCTTGAACAGCACGCACCTTTCGCTCGCGGTTACGATGGAGGACACCGCGGGCGTGTTGCACGCCATGACGATCATAAGCGCCGTGTCGGTCGGGAGCTCAGGCGACAACAACGCCTCGTCCCCGTTGGGCAGCGGCTCGTGGGCTTCTGGCGGGTACGTGTTTGACGTCGCAAGCTTCTCCTACGCCATGTCGATGGCGCAGAGCTCCACAACTGTCATATTGTCTGTAGATAGCGGGAACCCTTGCGCGGAGGGCGGTCTGCCGTCCCGCTTGACCATCGGCGGTGTGGACGCCTTCTGGGGTGGCAATCTGCTGGCACTGGGCACGGCTTCCATGGGCTGCAACGAGAGGGGGCTGCAGAACTTCACTGCCTCGTTTACGAACCACACTTCGGCGCTGGCGATCGGCCAGCTTGGCAGCATCGCGCCGGGACCAGTGGCGGCGACCTACAACAGCTCGGGGCGCACCATCGACGTATCCCTCGCGGATGCGTCTGGCGCCGCCTCTGCTTCGTGGGGATTCTCTGTTTGCGGAAACCAGAATGCAGGGCCCGGGGCGATGACGTCGTCGATGAGCTGCCCGGACAGAGGGTTTCCAGGCTTGTGCAATGTCCGCCGCGTTTCGACCGCACTCAAGAGCGCGGGCACCGCGCAAGCGCTCTCCGCGATCGACGGCGCGCTCGGAACATCTATCGCAACCATCCTGAACACCACCGGCGTGCCGGGCGTGGGCGGCACCCTGCGTTGGGACACGCAGGCGGGCACAGTCTTTGCCACCGACTTCACTCTCGCCGCCGACCCGGTGTCGCGGTGCATCGTGATCTCGGGCAACTTCAGCACGCCCGGTGACGGTTCTGTGCTCGTACGCAAGCTCGAGGTCTGCCAGGGCTGCTACGGGGCGGGCATACCCATTGTGCACATTGAGTCCTTCGATGTCGCGTTTGCGGGCCTGGGCGGCAATGTGCCGGTCTCGGTCTCCGGCAGCACGCCGTGCGTCGTCCGTGGCGCATCAGGGGAGGTCTCACCGGTCTCGATGGGCACTCCCTTCTGGTCGGGCTCGGCATATCCCGCCAACGTAACATTCGTCATCCCCAACGTGGCATTCAACGAGCGCGCGTTCAGCGCGGTCTTCCGGCCTTACTGCGACCGGCAGAAGGTATCCGGGTATCGCGTTCGGGGGGTCGTCCCCCCGATCGCCCTGAACACGGAGCCCGTGGCGCTGGCGGTCGCGGACGCGACCATGCAGTACGACTCGCTCAGCGACGGACTTTCGGCGCTGTCCGTGACCAATATCACAGAGAGTCTGCTGGTTTTCACGCCCATCGGCGCGCGGCTGCAGTCCCTCGTCGCGGCGTCGCGCCGCAGGCTAACGCTGCCACAAGTTGGCACTGCGTTTGGCAGCGCCGTGCAGGACTTCTTGCTGGAGATCAGCACCCCTCAGATGGCAGAGGCGGTCGACGTCGTCGACGTGCCGTACGTGTTCCTCTCGCTCGATCTTTACGACGACGTGGCGGCGGCGTTCACCGCTGGCAACCTCACCCTCGAGGCCGACCTGCGGCTCACCGACGACGCGACGATCACGACCCTGGACGTTCGTTTCACAGTCTTCGACGTCACGGATCCGGCCAAGGCCGTCCTCGATGACATGAGCCTGGACTACCGCACCGTGTTCCTGGAGGGCGAAGTTGTGTCCCTGTACCCGGAGGTCGTGGTGCGTGCCTCCGACTTCGCGCCGTGCCAGCCGGACGGAACGACGGCGACCGGTGTCAATGGCAGTCTCGTTCTGATCAACATGCCGTTCGGCCTCGGGAGCCCGAATTTCGACGCGTCCATCGACTTGACGTGCAACGGGTCACGCATGGTAGACATCGCAGCCGAGGCGTTCCTCGACAGGATGAACTCCGAGGTGGGCTTCGTCGTGCCGCTCGAGAACGTCACCGTCTCGCTGCGCATGTCGACGGGCGAGCTCGCCGCGGTGGGCACCGCCGGCAAGCTCGATGCCAAGCTTGCTGTCCCGCTCGGCGGGCGCGGCCGCATATCCGAGTCCGCGACGGCGACCCTGACGTCCGCGATCGATCTCGCCTGGCCCGAGGTGTATGGCAGCGCCGGACTCAGTCTCGGGGACCGCCTCGAGATCCAGGGCGCGCCCGGAGTGCAGCCCACTCGGCTGGCCGACGGGGACATGACCGTTCGCGCGGGCCTGCGCGTCCTGCTGCGGCCGGACAACTTCACGGCGCGGTATGTCCTCGATGGCGAGGTCGGCCCCGACATGAACGCCTTCGACTCGCACTACACCATGACGCGCGGCGCAGCGCCAGGGGTGTGGGACTCGTACGAGGTCGGGTTCACCGCGTACGTGCGGTGCGCGCGGAGCGCCGATGGCGTCCACGCGAACGAGACGGCCTGTACCCTGGTGGTCGAGGGCGCCGGCCCCGACCCCTGCGTGGCTTACTTCACGGAGCTGGATGCGACGGGCTCTCCGCCCGAGGGGGGCATCCCGAGCTGGAACGCGACCGCCGCCCAGCGCGAGATGTCGTTCGACATCCCCGACTCCATCATGTCCGGCAGGCTCGTCCACACGTGTCTGGCGCCGACCTTCGATGCTCCACTGGGCACCATGAACACCTGGCGGTTCGAGGGGGTCACTCCTGTGCGGCCTCTGAACCTGGGCCTGACGTTCGTTGAGAACCTCGTTCCCGACCAGTACGCCCTGTACTACGACGAGGCATCTCGGATCATCGCGACGCAGATGTTCACTGTTGCTGACGGCAATGTCACGGCCGTGCCCGCGGGAGGCTTCGACTCCATTCAGGCCCTCCTGCTGCAGCGTGACCTGACCGTTACGTCCGAGGACGAGGTGTTCGACATCTTTGAGCGCGTCGTCGCAAATTACCGCACGTTCATGTTGGTGCGCAACTTCAACGTGTCACAGCTGCCCGTCGTCCGCGCAAAGGTGGATGCGTGCATCGCGGAGTACAGCTGGACCACAGGTCTGCTCGGAGGGTTCATCTCGTCGCGGTTCATCGACGGGAGCTTCGTGCACAACATGACGTCTTCGGAGCTTTGGTCGTTGACGCTCGACTCGATCATACCGATCCCCGTGCTGGAGCTCGAGTCCGTCCTCGAGGGGTACCTGTACGCGTACCTCACGGACCTCGGCACGACCAAGTTTGATGACAAGCTGGAGTTCGTGGACGTGCGCGACGTGTACGTGTACCTCGACGTATACGACCGCGTGCGCAGGACACCGACGCTCGGGACGCTCGACATGGAGGGCACTGTGCGCTGGGAGAACACGGACACGCTCACCGTCGTGTCGACGGACCTGGTGACGGCGTTCGAGAACGCCCTTGACCCGCCCACGCTCAACATGACGACCTTCACGTGGACCTTCTCCAACATCTTCCTGGTGGAGGGCGCGGCGCAGTTCAGCCGCTTGCGCACGACCGTCTCCGGTACCTCGCCGTGCCCGCTACCGGGCAGCGGAGCGACGGGCGCGGCCAACACCACTGTGGACGGTACGCTTGAGCTCACCAACATGCCGTACGGCCTCGGGTGGCGCACGATGCCCACAGACCTGACCTTCCGGTGCCTCGGATCCCGTATCGACGACTTCGACCTCGTTGCGACCCCAGTTCCCGATCGCGTGGTCGTCGACGTCAACTTCCTGGTGCCCGTGGATTCGGCACTAATCACGTACCAGCGGTCGACGGAGGACCTCACGGTGCCGGGGCTCACGCTGCGGACGAAGGCTCTTTTGACGGTCTCCCTCGACCGCGAGCGGCTCAAGCAGATCGGTGGCCTGCGGCTCTGGAACGACTACGGCGACGCCAATCTCGCGGGCATCAAGGCCTCGGTGGGCGAGCTCGCGCCGGTGCTGGAGCGCAGCGGCTTCCCAGGAATCATGCCCAAGCGCAACGATCTGTGGATCTCGCGCCCGGGGCTCGAGATCTTCGCCCGGACCCTCCTCGGCGAGTCGACCTTCAAGGTGACGCTGCCCTCGGAGACCACCGTCCGGGACTCGGAGGGGGCAGTCGTCGCGCTGTCGTGGGTGGACACGCAGTATACGATCAACCGCGTCCGGTCCCGCGGCATCGACTACTACCTGGTCCGGGACGCGGAGTTTTCGTCGGGGCAGAACTGCGCCCCTGACGCGGGCGGCAAGTACGTGAACCGCGAGTCGTGCGTGGTCACGCTCACGGGCGCGCGGGGCAGCAACCCGTGCTACGAGCTGTACCGCTCCATCGAGGTCGGCGTCGAGCCGCTGTCGCGCACCCCCGTGTGGACGGGCGCCAAAGCCTCGTGGCGCAACATGGTGTACGGCGCCCCCGACGCCGTCGAGCGCGACGCGACCGTGCAGTTCTACTGCCTCACGCCGACGACGCTGACGCCGTACGGTACCATGAACCAGTGGTTCACGGCCGGGTTCTCGATCCAGCCCCAGGAGTACGACATCACCATCGACTTCCTCCCTGGCTTCAAGGGGCGGCATTTCGGGGCGTACTACGACGAGGGGCGTCGCACGGTGGCCCTGCAGTTCTACGCCAACGCGACCGAGGTCACGCTGCGGCCGGACGGCTGGGCGCAGATCAACGAGTGGCTGCTGTGGAGCCGGTTTCTGGGCGGCGACGAGCTCGGGGGCACCACGCTGGACCCCGACCTGTACAAGTGGGCTTACGCGGGACAGAAGATGGCGCTCGTCTCTGACGAGCTGTCGTTCGTGCCGCTCGACGCGGATGACGTGTTTGTCCAATTCGACGAGCAGAACCGCAACATGTTTGGCATGTTCTCGACGGAGCTCGCGGAGGCGGTCTTCAACTACCACGACGTAGAGAAGCGGTTCCGTGGGCTGCAGTTCTTCCAGAAGGGCGAGCGGGTGACCCTCGCGACCCTCGAGAGCATGGTGGGCAACACTGTCGTTGGCTGGGCGCGGCAGCTGCTGCTGCCGGGCGCGCGCGGGAAGCTCTCGTCCCCGCAGATCGAAGTCGACGTGCGAGCCTCCGGCTTGAGCATATACATCGACCTCTACGACGAGGACACAGAGGCCTACATCCCGGATGGCAACATGACGGTTGCGTGCACACTGTCCTACCCCCACGAGGGCGTCCTGTTCTCCTCCACCCTGGAGATGGACTTCGTCAAGGCGGTCCTCCCCACGCGTCAGATGGTCTTCTTCGCGTACATCTCCCTTGTGGAGTTCCAGTCCCCGGGCAAGGCAGACGTCAGCCTCATGACGATGGAGCTCGTGACCGACTACTGGCCCTGCATGGAGGACGAGACCCCGCCCCTCCGCCACTCAGAGTGGGGCCTGGTGACGTTCAACAACGCCCCCTACGGCGTCAGCAGCTTCGACGCCGTCAGCGGCATCAACGGCATCGATGCGCGGGTGTACCTCGTCTGCGACCGGGACACGCGCAACATCGTCGACTGGTCCGCGGTCGCCATCATGCCTACGTGGACGACGGGCGTCGGTCTGCCGCTCATCCCGCTGGAGGACGTGTCGCTGTTTTACAGGCTGGAGACCAACACGCTGACAGCCGAAGCGGTGATCCCGAAGAACCCCTTGCCGCCCGCGGTGAACGGAACCGCGAGCGCCACGCAGTCGTCGACGGCTTCGAGGCGCAAGCTGGCGCTGAGCTCCGCCGTCGTGCAGCAGGCCGCGGCGACGGAGAGTTGGCTGGGCGCACAGGAGATGTTGCCTGCCGGGAGCAGCTCGCTCGCCGCGAGGCTCCGCACCGCGACGCAGCAGCGGCCGAGCCGCGCTGCGTCGGAGGAGGCGCGCATGCTGCGGCGAACGCTGAAGCAGGAGGCCGCAACTCCCGTGGTGCGGGAGTTCGTTCCCACGCTTCGCGCGACGCTCACGGTGCCCCTTCAGTTCGACCGGCAGCTCACGAACGAGACGCGTCTTCGCGTGGAGTTCACTGGCGACACGGACTTCCCGCAGTTCGTGCGGGACGTCGGCTTCTTCGCTGGCCAGCATTTCCAGCGCGCTGGCCTCCCCGGCGTGACGCCGCTGCGCCTGTCCGACACCAGGATCTCCGCGGGCTCCGTGATCAACCTGTATCCGCGTCGCCTGACGTTCGCGGGAGAGGCGCAGTATCTGCTGGACGACTACGGCAACCACGTCGCCTTTGAGTTCTCCTCTCGGCAGGCTGACGGCCACGAGTCGGTGTTCTGGTGGTACCAGGACAGCATGAAGGCAGCGGTTGGCAAGCTCTGTCCGACGCCGGGACCTTCGGGCTACGTGGTCGCCGACAAGTGCAAGAATGTGTTCTACCTGGAGGGCGTGGACCCGTGCTGGGAGCGCACCGTGCGCGGCCTGGCCGAGCCCCCGACCTGGACGGACGTCCCTGGCCTCCTGCGCCAGTCCCTGTTCGCCCTGCCGGACATGGCGACCACCAGCAGCGTCTCCTTCAACTGCTCCGGGCCCTCGGGCGACGCGCCGTTCGGGCTGCTGCTCAGCTTCCGCGTCGTGACCGACCTGGACTTCGCGGGCTCGACGGCCCGGCGGCAGGCTCAGGAGGGCGGAGCCGGAGGCGCGGGCGGCGGCGTCGACCTTTCGAGCATCCTGGCCTTCATCCCCGAGTCGGGCAACATCGGTGGGGCGTCGATCTACTTCGACGAGCTGCGCATGATGACCGTGTACGCCCTGCGGGTCCAAGGCGCGGCCCCTCAGCAGCAGACGAAGGAGGAGAGGCGCACCGAGGTGTTCGACACGGTCGACAGCCTGGTGGCTACCGCTATTGGGCTTGGGGCCCCGGTGCCCGAGGCGTTCGAGGAGTACGCGGAGGAGCCATCGGTGGCCGCCAGCGCCGCCGCGGCACGCGTTTACGCGAACGCAACGGACGAGAACAGGCAGTTCCTCGACGCCGCGCTCGGGGAAGGCGGGGAGGACCTCGCGACGGGGGTCGACGCCGCCATCGGCAACGCGGCGGACGAGATCCTCGGCGAGGATATTCAGAACGCGATCGACATCGCAAACACCGTCACGGACCCGTGCTTTGCGAAGGCTCTGGCGAGGAAGGTGATGCAGATGAAGATCGTCGTCATGCTGGAGGATTTGACCAACATCGAGGTGGCCGGGCTGGAGGTCTTCGACATCAACACGGTGGTCATCATGGTGGACGGGGCCACGAACACCCTCACCGGCATGATCGACGCCGTCGGCTTCGAGGGCAGTTTCGTACTGGAGCTCCCAGCCCTGAGTGAGGACGCGAGGGAGGCCCAGGCGGAGAGCGGACGCAGCGGCATCGGCCTCCGCGGCATGGAGCTGAAGCAGAAGAAGTCGCTGACGCTGCTGGACCTCCCGCTGATGTTCACCGGCCCGCACGTCGACGCGCTGCGGAGTGAGGCCCTGGGCGGCAACGCCTGGTACAATGACCTGGCCCAGGCGCTCGACTCGGTGGCGATCGCCAACCTCCACGTGACGCTCGACTTCTTCGACGAGGAGACGGGAGAGTACTTCGACGGGTACATGTGGGTCAGCGGCGCCGTGCGCGTGTCAGGCAACTCCTTCTACACGAAGATCGACCTTCAGTTCGTCAAGCCGTCGTGCGGCGGCTGGATCGTCGCGTACCTGCGCGATCCTGTCGAGCAGAATTGCCCGTCCACGCCGCGGCGGCTCACGGGGGCGGCCCGCGCGGCCGGCACCCTGGAGGAGGGTGCGCCACGCGCTGCCTTGCCGCAAGCAGCGACGTCCCGCTGGACGGCCCCTGGACACGCGACTTCGGCACAGCTCTCAGCAGCCAGGGCGCGTCGCGTCCTTGCGCAGCGTCGGCTCCAAGGGTCCGCGGGCTCTCCCGGAGCGGCGGCCGTCCATGGCCTGGGCATGACGGACGAGGAGAGCGAGCAGGTGGCCGCGGGCATGCACCCGCTCCTGAGCGAGGCACAAGCAATCGGCACCGCCGCAGAGCTTCCGGGAGGGTCCCTGTCGTACGAGTTCACGTACGTCACGGCGAGGGGCCGGAGGGTCACGTTCCAGAAGCACGTGGTGCTCGCGGACGATGCGGTCGTGTTGGACCAGTTCCCTGACGACAGTCTTGAGGTGGTACGGTGCGACGTGCGGCGCGCGAGCGACGGCGAGGGCGACGACGAGCGAGTAAACGAGCTGGCGTTTTCCCTTGCCACACCGGCCGCTGTCTCTGCGGCCCGCGAGTGGAAGGTCGGCACCATTCTCGTCTCCGAGTCCGGACACGGCTGTACGTACGACAACGGCATGCCCTTCTCCTTCGTCGAGGAGGTCGTGGCACTGACGTGGTCGGGCGACTTCTCGCTGACGGTCGCGACGCGCTCATTGGACGCCTCAAAGGCGATCCTGAACGAGGCCGTATTCGGAACCACCACCATCGACGAGCGCGTCGACTCGCGGGCATCGAGGGCGCGCGCACTCGGGTCGGACGGCCTGGATGCCCTGGCTTGCGACCCGCACGAGGCATTCGGGGAGAGCGACATGTCCGCCGACGCCCACGTCGCGTTCGAGCAGGCCGGCGTCGCGCGCGTCTTTTTGGTCTCGGTCGACATCGACAAGGAGGCGTTTGCGCGGAAGCGGCCGCCTGCGGCACAGTCGGACGCGGCCGTCGTCGAGGTGCACACGATGCACTCCGCGGAGTCTCGCTGGTCGGTTGCTGGCTGCGCCCGGCCCCAGGCCCGCGGCCACATCCACGCGTACCACCAGCTCCCCGTGGGGGACTTCGTAGACCCCTTCGATACGCTGTGGTTCGAGGTGGGCTACGACGTACCCGACTTCGGTTGGTTCGCGTTCCGCGCCGGCGTCGCGATCGTTTCCTTCGGCGACTTCGACGCGCAGGGCCGCGTCACGGCGACGGTGCGGAGCTCGGGCGACGATGTCCAGGTCGCCGAGGTGACGCTCTTTTGCCCGGCGTGCCAGAGGCTGTCCCGCGAAGGGCGCAGCGCGTCTGCGGGCCGCTTGCTGCAGCAGTCCGTGAGCGACGTCGCGTGGACGGAGACCGTCGACGTCGGCGGCGCGGGGCTGTCGGAGACCATTTACCTGCTCGGAAGCGACGAGGTGGGCGCGTACGTGGCGCTCGACGACCTCAACGTGGGCGTTCAGGGCGTCACTCTGAAGTACTACGCGGATCTTACGATGCTCGTCGTTGACGTCTCTGGCTCCCTGACCACCGGGGGCGGGTTTGCGTGGAAGGTGGACGGCGATGCGCTTGTGGGAGGCGACATCAAGGACTTCCTCCCGACAGGCGTGCCCGAAACGTTCCAGGTCGGCTATGACGTCGGCGCGGGCTTCGTGCTCCCTGGCTTCTTCGCCGGCGTCAAGGCCAGGCCGTGGGAGGGCGAGTGGGACGTCCGCTTGGGCGTGCAGATTGAGGGCGGGTACGGATACGACTTCGCGCTGCCGTTCTCGATCCAGGGAGGCTACAACATCGGAACGGGGACCACGATCTCTGACACGAGCGTCGGATCGCTCACGCCCACGCGCAGGGAGTACGAGTGGCAATTCTCCGCATCGCTGACGATCATGCCATCCCTCGCGCTGCGCCCGGAGCTGCGCGTCGGTCTCTGGTTCCTGAACGATGCGGGTGTTGCGTACGCCTCGTCGATCTTCCCCGCGGACATCGCGGCCTGGATCCAGGTCGACCCCGCCGGCGTGCAGTCCAACCCGACTATCGAGCCGGAGCCCGTGACCGGACCCGCCGCCGTCGTCGGCGAGTGTCGCGACGACGATGACCCGATGCCCAGCACCCGGCCCGCGCTCCAGGTTGACGTCATCTATTACTTCCAGACCCCCCAGCTCTACGCCTATGGCGAGCTGAACTTGGGCTCTCTGTTCAGTCCCTTGCAAGTCCGCATCCCAGCGAACGAAGACGAGTTCTACACGATTCCCGCGCTCCGAACCCGGACGATCGACGGCATCGACTTCCTCTTCGGGCCGGTGTACCCGCTGCGGTACTGCGCGCTCCCCGTCCCCGTGCCGGACGAGGACATCTTCGAGGGCGTCGAGGAGTGCCCCGCGGGCTACGCCTCGAACGTGGTCACCAAGGTCACGGAGCCGGCGGTCTGGTACGCGTACCTTTTCGACCCCTCGGTCACCTCCTTCTGCTCTTCCTTCCCGGGCATCTGCGCGGGGTCGTCGCAGACCTACAGGACCGTCCTCTCCGAGTATCCCACCTGCGTGCCGTGTCCGCGCGGCTGCAGCAAGTGCCGCTTCCTGCCGAACACGCGGGAGGTCGCGCGGGCCTGCGGGGAAGAGTTCTCGCTGGTCTGCGAGGAGTGCGAGACTGGGTACGGCCTCAAGCCCTACATCTACGCGCCGTTCCTGGACTCGTCGCTCGCCCGACGGGGCACCGATGCGCACTGTCCGGTGTCGGAGTGCGAGCCGTGCGCCAAGTCGACGCCGAATTGCAAGGAGTGCGTGTGGCGCTGTGGAAACGGGGACGCGTACGGTCGCGCCTGCGTCCTCCCGGACAAGCGCGCGTACATGCACTGTCTGAGCTGCGAGCGCGGCTCGACGCCCGTGTACGGCGACTACGAGGCAGTCGACAAGCGCTGGCTGGACTACACTGCTGAGGAGGTGTTCCAAGAGACCGACCCCGGGATCGACCGCCTCCGCCTGCAGTGCGCAACCACGCTGCAGCAGCCGCGCGGAGACGACGACACGCCCGACCCGGAGGCAGACGAGGACGTCGTGGGCGGCCTCCTGGGTCTGCGGGCCGCTGCAAACGCGACCACGAACACGACGTCTCCGGTCGAGGAGGACGAGGAGGACGACAGCAGCGTCGCGCTGTCTGCGGGCACGGGCGAGGTCAAGCCCAACCCGTACCTGTTTGACGAGGAGCTGGACGCCGGGGAGTGCGTCACGGAGACCGGCGCAGGCTTTGAGAACAACTGTACCGTGGGCAGCTTCGCTGACTCGGCGCCCGAAGACGAGGCGGCCGACGCGTGTCCCGGGGAGGGCTGCGAGCTCGACGAGCTGGGCGAGTGCGTGTGCGCGTCGTCGGATCTTGTCGACGGCATCGCAGACCCCTGCGATGTGGAGGAGGAGCCGAAGGAGGTCAGCCAGGCCTTCCGCCGCGCTCCGGACTACCCCCTCCAGATGCTGTTTGGCATATTCTGCGACTTCTCGCAGGGAGACGAGGTCTCCCCGGAGACCTGCGCGATCTTCGCGTTTGGTGGCGGTTCGCACCCGTGCGCCGAGTACAACGCGCCCGGGTCGCAGCTCGACGCCCCGCCGCCCATCGACGCCATCCTCGTCCTCACTCTCGCCGAGTGGGGCATCTCCACGCCGATCCAGTTCGAGGTCACCCTCAAGTTCCAGTGCTCGCGCCCTGACCCGAGCGACCCGGAGGACAAGATGGGCAAGGTGCTGTCGTACGAGGTCATCGCTCGCTACGAGACGGAGTGGGTTCTCGACATGAGCACGATCGGCTTCGAGCAGCTCGGCAAGGCCCTGTCGCCGTCCGAGCTTGGGTTCCACTACAACTCCGCCACCGCGGGTCTCAAGTTCGACATCACCTTCGGCGGGGCGTTCAAGCTGCGCACGGAGTTCGACAAGACCCGCGACGCCCGCTTCTCGTGGTACATGGAGCTCGTCCGCACCATCACCTTCAATGACGTTGCTGATTTCTTCGGCCTCGCCCCGACGGGGGAGACCGCGCACCCGGCGGTGCAGTTCCTCGAGGGTTTCCTCGACGTTGGGCTGTCGAAGGGATCGGTCTTCGTGTACGAGGTCGACCAGCGCCAGAACGTCCGCAAGTTCCTCTTCAACGGCGGCTTCGTGGCGGGGGGCAGAACGATCCGGTTCTCTTTCTCTCTGTACAAGCCGTTGCCCGGGAGCCGCCTCAGGAAGACAAGTGGAGTCGTGGGCATCAGCCTCGTCGACGTCTTCGCGATCCTGAAGGATCAGCCGGGCATGGGCTTCCTAAACACGCTGTTCAATTTCCTGGAGCTGCCCTCGGACGCGTCGGAGCCGTCGCAGATCGACTTCATTCTTCACTTCGGTGACGAGGGCAGGTTCGACAAGATCGACATCGGCAGCATCGTGGCTACGGGCCCTGGTTTGCACACGCTGGCCACGGGCAACGAGTTCCAGGAGGCGGCGGCGCGGAAGGCGCGTCGGAGGCTCTTCGGCAGCGCATCCGCGACCTCTCCGGTGCCTTCATTGGCAGGAGAGCGCAGCGTCCGGCCGAACGAGCGATCGACGGCGCTGAGGGCGGGGTCTCCTTCCTTTGGGGGGGACAACGTGCCGGCGCCGCCACGGCAGCAGTACCAGCGCTACAACACGATTCGCGCGGGCGTCTGGATAGACCCCGACTGGGTCAGGGAGACGGCCGTTGGCAAGATCCTGGACTTGGTCGGAGACCTCCTGAGCGCCGTCTTTGGGGACAACGTAGACGTCGAGATCGCCCTCGAGGGGGTGGAAATCATCGCGGTCCGGATCTTCTCCATCCAGGATCTGGAGATTGACCCCGGCCGGACCTGGATGAAGAACATCGAAGCCAAGATCGCGTTCACCATCATTCCCTTCAATCCCGTGCCTGAGCTCTCGTTCTCGATGGAGTTCTGGTTCCGCGTGGACGCCGTCGAGGGCCCCACGGACCTGATGTTCGAAACAACGTTCACGTACCAGCCGTTGACGAACGCCATTTCCGCCGAGCTCAACCTCGAGTCCGAACAGGGCGTGAGGATGACGCGGTCGCTGACCATGTATCAGATCTACGCGTCCGTTGGGCTGCAGATCCCTTCACTGCTGCCGCTCCAGATCGGACTTGCGGTGGATGGCTCCTACGGTGCAATGCGACTCCAGGGCGGCATTTTGGTCGATTTTACCAACCCAGTCAAGGTCGAGTTCGGCTTCAGCGTCCGCGTGTTTGGGCTGTACGGCCGTCAGGTCGGCATCTCGACCGTCGTCGACGCGTTCCTGGCGGATTTCTCGTGGATTTTCTTCCCGGACCGGCCGTCCCTGCAGCTGCCGGAGCTCGCGCGCACTGGCCTGGACCTCAAGGGGTCCGTTGGGAGCGTACAGCTGCGCTTCAACCCGCTCCCGATCGCCTTTACGCTGGGCAGCCTCGAGATCAAGCAGGGATACCAGGTCGAGATCGTGAACTACAAGTTCTTGATGTTCACCGTCCTGCGGGCCAACTTCGAGTGGACCGTCATCCCGCTCCCGCAGATCGACGCGGAGCTCGTCGTGGCTCCGACCTCGTTCTACAACATCTTGGACATGTACAGGTCCAGCACGCAGCGCAACGATGGCCCTTACTGCCGCTTCCACTCGGGCATCCCGCTCCCCTTCCGCAGGCGCGGCCAGGAGGACGCCTCTCCCGACGAGCTCCTCCAGCGGGCGCACGAGCACCCGCAGACCAAGGAGGACGGGCTGCTGCACGCCGCCTACATGCGAGACAAGCTGGAGCGCAAGCACCAGCTGGGGCGCTACAGCAACATGGACACCGCCGCGGCTGTGCGCAGGGGGCTGCAGCAGCGCCGCGCCCGCTCCCAGGTCGCGAACGTAGAGGATGTGGCACCGACGCGCCGCAAGACCCTCCGCGTCCCGGATCCAGAGGAGGTGTTCGTGATTGACTGCGAGGGCTACCTGAACTTCATGGGGATCGAATTCGAGTTCGATGTGTACATCACCCCCGTGTTCTACTCGGTCGAGGCCAGCGGAACCATCTTCGGCCGTGCGCGGATCGAAATGCTCAAGGAACTCGATATGCGGCGCATCACCCAGGGCATCGTGTCCCTCCGCCTGCGGTACGCGCTCAACTCCGGCAGCAACAACGGCGTCCTGACGGAGATCTACCTCGGGTTCCGCGACGTGTTCGTCGACAAGCTGCGGTCCATCATCGACTCCCTCGTCGCCGAGGCGAAGGACATCGTGGAGACTGCCATCCGCATTGCACGCGCTGGGTTTGAGGCGGCGAAGCGGGAGCTGGCGAAAGCCGAGGACACGATCCGGAGAGGATTCGCGTACCTCGATCCTCCCATCAACAGCGCAGCGCGATCCAGGGACCACCACCGCAGGAAGGCGGACAGCAAGCGGTGCAAGTGGACTCGCCCTTGGGAGTGCGTCGCCAAGGCCTACCACCGGGGCATGCAGGGCTTCTACTCGGGACTCTACAATATCGCCCGAGGCGTCAAGACTGCCGCCGAACAGCTTGCGCTGTCCGTCCTAGAAGCGGCAAAGTGGGCACTGTCGCAGGCCGAGGAGCTGGTGATGCTGGTCCTCGAAGGCACGGCGCTCTTCCTCGAGGCGATCACGAGCATCTTCGACACCGTCATCTCAGGGTTCCTCAGCGCGTTCGAGAACGTGGTCGAGTTCATCGAAATGATCATGAACGTGCGAAAGATCGCAGTCGACATGGAGATCACCACGGGAGGCACGTCCTCGATGCTCCTTGACCTCGAGGTGAACTTCTTTTCGCTTGGCTGGGTCGATATCACGCTCCACTGCACGTTCAACCTGGTGCAAATCCTGGGGGAGATGATCTCCGCGGCCACGAAGTACATCTGGGAGTGGCTCCGGTCAATACTGCCCAGCCCGGCGGATTTCTGGCCCTTCCGCAGGCGCAGCTTGCTGTCGCTCGCGACCGACAGCAACTTCGTCCTTCCTCTCCTGCCGGGCGCCGGGAACATCACTGTCCCCACGTCCTCGTGGCGCGTGCCGGCCCTGGAGGCCGTGGCAGCCGTGGCGACCGCCTACCAGCGCCTGGACCACATCCACGAGGCCATCCGCCGCGTCCACGAGACCGAAGAGGAACGGGTGCATGGAGATGCCCGTCGGGCTGCGCGCCGTCGGGCCCGTGAGCAGCCATCGGAGGTAGCATCCCTTGCCAACGAGGTTTTGGCACCGCATTCCGCGGTCAGACGGGCCCTGCAGGAGAACGGAACTGCCTCGACGTTCTTCGAGTACGCGGCCTTGTTCAATCTCACCACCACGGACGAGCTGCTCCCTCCGGAAGAGCAGGCAGAGGTCGACGCGTTCATCAGGAGCTATGATCCGGCCGCCGTCCAGGCAGCGGGCCTCACCGCCATCGACGGCGGCCCCCCCGCGCCGATCGACCAGATGCAGGGACGCCTGCGCAAGTATGCGGAATCAGCCGTCGCAGTCGACGCGTTCTTTGAGGACTCGCTAGTGATCCTGGCCAACGACAGCACCGCGTACGTGCCCAAGGGGCTCCTGACGGCCGACGTGCCCTTCCAAGCGCGTCAGCTACAGGACGCCGACGTCGAGGAGAAGGCAAACCAAACGGTGTACGTGGCGCTCGTTCCAGCGCCGGGCGAAGGCGCCGGCGCCTCGCGTTCCGTGTGCTCGCCGGGCGCTCTGTGGGCGCGAACGGGTCTCGAGGCGCGCATGGCCGAAGCCCCCCGCCCCGCACGGGTGTACGCGCCCACGGGCAGGGTGTACGCCGCCAACGAGCCGTGGTGGACGGTAGCCGTGCAGCAGTCGCTGGTGACCGGGATCGACACGTGGCCGCTGCCCGACGGCGCTGTCACATCGGGTTGCCGGATCGCCAAGGACGACCTTCTGTCGGAATTTGCGGCGTTTGCCCGCTACCAGCTCGGCACCGACATGGTGAAGCAAGACCTCTTCTCTGCTTGGTCGTTCGAGGTGAACGAGCCCCAGCCCGCGGCCCTGTCCGACGCGATCCGCGACCCGTGCGGCGTGCGGATCGAAGTCACGCGCACCGAGGGCCACGACGTCGCCCCCACGGCTGGCGGCGACATCGTCGTGGGGCCCGTCCCGCAGGCGACGGTGAACGCCAACGGCACCCTCGAGGAGCCGGGCGAACTCACTGAGACGCTCTCCTGCTCCGACGACGCGTTCAGCGCGTACCGCGCGCTGCTCGACCGGCCGGCGCTCCGGCACCCGGGCTTCCCTGGCGGAGCTCTGTGGCGGGCGCCTGGCGAGGAGGGGGGCAAGGGGTCACTTGGGGATCCGGCGTACATGCGCCTGCAGCTGTCGTCGCTCCCTGAGCGGATCGTGACGGGTGACGGCACGGAGGGCACGGTGGAGTCGCTGGAGCTGCAGCAGGTGGAGGCGCTGCTTTCGACTGGCGGGGTCGGGGCGGCGTTCGTCGACGCACTGGCGGCCGCGGACGTGGTGTTCGACGACGGCCGGGGCGGCAGCCTGCGCGCCGTGCACGGTGGCCTTCCAGTGCTGACCATCGACTTAACCGCGGGGCGCGCAGAGTCGCTGCCGACGCGCGTCGTGAGCATCGAGTTTGGTGCGGCGGGCGGTGGGACCAACACCACCGCCCTGGTGGCGGCCCTCGAGGCCAGCGTGCACGCGAGCGTCACTGCTGCTCTGTCCGGCGTCTCGGGCGAGCACCCGACGAACAGCGTCTTCACCTATGCCGAGGAGACGACCCCCACCAACACCACGACTGCTCTGGGCCAACGGAGCTTGCTAGCCGCAGACCTGTCGCAGCCCGAGTCCTGGCCGCTCAACGCGAGACGTAATCAACAGGCGGGCCCCATCGTCCGCGTTTCGGTCCACCTCGGCGGGCGCAACGCGAGCAGCATGGCGCTGGCCGCGCACACCCACCTGTCGAGCACCGCTACGCAGGCGTCTGTCGCGACAGGGGCGGCTGCACTGCATGCGGGCGGCGCGTCGTTCACCGTGTTGTCGAGCCCCGCGATCACGACGCTGGGCGGCACCGTCGTGTCCTCCACGACCGGAGTCCCGGCCACGACGCCTGCGCCCACGCCAGCTCCGGTGGCACCCACCAGTGCACCAGCGGCGCCCACCGCGGCCCCGACGACGGTGGCGCCGGATACGACCCCCGTTGTGCCCACCGCGGCGCCGACGACGGTGGCGGCGGATACGCCCGCGCCTGCCGCGCCTCCGGGGGCCTCGGCGACGTCGGCGCCCGCGGAGACGACGGAAGCTCCCCTCGCCCCGCTCGAGCTCCAGTTCACCCTCCGTCTCCTCGGTATCGCCGAGTGCGACGCCAACGTGCAGGCCCAGGTCGGCTTCGCCGTGCGGACGGTGCTGGGCCGGCGTGCGCAGCCCGCCCTGTCTGTCTGGCCCGGCGGGTGCTCCGGCACGCCCGCGGACGCGCTCCGCGAGGTCGACGCTTCCGTGTCCTTCACGGTGCAGCTCCAGTTCGCGCCCTCCGTGAACCTCGACGTCGTCGCGCAGGCGCTGGCGTCGCAGGAGTTCGTGTCGCAGCTCGTTGGTGAGCTCCGCGGGAAGGAGATCGCGGTCGCGTCGGCAACCCTGGAGGTCGCGGGGCGCTTTGCAAGTGCGGGGGAGCCCAGCGGCGAGACCGGGGTCGATGGCGACGGCGGCGCCGGCGGCAGATCCGCGCTTTCCCTTGCTGGGCCCATTGTTGGGGTGTCAGCAGCGGCGGTCGCTGTCGTCGCCGTGGTGGCGTTCTTCGTGCTGCTGAAGGTCCGCAGCAACGTGGCTGCGGCGCGCAGCGCCGTGGTGCCCACCCCGCCCGCGTCCGATTACGGCACGGCTTCTTCCAGCGCACGTGTGTTGTCTGTGGGGCGCGCGAGGACGCCGAGCGGCCCCCGCGAGTCTGGCGCTCTTGCGACCGAACAGAGGACCACTGGCAGTGTCAGCCGCATGTCCTTGAACCTCTGGAACTCGTGGAACCTCACCTAGGTGCGGATTATTCTTCTCTACTCAACTTTGGTTAGTTGCAGAATTCCCCAGAAACGTTCTGTGACACACGTCGAACGACTGTCAGCATCTCCTCCCGTGCGTGTCGCGGGCCCGCTCGTTTGCGAGACCCGTCTTCGCAGTAGGTGTCCGGCGCTGAGCCGGAAGGAACCGCCTCGCGCGGCCCTTTGCATCATTGTGCGGCCCTGCGTCAATCCCGTGCTCCGCCGCGGCCTTTCGCTTCGTCCCGTCCGCGCCCGACGCCGCACCAGCGCCCGAACGCTCCGCGGCACGGCGACGGAGGTGGTCGAACCGGACGTCGGTGGAGTCGCTGATTTCTACCACGCATTTCTACCACTGCAGGATGTGAATCCCCCGAGCCGCATGACTGTCACTACTCGCCTTTGATTCGGGGTGATGCGCCTGCGCTCGAGACCGTCGCGCTGTGCCGCTGCGACGTCGTCGATGCACGGGACTGCGTGCTGCGTCTGCCGACAGCGGCGGCGGTGAGGGAGTTCGGGTGCGTGCTGCGAGGCGTCTGGATGTACAAGTGCGCGCAGCACTGGGCGCACAGCGGGCGGACCGGGCGCCAGAAGTCGTCGGGGGAACGTCAGCTCACAGAACCCGTTGCCACGTCCCCGGTCGAATGCGTGTATTCGATGGGTCAAGTGCTGACCACGCAAGCGTGCCTCCCGGCTGAGCGCTCGACATCGAGGAGCACGGCAGGTGAGACAAGCGCAGCAGAGGTTGTGAGGTGAACGAGTTGTGCCGCGAGCGACGCCGGACAAGCGGAGCGTGTCGGCTCCAGCCGTGCACCTCACGCCGGGCTCGCATGTGATCCGGGACGGCCGGCTGATGCGACTGAATGTCGCGCTTCCTCGTTTGATATCCTGAATGGCATGCCTGTCTGTCGACGCCTTGGTGTGTGTCACTGCGGGGCTGGGCGGCGGAAGTCCGAGTCCGGCCCGCCGGGGGGGGCCGCCGTCACGGTTCCGGAGCCCCTCTGCGTCCCCCCGCCACCACCAGCGGGCTGTTTCTGGCCGCCTACCGCTGGCGGCAACGGTCCCGCTCGCTCGGGCAGCTCCACGCCCTCCGCGTTGTCTCCCGCCGTCGCCGGCGTCTCAGAAACAGCTGGCGGGTCCGGAGGGTTGTTGAGCGGATTCACCGGGTCTGCACGACGTGGGGGAGGTCGCGTCGCATTCAAGGACTCATTTCAAGAGTAATATTCATAATTCAAGGTTGAAAACGCCGACTCCGCGGTGCAGCACCGCGCCGCCGGCGCGCCACGCAGCCCTCGAGCACCGAGGCTGCGCGCTTCACCCATGTACTGGTCCGTGCGCACCTGACGCGGGCGGAAGCACGCCAATCATGCGCAGGCTCTCCGTCCACAGCGCCGAGGCGAGCTGCGGGTCGTTCGCGGCGCGCGAGCACTTCCCGAGGTTGCAGTCGTTCAGATACGCCCCGGGCAGCTCCTCCACGGCCGGGTGCGCCGCCGCGAACGCCACAGTCGCCGCCGCCTGCGACGGCGTCTTCATCAGCCGCGCACGCGCCCCTAGATCCGCCATGTACGCCATCATGCGCGTCCCGACGGAGCCAGCCCCGAACCCCATGAACCTGCACGGCACCCCGGATCTCCGCGCTTCAAACCCACAGGCGGCACGGCGCGGTGGACGGGTCCTCGAGCCGCGTCAGACGTGGCCGGGGGGAGGGGGGGAGGGGTTGTTCACCTTTGGATGCCCGTGCGGGCGATGCCGGGGTTCGCGGAGAGCACGAGGACGTCCCGCGCGCCCTGGTCGTGCAGCACCTTGGTCAGTGCGCGCGCGTGCAAGATCATCGCCAGCTTTGACTGTCCGAAACTGAACCAAGAACTGTACGCCAAGGCCGCGGCGTCCCCGGCGAGCTGATCGAACCGGATGCCGGAGGTGCGCCCGACCTGGTACGAGGCGTAGTGGTTGCTGCACGTGACGTTGACGACGCGGACTAGCGACGAGGGGCCCGCTGGCGAGGAGGCCGAGCTGGGCTCCGCGGCGAGCGCGGCGGCCGACGCGCGCATGTGGGGGAGGAGGAGGTGCGTGAGGAGGAAGTGCGAGAGGTAGTTGACCTGCCACTGTTCTTCGAAGCCGTCCGGAGTCAAGGAAAAGGGACTGGCCATCACCGCTGCGTTGTTGATGAGAATGTGGAGGTGGAGGCCCGTCGCGAAGAACCGGTCGACGAGCTGCCGCACGGACGCGAAGGACGACATGTCGCACCCGAGCGGCGTGACCTGCGGTGCAGGCAGCGCGGAGGTGGTTGCTCAGTGCCGCGTGGGGCACGAATGCGGCCTGGGGAAGGCGCGCTCGGGGCGTTTCGGCCATGGACGCAGTAGTTCACAAGTGTAGGCCTCAGGTCAAATCGCGGCGAGGTCTGCAGGGCGCAGCTTTGCGCCGCGCGAGCGGCATAGAGCAGCCCCAGGACGCGGCACCGCGCGCACGTCCGCGGAATCAACCCGCGCGTTCCTCCGCCCGCCGGCTGCGTTGCGTGGACGCGTGCGAGGAACGGCGTCCGAGCGCCGGCAGGCACCCCGCACCAGCGCGGACGGACGCGCGATCTGAGGTGGCTTGCACAAGGGGGGGGCGCGGGGCGTGCCTTGGCGTCAGGGACGAGCACTCTGATCCGCTTCGCGGAGGTCTCGGCCTTTTCGAGCGTGCGGGACACCGCGACGATGTGGCAGCCCCTGCGCGCCAAGCCCCGCGCCACTTCCGAGCCTATCCCGCCGCAGCACCCCGTCACGAGCGCCACGCGACCCGCGAGGTCGACGCCCTCGAGGACCTCGTCGACGACCGTGCTCGATCCGAACCCCGAGGACCCGGGCGTGCCCGTCAGGTAGGACCACAAGGTCGTCTGTTCACTGTTGAAGTCCAAACGACCGGTCATGGGCGGCGCCGGGGCCGAGGGGGCCTCTGAGAGCCCGTCGTCGTTGGATGGGGGGTTCGCTGGGGCGGAGGGGCCCGCGGTGTCGCCGGACCCCGCCTTGGGCGGCGCGGACGCCATCTAAGATACGTTGCGCCTGTTCGTTTCGCCGCAATGCGGGGTTTCCCGGGGACTACTGGCCCGGAATCTGCGTCACCTTGAAAGCTGTCCCCGACAGTGAGGAGGCACGGGCGAATTCCCGCGCGTTGACCGCCGCGAGCCGCGGCACGGAGACCGTCTGACCAGGTGTTTGGGCCAAGGCACCCCCGCTCTCCGCGCGGCTGGTTGCACGTGAGGGGGGCCCGCGGCGGCTCCGTGCACTCCCACGTGGACTCGTAGGGACAGGCCGACGCGAACGCCGCGCTGGGCGCATCCAGGGCTTCCACATTCGAGGGGCGTGCTAGCAGGCCCGGGGAGTGGCAGGTGGTGCGATGCCTGCGGCGTCGCTGGGCCCGCCGGCCCTCGGGCGCATTCTGCGGACCAGTGAGAGGCCCGTGCTGCGGAGAGGTGTCCAGAGAGCGTGTCCCCTGAGAGGACGGCGACTGCGAGCTGGTGAGCCTTGGGTCGCTCGAGCGCGGCAATTGCGGGCGCGTCGTCGCAGGCTGCCGCGGCCAGCGCGGCCTGAATTCTGTGGCTGCTTCGACGTACCGTTGTCTGATCTTGTTCGCCCCGTTTCGAGCAACGCAGTCGCCGGCCCAGCGTCCGACCACGATCGAGACAGCGACGTCGCGCGGGAAGCGAGCAAGTCGATCGACGAGTTCTCCAAGGACCCAGGTGCGAAGTCCTTCGTCTCGACCAACGCGCGGAACCGTCTCGCGACCCCGCCCCCCGCGCGGCGCAACCGGCCTGGTAGCCCCTAGCACTCCCTGCGTTCCTGCGCCTTCCCTCCCGTGGAGCTCGGCCGTCCCTTTCCAGTACCTCCATCGTGCGCTCACGCGTGCCGTACGCGGCAATGCCCGCGGCGAGGCGCGGGACAGCGCGCAGCTCCCTGATACAAGTGTGCAGGGTCAGCACGGCCTGCGGGCCCGCGTCCGACCCCTGCGACCCCCGTTCACAGCGCCACTTGCTGTGCCATCGGGGTTCCTCCCCTGTGCACCAGCGGACGAGCCCTGCCCGCGCAACTGCGCGCAGCGTTGCGCGGCTCTTGACTGCGTGCGTCGGCAAGCTTCGTTTCCGCTCCGCTGGAACTGTCCCCGCACGCGCTTGCCCCACCTGCAGACGAGCTCATCGCCGACGCGGTGGAGCTCCTCCACTCCGACGACCCGGAAGAGGCCTTCCAGGGCGCGACGGACGCGCACGACATCATCAGCACGGCCGTGAACGCGCGCGCGAAGTTCGTGCGCCGCATCCAGTCCATCGTGGTCTCCGCGGAGTGCATCCCGCGCCTCCTCGAGCTCGCGCGCACCAGCTCGCACCCAGTCTTCTTCGAGTGTCTGCAAATCCTGAGCTATCGCAACTCGTCGACGTGCGAGGAGCTCGTGAAGCAGGGCGCGCTCGAGGCCGCGAAGGACGTCCTCTCGGACCTCGACGGCGGCGACCCGCGCGTCATCAACGCCTGCGTCTTCATGCTGTCGGGGATTGTGGCCTTCAACCCCGAGGTGCAAGATGCAGTCGTGGAGTCCGGCGTCGTCGCGCGGCTCGCGCTGATTCTCAACTCCAAGGACGAGAAGTTCGTGAAAGAGCTGGGCGCCCGCGAGGGCACCATCCACCGCCGCGCCGCGACCGTGATCCGCAACCTCGCGCACCGCGAGCGCTTCCATGCGCCGCTGAAGCAGGCAGGCGCCGTGGAGGGCATGTCGAAGCTGCTCAAAGAGGACCCGGACCCGGCGTCGCGCATCAACGCCGCCGTGGCGCTCGCGTGCCTCGTCGGCAAGGAGGAGGAGGACGTCACCATGGCCCTGTCGTTGGAACAGGTGAGGCCCCGCGGGGAGTCCCACGGCGCGGCCAGCTCGCCGTGGCGGCCACGTGTACCTGCTCCATGTCCGGGCTATCTATCCGGCGGTCCGGAGGGGCTGACTCCGCGTTCCGTCGCACACAGCGGAGGGAGTTGAGAGACGTAGCGCGGTGGGAGCGAAACTCTGCGGTCGCTGGTGCCGCGTGCAGCCGCAGGTGCTCGTGGCGCAGATGCTGGACGTGCTGTCCGCGGCCGCCGAGGGGCGCATGAAGTACGGCTCGTTCTGGACCGTCTGGAAGCTCGCGATGGGCCTGGCCTCGCTGTGTGTGCCGGACAAGAACAAGACCCTGATCAAGGACGCCGGCGGCGTGGAGGTCCTGGCGAACGTGCTCTTCGGGCGCCACCACGACAACAACACCACGCAGCGCTGGACGGTCACGGCGCTGTGGAACCTCGCCTTCGACGAGCAGTGCCGGAAGGACATCATCGCCACGCCGGGGCTCGTCGACGCTCTCCGCGAGCTCGTGAAGACCTCGGAGTCGTCGCGGACGATCGAGGCCGCGAAGGGCTGCCTCTGGACGCTCGGGATCGAGGAGGACGTGCAGGCCCTGCACGAGGCCGGGCGGTTCACGGGCGGCGACGCGGCGACGGGACGGCACATCATGCTGTCGTACGAGTGGGGGTCGCAGCAGAAGGTGCTGCTGATCAAGAACGAGCTCGAGAAGGCGGGGTACAAGTGCTGGATGGACGTGGACCAGATGAGCGGGTCCACGCTCGAGGCGATGGCGCACGCGGTGGAGAACAGCGAGGTGGTGCTGGTGTGCGTGAGCAAGCGGTACAAGGAGAGCCAGGCGTGCCGGACGGAGGCGGAGTACGCCTTCCAGCAGAAGAAGCGCATCATTCCGCTGCTGATGGACCCGTCGTACCGCCCGTCGGGCTGGCTCGGCGCGCTGCTTGGGACGAAGCTCTACTTCAACTTTGGCGGGAAGGGCAAGGAGGTGCAGCAGCGGGCGGTGGGGCTGATCAAGGAGATCGGCGACGTGGCGCGCGAGAAGGACGTCGAGGTGTTCCAGAGCGCGCGCGCTGCGAACAAGTACAACGTCGACCGCGCGGAGCAGTGGACGGACGCCGAGGTGTCGGAGTGGCTGACGCGGAACGAGCTCGGGCAGTACGAAGAGGCGTTCCGCGGCGCGCACATGAACGGCAAGGCCGTGGCGGGGCTGCAGCGCGTCGGGCAGCGCGACGTGCGTCTCCTGATGGAGATGCTGCAGTCCGACTTCGGCGTGCAGAGCGTCGGGCACCGCCTCCGGTTCCTCGAGGAACTCGACACGCTTTTTGAGTAGTGGCATTTCACAGCAAGCATCTTCCGCGACCAGACGAGCACATTTCGACTTCTTTCCAACCAACCCCGTCCCTCCTGAGCTCACGCGACTTTCTCCCCGCCTCCCCCTCCTCCTCCTCCGTCGCCCCTCATGCGCCGGAGGCCCCCCCTGCGCGACGCCGAGCCGCGAGGACTCATGTTTGTTGCCCACGCAAGGGCCGCAGACGGAAAGCCGACCTCTCGCGACGTGGGCGCGCACCGAGCTCCACCCGACCTGCAACGCCCCGCAGCCCACGCACCGGGCGTCTGACGGCGCCGGCGAAGGCGGGCGAGCGCCGCAGGCTCTTGGCCAGGCTCGATTTGCACTGTACCTGCGGGGCGTCCAGGACGCTCGCCGCGCGTCGAACTCCTGCGCCTCGACACGCGCATCACTTAGCATCGTGCGGGTGCTTCCTTCCGCTGTGCACGGAGCACGCTTTTCGAACTAGGACACCCGCGCACACAAGTCCACCTGCAAGTACAGTTTTGACATCTCCTACGAGGGAGACACCGTTCCACCCCCCACCGTCCGCAGTCCCAGCCAACGCTATCTTCGCGCACGCCCCCCGAACCCCCCCCTCCCTGCCCGATAGTTTCGCGACAGCCGTCGCCGAGGCCTTGCAACGAGCGACATGCCGAAACCTGTTCAACCACGCCTTCGCGCCGTGGAAGCTGTGAGTCGATCTCCAAGGGCCGCTCCTCCTCCTGCCCGCCACGCAGGCCAACAGAACCGTCGCTCTGCGGAGCTGCACTGCGCATCAAAGGCCCCACTGCTGCACATACACCGAGGCACGCACCCCTCGCCAGCTGTCGTCCGACGCGCACCCAGACCGAGACCCCGCCCTTCCCCGCCACCCTGCCCGCACAAGTCGCCCTCCTGCCTCCTCCCACGTGTCCGCCCACTCCACCGCAATCGTTGCCGCACATCCTGCGCATGCACCAGAGCGGGCTCCGATGCCACATACGTCGTCCTGAACGTCCGTCACACGCCGCCCGCGTCAGTCCAGCCGCAGCGGCATCACTTCGCGCGTCGCCGCCTGCCCCTTGCGCATCACTACGATCTCCACCGCATCGCCCGTGTAAATGTCGCGCTCCGTAGCGGCCGCGAACGCGTCCTTCACGAGGTCCAGCGCGTCCTCCAGCGGCATCGTAGTAACCTGCGTCCACGCAGAGCGCGCGCGGGCGTTCGGCCAGGCGTGCGGGCCGCGGCGAGCGTTGTGTGTGGGTGTGTCGTGTTGACGTGTGTGCGTTCCGGGGGGGTGTGTGGGCGGACCGAGGGTTTCGGCGGGAGGACGAGAGGGCTCGCGGCTTTGAGCTGGTTGTCGAGGACGGGCTGGATGAGGTCCTTGCCGGAGCCCTGGCAGCCGTAGCCAGTGCGCTCGTACGACCCGATGGCGTCGTACGTGAACACGGCGCCCTGGCCGTTCTCGTCGAGCCCGGCGAGGAGATTGAAGGTGTAGTAGGGGAAGAAGCGCCTGCGGGCGACGCAACGCCGCGGGACGACGCGTTGGGAGCGGCGGAACAGGGCGCGGGGGGAAGCAGCGGTCGGTTCCGAGGCCTGACGTGGCGAACGCGGAAGACTGAGAACGCGAGCACCGAGATCGAAGCACCGCTGAGGCGCACGCCTTAAAAAAAAAACGATTCACCGCCGTGGGACGGCGGGGCGCCCGGGCTGGGCATGCAACAGCAAGCGTCGCGGTGCTCTCCGCCTGGTGCAGCGCTGCGCCGGCCAGCGCACGCAACGGCTCCTAAGAAGCGGGATCTACCTGTAATAGAGGGTGTTCGACAGGAGCTGCGCGGCCGCCGTCACGCTCATTGCTTTCTTGTGGTCGTGCATGAACATCACGTTGCGTGCCTGCGGCCCGGAGCGCGAGATCGAGCCTCCGTGTGAGGTGCCAGCACAGGTCAGCACACGGAACGGGTCAGGAGCGCTGCGTTGCAGCGGCCCACGGCGCGCACGGAGGCCGGTTTGCCTCTTGCAGCGACTTCAGGCGACGCCGGCCGCTGCGGGCAACCCTCAGCCCAGCGCGCAGGCGGAGAGCAGGCAGACTGATCTGGAGATGCGGCGGCGGCGAAGCGCCCGCGCATGTACGCAAGCGCGGCCTCTGCAACGGCTCCCTTCGTGCCGCAGCCACTCCCGCGTACGCCCCCGTCCACGGGGCGCCGCGGGCGGCGACTGCGCGGGGCCGTACGTGCAGCAGCTTCTGCAGGGTGTCCGCGTCGGCCTGCATGCCCGCAGAGGCGATCGCGACGTTGTCGGAGAGCTGCTTGACCATGGTGCGCTCCCGCGTGAGGATGCTGAAGCCGGTCGACATCCGCGTGCTCGCCGCCACGATGCAGAAGTCCTCCCCGGCCACCGCGAGCACCGTCCCGCCATTGTCGTCGTAGGGCGACCAGCGGGCCATGGCCGCGCCGCGCCCGCGCGCTAGAGCGAGCTAGAGCGGCAGTTCGGGGCTGCGCGTCGCGGTGAGGCGGTCGAAGTGCGAGAATGCGCGCGTCCACGCGTTCGGGCGGTGCGCGAAGTGGCGCGGGGCGGCGGGGGAGCGCGGTGATCGCGGCGGGGGCCGGGACGGGTGGAACATGGGGTTGTGTTGGGGCCCTCGCGCGGCCGCCGGTGGCGGGGGACAATGCGGCGCGGCTGCGCGGGCGGCGGGAGGCAATACGGCGTTTTGATTGCGGGTCGAGAAGTAGGCGTCGGTGCGCCGAGAGCGCACGTAGACGGTCATCGAAAGATCGTAGGTCGAAGCGCCCTGCCGGGACCGGCGATGTGGCAGCGGTAGGGGGCTTCTGTGCCCGCGAGTGGGTCGACTTGTATTGAGAGCGATCGACGATAGGCGAGAATGAGCTCCGCGAGCCCGGAAATCGGGAGCTTGGAGGCCGTTTTGGGTTTCCTGTCCCAAAATGATTTCAAGGCCGCCGAGCAGGCTCTCATGGCCGAGCTGGAGCTGCGCTTCGGAGACCTCAAGATGTCCACCATGGACCGCAGCGGCGATGAGGGCGACAACGCGTCCAGGGACGCCTCCGCCTCTGACGAATGGTGAGTGAGCTGGCCCCCAGCACGCACGGCCCCCTCGACGAGCCCGCAGCGCAAAACGCGGCCGCACCCGCGCGCCCGCCCCCAGACATGCCTGCGCCGCGTCCCGGGCCGCCTCACGCGAGCCGGCGAGGCCCCACCGGCCGCTTCTCGCCCCCGGAAGCCCTCCAGCTCCGCCAGCACGAATGCCCGCAGCACGCGTCGTGTGTTGAAATGCACGCCCGCGCATCGGGCTCTCCGCCCAGTCCCCTCCCTGCACGTGCCCCCAGGCGCGGTCTAGATCCGTTCCTTGACGACAGCGCTGCAGACGACGCGGTGCAGTTGCTGCGAACGACACTGCCCGCGTTCCGCGCCCCAGGCTCCACGCGGCGGTCCCGCGCGGCGCCGGCGCGCCCCTCCGCCTCGAACGCGCCCGGAAGCGCGCGACGGCCTTGGCAGGGGCGCGTCGACGCAGCCGCTGCGGCTCCGTGCGCCCCTTGCAGTGCCGCCCACGATGCACCGAACCAGCGCACTTCTGCGGGATCCGGGGTCTTGCAGGGGACGTGGCGGGGAGCAGACGGATCGGGACGAGGAGGACGAGCAGGACGACGGCGAGGCGGACGAGCAGGACGAGGACAACGAGGAGGAGGACTCGGCTGAAGATCCTGGCACGCGCGGAAGCAGCAAGGCCGTCTCCAGCAACGACGGCGGCGTGAACCTCATCTCGTCCTCGAGCGGCGACACCTCGGAGGGCGACAGCGACGACGTGCGCCCCCGCGCGCCCCCGCGAGCCCCCGTTTCTAGCAGCGGCCCCGAAGCGGCTACACACGCGCCCCCCGGCCGCCCGCGCTGCCCTCGCGCCCCTCGAACTCCCCACCAGCGGCCCTCGTCTACAGAACCGGCCGCCCGAGCCGGAAACGGCTTCGGTCGCGCCGCTGCCAGCCCGCACCCGCCGCTGCCCCACTCCCTCCTGCTCCCTCCGGTGCGCTGCGCAGGATAGCGGGTTCCTCCCGGCCTCCGAGCACGCGCCGGCGATCAAGACGGACCTCCGCGGGCTCCCGAAGCGCTCGGACCGGCACCGCGCGCACCGGTGGCCCGACCGCCGTCGCTCGTGGGGTTCCGGCACTGACGAGGACGAATACGACGCAGACGACGACCCCGGCTACCTCCGCGGCATCGTCATGGACCCCGACGTGAGCCCTGCCCGCGCACGCGCCCCCACGCATACCCCGGGCGCCGCGCCGCACTTGCCGTTCAGGTGGTTTGTTTCGTGCCGCGGCGGGCCGCGATGACCGGCGCCGCTCCTACGCGCTCTCTGCACGGTGCAGGCGTTCCTGGCGCACGAGATCGTCAGCGGCGACGAGCGGCGGCGGGCGCAGGAGGCGGCGTGGCGGACGCCCACCGCCAGCAACGGCGACGAGGACGGCGACGACTCTGAGGTCTCGGATCCGGAGTCCCTGCTGTCCGGACAGGCCGGCGTCCCGGAAGCCCGCAGCACGGGCAACACCTCGGCGCAGGCGGTGCCCACGAACACCCCCCCGCTGCGCACGCAGATGCCGACGGGAGTGGGGCCGAACTCGGCCCCGGCCGCGCCGGGCGCGCACGGCAGCTCGTTCGGCGGCATTCTGTCCGAGTTCGACCCGCTCTCGGTCATCAGCGGCCTCGCGGACGTCCTGAAGGGGCAGCTCGCGGCGTCGCAGCGAGCCGCGGTCCGCGGGGGGCAGCAGCCGCGCGACGGCGACGCGGCGTCGAACGACGGCTCGGAGGCGGACAGCTCGGTCTTCGAGGGGCGCGCCGCGGACGCGATCGCGGCGGCCGTGCGCGCGAGGAAGGCGGGGGCGGCCGGGGAAGGCAGCGGCGGTGGCGACCAGCAGCGCCCGTCGACCAGCACGCAGGACGGCGCGCCGTCCGAGCACAACCACCTGCGCATGGTGCTCCCGGGCGACGACGAGCTCGCGGGGCTCGCGGTCGACCACACGGGCGCCGACCTCGCCAACCAGCCGCACTCCCCCCATGGGAGTTCCAACCAGGACGGATTCTCCTTCACCCCCCCCATCTCGGTGACGCCGCCCGCGGCCGCGCGCACGCCCGAGGCCGCAGGGTCCCCGCTCGCGCCGCCGTCGCCGCTGGTCACCTCGAACGGCCTCCCCGCCGGCACCGCGGATGCCGAGACCGTGTTCTCGAAAGGGTGCTTCTGGAGTCGCACGGCGTCGGGGCTGTCGCCGAGCCACGTCGAGGGCGCCTCGTCGGATGGCGGGGACGCGGACGGGTCGATCACGGGCGGGACGGGCGGCCGGCCGAGCACGGGGGGGGATGTCAAGGGGGGGGTGAAGCAGCGTCTGTCGCAGAGCCTGTCGTCGACGAGCGGGCGCGGCGCGGACGACAAGGGCGGTGGCACCACGGAGCCGACGGAGCCCGCGCCCGGCGAGGACGACGCGAGCGCGGACGGCGAACCGCCGGCGGCCGTACCACCCAACCCCAACGCGTCCATGACCAGCATCAGCGGCGCGGTCGAGCAACAGGAAGACGACGACGACGACGACGACGACGACGGCGACAACATCGATGAGGTCGACGTCGCCGCCGCCGAGGAGGAGAATGACGCCGAGGAGCCGCGCCCGGCCTCGGAGGACGCCGCGATGGCTGGCGACGACGACGCGGACGGGGACAACGACGGTGGCGGCGAGGGCGACGCGGAGGGCGGGGACGCGTCCGCGCTGGACGAGACCACGCAGACGGGGTTCTCGCGGTTCGAGGAGGAGGACTGGTACCACGAGTACGGGTACGAGGTGCTGGACCTCAAGGTGATTCACCGGAGCATGCGGACGGGCTTCGAGGAGAGCAAGGACATCAGCGTGGCGATCGACGACGTCATCGCGGGGCGGTACCAGGTGGTGGACCTGCTGGGGTCGGGCGCGTTCTCGCGCGCGGTGCACGCGCTGGACCTGCACAGCAACCGCATGGTGTGTTTGAAGATCGTGAAGAACAACAAGGACTACTTCGACCAGAGCCTGGACGAGGTGAAGCTGCTGCGGTACGTCAACGGGAAGGACCCGTCGGACGAGCACGGCCTGCTGCGCCTGCACGACTTCTTCTACTACAAGGAACACCTCTTCATCGCGTGCGAGCTGCTCAAGGCGAACCTGTACGAGTTCCAGAAGTACAACACCGAGAGCGGGGACGAGCCGTACTTCACCGTGCCGCGCCTCCAGGCCATCGCGCGGCAGGTCCTGCGCTCGCTGGCGTTTCTGCACTCTCTCAACCTCGTTCACTGCGACCTGAAGCCGGAGAACATCCTGGTCAAGTCGTACTCGCGGTGCGAGGTCAAGGTGATCGACCTGGGGTCGTCGTGCTTCATCACGGACCACCTGTCGTCCTACGTGCAGTCGCGGTCGTACCGCGCCCCCGAGGTGGTGCTCGGGCTGCCGTACGACTACAAGATCGACGTGTGGTCGCTCGGGTGCATTCTCGCGGAGCTCTCCACGGGCCACGTGCTCTTCTCGAACGACTCGCTCGCCACGATGCTCGCGCGCATCGAGGGCATTCTCGGGCCCCTGCCGCAGCACATGCTCGACAAGGGGCGCTTCACGCACCGCTTCTACACGCGCTCCGGACAGCTCTACGACCGCGACGAGGAAGCGGTGCGCACCCGAGTCCATCCCGCCCCCCTGCATGCCTGCCCGTCGCTTGGTCCCGTGTCTGACGCGTCGGCGTGGACCTCTGCCTCCCCGCGTGTGTGCAGGAGCAGTTCATCGTGCTGCGGAGCAAGCGGTCGAGTCTCCGGCATCGCGTCCCGGAGGCCGACGAAGGCTTTTTGTCGTTCCTGTCCGCGCTGCTGGAAGTGGACCCGGCCAAGCGGCCCAACGCGCGGGAGGCGCTCCAGCACCCGTGGCTGCAGGAGGAGTACGAGGACACCGGCATCGTGACGGACTGAGGCGGGCTGCCGCCGCAACTGATGCATTTCGCGACCGCGGGCAGACGCCGTGGGGACATGGGCCGGGCCCGGCGCGCCTGAGCTGCTCGGTGGGGTGGGGTCGCTCGGCGGCTGGGAGGCAGTGGCATGAAGTAGGTGGGTGACGAGCACCCAAGTTTGTACACTTTCGAGACGACGATGTAATGAGTGAATGTCGTACTGGAGCGAGGCGTTCGGGCCTAGCTCTTGGCTTGATGTGGGCGGGAGTTTCACAGGCGTGTTACACGGGCGCCAGGGCGCCAGTCCCGAGCCTTGAACTTCGTAGTAGTGATGTATATAGACAGGTGCACGTATGAAAGGATTGTAGATGAAAATAAGGGCAGTCCGCTTAATATGTGCTTCATTGTCGATGATGCGCAATGTCGCAATGTCTTGTATCAGGCACTGCCGCCTCGCCAAAGAGCCGCCTCCTTCTCCCCGCACAGACACTCGCGACCGTCGCGCCGTCCGCGCAGGCCTCTGGGCCGCTCACCGCGCCGCCACGCCAGCTCAATTGCTGCGCAGCGCCGCCGCTGCTTCCAGCCCGTTGTCGTCGATCGCCTGGTTGATGTCGTCGATCATCTCCTTCACGACCCGCTCCTGGTGCTGCCGCACGCGCGGGTTCATTACCCGGAACCACAACGGCGGCACCGCGGCCAGGAGGAACATCGCAGGGTACGACATTGGCATCTTGGGGGCGTCGGCGCGGTCGCGGAAGGAGCGGAGGGCGTAGTACGCGCGCGACGGCTGGCGGTGGTGGTGCGAGTGCCGCTGCAGGAAGAAGGTGGCGCAGTTGCTTGCAATCCAGTCAGCGTCCCACGTGACTGACACGGGGTCGCGCCGCCTGGCGTGCTCCGGGAACTGCAGACCGTAGTGCTCGATGTAGTCTGCGCGCGCGCGAGAGCACGGGCCGGAAGCCTGAGCATGCTGCGCGGAACGACGAAAAAGGTTTTGGGAGGGGGGGGGGCGTTGATCTCTTCAGGGTTCATACCTGCGAAGTTGAGCATCGTGATGCACGAGGCCGCGCACGCCAGGAAGCCCGCGAGGCCCATCGGGCCGGCCGCGAGCGCGGCCGCCCACCCGAACGCCACGCTGGCGCCCGCCCATCGCGCCATGCCAGCCCTCCCACCCGCGGCCACGCCGTCCGCCCACGCGCCCTTGACGTTCCTCACCAGGAAGTCCGGCAGCAGCGGCTCGTTCAGCCGCGCCGTGGCCGCGTCCCGCTCAGTCCCCGCAGCCGCGTGGTGCGCCAGGTGCCCCTGTTCCCAGTGGCCGTAACAGCACGACGCGAGCAGGATCCGCGCCGCGATGCCCTGCCAGCCGCCGCGGTGGACGCCCTCGTGCGCGGCGGTGAACGCGACGCCGCCGTGCGCCGCCGTCGAGGCAAACCACGCGGCCCACAGGAGGGGGTTGAACGGGACGGTGGCCGCCGCGTGCACCCAGGCTGCGACGACCGCGAGGTGCGCGGGGAGGACGAGCAGCTGCACGGCCTGGAACAGCGCGGCCTCGCCCGGGCGGCTGCGGAGAGACGCGGGCAAGTTGGTGTGTCGGCGCGCGCACGGGCGATTCTGGGGCTTGGCGGGCTGGTTGGTTGAGTTGGAGGCAAACACGTGGATGTATGGTGGCGCGGAGCGTGGGAGAACGTCGTACGAGGCGCCTTGGAGGCTACATGGCGCGAGATGCAGCCCAGGGTGGGTCGGTCTGCCCTGGGGTCGCTGGGCGTGATATTTCCGGCGTGCGTACCTCGGGAAGACTGGCTGTGAAGTGGCCTCTGCGCCGGTGGCGACGTCGAGGAGCGGAAGGACGACGGCCACGAACAGGAGCCCGCTCAAGGAGAGCGCCCAGTGTTGGACGGTGCCCGGGGGAACGAAGTGGTGCGCGGTCAGCGAGAGCAGGCAGCTGCCGGTGACCGCTCCCCAGCCCATGAGCACGCTCAGCGGCCCCGGAACGTTGCGCCTCACCCACCGTCCGAAGCGAGACGTCCGCGTCGGAAAGATGGTGCCTAGGAAAGGCGTGTTCTCGACGGCCCTGGGCGGCTGGACATCCGGGATGTGCTCCTTGGGCACTGCCACCGAGAGCGAGCAGGCGCGCACCGCGGGAGCGTCTGGAGAGATTCCTGGGAGCGCAACGGAGGCTGGCTCCAAGACGTTTCCAACTGCAGGCTCGACAACTGGGGCCTTCGCGGGCAGCAGGGCGTCCCCGGAGCTCTGCGACGCGCCCCCGCCCCCGTCCGAGGGCTTCTTGCTTGGCCGGAACCGGAGCGAGTCGCCGCGCCGGGCCGGATTCCGCGCGGGAAACCCTGCACGAAATTTGGTCCAACTACCGCAGCCGTTGAGCGCGCCCGCGGGTCGAGCGACGTTCGAGCGCGGCGCGTCTCGCTTCATGATTGCGAAGTGCGCGCAGGGGGTCGCACCGCGGCTGCCTCCGGGCCTGGACGACGACGGCGGCCCCGAAGGCAGGGCGCCACGACGCTGCAGCGTGCTCGCAGCGAGCCGCATGTTTGGCCAGTATATGCGCAGCAAAACCTCGAGACGTGTCGCGCGACACGACGTGCGGCGCTCACGTTCGCGGGCGAGCGGTTGAGGGCCGCAGCTTGCCGCGGTTTGTGTCGGTCGAGGTCTGACCGAGGCACTCTCGCGGTCGACCGACTCTTGCGCCGGAACTGATCGTGGCCCACCGCTTCTCGGACACGGAGTGTACATGCCGCGAATTCAGCGTCTGGAGGAGCCCGTCGACGCAACCAGAGCGAAATCATGCCACGTGGGACGAGCTGCCGTGCCGCCAGAAGCTCCGCAGCCCAGGCCAAGGCCGCCTCGTCCTTGGCGCCACCGCCGCAGTCTCGTCGCGTCCAACGCGCGACTCGCGCGAAGGCGCCAATCGCACACCTGTGCACAAACACGCGCGCCGGCTGGCGTGGCGACGGCCGACGCGTCAGGCCGCGCCGCACACGGCGGTCCCCCGGCGAGGACGGTCCTGCGTCGCTGCGAGTCGAGGAACGGCCCTGAGGTGACTTTCTCACAACTGTGCCGCCGACCAGGGGTGCGGCGTCAGGCGTGCGACGGAGGATGTTCGCGGGGTCCTCGCGGCCGCCAGACAGTTCCGACGGCGGCGAAGACGAGGTCGAGGACGATGACTTCGGGCCTGGAAGGGTGGAAGTGCGCGGTGGATCCATCCATCGTGACGTCGAGAACCAAAAAGATGACCAGAGATGGGGATTGGTTGGTGAGTGCCAAGCATCCTAGCAGTTTTCTCTCCCTAGACTGCGGCCTGCTTGCTTCCGGCGAGCGCCGATCGCTCGGCGCCCCCGGAGCAGGTCACTGGGAGCCGGAGCGGCCGGAGGGCTCGGGATGGGCTCGTGGGATCTTTAGATGTCATCTTGATCTCGAGATGGGGCTGGGAGTAGTAGCAGTGTGGTAGTGGGGTTGGTAATGCACGGGTCAGGCTGCTGCCGCTGTCGCGCTTGGCGGCGCGATGTGCGTGCGCTGCAGGGACACGGGGCTCGCGGACACGTGTGGGTTCAGTGCGCCTGGCCGCGGGCGCTCGTGCAATGGTGTGGGGTCGCTACACAGCCCAGGTATTACTCTTACCCAACTGGTTTACCCACTCAGGGGCACTATGGCCGCAGCGACCGCTCCTCAAATGTGACGTGGATTGAGTTCATTCGCCCGCAACGATGTTGCCTGCCGTTCCCGCAGCCCTCGCGCGCAAAATGCGCGGCGGACGGCCCGAAATCTCATCTTCGCGTGCAGCCAGGCAACTCAGCGCAGGACAAGCTGACACGCGAAGATGGGATTTCGGGCCGTCCGCCGCGCATTTTGCGCGCGAGGGCTGCGGGAATGGCAGGCGACATCGTTGCGGGCGAATCAACTCAATCCACGTCACATTTGAGGAGCGGTCGCTGCGGCCACAGTGGGTAAACCAGTTGGGTAAGAGTAATATGGGGCGGCGCGACGCGCAGAGCGGCTCGAACGCTCATGTCTGAGCACATTTCTCGACTTTCCATGGGCGCATGAGTGCGATTCGCGCGTCGCGACTGGGATATGTGCGCGAATTACGGTCCATTACGTGAGCGTGCCCCCAGCTCTCGACAGACAGTTAGCAGCGCCGCGGGGGTCCGCGTGACACGCGCCGCACAGCTCGCCACGCGGCCCCAGCATCGTGCATGAGCAGACAAGCACGGGCGTTGCGCCGTTAGACGAACCTCATCGATCCTTCGTCGTACTAGGCGGTGCTGGGTGTGTGGTCATAGCGGGAGGCCACCGTGGCCGACTCCCAGAAAGAGGACGGGACGGGCGTAGTCCCTGCGCGCAGCGGCGGTCCACGTCAATATTGGCGCGTACACCGTAACTCACGCGCGACACGCGCACGGGGGACCGCGCCCGCGCAGCCCATACACGCCAACAGAGAGGGGGCACCTCCGCGTCTCTGCGTCGTTCGGCCCGCAACGCACCCGTCAGCCGGTGGTCTAGCCTAGTCCGTGTCCATCTCTCCGGTCTCAACGTCTCACCCTGGGTTTCAGGCTGAGAGGAATCCGTCGTTGCGGTCGAGTCCATGGTGCGTGCGTGAGCGTGCCTCGCAGGCACGCACGTCGCCGACGGGCGCGCAGTTCGCTCGCCGTTCACATCGCGGTGAGTGGCGTACCCGGGGCGCGTCTGGGGTGCTTGTGCCCGCGCCGCGACCTCGGGGCGCGCCATGATGTGATGCTGCTGTCGGGCGCGCTCGGTCCGACCCACGAGACATGACGTCAGGTGGCGCGCCGCGGCTCCGCGGCATCATGGGCGTCCTGCGCGCGCGGCGGTGCGGCCGTGTGTTCCGGCGCCCCTGCGCGCGAGCGTCCGCTGCTGCTGCGGGACCACGCGCCGTCTGAGGTCATCGTGTCAACACAATGATGGACGCCTCCCGTCCCGTCGCGGTGGTGACGGGGGCGAACCGCGGAACGGGTCTGTATCTTAGCGAGGGACTGCAGCGGCGCGGCTACGACGTCGTAGCGGCGTGCAGGGCGCCGAGTGAGGAGCTTAGTGCGCTGCCAGGGGTGACGGTGGCGGCGCCAGTCGACGTGGCGCGTGCGAGCGCGGGGGAGGCTGCTGCGAGCTTGGAGCCGGTATTTCAGGCTATAGGAGAAAGGAAGATAGCCCTGTTCGTCTCAAACGCGGGATCTCTCCAGCCAGATACCCTGGCGAGCGCGACAGCAGAAGACCTGGAACTGCAGTGGCGGGTGAACGCGGCAGGCCCGCTGCTGATGGCGCAGGTGCTCGTCTCCCGAGGAGCCTTTCAGAGAGGCTCGAAGCTGGTGTTCCTGTCCGGGCGCATGGGCAGCCTCCAGGACACGGCGTCGGGCGGGAGACCGGACGGGTGCTACGGATACCGGTGAGCAGTCCGCCCGCATAGTCAAACTCCGAACGCACGCCCGGACGCAGCCCTCGCCGTCGTGCACCCGCGGCTCCGGTCCACGTGCACGGAACCGCCGGCCGCCGGCGTGAAACACCACGTGCTTCTTCCGGCGTGGTGCGCACGTGCACGCCCCGCGGCCGACCCCACAGGCGCTGCGGATCCCGCGCAGGATGTCCAAGTGCGCGCTGAACATGGCCGCGGTGCTTCTGGCGCGGGAGCTGGCCCCGGAGGGCGTTGCGGTGTCCCTCGTGGACCCTGGGAAGGTGGCAACGGGGCTGTCGTCGTTCACCGGGTGCACCGCGGGCGTGGACGGCTGGCAGCACCCGCGCGACGCCGCGGAGGCGTGCATAGAGCACGTCCTCGCCGGACCCAGCGAGCCGGCGCCTGTCGTCAACGTGCGCCACGACGGGGTGGTGACGGGGTGGTGACGATGGCAGGGTGTCGGGGCGAGCTCCCGTGTAGAGGTAGGGGCAGTGTGATGCGTTTCTGAGGGTGCGCGCGCTCCGTGTTGATGCGGCCAGTGGCGGGGGGGGTGTTGACGCCGCTTCTAACACGGTGTTCGGCCGCTCCCGTGGGTTTCGTCGGGTCGCGGCCACGCCGGCTGGCAGGCAGAGTGCTGGTGAGCATACAGTGACGCCGAGACAGGGCAGGGATTCCCCTGGGCGGCGCGTACGGGCGTGAGTTCCAGGCGTTCCTGGCTTTCTGACGCAGCCCGCAGCGCGAGAGCGCGTCGCCGCAACTCCGCCACTTCTTCTGGTCGGAGAGAGGGGAGGCATCGCGCAGCACGGCGCGGAAGCCGCTCGGGACTAGGCTTTTGGAAGCGAAGGGAGCGCCATCATGTCAACTGCACCGCGGAGCGCGGTCGCCTCCAAGATGCAGGGGCAGCCGCGCTCGCGGTCCCTGCAGGTACGTTCCGTCCTTCCCGCCCGTTTTCCTTGGGTCCCGCGCACCAGTACGTCGGGAAACCGGCGAGGTTCGTGCGCAGCATGCCTGAGGCGGGACGCACGGCGCCCGCGTCCTCGCGAGGGCATCTCGCGCGCCTCGATGCCGCTGAACCGACCCAATGTATCGATACGGATCTGCCGCCCTGTGCGAAGTCTCGCGAGTCGCGCCGAACACCCCTGCACGGGCCACGGAAGCTCAAAGGCAGCGCGCTTGCCTCCCGCGGCTACGGCGCCCCCCACCACGCGCTCCCCCGTCCGGCCCGCAGTATGAGATCATGTTGCGGGAGCTGCTCGCGGCCGCGGGGGAGTCGGACATCGACAGCGGCACGCAGGCCCAGCGCCCATCCCGCAAACGCCTCTCCTGCTACGTGGCGCTCATGCGCGAGCTGCTCTCCTCGGGCGCGTTCGGCGGGCTCTCAGGCATCATGGCGAAGACGATGGCCGAGTTCTACAACTCCCTCTACGTGTCGGCCAACGTCTCGCCTGACGACCTCCTCCAGCCCCCACTGCCGGGCACGACGCTCAGGTGCGCGCCCGCCGCGGCGAGCCACCCAGCCCCCTAACGACCTTCCAGCTCGCGCGTCGAGCCAGGACGGTGCGCCGCGACGCCGCACGGCGCACTTTTGTTGCCATGTTGCGTCATTTCTCCTCCGTCGCGGCCGTTCCGCGCAGGGACGCGCACCCGCCGATGTTCCAGGAGCTCGAGGAGACGCAGCAGTCGCTGAACGCCGCCCAGGCCGACCTGACGCGCATGCGCGAGCGGTTGACAGCGCTCGGCGCCAACTCCAGCGGCGTGGGGAACCGCCAGGTGCAGCGGGAGGTCGAGGACCTGCAGATCCAGATCCAGGCGGCCGAGCAGCGGCTCGAGGAGCGCGAGCGCGAGCTGCGGGCGATGCGCGCCGAGAAGCGGCAGCTCATGGAGCAGGGCAGGATGGAGTCGCAGTCGATCGCGCAGGAGCTGCAGCGCGTGAAGGCGCAGCTCCAGAAGGCCGAGGAGGAGGTCCGGAAGCACAAGGGCTCCACGCGGGTCGACGAGCTGGCCAAGAGCGCCTTCTCCATCGTGGCTCCCGCGGCGCAGCAGCTCCCGCCGGAGGCGGAGAAGGACGGCCGCCAGGTGCGCACCGCGCCTCGCTCGCATCTCTCCGACGTGTGCGTCGCAGCGCAGCGCTGCGCTGATGGCGCGAGCGCAGTGAGAGCTGAGCTCATGTGCTGCGGTGGACGTGCTTGCAGAACCGGCGGAATCGCGCGGCGCGGTTCTGGGCGGACGCGGCGAAGCTGGTGGACCAGCTGATGGCGCTGCAGAACATCCGCATCGACAAGTTCGAGACGGGCATGCGCGCCGAGGGCCTCCTCCCGCCGTGCGGAGAGCTGGCGTCCGGCCTCTCGATGGCCGCCCGCGACCAGCGCTTCCAGCGCGCGCAGGCCGAGCTCAACTCCGACCTCGCGGCCATCCAGTCCGAGGTCGGCGTCCTCGAGAAGCACCTGACTCAGGCGGCGCGCAAACACCACATACAAAAGTCCGCCGTGTCCCTCATGGTCCACCCCGACGAGCTCGAGTCCGCCGTGGAGTCCAAGACGCGCCGCGGACACCTCCCCGGCGACCACCCGGTCGCGCGGCGCGGCAAGGCGCTCCGGAAACCGCTCAACGAGGCCGGTCTGCGGCTCAAGGGCCCCGGCGCCGGCAACCCCATGTGGAACAGCTACGTGCACCGCTGCGAGGCGACGGACACGGACGTGGACCCGCGCGTGCCGCGGAACGTGTCGCCCGACGACGCGCGGACGCAGATGATGTCGGTCATGCGCGCCAAGTACATGCGCGACATGGACGCCAAGATCACGCCGCTGCCGCTCGCGGAGGTGGACAGCGTGGAGATCATGGCGCAGATCCGGCAGCTCGCGCAGACGCGCGAGTCCCTCGGGGACCACTGCCTGCGGTGCCTGGAGCTCGTCTACCGCAACAAGCAGGCCTCGCTGCTGATGATGCACGGCATCTTCACGGCGCTGGAGAACGCGCACCAGGAGGACCCGCTGCTGGACTTGATGGTCCGCGCGCTGGGGGGCGAGGTGCCGGACCCGCTGTGGTGGTGCGTGGTCGAGCTGGCGCGGATCGTCGACGAGACGCGCACGCAGGGCCACGAGGCGTTCGAGAGCCTGCTGCGGCTGCTGTACCCGGACGTGAAGCCCGTGGACCGGCTGGAGCTGCTGGACGAGTACGACGACCAGCACGCGGGGGACTACTCGCCCGTGGAGATCCAGCGGTACTTTGCAGAACAGTTGCTGCAGCGCGGGGAGATAAGGTATAACAAGTGGCTGGATAAGCTGGTCGGGGAGGACGTGGGGCGCATCAGCCGGGACCAGGCCGTGCGGATTATCCTGCGGTGGCTGCCGAGCGTGAGTCGGACCACGGCCACGCAGGCGTACGCGCTGCTGGCGGTGTCGACGTGCGCGATGGATGTGGACGTGGACGCGCTCGCGCTCGTGCTGACCGCGCTCGAGCTCTCGAATGTCCGCGCGCCCGTGCGCGCGCCCGCGGCGCCGACGGCCAGGGTGTAGCCGTCGTTTTGAGACCTGCTTTCTCGAATGTTGGTTGCACAACTACGGAGGCGCGGTTGCGCGCGCGCCGCGACCCGTGTGAGCTCGCGCGAGCCAGACCGCTCACACTGCGTGCGCCGCCCCGTCTGCTACGACGCGAAACGGCATCAGCGGCGTGGAATATCCAAAGATACGTTCCAACACAACTCAAACTGCCCATCTTCGCGTTCCTCCCTCACCGCGCTACGGCTGAAGCGGCCCGCTCCGCTGCTTCAGCAGCGACTGCCGCGCCTGGAAGAACTTGATGATGTCGCGGTCCGCGGCCTCGTCGCCCGTCAACATGGGCTGCACTAGTCGCATCACCTCAGGGTCCTGAACCGCACCCCCCGCGGCCCCGGCCGCAGCAGCGGGCTGAGGCGCAGGCGCAGGCGCCGCGCCCGCATTCGCGCGCAGCGCGTCCTGCAGCGAGGACGCCGCGGGCTGCGGCGGCGCACCGCCGCCATTGACCACGCGCACCGTGCTGCTCCCGCTGGGCGCCCCCGCGCTGCCGTTGGCCGGCGGAGCGGCGCCGGCGCCGCCGGTCTGGCGCACCATGACCGCGAGCCACTGCTCGAAGTCCTTCTGCAGGTTCCGGCGGGATTTCTCGAGCAGCATCTGGATGTGTTCGATCTCGTGCTTGTACGCCTTCAACCCCTCGAACGCCTCCCTGTACGCCGCCTTCTCGGTCTCGATCTCGTGCCGCAGCCTCGCCTCGGCCTCGGACTCCTCCGGCGCGGGCGCGTCGGGGTCCGAGAGCGCCGCCGCCGACTGTCGCATCCGTTCTCTCTCGATGGCGCCCTTCAGCTCGTTGATGCGGCCCTTCGCGGCGTTGACGCGGTGCCCGAGGGCCTTCGCGGCGTCGTACTTCTCCTTGAGCAGCATCTTGTTGTCCTCGATCGCCTGGGACTTGCGGTAGCTCTTCCGGAAGAGCTCGAACGCGCGGTTCCGGTCTTGCAGGATGGCGGGGTCCATTAGCATGTCAATTGCGGCCTGGGACTCCCCCCGCTGGGCGTCGCCCTGCGCGGCCGGCGCGTCCGCGGCGGGCGTGGCGTACACGGCGGACGCGTTGAGCTGCGCGGTGGACGGGCGCTGCAGCGGCGGCATTCCCGCGGCCTGCGCAGCGGCGGCCGCCGACACGCCCCCAGCGGCCGCGGCGGCGGCCGCGGACCCGTCGCGCTTGCTGAGCATGTTGACGAGGATCGAGATCTCGTTGTCGCGCTGCTGCAGCTGCAGCTTGAGCTTCCGCGCCTGGTCCACCAAAGCCTGCACCTCCTCCTGCGGGACCCCCCCCGGCACTCCCCCCCCTGAACCCCCGCCCTCCGGCACCTCCTCCTCCTCCACCTGCTTCGCGCTCGCGCGCGGCACCATCGCGCCCCCGCCCGCAACACTCCCCCCCCCTGACCGCAGCATCTCCTTGAACACCTGAAACGCCCCCTTGATGAACGCCATGTCCCCCCCCAGGTTGAGCGCGGCGTCCGGCTCCGCGCTGCCGACGTACTCGCCGACCAGCTTCCGCAGGTGTCCGAACTCCTCCTGAGTCAGCTCCCCGCGCCCTTGGTCGTCGCCCTTGAGCAGTCGGACCTGGTCTTTGAGGTCGCGCACCTCCTGCTTGAGGCGCCGGATCAGCAGCGACGGGTCCATCTCCTCGTTGATCGACGCCTGCGGCCAACGACGCGCGCGGGGGTGCGACACGGGGTGAGCGGCGGGGCTGCGCGGCGCAGATGGCGCGGACGGCGCGGTGCGCGCTGCGGTGGGCGCGTGGGGGCGCGGCGGACCTCGTTGCTGACGAGCGCGACGCGCTGCGCGAACCGGCACGTCGACGAGCTCTCGTCCAGCTGCGCGGTCTCGGGGTTGATGGTTGCCACCATCGTGGTCTTGCAGTTGCCGCCCAGCGAGTCCCGCAGGACCATCGTCATCATGCTGTTGCGGTACGGCACGTGCCGTCGCGCCTGCCCCATGCTCCGCTCCTGCAGCGCCACGATCACCTGCTCCAGGAAGTGCAGCGACACGTTGATGTACCGCGCCTCCTGCAGCAGCGCGCCGTCCGCACCGGTCTTCGAAACGCGCTCGGACCCGGCGAGGTCGACCAGGTTGAGCTTCGAGCGCCGCACGGTGTCCGACCCGGGCCGCCGCGCCTCGAGCGCGACGGTGAACACGCAGTGCGAGCGCGACGACGCCATGTTCATGGGCGTGGACGCGATCGTGCGGTTCGTGTCGCCGAGGAAGAGCAGGTTGAGCGCCTCCTCCTCCGACGTCGCGCGGTGCGCGCTCAGGTTCTTGAAGTGCATGTTGCCGTCGTCGTCCTCCAGCAAGTTGACTTTCGGGAGGTCCTCGAGCATCTGGATGTCCTTGTGCGGGTCCAGGAGGTCGTACCCCGTGTTGTTGTAGATCTCGAGGTACGAGATGTGCACCGTGAACTGCGGCGGGGGGCGACGCGGGGCTGTCGGGCGCGACACGGCGGAAAGAGGACCGCAGCCTGGTGTCGCAGGGAGCGGGCTGCGCGCGGGGCCGCGGTGCGCAGCACGGATGCGGGGCTGCGGTGCGCGTGGTGCGCGGGGGGGCGGGGGGGGGGTATTGCGCCATGTCGTACCTGCCAGTCGGAGCGCTTGTTGATCTCAGAGAAGACGTGGGAGATGGCCCGCGGGATGACGCCGCGGTCCACGTAGCGCTCCGCGCCTCCCGTGATGGTGAACGTCTTCCCGGAGCCCGTCTGGCCGTACGCGAACACTGTCCCGTTGAACCCGTCGAGCGCGCTGGCCACCACGGGCTGCGCAACGCGAGTGAACACCTGCGGGCGGCCGGACGGGGCGGACAACGGACCTCTGAGCGCGACTTGGGCGGACCGGGAGCAGCGCGGGCCTGTTGGCGGCGCAGGGCTGACGTGCGTTGGTTGCTGCCGCTCAGGGCTCCTGCCGCGAAACAGAGCAGCTCGGCCCGCGAGTCGACCTGACTGCGCCCTGAACGCGCCTGCTAGCGTCGTGTGCGTTGCCGGGGGGGCGCAGGGAGGTGCACCGGCGCGCACGGGGCCGCCCTGGGCTCGCGTGGGTTGGCAGCTCACCTCGTCTTGTTTGGAGTCCGGCCCGAGGATGCCATTGAACTTGTACTCCTGGGCCTCTCTCTGATTGTTCACGTACCCCATGCCGGCGTCCTTCGGGGCCTGGAACAGCACAGTGCTCTCGATGGGGTCCCATGTCAAGTTGGGGCTGGGCCGGGGCACTGGCCTCAGCCTGAGGTAAATCTCGATGTTCGACGGGCTCTCCTTCCCCTTCACCATCTCGTCCCCTCCCTGCGAACCCGGCCGGCGGCCCTCAGCGCCTGACTCAGCGCGCTCCGGCGCCGATCTCCCCACGCCTCAGCGTGCGTTCGCAGGGCCTGGAAAGCTCGCAGCATCCACCCCCCGGGGCGGCCAGTGCCCCGAGAGACTCCAGGCTACCTCCACAAGAACCTACGCCGAGCCGCGACCGCCCGCGCGCCCCGGGAGACGCCCTGGCGCTAGAGGGCGCGGCCTGCAACGCGTCAAACGCTGTGCGAGGCGCTGCAACGCTCAGCGCCGCGTCGGACGTAGCAACGCGCCCTGGACCTGCAACGTGCTTGCCTGTGCTGGCAGCGGATGCGCCCCGGCCGCCATGACGCGCGACAGAGGCGCTGGCCGGGTCCGACTGGCCCTGCGGGATGTGTGGCTGCGAGTCGGGCGGAACTGACGCGGACATGATATTTTGGGCAACGCAGCGCTCGAAACGTCGATCTTGTCGTTGTATCCGGGCCCTGGACGGAGCTCTCGTGCATTTCGCGGCTCAAGGAGTGCGGACCGCGCAATCTTTTGCTGAGCAAGGTCCCGTGGCGTGAAGCGCTCATTCTGAGCCAAAGTCCGCACCCATCATGACAGTCCAGTCCCTTGGCTCCACGCGGGCCCCGCGAAGCGCTTCTCGCGCTGCTTCGCACCGCAGGTCGCGTGCAGTGGTGCGTGGGCCCCTCATCCACCCTCGCCGCATTCACGGCCAGAAACCCCATCCATGCGGCTCATTCTCGGTCCATTCACGTGTCAGTCACATCGAGAACGGAGAACGCCCGCCATCCTTGCACGTCCACCGCCCGGGAGCTCCCGCCGCGCGTGCGCGTTTTTGCGCCTAGAGCACCGCGACAGGGCAATTCGACGCACACGCACCGTTTCATAACACCGCCCCACCCACACGCACTCTCCGCCCCTCGTCGGTCGTGCAGGCCGCCCGGGCGAGCAAGCGCGCGGTGGTTGTGCTGCCTGGCCTAGGGAACAACGCCAAGGATTACGACGGCCTCGCCGACCTCCTGCGCGACCGCCTCGACGTCCACGTCGACGTCGCGCAGGTCGCGCGCCTCGACTGGGCACGCAACGCCGCCGGCCTCGTCGACCCCAACTACTGGAAAGGTACCAACCCCCCCCCTTTCGCACTCATGCGTACCGCGCACCCGCGCCGGCGTCCTCGCAACGCAGACCTCCACAGCCGCCGACAGCTCTCCACCGCGGACCGAGACCCTGCGCGACCACGGGCGCTGCGAAACCGCGTTTTCGCGCCGCCGTGCAACGTGGCCTCGCAGGCACCCTCAAGCCGCGGCCCACCGTGAACTGGTACCTCAAGCGCACCGAGGCGGCCGTGAAGCGCGCGCGCGAGGCCACGGACGGCGGCCCCGTCACCCTCCTCGCGCACTCGGCGGGCGGCTGGATGGGCCGCCTCTACATGATGGAGTACCACGCGTCGCTGCGCCACGGGGTCGACGCGTTCGTGTCGCTCGGCTCCCCGCACCTCCCGCCCCCCGAGGGCGTCATCGACCAGACCCGCGGCATCCTCACGTACCTCTCCGAGGCCTGCGGGGGCTGCGCGGACGAGTACGTTGCGTACACGACGGTGGCGGGGCGCTTCCTGAAGGGCGCCGCGCTCGGGGACCGCGGGGCGTCGCTGCAGCGCATTGTCGTCGGGGCGGGGTACCAGCAGGTGTGCGGCGACGCGCGTGCGTGGGGCGACGGCATCACGCCTGTGGAGACGGCGCACCTCCCGGGCGCGGCGCAAATTAACATCGACGCGGTGTACCACAGTCCGCTGGGCGAGGGGCCCGACCGGCAGTGGTACGGGCACCCGCGGTTCGTGCCGCTGTGGGAGCAGGCGCTGATGCCGGGGAGGGGGGTCAGCAAGGACGTCACGGAGGTGGCGACGGAGGTAGAGCAGGGCGTGGAGAGCGCCGCCGTGTGAGCGGGCTGCGTGGGGCGGCGCAGGTGTTCGGGGCGCGCGTTTCGTAGCGTGCGCGGGTGCAGCGAACGCTACTTTTGCGTAGGGGAGTCGGGGCCTGACGTGACATGGTGGGGGAGTACATCGACCGCGCCGCGGCGTAGTTGGCGTTCCGGAGCGACATCTGGCGGCAGTAAATACACACAGCAAGTGTCTTCCTCTGCATATCGCCAGCAGGGCTCGTTCCTGCCGAGAAACCGTCGGTTCGGGACGACTTGTGCTTCCAGACGCGAGTAGGGATTGAGCCGCGGACGATGCAGACCGCGGGTCTCGTGGCCAGCAGGCCGTGCGTCCTGCGCGCATGTAGTAGCAACAAGGCGTCGGGGGCTTCTGTGCGGCCGCTCGCGACGCAGCCGCGGCCCGCCGTGCGCTTCGGCCGCGTAGAGTGGTCCTGCCGGGGCCCTGCGCCTGCCGCCGCTGCTGACTCCACCAAGTCCGAGGTCGCGGGCACCGACCGCTCCATCGATGTCGGTCGCATCGCGAAGTACGTTGGCGCGACGACCGTCGAGGTGAGGCCGTCGCGCCTGGATACCTTGCCCAGCCAGCCAATCGCCCGCGCGACTGGCGGCAGCCGACGCGATCTTGGCGCATTTTCTGGTGTGTTGAGATACACGGTATCCACAATGACTAGTACGCAACCTCGATTCCCATCAACGTGGCACAGACAGCAGCTCGACCGCTCGACACCTCTCACACACCAGGAAGCGGCTCCCGCACGGCCCCGCTGCAGGTCGGCGTGATGACTGCAGCCCTCGCGGCGGTGCAGTTTGCTGTTTCGCACCCCTCGAGCCCGCTGACGGCCCAGCCGTGGGGCACCGCGTTCGTATTTGTGTTCTTCTTCACAATGTCGATCAAGTCGCGCGTGTTCTCGCCCCTCGACGCCCGCCGCCCCTCAGCAGGTACGCAGCGCCCCATCACCGAACCTACGGGAGGCGGAGCGTGGCCCGAGCCGGCCAGGGCAACCAGCGCACCTGCACCTGCACACACCGCACTGCTGCTCGCATCGCGACACGCTGAGGCTTGATGATGACACCGCGGCCACGGCCTCCTCGCAGATGGTACGGGCGCCGTGTGGGAGGTCAAGCGGCCGTCGTGGCAGCCCCCCCCGGTGGTGTTCCCCATCGTTTGGAGTACCATCGCCGTCCTCCGTGCAGCGTCGGCAACGATGATCTGGCAGGCCAACGACGCCCTCCTGGTGCGCCGCCCACCCGAACCCTCTATGTCACGTCTGATCGGCACCATGTCCGGCCGGCAGACCGTCACGAGACACCCTGCCTTGGTTAACCAACTGCCGTTGGTCGGCGAGCTGACTCGTGGCGCGTGCTCGCTGTCTGCAGTGCGTGCCCATCATGGCGTTCATGCTGCACCTCGCCATCGGCGACACGTGGAACCACATCAACAACGTGGAGCTGCGCAAGGGCGGCGCAGCGCTCGGCGTCCTCTTCGTGTGGGCCTCGGCGGCGTTCGCCACGCACATGTACGCGCAGACGCTCCCCAAGGCCGCGTACGTGCTCGCGCCGTCGCTCGTGTGGCTCGCGATCGCGGCGTGCCTGATCTGGAGCATCTGGGACCTCAACGGCAGGGAGGAGCTCATTCCCACGACCTCCAAGGCAACCGCGTAGACGCGGTGCGAGAATACCGCGCGTGCAGCCAGGGGCGGGTGCTCCGGGTGCTGGAGCGGCACGCCGTGGCTTGTAAGTGCTTCGCTCGCACACTCATTTGACGCAACGCTGTCAGAGATTCTTCGTTACACCCCTGGAGTGTGCGACTGAGGCAGTGTCGCGACAGACACCGTCTACAGGCCTTTGTAGGTGAACGACGGGCCGCCGAGCCCCTGCGTGCGCGAGCTGGCCCGCATCACGGCCTTGCGCTGCACGCGCTCCTCGATCTCCTCCCTCGAGATCTTCCGCGGCCCGTTCCGCGACACCCAGTCGCGCTTCTCCTTTGAGTGGTCGTCGCGATACCACTCCGGCAGCAGCGCAGGGTCGCCGACCCCGGCCTCCACCTGCGTGATGAGCTTTCGCATGTTGGCCGCGAGGTCAACGTCGTTGCTCGAGGACATGAACGCCCCGACCGCGGCGTTGGCCACCGCCATCCTCTCGTTCTTGGCGTTGAGCTCTTCCAGGTCTAAAATGCCGTGCTGCGTGGGTCGCCGGCTCTCTGGGTTGTGCATCGACATGCCGTCGTCTTCGTGCGGGTGCGGGGACTTGCGCGTCTCCTCCCCGGCCTCCTCCTCGGTTCCTGTCGCCGCCGAGTCAACTGCATCGACACACGCGAGACTGAGGGGATCAGGCGCTCGCACGACACCCTGAAGCAACGCAAATGAAAGCAGCCGCACACCGCGACCCCACGCAACGCTCGCACGTCCGCTCCCTCCTCCGCACGCCGGCGGGCGCGGGCGGGCACGGCAGGGCATGTCCCGTGCTCTCGACCCTCACCTGCGTCCAACAGGAGGCTCTCGTGGATGGACAGCTGCGGCGCAATCTCGCCGGGGTTCAGCGGCCGCTCCAGCTTCGCCCGGTCGAGCGCGAGCTTCTGCTCTGTCCTCCGTCGCACGCGCTCTTTGTGCTTGAACTTGTCCGCTGACTGTTTCAGCAGCTGCTGGTACTGTTTGAAGTAGCTCGATGGCTCGGGCATCTCGTGCAGGCCCTTCTTCTTCTTCTTGCCGCCCGGCAGCGAGTCGCGCCCCCCCGCCACCGCCCGCGCCGCAGCCAGCTTCTCAGCGCGGCTCTGGCGCTCCGTGCCGTGGGGCGAGGCGGGCTCCTCCTGCACCGTCGACACGCGCATGAACGCGCTCGGCCCCGCCACTGAGTCCACGGTCGTCGTGCGCGCCAGGCTGTGGTTCCGCGCCAGCGCCGTGGAGGGCTGCTGCGCCAGCGACGGCGAGCCATGCAATTCCGACGGCGTCCGCGACAGCGACTGCCGGCTGGACCGCATCGAGTGCCCCGGGTCGCCTTCCTCGTGTTTCTCGGACACACGCGGGAGCGACGGGCCGTCGTGGGACCCCCCAAAGCCGTGTCTGACGGCCGTGGCGGCGTGGACGATGGAACCGAACCGCTTGGAGCGCGTCTTGCCCATGCGCTGCTGCTTGCGCTGCTGCTCGGCCGCGACGCGCTGCTTGATCTTCGCGCGCCAGTCCGCGTCGAGCCCGATCATCGTCTCCATGGTCGGCGTCTCCGCGCGCCGCTGCTCCACCTCCTCGAGCCAGGAGTCGTCCACCTCCACGTCCTGCATCTGCATCCTGCGATCGCCCTTCTTCCCGACTGCGAAGCGGCGCGGGGGGAGGGCGGGGGTTCGTCGACGCGACAGCGATCCAGGACACGCGCGATCGACGCACGTGTGCGTGCCGGCACTGGCGCTTCCGGGATCGCGACGGCGCCGCTGTGCCACACCTGGTTTCCGCTTCGGCACATCGCGCTTCTTCCCGCGCGTGCTCGCGAGGAACTCGCTCATGCTCGGCACCACCGTCAGCTTCGGCAGCGGCATCTGTTGGAACGTGCCGATCATCTTGCCCGGCCGGCGCCTCCCCGGAACCGTGTACAGCGAGCTCGCCGCCGCGCCCGTCATCTGCGCCGGCCCGGACCGCGACGGCCCTGTCGCCACCGCCGCGGCCGCCCGGTTCTTCCCGTACAGCAGCGTCATTCGAGATCGGTGCGCGGCGATCTCCGCCGCCGTCGCCGTGCCCGTCGACAGCGTGCTCGTCTCCTCGTCCAGCCCGTCGCCCGTCAGGTTCGGCAGCACCGGCATGCTCTGCGTGTCCATGCCGTCCGTGTCAAGGCCGTCCACCGCGCCGTCCGCGAGCCGCGAGTTGGCGGACTCCTCCATGCGCTCCCGCTCGGCCTCGCGCTCCGTGCGCAGCCGCACCTCGAGCTCCGACCGCACCATCGTCGCTCGCGCAATCGCCTTGTCGACCGCGTCCAACTCGTCCTTGCGTCTCCGCCGCAGCCCGCGGATGGCGGACGTGCGGCTGATGGTCGACAGGTGGCTCGTTGACTTCTGCAGCCCCGGCCGGGTCCGCTCCTCGGGCAGCATGAACGAGACGGACGACTTCTCCTTGCCGATGCCGCCGCCCCAGGACTTCTCCAAGGAAAGGGAGGGCTGGCCTGTTCCTGGTATTTGTGGGAGCCGCATGAGGTCCGACCCGAACCCGCGCGTCTGCACCCACGACGGGATCCTCGACAGCTCCCTCTCCGACGCCACTGCGACCGCGGGGGGCACGGGCGCGACGCGCGTGAGCGGCAAACCCACCAAACACCGAATGCAACAGACAGTGGCGGTTAACGGCCGGCAAACCGCGCAGAAACTCGCTCGCTCGCAGGGTTACGTGCACGCAGGCGACCCGCGCACCTGCTGGCTCGGACTTGACCGGCCCGATGAAGGGGAGCTCCATGCCCAGGTCGGCGGCGGACGGCCCCACGTCCGACAGGCGCGACGCCTCGGCGCCGAGGTCGTCGTAAGCGTCGATCTCCTCGTCGTCGACGGCGGGGATGACGCTCTCCACGTCGGGCATCATCCACGTCGACTCGTCGTGGATGTCCCACTTGCGGTCCGCGCAGAACTTGCCCACAAGTCTTCCGTCCACGGAGAACAACAGGGGGTCCTTCGACCCGCCGATGCCCACGAGGAGGAACGACGGCGGCCCCGTGACCTCCGCGGACGGCCGCGCGTCGACGAACTCCAGCGACGCGATCGGGGGGGGTCCTCTGTCTTCCTGACCACAGCTGCTTGGAAGAACGCCACCTGGTCCAGGTACGGCGGCGTGGTCGCGCTGTGCGCGCCGCGGCCCATCGGCCAGATCACCTCCCAGATGCGGATCGCGCCCGTCGAGTCTCCGACCGCCAGCAGGTGCGCCCGCGAGCTGTCCGCGGCCATCGCGCTGACGGCGTGGTGCCGCGAGACCGACCCTTTCACGACCGAGATCAGGCACGGCACGAGCCCGATGAGCCGCCACAGGAGCACGCGGCCGTCCGCGGTCGCCGTCACGAGGGTCAGCAGGCCCGGCCCGCCCGCGTTCTCTCGCACAGCGGCGGCAATGAAGGACGGGTGCGACAAGAGCTTCTGCGTGGGCTTCCGTTCGGGGATCGACTTCTGCATCTCCAGCGAGCTCCGCTGCCTGAACATCTTCTTCACCCTCGGGGACCTCTCGGGCGACTCCACGCTGCTCTCGCCCTCCAAATCATCTTCCGCGATGTCGCCGCAAAACGAAGCCTCGCGGTTGAGCGCGTTGATGTCGCCCATCGCGAACTGGCGGAACGAGCGCTGCGCATTGTCCTCGGCGAGGCGCGACGCCGCCTTGAGCAGCGCGCGGCCCGAGGACCCAAAAAAGTCGCGTTGCCGCGGGCGACCTCCGGGGGACATGAGGACCATGTGCTCGCACGACATGTCGCTGGCCATCGCCGCGCCGAGGACCTCCGTGTGCAAGAATGTCAGCTTCTTCGAGAAGTTCTGCGGGGGGCAGCGAACGCGTCGCACGGCGATCAGCAGCGCAACTTTGGCGTTTTGGCATGTGGCGCGACACTGCACACGCGTGAAGGGCGCACGCAGGGTCCGCGCGGGCGCGCACCGACAGCGTCCAGACGATGATCTTCCCGGACTGGTCCCCCGTGTACAGCAGGTTCTGGCCCGGGTCGTAATCCATGCAAAGCACATCGCTCTTGTGCCCAGGGAGGCTCCGGAACTGCGTGTTCTGCTCGAGCCCGGGCACCTCCGGCCACGCGAGCAGCGCGCCGCGCCACCCGCCGTACACCACCCACCCGCCCTGCCCCTTGGCGTCCTGAGAACACATTTGGCACACCATGACCTCCGAGTCCGCGTGCGGGTGAATGTACTCCGTCAGCAGCTGCCCGCTCGTGAACGACCACATCCGCAGCTGCCCGCAGTTCGTCCCCGTCAGCAGCCGCCGGTGCGTCGGGTCCAGCGCCACGGCCGTGATGCGCTGCCCGCGGTGGACCTGGTTCAGGCGGTACTGGACGGCGCCCGTGTCGAGGTCCCAGACGATGACGTTCGCGTCGTTGTCGCCCGTGATCGCCGCGTTGAACGTGTGCGAGTACGCCAGCGCCGCCACGGGGCTGTTGTGCCCCTCGGACACCTTGGCCACCAGGCGGATGGGAAACGGCACGGGCCGGTTCGCCGCCGTGAGGACGCGGTTCCGAACCGGGTCCAGCGCCATCGCGACGGGCTTCCGGTCCGCGAACGTCGGGAACACCTTCGGGTCCGCCACGATCTGCTCCACCTTGGGCTCCCCGCTGCCCAGCGAGAACAGCTTGATCTGGAAGTCGGGGTACAGCACCGCCATCTGCCGCGAGCGCGGCACGTACGTCACGTCCTGCACGGGCATGTGCCCCGGCACCGTCGCGTTGATCTGCCCCGGGTCCACCGGGTCCACGTGCCACACCAGCACGTCCCACTCCACGCCCCACGAGGCGATCGCCGACCGCTCCGGCATGTGCAGCATCCCGTGGACGCCCTTGCTGTGGATGTTGAGCTGCCGGATGCACACGCCCTGCTCGAGGTGCAGCACGCGGATCGTCCCGTCCAGCGACGACGTGACCAGAAAGCGATAGTCCGGGACGCTTATGAGGCACGTCACCCAGTCGCGGTGGGACTTGTCCAGCACGGTGAACTTCATGCAGTCGATCGGGGCGTTGTCCCGCGAGTGCGAGCCCTGCTGCGACAGATGCATCTGCTCCTGGAGCTCCGAGAACCCCCCCTTGTACAGCCGGACCTCGCCGCACGTGTCGCCAAAGGCGAACGTCGAGCGGATCCGCGGCATCTCGACCGCGCAGAGGCTGTACGGGATCCCGACGGAGACGTTCGGCCCGCGCAGGCGGCCGAGCAGGAAGATGTGGCCCTTGCGGATGCGCCACAGCGTCAGGATTCCGTCCTGGGAGCAGGCCACAAGCACGCACCGCTCGTGCAGGTAGACCACGTCGGTGACGTGCGCGGAGCCCGCGCTGAGGACGCCCTGCGGCGCCAGCGTCTGGCCGTGCCACAGCCGCACGGTGCCGTCCCGGCTGGCGGTGGCGAAGCGGTCCAGTTCAGGAAAGTAGCGAATGCGCTCCACCGGCTCCGTGTGGGACGCGTTCCCGGCCATGTGCGGCCGCTTCTGCTCCGGATCGAGCATGCGCCAGTCCTCGCGGGCCTGCGACGCCTGCGTGGCCTCCTGCGGCGCCGAACGGGACCCGGCAGGACGGTTCCGTGGGCGCCAACACGGCATATTGTGTGCGGGGGGGGGAGTGGCGTTTTGACGTGGTTGGCGGGGGGAGCCGCTCGAGCCGTACCTTGAGGTGGTATATGTAGTCGGAGACGTCTTCCCAGGTGATGGTGCCGCTCTGGTCGGAGTCTGCGAGCTCGAACAGCTTGCCCAGGACGTCGACGCGCGCCTCGACCGTCGTTTCCGACAGCATGGGCCCGACGGACTCGATGAACTCGTCCACCTTCAAGCCCCGACCCGTCTGCTGCTCGTGGCGCTGCAGACGCGCGCGGGGGGGTGGCCTCGTGGTTGGGCTAGGCTGTCGCTCGGCGCGAGCGCGGCCGCTGCGGCCCCGGAACGCCGTCCCGTCCGGGTTCGCGGAGCCTTGCAGCCGTGTGATGGATCAGGCAGCGGCGAAAAACGGGTTGCGCTCGGAGGGCGTGCGGGAGGGCGGCAACATCCATCTAGGGCTGCCAGCTGCACTAGCGCCCAAATCAAGCGGTGCGAGGTCGCGGGAAGCCACGGACGGATTGCACGGAGACACACAAGTGCGAGACTGCACCGCGTCTGGAGCACGGAGCGCGGGACGGGCGGCAGGAGGGCACATGCGTTGAAGTGCAGCCCTCGGGGCGCTGAATGCGCCCGCACGGCGGCGCTCGCGACCCTCCGGGCCCTCAATGGCGAAATTACTGTCAGTGGCGTGCTGTGTGGCGCGCAAGGAGGCCGCAGGCGGCCGTGTGGCGGGCGAGCGGGCGAAAGCGAGGTGCGGCACTGCAACGCCGCGAAGACAGGCCGCCGAAGTCACGGGCCGTGAGGCCGCGGGTCGACGTGCATCGAGGGCAAGTGAACAAACAAAATCGTGCGGATTTGGAGCAGCGGCGCGCAGTCTGCGGCCGTCCGCAGGCTCTTTTCCCCCCTGGTCGCAGAGCGCACCTCCATCAGCCGGCGCATGGCCACGAGCTCCAGCGGACTAATGTTTTCGATCGACATGGTCGCGGAGCTGCAGGGCGGGCGGCCTGCGGGGCGTTTCGCCCCCTGCGCGAGCTCCCCTCCGACTCCAGGCCTCTTGCCTCAGTGCATCCCTGCTGCTGAGACAGCAAGCCCCCGCACGGCGGGAAACGAGCGCCCCTAGATTACACCAACCACGTGCGGCCCTGGCGCGGCGCGTGGGCTCGTCAACCGTCCCTTGCAAGCCGCGTGGAGGAAGCTGAAGGCCAATGCCCAGTTCAGGCGCAAATGCAGAGTCACCGAGGAGTAAATGCCACTGGAAATGAAGCAGCGCGCCGCTGGCGCGCCGCACTGTCTCGGCGGAGGCCTGCGGTCGCTCAGCACTGCTGGGGTCCACGTGCGGCACCACCGCCAGGCTGTCATGGAGCGCGGAGCTCATCTGGTCAACCCGCCACGTGCAGGACTCGTACGTTCGAAGGACGCGGGCAACTCGATACGGTCTGGCCCATCATCTATCTGGTGCGTCTTTCCCGCGCGTGCATGGGCCACGTGGGTGCGTTCGCGGGCACGTGGGCAGCAAGCCCTGTGCCGCCACGCGCAGCACCGGAGGCGTCCTTCGCGAGGAACTCACGCGCCTTGCGCTTCCGTCACACATAGACATGCGGGCGATGGTATCTGCCGGCAGCGTTCGCGCCACATTGGGCCGCCCCACCTGGGTTCGTTACAGCGCACCCGTCACGCCGCTGCAGCCTCCGCCGCGCTCTGTTTCGGCAGGTGCGCGGACGAACAAGACCGCCGCGAGGACGCGTATGACGGTCGCGGCTGCGCGGGCTTGCTTGTGATCAGTTTGGGATCTGGACGCGCTGTTTGGTCGTGTTTGCTGCAGTAAATATGCCTGCTGCAGCGGCGCGGATGCGGAGTGACTGCCCGGGCTGCCCGGCGAGACATCCGACCTGCGATGTCCGCTCCTGGCGTGAGTTCACATCGACAACGGTTACGCTCTCGGCGGAGCACAGCTCTACCGGTGTAGGAGGCGAGGCTTCTGCGTCCAGCCACACCTCTGTGGCGCTCTCGCCCACGGAATCGAACCAGCACTGTTGCGTTGCGCATCTCCTGCACGGAACAGTTCGGAGCGCTCCCGAGCGGGGGAGAACGGGACAGCCCCCCTGCCATCCCGCACCGTGCGGTGACCGGCCTGACAGCCATCTCAGGCCTCTACAGGCCGTCGCCCCGTCGCGGGCACGCAGTTCAGAATGTGGAGATGGGCACGGGCAGCGCGTATGGCAGGGCGAGGGCGTGGTGGACGCCCTTCCTGTTGGGGGGTGCCCTGGTATACGCTACCCTCTTCCTGGCGGAGCGGCAGGGTGCCGCCCAGCTGGCATGTGCGACGCTGGCGCTCGACACCTTCGCGCACGCGTCCGGGGCGGTCGCGCGCGATGACGGGCGGCGCTGTACGGCGGACACGAGCACAGGTTATCGTTTCGACAGCTTTTGGCCCTTCCCGCCCTTCTGGCTCGCCATGGAGACCAAGCCCGGGACGTGCGACAAGTACAGTTCGACGGGGCGCGGGGTCTGCGAGCGGATGGCTCACGGGCGAGACTTCGAGCCGGAGTGGCACGTGCGTGAGCATGCTGCGTCCATCACCTGCCGCGCTGACACACAGACTCACAGAACCGGGTTGCCCCGTGCGGCCGGCGGAGGCAGGGGCGGCCGAGGCCCCCGCGCCATCCCAATCGGCCCGTGACGTGTGCCGTCGTCACCGCGCGGAGAGCGTGGAACGCCGGGCGAAGCGACACCCGTTGCCGGTTTGTGCAGATCACGCCGCCATCATGCTGCTGCGCTGCTGACATGCACCGCCCCGCGCGTGACGTCGCAGGTGCGGGAGGCGCTAGCGAGTCTGCTGTTGCAGTGTCAGGACCCCGAGCGCCACTGCAGGGCGCTCGACATTGGCGCGAACATCGGTTACATGAGCGCGTTCATGGCGTCCCTGAGCACCGAGGTCGTCGCGCTGGAGATGCAGAGCGACCTGGCGAACCTCCTGCAGGAGACGGCGCGGATGAACTGCTGGCAGGACCGGTTCACCGTGCTCAACGGCCTCGTCGCGCTCGACCCCGCGATGGACGGCCAGATGCAAGAGGTCGACTCCAAGTGGGGCTGGCGGCCGTACGGCGGCCACAGGCCCGACTCATGGCACGTTCCGTTCATCCTGTTGGACAACATCGTCGACGGGAAGTCCTGGGACCTGATCAAGGTGCGGACGAGGGCCGCTCGGAAGCCCTGGGCGTGCGCACGCCGCGGCGGCCGGGTCCCCCCGCGGCGGCCGGGTCCCCGTGCGGCCGCGCGTCGCTGGTGTGCGCTGCGAGCTCGGCGGGCGCGAGGGGCGCCGTCGCGACCGCCGCTCATTCCGGTGCCGTGCAGATGGACATCGACTCGTTCGAGGGCGCCATTCTCGTGCGGCTCGAGGAGATGCTCTCGGCCGGGCGAATCGAGGTCCGCTCGATTCTCGTCGAGCTCAACCCCATGCAGGCAGAGGACGCCGCCGCCGCGGATCGCGCGCTCTACCGGCTCCAGCAGGTGCACGGGTACGACGTCTACCGCCTGAACATGCACCTCGACCAGCGGTTCATCAACCAGAAGGGCTGGGACGTCTACGCGCACTACCAGGATGTCGGCGTCGACCAAAGGTGCGCCCCGCCGCCGCGTTTCGATGCCTGCCCCTCCGCGCTCGTGCGCCACGTGGTGGAGCGCCAGAAGCGGCCTCGCCGGAGCTGCCGTTGGCGCTCCGCGCCCGGCGGCGACGACCATGCGACGCAGCGGTGGCTGCGCAATCACGAGGCGGACGTCGCGGACCGGTGTGTCGGTGTTCCGCGTGCGCAGGATCTGGGAAGAGATGTTCAGCGTGCGCCTCATGCGCTACCTCCAGCGCGCGCGTCAGCTGCCGGACCCGGCGGACTGGAGCAAGGTCAGCGGTGTCACCGTGCCGGGCACCGACCTGCCGCCACAGCTCCTCCTCACCAAGGACAACCTCCTGGAAACGACGCGCCTCGAACACCCGTCCGTGAAGCGGTACCCCCCCAACGCCAAGCCGTACGAGAAGTACGCCCAGCAGAACAACGTGCGCTTGGGGCCGGAAGCCTGCCCGCCGTGGGCTCCGTGCAAGGACGACGTCGTCCTGGAGTGACGCCGGCGCCCGCGGCCCTGGCAGGACGCGCGCGGGGCTGGCCGGAAGCATCAGCCCTCGGATGACTGGGAACGTGGCGCGGGAGGATGACCAGCCGACGGTGCACCGCCAGGCGCCGCTGGGAAACCAAGGTGAGGGCGAGGTCCCGTGGTATGCCAGGGCCTCGCTCGCCTCGCACGCGGCCCGCAGGACAGCTGCACCCGCTCGCGCTGCCGCGCAGGTCGAGGTGAAGGCCGGCGGCGCCCGTCAGCTGCGTGCGTGCTGCCAGCTCGGGGACGATGCGGCGCCGCCCTTGCTTGCACCCTCCAGCGCACATCCCTAGCACTTTATCGCGGCGCGGGATCCCGTGCGCACGTGCGTTCCGACCCGCGACGAATTAACCCTCTCCATACTCATACCGCGACCCGCAAGGAGCATTTCGCGGCGGTCTCTGTGTGATGTTCGACATGTTCGTTTGACGTGTATGGGCCGAGCCAGCGCGACGACGGGTGGCGCGTGCTGGCCTGGCCCTGCGCTGGAGCGATCGGGATCTGTCGGTGCGACGGGTGCTGGCGCCGGGGACGGTCGTCGCGCCACGAGAGAGTGCAATTCTAGTCGATACATCATGATGATGTCGTGACCGCGTGCTGCGCATCGCACGCGCACTCATTTGTGCCACAGGGTGTATCAGATCAAGAGACGGCCGAAAACTGCACCTGTCCGACGTATCATGCGCCTGGTGCTGCGTCACGCGCCGAACCCCTGGACACCAGCGCCAGGCCCCCGACCCCCCCTGCGGCATCCCTCCGCGCTCACAGGGCACGACAGCCGGCGCGAGCGACTGTTCACTGCAACCTCGTGCCGCAAGGAATTGATTCTGGAGCGTTGCTGCGTGGGTGACTGCTCGATCGGCCCTCGTAGGTCTTCTCAACACAATCCTGATTAAAGGCCACAACATGGCTGCAAAGGTTGCAGTTCCGCCTACGTGCGGCAGCCTGGCGAGGTGCCGCGTGTCCGCAGCGCCAGCTTCGCGCGCGAGGCCGGTGGCGCGCAGGTACGCAAGCGGCCTATGTATCTCGCCCCCGGGTGGCCGAATCCGCCCTCCGCGTCGACGTTCGCTCGCGTCAATCCTTAGGCACATATCAGGAAGTGGCGGCGAGTTGCATTGCTACACGGTGCATGGAGCGTCGCGGGCCCCAGCGTCGGATTCCCTGCATCGAACCATCAGACACGGCCCCAGCGGCGTAGACATGGGCGATGGCGAGCTGTGTCTCATGCTGATTTCATACTCACATCCTCAAGAAGCCCTCACAGTCGTCAACAGTCGCAAGATTCACGTTCCAAGCGCTCGACGAAGCTCCATCTGAATCCCCAGCGCCGCTGCGTCCCCCGCGCGCTGCAGGGCGGTGCGTGCGGCGGCCGCGCAGATGGACCGCGGCGCGTCGGGCATGGACGTCGAGGGCAACCGTCCGACGTCCCCCCGGGCCTGGCGCATCATGAGCCGCACGCTCAAGGCCGCGAACCTGCAGTTTGTCTCCGTCGACAAAGTGGCGAGCATGAGCAAGGGCGGCGGCACCATCATCGACGTCCGCCCCCCCGCGGACTACGAGGTGCGCGGCCGTCCCTACACACCACAGCCCCCGACGTCGCGCGGCCGCCAGGGCCCCGGGCGACGCAACGAGTGCAACCGGTGACGCAGCGCGCATGGTTCGGCCGATGCGATGCAGGCGGGCCACATCCCCGGCTCGGTCTCGGTCCCGCTGTACCAGCCGATCTCCGGCTGGAGCGTGCGGCAGATCTGGCGCCGCGCGGGCTTCGCGTTCTTCGGTGTCTTCAACGGCACCGAGCCCAACCCCAACTTCGTCAAGGACGTCCAGGAGGTGCTCTCGAACAGCAAGGTGCGGGCCGCAGCGTGCCCCCGTGTCGAGCGCCGCGCCTGGGAGCTGCGCGAACGGGCGGCGTCGCCCGCGCACCGCCTGTCCGTGCAACCTGCCACGTGCGCTCCAGCACTGGCCGCCTGACTGTCTCTCCTTTGTGCTGCGACGTCGAGGCGACCCACGGGCGCCGCGAGGGACGCTTGATACGCCGCGCAGCGCCAGCGTGCTCTCCGGCCCGCCTCTGTCCCTCGGACCCCGCCTGCAACGCATCCACGACGCTCTTTGTGCGCTGCTGCGACGCTGCGTGCAGGGCGCGGCGGTGCTGGTGTGCAGCCAGGGCGGGACGCTGCAGGAGACGGCCGCGAGCGTGGACGGCAAGCAGACGCGGTCGTTGATGGCGGCGTACGAGATCTCGTTGCTGGGCAAGTTGAAACAGGTCTCCGTGCTCGAAGGCGGCTTCGCGGCCTGGGCCAAGGCGGGGAAGGAGATCGAGGAGTGAGCCGTGCGTCGCGGCGCTGTGATGAGCCGACGTCGTCCGCGCCGCGGGACCGCGCGGCCCCACTGACATAGGGGGGGGGAGTGTCGTTTTGCCGGTCTCCGGGGGCTCGCGAGGGGCGTGGGGCGCGATGACGGCTGCGGCGGAGCGCGCGCGGCCACTTCTCGACGAGGGCGTGGCCCTGCGCGTCGTGCCCGAGGCCACGTGCGCGACCAGCGGCTTGGAGTGACTCGTGGCCTGCGAGGGCGGGACCGGGCGCGGGATTCGTGGAGGCGCCCGCGATGAGCTACGTCACCGGCACGCCACGCGCGACGGCCGGGTCGCAGTCGTTCCTGGGCACGTCTGGGTTCGAGTATGAGTCCTTCAGAGGCGAGACATTGAGGGGGCGGAAGTTCAGCTCGTTCGATCGCGACCAGCGCGTGAAACAGTTCTCGGCGACGAACGTGTTCGTTCTGAACTGTGGCCGCTCCGCCGCGGGCGCGCCGCGGCCCTCGAACGGTGAGCGCGGGCGCATGGCCCTGGGGTGACCTCCTCGCGCACATCCTTGAGAGCCAGCGAAAAGCTGTCGAAGCGATGGCCCTGAGTAACACTGTGTTAGAGATAGCGTGTCGGTGCCTCGAACGCTGAAACCGGGCCGTTTCAAGCGCCCTGCGCGGCCCTGTCCCTCTGGCCACCTGCGGGTAAGCGCGACGGCGGGTGCCGACGTGCCACGTGCCTCGAACGTCGCTTGCAGGCAGCATTCCGGCACCACCGCACACGACGAGTCCGCTGAAGCAATCGGCGGGGCGAAGCCGGACGTACTTCCCGCCTGCGGGCAAGAGCACGGGCTACGGCACCCACGCTCAGCCTTTCGACGTCATCACGGCGGAGCGCCTCGAGGCGAGCCCCCTCCCGATGCGACGACATGCTTCCTCAGAACCTTCCCGGCGCGCCGAAAACCCTGCGTCGCCGCGGAGGGCCGCCCGGTGGCGCGGTCATATGGCCTGCAGTCGTTGCCCTCGCGCGTCGCGACGCATCGATCATTTACCCTGAAACTCGCTGAACCGTAAGACATCTATCAGCCATCAAGCTTGATTACACTTCCCGCCATATTCGTCGCACTCACGCGCGCAGCGACCGCCTCGGTCCACTTGGCCAGCCCGCATCCCCTCACCGCCCCTCCGGCCCCGCACGCGCGTCGCGGCGATCTCGCGCCCGCATCACCACGACTTCAGCCACCCGATGCGTCTCGCAACGCCCCCCGGGACCCGTCGCGGCGTCCCACGTCGCAGTCAACGCCCACCACCCATTCGTTGTGTCAGCCCGCCCCCGCGCGCCAAACGGACGACGCGCCACGCCCGCGCGCAGGGGGCGCTCGCGGAGGCTCCGCACGACCGTTTCGGGAAGCGCATTCCCATCCACGCGCTGCCCGAGGAGCGGCGCCGCAGCATCAAGTACCTGTCAGACACAGCGCACCGGATCCCTACGGCGCGGACGCCCGGGGACCTCCGCGCGATGTCGCCGCAGTTCCGCGACGTGAAGGAGGCCTTCAAGGTCAACGCGCTGTCCTCGGGACACACGTAAGTTCTCGACACCCCCCCCCTGCGGGTGCTGCGCATGCTGAGCGTGGGCAGGGGGGTGCCGGCGCCGCTGCCGCCCGGCAGCACGCACCTCGGCTGAGCTGCGCTCTGCCTGCGCGCGTCGATCTCGGGCGCCGACCACGCGCGCTCCACACGCTGGCGGCGACGTCGATGAGACACAAGTGGCCTGAGTCTGACTCACTGGAACCCCCCCCTCGCGCCGCAGCACCGCGCCGGACCGCGCGCAGTTCCGCTACGTGTCCCACGCGAAGATGATGGCGGACCGCGCGCGCGGCTGGTACGCCCCGGTCTCTGCCACGGACGTCCACCGGCGGCCGATGACCAGCGCCTGCGCGTACGGCGGCTTCGCGCAGACCTCCACGTGGGGCACGGAGCGCATCTCCGCGGCGCTGGGCGGCGAGCCCGCGCCCGTGCCCCTCGGCGCCAAGGCCAGCCAGGCCGCCTTCCACCCGCGCAAACTGTGCAAAGAAACGCGGTACGCGGAGAGCCTGCGCAAGGCCGTGCTGCACGCGGCGGGCTACGACGGACAGTGCAGCTAGCGCGCCGGTCGCCGGGCCCGGGCGGCCCCACCCGCGCCGCAGCGGGGCAGGAGTGCGCCATGTGACAACGATCGCGGCTGCCGGCGGGAGGGCCGCGTGGCGCGGTGCGCGACGTGTGGTGGGACGTTGCTGCCAGTGCGGAGCGCGATGTCGGAGGCGGCGCGCTGCACCGGTCGCGCGTTGCGAGGGCCGGCCGCGGTGTTGTGTTGCTGCGCTCGTTCCACGGGGTAGGCGCGCGCGGTGGACGCGGTGCTGCACGCGCCGCAGTGCTGGGCACCGGCGACGTTCGCGTGGCGGCGCCGGCCGGATCCGATGCGGCGTCTTCGTCACCGGCGGTGTCCATTCGGCGGTGAGCCTCACCAGTCTCAAGAGCACCGTCGGGGAGCAGCGCGAGACTCGTTTGCGAGGACCTGTCGTGCCATCACACGCGATATCAGAAACCACCTCGCGCGCGGATCCGCTGCGAATTATGACCGCGCATCCGCGCCCCCAGCGCTCCTCTGGCCCAGCCACCAGAGAAGCCAGCTGCTAACGGGGGGGGCGCTGCGCCCGCACGCAGCCCCCCGCCCGCAACCACACGCCCCACCATCGGCGCGAAACCCGGCCGCCTGGGCTCCAGAGCCCCCGGCCGCCCCGCCACCGTCCAGCAAGCTACGCAAGCACTCCACTGGCCGGCACACCGTCGGATGGACCCGGCTGGGCCATCGTTCCCCACGTTCGTGCCTGCAGAAGCAGGAGGGACCCGGGGCGCGCGTCAGGCCCGCAACGGGGAGCGCGCACGGGCGCGGCGAGCGCGGCTGCTCGGGCCACAGAGGCCCATCGCGCGTCCTGGCGCCCCCGCAGGGCGGCTGGGGCGGCCCGCGCCGGACGCAAGCGGCCTGGTATAGTCTGGTTTCCGGAATGCGGGTCCCGCGCGGCGATGCGGCGCCCTGGCGGGCCCGTTCGGGGCCGATAAAGCCCGCACCTTCCCCGCTCGCCCAGTTCAGTTCAGCTCCTCGATGACGGCGTCAGACTTGCGGATAATCTGCGAGACCTTGAAGCGCTTGGCCTTGCTCTTCGGCGGGATGGGCGCGATCTCGATGAAGTCGCCCGTCTTGGCCTGGCCCTCCTGGTCGTCGACGATGTAGTTCTTCGACGACTTGTAGAACTTGCCGTACTTCGGGTGCGTGACCAGGCGCTCCACCGTCACCGTGACCGTCTTCGGCACCTTGTTGCTCGTCACGGTCCCCTGCAGCTTTTGCGCCATGCACGGAGCCAAGCGCGCCGAGCCGGCCCGGGGGGCCAGCGACGGCTTCACGAACGACTTGGGGGCCACAACCGACTGCATGGTTTCCAATCCGCGTGCAGGCCGGCCCGCGCGGCGCCCGCAGCCAACAAGCCGGCCGGGACACGGCTCGACGCCCCCTGTGACCGCACCCCTCATACCTTCGCCTCGCTGACGGCGGGCGAGCGCGCTCGGGGCGTTTCGGCGCGTCCGGACGAGCGCAACGGCACTCCGCTACGAGCCGCGACGCTACAGCGATCGCCTTGGTGCCGGAGAAGCACGCTGCGCGCCCACAGAGGTGTGATAGCTAGAGCGCGTTTGGCTGCGCTGGGAGGACCCGCTCAATAGTTCGGGGTGCGATTCTGATCAGTCGTCGAGACGAGTCACTGATACAAGGGTGTGAGCGCGTGTTGGGCGTGAGGTGAGGGAATACGACGGCATGAGTGACAGTGGGGACGCTCAGCAGCCGTCCCAGGGCCGGGACGCGGATGAAGCCCAGGCGACTCCCCCCAAAACCGACGCCAAGGTGAGTGGCTCAGCCGCGGATCAACTTGCCAGGTCCCGCGCGTCGCGCTGGGCGCTCCTCCGAGCCCTCAGGTTCTCAATGTGCAACGAATGCCCCTCGTGCGTGTCCGCCAGCGCATGTCCTGCAACGATTGCCCCACGACGCGACAGTCCTGTCACAGCCGACATCACACGCCACTTGGTGTCGCTCTGCGTGGCCTCCAGGGGCCGGAGGAGGAAGAAGAAGAGGAGGAACAGGACTATGTGTCCTTCGATGCCTCGAATTTCTACAAGAGCCTGACGGAGGCACAGAAGGACCGATACGGCGACTACCAGCACGGCGGGTTCGGCCCGCTCTCCGTCCAGGCCATCATCGCGGAGGTCTTCGCCGACCAAGCCGGCACCGAGGCGGCCCTCAAGGACAAGGTTCTGGAGGACGCGACCACGATCCTCGCGCGCGTGACGAAGATCTTCGTGGGCGAAATCATCGAGCAGGCCGTGGTGCGCGCCCGCGGCCCCACGCCCGTCCGCGCACACCTCGCCGCAACCGGTGTCGTGTCGCGCAACATGTGCTCTGCGTTCGTGCGCGCTCGCAGCTCGCGAGGCGGGCGCGCGGCGAGGACGGGCCCCTGGCGCCGGACGACGTCATCGCGGTGTTCAACCGCATGCAGCGCGAGGGACGCATCCCATCGATGCACAAACGCGCCCGGCTGTTTTGATGGAACGGCGTCGTCTCGCAGCGACGTCGTGTGAATAGGCTTCCTCCTCGGCCGAGGACCTCGTTGCAGGGGACGCGGTGCGTGCTGCGGCGACCGGTCGCGCGCCGTCCGTCCTCGAGCAGTTTCCTGCCCCGTGACGTCATCGCGCCCCCACGGGTGCCGAATCACTCTCAGCGAAGCGAACCTCGGAGCTTGCTGAAGGCCGCAAGGGCGACGTTGATGGACCGCACCAGCCCCTGCCTGCAGAACACGCACGAACCACGCCGCGGCCTCGCCCAATGCGCGCACCACGACCACAGCGGCAGCTCTTCACCTCCACGCGCATCCCTCACACCGCCTCCCGGGCCCCACCGCTCGCTCCCTCCCCGCACGCTCACGCCAGCGGCTTGAACACGCAGCTGTTGGCATGGAGCTCCTCTCCGTGCTGGTGCCGCGCCCCGAGCGGCACGAGATACAGGTCCCGCACGAGCCCCTGGCTCAGCCCCTGCTGCACCTGGAACTCGAGCTGCCCCTGCATGTCGATCCGCTCCACGTGCTCCCGCAGCGCCCGCACCAGCGCATCCTCCCCCACCTGCCCGGACTCGACCAGCGGCAGCAGGTCCTGCTCGTCCTGGAGCCGCCGGCGCTTGGGACCGGGCGCGCGCTCCTCGTACGCCATCGTCTCGAGCACGCCGGCGATCGCGCGGGCCGCGTCGGGGATGTACTTGGACAAGTTGCGCTTGCGCTGCTTCTGCTCCCGCGCCGCCTGCTGCCGCGAGATCTTCGCCTTGAGCTGCGCCGCGGACGCGAGCGCGCGCGAATATTCAGGCGCCGCATCGCGACGCAACGCCGGGCGGATGCGAAACAGTGAAGGGGGGGGTAATTTGGTTGCGTACCTGCTGGCAGCACTGCTGTATCGCGGCCTTGACGGCCTGCCGGATGACGTCGATGTCGTCGGCCATGTACTCCTTCCCCGCGCCCTTGAACGGGATCCGGCTCGACACGATAGACACGAACACCCCCACGCGGTCGGTGTGGTGGTTGATCTTGTACGCGCCCCAGTTGATCCGCTTCGTCGCCGTCTGCGTCACCACGTCGCTCCCGGCCTCGAACAGCAGCGGAATGCGGTTCGCGAACCGGTACACGTTGATTCCGGGCTTCACGTCGCGCCCCCCGATCGAGACCCCGGCCTCGACGATGAACGCGTGGCCCTCGTACGCGCGCGCAGGGCCCTCGTGCGTCGCGACCATCTCCGGCCGCAGCTCCTTCATGATCCCCAGCCGCAAGTTGTACTCCCCCGCGGGACTCAGGTGCGCCCCCTTCGGGTCGGGGAAGCGCGCCTGGTGCAGGAGCTGGTGCAGCCGCATCACCTGCTTCGTCGACAGCTCCGTCGGGTCCGACTCGGGCTCCACGCCCATGCCCACCTCGCACGCCAGGCGTTCCGCCAGGTCCTTCTTCACGCAATCGAACTCCCGCGTGAGGAAGCGCAGGAGCGTGGGCTCGCGCGTCGTGGCGACGCTGTGCTTGAGGAGCTCGAGGTCGACCGCCGCGGGGTGGTACCGCACCTCCTTCGGCGACCGCGGCATCTTGTCAGCGCGCCGCTCAAAGACTGCGTGGAACGACGCCTTCTCGTTCTCCTCCGCGACGTACTGCGCGCACGAACGGGGTGGGGGAAGTGCCGCGTAGGGGGAGAGCGCGCGGGCTGCGACCTGTGCGGAGCGCCGGGCTGCGTCAGGACGGGGGGGGGTGTGTGTGTCGTACCCTGAGGGAGAACTGGGCGTAGGGGGTAATGACTGCGATTTGACGGAAGTAGCTGAGGAGCTTGGCGCGGTAGTACGGCCAGTTGCCTTCGATGACGACGGAGAGCTCGCTGCCGCGCCAGCCCTCGTCGTTGGGGAGCGTGGCCTCTTTGAAGACGTCGGGCAGGTTGGCATGGATGTCGATGCCCAGCTCGTAGTGGCTCACGCGGCCCGACCGGGACGTGGCCGACGCGATCTGCGGCGGGCGGGGAGCGCGGGGGGCGCGTCGGAAAGCGTGCGAGACCAGGACAACAGACGTGAACAACAATTGGGAAAACAATGGTCATGGAAAACGCGATGGGCTGCGCAGGCGGCGGCGGAGCGAGGCGCTGCGGGGGAGGTGCGCGGCCGCTGCACCGCGCCGCGGCGACCGGTGGTCCCGAGAGTTGCACGGCAGTCGAGGACCCTCGTCTTTGCGTGCACCGGCGCACCTTGATTGGCAGTCCGGTGCTCATTTTCGCCCAGATGAGCGCCATCTTCGCGCCGAGGCCGAACTTCCCGCGCGTCTGCCGCACGCCGTACTTGGTGCCGGACAGCACGCGCCCCAGCATGTCCGGAATGTCCTTGTGAGGCATTCCCATTCCGTTGTCTCGGACAGTCACCCGGTAGAATATCTTCGCGCCCCGGGCCCCAGCGCGCTCGCGCTGCCGCTCGAGCGTCTTCCGCATCTTGTCCGCCGCCTGCTGCCCCTTCTCCTCCTCGACCTTCTTGATCTTCGCCTCCTCCCTCGCCTCCTTGGCCGCTCGCTTCTTCCTGTCTGCTTCCGTCTCAAAGTCGTGGTACAGCTCCTCGTCCTTCCTGTTCGCGTTCGAAATACCTGCGTGACGGCAGCAGCAGCGCGTGCACAGGCGCGCGGGTGAGCTCGCGGCGTGAGCACGGCGAACCGAGCGAGAGAAAACGCCGCGCCCGCGGTTTGTGTCAAGCGGACTCGGGCGGCGGGGAGCGCGCGCGACGTGCCTCGCATCGTGTTCAGGGTCTTCTGCGATATCTCCTCGATCGTGACCTGGATGTCCGGGAGCGTGGAGATCGACTCCGCGGCGTCCAGGCTGTTCTCCACGAGCTCCCGCACCGAGGTGTAGAGCGACTTGCCCGGATTGTCGAACCCCGCGATGTTCCTGTTCTCCGCGAAGAACTCCGCCGGTGACTGCGAGCCCACGGAAACGCGGAGCGCATCGGAAACGCCGCCCTGCGCCCCGCATTGCGCGCGACGTGCCAACTGTCCTTGCACGCTCTTGGCGGGCCGCCCCGCGCACCTTCTGCGTCACCTTCCCCGCATCGCCCTTCCCCTTCGGCGCCATCCTGACACACGCTGCGACCCACAGCCGCGCTTCGCCGGTAGTTCTCGCCCGGCGAGCAGCCTCCGTTGCCTCTTCGTCACGCTGCAAACAAATGAGCGCCCGACACCACGTTCCCGGACGCGACGCCGTCCACGTGCGTGGCGCTGAGCGTCCCGGCCGGATGTGCGGCGTCCGGCGGGTGCGGACGGCAACGGAGGGCTAGGGGCTCCTGCCGCGTCGTGGTGTCGGTACCGTACACGGCCCAGAGCCGTCTGACCGGGCCCGTGCGCGCTTGCGGCTGATTGCACGCAGCTCGCCGCAGCCGCTGGCACGACGCAGGTGCTGCGCAGCTCCCAGACGGACCGTTGGGGCAGAGCGCGCCGTCGTTCGGGCCTTTTTGCACAGCGACGCGCACGTGCTTCATGTACGCCCGGGGCTGAGGAATATGGGCTCATTCAGCTGAAGCGGCTGAGCCATGAACAGGAGGGGCCAGGATGCGCAGTTTCGCCCCACGCTGCCGCAGAACGGCGCGGAGGAGGGCGCTGCGAGCGCACAGGGCAGCGGAAGCAACAAGACCGCCTCTCCTGCTCAGGAGCGGAGCCAGGAGCGGGCCGAGGGCGAGGCGGCGGCCGATGTAGCCCTCAAGGTGTCGGCGGCGGCGGCGCGCACCAAGTCCGGGCCCGCCGACGTGGTGCGTGCAGCGGGCGCCATGCGAGCTGAGAGCAGCGGCACGGGCCGGCTGCGGCTCAAGGTGCTGACGGGCGGCGACGAGTCCCCGGCGACGAGCTCTCCAGCGGTACGGCAGATCCACCACGCCCACACGGTCGCGGCTCACGAAATCCACCGCGCGTTTCACGGAGACGACAAGGACGAAGGAGACGAGCTGGCCCGGCTCGGGAGCGAGGAGCTCTCCCGGCTCAACACACCCGACCTGATAGAACACCTCAAGGTGCGTCTGCCAGGCGGCCCTTGGGTCGTGGGCGACCGGCGGCGAAGCGCTGCAACCTGTCTTCGCAGCGATGTCTTCTCTGCGCGACGTCCCCCGTTTGCGGGATGGAACGGCAGCTGAATCGCAATGCACTGACGCTTCGTCTTGGTTTAGTTCCGTTTGGCTGCAGAAAACGGATTACAAGGGCGAGGGGGCGGCGGAGGCCGCCGGTGAGCTGCAGGTGTGGGACATTCAGGCCAAGCTCGACAGCATCGCCATGCGGGCCGCGCCGGTCGTCGAGGACCCACGCTGGCAGCGGCCGGACGATCCCCTCCCGCTGCACGACCCCCCGCCGGAGCGCCTCCACGTCGTCAGGGAGGAGCTCAAACTTATCAGGTGACAACGCGCGCCGTGCCTGCCGCCCCGGCGAGCCCTGCCCGCCCTGCGCTGTCTGCGGACCGCGGGCTCTCCTGGCACGCAGCGTGGCGTGCGGTGCGGCGACTTCCGGACTTGCAAGCACGCATGGACGGCAGAGTGAACAGGTGTCTTTCAACCTCGAGTGCAGGCGCGTGGAGGACCTCGCATTGCCTCAGGCGAGCTCCTGGCGCCCCGACAAGCCTCTGCCGAATCCCGCGAACGCGGACGTGATGCGCGAGGTGTCCAGGGCGGCGCACCTCGTTGCTGACGGCACCTGGCCCAAGTCCGAGGCGTCGCGGTCCGTGTTCTGCCGCTGGGTCATCAACCACGACATCTGCCAGGTGCGGCCACGCGCAAGCAACCATTTCGCCGCCGTTCACGCCCCCTCGCAAACCACGCACCACCAGACTGCCACAATTGTTCTTTGCTCGCCTCCCGCGACGCCAGGGCCCTCCCGACCCCCGCGCGCCGCAGATGGTCCTGGCTCTCTTCTGGGTCGTCTTCGCGGAGTCGTTCAAGCAGAGCAGCCCCGACCGCGAGGCGGCTCTCGATCACTGCTTTCGCGCATTTGGGCACCACTACGCGGCCCGCGTCATCAACCCGCGCTACGAGGTCGTGCGCAACAAGCTCGAGCACCACTGGGGCCCGCGCGAGGAGCGCTACTGCTCGCTGCTCCCGCACGTCACCGCCGCGGCCGCCCTGGAGGTGTTCCGCACCGCCTTCCCGCTCTCCGCGCACAAGTTCGACAACCCGTCCTTCAGGCAGCGGCTGGAGGACGTCCTCAAGGCGTGGGTTGCGGGACACCTCCCGAGCCTCACGCACCCCACCATCGTCGAGGGGTGCGGGCCCCGCGCGCGATCATTCAACCTCCCCCGCCTGTGCATGCTTGGGACGCAGGGGCTGCGCCCTTCGGGCGCGTGTGTCGGCTGACGCGACGTCTGTTTGCACCTGATGATCCATTCACAGGCGCAGAAATGCCTGTGTATCGAAAGGGAGGCGTTCCACTCATCGTGGTTGTCGCAGTGCCGCGTGTTGCGCAGGAGCGACGACGAGGAGCCTGTCCGCGGCGGACCTGTCCCGCCGGGCGCCACGCGCGCCGTCATCGACGCCGCGAAGCTCGGCACCCCCGACGGCTCCCCGCAGCAGCCGACGAAGTCCCGCGGCACCTCGGGCCGCAACCACGGCTTCAAACCATCCGCGACGGCGCCGGCGGCCATGCGGGCCAGCCCCGAGCCGACGCTGCCAGTGCAGCGCGGGCCCTACCCGTGGAGCCGCTGCCGCGCGGTCGCCGAGGCCACGCACGTGGGCGCGCAACAAACGCGCCGCGACGTCCACGTGCACACGCTCCTGGGGCAGCCGTCGAACTTGAGTCCGCGGCGCGGCGCGTCGGCGTCGCAGGAATTCGCGCAGGGGCTCATGCACGCGGCCGAGACGGTGCAGGCGGTGCGGCGGGCGGAGTATTCCAAGTCCCCCGGGGGGCAGGCGGCGAAGGTCGGCGGCGACGGACTGGGCACGCTTCCGGAGGGGCACCCGGGGTTGCAGACGCTGACGCGGATGGTGGAGTTTCGGGAGAAGCAGGCGGCGCACAAGAAGGCCTACAGGGAGATGCAGCAGAGGCTGCGCAAGTCGGGGGTTGAGGTCCAGGCGCCGGAGGGGACGCAGCGGTCGTTGCCGGACATGGTGCGTCCAGCGAGGAGCTGTTGTGCGGCGTGCAGTTGGAATGATAGCGCGCGGTGTATGACGCGAGGCAACATGGACCGGAATATCGTTTTTCGTGTTGGAATGTTTGAGTTGTGTGTGGCGCTCGCAGGACGAGGAGACCGACCAGAGCGTGCTGGCGGCGGAGAGCTCGCACGACAATCTGAAGCGCGGGTTCTTCGCCGAGGGCGCGGGCGGCGGTGGGTGGGCGCGGAAGAAGTGGGCTGTGGGTAAGAAGGGGGTAGGGGGCGGTCTTGCCGGGGCGCTGCTGGGCGCGGTGCGGGAGAAGAAGGCGCAGGACGCGCGGGAGGCGATGATGGACGCGGAGGAGAAGGAGGAGGGCGACAAGGCCCGGCGAATCAGCGCGTTGAGTGACCTCGTGCGCTTGGAGGACAGGGAGGGCGCGAGGGAGGAGGAGGCGGCGCAGCTGAGGCGGGAGCGCGCAAACGCGATCGCGAATCGCTTCATGGCGGTGAGAACCCGCGCCCGGGACGGCGGCTCCGCTGCCTGGCGGCCTGCGTATGCGCCACATGATTTGCGCGCTCTGCGGTCCGTGCGAGCTCGAACGTGTGTGTTGACGTGGTGTGCGGCTCTGGCATGCTGTTCGAGTTCTGTGTCCCAGCGCTGGAGCCTCGATCGAGGAACAAAGGCCCCGAATCGCTCGCAAACACCCTCGTGTTGCTGTCTTGCGTGCCCGCAGGCGCTGCGCCACTCGGTGCAGTCCGGCCTGGACTCCCAGGCGGAGGAGGAGCCGTCAAACGTTGTCCCGGTGGTCGACATGCCCTGGGATGCCCACCGCAAGCGCATCATGGCGCGTCCTGAAGGATTTCCGCTCAACGGCATATCCCCCGCCGTCGCGGTGCACCTCCAGCAGCAGGGCATCGACACGCAGCGCTTCGTCGGCGCAGGCCTCCTGCGCACCGAGATCGGCCAGCCGAACCGCTGGCGCAAGCCGCCCGTCCTCGTCAAAGCCGCGGCCCCGGGCGACATCGCGTTCACCGACCCGCAGTCCGGGAAGGACCGCGACCGCGCCGCGATGACGTACCGCGAGCGCGTGGACGCCGCGGTCACTGACGGCGGCGCGGAGGCCGCGGAGAAGGCGTATCGGCAGCGCCGGGCCGAGCTCGTGCGCGAGGTGACGGCGTTGCGGCAAGCGACGGCCGCCGAGGCGCGGGACATCGAGAAGGAGCGCCGCACGCTCGGGCAGCGCGTGGACCTCGGGAGCTCGCGCGCGTCGCAGATCAGCAAGAGCCGGTGGGACTGGCGGGGCGAGATGGAGAAGGTGTTTCAGCGCAAGGCAGAAGGGCGGCCGACGAGCTCGCACACGCACTCGCTGCAGCGGACGGTGTCGACGGCGACGCGGCTGGCCCGCGCGGAGCGCATGCGCGCGGAGCGGGCGGCCGCGGTGTCGGGTATGAAGCCCGCGGGGGAGAAATCGACGGCGGTGGCGCTGGCGAAGCCGGCGCGGGAACGGAAGGCCGGGGAGGCGGAGAAGGCGCGGCCGCGGGGCGTGGATGGCGTGCTGGGGCCGCTGCACCGCGACGTGGTGGACGCGGAGGTGCACTGTCGGGTGCACAAGGCGGGGGGAGTGAGGTCGGAGCAGCAGGAGCTGCCGCCGGCGTGCGGGGTGCTGCGGTTCCGGAGACACGGCGAGTACGGGGCGGTGGGGGCGCTGCGGACGACGCGCGAGAGCAAGCGGGCGATGATGCGGCTGCACACAACGACATAGCAGATTGCACACGAATGAGATATGGAAATATAGGCCTTGGTTGGTTGTATATCTGGTGGTTGAGCAGCGGACGATGCCCCCGTCTCACAGTCAGAGTCCTGCAGCGCGAGGAGCGTCTTCCGCGGCGGCAGGAGACCAGCCACACCGGTGCAAGGACAGATACCAATCCTTGTTCCCTCGCTTCCTCCTTCAGACTCTCGAGTCCCCACCCAGCTCCCCCCTCACGCATTCATCGGGCGCTCGATCACCTCCACGTCCCCGCTGTCGCTGCTCACCTCAACAGCCTTCCCCACCTCCAGCGCCTCCTCCCCGGGAGCGCCCGCCGCCGCAGCGCCCGCGCCCTGCGCCGGACCCGCGTCCGCGGCGCCCGCGGCGGCCGGCGCTCCCGTGCCGAGAAGATGCTGCATCGCGTCCGGCATCGCCTTGGCCGCCTCTCGCGCCTTCTGCGTCTTCTTGTCCTTCAACGCCTTTGCCCGCAGCTCCACAGTCGCATCGAGCTCCGCCGCGGCCTGCACCGTCAACGCCGCGTTGTCCAGCCCCATCAGCCCGGCCTCGGTCAGCCCCGCGGCCTCCACGTGCTCCCGGCGCACGAACCACCGCCCCTGCATGTGCTCTCCCACATCCTTGATCTTCGATTTCGTCCCGGCCTTTGTGAGACCCTGGTCGGGGTGCGCGGCGACGAACGCGTCCGTGAGCTTGTTCACTTGTAGCGTCGGGTTCGTCGCCATCGTCGTGATCAGCGCCGCGCACAGCGCGTCGGGGAACGGCTTCTTCTTACGGCCTGGGGCGTTGGCGGCGCCGCGGCTGCCCTCCGCACCCTTCGCCCCCGCGGAGGCCGCGTCGCCGGCGCCGTCCTTCGCCTTCGCCGCGGACGGGTCGAGGAAGGCCTTGCTCGCGTCCAGATTGATCGCGCCGGGCGCCATGAGGAGCCCAACGGGAATAGCGCCGAGCAGCAGGGAGTTGTTGTTGCCGCTGCGGCCGCCGAGCACGCTCGTCGGCGCCGGCGCGGCGGCGTCGCGCGTGAGCACGAGCGCGCGGTTCGTCCGCGGCGCCTGGTCGAGCGCGATCCCCAGCTGCGTCAGCAGCGTCAGGCGCGCCCGCCGCGCCTGCGTTGTCTCCGGGTTCGCGGCGAGCACCGCCGCCGCCTCCTCCACGCAGGCCACGTCGACGTCCGCGCCGCCGTCGTGCCCGACCGACTCCGCGGCGTCTCCGTCGGACATCGCGTCGTCCTGCACCACGAACGAGTCAGCCTCGTCCTCCTCCATGTCGTCGCCGTCGTTGTTGATGTCGCCGTCGAGGGCCTCGCCCTCGGGCTCCGGCTCCCAGTCCTGGTCCGACATGTAGTCGTAGTCCAGCTCGGGCTCCTTCGCCAGCGGCCGCCGCGCCGCGCACGCCGTCGGGCGCGCCGCCACGGACCCGAAGAACGCGGGGCGCTCCGAGTCGGCAGGGAACCAGAGGAGCTTCCGGCGCCACGTGAGGACGCCGGCGAGAGCGACTTCGCTCGCGGCGCCGAAGCGCGCGTCGTGGATCTCCGCGAGCGGCGGCGCGCCGGGGCGCCGCTGCCACGACGGCGGCAGCCCCACCGTCCGCGCGCGCGTGCGACGCCGCTCCGCGGCCTGGCGCCACCCGGCGAGGGCGGCGCGGAAGGCCGCGTCCACGTCGACGCCCTCGGCCTTCAAGCCCGCGTCGATCGCGTCGTCCCTGGGCGCGGGCGGGTCGTTGGTGAGGTGCGGGGTGGCGTGGGCGGTGGCGGTGGCGGACGGCAGCGAGGCCCTGCGCGCCGCGTCGGGGGCGCCCGGGGTGGCCGGCGCGGCCGTGGGGGACGCGGCGGCGGGCGCGGCCGTGAATCGGCTGAAGAACGCCTGCGACTTCTTCAGCGTCTTGGCAGACCCGAATCCTAGTTTGTCGGCCTTGCGCTGCGCCTTCTTCTCCTCCATCTGCTGCTTGCGCTCCGCCTCGCGCTGCGCCTTCTCCGCCTCGCGCTGCTCCTGCACGCCCACCGCGCGCACGCCGCGCACCCGTCAGCCCGCCGGACAGCGCACCACCAAACAATCCATCAGAGACTCAACCGCGGAGAAAACGGCAGTCTCGTTTTCTCGAGTGTTCCCGGCCCGCACCTGCTTCGTCTTCTTCTCCGCCTCCTTCTCCGCCTCCTTCGCCTTCTTCTCCTCCTCCCGCTGCCGCCTCTTCGCCTCCACCTCCCTCTTCCGCTCCTCCGCCTCCCGGCGCTTCGCCGCCGCCGCCGCCTCCTTCGCAGCCACAGCCGCCGCCTCCGCCGCCACCTTCTCCGCCTCGACCTTCTCGTCCTCCGCCAGCGCCGGCAGCTTGTCGCGCGCCAGCACCGCCCGCTTCACGCGCCCCTCGTACCCCCGCCCTGACGCGCCCGCCTCCAGCACCCCTCGCAGCTTCACCACCGCGTCCAGCCGCCGCCCCGCGGCCCGGCACAGCTGCCGCGCCGCCACCGCGCGCGCGCGCACGAGGCCCGCCGGGAGCGTCGTCTTGTCGACCGCCTCGAGCCGCGTGATCGGCCCGCACGCCCTTTCCTCGGACGCCGCCGCCACGGTCGTTGCCACCTCGCTGGCGCTCACGGACAGCTCGCGCTTCGCGGCGCGCGCCGCGGCGAGGATGCCCTGCACGATGTCGTCCCGCGAGCACGTCGCGCCCTCGACCGCGCACGCCACCGCGGACACCACGAGCCCGCCGGTCTCGTTGACGGGGCACGGCATCGCGTCGCCCCCGAGCGCGTGCGGCGGCGCGCGGGCGAGGATCGCGGCGCGCAGCGCCGCCTCCTCGTCCACGCACTGCTGCAGCAGCGCCTCGGTGTCGAACAGCCCGCCGTCCGCCGCGGGAGGCTGCGTCGAAGCCGGCGGGTCCTGCGCGGCCGCGGCAGCCTCCTCCGCGATCGCGGCGGCGGCGTCGGCGGCCTTGCTGGTCTTCCGGCGCTTGCGCTTGCCGTCCGCGGCCGCGCCGTCCTCCGGGCCGCCCGCCGGGGACATGGAATCCTTCTCCGTGTCCGGGACGACCTCCTCGGGACTCTCCTCGGGCGACGCGGCCGGCTGCGGGTCCGCGGGCGCGCCCTCCTTCTCCGCATGCTTCTTCGCGCGCACCCGGCGGCTTTGCAGCCAGTTCGCGATCGACTTGGGCTCGCATCCGAACTCGCTAGCCAGCTTCTCGCGCTCAGCCTTTTTAATGGTGTTGTTCTCTGCGCAGAATGTGACCGACAGGGCGGGTTCAGCGCGCGACTGCAAGCGGTTGGTCGAAACCGGTCCACGACGGCGCGTTGCGGGACCGCGCGAGCGGCTGGCGCGGCGTGGGAGCGGCGGAGAGGGGGCCACGCACTCTGGAAAAGCTCCTCGAGCTGCGCGCGCTGCCCCTCGGTGAAGACGGCGCCGGACTTGCGCTTCTTGCTGCCGTTCTCGACCGTCGGGGCCGGCGTCTCGCTCGCGGGGAGCGCTTCTACGGCGGGCGTGGCGCCCGCGGGCGTCGCACCGGCAGCGTGCCCGCCTCCGAGGCGCTTCGCCGGCGCGGGCGTGGGCCCCGCCGAGGGGTTCTCGGCCGCCCCCGCGGAGGACAGCGGCCTGCGGAGCCAGGGGCGGCGCGTGCGAGGCGTTTAGGCGCCGGCCGTGCGTTCCCGCGCGGACCCAAGCAGAGTCCTTTCAACCTCAAAGCTGGGCGAAAGGGGCGTCCGCGCGGGGCGCCGCGGCGCAGAAGCCGCCCCGCGCGGGCGCCGCGTGGAGGTCTGCGGACAGGCAACGTCTGCGTCGCGCACCTGGAGTCCTGGTCGCCCCCAGCGGGGACCCCGAGGGCTGGTTTGGCAGGCCGTTCGAAGCCCTCGTCGCCCTGGTTCGCAGGGGCGTCCTTGCGGGCCGGCTGGGCGAACGCGGCCATGATGGTGTTCTGGCCGCCCGACATGCTGCGCGAGACGACGCCAAACCGTCCCTGCGACGTAGGCGCGAGGCAATGCTCTCGTGGCAAAACTGCACGTGCGCCGGCCCCAGGGGAGAGTGTGCCGGGGATCGCCGATGCGCGGCCGCTCGCTGTTGCGCTGCGACGCCCGGGCGCGGGCCCGAAGTGCTGCGAGGCGGCCCGGCGAGGCCGGCCGCGTGGCTGACTGGTCGGACTGCGTCAGGCTCCATATGCGCTCCACGGGCGACAACGGCGGCGGTCCGCGCGCGCGACCGGTCCTTCGGTCCGTCGGGAACCTCCGCAAGCACACCCAAGATGATCTCGGCGTCTCGCATCACCGCTCCGGCCAAGCCGGCGGCAGCCCAGGCGCCGGCCGTCCGGTCCCGCGTGGCCCGCGGTGCGTTCGCCCGCCAGGCGCAGCGCCAGTCCGTGGTGGCGCACGGCGTGGGCGCGGCCCCGTTCTCGTCGAAGATCTTCGACGTCGAGGACGTTGAGTTCGCTGGGGGCAAGGAGAACATCCTCCGCGGTGGGCGCGACAAGATGCCCAAGCTCGTCGACGCGTGGAAGGCCAATGGAATCAAGGAGGTTGGCGTGATTGGCTGGGGCTCGCAGGCCCCGGCGCAGGCCCAGAACATCCGCGACTCGCTCGCCGAGGCCGGCCTCTCGGGCGACGTCCGCGTCGCCATCGGCCTCCGCAAGACGTCGCCCTCCTGGGCCGAGGCCGAGCAGTGCGGCTTCAACGAGGCGGACGGCACGCTCGGCGAGGTCTTCGACATTATCGGCCGCTCGGACCTCTGCATCCTCCTCATCTCCGACGCCGCCCAGGCCAACCTGTACGAGCGCGTCCTCGCGGCCATGAAGCCCGGCGCCACGCTCGGCCTCTCGCACGGCTTCCTGCTCGGCCACATGCAGACGGAGGGCGCGGACTTCCGCAAGGACATCAATGTTGTGCTCGTGGCGCCCAAGGGGATGGGGCCGTCCGTGCGCCGCCTGTACGAGCAGGGCAAGGAGGTCAACGGCGCCGGCATCAACTGCTCGATGGCCGTCCACCAGGACTCGACGGGCGCCGCCACGGACATCGCGCTCGGCTGGGCCGTCGCTGTCGGCGCGCCCTTCACCTTCGGGACCACGCTCGAGTCCGAGTACAAGTCGGACATCTACGGCGAGCGCATGATCCTCCTCGGCGCCGTGCACGGGATCGTCGAGTCGCTCTTCCGCAGGCGAGCCCACACGCCGCGCCCGCCGCACCCAGCCCACGTCGCCTCCTTCCCGCGCGCATTCCCGCCGCGTGACGGCGTTTCCGCCGCGGACGCCGCGCGCCGCGCACGCACGGAGCCGAATGCGCCACGAAACGCCCGGACCCCGCTCCTCTCCGCGCGAAGCCGCCGCCTGCTCCCCTGGTGCACCTCCAACGACCTGTTTCGCCCGCCGCCGCGCGCCGCGCCGCCCTCGTCCCTCCCCCCGCGCCCGCGCCCCGCCACGCACGACCCCGCAGGTACACCGCCTCGGGCATGTCCGAGGAGGAGGCCTTCAAGCAGACCGTGGAGTGCATCACCGGGCCCATCACGCGCATCATCTCCACCGACGGCGGCATCATCGGCGTCTACAACGCCCTCGACGACGCCGGCAAGAAGGTCTTCGAGCAGGCCTACAGGCACGCCTCGCACCCGCCCCACACAACCCTCCGCCGCGCCCCCCCCTCTCGTCCCCACACCAGGCACCCCTTGTCGCCCGCGCGCGTGCACCTGTACCCACCGCCCCGCGCTCGCGCCCCCGCCCGTGCAGCGCGTCGTTCAAGCCGGCCCTGGACATCTGCTACGAGTGCTACGAGGACGTGGCGTGCGGCAACGAGATCCGCTCCGTCATCAACGCGGGCAACCGCTTCGACCGCTTCCCGATGGGCAAGATCGACGGCACGCGCATGTGGGTCGTCGGCGAGAGCGTGCGCGCCAAGCGCGTCGAGGAGGACATCCCGCTGAACCCCTTCACCGCGGGCGTGTACTGCGCCGCCATGATGGCCACCGTCCAGTGCCTCCAGGACAAGGGCCACGCCTGGTCCGAGATCTGCAACGAGTCTATCATCGAGGTGCGCGCCTGGCCCGCCCGGAGACGACCTGCGAGGCTCTGCGCGCGACGGCTCGTGCGTGTTCGACACCGCAACGCGTTGCGTCGTGTTTTCATCGGGTGTGTGCGTGTGTGTGGATGCGTGCGCAGGCGGTGGACTCGCTGAACCCGTACATGCACGCGAAGGGCGTGGCGTTCATGGTGGACAACTGCTCGTACACGGCCCGCCTGGGCTCGCGCAAGTGGGCGCCGCGCGTGGACTACCACCTGTGCCAGCAGGCGTACACCGCGGTGGACCAGGGCGCGCCGGTGGACCAGGAGCTCATCGCGAAGTTCAAGTCGCACCCCGTGCACGCCGCGATGCAGACGTGCGCCGAGCTGCGGCCCACCGTTGACATTTTCGTGTCGGACAACGTCGGCGTCGGCGCCGGCCAGGCGCGCACCGAGTTCCGCTCGGAGGCCGCCACTGCGTAAGGGTGTGGGTGCACCGTAAGATGGGCGCGCTGTGATGCCGCGAGGGAACGTTGGCGCTGCTCTGCGGCGCCCGGGCTCATGCGTGGAGCTGCGCAGTGCGGGTCGGCCCAGCGGAGCGAGTCGCACCTCGGCTTGCACGAACGAAGCGGCAGCGTAGCGCGCAAGACGCATGCACGACGTGCGCCGCGCTGCACGATCGTCCCGTGGCCGCGTCAGGTAGAAATCGAGTCCGGTGGACATCCACACCCCCTGTCACGCCCCCTGAGCCGGCATTCGCCACGAACGTCTCTGTCACAGATCGGCGCCGTTGCCCCAGCGCTAGCTCGCGTGCGCCTCGCGCTCCGCCTTCATATGCGACCGCACAAGCCCTTCCGCGAGCGCCATACGCGTCCCGACGTCCACCGCCGCGCCGCCCTCCCGCACCGCCTCCTCCTCCACCGCCCGCATCACTTCCCGCAACTGCCGCATCCCCAGCGCCCCCGCCCCGCCCTCCGCTCCAAACACCCCCTTCAGCCGCGGCAACACCCCCGCCACCGCCCCTGTCAGCCCGACCCCCCTCCCCGACCCCGCCTGCAGCGCAGCCACCAGCGCCCGCGCCGCCGCCTCCTTCTGCGCCGCCCCGGCGCCCGCGCCGAGCTGCTCCGCGCTCTCCACGAGCTCCCTGAACCCCCTCAGCGCCGCCGCCGCCTCCGCCGCCGCGGGCCCAAACTCCCCCCCCTCTGCGACCCCGCGCCACGCCAGCGCGCTCCGCAACGCCCAGTCGATCTCCCTGATCGACGCCAGCAGCGCCCGGTCCTGCGCCCCGCCCGCCGCCCTCGACAGCAGCGGACGCAGAACAACGCATAAGAACAGCTCGGCGTCCTGGCTGTCCACCATGGCCTCCACGGCGTCCCCGGCGGCGCCGCGCAGCACCCCTGCGACCGCGAGCGTCCGCCCGAGGACCTGCGCGGCCTCCGGGAGGCCGTGCGCGCGGCAGTGCGCTGCCAACGTCCGTGCGAGCACGGCGCTCCGCTGCACCGCCCGCGCCGGGACGAGGCGCATCACCGCGAGCGTGGCGTCCCGTCCGTGCACGGGGCACCGCAGCAGGTACCGCGCCGCGGCCGCCCACTGCCCCGCGGCCGCCTGTGCGCGCACGAGCCGCAACACAAACAGCTCTTCTTGCGTGCACCGCGACGGGCCGGCAATCTCCCGGGAGAGCGCCTTGCTCGCTCCGGAGCCGCGCAGGAGCGGGAACACGTGCACCATGAGCCACTCGCTCCCCGGGCGTTCGCTGCAGAGCCGCAGGACCTGCTCGCGCTCCCCTGACGCGCACGCGTCGAGCAGGTGCCGCGCCCACGCGCATTCGTCGCCGTCGTCGCCGCCGCAGCGGCGGAGCCACCCGGCGATCTCGTGCGACATCGCGAGCGGGTTGCGGTGGAGCAGCGTTGCGGCGAGGACCTCCAGCGGGTCGGAGACTGCACCCTCGATGTCTTGCGAGCCGAGAAGCATGCCGATGATGGCGCGCAGGTGGACGACGACGTCGCCCGAGCACTGCTCCCAGAGGTCGCGCGCGCCGTGGAGGTCCTGGAGGACGGTCGTCCAGCCAGTGAGCTGCCCCTGGAGCTCCTCAGCGGAGGTGGCACGGCCAGAGGCGCTGCCCTCGGGCCCCACGGAGAGCCGCGGCATCCGGAGGATGGCTGTTCGGACGGCGTCGAGGGCCTGGGCGTCGGAGGTGGCGCCCTCGTCGCCGTGTCGGCTCTTCAGGAACGCAGAGTGCGACGCCAGAAGCTCGTCGGCCATTGCCTGCCACCCGAGGGCCACCGCGGTGCGCACGGACTTCCAGTACTCGGGGCGCTCCTCGGGGATGGCTCCGCTCTGCACCGCCTCGATGATCAGAGGGAACTCCACCTCCAGCTCCAAGGACGCGCTTTGCGGGCTGCACAGACAAACACGGAGCAACGAAGTGGCCTCAGAAACGCGCCAGCGGTCCTCGAACAAGGGGTTCAGCGTGGCTCGAGGAACACGCTGCGATATGCGATGCAGGCGTGCAGGAATCCGGGCAGCGCATCTCCGCAGCGCGACGGGAGGCGGGCCCATTATGGAGTGCAGGCAAGAGCGGGAACACGCGCGGCGTCCGCGAGGACGGGATTCAGTGTGATCGGAGCAGACCCGCCGGATTTCGTTGGCCAACGCATGCCAGCCGTGCCGTCGAGGGCCGTCGGGACGCACGCCACGCGCCGCGGCGAGCGTTGGTTGCTGGGCACCTTGGCCGCGGTTCCGTCTGCTGCGGCGGGCGTCGCACCTGCAGACCGCGGCGAAGTGTTTCCGCAGCCACTCCACGACCGGCTCCACGACCCGCCCCTGGTGCCGCCAACTACCCACGAAGAAAATCGACACGAGGCTCCAAGCGGCACGCAGCCGAAGCACGTCGAGCTCGGCGTCCGTGGCGGGCAGATGCCCGACGTCCATGCACGCCTCGATCCCCGCGGCGTACTCCATCGCCTGCGCGGCCTGCTGGGGGTCGGATAGCCCGCTGGGGCCGCCTCCGGGCGCCTGCGCTGCCCCCTGCTCGTACAGCACCAGCGCGTCGTTCCCGAGCTTCCTCTGGAGCGGATCCTGCCCTGGCCATTGGTATATAGTGGCGACGGGCTCCTGGTGCTGCGGGGAGGTCTCGAGGATGTGCAGGCTCGACCCAGCGCCCCAGGAAAAGAAGGTGCGTCGCCGGGGCGCATCCATCGTGCCCTGCCCGGCGCCTGGCATGCGGCGCTCCCGGGCCGCGGCCTACCGCTCGCTTCCCCTGATCTCTTGAGGGCCCGGGAGGCGGAGGGACTGCTCTAGGAACTGCGCACGCGCCCAGCGCACAGCAGAACTCCTAGGGGCTGCTGGGCCGCGAATGCGCCGCCGACGGTGCGTTTCGCCGCGCGACAGCGATCGCGGGGAACGCAGGGAGTGCTCTGGGCGCGGCCCGTCGCGGGGCGTCGTCCCGCGCGGCTTGCGTGAACAGAAAAGGGGGTCTTCATCAACGCCCCCCTTGATGATCGACACTCGGCACAGCCCCCAGCGCCTCATGGCCCGAGCCAGGCGCCGCGGAAGACGAGAGCGTGCCGATCAGGCTCGTGCAGGTGCTGTGCCTTCAGGCCACGTGCATCCTTCCACACCCGGTGTGCTAGAGCGCGTCTCGAGGCTGCACTGCTGCGCGGTCATGCCGTGTACCACAGCGCCCGGGCAGGCCGTCCAGGGCGCGGCCCTGGCGCGCGTGCGGAGCCCGGCGGGCATCCCGGCCCGCCCCTCGCGCGCCGTCTGCGCGCAGGCCCGCCGGGTGCGTGCGTCGGCGGCAGTCGACAAGATTGCCGTGCCGGAGATCGACGAGGTCCCGAACGCCGGCGGCGACGACCCGGACTTCTGCGGTATGCAAGGAACTGTCATGGACCGCACGCCAATCGACGGAACGGGCAAGAGGTGCGCGCACCAGCCGCCCCAGACGCAGCAGGGTCCCACCGCAGCTTTTCAGCGCTGCATTCCGCGCCGTCGACGACCTTTCTCCGCCTCTCCGCGGATTTCCGGCATAGTTCCTGCACCATAGCGCCTGTTTCGCGTCGTGAGCCAGACATCGGTCCACCACCCGCGCCAGGGGCGCTCCATCATCCAGTCGGAGGTCTTGCGCGCTCGCGCCCGGCCCGTCATCGCGCGCGACACCCCCCTCACGGCGCGCATTGCCTCGAGACGCACCCACGCAGGTACCACATCCACACATTCGGGTGCCAGATGAACCTCGCGGACAGCGAGCGCATGGCTGGCGTGCTGGAGGCTCTGGGCTACTCCTGCACGACCACCGCGGAGGAGGCCGACGTGCTGGTCTACAACACCTGCTCGATCCGCGACAAGGCCGAGCAGAAGGTGTACTCCGCGCTCGGGCCCCAGGCCAAGCGGAAGCGCGAGAGGGGCACGGACCTCAAGGTGGTGGTGGCGGGGTGCGTCGCGCAGCAGGAGGGCGAGGCGCTGGCGCGGCGCGTGCCGGAGGTGGACGTGGTCATGGGCCCGCAGTTCGCCAACAAGATCGGCGACATGCTGCTGCGCGCCGAGACCTCCCAGGTGACGGAACGACGCGAACGACGCGACTTTCGCACCGTTGGCGCTTTCGCAACCGAGACAGCTCCCGGACGCGCGTTCCGCGGCCGACGCTGACCCGCGGGCTGTCTCCGCGGCGTGCAGGTGGTCGCGACGGAGGAGGTGCTGGTCGAGGAGGACATCACGGCGCCGCGCCGCGACTCGGATTTGACGGCGTGGGTCAACGTGATCTACGGGTGCAACGAGCACTGCTCGTACTGCGTGGTGCCGTACACGCGCGGGCAGGAGCAGTCCCGCCGCGCCGAGGACATCCGCGCGGAGATGGAGGGCCTGGGTCAGGCAGGGTATAAGGAGGTGACATTGCTGGGACAAAATGTGGACGCGTACGGCCGGGACCTGCCGGGCATGGCCGAGGACGGCTCGGGGCGGCGCGCGTGGACCTTCACGGACCTGCTGCGCTACGTGTCGGACGTGGAGGGCATCGAGCGGATCCGATTTGCCACGTCGCACCCACGGTACTTCACCGAGCGCCTTATTGCGGCTTGTGCGGAGCTCCCGAAGCTGTGCGAGTTCTTCCACGTCCCCGTACAGGCCGGCGACAACGACATCCTCCGGGAGATGCTCCGCGGGTACACCCACGAGCGCTACCGCCGCATTTGCGACAACATCCGCCGCTACATGCCTGACGCGTCGATTTCGACGGATATCATCGTCGGATTCCCGGGCGAGACCGAGGAGCAGTACCTCCGCACCGAGGCGCTCATCCGCGAGGTCGGGTTCGACCGCGTCAACACCGCGGCGTACTCCCCCCGGCCCAACACCCCCGCGGCGGACCGCCCGGACCAGGTCGCCGACCTGGTCAAGTCGGACCGGCTCAACCGGCTGAACCAGGTCGTGCTCGAGGTGGCCACGGAGCGCGCGCAGCGGTTCCAGGACCGCGTGCTGGAGGTTCTCGTCGAGGGGCGGAACCCGAAGAATCCGGAACAGATGATGGGGAGGTCGCGGCACAACAAGATGGTGTTCTTCGACGGGGACATGGAGCTCCGCGGGCAGCTGGTGAACGTGCACATCGACGAGTGCCGCGCCTACAGCCTCATGGGCCACCGCACGGACGCGCCCTGCAGCTGAGTTGTGGACGGTCGCGGTGCGGCGCTGCGGTTTCTTGCGCGCGGTGCTGTGCTGTGATTGAGCAGGGTGACGCATCGTGGTGCAAGTCGTCTTACACGCCCTGTCCGCGAGTGCGCGGGGGTCGTGTTGCAATCCACGACGCCACGCGACGCGCAGGGCTGTTGTTGCAAGAGCGGTCGAGCCTTGGCCGGCAATGAGGCCTTGCGCGAGCGTCAGCGTCAGCAAAGGTCCATCAAGTGCATGCATCCTCCAGCGGCGCCCCGACGTGCGCCGCCACCTCGCTTTCCGCCACTTGTGCCACCCTAGAGCACCTGCGGGCGCGCCTGGACGACGGTGACGCTGCCGTCGGGCGCCACACAGCCCTCGACGTCCTGCGGGACCCCGCCGAACGCCTCCTCGACCGCGCGCGCGACCTTGACGATCTCGGCGGTGATGCTGGAGCGCAGCCCCCCGTCCCACACCAAAGGCTCGTCCGTGATGCGCCATGGCGTCTCGCCCCTCGAGTCCCCGCCGCCGACCATCTGCACACGCAGGACACGCGTTCTCAGGCGCATCAGGGCGCTGCGTCGCGCAGTGCGGCAGAAGGAACATGCAGAAAACAGACCTGAGAAAGGCATGAGACAGCATCGAGAGTTGTGGCGTCCGGTACTCACCACGGACGCGTACAGCCCGGCGCCAGCGAAGCCCTCGAGGTCCTCGCCGTTCGAGTCGCTCCGCACCATGAAGGCGCCCGCCGCGGGCGGCACCACCTTGGTCCTCTTCGCGGGCAGCGACTTGATCTCCGCGCCGTCCCCGGCCGTCGTGAACCGCAGAGCGCGCCCCGGGAACGCTGCGACGAGCGACTCGCCCATCCCGGGCACCACCTCGGCCGTGACAACCCCCCTCTCGCCCGACACAGGGTCGGCGGTGTGCGCCACGAACGCGTACGCGACGGGGGCGATGGGCTGGATGAGGACGCTCATGCGGAGATCATCCTCGGGCGTGCCGCACTGCCGGCGCGCCAGCCACGCCAACTCCCCCCATTTACTCCCCCACACCTCCTTGATGCCTGACCACGCGGCGTCCCACGCCGCATCGTCGCTGGCGAGGTTCTCCGCGGCGCCGCACGCCGCGGCCGCGCCGGCCACGGCCGCGCGCAGCTCCGCCGGGGCCTGCATCGACGCAACGGCCTCGCGGCACCGCGCGAGCGCGTCGGCAGGCGCGCCAGGGGCGTCCCCCCACCCCGCAGCCTCGACGGTGGCCTTCTCGAGCGCCGCGGCCGCACCGGAGTTGATCGGGTCCGCGAGGCAGCGCTCGAAGGCGCCGAACGGCAGGGCGCAGCCGGACGGCGTCGAGGCGACGGTGCCAGACATGGTCGCTTGGAGCTTGGCCACGTTGGCGGCCTTGGCGCCGACGACGCCCGAGCCGAACTCGGAGGACGCCACGCACCACTCGTTGCACTGCGGGGGCTGCGGGAGCCGCAGCGGCTCCACGCCGTCGCACTTGGAAGCCATGGCACCAGTGGCGACGCCGTGGCCGCCCGACGCAGCCGACCCGGCGCTGCCGATGCTGACCTCGCCGGACTCGTTGACCCACGCGTCCGCGCTGTCGCCGGTCACCGCCGCGACGGCGGCGTCGAGCGCCCCGGCGTCCGCGCACGACGCGAGGAGCACACCGAGGCCGCGCGACCGGATCGCGACGTGAGACAGCAGGTCGAGGCTCGACGGCGTGAGCACCGCGGCCACGCCCGGCGGAATGTCGTCCGAGCCCTTGACGGCGTCCACGACGAGGATCAGCGACGACCCGGCCGCGTTGGCTTCCGCGCACGCCTTCACCGCCTCCTCCGAGTCCAGAGCCGCGACCTTCAGGAGCTTGCCCGTCACGGGGCGCCCCGTGTGCGCAACGACGTCCCACGGGCCGAGCCCCGCGGCCTCGCGCAGCATGGGCTCGAGCGCGGTGAGGTTCGCCGCGGTGGCAAACACCCCCGCCTGCGCACGCGCCACCTCCTCGCCGAACGTCGGGACGTACTCGGCCTGCACGGACGAGCACGCCTTCGCGAAGGCCTCGCAGTGCCGCTGCGTGTTCGACGCGTACGAGTCCGCGATGTCCGCGATGATGAGAGAAGCGCGCTCGGCAACGGCGGCGGCGCGCAGCGACCAGTCCGGCCCCCAGCGCTCCTCGTCCTTGAGCCGCAGCCACGCGTCGCGCGCGTCCTCGACCTCCGCGCTCTCCAGGCTCAGCGCCGCGTTCCGCAGCGCGATCGCCAGCGTCTCCACCAGATCGTCGCGCCCCAGCTGCCTCATGTCCGTCCCCTCCACGCCCGCACGGTACGTGTTCTCCAACGCGTGGTCGAGCAGGAGCACGTCGCGGCTGCATCCGTCGCCCTTGCAGACCGGCGCGAGCCACTCGCGGATCTCGACGGCCTTCCCGGGCGCCCACCACGCGCTGCGGTTGTCGTTGAGGTCCCGGCAGTGCCACGCGAGGTCCTCCCCGATGATCCCCTGAGCCGCATCGACGGTGACCATGAGGTCCGCGCCGGCGTGGCACCGCTTCAGCACCCAGAGGTACCCGGCGAAGGCGTCGTAGAGGTGCGGCAGGTACATCGGGCCGTTGGTGATGGGCTGCGAGAACTTGGCGAGGTCCTCCCACCTCAGGCGTCCGACGTCCCAGAGCACGCGCGTGAAGGTGTCCCAGTCGCCGCCGGAGCTGAGGAACGCCAGGTACGCCTCGCCGATGGCGATGTCGTCGATGTTCGAGTTCTGGTGCAGCTTCTGGTGCCACTGCTCCAGGAATTTCTCGTCGATGCCCGGACGGTGGCCCTGCGCGGTCGAGCAAGGGAGCGCGGCGCGTGAGTCGTGCGGAAGAGGACGAACATCATACAAGCACTCTCGAGGATGTTTTCCTCGCCAAGGATGGGCGCTGGTGGGTTTCGCGGGGCGTGGTGCCTCGGTGCGCGCACCTCCTTGATGCCGAAGTCGCGCATGATGTGCAGGATGCCCATCCGGATGGCCTCGGCGTCGCCACCGCCGCGGGAGAGCAGCCCCACGCAGCTGCGCGCCAGGCGCCGCACGGTGGGGTCCTTCGCGGAGCGCGCCATGTACGTCAGGCGCTCCGCGACGGTCTTCTGCATGTGGTCCATGTCCTTAGACTGGTAGTTCCACCCGCGGTACCACTCGAGCTGCTTCATGTGCGACAGACGCAGCCACGCAAGGAGAAACGTCATGCCGTCCTCGCCCGCCGCGGCCAGCGCCTCCATCTTCTCGTTCACCAGCGCGAGCCGCGGGTACAGGCCCCAGTTGCCCGGGTTGCCCTCCTTGTCGAGCACCTCGCCCTGCACGGTGCTGACGTCCGGCGGACGCAACACCGCAGAGTAGCACGCGCCGCCGTTGTTGTCCCACGTGTCGTCCGCCATGCGCAGCACCGCGACCTGCACGCGTTTCGCGTCCGCGCGTGGCGTTCAGGCGCTGGGCCGCGGCCGGCGCTTGCGGGCGATCGATACGACTTGCAATTCTGTTGTTTTGTTGCCCACGTGGGTTTGTGGGAGCACGGCAGGGGCGCACCATCATGCTCGGGCAGTCCTTGGTGTCCTTGACGGACCACGTCAGCCTGGAGCCGTTGTCGCCCACCGGGGTGTCGGCGGAGTCCCCCCCGCACGGCACAGTTCCATCGGGCCACATGGCCTCGGGGGGCGCGTTCCAGTTCTCCACGCCCCAGTGCACGACTGCGAGCATGAACACCGGTCCAGGGGGTGGGCTGTCTGGGCGTCCTCGGCGCGCGGCGCAACGCCAACGATTGATAAAACGCCATCATGGATGTTGGTGCCGCGACGAGTCCCGAATTCGGTCCAGGCCGGCCGTTCGACGCGAAGCGAGGAGCTCAAGACTTCGGCGGCGCGGCCTGCGTATCCGATCGCGTGCTTAGCCGCGACAGCACCGCCCAAAACGCCCCAGACGCGCCAGATGCCCTCAATGTTCACTGTTAGGGCCATGACGGGCTCATAAATCATGTAATACGGAGATTCGACGCAGAACAAGACGCTCTAGATCCATGACGACCCCTCACGGCGGCGCAAAGCCGGAACGATGCACGATCTACGGCCCTAGGCAGGTGGTGAGGGCACACACCTGCTCCGGGCCTAGGAGGGTCGAGGGTGAGCTCGACGTTGAACGTGTCGCCCGCCTTCGTGACCTGGATGGTGACGCCGGACTCGAACGACTCCCTCTTGATCAGCTCGACGTCCGCGACGTCCGCGGCCGGCGCCGACGCCGCCCGGGCGACGTGCACCTGGCCGCGCCGGCAGGACGGGCGGCGGGCAGGGCCCGGGGCGCGCGATGCGAGCGCGTGCGTCCGCGCGGCTACGCCCATGCGAGCATGGGCGCGCGAAGAGCCGCGCGCGGACCGCGCTTGGGCCCCGGCGGGGGCGGCGCGCAGCCTGCAAATCATGCCCCGAGGGCAGCTGCGCCAACTCGCGGTGTGCGCGGAGACGGTCGCTGGGCTATGAAACGAGAAGAAGGAGCCTGTGTGACCGGTTTTGTGCGCAGGGCGGCGCACGTCACGCGCAATAGCGGCGACGCGCGGTGTCCCCACAATGTGGCACATTGGCGCTCGCCTAGTCAGTCCGACCCACCACCGCTCGCTGTGGCGATGATTCGCCGAGCGCTGCCCCGCCCGTGCCAGTAGCACCTCGAACTAGGACGCTGGGCCCGCGGTTCGCCTCACGCAACTCCTCAGCTGCAGGTACGGTAGGCAGCCTTGACTGCACTCATAGCCTCTGATTTCGCGTCGTGCCGTCGTTTCTGCGCCACTGAAGTTGCCCGCCGCTCTGTACGCACGCGTGACAGCACCGTTCGTTACCTTTCTGGCTATGTCGTGCAGGAATAAGCCTCCTGAGTCCATATTCCAGAAGATGGTTGCTGTGGAGCTTACAAAAGGACACGGCGCCGTGGGCTTGGCCGCGCTCGGGGCCGTGATCCTGCACAACTACTTCGGTGCCTGTGTGATGAAGGTGAGCGACGCAGAATATAGCCCTGAACCCGCGTAATTGTCCTCAATTTGCGCTATTAGCTGCCTCTTGTGCCAGTGAGGCTCCAGGCTCTTGCGCCACATCGACGTCGCTGCCCGCCAGCACCCGCGCTCGACGTTACATCTCAAGGACGAGCAGCGGCTTCCGTCGACCAGCGGTCCGGTCCTCGGACCGCGCCGCACTGCCGACCTAGCATCAGCACGCTGGTCGTCCCTGCTGGGCACGCGAGACCCAACCGCTGTCGCGTCAACGTCCCCGCAGGCCCGCAAGCAGTACAAGGTCACGTACCCCAAGATGTACGCCGAGGGCGACTCCGCGGAAGCCAAGGTGCGCTCTTCAACAACTGATCATTTCACAGCCTCCCAGTCGGTCGCCTTGACCGACACGTCCCCCGCAATCGCCGCGCGATGATCGCGCGTCCTCTGAACCGTGTCGTGGGGATGTGTGTGTGGCTGTCACGGCCGGTGTGCCGCCTCCAACGACAATGTTTACCCAGGGGTCCCCGCGGCCGATGATATGCAGGCGTTCAACTCGGTGCAGCGCGGGCACATGAACTACGTCGAGAACCTCCCGCAGTACATCATCCTGCAGGTCCGCGCCCCCCCACCCCTCACACCAGCCTCCCGGACCCGCGCACACTCCGCCCGCACACACCCCCGCCGCCGCCGTCCTGCGCGCACCACACCTCGCCGGCACGACATGACCAGACGGCACGATAGAGCGCGGTCACGAGCGCAGCAGCGACGGTCGGTCCGCCAGGGCGGTCGCGTCCCCGGCCGCGCCTCGCACCTCGCGTCGCTACGCCGCCGCGCCCCACGTCGCGCATGCACACCCGCGCGCCGCGGCTCACGCTCCGCAGGTCGCGTCGTCGTTCCAGTATCCGATGGCGTCCGCGGTCCTCGGCGGCACGTACCTCCTCGGGCGGTTGCTCTACTTCCAGGGATACTCCAAGACGGGGCCCAAGGGACGCGAGGCCGGCGCCGTCGTGGGGGTCATCGCGAACCTCGGCATGCTCGGGCTCGGCGTGAAGTTCTGCTACGACCTGCTCGTCAAGTCCTGAGGCTCCATGCGACGCTGAGCTGGCGTGAACTGGTGCGAGACGACGTTGATGGGCGGAGCTCCGCGTGCCCCGCGGCTCGTTGCGGCGTGGATGGGCTCGGTGTGACGGCTCTGTCCTATTCGATTTGGCAATTACACCGCTCCAAATGATGACATATGAGATGATGAGGTGTACGTGGTGGCTGCTTCCTTGGGAACGACTTGCAGCTGCACAACGTGTGGTGCGTGGATGTTCCAGCAGCGAGCGTGGTCGTTCCCCACGTGCGGGTCATCCGGGTCCCCAGCCAGTGCCGACCAGACCTGCTGCGTGCGGCAAGTGAAACAGCGGTGGCAGACGGTGCGGCTCGATGCCCGTGTCCGGCGAGCACTCCGGCGACGCTAGCAGATGCGCAAGGGCCTCTGCGGGCCGACAGAGACCTGCAGATCGCCAGCGGAGGCTCAATCGACAGACTCGGAATCTCGACAGGGAACGCCGACCCAGGACGAGCTCTGCAGCCCGGCTGTGAGTGCGCGAGGAACGCAGGGTGTCACCTGCGCACTTGGGGTAGTCGTACACCGCCAGCGCGGTCGGCGAGCACGCCGTCTCGCACAGCCTGCGGTCGTCGTCGTACACCGCGCCCCCGCCCGTCGCGAGCACCCACAGGCCCACGCTCGTGTCCTCGTTCGCCAGATACCGCAAAGCAACCTGCACGCCGCCCTTGACCCTCACGTCGCGACATCAGCTACAGCGTGGTCGAGTTTGAGGGGTGGATGTGGGCGGTGTGTAATTACCTTTGGCAGGCTGGTGAGCGTCGAAACTGTCTTCGCCGAAAGCGCGTATGCGGGTCCCCACGCGTGCGTGAAGTACGTCGGCCCGAGGAGCGCGGCCTGGGGCTCCCGCCACCGTAGGAGTGGGTCCGTCACGACGGGCCCCTGGGAGCAATGAAGCGCGAAACGATGCGTCAGCAATGCAGGGGCGGCAAACGGATTGATGGATGCACGCGCACGATGCCCGGCACACCGGCCGTCGTGAGCGTTGCGTTCCGTGCTCGAGATTTCGTGGTCGAGGTTGAGCGCGTTGTCTCTGAAGCGGATGCGCGGCGGAGAGGGGCCTGCCTGCTTCATGCACCCGACGTAGTCCGAGCTGTTGATCGTCCACTGCCGCGCCGCGGCCGGGAGTCGGTCGAACCGGACGAACACGTCGTCGTCGACCTTCAGGAAGTATTGCGCGGGGTGTTCCCTGTGCGCGCGCGACACGAGGCGCAAGATGAGGCCTCAGCGATCGCAAGGAACACATGCTCATTCGAGTTGCGGTTCGGGCGGACCTGCTGGCGACCTCGAGCCAGGACAGCGTCTTAAGTGGCAGCGCCGCGTACGCATCTGTTACGTCGACTTCCGTGACGAGGTCGGGAGGAATTCCTTCCTGCGCCAGCACGTCCGTGCCTCCGGGCCCAACGACCCACCGAATGGAGATGCCCTCCTCGGACAGGCTCCTCGCCCAGCCCTGCAATTCCGTCACAATCATTCCACGTCATTTTTTCCCGTGGTTCCCGCACGCAACGGAACGCGCATTCGACGCGATCCGCTCTGGCGATCTGGCGAGCTCACCTCGATCCACGATGCGAGCGCCGCGCGCCGGGCTCGCGAGTCGTGCTTCCCCCCCGACGGCCCCTGATTGGCGCCGCTTGTAAACACCCCCACAGACAACAGAGCAGCCCCCTCCGTCCTCCGTTCGCGCCCTGGAGTCGATCTGTGCCATCCGGATGAGCCGAGCTGTCGATCCGGTGGGACGGTGTCCGGAAACAGCGGGTGGAACGTCAACTTTGGCGCGGCGATCGCTGCACGCGCGTACAGGGCCGCCACCGCGAGCGCACACACTGCCACGCACGCACGGACCCCCTTCAGCCTGCCAAGGGTCGCTGCGCACGCTTGGCGTCGCACCGCGCGGAACACGCGAGCCTTTTCGGTGCAATCAACATTCCGGACAGAAACGGGCAGCATTCCGGACGTCAGCGCGCCGGGCCGATCCCGCCGAAACCCGCCCAACGCGCGTCTCTGACCTGGCGTCCCCTGGCGTCGAGGAAGAGACCCGTGCCAGACCGCCGTACACGTCAGGCGGGCCTGTCTCACACAGTTTGCAAACTCCGAGGTGGGTCCAAGCAGCTCGCGACGGGCACAAGCCGCCGCGATTGGCGCTTCAGGGACCAGCGGTGGGAAGTAACGTCTGAAAAACGAGTACGCCGGGCCCTGCGACCGCAGTCTGGGCCCCGCGACCCGAGGTCAACGAAATTGAGGCACCTCGATCCGGAAACAGCGAGACTGCTCTTGGAAAAGTGCGGCTTTGCACGTCCCTGCTTTCCTTGGTCGCTGATCATCCTTGGGAACCACTCAAGCGTCGTGAGTGCCGCGGTCGAGGTCAGGACGGGCGGTCGCACTCGGCGAGGGTGCGCCCGTCGGGCGGAACGCGCCGCTGGAGGGCGACATTGCGCCGCGGCCGGAGCCGGCCGGCTACGTTCGGTACCAGCGGCACTTGTCGGCTGGTTCGCGTGGGATATCAGGGACGGAGCGAACCGCACGGACCGATTCTCCGAGGGACAGCTCAGAAGCAGCCCGTGGGAGATTTCGGCTGCAGCGCGACATACACGCGTTTGTATGGTTGCGCGTTCGGATCTGCGGAAGTTCGAGGGCGTGTTTTTTGGGACATTTGATCGCTGGAGGGCGGAGAGACGGCGTCGAAGCTGCCTGGCCAGGTCCACCAGCACAACGGCTGTTTCGGTTCGGGGCTGACCTGCGCGACGATCTGGGCGGCGTGAACGTGGCGGAAGAAAGCGCTTAGGGCAGGGGCGGGAGCGTCGCGCGTGTGCGGCGGTGCGAAGAGCGGCGGTCGCGCGTCGCGCCCCGACAGGGAAGGCCGGTCCACGCGTCGCGATACGCACCGGATACCGGAACCGACGGGCGCATCATGCGGTATCAAGCTGAATTACCCATACGTCGCGAAGGAAGCAGCCAGGGCGGACCGTCCGGCGCGGGACAGGAGCAGGGTGATGGCGCAGCTGGCTCGGCCCGCAGCAGTGCGTCCACACGCCCCTCTCCATGCCCGTTCTCGCTCATTCCGCCCTCTTCAACGTACAGTAGTGCTGTTCAGAGGCAAAATGACTGCGTTGAGTCATTCACCAAGCTCGGGCTGGCCCGATGTCAAGCGCAGGTATCTCCCTCGGAGCACACGCGCGGGCGATGGGCGGCCTCCAGGTGGAGTCGATATCCTTCGAGCAGAACCTCCACCAGAGCAGGGTCTTCGGCGCAGGAACCGTCTCGCCGCAGGGACCGCCCGTGAGCGGGCCCCGGAGGTGACAACCACCCTGCACCTGTCTCGCCCCGCACACAGCGCCCCTCGCCCGCCTCCGTCGCTTTCTCGCACGCCTACCCGATGTCCTTCCGTTCGCGCGCGAGCTCCGATGGAGCGCCGGCGTGGGCAGGCCGCGCCCGACCTAGAGCAGGCGCCACACTGCCCAGGCTCAACAACGCCCGGCACGGTCCGTGCGCGCACCTCGCGCCCTTTCCTGCCGCTCGAGCTGCCGCGCTGCATCCCCCGCGGCGTCCACTTCGTCGTCGTGCGCCCGCATTCGTCCCCCCGCGGCTGCCACGTGTACAGCGGGCCGCTGCTCCCCGCCCAGCAACGGCGCTCACACTTCGTGCGCGCGGCGCGCAGCGAACCGACCGGCCGCTCCCGCGCGACGCCCGCAGGCTCTCCTTCAACGACGTGGACAGCGATTCCGACGAGGACGACGAGGAGGAGTCCATTCTGTACCCGGGGAGCCCCGACGAGAACATGAGCGACGACGAAGACGACGCGGGCGCGCGGGACGCGCCCGACGCAGAGCTCCTGAACCCCGTCGGGATGCTCCTCGAGCACCTGCGCCTCGGCGGGCGACGGCCCTCCCCGGCCGGCGAGGACCACGCGTCCAGCGCGCAGGTAAGCACGTGGCGACATGACGTGTTCAAGTTGACGTCGCACAGCGGTTGACCCGTCTGCGCCCTCAGAGCGTCCCGCGAAACACGCGCTGAGGGTCTCGAGCACCGCGCTGAGCGCCGTCGGCTCGAACGTGCGCGTAAACCCCGCGCGTCGCACCCTGTGTTGCGCGACGCAGGTCGAGGCGCTCCAGACGCGGGATCCGTGGCGGCTGGGCTCGGCCGGCGACGTCGAGGCGCCCCGACCCTCGACCTCCCCGACGCTGCCGCAGTCCGGCGCGCACGGCCGCACGCTGTCCCGCGTCGGAGCGGCGGCCGCCGCCGTCCCCGTGCCGTCCGCGCACGCCACGGACGCCGCGATGCACGACCGCGCCGCCGTCGAGCACCCGCCGGCGGACCGCCCCACGCTCGCGCGCTCCGTCGGGGACGCGCCGCACCGCGGTGCGACCCACGTGGGCTCCTGGGGGGGGGGTGTTGGCGCGGGCTCTAGGGGGGGCGCGGCGGTGCCGAGCCGCGCGGCGCCCGGCCCGGAGACGCCGAGTCTGAGCGGGTTCGGGAAGGCGGTGAAGAAGCTGCGGTCGTCCGCGGAGGTGCGCGGCGGCGGGTGCCGCACGACAGCGGAGCTGCGGCAGTCCTGGCCGCGGGTGGTGCTGCTCAGCCCCGTCGGCCCGCGCGCCCGGACGACCACGCGGTCCGCGGACTCCCCCGCGCGCACGTCGGACGGGCCCGACCTCGGGCTGCGCGAGGACGACACCGGCAGCGCGCTGCTGCGCGCGTCTTGGCAGCCCACGTCCGGCACGCCGACGCTCGGCGGCCTGCCGCCCGCGGCGCCCTTCGTGTTCACGGCCGCGGGAGCGCGGCCCGGCGGCGCGCCGATCGCGGACGACGCGGGCTTCGTCGGGCCGATGGTGGGGGAAAAGCGGAGCTCGCGGGGGCACCGCGTGCCGCGGCGGTCGCTGGCGGGGCCGTCGCTGCTGCGCTCGAACTCGGCGCGAAGCAGCCTGAACTTCGGGCCGTCCGCGCTGGCCGACGCGACGAACGCAGTGTCGCCGACGTCGCGCAGCGCCGCTCCGTCGCCCACCGGGGCGCTCGGCGCGAAGCTGCCGGCGCGCGTGCCGACGCCGCCGAAGCTGCACGTCCCGAGCCCGAGCGGGGAGCGCACGGCGCGCCCGTTCGGGTTTGACCCTCCGGGCGGAGGGAGGGAGAACACAGCGGTGCGCGGGCAGCAGGGTGGCGGCGCGGGGGGCGGCGGGCAGCCCCCGCTGGCGAGCGACTTCGCACAGCGGCTGCTGAGCGGGCTGCGCGCGGGGGAGTTCTTCAGCCCTGGGGCTGGGCACGCGCCGCGGCGATGGGGGGTAGAATACGAGTCAGGGTGGAGTGAGGGTGGTGCATCGGAGAGCGAGGGCGCTTGCACGGAGCCGCACGAGCGGCGTCGCAGGAGCTGAGAGATGACGGCGCGGGGTGACATGAGGTGTCACGCCCTGATTTGCTGCGGGGCCCCGCCAGGCCGCAGGAGCCTGCTCGGGGCGCGCAGCGCGACGACGCTTCGCACAGCTGACGAGAAGCGAGTTGAGTGAACGAGATTCTGCCGCGCCGCCCCACGTCCCACCGCGACAGACCACCAAAGCGCACATACGACATATGCGCGTTATGCATTACACGACAGACCGATCTGCAGTCGCTGCCGCGGCGCACGCGCCGCGCTGCGCGTCGCGGCGCCCTAGTTCTGCACCGTGGGGTACGGGTTCGCCGCGGGAGGGTTGACGGCGGGGTAGGGATTCGCCGCGCCCCCGACAGCAGGGTACGCGCTCGCGCCGGTCGCCGGCGGATACCCCGGCGCGCCCCCGGGCGCCGGCGGCGGCACGTCGGGTCCGTCGTAGTCCGGCGGGTTCAGCGGGCGCTTCTCGCGCCACTGCGGCGGCACCACGGAGGGCTTGTTTGTCGCGCCCACGTACCCCAGGCTGGTCACGATCTTGTACTGGTGCGGGATCTCCTGCAGCGCCTTCTTCGCGAAGTTGGCGAGCGAGCGCGTCTCGTCGTTCGGGTACTTCTGCTTGGACTTGGAGAAGTCCACGAATTGGAAGTTGTCGAATTTCCGGCCCTTGACCTTGTCGTCGAGCTTGTTCATGGTGTCCCAGGGGCCGTCGCCGACGCCGATCATGACGATCGACAGCGGGAGGTTGCTCGCGGCGATGATCGCGTCGATCGTGTCGCGCTCGTTCGGCGACAGCGGGCCCCCGCTGGCGATCCCGCTCCCGGTGATGCCGCCGTCCGCGATGATGACGAGGATGTGGTACCCGTGGCCGGACCGCTCCACGACCTTGCACGCCTCGTAGATCACGGGCGCGAAGGACGTCGGCCCGGACAGGTCGAGGCGGGGGAGGACTTGGGTGTATCGAGTCAGGACCTCCTCCAGGCTGTGGCAGGGCGCGTCGTTGGCGTTGAACGAGAAGCAGTCCGACGCGTGCGTGCGCGCGTCCCCGAAGCCGTACACGTGGACCTTGCCGTCCTCGTCGAATGACGAGAGGGTGTTGGCGATGGCCATGATCGACTCCTTGTAGGGGTTGGGCGGGTTGCCGGGGTCGTGGAGGCTGCGGTCGTCTGCAGAGGGGGTGGATGAGGGGGCGGGGCGGGGGTGGGGGCGGGCGTGGGGGGCCGCGCGCGGCCGGGAAGGCGCTGGGAGGGTGCGGGGGCGGTTGCGCACCGAACGTCTTCTTTCCGGCGAGCTGGTTGGAAGCGGTGAAGTCGATGGCGAGGAGGAGGTTCGAGCCTTCGAGGCCGGCGCTGCGGAGGGCTTCCTGCGCGGAGCGGAGGGGCCACGAGGGGCTGTGAGCACGACTGAGGCTCTCAGGTGCTCGCGCGACGGGGATTCCGAGGGCTCCGGCAAGCAGATGGCATGTCTACGTGCTTCGCGAGGCGGCGGGCGGTTTAGCAGGGGCTGATCGGCGGGGGTGACGCCCCGCGAGAGCACGCGTCTGGTTGTTGCAGGCGTCGGGGGCCGAGCGGAGCGCGCGGGGGGCGTTCGCGATGTGTCACGCGGCCAGACCAGAGCCCGAGACCTCTGGGACGCGTGTCCGACGGGGGTTCCGGATGCTGGCCGACGTGCACGCAGCGGGGAGCGTGCGTGTGCGGGAGGCTGTTTGTTGGCCCGGGTCCGCTTGCCTGCACGCCCTTGAAGGTCGAGAAGTTATCCTTGATGGCCTTCGCGCCAACGCCCTGATCCTTGCTGCCCGCACATCCCATCTTCCGCTCTACGTGCGCCGCACAGGCGCGAGTCCCAGCACAGCAAAGGCAGCCGAACGCGCAGCTCCAGCGCTCTGTTCCGCTCTGTCGCGCTGTCGTTCCCGTCCCGCGTGCGATGTGCCTCCGTCGGACGCCCGCCCCCGCCTACGGAGCCCCTCGCGGGCCCGGAACGCCCCAGGGGGGAGTGCCCGCGAGGTCAAGCGCCCGGGGGGCCCGGTGCCGCGTCTTCGGGCCCGCGCGGCCGCCCCCGTCCCACACTAACGAGGGACGTTCCACTCCGGGGGAAGCGAAGCAGGAGCGGAACAAGATGGCGATGCCTGCAGGCATGCCCATGGGCATGGTGCGCCCCCGCGGCCGGCGCGCGGACGAACGCGGGCGCCGAAGCTCCTAGCTCGTGCTCCTGCTCGCATGCGTGCGCTTGCGGTGGTCCGCGCGCGTCGTTTGCCTCTATTTCCGCCGCAAAGGCGCTCTGCGTGCATTCTAAGCGCGCACAGCGAGTCGCCGCGTCGTTTGTCGTCACGGGCTCGCCCCTGGCGTTCGCGAGCGCGCGCCCGTCGCCTCTACTGCATGGACACTCCGGGACGCCATTGTCCGGTGCCGGAGGTGGCCTGTTCGGGACGGCTTCGCGGCCTGGAGCCCGCTGCCCGCCTGCCCAGGCGCAATTATCGTCGCTGCCTGCGATTGCGCGAGATCACGCCCCCGCGTTGCGGAGCACGTTATTCGTCGAACCCGGGGCGATTGGTCCCGCGGCCTCGCGTTTCGCCGCGGCCGCATGCGAGCTTGGAGGAAAAACGAGCCCGGCGCGCGGCCCCGGCGCCTGGCCCCGCACAAACATTCCGACGCGACACCGCGCCCCGCCTCCACCTGCACGAATCCGTCTCTTTCCAATTTCCCCAAAACACCGCCCCGCGGAATCCTCACCGCGCCAGCGCGGACAGCAGCCTGCAGCAGTTGCCTCCTCGCCCCCGCGCCGACCGCCCGCGCTCCCCCCGCCCGCGCCCGCCCCCGCAGCAACCCCAAATCATCCTGCTCCGCGAGGGCACGGACACCAGCCAGGGCAAGGCGCAGCTCATCTCCAACATCAACGCCTGCATGGCGGTCGTGGACACCGTCCGGACCACCCTCGGCCCGCGCGGCATGGACAAGCTCATCCACGACGAGCGCGGCACGACCACCATCTCCAACGACGGAGCCACCATCATGCGCCTCCTCGAGATCGTCCACCCCGCCGCCAAGACGCTCACGGACATTTCTCTCTCGCAGGTGCGCCACCGCACCGCCGCCCACGCCCCCGCCGCCCCGCCGCCCGAACCGCCCGCGCACCCCCCGCGCGCCCACGCCCACCTCCGCCTCCGCCCGCTCGCCCGTCCGGCCCGCCCCTCGCGCCCTGGCGCGCAAAAACCTCCCCGTACGCTCGCCGACGCCGCACCCGCCGCTCCACGCGCGCCCCGCAGGACTCCGAGGTCGGCGACGGCACGACGACGGTCGTCCTGCTCGCGGGCGAGTTCCTGAAGGAGGCCAAGCCGTTCGTCGAGGAGGGCGTGCACCCGCGCAGCATCATGCGCGCCTACCGCACGGCCTGCCAGATGGCCATCGAGGTGCGCCGCCCCGCCGGACCACGCGCGCCGCGCACCCGCACCGCCGCCCACTGCGCCGGCAGTCGTGTTGCCCCAAGCGCGGTTCCGCCACCATGTCGCGCGCTCTCTCAGCCCACCGCGCCCGCCACGCACCCCTGCCGCGGCCCGCTTCGCCGACCCGCCGCCGCCACGCCAGCAGGCGTGTTCCCCCACGTGTTGCGCCACCGCCGGGCCCCGCGGCGGCATCCCACCCTGCTGTCTCCCGCGTGCGCACCGCGCCCCGCAGAAGGTGCGCGAGCTCTCGATCAGCATCGAGGCCGGGTCCCCCGAGGAGCAGCGCTCGCTCCTGGAGAAGTGCGCGATGACGTCGATGAACTCCAAGCTCGTCTCGGGCGAGCGCGAGTTCTTCTCCCAGATGGTGGTCGACGCGGTGCTCAAGCTCGACCGCCAGGACCTCGACCTGCGCATGATCGGCGTCAAGAAGGTCACCGGCGGCGGCCTGCGCGACTCCTTCCTCGTCGACGGCGTCGCCTTCAAGAAGACGTTCAGCTACGCCGGCTTTGAGCAGCAGCCCAAGGCGTTCACGGACCCGAAGATCCTGCTCCTGAACATCGAGCTCGAGCTCAAGGCCGAGCGCGAGAACGCGGAGATCCGCCTGGACGACCCCGCGAAGTACCAGAGCATCGTCGACGCGGAGTGGAACATCATTTACGAGAAGCTCAAGCTGTGCGTCGACTCCGGGGCGCAGATCGTGCTGTCGCGGCTGGCGATCGGGGACCTCGCGACGCAGTACTTCGCGGACCGCGGCGTGTTCTGCGCCGGCCGCGTCGCCGACGAGGACATGCGGCGCGTCGCCAAGGCCACGGGTGCCAAGGTGCAGACCACGGTCAACGGGCTCGAGCCGTCCGTGCTGGGGCAGTGCGCGAAGTTCGAGGAGCGGCAGGTCGGCAACGAGCGGTACAACCTGTTCATGGGGTGCCCCGAGGCGCGCACGGCGACCATGGTGCTGCGCGGCGGCAGCGAGCAGTTCATCGACGAGGCGGAGCGCTCGCTGCACGACGCGATCATGATCGTGCGGCGCGCGGTGAAGCACCCGCACGTCGTGCCCGGCGGCGGCGCGATCGACATGGAGGTCTCGAAGCACCTGCGCGAGGCCGCGCGGACCATTGAGGGCAAGGCGCAGATGTTTGTGCGGGCGTTCTCGCGCGCGATGGAGGTGATCCCGCGGCAGCTGTGCGACAACGCGGGCTTCGACGCGACGAACGTGCTGAACCGGCTGCGGCAGAAGCACCACATGCCGGACGGCGAGGGGCGGAATTTCGGCATGGATGTTTCTACGGGGGGGGTGTGCGACACGTACGCGAGCTTCGTGTGGGAGCCGGCGCTGGTGAAGCTGAACGCGATCCAGGCGGCCACGGAGGCCGCGTGCCTCGTGCTGTCGGTCGACGAGACCGTGCGGAACCCGCAGTCGGAGCAGGCGCAGATGGCGGGCGGCGGGATGCCGGGGATGGGCGGGCGCGGGGGCGGCCGGGGCGGGCGGGGCCGCGGGCGCGGGCGCGGGATGAGGCGGTGAGCGCGGGGCTGGTGCGCCCCTGGATGTGACGGAATTCGTCATGTATGTGTCGAGGCAGTGCGACGTGAGTGTGCGACGAGAGACGTCGTTCGCTTGCTACGTTGTTGCGCGTGACCAATCCACTTCGTGCGCTCTTGTTCGCCGTGCGGGCCTCGAACGCCGTCGCGCTCGGCGGTAATTCGTGGGCCGCAAAGTCTCATGCAACAAGCGTAGTGTCAGTGACGGTCCTCCGGGGCGACCTGGCTGCGCGGCTGGGGCGCGGGCGACAGTCAGCGAGTCTCACACGGGCGGTGTCCGGCCCCGGCGCGCGTCCGGTGCCGTCACCACGTGTCGAGCCCCGGGTACTTGAGCAGCTTGCTCCCCATGGGTCCGAACGCCGACTCCGACATCTGCTCCGTGTCCGACTGCTTGTGCAGGCGCCCCTTGGCGTACCCGCCGAGCCGGTAGTGCTTCACGTGGTCCAGCGGGAGCCCTGACGTGGCAGACCGGGGGGTGTGTTTCAGGTCCTCGTACGTCCCGTGCGCGGGGTCCGCCACCAGGTCCGTGTCGTTCTCCGCGAGCATGTCCGCCGCGAACCACGAGTTGAAGTACGGCACGGGCGCCGCGGACCCCAGGACGCTGTGGAACTTGCCAATCGTCGGCGACAGCAGCTCCCGGGGCACGGGGGTGTGCGCGCGCGGCTCCTTGAGCGCGTCGCAGATGATGTCGAGCATCTGGAGCATCGAGAGCGTCTCCGGCCCGACCAGGTCGTACGTCCGGCCGATGGCGGCGGGGTCGCGCATGGCCTTGATGGTCACCTCGCCCACGTCCTTCACGAAGGTCGGCTGGACGAGGCGCTGGCCGTCGTCGACGAGCGGGAACAGGGGCCCCCACTGCCGGACCATCTTCGCGATGCGGCGCGAGAAGCGGTCCTCGGAGCCGATGACAGGGCCCGGGCGCAGGATTGTCGCCTCCGGGACGATTTCGCGGACGGCGACCTCGCCGGCGAACTTGGTGCGCAGCCGGCGGGACGTGGCGGTCGGGGCGGCGCCCGCGGCGGAGAAGTGGAGCAGGCGGTCGACGTGGCCGGCCTCGGCGCACGCACGCGCGATGCGGGCGGGAATGTCGGTGTGGACCTCCTCGAGCTTCCACTTCCACGTGTCGACGTCCGCGCCGATCAGGTTGATCACGACGTTGGACTTCCGGATCGCGTGGGCCACGGCGGCGTCGCTACGGATGTCGAACTGCGGCAAGCGCACTATTTGCCCCAAGTCTCCCATCACCTGCGTCAGGGGGGGGAGTTTCGCGGCGTCAGGGTCGATGCTGGGGCATCAGGGTGTGAGGCGTGGCTCGGACGGCGGCGCAGGGGTGCGGAGCGCGCTGGGTCGCGCGGAGGTTGTGGGCGTTGAGGGCGTTTGTGGTGGGTGAGGGCCGCGGGGTCGTGCCTGGAGGTGGGCGAACTTGGTGTCTTGGCAGCGGTACGGGATGATGACGCGGGAGCCCATGCGGCCCAGCTGGTTGACGATGTAGCGGCCCAGGAACCCAGTCGCGCCAAAGACCGTGGCGGTGATGCCCGAGACGGAGGAGCGGCCCCCCGCGCCAACCTCGTCCGTCACCTGGCTAGGAATGGCTAGGCTCCCGCCCGTCGTGGTGACGGCCGTGCTCATCCGCTGACCTGCGGGGGCAGAAACACCGAGCTGGGTGCTTCAGAGGACCGCCGCGGAGCCGGCGTGCGTTTTACCAGCCCGAAAGCGCCGCGTGTACATGGCTGAAGGTCTGCTGGGCCTATTGAGCACAAACAACGAAGCCACGGGCGACCGTACAGCGACAAAATGCCAGTGAATTCGCGAGAAGCAAGGTGCGCCGAGAACTCGCTGCCACGGTCGTGACCGGGCCCCTTGCTGGCAGCGCGCGTATGTCGCAACTACGAATCATCTGTTCGTCGCAGTGACGGACGCCCAGGGCCACTCACGACCCGTGTCGTCGGGGAGCGGGTTGCAACGACGGGTACGCTGCCCGCGTGGGCGCGCGCGACGCACCTGCATCCGCCCCGACGATGCAAAACGGAGCAAGCGCGCGGCCCTCGCCCGCAGCGCGAGCTAGCGAGCCCCACGTCCCGCGTGCGAGGAGCCGCATGATATCAGTTGCTCTGCACCCGCCTGGCCGAGGCTCCTTCTGACCCCTGCGGCAGCGCCGGACGCCGAAGCGCTTACAAGAGTACCTCCGACCGGCCCAGGGTCGCCCCCAGGACGGCCCGCGGTGCAGGAACGCACTTTGTTGCACCTGACACCTGTCTGACGCGCTTTTCTCTAACAAACAATGAGTTGCAGCTGGTCAGGATCCCACACCGCGACGGAGGCGGGCTCGGACGACTTCCCAGCGCGCCTGCGATCCAAACAGACCGCATCCCGTTCGCTGCGCACCTAAATTGCTCGCCTGCGTCACCACACATGAACGTCGCAGCTTTCGCGCCCACGCACGGCCCGCCACGCCCGCCCGCAGCCGCACCCATCCGGGCCACGCCTCCGCGCCAGCACGGCGCCCAGCACCGCCCCGGCAACCAACACAATCGTCTCACACTTGCACCTCCCCCGCATCACTTCTTCGCCTTCTCCTTCGACCGCTTCCCCTTCCCGGACTCCTTCGCGGGCTGCTCCGCCGGCTGCGACCCCGCAATGCTCCCCGGGGACACGAACACAGCCCCCTGCCAGTCCCCCTCCTGGTCGCCCTCCATCTGCGCCACGACGTCCTCCAGCGACCCGACCTCGACCTTCGGCGGCGTGTGCAGGCGCCGGAGGTCCTCGTACCGCTTCTGCGCGCGCGCGAGCTTGCTCTCCGCGCGCTCCAGCTTGGTCGTTTGCCGACGTTTCGCCTTGTCGGTGGCGGCGGTGTCCACCTCGCGCTTGACGCGCTCCACCTCCTGCTCGCACTCGCGGACGCCCTCGCCGGCCTCGCGCAGCTTCGTGAGCTCGGCGCGCGTGAACGCGCTGGAGACGGCCGCGTCCAGGTCGCTCTTAGATAGGAAAAGAGGGATGCACTTGGCGCGGTCCTTCGTGACTGTCAGACCCTCGGCCTGGAAGACCGGGACGCCCCAGAAGTCCTTCGAGTTCACGCCGTGCGTCTTGTACAGCTTGAGCGCGTGCGACACCTCCTCCGCCGCCGGCACGAGCCGAAACGCCACGCCCGACTCGGGCTGTTTCGCCTGGGGGGACTTTAGCAGCGCGTACACCTTGTCCATCGCCACCTCCAGCACCCTGCAGCCAGCCAGACCGAGCGCACGTCTGAGCCGCGCGCGGGGCCCGCAGCAGCGCCCACGTCACCTCGAAATAGAACATGCCCGCGACAGACGCATGCGTAGAACGGGTCGTGCCTGCAGCTCTTGGCGAGTCCGGGCTCCTGGCGGCTGATTTCCGCGAGGAGGCCCTGCGCGCCCTCGCGTCGCATGAAGAACAGCCCGAGCTGCTTGCCCCCCGGCGCGTCGGCGTCGCCCGCGCTGGGGCCCGACACGAGCACGAACTCGTTGTTGTCGTTGACGACGGTGTACACGGACAGCGTGGACAGCCGGTCCTCGATCTCCTCCTGCGCCAGCGCGACGTCGCACACCGGCTGCGACACCCGCGTCCGGCCCATCGTGAGACTCTGCACAGGGTCTCGCGCACACACGGCAGGTTGAGTGCGCCGTGCGGCCGAGGCTTTTTCGCCCACAAGATGCTGTGGCCGCACAGAGCAGACCCAGTACAATGTCGGTCCTGGCAAGGGCCCGATCGTCGGTTTCAAAGCAGGGCGGCCGCGTGGCGGGTGAAACCAACTCGTCTCGGTGTTTCAGCGGGGCCCCCTGAACGCAACCCGCGGCCCGAGCAACGATCCGGTCCCCGAGGCAGCGCATTCAACGCAAAGGAACGGAACGGCAGCGATCCAGGCGAGTTTCCGCGCGCCAGTCGGCCCCGCACGCACGACTCGTCCGCTGCGTTGGTCCGCCGAACGCCCCGGCCTCCGCGGGCGCCGTCACGGCGGCGTCGCCGCCAGTTGCAATCCGGGCGCGTAGCAGCTATCTGTGTGTGTCTCACCGCGAAGCCTGGGGCCGCGGGCGCCCAGGACCGCCGCGCGCGCATCGCCTGAGCGCCCCGGCGGGCCTCGTCCAACGACATCACGGCATCCTCGACCTTCTCCGTGAGCCTGCGGATCGTCCGCTGGGCGTTCAGGAGCCCCTCGTGCAGGAAGTCCCTCACCGCGGCGCCGTCGATCCGTGGCGGGCCGCCCATCGCGCCCACGGACGCGAGCTACCGACCCGTGCCCTGGAGACGGAGTGCGGCGAGGGGTGACGAGCTGCGCCGGTCCCACGCAGCGCAGGTGGCTCCTCGCGGTACCGCTGTGCTGGAGTGGCGCGGAGCGCGCGCGGCGTGGCCGTTTCGCTGCGGGCGGGGCGCTGGAGGTGTGCGCCGCGTCGGCAGCCTGGGAGAGATCCCGCCGTGTGCCCCCGCTGTGGGCGCTTTTGGCCCGCGGAATGGCCGGCGGAGGGCAGACGTGTACAGTTGTGAAGGGAGCGCCCTCGTCGCTGCTTCCCAGAGTCGTACCGGCTGTATTTCCGCGGTGTGTTTTGCGGAGAAGTTGTTGCTCGGTCTGTTTGCGGAGATAGCAGCGCCCGCGGTCGGCGAGGGCGGCGTGGTGGGAGAGCCGCTGGTATTCGCGTCGCCGCTGTCGCGGCTGGAGGTCGTGAGGGGCGGGGACCATGACGGTGGCGGTACATATCAACTTGCATGATATGCACCTGCCCACGGTCAAGCAGGTGGCCAAGGGGCTCAAACACTCCACGCCCACGTTTCTCAAGATCACGAATCTTCTAGTCATGGTGCGCACCGGCCCCCAACGGGCCCCCGCTGCCCGTCACACCGCACCAAAGCGCTCCGCTGCCTCCCGCCTCTGAAACCGCCCCGCACCGGCCGCTGGGACCCGCAACGGCGGGTTCACCGATTCCCGTACCGAGATGAACGCTCATTCTGCGTGGACCGCGACTCGTTCCGCCTCGTGGCAGCGCTGCAACGTCCCGCTGCCCCCCTCAACGTGCCTAGAGCCAGTGGTTGATTGCTAACGATTGCGTTTCCCCACGAGTTCTCGCCCCTGCAGTTCCTTGCGACCCTAGGCTTCGGCGCGGGCTTCTTCTCGCTGCTCTCCGCGAACGACGCCATCCGCGGCGCCGTCCCCATGGAGCGCCTGGGCGCGTCCGTGCTCCTGGTCGTGTCCTTCTTCCTCCTCATCACCAGCTGCGCCGGGTGCGAACCACGAAACCCCGCGCCCCGCCACCCCTGCGCTACCCTCCACCTGTCCGCGCGCACGACGCGCCACCCTGCGGAACACCCGCGCACAGCATCACGAGAGATCTCCCCTGCAGCGAAACCTCCCCCGGAACGCCTCGCTGCGCGTTTTCTCGCACCGGCGGCATCGCCCCCCGCATGAACTCGCACTGACCGTGGCGTTCGTCGCCAGCAGGCGACCAGAAAACACCCAGACCCCCGGCCGCCCAACTGCCTTCCCGCCCCCGACGGGACACGCCGCGCGCCGCGTCCCCGCCCGCGCAGGTACCAGTCCGTGGTCACGCACAACTACGTCCTCCTCTTCCTCTACTTCACCTTCAACGTCCTCCTGTACACGCTCACCATCTGCACCGCCGTCGCCGTGTGGGTCGACCTGCCCAACGTCGCGTCGCAGATCCGCCACTTCTGCGAGAGCCACGCGAAGCAGTTCCCCTCGTGCCAGGACGACCTCCCCGCCCTCAAGCTCGAGGTGGAGGACCACCTGTCCACCGTCCTGCAAGCGTCCTTTTCGATCGCGCTCGTGCTGCTCGCCAACATGCTCGCCGCGTTCGGCGTCATGGGGAGCGTCCCGAAGCCCACGCTGCACGGCCAGCGCGGCGGGTTCCACTACGCGCGGGACCCCCTCGGGGGGAGTCCGCGCGCCATGAGTCAGGCCGACCCCGTCGAGGACTGGGACTACGACGTCGGGGCGATCCACGACTTCGGGATCGGACCGAGCCGGGCGGACTCGCCGACGGGGCTCCCCGTGGGCGCGCTGAGCGGGAGCCTGGCGGCGGCGCGCGCGGCGCGGGCGGTGAAGCGGGACCTGGAGCAGCCGCTGGTGCAGGCGGGGTCTGACAGCGACTGACGGCGGGTTGTGAGGGTCGTGGCTGAGAGAGTGTCTGGGCGTAGCTGGTGCGCGTGGTGTCGCTGTGCGGGCTTGGCGGTGCTGCGTGGCGTGGGGTTGGTGGTGGTGGTGCGGTGGTGCGGTGGGTGCCGTGGCGCGTGCTGGGGCGCGGAGGCGTGGGGTGGGTCGCGCGGTGTCGATGTGGCGCGATATGGCGCCCTGCTGCCCATGATCATGTTGTGTGTATTATGCTGCGTGAATGTCGTGTCGCCGCGCGTGATTCGTCGTGCTCGCGCCTGCGTGCTCGTGCCGTCTGTGTCTCACGCTGCGGGCGAGCACTGCGCTCTGGCGGGGCGGCGTCCTGGAGCCCTGACGAGAGGGCCCACAGCCCCCCACGCACGGCCGAGCCTCTCGGTGCCGGCGAAGGGGACGTTGCGGCGGCTCCGTGCGAGCCAAGTGCAGTTTCTCGGGGCGTGCCCGCCTGCTGAGGGCGCGACTGGGGGGAGTGCGCCGGGGAGCACTCTGCACCGCGGTGAGTCAATGCCTGGGTGGTCATCTCGACGGCTGCCGTGCATCGCGCGCTACGATGTGCAAGTGCCTCGCCCCGCCGTCTGGGATCGTGACGGGCGTGACGCTGTTGGGTGTTTGCCGGTCTGTTCGTGCGGGCATTCCGCTGCAGCCACACTGAGAGCCTGCGTGGTAGCTTTGGCCCGCTGCGAGCGCCTATGTGCCCAGTGGACGACGCTTCCTACGTTCTCCACGGGTGTCAGTAGAGCAATGACGGTGGATGCGTCCTCGGACGGCGCAGCGGACGCTTATGTGCGCTGCTTTATCCCGCGGTGTCCCTCAGCGAGCGCCCGCCCCCATCCGCCCCCTGCGACGGAACACGACGCGTAGGTCGTATGAACTTCTGGCCGTAGGCGTCCCCGTGACCGTGATATGCCTCCACGGGGGCTGTGCATCTCCTACGAGCGCTGAGCGACCCGCGCCGTCGAGCTCGCCTCTCAACATGCGCTTGTGTCGGTTCGGTGCCCCGCAGGCCTGCACGACGGATTGTCGCGCCCGGTTGGACGCAGCCCGCACGCCCGCTGCACGTGCAGCCTGGGCTGGCTCCCGGGGACGGGAAGGGCCATCGGCTCCTCCTGATGGGGAACTCAGCTGCTGCGCAGAAGCAGCGGCGCGCCAACATGCCTGACGCGGTCGATGTAGTGACCGGCGCGCTGGATGCCGCCGCACAGGCGGCGGACTCGCTCGGCGCCCTCGCAGCGCCGCTCACGTGCGGCCTGAGACTCGTCAAGAGCATCATCGACACCTGCGCAGCCGTTCAAGAGCACAACGACGCAGTTGCAAGGCTGCGTGTGGCCCTCCCGGGCGTCGCGGCTATCCTTGATGACCTCGCGCGGCGAGGGGAGAGCGTTGCGACCAACGAGGCGCTGGCCGCAGCCCTCGAGGCTCTGAATCGCGCATTGAGCCTTTGCTTCAGCCGCGTGGAGAAGTGGCAGCGCAAGGGCAAGCTCATGAAGGGGCTGCAAGTCAAGAAGTGGTCGATGAAGCTCGCGACCGCCACCGGCGACATCTCCCTATCGCTGCAGCAGATCGCGGCGTGCGGCGTGGCCCTGACTCAGGACGCGCTCGCCGAGATCGTCCACGTGCGGCGGGACGTGCTGTGCGTCGTGGACGGGGTCGACGAGCTGCTCAGTGCCGCCGAGGAGAACAAGCAAGTGCAGGAGCTGATCCTGCAGAAGCTGGCGGTGATCGAGTCGACTGCGGGCGGCGTCAGCAGCGAGCAGGTCGCAGCGCTGACCGCCGAGCTGCGCGCCTGCAAGGGCATGCGGACCCAGGACGTGGAGGCGCTGTTTGAGCGCCACGTGCGCCAGGCGGTGGCGGTGCGCGACGGCCAGCACGCGAGGCAGATAGACAGGCTCCACGACAAGATCGCGGAGCTGTGCGAGGGCGTCGGGGCCGGTCGTGTGCGGCCGGAGGAGCTCGAGGGCGCGATCGAGAGGATTGTGGCCGGGAAGCTCGAGCCGATGCTGCAGAGGCTGTTGCAGCAGAACACTGCCGACATGAGGGACTCGGCGATGGAGGCAGCGATGAAGGTTGTCGGGCGCGTGCAGGAGGACGTGGACAAGCAGATGGCGAAGCTGCGGGCGAAGGGCAGCGCGGGGAGTAAGAAGCAGGTGTGCGCCTTTGCTGCCGACAGCTTTGTTGATGTTCGTTGGAAGTCGCTTATCGACCGTTTGCGGATGATATCGCCGTCACTGGCAGCCGACGAGGGCTCGCTCACATCTATGTATGCAGATCGAGGAGGTTGCTGCGGCGACCCAAGGTGCAGTGCGCAACCAAAAGCGGCGCCTCGAGGTGCGCGCGGGCGCCATGGTGATCCCTCCGTCCGAGGTGAAGCTCGGCCCGATCCTGTCGAGGACGGGCGGCTTCGCTGACGTGTACCACGGCGAGTGGACGCCCGCGGACTGCGTGGCCATCCCCGTCGCGGTCAAGGTGCTGGAGACACGCGACATTGCGGACAGAGAGAAGCAGGCGTGCCTGCGCGAGGCGGAGGTGCTGTTCCGCGCGCTGTCGTACAGCGACCGCGTGTGCCGCCTGTTTGGGTACGTCGACGACGTCGCCGGCGGTCGCGTGATGCTGGTGATGCGCAAGTACACGGGGTCGGCTCAGTCGATGATCGCGCGAGCGAACGGACCGCTGGCCCCGCACGAGTGGGCGCGGATCCTGGCGGACGTCACGCAGGCGCTCGTCGACCTGCACGCGGCTGGGATGGCGCACATGGACATCAAGCCCGCGAACGTCCTCGTCGAGGTGACGGGCCGCGCCGTGCTGGCGGACTTCGGGCTCGCGAGGCTCGTGCAGTCGTCGCTGCCGTCGCTGCCGACGGTGCTGGCAAACGCCCGCACGCCGTACTACGCCGCGCCGGAGCAGCAGTCCTACCGCCTGAAAGCCGCGCGGGGGCCGCCGTCCGACATCTGGTCTTTCGCGGCGACGGCGATACACATGGCGACGGGGCGGCCGCCGTTCGCCAACGAGACGCACGAGGACATCAAGGAAATGGTCCTTGACGGGGAGAAGCCAGCGATCCCCCCCGGGGTGTTTTGCACGGAGCTGGAGTCGTGCTTGCGCGCATGCTTTTCCAAGGCGGTCGGCGAGCGGCCCGTCGCGGCGAGCGTTCGGGGCGCCGTGGAGGCGCAGCTGCAGGCGCTGGGCACGTGCGACGACGAAGAGGAGGACGCGGACGCAGACGAGGACTTTGCAGCGCAGCTGATCGACGCTCTGAATGCGGCCGGTGTCATTGGCGGGGTGGAGGCGGCGCAGCTGGCGGCCCGGAAGTTTGGGCTTGACGGGTGGGAGGCAGCGGCGCGGCTGACGGTGAAGAACTGGCGCGCGATGGGTCTGCCGGAGAAGCATGCACGTGTGGCGATGGACGTGGTGCGGAGGCATGCGGGGGCAGGTGGCAAGGAGACGATGACGGGGGAGGTTGATGAGACGACAGTGCGCGGGCATGATGCGGCGACACGTTCGACCTCTGCCGGGGCCAAGTCCGAGCAGGTGAGTGGGTCTGGTTGAGCTCGCCCTACGCTGGGGCCGCAGCAGATGGCAACTCGACGTACGGGCCTCAACAAGCTGCTCTGATCGTCTCAGTGAGCGCTATGTTCACCGCGATGTCTGCAGATGGAGGCGCTTTGGCGGAGCCAGTGGACGGGAAAGGGCCTGTCATACAAAGTGTGGGAGGCATGTCTGCGGCTGCTGAGGAACGACAAGTCGCTGCAGACGCTGGACCTGCGCGGCTTCGACGACATCGGCGCCGCCGGCGCGCAGGCGATCGGCCAGGCGCTGGCGTCCAACACCGCGCTGCAGACGCTGCAGCTGGGCTGGAACAGCATCGGCGACGCCGGCGCGCAGGCGATCGGCAAGGCGCTGGCGTCCAACACCGCGCTGCAGACGCTGCAGCTGGGCGGCAACAACATCGGCGACGCCGGCGCGCAGGCGATCGGCAAGGCGCTGGCGTCCAACACCGCGCTGCAGACGCTGGAGCTGGACGACAACAGCATCGGCGCCGCCGGCGCGGAGGCGATCGGCAAGGCGCTGGCGTCCAACACCGCGCTGCAGACGCTGCGGCTGTACCGCAACAAGATCGGCGACGCCGGCGCGCAGGCGATCGGCAAGGCGCTGGCGTCCAACACCGCGCTGCACACGCTGCTGCTGGACTGGAACAACATCGGCGCCGCCGGCACGGAGGCGATCGGCGACGCCGGCGCGCAGGCGATCGGCAAGGCGCTGGCGTCCAACACCGCGCTGCACACGCTGCGGCTGGACCGCAACAAGATCGGCGACGCCGGCGCGCAGGCGATCGGCAAGGCGCTGGCGTCCAACACCGCGCTGCACACGCTGGGGCTGGGCAGCAACAAGATCGGCGACGCCGGCGCGCAGGCGATCGGCAAGGCGCTGGCGTCCAACACCGCGCTGCAGACGCTGCAGCTGGGCGGCAGCAACATCGGCGCCGCCGGCGCGAAGGCGATCGGCAAGGCGCTGGCGTCCAACACCGCGCTGCAGACGCTGGGGCTGGGCAAACAAGATTCGTTTACGTCGTGGGGCAACAACATCGGCGCCGCCGGCGCGCAGGCGATCGGCAAGGCGCTGGCGTCCAACACCGCGCTGCATACGCTGCAGCTAAACGGCAACGGCATCGGCGCCGCCGGCGCGCAGGCGATCGGCAAGGCGCTGGCGTCCAACACCGCGCTGCAGACGCTGCGGCTGGGCGGCAACGGCATCGGCGACGCCGGCGCGCAGGCGATCGGCAAGGCGCTGGCGTCCAACACCGCGCTGCAGACGCTGCATCTGGGCGGCAACAGCATCGGCGCCGCCGGCGCGGAGGCGATCGGCAAGGCGCTGGCGTCCAACACCGCGCTGCACACGCTGCTGCTGGACTGGAACAGCATCGGCGACGCCGGCGCGCAGGCGATCGGCAAGGCGCTGGCGTCCAACACCGCGCTGCACACGCTGGAGCTGGACGGCAACAGCATCGGCGCCGCCGGCGCGGAGGCGATCGGCAAGGCGCTGGCGTCCAACACCGCGCTGCAGACGCTGCGGCTGTACCGCAACAAGATCGGCGACGCCGGCGCGCAGGCGATCGGCCAGGCGCTGGCGTCCAACACCGCGCTGCAGACGCTGCAGCTGGACGACAACAGCATCGGCGACGCCGGCGCGCAGGCGATCGGCAAGGCGCTGGCGTCCAACACCGCGCTGCACACGCTGGGGCTGGGCAGCAACAAGATCGGCGACGCCGGCGCGGAGGCGATCGGCAAGGCGCTGGCGTCCAACACCGCGCTGCAGACGCTGGAGCTGGGCAGGAACAAGATCGGCGACGCCGGCGCGCAGGCGATCGGCAAGGCGCTGGCGTCCAACACCGCGCTGCAGACGCTGGAGCTGGTAATCAGCGACATCGGCGCCGCCGGCGCGGAGGCGATCGGCAAGGCGCTGGCGTCCAACACCGCGCTGCAGACGCTGGACCTGAGCTGCAACTGGATCGGCGACGCCGGCGCGCAGGCGATCGGCAAGGCGCTGGCGTCCAACACCGCGCTGCAGACGCTGGAGCTGGGCGGCAGCAACATCGGCGCCGCCGGCGCGCAGGCGATCGGCAAGGCGCTGGCGTCCAACACCGCGCTGCAGACGCTGGACCTGAGCAGCAACAGCATCGGCGCCGCCGGCACGGAGGCGATCGGCAAGGCGCTGGCGTCCAACACCGCGCTGCAGACGCTGCGGGTGGTATGCGGCGGCGTCAGCGACGCCGGCGCGGAGGTGATCGGCCAGGCGCTGGCGTCCAACACCGCGCTGCAGACGCTGGTGCTGGGCCACTACAACGACATCGCAAAGCGAGCATTGCGCGCCGCTGAAAGCTGCTATGGTTTTTTGTAATGTTTTTGTAATGTTTGGACTGTTATCTGTGAGCACGTGTGCGTTCCTCCGTTCGCGGGATTCTCGCTCGACACGCAACCTGCTCGGTCTTACGATATTATTATCGTCTAATGGCTGCGGCAACAGTCCCGGAACGCGTGGGCTGCCGCGCAGAGTCCACTGCTTTTTGCGGATCGAGCGAAACGCCCCTGCATCTCACCGATGGGAACTCGCCGAAAATGCTACGAGGCAGTCCCTGGGTCGATGTACAGTCGACCGCTGCCGACCCGCGCCACGTATGTGTCACCGACACGCGCAGCACTCCTGTACTTGCACATTCGCCTTTGCAGCTTCAGCGCGAGCCCGAAGTCTGGCGCTGGTTGCCGTGCGGCAACCCCCATCGCAAACAGCGACTCGCCGACGCCGCCATCGTTGCAGGCGCGCGTCACCGTCCTCTTCGGACCAAGGGCACAGAGGCTGCACTGCTCAAGCTGCGCCTGCGCCGCTGCGCGCCCCACCCGCCTCGCGCGATGCACGACCGGCTCACGCCTTCCATATCACACACCGCGGCGCGAGCAGGCGTGGCTCCGGCCCACAGCCCTCGCGAGCGTCCGCGTACCTATGGCACCGGCGGGGCACCCTCACCCACAAGCCGCTGCCGCGAGCCTTAGCCCCGGCGCTCCACCCCCCGCTCACCCGGCGCGCATCCTCACGTCCGCGGGCACGTCCCGCTGGTCGATGCTCTCCATCACGCTCTGCGTGCGCGCGATGCGTGCGTCGTACTGCACCAGCGCGTCCGGCAGCGGTCCGCGCGTCATCAGCCGGAAGAACTCCCCCTCGGAGATCTCCCCGTCGCTGTTCGTGTCGGCCTCGCGCATCAGCGCGCTCAGCTCCTGCATCGTCTCGTCCTGCGACTGCGTGGTCCGCGACCGCGCCGGGATCAGGTCCAGCAGCTCGTCCGCCGAGATGCGGCCGTCCCCGTCGCGGTCGAGGTGCCGGAACGCCTCGCCGACGTACTGCACCCACTGGTCGTCCTCCATGATGCCGTCCCAGTCGATCAGCCCCGCCAGCCACTCCCCGTACTGCAGCGACCCGTCCTCGTCAATGTCGATGCGCTCCACCAGCTGCCGCACCTCCTCCTCCGTGATGTTGTACCCCTGCCGCGCCAGCCCCTGCACTCACACGCACGCACACACGAACAATCGCAACGATCGCAACCATGACCCAGCAAATATGAAACCAAGACCAAAAAGCAACAAAAACAAAGCACGCCGACCGACGACGGTCCTCGCGCGGGCGAACCGGGCGCGGCCGCCGTCCGGTCCCGCCCGAGCCGCAGCGGTCCGCGCGTGCGCGCACCTCGGTCATCTCGAGCAGCGTGAGTGCGCCGCCGCCGCCGACGTTCATCTCGTCGTACAGCCCCTGGATGGCCTCGAGCATCTCCTGGTGCGCGGGGTGGTCCATCGACGCGAGCTTCCCGTCGCCCTGCATCTTCTCCGCGATCAGCCCCAGGATGAGCTGCTTCAGGTGGCCGTACGTAGCGAACCGCTGCAGGCGCTGCACCACCGAGCCCGCGAGGGGCATGTTGGACGCGACGTCCACCTCGGACACCCACGGGTGACTGAGCGCCTCCACCGCGGACAGCCGGACCTCAGAGTCGCGCTCCAGCAGCTTCGACAGCAGGTCGCGCGCCGGCGGCGAGATCCTGCAAAGGAGGGGGAGGGTTCGCTCGTCAGGGGGGTTATTTGAGCTGCGACCGGCGCTGCAGGCCAGGTGGCGCGAGGGGGAAGAACACGGCGCCGCGAGCGCGACGAGCGAGCGCGGCCACGGGGTTGCACGCAATGCCGTGCGAGGCGGTGCACGCGCCGGGGCCGCACTTGTCGCGGTAGTCCGGGTTGTCGAGGTCGATGTCGTCCTGCAGGATGGACCGGAACACGTCCTGCAGCGTCATGTTGCTCAGGTCCTCCCAAAAGGGCCAGCGGCCCGTCAGGAGCTGGAACATGAGCATCCCGGCGCTCCACGTGTCGCACTTCTCGTTGTACTGCTGCATGACGACCTCCGGCGCCATGTACACGGGCGTGCCGGAGCGCGTCGTCATCGGGTCGTCGCCCGGGCGCCAGCGGATGGCCAGGCCGAAGTCGGTGGCCTTGAGCGGGGAGTCGTGCTCCTTGGTGAGGAAGAGGAAGTTGTCGGGCTTCACGTCGCGGTACACGACGTGCCGCGAGTGGCACTGCGCGAGGAACTGCAGCACCGTCTTCATGATGCGCGACACGTCCTTTTCCCGGAGCGCCCCGGACTTGAGGCGGTCGAGCAGCCCGCCGCCCTCGCACAGCTCCATCACCAGGTATATGCTGTGGTCGTCCTCGAACGCGTCCTGCGCGCGCGGGGCCGGGAGGCGGGCCGTGGTGTTGGCGGGGCGGGGCAGCCTGTTGGTGGAGCCAGGGCGGGGTCCGGCGCGGAACGCGCGGGCGCGCGGGGCGCGTGAGGAGCGGTGGGGTCGGGAGGAGGGGCGCGGGGTCGTTCGGCGGTGCGGGGGGCGCGTGAGTCGCGGCGTGGCGTGGCGCCAGCGCGGGGACGCTACGGCGGCTGGCACGGCGCGCGGCGGGGCGAACCGTGGAAGGAGGTGCGCGGAGGGCGTCGTTTGGGACGTGGTGCAGGCGGTCAGGGGGTCGCGAGGGCGCGAGGTCGGCGGCAGCGGGTGGAAACGCGCACCTGGAGGAAGACAGCAGAGAGCGAGGAGCCGAGCTGGCGCATGGAGTCTACTTCGTTCTGGAGCTTCTTAAGATACTTGGACGTGCACTTCTTGTTCCTGGGCACCTTCGGGATCGCCTTCGAGGCGTAGCTCCGCCCTGCGGCCACGCGCGCGCCCGTCGCAGGGAGGTCCAGGGCGGCAACGTGCGACGTTGACTGCGGGGGCCCTGCGCGGCGGGCCCCGGCGGGCCCGGTGCCCGGATGACGCACGCAACCAGGGCAACGAGCCCGGGGCGGCCCGGGCGCGAACCGCGCGCCCGTGGCCCCGCGGGACGATCGTTTGCGATCCCCGGTCAGCGCTGGACACCGAGGGGGGCCCGGTGGGCGCTGCAGACGGCGCGACGCGGGCTCGGGCGCGCGCGAGGGAGCGGCAGGGTCGCGTCGCGTCCGCGCGGCGCGCGGGACCGGCGCTGGCGGTGCGTGGCGCGCACCTGTCCGCTTGTGAATGACGAGGGAGACCACCCCGAAGCTGCCCGCGCCGATCTTCTTTCCCACTATGTAGTTCTCCTCGAAGTCCCTGGGAAGACCGAACACCGCCGTGACCTCGTGCGGCATCAGCTCTACGTACGGCGGCGTCGAGAGGACGTCCTTGGTGCTGCTGCGGGAGAGGCGGGCTCCCGCTGCCACGCGCCGCTGCGGACGCGCCGCGCGCAGGGGCGGGCGGACTAGGGAGGCCTGTCGCAGCATGGGGGCGCTGCCGGGGCAGCGGGCCGCGCATGGCTGGGGCCGCGGCGAGGGTCGTTGGGCTGCAGCGGGGCCCACCCCGTGAGGGGCGGGTAGGGCGCGCATGGCGATGTCGCGCGGCTACGCGGCGGAGGGTGCGCGAAAATTCGAGCGCGGCGCTCGCTCGTCGACCTCGTCCGCGTCGAGCCGGCGCGAGGGCTCTCGCCAACGACGTCCCGAACTTCGCGCGCACGTCCGCGACGTTGCGCTGGCGACAAGCAGGTTCCCGTGTTTGCCTCGTCGAATTGCGACGCGCGCATGCCCACGCCGCCCACCGTGCGCCCAGCAACCCAACCCAGCGCTGTCGGGCGAACGCCCCTCACCGCCCCTGCTGAGCTCAGCACCGCGTCGCCTCCCCGCGCCCTCGACGGGCCGGCCCGCGCCGCGCCCGCCACAGAACGAGCCCCGTGCAGCGGAACCGGCAGCGAGCAAGGAGACGCCTCAGCGCGCCAGGGCAGGTCACCGTTCGACAGCATGGTACGCGACATCAAATGCAGCGCACTCCTGCGCAGCGCGCCGCGGGCCCGTCGCGCTCCGCGCCGCCTGCGCGCGGCGGCCCCGTCCCCGCGTGATCGGCCGCGCCCCCCGATCCTATCGCTGACGCGCCCTGGCACCGCGCGGGCGCTAGCAGTGTCGCGTTGCGTGGTGCCCTCACCGCGCGCGGCGTGGGGTCCTCGCAGGCACCCGTGAACCGCGTGATCGCGGCGAAGGCCAAGAAGGCGGAGAAGGGCGGCGTGAAGAAGAAGGTCAAGGAGGAGGTGAGGCGCTCTCGCACCACCGCGGCCCCGCGCTGCCAGGCAGCTCCCTAGGCGCGCACGGACGTGCCGGGCGCCCGACGGCCGATGCGGCGCTCCCGTGGCTTTGTCTAGCTTGGTTCTACACAGCGCGGCCAGGAAATCGCGCTGTGTGCGGCCTGGAGGGCCGCGCGGGCGTGTGGGCAGCGTTGTTTCACTCGCTGGGCTCGCGTGCGCTGTGTGCTGCGCAGAAGGTGAAGTTCCCGGTCGGACCCGTGCTCATGGGCTTCCTGCTCTTCGTCGTCGTTGGTTCCGGTGAGTCATTGCGGCCGGAGACCCCCCTGACGCGCTCCAGCCTGCGGTGCGGCGCCCTCGCCAGATCGAAGCCGTGCTCACTCTGTCGTCGCGACGGCCGCCCTCGACGCCCCTGCAGCTCTTCTCCAAGTCCTGAGGAACGCGCAGGCGTCGCAGCCGTTCGGCGGGGGCGTCTGAGCCCTCGCGCAGCTCCTGCAGCGCGTGCTGCGATGGCTGCGCGACGCTGCGAGGCCACCCCGCGCGCGACTGCTCCCGAGCCGTGATGCGACGACACCCGATACTCTAAGACGACAGCTCGCCCGGTACTGGCATTCCAAGGCCGCCCCCGGCGCGGAGGCGCCCGGTTGCCCAGGCAGCGCACACTATTGCATGCACCCTAGACGGCCGAGGCTCACCCGCCCGTCCGACTGTGAGGCGAAGTCTTGCAGCTGCTGCGCAGCGCGCCGCGCCCGTCGCGACGCGGGAGCGGTCCCCCCGCGGCCAGCTTGATGCCAGATTGACTCTATGGCGCCAGCGGTGCCTCCGTGCGCGTTCGTTCAGCATGGTAGGTCGCGCCATGATGGACGTGGGAGGGTGCCTGGGCGTCCCGGGGGCGGAGGCGGGTTGCGCTGTGGGTGTGCGCGTCCAACGGCACGGGGTGTGTGCTGACGCTGTAGGTGCGGGGGGCGCATATGGCCTGGGCGTTCGCCGGGCGCGCACAATTCCTGGCGCTGTGGATAGGTTGATGATACGTGAGGCCGCGCAGCACCGGCACAGGGCTTAGTGAAGGCGGTGATCATCGCCGCGGCGCGCGGGAGGTGCTGCGTGCTAGGCGTCGAGGCGTCGCTTGCCGTCCGGGAAGGCAGCGCACGTCGTGACTAGTCGTCTTGAAAGAAAAGTAGCAGGTGCGCCGATTCGGGTTATAGTTCGAGCACGAAGCCCAGAATCACGCTCACAGCGCGCGGGAGAACACTGCACTTTATTCTGCCTGCTTTCGGGGCAGCGGCGATAATCATGCATGATTGAGCACCGCGTGCGATCGAGTCGGATTCACTCTTCAAGTCGGCGGCGCTCGAACGATCCGACGCGGAGCACGCTCGTTGTACGCGGGGCTTTTCCGCCACCCTGAAGATGCCCCCGCGGCTTCGCGTTCCGTCCGCCTCATGGCAACATCGATGAATGCGGATGCGAGACTTGGTCCAGCGTTGCGCATCTACAGGGCGAGAGCGCTCGATTGCGGCCGCGCTGAGCGCTGTGGCATCAACATTGCCTCTCAGCGAACGCCTCATGCCACGCCTCCCCACCACCTCCGTGCAGGCATCTCACGACAGATACTTCAAGCCATCGTCAACCAATCGCGCGCGCCGTTCTCCTCTGAGCTGTGTCCTCCCTATTCTCGAGAACAGCGCGAGGGCGCAGCACGCCACGGCAGCGCAGGCCAGCGCGGAGCCTGAAGAGGGCCGCACCGACAGACAGGCTCCGCGATGGCCTTCAGGCACGCGGTGGCGAAGCAGCAGCCTCGCATTCCGGCCAAGCAGAAGCGGAGAACCTTCCGCTTGACCGTCATTGCTGTCGGCGTCGCCGTCGTGGTGTGGATCGTGTTCCACCGCGCGCACGGCACCGCCATGCACCTCCCGCCCGCCCTCGGACATCACGCCGCGTCCGACAAGGACGGGACCGGAGACGCCAGCGGCGGCACGTCGGGTACGCGCCCGAATGCACACGCAAGCGCCAACAGCGCTCTTGCCGCCGTTTCGCGCTCCCGGGCGTCGCCACTGCGCCGCATCTTTCGCCCAGGCGCTTGCTGTCGTGAGACGCTTCCGGGCGCTGCGCGCGGAGGGTGTCCAGTCAGGTTTGAGACGTTGACGCGCGGTGGTTGTTCTGCTGTTGTCATGACCGCAGAGGACTGGGGCGGACGCGACGGCGGGTGGGGGAGCGAGGTCGTGGCCGGGGAGGAGATCCTCGCGGGCGGGGGAGGGTCGGCCGGCGAGGGCGCGCTCCAGTCGGCCGGGGAGGAGGACTTCCATGAGTCAGTCGAGCCAGGGTTCCCCCCGCCCGGGGACCCGCCGACGGACCCGACGGAGCACGCGGAGTGGGAGGCGATCGTCAAGCTCGCGCGAACCTCGCGAGACGACATGAAGAAAGCCATCGCCAAGCGCGGCAGCGACGACTGCAAGTGCGTTACACAACACACCCCACGCGCACGCCCCGGAACTCCCCCCCCGCCCCGCTCGGCGGCCCACGCTCGCGCGCTCACGTACCGCCGCGTCCGCGTCGTCCGCTCCGCCCCGCACAGGAAGCCGCGGGCCATCACGGGCTACTTGGACCTGTCGGCAAACGGCAAGGACGAGTTCCTGTACTTCGCGCACGCGTCGTGGAAGCACATCACGCGCGAGCCCGACGCGACGTCGAGCATCGACCTCGTCGTGTTCGGGCGCTCCGAGGCCACCGCGTGGGTCGACGGCGTGTGCGCAGTCCTCGACGTCAACAAGGACCTCCGCGAGCAGCGCAAGGCGATCCCGGACCTGCACGCGTGCCTCTTCATTCCGTATCCGCAGGACGAGGTCGTCCGGATGCGGTTCGACTACCCGTACGGCAACTCGTTCCACTTCCTGTTTGACGACAGGGTGGAGCCGTTCTTCAAGGAACGGTACGGGTGGATCCTGCGGTCGGACTGGGACGTCTTCTACGCGCCGCCGCTCGTGCAGCTGTGCCCGGACACCTACATGACGGGTGCGCCGCCCGCGTCCTTGATGAGATTATGCCCCAAAACCGTTTCATAAGTCGTGCTTTCTCGACTGGAAACGCGCGGACCATTCGCGCCTGCATTCTGAATCCGGCCGCCCTCCGTGCGCGAGCCTGCAGGGGTCGGCGGGTACACGGACTTCTCGATGGGCAACGACGACGACCCGAACACGGCGCAGCGGCTCGCGGCGCTGGCCAAGCACTTTGGGATGCGACACGCGGGGATCCACAACGTCGGCTCCACGTGGTTCGGCCGCACGGAGGAGGTCCTGGTCCTCGGCCGCATGACGTATGCGCTCATGCCGCACCTCCTGAAGTACCACTTCGAACAAAAGGACCCCAGTCTCGGGGAGGGCCCGCTGCACCTCCTGGACACGATCGGGTGGCCGCGGTGGTACGCCGGCGTGACGCTGCTGTACGCCGGCGAGCTCGCGGCGAACCACCTGCTCGACGAGTTCGAGAAGACGGGGGGAATGGACGCGAACAGTCACGACGCTGTGCCGGTGCACGAGGTGTTCACGATCCACTGCTGGTGGACGGGGGAGCGGTTCAGCAAGGCTGGGTTCTTCCAGCACAAGTACGACGACTTCGACATGGACGTCGAGGCGCTCGACACGTCCGTCGCCAGGGACTACTGCACCGAGATCGCGCTGCTTGCGTACCGCGCCAATACGAAGATTGAAGCCAAGCGCGAGCAGGCGCTGCGAAAGATCGTGGAGCAAAAGAGCGCCGTGCTTGCGTGATCGCGGGGATGAACGTTGTGAACACGTGGTCTGTCGGTGGTGCAGCAACGCTGGCAAGCGCCACGCAGGAGCTCCCATGAAACGCTGCAGCCGTGTTGGCGCTGCGAGGGTGCTGACCGACCGCGCGTAGCTCGCTCCTAAAGCCTGGCGCTGGTTGCGTTCAGGGACGTCTCGTCGGGCCCCAACATGCAGCAGAGACCTGCGCGCCCTTGCAACTGAAACGAAGCCGCGCGGCCCTCGCGGCGCACGCACGGAGATACATCGCCGCGCTCGCCCTCGCCGTGTCGCCCTGCCGCGCCTCGCTGCGGCCACAACCGCACTTCTCCTAGTGAAGGCTCGACGCTGTAGTCGCAACACTCACAACCCTCACAGCTACGCGCGGCCGCTCAGTCCTGCCCGGGCAGCTAGCTCATGTCCATGACGCCCGGTATGGTGGCTGCGTCGGGCCAGTCCCCGCTCAGGAGGTCGCCGCGATGGTATATCCGCAGCACAGGCGCAAAGTAGTTCTTCTGCCTGGCGTTCTGCTGCGTGGCGCCCGGGATCGCGAACTCGTTGAACTCCTGGTTCTTCTCCTCGTGTATCAGCACGTACCCTGCACCGCGCCACGCGGCAACACGCACAAACACCGTCTTGAAGAAAGAAAGAAATAACACCACAACAAGCAACGCTGGTGCATGTGGCGCCAAATGAAACGCTCGAGGGCCCGGACGGTGGCGTGGTCGGGTGGCTCGCGCACCTGCCGCGGCGTGGTCGGGCCATGTGTCCTTGGGAACCAGCAGCACAATGATTCGTGGTTGGAACTGCAACATCTTTTCGGCCCACTGCGACGCCTTGTTCGAGTCGCGGCCGTACGGCGGATTGAGGCCCATCACGAGCGACTCGCCCGCCACGCGCCGGCGGACCACGCGCTCGACGTCGGTCACGGTGAGCTGGAAGAAGTCCTTTCGCAAAAACCCTTCTGTCGACGGACACTGCGAAATGTCGACTGCGCAGCCCGCGACGCCGGTGCACCCCACCAGCTGCGCCATGCGCTTCATCAGCGGCATCCAGTGGTTGGCGCCGCAGCACGTGTCCACGATCACGTCGTTCGAGCGCAGGAACAACGGAACGACGCGCTCCGTGATGCGCTCGAGCGCCTTCGGGGACGTAAAGTACCGCCCGTGCGACGTGTACCGCCCCGCGGTGCACAGGTACGGCATGAGGCGTCCGGTCAGGCCCCGGACCGCGCGCTGGAGAGGCAGGAGGCTCCGTTGGCGCTGACTCATGCAGCGCAGAATCAACGAAGTGGCTTCGCGCGGGTGCTGCGCGTGCATGGCCTCGGCCACGCGCATCACGCGGTACGTGCTCTCGATGTTCTCGACGGGCAGCTCTGCGTTGCGGTCCGACGTGAACGCCCCCGTCCGTGCGCGGGCGTGGTAGGTCGCAATCACCGCCAGCGGCACATCCCTCTCCGCCCGCGCGACGAGCTCGCGCATCCGTTCGCGCGTGGACCGCGGCGTCGACGGCAAGCTCGGGGCCTCGCGGCCCGCCGCGGCGGCCTCGTCCGTCTCGCGCAGCCGGGCGCGGCACCAGCGCAGGACCTCGTCGCTGGCGAGGCCGCAGTCCTGGATCCTGCGGGCGTAGTCGTCGCGCCAGGCGTCGAGCATCGCGACCGACCAGGGCTTCCGAGGGACCGGGACTGCGGCCGCGCCTTGCGACCCCTCCAGCGCGTCTCCGGCGTGCCTTTCGCAGTATAACATCTGTGCGGGGGGGTACTCCGACTCTGCGCCTGCGAACGCGGGAACAGTGGGGCACGCGATGACGGTCGTTGGCGTTGATGCGGGCGTTGCGACCGCGGGCGTCAGGCGGGCAACGTCGGCGCAGGGATCCATAAATTGTTGTGCGAAATGCCAATGCGGAATTCTCGACTGCGGGTCCGGCCGGATCGGGCGCACCCATCTCGGACGCGAGGTCGGCGTAGAGCCACTCGCGGTCGCGCACGCCGTCCGGCACGCAGCCCTCGCAGTAGCTGTTGGGGCACCGGAGACACGCGAAGAAACGGGGGCCCTCCCGGCCGCCGCCGCCGCGCCAACCGTACTCCGGCGCCTTCTTCCCGCACGCGGTGCACCAGTGCTGCGGGCACTCCCAGAACGCCGCCGCGCTGGGGTCTCGCGCGTTGCCGCGCACCCACGTGCTGACGCACCGGCGGTGGTACCAGCGGCCGCAGGTGTCGACGGTGCAGCGGATGACGCCGTCCGGACCGTCGCGGCGCTCGCCGATCTCGCCACACGCGTAGCACATGTACTTCCCGGCGCGGCAGTTTGGACACCGCATGCCCCTGCGAACCAAGAAACCATATCTTGTGAGCAGCGGAAACAATCGAGGGAGGCCCGATCGCCCACGGCGTCATGTGGGCCCCGCTCCACGCACGCAAGGCCGTGCGCCTGGCTCGCTCGCAGCCCCGATGGCGACGCCTGGAGGACCGTCAACAGCCGCGGCAGTCTACGCAATGCGCGCAACACGCATCACGGGGCGTCCGCGACCGTCGCGCTCACCAGTTGATGTCCTCGCTTAAGAACGCGAACTGCGCGGTCGCGGGGTCGTCGATGAGGAGCTCGCAGCGCCCCTGCTCGTCGGTCACGTGGAACGAGAGATTGCACCCGTCGCACGTCACCAGGTCGCCGCCGTCGTCGCACAGCGCGCACAGCACGTCGCCTGCGCGCGCCACACAGCAGACACAAGGTAAGGACATGCGCAGCGGACGCTGAGAGCGATCGCGAAGGACACGGCGCCTGTTTTGAGTCGATCACCCAGTCATGGTGTGTGTCTCGTAACGGGTGCCTAGCGTCGGTTGTCTGGCTGGCAAGGAAGCGCACTGTCATGCAAATACGTACCGCTGTTCAAGTCGACCGCGGCGCCCTCGTCGCCGCCGTTCCGCGTGCCCGCAGACCTCCCCGCCTGTCGCTGCGAGGGCGATTGCGTCGTCACCGTCGCATCTCGCCGCCGCTCCCGCTCGTCGCCGTCGCTCCGCCGACGCGCCACGTCGGCCTCGCCGCCCCCCTTGCCGCTCTTCCCCTCCGCAGAAACACCCCCCCCCTTCGCCACCGCAACACCTCCCGCGGCCGCTCGCGCGCCCGCCGCCTTCTCCGACGTGCCCCCCTCCGTCTCGATCCGCCTGCGCTTCGCAGCCGCCGCTACCGCGATTGGCAGACAGTCGTCGTCATCGCAAGCGTCGTCGCTCTCGTTGCGCGGTGCGTGTGTGCCTTGCACGCGCTTGGCTGCCGCGGCCTCGTCGCTGCCTGCCGCAGCGGACGACACCAGCTCGTCCCGGGCCGCCGCTGCCGGCGCCGCCGTCGTGGCCGGGGACGCGACGGGCGTCAGCGCAGCCAGCGGCGCCGCGACAGTCGCGCCCTGTGTCGCGATCCGAGCCGCCGCGCGGGTGCGCCGCGCCCTGAGTATCGCGGCCGTGACGACCCCGATCGTCCTCGGGGCGTCCTGCGCCGCGCCCTGCCCGCCGTCACGGGGCGCAGGCTGCTCCACGCGAGGCTCATTGACGTCGCGTGCACCTTGGAAGCAGGTCCCGGGGTCGTGGCCGTTCGCCGCGGGCCCGTCGCCGGCCGCGGCGTTCCCAGCACCGTTTGGCTGTCCGTCAGCGGCGTCCTGCGCGCCGTCACCGTCCCGCCGCGGCCCCTCGGATGGTCGGTTGCTGTCGTGCGCCGGCTCTGGTGGTCCGTCGTGCGCGTCCGGGTCGGCCTTGCGTTTCTTGTTCGGCCCAGGCGACGCCTCAGAGATCCAGCTGTGCTGTAATCGCGGAGGCAGGCTCTCCTTGAGCTTGGCGGCGTCCGCACCCGCTAGGGCGCTCTTGAGTGCGCACGTCCCCTCCCGCCACTGCTGCAGAGCTGGCGAGTCGTCCGCGAGCGCTTTCCTGCAACCGCGCCGGATTCACAGATCGTACGGCGTGGAACAGCGGCCAGGAGGGTCGCGCAGCGGCAGTGGGGCGGCCCGAGAGCACCAAGATTGGTTGCTTCGTTGGCGCGTCTCTCGACGACGCAGCGCCGCGGCAGGGTCTGAACGGGCCCCCACCTGTAGACATCCTTCATGTCCGACCCGGCGGATAGGTGTCTGCTCTCGAAGCCCTCCCCGCGCACCACCCAGACCTTGCTGTTTGGCGCGTCAGGCAGCGGCTCCTCACTGACGCCGAGGTTCACGCGCGCCATGCCCTCTCGCCGTGGCCGACGCCTCTATCTCAACGCGTCGCGCCGCTACGGCAGAGCCGCCTCAGCCGCTCCCATGCCGGCAAAGCACCGCCCCTTGCGTCTGCTATGACCCCAAACCGGCCGCCGGCGCTCACCGGGGGCTACCGCGCGCACTAAATGCGCTACACGGAGTCTCTGAAGACCAAGCGAGGCCTGGAGGTAATCGAATACCACGTAAGATCGGACGAAGCGGCGCTGTTGCGCTGCAAATGGCCTGAACTGACACCTAGTCGCCTCAGGAGCGCAGAACAACGGTAGAACTGCGCCTATCAATGCCCGCCCGTGCGTAACTGTCCAACGCTGAGCCCTACCTGCCCTTCTTGTGCCGGGCGAGCGCGCCGCGGCGCCGCGGGGGGTCTATGTTTCTATGCACACAACACCTCCGTGGCCAGGTCCGACAACCCGGCCGGGACCACGCACGTCGGAGCCGAGTCAGCTCCCACCACGCCGACATCTCAGCTCGATTCTGCGGGGCCGCGCGCACAGCGACGCGCATGACTAGCCCCGCAGCTTCACTGACTTGCACTGCACCCACCGCGACGTCTCACTGACACGAACCACCGCAGCAGCACGCTCCGCAACGGCACCGACACCTCCTGGACACACGCACGGCAGCACGTCACCACCTCGCGCGGACAGGCCTCACAGCTCCCCCTCTCCGTCCCCACACTGCCCACAAACCGCCCGCAGTCTACCTGCCCCGGCTCCGGCTGCGGCTCCGGCTCCGGCTGCGGCTTCGGCTGCTGTAGCTGCGCCCGCGGCTCCGGCTCCGGCTCCGGCTGCTGTAGCTGCGGCTGCTATAGCTGCGTCCGCGCGAGTCGGATGTGTAGCTGCGGCTGCGCGAACGGCTGTCGGGCGACCGGCTGGTGCGCGGACGCGGGCGCGGGCTCGGCGTGCGGGAGCGGCTGCGCCGGCCGCGCGGGCTGCGGCCGCGCGGAGACCCCCCCCGGCGGCCGTACGCCCGCGACACGTCCCGGGGGGCGTCCCGCGAAACAACCTTGATCCGCGACTCGTTCTCGCGGATCGCACGCGCGCGCGCATCCTGCAGCCGCAAAAGACACTCGTGGCGCGCGTGGGTGCGCGAGGCTACAGCAAGCAGCCTCCGCCGCCATCGCAGGCCGCAGCGAAGCGCCGTCGACGTCCACACAGTCACGCCGAACACAGGACGCGCAAACGAACCGTAAGGCGCTCGCTCGCGCCGTCTGTGCGGCGCACGGCGCACCTGTATCGCCTTCTGGTGCTCCTCGTGGGCGCGCTCCCGCCGCGCGCGGACCTCTGCGTTGCGCGCCTCGACCTTCAGCCGGTGGCTCCGGTTCACCTCCTCCGCCTCCGCGCTCACGGGCACCCAGTAGATCTTCGGCAGCGCCTCTTTCGTGAACTTGAACAAGTCGTCCACGCTCAGCACCGCCTCGCCGTCGCCGCCGCCGCCGTTCCCCTCCCCGCCCTCCATCGTCACCTTCCGCTCCGTGCCCCGCGCCTCCTCCGCCGCCGCCTGCGCCTCCTCCGCCCGCTTCCGCTCCGCAGCGCGCTTCGCCGACGCCATCGCGTCCGCCATCGCGCCCTTCAGCAGCCCGCCGCGCGGGTGCAGCGCCTCCTTCCCGTCCTCGTCCTCCGCGGCCCGCGCGCCCTTCCGCGCCTCGATCCCGAGCTCGGCCAGCTCCTTTGGTTCCGGGTCGCGCTGCGCGCTGATGGCGAGCTCGGCGACCTTCGGGTCCACGAACGCCGCGGCGAGGACGCGCTTGTCCGTGCGCGTGTCCGGAAAGCGCCGGCCGTCCATCAGGCGCACCACCGCCGCGGCCTGGCGCGCCGTCGCCATGACCGCGTAGCAGTGCGTCTTGACGCGCGGCATCCAGAAGCCGACGAGCTTGCCGCACTGCTCGACCTCTGCGCGCACCGCCGGCTCCGTGAGCGGCCGGACGAAGCGGTCGATGCGCACCGCGACCGTCGCCCCCGGCGGGACGTCCGCGTCCGCGTCCGCGCTCGGCGACGCGTCGCGCGCCGGCTCCGGAGAGCCGGCCTGGGCTTTGCCAGCGGGGCTGCCGCGCTCCGCACGGTCGTCCGCGGGCTCCGGCGCCTTGGCGGCCGGCGGCGTACGCGATGGTCTCCCGGGCTTGCGGGCGGGCGTGGGCTCCTTGGCGGCCGGCTTGGGCGGCGGCGAAGGCGAGCGGGCCTTCTTGGGCTCCGCGGCGGGGCTCGGCTTGGCCGCAGGCGCCTCGGCGGCCGCGTCGGAGGCTGGCGGGGCAGACTGCTGGTCGGGGGAGCCGCTGCGTTGGGACGCGGGGCGCGGCTCGGACGGCGACGACGACGCCTCGACGCGCTTGACGGCGGGGCGTTTCGTTTCGCGCTTCGGCTCGTCCTCGGGCGGCTCTGCGCGAAAAGGCGGGCCAGGAGCGCAGTGCGGTGCAATGGTGAGGGTTCGCGGCGTTGCAGACGTCCACCGCTTCGAAAGCCCGGCGGGCACGCGTGGTCAGATGTCTGAGAGGCGGCGCGGGTGCTCGGGGAGCCGTGTGGAAGGCTTGAGGGGCGGCTAGACGGCTGCGGGGTCTTCGCAGAAACGGCGGGCATCGCATTTCCGCGACTGCCGGGGCGCCGAGCGGCGCGGAGCCGCCGCACGAGATGGAGGGCGTCAGTGGGATCGCGGGCGTGCCTTCGGCTTTGCGCTTCGCCCCGGGCTCGTCGTCCTTTTCCGGCTCGCTTGGGGAGGCTTCTTCCTGCGCCGGCGCCTCCTTGGGACTCCCCCCCTCGTCCGGCTGCTCCAGGGCCTCGCGGAGCCGGTCCTGGAGCTCCTGTTTCCGGCCCGTGGTCGGCAGGGAGAGCTTCTTCAGCTCCTGCGGCGGGCGCGGCGGAAGGGTGACGCCAAGGAGAGTTGGCCGCGGGCGGAGCCGCACAGCGGCGCTCGCGGCGCTACATGCACGCGGCCTCGCAGGTCGGGTGTTTGCTGTATCCGGGGGAGTGCGGGCCGTCGAGCTGGGCCGGTTGCGGCCGCAGGAGGCTGCTGTTTGGCAGTGCATGGAATACAGGGACTGCGGGGCCGCACATCGCGCAGGTCCTTGACGCGCAGTCCCTTGAACCACTCCTCGTCGATCCCCATCCTGCCGGCGACCCGAACAGGTCGCTCACAGGCCCAGGCCCCACCTACAACGAGAGAGAGCTTCGAATGCGACGCGCACGCCCAGGTGGCGCGTGAATTCGCGGGCCTGGTCGGTTCCTTCGATGAACAGAAGTGTTTCCATGCGCGCGGGGCGCCGCATCATCGCGCCGGGCCCGTTTCCGGGGCAGGGGGGGCGTATGACCCGCACCTACCGATGACTCCTGCTCGGCGTCGCGGTCGATGCGGCGTCGCCGCGGCCTGCGGCGGCAGTTACGCGGAGCACTCATCGTTCGCTCCCGCGGCGCGCGGACATTCCCCGACATCGTCGCGAAGAGCTCCGAAGGCGTGCAGCTGCGTGGTTTTCACCCCTCGAGCAGCAACTCGCCCGCGAGACGGGGCACTGGGCACGCAGCGACTCGCCGCGGCGGGGCCCAGCCGCTAGCCTCATCCAGATGAGGCACGCAACCCCGTGTCAGGCCCTGGTACGGCCCTGCCTGCGGCCCTCTGCCCGCCTCGTGACGAGGACCGCCCCGGGGCGCCTGAGGCCGCTGGTCCGGACCGCTTGCCGCCATGGCAGCGGCGTATCCCTGCGCAAGAGCGTCGTGCGGATGAGCCAGACCAGGGGGGGAGCGAGCATGCCTCGCGAGGAGGTGCGCACCATCGCAGGCCGTCACAGCCGGGCCCGCCTCTCAGCGGGGCGCGTAGTCCCGCATTGCGCGCGCCGTGCCGCCGACGCGTCTCCGGTGTGCCCGCAAGGCCGGACGCCGGCGTCGCTGGCTGGCTCCGCCCCGTGCGCTGCGCGCTCGACAGCGGCGGCCGGCTGTGTGGTCGTTCCGCTATTTCCGCGCGTTCCAGCCTTCCCGTCGACTCTGTGGCCACCTCAGGGGCAGAACCGGTCTCAGAGGAGCGGCCCGCGTGGAAATGCGCGTGTGATTTGCGGCCGGGACGCCACACGCGCCGCTCGGCAACGATATCGTCCATCTGAGCCTGCGCGCACGGCGTGTGTGTGCAGGACGTGGAGGACATGAAGGTGTCGGAGCTGAAGCACTATCTTAGGAACGCCGATCTCGCGGTCACGGGCCGCAAGGGCGACCTCAAGGAGCGCCTCAAGGCCCACCTGCGGTCCTTCTGGGCGCAACAGGTGCGCGCAGCGCCACCTGCGACGCACGCGCGGCTCCCCGGGGCGCGCTCTGCCTTCCTCCACGTCCACGCCGCGCGGCGCGCCGTTTTTCGTCCAGGGATCGCGCCCCGCAGCGCCGCGGCGCGCGCTCGTTGTCTCGCAGGAGGTGCTGCGCTCGCGCGCCGCGCCCTGACGCGCGCCGCCCCCCGCGACGGCCCCGCTGCGCAGAACGCCGAAGCGACATCCACGGCGCAGTCCGCGCTGCAGCCCACGGGCCTCGCAGCGGAGAACCTCGAGCACTTTACAGTGAAGCGGTTGCGCGACGAGCTCAAGGCGCGCGGGTTCTCGCCCATGGGCAACAAACAGGAGCTCATCGACACACTCTCCGCGGCTCTCAGCATCGAGGGCCCCGCGGCGAGCAGCGGGCTGCTCCCAGCGGACTCGCAGATGATAGACGTTGAGGGTCTGTTTCTGGACGGCCTGCTCGACCAGGCGCTCGAGCAGCGCGAACTCCCCGCGGACGGCACCGAGGCGAACCAGTTCGACCGCCTCTGCACCGCGGTCGAGATGGAATTCGTCGAGGCGCTCGCCGAACAAGGCTCCGGCACCAGCCAGCTCCAGGCACGCACCCGCGCGGCCCCCGCTCCGCCCGCGACCGCGACGGCCCGAACACGCCTCGCGCCATCCCTGCCGGCCCGGACCAGCACCGATTCCCGTGATTTCGCCGCTCCACCGCTGCGAAGCTGACCAGCGCCGCGCAGTGCGTCCCCGGCTCGCAGGACGAGATGGAGCGCGTGGACGCGGTCGTCGAGAGCCTCCCGGTCATGCAGATCAAGTCGCTGCTCGCGTCGCGCAAGGTCCCGCACGGCGGCACCCGCCCCGAGGCTGCGTTCCGCCTGAAGCACCTCATCCTGGCAAACATCGTGAACACGCGGGAGTGGGGCTTTCCGTACGACGCGCTCTCCCCGGACTACGGCATGTGGTCGATCGACGACCTCGAGGGCATCACGCGCGACCCCGCGCTCAACATCGCGCTGGTGTGCGACCTCTCGCAGCCCAGCCAGCTGGCGGCGGCGCGCACGGTGCTGGAGCAGCTGCACACCGCGCAGGGCCCCGCGGCGGACGAGCACGGCGTCGCGCAGGGCGGCGTCGACGAGGGCGCGGCGGAAGGATCGGAGCGGCCGCGGTTCGAGGACGATACGACCGGGGTGCGCGTGTGGCCGTTCGTCGTCGACGCCGACGGCACGGTCTTCCGGGTCGCGCACCAGCTGCTGTGCCTCCCGACGCCGCTGGACGTCGAGCTCGCGCTCGAGGCCGCCCGCGCGGGCGACACGTCGCGCGCGGTCCCGATTGGCGACACTGGCAGCCCCGAGGCTGTCGCGGAGGTCAGGGAGCTGTGCGACGTCGTGCTGCCGGTCGGGCTGGCGCCGGGGGACTCCGCGCTCGGTGAGCTCGTGGACAAGCTCGAGGCCAGCGGGCTCGCGGGCACCGGCACGCAGCACGTGCCAGAGCCGGACGTGGCCCTGCGGAAGCTGTCGCTCGATGGGTTCGTTGTCGCGGAGGAGGGCGCGGACGTCCCGGAGGGCGCGGTGCGGTTCGCGTGCACCGTGATCGACAGCGTGCACGGCCCCGTCGCGCTCGCGCCGACCGAGCTCGAGGAGTGGAACCCTGTCGAGGACCTGCGCGGCAGACTCGGGGGCGTCCGCGGCGCGGACGAGGCGGTCGCGGCGCTGGAGGAGATGTACGCGCAGCAGGGGGGCGTGCCGACCGAGGTGCGGACGCACACGCCAGCGCGGCTGCCGGCCGCGGCGCTGCGCGCGGTGCGGCGGACAGCGGCGCGCGCGTTTGCGGACCTCAGCCTGCGCGACATCGCGGTCGTCGAGGGGTACTTCGTTGCGGACGCGGAGGACGCGGGGGACGTCGCGGTGTACGATCCGCGCTCGCTCGGCCCGCTCGGTCAGGGGCCGGCTGCGCGCATGCTGCGTAACGACACGTGGGCGGCGGAGACGAAGGAGGAAAGGCTCGCTGCGGCGCGGGCGTGGGCTGGGAGCGTGAACGAGTCGCTCGGGCTGGACGCGCTCGGGAACAAGCGCGAGGAGGAGGACGGGGAGGGGGCGGCCGCGGCGAGCGTGCCGGATCTGCGGCCAGAGGGGGGCGTGGCGGCGCTAGCGGACGGCGCGGGGGGCGTGGTGACGGTGGCGCGCGTGGACGCGAGCCCGCACCTGGCGGAGGACTCGGTGGTCTTTCTCGGAGCCGCCGCGGCGGGGATGTGCCACTCGGCGCTCCTGCGGCACGTCCTTACGCTGGCGTGCACCCGGGGGGGTCTCGAGCCGCCCGCGGTGCTGCACCCCGAAGCCGTCGCGAACAGCGCGCTGGAGCCGACGCCGCTCTCGCTCGACCAGGAGACCCAGGGCGACGGCGCGAACGAGTGGCAGGGGTCCTTCGCGGGCGGAATGCCGACGGGCCCTCCGGCGGGCGCGACGTTCGGCGCCCAGTACGGGCTCGGCCCCGCGAGCGACGGGGGCGGGAACATGACGATCGCGGGCGTCGCGGGGCCTGCGCCGGAGGGGCACGGCGCGCAGAGCCCGCACGAGCTCCCGCAGCACCGTCGCGTGTGGGTGCTGATCGGCGGTGCCTCGAGCAGCCACCACGCGACCGGCGTCAACATCTGGCTCAAGCTGCGGTCGATCCCGGGCGTGCGCGCGGAGATCATGATGCTCGCGGACACCACGGGCAACCGCGGCCGCGACACGGAGGCGCAACGACAAGCCAACCTTCTCTCCAAGCGCACGACGCTGCTTGACATCGGCATGGACGAGGCGGAGCTCCCCGGGGAGCTCCAGCTGGACGAGATCGTGAACCCGGTCGCGATGCCGCTCCCGATGGAGGACCGCGGCGTGTGGGTCCTCCCGTACGGGATGGCCTTGCTGCGGTCTGGCGCGCACATGCAGGAGGCATGCGAGGCAGCGCTGCGGCGGGCGTCGGTGGCGCCGGCGTCGCGGTCGGCGGAGCTGCGGGATGAGGTCGAGGCGCAGCGCGAGCTGCAGAGCGATCTGGTCGCGGCGGAGGTCCCGGCGACCGCGCGGCTGTGGGGCAACGACCCGTTCGCGCCCCCGCCGCCGCCGCGGTTCTTCGACCTGGACACGCTGACGGCCGAGGCGTGGGCGTGCGGCGCGGAGATCTTCCTCGCGCTCAGCCCCGACGACTGCGAGTACGGCGCGGTGCAGGAGTACCTCGAGACGCGCGGGGTGCCCTTCACGGGCCCGCTGCCCCTGGGCTGCCAGCTGCCCGCGGACCGCATCTCGACGGCGGAGCAGCTGAGCCAGCTGGAGCCGAGCGGGATCTCGACGCCGCCGATGTTCGCGCTGACGCCGCACGCGATCCTCGCGCAGGCGTACTCGCTGGAGACGGCGGCGGCGCACTTCGAGGAGCTGAGGGGGAGTTTGATGACTCAGGGGGCGTTCACGGTGGCCCCGCTGTGGTCCGCGAACGAGCACCTCGTGCCGCCCGTGCGCCTCGAGACCCCCGAGGACCTCCACGCGTACGCCAAGGGTATAATCGACGGCAAGCATCAGCTGGAGGGGGGGGTGTTGTCGCAACACCCCGAGCCGGCGGGGCTCCCGCGGCCGGGCTGCGGCGAGCTCGTCGTGCAGCCGTACATCCAGTCCGACCCCGTCCTGCTCGTCCGGAGCGACGACGGGCGCTCGCACCGCATGGTTTGGCCGGGCGCGGGGTCGTGGGCCCGGGTCTCGATCGGGCTGCTTGGGCACTGGCAGAACATGCGGGCGATGACGCCGTCGATGCGCGCGGTCGAGGTGGACTCGGAGGACGAGGCGACGCGCCCGGGCGGGCCGCAGGGCAGGGTTGTTTACCTGACTCCCCCCCCGGAGGACGTCATCTCGCCGGCCGCGATCGAGGGCGCGCAGCAGCGCGCCGCGGCGGTCGCGCTCGCGATGTCCCTGCGCGGCGTCGCGGTGGTGGACTGCTTCATGCAGGTCGACACCGGGGAGCTCGTCGTGATGCGCGTCGACCCTCTGCCGGACCTGGGCCCGGGGTCGATCGCGCTGCGGCAGGGCATGGTCGAGGAGCCGGTGATCTTCCCGAACTACTTCTTCGAGCTGTGCCTGAACCTCGTTGGCGGCGGCCTCGACAGTGACGTGGACCCGCTCGGCAACGGGCTCGGGGTCGACGCGGGAGGGTTCGCGGACTCGTACGACAGCGAGGACGACTCGGAGGACGAGGCGGAGCTGGACGAGGACCTGCTGCAGGGCGGGAGCGGGCAGGGCGACCTGGGCGGGTACCGGATGGAGCGATGACGCGCGATGTAAGAGCTGTTTCTGGTTGAGGCTGCGTGCGTCGTGCGGTGCCGCGAGGTCACACTGCGGCCTTGTGTGTGGCAAGTGATGGGAGCAGCGGCGGCGAGTTCGTCAGCTGCTGGGCTTTGCGGCGCTGTTGCGTGCTTTGGGCATTTTCCATCCTGCCAGGGCTTCGGGAGTGATCTCGATGTCTCCCGCGGCTCCCCTGCGTAGCCATGATTCGGGGGCGGAACGGCAGAGTTCGCGAGGAGCGCGCAAGACGACGCAGACTGTTGCGGCGCTTGCCAACACAGGCAGCACTTTAGGGGTGCGCTTGCCTGTAGACGCTTTCGCCGCGCTCCTTCAGGTAGTCCTCGATGCTACCGGGCTCTCCGAACCATCCCAGCCGATCTGCAACGTCAGCGAGCAGCACGAGGTGGTGGAACAGCATGGCGCAGAGGGAGCTGTGATAAATTTCTCGACATGTGGGTACAGTCCCTTGACATTCTTTTGCGCAAAACATTGTTTGACTATCATAGATTCTGAATTGATGATAAAAGCGAACGACACGCTCGTCAGGGCCTCGGTTCGGGCCCAGGCGCTCTGGCGGGCTCTCACCTGCGATGACGTGCAAGTTCTGGCACCCAGGGCACTTCGCGATGACCACGCCCTTCTCGTACGCGTGCGACGACATCGTCTTGATCGAACGCATCTCGCAAACCGCGCAAGTGAAGATCATCGCAAGGTCCCTTCCCTCCCCAGGTTTCCGCCCCTCCGTAGCCTGCCCTTCTCCGGAACGATGCGCAACCGAGGTCGCGACGTTCCTCGCATCACACACGTTCCGCACGGACCGCGAGCTGGGGCCCGTCAGCCCGAGAAGTCCCTGCGCACGCAGGCCGGGACCAGCGGAAGGCAGCGGAGGATCGAGGCGCCTGGCTGCGGCCGCGAACGGCGCGGACTCGCAGCAAGCTGACTCCGCTGAGGCCAAGAGACGTGTGAAGACGTGGCGGCACCGGCGCATGATTCACGAAACGCTCCCTACAAGCACCGGTTCGAGCAAAACACTTGCCGGCACCGTCTTTGGTTGCACGTGCGGTCTCAGTGTTGTCGTGGGTCGCGCGCGCTTTCGTGCCGCGAGTCACTACGAGCACGCTGCTTCTGCGAGGCACAGCGGCCACGCAAGGCACAGTGCTCAGGCCACGGCGTGTGCACTTGAGGCAACAGGTATAACACCGCGACGTTGTACCGGACTCCCCCCTCCGGCGCGGCGCAGCGCAGCCCGCGCCGATCGGAGCTGTAGCGGGCCGCCGGTGCGTGCTACCGCGCTGCCCGGAAGGCGCCAGCGCACAGCAACAAGCCGCGAGATGCCGCGCAAGACAACAACGTCGGCTCTCGCAGTGTGCGGGGGGTCCAAGCGCTCACGCGTGGCCCCAGTCGACGGCCGGGTGGACACCAAACACCGTCGCTGACGGTCTGCGACGCGCGGCAGTGACCACAGGGCGAGACAGGCATCAACGTCTTTCACAGGGGCGACGTGTTTGTCGCGTGCGGAGGATGGTAGTCGATGTGACCACGACGGTGCAGATGCTGCGCCTCCGCACCAACGAATCGGTGCCAGTCGCAAGGTTTCGGAGGTCGCGGATCGTATGTAAAAGGTGCAGCAGCAAAGGAGGTGCTTCAAGATGTGTCGCCGTGCGCGTCCCGCGGCTGTGGACGTGCGACCTGCCGCATCACCACGAAGGGCTGTATAGCTGCGTTCCGCGCTTGACGCGCACGTCACCTCCTGCACGCAGAAGCGCAATCGACGCAAATCACGATACGCGCGAAACATGCAACGCCAGCGCCCCACGCGTCACGCGCCGAACACGCGAGGTCGCACCGCTCTGCATGCGCGATTCCCACCCGCCGCGGTGGCGCACGTAGATGTCCATCGCGGCCTGTGCGTCCTCCTCCGCGTCGTGCGCGCCGCACTGGATGTCCCAGTTCAGCTCCGAAAGCGCGAGGTCGCGCAGCTTGCGCGGGTACACGCGTCCTGCGTCGTCCACTTGCATCAGCGGCGGGTACAGCGCCGTGTCTCGCTGGCGCCACGCCGGGACGTGGCCCAGGCCCATGGCGGGGAGGTCGGTCTTGAGGTCGTGGCCAACCACGTACACGTCGTCGCGGTCCAGGATCCGTCTGACCTCGCGGCGGACCTCGTGGATCCCTGGCGCGCCGTCAATGTGGCGCCAAGTGATTCCGGAGAACTGCAGGGCGCGGAAACCGGCCGACGAGCCTGGTGAGGACCAGCGCTCTCCTTGTTCACGGGGCGCGTCGAGCGCGGGGGAAAACACGCGAACACGATGTCATTGAACCATGCTCAAAGTTACGGAGAGACCTGCGTGCGGTAGTCCACGACTGGCCATTCGGGGCGGCAGTAGGCGTTGTAGACGGTGTTGCCGTCGCTGTCGACGATGCAGACGTGCGCGAGGCCGTCGGCTTCGTTGCGCGTGCTCACGAGGACGCGCTCGGTGTCGACGGCGAAGAAGTCGCGGAGAGGCGGGCTCCTCCTCCTTTTCCGCACGCCCATTGTGTGCGCCCAAACAGTCGCTCTCGATGTGCCGGCTCTGGCCCTGCGCAGTCGAACTTAGCTTGCTACGGGGACAACCTGGCAGCGGATGCGACGCTCGCGCCCTCAGGACGGCGGCAAGCCGGCGTGCGTGGGCCCCTCTGGCCCTCCTGTCCACCCCCTGCTGAGCACGCCAGTCCCCTCACTCCGCTCAAGCGGCCCGTGGTCCCTCGACGCTGACGCGAGACCCCGCCGTACACGCTCCTCGTCGACTGGTACGTCGCTGGCAGCGCACGTCTTGGCGGCCTTGCCTCGCGCGTCTCGCGACAGAGCCGGAAACCTAATCGTCCAGCCACTCACACATATATCTTCAGCGCATCTTCGTCTTCGAGCCAGCACGAATCACGCGCCCTGCGTCGCGCGCGCCCACGCCGTCCCGTCCGTCCGCCCCCGCAGCTCCTCGACCAGCGCGGCCACGTGCGCCTCCGTCTCCGCCAGCGAACACCCCTGAACGCACGCAACACCAAATACCGTTGCATATCTGTCGTGCGCTCGCTGCCTGGCTCGACTGCGACGGCGCGCCCGGCCGGCCCAGCGCCACGGGGATCTCACCGTGTCGATCACGACGTCCGCGCGCCGCCGTTTCTCCGCGTCAGGCACCTGGCGCGCGAGCACCGCGTCGAGCTTGTGTTCCGAGGCACCTGGCCGGGCCAGGACGCGCTCGCGCTGCTGCTCGGCGCTGGCGCTCACGACCGCCACCGCGTCGCACATGGCCTGCTCGCGGTTCCGTGGGAGCGCGGCCGCGTCAGACGTGGGGATGCGCGCGGCGGGAAGGTTTGCCGGCCAGAGAGGGTGGAATCGCACCTCTGCGCCCGTCTCGTACATCAGCGGGACGTCGAGGACGACGAGCGGCTCCTGTTCCCGCGCCTGGAGCCAAGTGACCTGCATGCCTCGCGCGCAGAAGCGTCCAAGTACAGGCCTGGACTGCTTCCCCTGCCCCGCGCATGCCGCGGAGAGACGCGCTGTACGCTCTGGGGTGTTCTATCGGACGAGCGTGTCGTTTGCGCACCTTGTGTTGCGTCACCAGGGGATGCACGACCGCCTCGAGCCGTGCCATTGCCTCCGGCTGTCCCAGCACCTTCTGTCCCAGCGCGGCGCGGTCGATGGCGCCGTCTGCGCCCAGGACCCCCGGAAAGAGCTCCGCCACGGGACCCACCGCCGCCCCACCGGCCTGCACCCACTCACGGGCCACGCGAGCTCGGAGGGCGTACACAGCAGCCTATGAGGCCCGAAACGCCGCGCATGCGAACAATGCGCGCACGTTTCGAGGCGCTCCGAGCTGAGTGCGCTCCGCGGCGCCTCGGGAACGGGACGTTGATGGCGTCTTGCGCCCCGGAGAGCGCCTCTGCGGGCCCGGTGAAATCGGCAAAGTGCGCACCGCGTAGAGCTCGTGGACAGCGGCATCCGCGCTGTGAACGGGAACCTCGAGCTTCGCCATCATTTCGCCCACCGTGGACTTCCCCATGCCTATCGAACCCGTCAATCCCAGCACGAACGGCGGACCCATGCTTCTGTTGAGGTTCAACGCCGGCCTGGCGGTCCCGTCGCGCGCGTCGGCGGCGCTGCGGCACCGGAGATGGGCAGCTCGAGATACATGTGCTGCGTGGTGGTGCCGATTCGAGGTATAAATGCACGGACGTGGCGGGCCGGCCGCTGTGCTCATGAAAACACCGTCGCGCGGCGCTGGTGCTCGCGGTGTGCGGAATCGCGCACGCCAATAGTGGTAATGCTATTCTCAGCGACACGTGGCCGCGACAGGGAGCCCGTGATCGGCCCCAGGCTGGCGGAGTCGCCGAAGTTTCGATGGCTAGGGTCGGCCGACCTGCCTCGCACGGGCTGCTCGGCGGGCGCGCGTGGTGCTCCGTGTGACGAGGGCGGTCTCCTCCGCGAGCAGTGAAGGTGGGATACGAATCTCGGCCGGCGGAGCGCCACGCGCGTGCTGACGCGGCAGGGGATGTGTAGGGTGCAATCCCGATCGGCCCCGTTTCGCGCCATTGGGGCCGTCCCGAGGCTGCCGCGGCACACTCTCGCACCCGACCGTGTCAAGTTTTGTCAAGATGATCTCGGCTACCGTCGCAAACGTCAGGTACGGCCCGCGCCGGCCCAACTTGCGGGCCAATTGCTTACTCGCCCCGCTCCGCTCGCTCCGGCCGGCGCTCGGCGCCTAGACGCCCATTCCTGCGGCCCAACGTTCTCTGTTTGGCTCTATTACGCGCCATTTCGCGTCGGTCCCGCGGAGGACGCGTCGCGCGGCGCACCTCATCCACGTTCCTCGCCTTCGGCGGTCCGGCCCCGCCGCCGCGAAATATGCTTCCTTCCGCGCACAGCCGGCTACAACAAACCCAGCTCGCGCGAGGAAGCGCCGGAAATTGCTCCCGAACGGCAGCGGCGCGCCGTGCGCGCCCCTCCAATGCGCAACAAGAGCTAGGCAACTTTGGCCGCGCGGTGCCGCCGCTGTCCGCGCCGCCGCCCCTCGCGCCCCCTATTTCCCACAACTCCGCATAGTCGGCGGCCCTCCAGGCGCCCAATCGTCGAACATCGCACCCACGACGCGGCGCATCGCCCCCCATTGACCCCGCTCTCCAACCAGCAAAGACCTCTCGCGAAGCATCGCCGCACCGCGCCCACCCGCCCTCGCCTCCGCGCGCCCGCCCTGTTCCCTGCCCGCCCTCGCCATCGCCGCCCCCGCCCCGGCGGGACCCCCCCTCGCGCGCCGGCCGACCCGCATGACAATGCCCTCGGCCACCGTCCCCTGCAGGGCCCCGGCCCCCGCCGCCAAGGTCGCGGGCTCGCGCCGCGCCGTGGTTTCGCGCGCGTCCAAGTCCCAGGCCGGCCGCTGGCGCGGCATGGACGCCGACCAGGACATGTCGGACGACCAGCAGGACATTGCGCGCGGCCGCGACATGACGCCGTCCCTCTACCAGGGCCAGTACGGGCAGAGCGGGACGCACAACGCGATCCTGTCGTCCTCGGACTACGTCAGCCAGGCGCAGCGCAACTACGACAACGTCATGGACACGTTTTACATTTCGCCCGCCTTCCTGGACAAGCTGACGGTGCACATTGCCAAGAACTTCATGGACCTCCCGAAGATCAAGGTGCCGCTCATCCTGGGCATCTGGGGCGGCAAGGGCAACGGGAAGACCTTCCAGACGGAGCTGGCGTACAAGAAGCTCGGCATCGCGCCGATCGTCATGTCGGCCGGTGAGCTCGAGTCGGGCAACGCCGGCGAGCCGGCCAAGCTGGTCCGCCAGCGGTACCGCGAGGCGTCGGACATCATCAAGAAGGGCAAGCTGTGCTCGCTGTTCATCAACGACCTCGACGCCGGCGCGGGCCGCATGGGCGACACGACGCAGTACACGGTCAACAACCAGATGGTGAACGCCACGCTGATGAACATCGCCGACAACCCGACGAACGTGCAGCTCCCGGGCGTGTACAACAAGGAGGAGATCCCGCGCGTGCCCATCGTGTGCACGGGCAACGACTTCTCGACGCTGTACGCCCCGCTCATCCGCGACGGGCGCATGGAGAAGTACTACTGGAACCCTACGCGCGAGGACCGCATCGGGATCTGCATGGGCATCTTCAGCGAGGACAACTGCTCGCAGAGCGACATCGAGCAGCTCGTCGACGCGTTCCCGAACCAGTCGATCGACTTCTTCGGCGCCCTGCGCGCCCGTATCTATGACGACAAGGTCCGCGACTTCCTCTCGTCGACCGGCCTCTCGGACCTCGGCAAGGAGCTCGTGAACCGCCGCGACGGCAAGAAGATCACGCTCGAGAAGCCGCTCGTGAACAAGAACGTCCTCCTCGCCTACGGCAACGAGATCCAGCAGGAGCAGGACAACATCTCGCGCGTGCAGCTCGCCGACTCGTACCTCAAGGGCGCCGCGCTCGCCGGCTCCTCGGGCTCCTCGCTCCCGGAGGCCGCGCGCTCCAGCGGCGTCGCCCCGTCGTACCAGAAGTCGTCGACCCCGGCCTCGACGCCCGCGTCGACCCCGGCGTCGTCCTACACGCCGCCGCCCGCGCCCAAGCAGTCGGCGCCGGCCTCGACCCCGGCGTCCTCGGGCTCGTCGGGCTCGTCGGTGCCCGCCGCGGCCGGCTCCTCGGGCTCCTCGAGCTCCTCTGGCTCGGACAAGAAGGACTCGGCCTGGTACTCGTGGTAAGTGCCCGAGGGGGCGGCCGCTCGACGGCGCTGGCGGCCCGGCCGCCGCGCTCTCGCGGGCGGACGACGCGCCGATGGGTGGGCTCGGACTGGAGCTGCTGCGGCGCGGGCCTTGGGAGGGAGGCCTTGTGTGGATGAGAATGAAGAATGAAGAATATGATTGGGTGTGTCTTGACAAGACTGACGCGGCAGAAGATGACGCTGCTTGGATCCGCGGCGAGCGCGGCGCCGCTGGTGCGGCCGTGCTCGCAGCGCGGGGTTGAGTGTGAGAATCTTTCCGGTCTCGAATGTTGTCGTCGCCGTGGCGTCGCTCGCCTGCTGCTGCAACGGTCCGCGAGCACACACCCGCGGCGCCGCGCTGGGTGTACAGCCGAGCCGACGGCCACGAGTAGGCGCGCCTGGGTGCGCGGCGCAGGACGCTGCGGGGTAGAAAACATGCCTCTTGTGGAGTAAGGGGTGCGTGTGGGCGCCCGATCATGGCCGTGCGACACAGACAGCGGCCGCAGCTGTGCAGAACACGAATGCGCCCTCGTTCGACCATGCTTGTCGTCACAGATTTGCTCCAACCATCCACCACATGTGCACACGTGTGAGCGACACCCCCCCTGCGCGCCCGTCAGCCGACCTGGTCCTCCGCCTTCTGCGGCCGGAACAGGCGGTCGCGGCCGCTGATGATCTTCATCGAGATGATCTCGTCGCCCGGCTGCACCTGCTTCATCAGGCTCTCCGGGTCCCCGTCCCCGCCCGTCACGTACCCGAGCACGCCGAACTGGCCCTCGTCGAACGACAGGCCAGAGAGCCCCGCCTGCCCCTGGTCGAACAAATAAATGAAGAACTGGTCCGAGGAGACCTCGGACTGCTCCGCGTTGAACGGACGGGACATGGCGACCGCACCGAAGTTCGAGAGAGGCAACACGGGCAGCTCGCCGTCCGCCACCTCCAGCGGGCTGCCGTACTCGGGCTCGAACCCGCCGATCGGAAGAATCTCGAGCGGAATCCGGTTCCCCATGTCCTTTCCGACGAACACCGACGGCCCCGGCGGGATCTCGAGCGTTTGCCCCTGCACACGCATCGACGCCACGCGCGCAGTCAGGGGCGCCATCGCCGCGCCGCGCGAGCGCGTCCTCTCCTGATTTAACGCTACGCAAACGACTGCGCGGCAGGGTCGCGGCGCACCTCCCACTTCTTGTCCAGGACCGCGGACACAAACGCGCCGCCCGAGACCGGCGCCGAGTACCCGTCGACGGTGATCTCGACCGACGCGGTGTCCGACCTGGCGCCCGTGGCGTAGTTCGTGAACGGCAGGTCCGCGTTGCGCGGGCTCCGCTTGAGCGTCATCTCCACAACAGCGCGTCCAGTCAGGATGGGGTACTGGCGGTACTTGACGGGGACCTGGAAGGGGAGTCCCGGCGCCTGGAGGAGCTCGAGCTGCGCGATGTTGCTGAGCGCGGCCTGGACGTACCGCGACGTCTGGTCGGGGCTCTTGGCCTGGATGGCGCTCGCGGCGCGGTCGATGCAGTCCACGGCGTCGGCGAGGTACTTGTTGGCGAGCTCGACCGACTTGTTGTCCGTCGGCACGCCGTACAGCATCGCCGGGGTGTCCGCGGCCAGCTGCGGGGGGAACAGCGTGGCGGAACAGCGTCAGGAGGTGCAGCAGCATACACACGGTGCGCGAGCCGCGGGGCGGCGCGGCGCGGGTGCGGGGAGCGCGCCTTGGCCGCGGCGAGGATGTTCTTGTACATGTCGGACCAGGGCTTGCGCTGTGGGATGCGGAGCAGGAAGGCGAGCTCCTCCAAGATGTCCTGGGCCTCCTTGACGCGCTCGTTGAACGCGGGCGTGGACCTCCGGAGCGCCACGTCAACGCGCCGGGCGATGCGGGCGTTCGGGGAGTTGAGCACGGCCTCGGCCGCGGGCGCGACGCTGCCAGCGGTGATGGTTGCTGCGAGGACCGCGGCCATGACGCGGCCTGCTGCGGTGCGCGCGGCGTCCTCGACGCGGACGGCGCGATCGGCGTCGCGCCTGGCCGCGTGGACGCGGCCTGGGGCGCGGGAGCGCCGCGGCGGGCCGGCTCTGGTGCGTGGAGAGCCTTGCGTGGCGATTGCGGGCGGAACGGACGCGGAGAGCTGCATGGCGGCGGCGCGATGGGTAGAAGACGGAGATAGGAGGTGGGGACGGATCGAGATCAGTCCTTCGAGCGGATGTAGGGGCTGGTGGGCCCGCCTGGCTTGGTGGAGTGGTCAGGCCCGATGTCCGTTGAGCCCGAGTTGAGGTACGACCCGCGGCTCAGGTTCGACTTCGGGATCGCTCCGCTGTAGTAGTCGACCTTGCGGCCCACGTAGCCCTGCGTGTGCGAGCAGAATCGACGCACGCCATCATTGGGAGGGAGGATCGCACGGGAAAACCTGGTTCATGGTTGCTGGGCGCATCTTCCGGCGCTCTTCGGTGGGTCACGTGACGAGGAGTGCGCGGGCTGTGATTCGGAAGGTGAGACGCTGTGGATTGCGGCGGGTGCCGCGCCTCAGGGCAAGTGCTGGACGTGGTAGGCGGGCGCTTGCCTGCCAGACGGGGACGCCGAGTCCGAACGCGAGGAGCGCGAAACCGCCGTACCGGAGGTAGGTGTAGAAGTCCCGCTGGCTGGCCTTCGGCGCAGGTCGCATCAGCGAGGGGGCGTGTGGTGCTGCGGAGAGCAACGAGTGCAGCCGTGGCGCAGCGAGAGCAGACCTTTCTGCCCGTTGCGACGCCGTGATACCCAACTGCTGGCACGCGCGGATCGTCCGGCCAGATCTCGCCGCTGCTCGCCCCCGCCGTGAGCCGCGCTGACGACTGCCCACCCTCGCAGCAGGTTTCATACCGAAACGGCGCGGTACAACCCGGAAGAGCGAGCGCTCCGGCCCTGGAGGCACCTCCGTGCTCGTGTCGGGAGCCAGTCTCCCGCACACGTCCCTCTAAGACGATATACCAGCCAGGGGCCGTCTCTATATCTCTTGAACACTCGCGCCTTCTGCAGCTCGTCTCAGCGCGGACACTGCCCGTGACGTGCGCGGAGACATGGACAGCGACACAGCGGTCGTGAACCTGCAGCTCGTGGTGCACAGCGTGGCGTTCCGGGGCAAGGAGGCGGCTGGCGCTTCAAAGCTCCTCCTGGCTGTCCGAGGGCCCGCGGGCTTGCCTACGGTCGTCGTCCGAGCGGACGACACCGACGCCGCCGCGCTGCTGGATCCCCAGGCAACTGAGGCATCGGCGGCGGACGTTCGGGAGGGGCGTGAAGGTCAGTGTCGCACGGGGGCGCGAACTGTGCTTCCCGGCGCAATGCGCGCCGCGTACATCGTACGTGGCGTCGGTCTCGGCATTCCGGCCCCGAACGTAGCGCGCATTCGCATGTGTCCTCACTTTCTTGGCCCGCACAAGTCATGAACGCGCAGGTTCGGACGCTGGCGCAGCAGAGAAGCTACCTGTCAATTACATTCGAGAGTTTCCCTTTCTCCGCGGCAAGAGCCTTCTGGTGGAGATTCCGGCCGAGAGCGTGGGGTGGCGCGGCCGCGCCGAGGTCCACCTGCTCCGGGAGCGCGTCGACGCGCGAGCTGGCGGCCGTGAGGGCGCGGGAGCGGCCCCCGTCGAGCTCCTGGCCACCGTGACGGTCCCTCTGTGCATCGAACGCGACAGCGCGGGGACGAGCCTCGCAGCGGACGTGTCGATCTGTCCGATGTACGACGCGACGGGCCGGCGGGTCGCGAGCGCGTGCTTCGCGCTGACGTGCCGGGCCCTGGACAAGACCCTCGCAGCGCACGTGGCCCGGTGAACGACTCTCAGCGAAAGAGCCTGCCGAGGCCGCAGGTGACCCCGCACGTCGGCGGCAGGAACGGTCCACGCCCGGGTGACCTCCCAGGCCTCCAGGCACCCAGCGCACAACACACTATCAAGCGCTAAAGAAAGAACGAAGCAAGAAACATATCTATTTTCATATAGGGATTTGCTGGGCGCCGTGCGATGTAACACTCGGTCACGCCACGCGGTCCCGCGCGCGTCATCGCTTGTGCTTCTTGCTCGGCGTCCTCCCCTCCCCGCTCTTCCTCCGTCCCTTGTCCTTCTTGTCCTTGTTCTTCTTGTACATGGCAACCGCCGCCCCCGCCGCAGCGTCGCCGTCCTCGCCCTTCCGCGCCGCGCCCGCCACCGACACGAGCTTCCCGCTCTTCAGGCCGCCCCGCGCGCCCCCGACCGCCGCGTCCAGCTCCGCGTCCGTCCCGCGAATCGCAAACTGCATCAGATCCTCCGCCTTGAGCTTCTCCGCCGCCTCCTTCGCCAGCGCCGCGGCGTGGTCGTTCAGCTCGTCGTCCAGGTCCTCCTCGATCGCGTCGCGGCCCTCCGCCGCCCTCTTCGGCTTCGGCAACGTCCTGCAACACAAACGACGCAACGCAACATCCGCACGCGCCGCAAACAGTGCAGCGACCGACACCTCTCCGCGGTCCGTCGCGAGAAATACTACGTCCTGCGCGTACGCTGCGCCGCGGGGGTCGCTGCACGTCGCACCTCTCCACGGCGGCTTCTTTCGTGGACTTGAGAAGGGAGAACATCCTCCGAAGCGCCTTGTTGAACAGCGCGAGCACCTGCCCGTCAGGCAGCCCGAGCGCAGCCTGCGCGTCGTCCACCGTCCCCATCTGCAGCCCCATCGACAGCAGAATCGCGGCCTGCGCGTACGACAGCGTCGCGGGCACCTTGCCCGCGAAATACGACCGCGCGAGCGGCGGGACGAGGTCCAGCACCATGTGGTAGTCCACCAGATTGTTCGTGTACGCCTCGAGCCGCCGCAGGTCGTGCGGCGTCAGCGGCCCCGCGTCCGCGCGCACCACCAGCGCGCTGTCGTCCGCGCCCTTCCTCACCGCGTCCACCTCGCTCTCCGAGAACGTCGTCTTCGGGCTGAGCATCGTCAGCGCGAGCGCGGGCGCCAGGTGCCTGAACGGGCCCGCGAGGAGCGACGTCAGTCTCACGCGGAAATCCGACGCGAACGGCACGATCCATTCCGTGCCCAGCACCTCCTCGGACCTCAGCGGCTTGATCAGCACGACGGTGTGCTCGCCCGTCGTCTCGGACGCGGTCTGCCGCAGGTACACCGGCTGGAACCCCCGGCGCGACCAGAAGCTGTACAGCTGCTGCGTCAGGCCGAAAGACACCCCCAGGTACTGGAGGGACTCCGGGGCGCGGTCCTGGAGCGCGGTGAGCAGCGGCGGGAGGCCCGACCGCGGCTTCAGCTTCTCGGTGTGCAGGTCGCCGCCGCCCGCCGCCTTGCCGCGCTCCGCGGCGGCGGCGCCGTTCGCGGACACCCCCCCGGGGGCGTCGTCCTCGCCGAGCCCGACCAGCTCGCCCTGGTAGTACTTCTCGAGGAGCTGCATCGCGCGGGAGCCGTACCCCGCGCCGCTGAGCTCCGGGTGCACCGCGATGCGCACGATCCGCGCCCCGGACAGTCCCGGGAACTCCGGGTCCTGGAACTGCTGGCCAATGGTCCACGGAATCAGATCCCCCTGGGGGAGTGTTCCGCGCGCGAGCGAGGCCCGGGCGGCGTCCCGCGAGATGGCGCCCTCGAGCGCGACTTGAATCACGCAGAGGACGTCCGGGAGCGCGTTGTCGGTCTGGTCCACGGGCCCCAGGAGCACGAACAGGCGGTGCGCGGGCGCGTCAGACATGAGGACGAGGTCGTTGGGGGTGTTCCGGTAGTGCGAGGACACGTACAGCGCCATCATGCGCTGCAGGAGCGCCTCGGACGCGCGGTGGTAGGAGAAGAGGGTGTCGCGTTCGACGTAGAAGAGCTCGCACTCGTTCGGGTGCGGCAGCTTGAGGGGTGCGGGTGGCACGTGCTCCGCGGCGTTGAGGCACAGGAGCTCGTGGAGCCACTTCTCGACCTGGTCGCCCGGCGCGTACCGGATCGGCTCGGTGAGCGAGACCTCGCGCAGCGTGCGGCCGCCCTGGCCTGCAGTCGCAGAGCCGATGGAAGTTGGGGGTTCAGGATTGGGGTTGCGTGATTGATTCATGGATTCCAGGACTGGATGGCGTGGCGGCGGGGTGCATGTGGCCTGGTGTAATAGCCGCGCTGCGCGTGCTTCGAGCGCGCGGTTGATCGCCAGGCCGGCCCTCGCCCCCGGCGGTGCCGCAGTCCCAGCCTCAAGCGGCGCGGGCGCGCCGGGGCACGGGCCGCGGCGGCCGGGGCGGTCGCTCTCGCACCGAGTCAGTCCGAGGCGCCGCGTGGGCAGCGTGCGAGCCTCGGTTATCTCATCGGTGCTGTCCCTGGCCCCGAAACAACAAACAACAAACAACAACAAACAACAACGAACAACAAACAAACAACAAACAACAAACCCACAACTATGCAAAACAGATAGCCGAGCAACACAATCGTATAATGTCCGCGACACGACCGTGAGCGGCGCCTCACCTGACGACCCGCCGTCGGCTCCGACCGCCGGCACCTTGGCGCCCTGTTCCCTCAACTGCTGAATGAGCTTCAAAGACAGGGACCGTCCTGTGCCCTCGTACCCGTTGACAGTCGAACACAGGAACACCAGGTACGGCCCCAGGAGCGCCTTGACGATCGGGAGCGGGATCGCGGCCGCCTCGTCGATGACCAGCAGCTCCGCCTGTGCCAGCTTGGCGTGGTGCTGCGGCTGAATGTACTGGACCGTCTGTCGGTGATTCTTGTACACGTTGACGCGGACGACGCAGCGGCCCCACTCCGGGTTGGTCGACTCCACGAGGTCGTAGTCGAGGTGCTCCTTGTACTCGAGCGAGTCGAGGCCCTTGAAGACGAACTCAAACAGCGTTTTCAGGTTCTCCGGCGACGGCGCCGTCACGAAGATGTTGCTGTAGCCGAGCGCGAGCGCGCCGGCGATCGCGAGCCCGAGCGCCGCGGACTTCCCGCGCCCCCGCGCCGCCGTCAGCGCCACCGTCGACCGCAGCGTCTTCTCCGCGGCCGCGTCCAGGAACGTCACCACCGCGCGCGCCTGATCCATCGTCCTGGCGCCCGCGACGAGCGGGCCCGCGGGCTTCGCGTCCGCGAGCGAGTCCGTGAGCTCCCGCAGCTCCGCCGAGTGCTGCTGCCACGCCGGGACGTGGTCCGGCGGCAGCGCCGCGATGTGCCGCGCCAGCGTCGACGTCGGGAGGACGTTGAGCTCGTCGTCGACGAGGAGGCAGTTGGGATTGCTGGCGAGCGAGAGGACGAGGCGCTCGTTGAAGCGGCCGACGACGTCGCCGTGCGCCTCGGTGCGCAGCCGCGCGTGCACGTCCATTGTCAGGGAATAGAGCTGCGTGAGCGATTCGAGGTTCGACAGGAGGAGGACAACGGCGCCCCCGCCTTCGACGGTCTCGATCGTGCGCGCCTGCGGGTGTGCGGCGCGGGAGCGGACGGTCGGGCCGGCGCCGTCGCGTCTGGGCGCGGACTCGCGCAGTGTGCGTGCGGGGCGGGGTGGTGGAGGCTTGGCGGCGAGGTGGGGGGGCGACGTACGAGGAGGTTGGGGGTGAGGGCCTCGAAGTCCTGCAGGACGCACATTCCGAAGGTGTTTCCGAGGATTTTCTGGGTCTCGTTGTAATAGGCGTAGCGAATGTTGGTCGCCGCGACGAACAGCGCGAACGGATCCTCCTTCTCGGGGTCCAGGAGGCCCCGCTGGGCCATCTTCTTGATCTGGTTCATGCGCTTCTTCTTGTGACTGCGGGTCGGCGAGCGGAGTGCGCACATCAGAGGCGGAGCTGAGCAACGCGCCCGTGCGGGACACGTCGGCGCCAGCGGCAACGAATGTGCCGCGCAAAACCATGCGCACGTCACTCTCTGGCGCTGGACCGCGCGTGAGACCGTTCCCTGCACGCTGCTGTGCGCGGCCGAGGCCAGACGCGGCGGCGGCTTGCTGAGCTCGTCTCGCGCTCCCAGCACCCTTGTGGCCGAATTCGCGAGCTCATATCAGCGCCAGCGCCCGGACAGATCAACCGACCAGCCGGCGGAGGAAAGTACCGGCGGGAATAGCCCGCGACGAGGCGTCACGGCGCAGGCGGGGGCACAGGGCGGCACTGTGGGTGCGCCCGCGCGCGTGGTGCGGCAGCGGGGGCGGCCTCGCACCTGCTGAGGTACAGCTCCTTCTTGTAGCACCATAGTACGCTCGGCCGCGCCTTCACTTGGGCCCTCGTGAGAATGTAGTGCAGGTTCACCACCTGGTCTCTCCCCTTGTCCCCAACGACGACGAAAAACGACCGCTCCCGCGTCTTCACGCAGTTCTCGATGAGGGTCCGCACCCTCGAGTCGATCTTCTTCCTCATCCTGCCCCCCCGCGGCCGGCCGGCGGCACCCCCTCGCTGCGCTGCTCCTTGCTCTCACTCGACAACAATGCGGGCGGTTCCGGCCGCGACGTGCAGATGCGAGCGTCCCCACGGCCACCTCGCGTCGCGAACATGCCCTGCGAGGCGCGCGGGGGCGCCCGATCAGCCCGACGTGTCGCTGACTGGACCTCAGTGGCAGGCCCCCGTGTGGTGTGGCGGACGGCCGAGTTCGAGGCCTAAGGGGCCGCCGACGATTGCGCGGCGCCGCTGGCGGTCGGAGGAGTTCGTGTTGATTGTCGGGACGTCACGGATCGTCGTTTGGGTCCGTAACCGCCGCGTCGTGGCCTCGTCACTGCTCCCTGGAGCACATAAGCCGCAGCTGAGAGAACGTTGCATGTTGTCGCGACGAAAGTGACATTGCCAGAGCTGCGTCACTTGACGGTGAACTCACCTTCCGAACCCGGGGACCTGTCGCGGACCATCAGAGGCACAGCGGATTAGTGAGTGCCTAGGTCATCAGGGCTGCCCCCCGGTGCCTCGTGCACTTCGTCTCCACGCTTCTTTCGCGCGGTCACGGACAGCCACAGTTGCCGTGACCCCGTCCGTCCCCTGTCACTCTGCGCGGGACCCGAACCCGCCCTCTGCGGTGCACTTGGAGGGCAGGCAGTGCCCGCGAGGCCCATGGGCGACTACGAGCCCGAGTCCGGGCCCCCTCCTGGCCTCAACAACATCGAGATCAATCAGGTACGGCGATGCGTACGTCGGCCCGCGCAGACCCGGCCCCTATACGCCAGGACAGTGTTTGCGCCCGACCACTCGTCCACTGGGCGATGCGCCGAGCACGGACAGCCGCCGATACCGCCCCCGCACCAGGACCTCGCAGCCTATCCGCCTCTCCGCAGCAACCGCTCCACCACCCTCCCCCGGCGGCCCACGCGGCACCATCGCTGGCCCCGCCGCGCACCTGCCCCGCGCTCGCCGCACGCCGCGGCGGCGCATCCGCGATGCCGCACGCCGCGCCTCGCATTCCTCCGCTCACCGCCACGCGCACCGCGCCCCTCACACACGCTCCGCCGCCTGCGCGCCCCTCCCTGCAACCTCAGGCCGTCACCAGAGCCGCGCGCCCTAACGGCGGCGCGCGCGATGCCAACGCCGCCTCCAAGCCGTCGCGCCGCCCGAGCCCCGACTCCGACCTCGCGGGCACGTCCTCGGTGCCGTCTCCGGCGAATCCCGATTTCCCGCTGTCAGCAAAGGACCTCCCGGCCAACAGAAAGGGCATCCGCCCGATCGACTACCCCCCGCACGGCACCGAGGTGTACGTGCGCGGCCTCGCGCCCAGCGTCACCCCCGACGACCTCCTGCCCGTGTTCGCGCGGATAGGCAGGGTGTTTGCGATCCGCATGATCGACACCCCGCGGGGCAGCAACTCCGGCAGCGGGTTCGTGATGTACGAGGCGCGCGCGAGCGCCGACGCCGCCGTGCGGGAGCTCCAGGGCCGGAAGATCAAGGGCCGTGCGATCGGAGTGGAGTTCACCAACGTCAGCAACCGTTTGTACCTCCGGGGAGTCCCCCAGCGAGTCGGTGAAGACGAGGTGCGCCGCCCGCGGTCCCAGCGGTCCGCCGCTTCGAGATGCGTGCGTTCCGGGCTCCTTCCGCGACGTTGCGCTGCGTCGCGACGATCGCTTTGCTGGAACGCGGGGGAGCCGACTGGCGCGCGTTGTGCGCCGTTCTTGCAGCTGATCGCGGCGCTCGAGGCCGGCGGCGTCGAGGGCATCACGAAGGTGGGGTTGCAGCTGGAGAAGGGCGGCGTCACTCACAAAGGCAGGGCTTTCATTACTTTCCTGAACCATATCTGCGCCAGGGAAGGCATGCGGCGCATCATGCGGCGCGAAGCCACCCTCCCCGACCCGCGCGGGCCCGGCGGCGCCGCCCAGCTGGACGTAGAGTTCGCGAAGACGCCGGAGCCGGGGTACGAGGCGGCGCAAGAGAAGGTCAAGTGCGTCCACGTGGCTGGTCTGCCCGGCGGCACGACGGCGGAGGACCTCACGGAGGCGTTCCGGCCGTTCGGCGACATCGAGGAGGTCCGGCTCGGCGCGTCGACGCGGGCCTCCGTGAGCGGGGCGCACAACTTTGGCTTCGTGAGTTTCGCAGAGCGCGCATCGGCGCTGGCGGCGATCGAGCACTTCGCGCAGGACGGCGTCCCCTGCACAATTCGCGGCACCGTCGTCGGTGTGCACCTCGCCAGGCCGGAGAAGTCGGCGTTGCGAAAGCTTGGGAGTGACCGCACGTCGATGGGCAGCGCTGGGCGGGGAGGTGCGGGGCGGGCGGCGCCCCGAGGCCCGCCGCGGCGCCAGGAGATGGACCAGCGGCCGCCGCCGCTGGACGAGTCGCCGCGGCGCGTGTGGTTTGACGGGCCGGAGCCGCAACAGATGGGTGCGCTGCACGCGCAGGATGCGTACGGGTACAGTGAGCCGCCTGGCGCGATGCGCCGGGCGCCTCCCGGGCCGATGGCGCGCCAGCTCGCGTACGCGGAGGAGTACCCCCGCGCGGCGTACGGCGCGTCGCGCACACGCGACTTGGGGGACTTGTCACGAGCCCCCCCGGGACACCTCCAGAGCAGGCCGACGCGCGCGGACGCGTACGCGGAGCGTGCGGTGTACGAACAGCCGCCGCGCGGCCGCGAAGCGGGCGGGAGGTACGACCGCGGGCTATCGCCGGGGCGGGGAGACCTGCGCGGCTACGACGCACAATTCGGAGGCCGCCGGGAGCCGCCGGCGGCGGATGCGCATTTCGGGGCTCCGCGCTCGATCCACCACGACTATCGCAGCGCGGGCCCGCCGCAAGAGCCGATGCATGCCGCGGCGCACGGCGCCAGGTATGACGCTTACGGGAACATGAGTCAGGACCCGCACTACGCCCGGGGGGGACCACCGGCCGCTCAGGACCCCGGCTACGGACGCAACGTGGCGATGTCCGCGAGCGGGTACGGATACGGGGCGGCTACGGGCCCAGTGGTGCAAGCGGGCGGGTATGGCATGCCGCAAGGCGGCGCGTACGCAGCATCGCAGCAGCAGCAGCGCGGCGCGTACGAGGAGTACGATCCGATGGCGCAGGCGTACGGCGGCGGTGGGTACGGCGCCAGCACGGCGGTGTCGAACGCAGGAGGGGGGTACTATGGTCATGCCGGTGGTGGTCAGGGGGGAGGTTATGATCTTGTGTTGGGGAGCGGGGGGTATGGCGCCGGCGGCGGGTACGCGGCGGGTGCGTACGGAGGTGTGCCGTCGGCGCAGGGGGCTCAGGACGGCTACGGCGGCTACGGCACGGGGGGGTATGACGCTGGGTATGGGGGGGGCTATCAGGGATACGGCGGTCAGGGCGACGCAGGGTACGGCGGTGCGAGTCAACCGGCGACGCAGGGCAACTACCACAGCTATGGTCCGGACACGTTCAGCACGTACACGCCCTACTGACACCAGCCACATCATATAGTTGTTTGCCTTTTCAGGCCTTATGCACCAAACAGGCTCTACCGTCTGTCTGTGAGCCAGACCGCCTCAACTGCAAGTCACATAGCTAGGGTCCCTCTGCGTCGCCGCCAAGCAGCTCTCAGCACAGCGGCATAGCCCGGCGCCCGTACCGCGCCGCCGGCGGCCTCGGGGCGACGTCAGGTGCATCGTTCCACACCGCCCAAGGCGGCGGCGCCGGCGCCCTGGCGTCGTTCCCGCGTATACACCGCCGGCCCCTCACCCCGACTCCTCCCCACGTCTGCTCGCCGCCCCCCGGCGCCCGGACACCCTCCCCGGACTCCCCCCCCAGCCACGCCGGTCCGGCCCCGTCCGACCGCTCCCGCGAGCTCCTCGCCCCCTCCGACGCCTCGGCCGCGTCCACGCCGCTCGACCGGCGCTGCGGGTCCGCGAGGAGCGCCGTTCCCAGCGACCCCAGCCCCGCGTCGGCGCCGCCGTGCGGGATCGACCGCGTGCGCGATCCAGGCCGCCGCTGCGCCGTGAGGGGCCGCGACGACACGGACTGCCACGCGGACGAGCTCTGGGAGCGCTGGGGCGGCGGCGCGGGGGCCCGCTGGCGCTGTCCTCGGTTGAAGAAGGCATCAAAGATCACGAAGTTGTTGCTCTGGGGCACGTAGGACGCCAGGCCGAAGTGGCGGGCGAGGAAGGGGCGGAGCTTCGGGGAGGGGCGGTCGTAGGCGAGGCACGCCGGGTCCTGGTTCTCCGCGGCCAGGAACGCGTCGAATAGGATGCGCCCAACCCCCTGGCGCTGGCACGACTCGTGGACGTAGATGTCGAGGACGCACGTGGGGTTGAGCTCGCGGATGGCGCCGCTGAGCGAGCGGTAGAAGAGGTGCTTCTCGCCGACTTTGAGGATGCCCGTGACCTGCGCAGGGTGGGGGGGGAACGATGCCTGAAGTGAGCAACAGAGGCGCCGGGGCGGGGCCGGAGGCTGCGCTCTTGCATTCGAAGCGACCCCTGAGATCCACCATCGGACAAAGAGAGTTATAGTTTGCGAAGGAGAGAGATTCGCTGCTCATGTGGCGCGGAAAAGGCTGCGAGCTGCCCGGCAAGCTAGGCCGCGTGGCCGTTCGGCCCGCAACGGCGGGGTGTTTGCCACGCAGGCTGCGTTTCTGGCATCTGCGGGCAGCGGAGGCTGGGCGGCGGGTGCCGGGCCGGCCGGCGGCGCCGGCGCGGCAGCGGAAGGTACGCGAAGTGAGTTGCGGAGGGGCAGGCGACGACGAGTGCGCGCACCGTCGTTTTGTTTGCGGAGGACCGGCTCGCGCAGACGTACAGCCGCTGGCTCGTGTTCATGAGCACCGTCAGGTCCGTGACCGGGTGCGGGAGCCCCTGCGCTCGGCCCGAGGCCTTGCCCGCAACATCAATCACGGTCCGCATGGACGCGAGGTCGTCGCGCGAGAGCTTCCTCAGGCGCGCTGCGTCCCAGCATGATACCAGCTCGTCCTGCGGGCACGGTCGATCGATCAGGCGCGGACACCGGTCAGCACGGACGCCGTGCTTGGGCAGCGCACGTAGGGAAGCCTTCCGCCTCGTGCTGCTCCAGCGACGCACGGTGGCGCGCTTCGGCGCGAAAGGCGCTCGATCATAGCTGTCTGCACCGGCACGCGGTCGTCTCGGGCGACGCGCGCGGCCTCGCTGGCCCCGAGCGAGCTGTCTCTGGCGTGGTGTTACCATGCGGCATTTACCGGGATTCCGTGCGCATCGGCGACTAAAAGCAATACGATACCCGCTCTCATCGCTCTAGAGAACGTTCGGGGTCGAGTGCGCCGCAAGACTGTCGCGAAAAACGCGACGCGGAGCGGAACGGCACGGCGACACAGAGGCCAGGCAGGGACCGCACCCCAAGCCCGGGGACCCGGCAGTGGAACTCCATCTTCCGCCGTGCGCGACGCGTCTACTCCTTGCGAACAATCACTCCCTGCGCCGGAGCGCCACAGAACGTCGCGACCAGGACTGGCTACAAGTCCGTTGGTGCGCGTGGCTGCGGCAACGCACGAATCGCCGGGTCAAGTGCCGCGGTGAGCCCCGCAGGACTCCTCGTGTGCTGTGCAGACTGCCGGCGAGCTGCCGCGCGCCGCCGCTTCGTCGTCCGCAGGCAGGGCCGCCCTACATGCACTGAGTCAGTCTGTCATGCCGCCAGACCCGCCCCCTGGACGTCAGCGCCGAGGTCGCGTGGCGCGTGCCCGTCGTGGCGCGGTCCTCTGGGCCGTGGGGTCGCTTACGTCGCCCGCTGTGATCACACGGCCACGCCCCCGCACCTCTACACTTTGCTCACTGGCCGTCCATCCTGGCCCCATCGCATCGACTCCCCGGACTTGCTCGTCCGCCCGGAATTGCCGTTCTGGTCCGCCGTCGTCAGCGGGATGAGGTTGCGGTTCGACATTTTGCTCCGCTGCTTCGACTGCGCGCAGCGCGACGCGAACCGAGGATCGCGCGGTGAGGGACGGCGCGCGCAGAGGCGTGGCCTGCGCCGCCGGGCAGCAGCAGTTGGGAGACAGGAGACGGCGGCACGGGCGAGAAAGTGCAGAAACAATCATTGCCCACTTCGGCAGCATGAGAGGGGGGTGTCTTGCCTTGTACTTGGCCCACGAGTACCAGACGCCTCCGCCTGAGTTCATGCAGATCCCGATGAGGATCAGCGGGGTCGGGTGGACCCCCCCGAGGAGGAAGAACCCCCCCACCGTCGTCACCACCCCCTTGAGCACGCCCACCACCGTCGTCGTCAGCGCGGACGTGTACATGGCGCAGAGGAACAGCGAGTAGTTCAACGCCATGCCCATGAAGCTGCATCCGATCAGCAGCCACGGCAGGCCGACATGCCGCGCGTGCGCCTCCGCGTACTGCCCCCACACCGTCCACGCCTCGCCCGTCAGCACCATCTGCACAGCGGCCGTGCGCCGCGGCGACTCGCTCGGTGGGCGTCGTGGCGCGGCAGGGGACGGCCGCTGCGGGGCTGCGGGCGCAGTCGGGCGGCGAGGGGCGCACCAGAACTAGGAGAATCGGGAGTGATAGGATGGCGTTGAAATAGAGGAGCTCCGACGTCGTGGCGCCGCGCTCCACCCCGGACTTCTCGACCACGAGCAGGTACGACGCCTGCGCAGGGTCGACGGGGCCGCGTTGGGTCGGGCGGGGCGACAGATCGGACGCGCAGGGGGTGTCTGTGGCCATGGGGGGGGGAGTTGGGCTTCGCTTGTGTGGCGGCCGGGCGGACCTGGAGGACGCACGACGACAGCGCGTAGATGTATCCGAGGAGGTCGAAGGTGAGGTCGCCGAGGCCGGCGACCACGCAGCCGCTCACGATGAGCGCCACGGAGGACACGATCTCCAGGGGGGGTCTTTTGCGGCCGTAGTACGAGTGGAACCCGAGCACGAGGATCGGCGTCATGCGCTTCAGCGCGTTGTACATCGGAATGTTCAGCGTCCGCAGGCCCATCAACGCGAAGCCTGCGCAAGCGTCGTCGCCGTCGCGGCGGAACAACACGTCGAACCGTCAGCGCTGACGCACGCGGGGCGCCGGGGCGATGCAGGGCCGTGCGGCTGACGAGGCACGCCGCGTGCTGTGATCGAGCGGGCGCGTCCCGCACCTGTGTTGGCGGTGTAGAGGAGCGTCACCACCAGCAGCTGCCTGCAGCGCTCGAACGTGACCTCGAAGCGGTCGACGTACCCAGCCAGCTGGAGGGCCCACAGTGCGACGATCGTCGCCGCCATCTGCGCGGCGTCGGCGGTCCGCGTCGGAGGTGAGGGGCGCTGGTACGCACTCCGATGGGGCGAGGCGGGGTGCGGCGTGCGGTTGCGGCGGGCGGCGGGGCGCGGCGCACCTGGAGGACGAGGACCGTGAGAGGGAGGGGGAACTCCTGCAGCGTGGCCTTGTTGATGAAGCCCATGGCGACGGCGATGGCGCCATACAGCAGCGCAGGTATTGTTCCCTTCAGCCACTCCGGCGTGGGCACCGGGACCTTGCCGTTGAGGGCCTTCGGCGCCGCTGACGTCACGACATCGATGAGAGGCCTGCGGAGCACCTTGCAAGACGCTTTCGGCGACGTTTCGAGGTATCAGGCTCAGGCTTTGACGAACGCTGCAAGTCGTGCGAACGCGCCGTTCCCGGTGCGTGGACCGCCGGCGGCGGGGTCTCTGTGGGGATTGCATGGTGCGGACGTGGACCGTCGAGCCCGTCGCGCGCGCACGGGGCCGCGCAGGGCAGGGAAGCCCCACGGTGGCCCTGAGGGCGAGCGGTGCGCGGCATCGCGGCCGGCACGGCGCTGCTCAGGCGGCGCGTGCAGTACCTGGCTATCGCGAGCGGCCCTCGGCGATGGTGTGCGCCCGCCTCGCTAATCATGGCGCCAGGCTGCTGACCGAATGCAGCCATCTCCTCTACGGCAGCATGCTGCGCCCGCTGCGTGATATCGACGGCTCCCTCCTATCTCCCACGGACAACTGGGGAAGCGCGCCGTGATGCGGCCGGGTCGCTGGCGCGAGCTAGGCCGCGAGAGCCGCTGCACGGGACGTTGCTGGCAACACCGCGAGTGCGCTGCTTGCTGCGTGGCCCGCTGCCGCACGGATCGGAGACGTAGGAGGCCCTTGGCCGTCGCAACGAGGTGCGTCTGGGTGCAATCTAAGCTGGAGGGGCGAGAATCGGGGCCTGCGGCGGCCGTGCGCCCCAAAAACGACCGCGCGGCTTCGCAGGGTTTTTCCCCCTCAGACGATGTCGTGTCAGTCGGGCCAGGGCGGAAGACGCCGGCGCGGGCCCTTTGGAGGGCGACGCTGGATGCTGGGGCGCAGGAGCGCTCGGTGACGGCACCCGCACCGCCGCGTATTACCCAGGGAATACCCGTTGTGTGTAGGTTGGAAAATAGGCTCTGACAGCGGCCTGTGGAGACATGCCGGCTTCGATGCGGTGAGAGGACGGCTTGACGGCATGGCTCGCGATCGATAGCGTCGGGGCGGCCCCGAGCGACTTCAGAAGAGGCGCGGATTGCGTCGACAAGCCATCGGGAGACGAGCGGAGCAGCGGTTGCTGTTCGGAACGCTCGCGTGGCGCGCTCAGGACTAGATACGCCGACGAACAGGACCATGGGAGACCGTGAGTATCATGCCAGCGCCGGCAACCCCGTTCCGTCAGGGCGCGCGGTGATGCCGGGCGTCAAGCGGTCTGCGGCGGCGGTCTCCAGCGCGGACCCCGAGGGCGAGCTGTCCGGGGGCGCAAACGTCGCGCTGTTCTTCCAGAGGATCATGTTCGGATACATAGGAGGGAGCCTGCTCATCAGAGCGTTCAACGCGGTACGTCGCCCGCAGCTGCGCCCGGCCTCTGAGCTCAGTCACAGCGCCGTGCGTCCTCGACGCGTGCGGCCCCGCGGGACGCAAGGCGCTTCTCCTGACAGACACTGACGGCGTCCGTCCTGCCTCGGTCGCCTCTCCAGGTGCGCGCGAAGTTCAGGGGCAAGAACGAACAGGACAGTGACGCACCAAACCTCGGGGCCTTCGTGGCAGTTGCGGACGCGGACCACTGGAACGGAGAGCTCCTGCGCGCGGCCCAGGAGCGCCGGCCCGTCGTCGCGTGGATCACGGCGGTGCGCCCGCGCCCCCGTCGCCCCCGCCCGCAAAACACCTGCAGCGTCACCACGCAGGCTTGCACCGCGCCCGCGCCGCCGCACGCCGCCGCCTGCGGCCCGCGCCGCGTCGGCAGGCGGCCCGGTGCGACTGCCTCCCTCACGGGTGTCCGAGGCCCCCTCCGGCGCGCGCAGGCCGCGTCGGCGCCGTGCCAACAAGCAGCACCAGAACTCGCAGCGTTTTCGATGTCCCCGGCGGCACGCGGGGCCACGTGCCTGCGCATCGACGCCGAAAGGACGCCCGAGATCGTCGGCGAGTCCCCGCCCGCTCCGCCCGCGCGCCCCCCGGCCCCTGAACAGCACCTCCCTGTCACGCGTGTGCCGCTCGCCGCAAACGCCGGCAGCGACGCCCCTGCCGTGGTCGCAGACGCGCTGGGGATCTCCGCCGTCCCCTCGATGCTCGTGCTGCGCGACGCACAGCTCGTGGGCGGCATGGAGGGCATCAACTTGTTATACCTGCAGCAGCTCCTCGCAGGCGCGTCTTGAGGCGCCGGGTCCTGTCGGCACGGGCGGACGCCTGGCGTCGCTCGCGACTGCCGTGTGAGCGACGCCTGAGGACCGTGCGCCCGGGCGAGCGAGCGAGTTGCAGGCGCAGCGTTCGGGCGGTTGTGGGCGCGGCGGGGGCGCGGCGGTCGGGCCGAGCGAGCCGGGCGTTTGTGGCATGATAGCTGCGATGATGGCTCTGGGTTGGAGAGTCGCCTTCGTGCGTGGCTGACGTCGTACCGGACCAGCACCTTGAGAGCTGGAGGCGCGCTCGGCGGCATCAGGGGTGCGTGAAAGCGACATCCGAGAGGCGCGATCGCCGGTGGGTCACGGAAGGACGTCTGGTCCGTCGTCGGGGGGCGTGGCGAGTTCTAATGGGGCAGGTGCAGTTTGGTTCTACCCAGTGTCTGATGGAGGCGTTTGCGCCGTCTGTGCTGCCTGCAATGCGATGCCTTTGCGCCAGGTGGGGCAGATGCCTCTGACCACGCGCAGCAGGCGAGCACCTGGGTTGACTGGAAAAGGTGGGACAGGCCCCGTTGCCGCTCACCTGGCTATTTGCAAGTTCCGACAGCTGCCTACAGAGCGTGGAAACACCGAGTATTCCGCCCACCAGGCGAAGGCGGAGATCTCAAGCGTCACCGGCGCGCGCACAGGGCTCGCTGCGTGGCGCGCGTCGGGCCGCTGCGGGCTGCTGAGACGCGCGTACTCGGCGTGCGGCGCCGCGCGGTCGCCCGTGGCCTGCCATGAGTGACCACGCGAGCAGTGTGGGCGATGCGTCGTCCATAGGGAGCATTGCGCCCGCGAGAGAGGACGATGGCCACAAGGGGCCGCTCGGTCAAAAGAGCTCAGGCACTATCCGGGTGAGCCCCCGGCTGGACTCGCACGCGCTGTGCCGTGAGATCTCTCGCACAATGCCGCACAGTTCAGTTGCTGAGGCGCCCGCGGCGGTGTGAACGGCCGCGTTTCGGGGCCCGGCGACAAGGCTGCGCGGTTGCAACTAGCACGCTCCGCCTCGCTCCGTAACTCGGCTCATTCCCGGGACGCCGCGCCGCCGCCGTCGCAGGAAGCGGTGTTCGGAGTGCTCTTCACGCTGTCGAAGGAAAAGTACAACACGTCGTGGAAATTCGCTCTACTGGACATCATCCTCAACTGGGTGCAGTTGCTGCTCCTCGTGCTCTCCGGTGAGGCCCCCGCGCGGCGCTCTCTCCCCACCCCGAGACCAACCGCACCTACGACACGCAGAAAACCCCGCCAGATCCCGACAGCGCTCCTTCGCGACGCCCTGCGAGCCCCACCTCGCCCCACCTCCACCGACACGCCAACGCACCTCCCCGCCCGCGCGCCCGCCACGCAGGCGTGTTCCCCTGGGACATGGGCGAGTTCGGCGAGGTCGCGAACAACCTCGGCGTGCCGGAGCTCATGAAGGACGGCGGGTATGCCGTGTTCAACGCCACCTTCTACGTGCTGTTCGCGGTCACCGTCGTGTCGGTCGCGCTCTGCGGCTGGGTCGCGCACAACTTCGTGACCAACAGGTTCCCGTTCGTCTGGCCCATCAAGGTCCTGCGCTTCGTGGTCTCCATTTTCTTCCGCACCTTTTACATCACCGTGCTCAACGTGTTCGCCATCGGGCCCGACTGCCGCAACGTCGGGGGCGACCTCGTGGCCGACATCTTCCCGGACAAGAAGTGCTTCGGGCTCCCGCACGGCATCACCGCGCTCCTCGCGATCCTGGCGGGCAGCGTCGGCGGCGCCATCTCCTTCCTGATGGCCGTCGCAGAGTCCTCGCTGGACCCCATGACGGAGGAGGTCCTCGGCTCGCCCGACTCGGTGACGGACGTGAGGTTCTTCAGCCTCATCACCGTCGTCACCGTGCTCTCCGTCTTCCTGGACCACAACATCAAGGCGTTTGCCATCATCATGCTCATCGGTGCGCACGAACCACGAGCCTGGGCAGTGGACCAGACCCCCTACCTAGCGCAGCGCTCGGCTCGCTCGCCGCGCCCGAAGCGATGCTTGCGCCTGCTGCTGCCGCGAGGAGCGTTGGGGCCCTCTCCGAGCTCGCGCGCGTGATCTGCGCGCCCGTCGCCTCTCTTGCGCCGTGCAGCATCGACCGGGTTCGTGTATCTCATGCTGCGGAAGGCGCCCTACTACTACAAGTGGGTCAACGCGCTCCAAACAGGCCTGTACGGGACGATCTTCTGGACCTCGCTCTGCCTCGCGGTCCTGGTGTTCCTCCCCGAGGAGAGGTCGCTCATCACAGTGGTGCGTCGCGAGCCCCCCGGACGCCTCCGAAGGCCCGCAGCGCGATGCTTGCGCCGCCCCCACACCGGAGAGCGCCAGCGCGCCGCGCGGGTCGTCCGCAGCGCGCCTGCGAGTCTCCGGCGCTGCGCCTCCGTCTCGAGCTCGCGCCCGCTGCGATCCGCGCAACCAGCCGATCCGCCCCACGACATTGCACCGCCTGTTTGGAACTCAGAGATTGACGCGTTGGCGGCCCCTCGCTCTTTCCGCCGCAGGCGATGTACGCGGGCTTCGGCCCGTCCTTCTTCCTCTTCGGCGCGCTGATGCTCTGGCGCCTCCGGTCCTCGGAGAAGATAGCGGACCGGTTCCACGCGGAGACTTCCCTCTTCAATTACGAGTTCATCGACGAGTGGAGTGTCGAACTGGCCAGCCGGTGCATGCGCCGCCGCGACCAGTACGGCAACGTCCAGGAGGACTGGATCGAGGCCGCCGAGCGCATCGTCCGCGCCGGGCTCTTCCAGTTCCCGGTGTCGTCCTATCTCATGCAGCTCAACGCCAACTTCCTGCTCAGCGCGAAGAAGGCCTCGCAGGCGGCCTCCGCGCAGATCAACCAGGTCCGGCAGCTCACGGGCGGCATGCCCATGGGCGAGCAGTTCCAGCTCTTCTGCCGGGACCGCGAAATGAAGCAGCGCAACAAGGGCAGCGGAACCGACTCCGCGATGGACCTGGTGTCGTACGTGGAGTTCCAGAACAGCTACGCGCAGCTCCTGCACTGGCACTCCGGCGCGATGAAGTCCGTCCGGGGCTTCTGGAGGACGCTCCTGCGCCCGGATCTGACGTTCCGGTCGCTGTCGCACTCCTTCAGCACGCTGGCCATGTCCTCGGAGCGCGCGGAGAAGGTGTACGCGAGCATGCTGGAGCGGTACCCGCGGAACGTGAAGCTGCTGCGCGCGTACGGGAAGTTCCTGGACGACCTGAAGAACGACCCGTGGAAGGCGGCGCGCTACTACGGCGAAGCGGACAAGATCGAGGACATGCAGGCCGAGGCGCAGCGCGACGCCATCTTCGGCGACATGTCCGCGGAGGGCGACGCGAGCGCGGCGGTCGTGGACGACACCAAGGACGCCGTGGTGGTCATCAGCGACACAGGCATCATTCAGATGGCCAATCGGATCCTGAACAAGCTGTTCGGGTACAAGGTCGGGGAGCTCGAGGGCATGAACGTGTCGTGCCTCATGCCGCAGCCCTTCTCCGGGCAGCACAACGGCTACCTGCGCAACTACAAGCTCACGGGCAAGTCCAAGGTGCTGGGCAAGGTGCGCGAAGTGATCGCGCTGCACAAGAGCGGCAGCGTGATGCCGGTGCAGCTGGCCGTGACCAAGGTGCCGTCGGACGGCCAGGACGCCTTCATGGGCGTCATCCGGTCCGTCAACGACGACCTGAGCTGCGGGACGGCGTGGCTGACGGCGGGCGCGGTCTTCCTCGCGGCGAACCGGGGCTTCGCGGACAACTTCGGGTACTCGTCGAAGGACGTCGTCGACAAGTCGATCTTCATGATCGCCCCGTCGGACTCGTCGTGGGACATGGAGATTGCGCGGTGCGCGGAGGAGGCCTCGAACATCAGCGACGACGCGGAGGAGGAGCTCCAGAGCTACAAGTACAAGTTTGAGGCCGCGATCAGGCACAAGTACGCCAACATCGACGTGGCGGTGAGGCGCGACACGCACGAAGCCCCCCTCTTCCCCCCCCCCCGCCCCCGCTGCGCTCGCGTCGCCACGTGCACTCACGACGCCACCGCACGCGCGGCCTTCGCAGATCAACGTGATCATCACGCTCGCCGGCACGAGGGCGCAGCGCATCCTCGTCTGCCACATGTACCCCAAGACCTCGAAAGACGGTATCCTGGTGGTCAACACGGCGGGGGAGATCGTGTACGCGAACGCGGTCGCGGAGAAGATCATGGACTACAAGCCGGGCTTCCTCCTGGAGTCGGAGGCCAAGATTTCGAGCATCCTGCCCTCCCCCTACGGTCAGGTCCACATGCGATGCATGCGCAACCTGGGCAACATGTCGACGACGTCCGCGCCGTGCTTCGCGGGGCGCCCCACGATGCTCCTCGGGCGGCACCACAAGCAGTACCCCGTCAAGATGTCGTGGCGGCCCGTCAAGGACGGGGAGTCTCTGGTGCTGGTTGCTGTCTTGTCGGGCCTGCCTGTGCCCCCCAGCAACGACTGGGCCCAGGGCGGCCCCGAGGAGGCGCTGCACCTGCCCATGAGGACGCGGATACTCGTGACGGACGAGGGCGAGATCGTGGCCGGGTACGGCGGGATGGGGTACAAATACGACATCCCCGGGGCGGTGCTGGGCGTCAACTGCGCCGAGCTGACGGGGCGGCTCCTGTCGGAGCACGTCGACGTCATCCACGCCGCGGTGCGCAACGCGCAGCTGTACGGCAAGGTCGACCCCAAGACGGTGGTCGGGCCGTTCATCAAGAACCTTCTCAGCAAGTCTCGCGAGCTCGACCTCTTGTCTTGGCGCGTGGGCTTCATGCCGGACCCCGGCAAGGAGGACACCTGCGTCACCATCGCGCTCACCGTGCAGTCGATCGACCGCTCCGCGGTGAACGTCAACGCCCTAGAGCTCGAGACGCGGTACCGCCAGGAGCTGTCGGGGGGGCGTGGGTACGTCATTGACCTGTGGCGCTACGACCTCCTCGAAGCGAGCCTCGAAACGGACAAGAACTTCATCATCCGGAGCGCGAACCTCCACGCGCAGCTCATGTTCGGGTACAGCTCGGCGTCGGTGTTTGGGAAACCGCTGTCGATGTTGCTCCCGCAGGGCTCGAGCGCCACGGCGCAGCTGCGCGCCGCGGCGACGGGCGGGCGCGCGCCCGCGATGGAGCTTGCGCACGCCGACACCGGCGCGATCAAGGCGTCGATGGCGGGCGCGCCGAAGAAGCACAGTAGCGACAAGTTCGTCGTGCTGTTCCGCGACACGTGCTCCGTGGCGCCCGAGACGCTCGCCCCGCCCAACACGCTGCGCCGCATCGAGGGGCTTTTCGCGAAGGAGGGTCTCGTGCGGCAGGGCGAGCCGATGAAGCGCCAGGTTGGCGGGGTGCGCTTTGCGGCCGAGCTGGAGGAGCGCTTCATGATCGAAGGACGAGGGAAGGGGAGGAGGGTCGGGAGGTCGAACCAGGAGTTGAGGGACGCCGGGGAGTCGGACGAGGAGACGGACGAGGTGACGGACGACGACGACGACGATGACGACGACGACGCGAAGCCGCGTTCCAAGCCGGGCGATGAGAACGAGAGCGAAGCCAGCAGCGGCGGGAGCATGGCGTCTGCGGCGATGAGCGAGGCCACGACGGTGGCGCAGGTCCAGGCCGCGGACTTCCGGCGCGCGAAGCGCTACAAGCGCATCCACCGGGCGCTGTCGAACTCGCGCGTGACGCGGCTGATCTCGTCGCTGCAGCTGAAGAGCAAGCTCCTGCTCCTGACGCTCGCGGTCATCTACGCGGCCATCTCCGGGACCGTGATCGGGCTCTCGGAGGAGTACAAGCGCACCTTCACGCTCGCGCTCGAGGCGGTGCAGATCGGGGAGGAGATCGAGCAGGTCGCGGTGTTCTCCCGCTCACTGCAGTCCGTGCGGGACGGCACGGGCTGGGCCGCGAGCCTCGAGACCAGCTTCAAGACCAGGCTCGACACCACCGCGGAGCGGTTCTGGGGCCACCTGCGGGACTCGTACATCGAGCCCAGGCAGCGGAACAGGGTCTCGCAGGACGTGATCGACGTGTTCGAGGAGCCGCACTTCCCGCTCGAGTGGTTCGACGACACCAACCTGGACCCCGCCACCGGCGCCCGCTTTGACGAGACCCGCCCGCTGCTCGTCAACCAGACCCGCATCGTCGGCTTCTTGAAGCTCGCGCAGTTCTACACCCTGGCGGCGCGCGAGATGCGCACGCCGCCGGCGCGCTTCCAGGGCGCCGCCGCGGGCTCCCTCCAGATGCGGGACTTCCGCCACTTTCAGATTGTTCAGGCCAACGTGCATGGCGGGATGCTCGACGGCTTCCGCGAGTACGAGGTCGCGCAGGGCCAGGACCTGAGCAACCAGAAGAAGGTGGTGCAGAACTTCCTCCTGGCGGCCGCGCTGATCTCGAGCATCGGCCTGATTCCCATCGTGACCTTTGCGCTCCTGTCGACGACGCTCAGGCTGGTGACGGCGCGGCTGAAGCTGCTGCGCGTGTTCCTCCAGGTGCCCCGGCCGGTGCTGATCGCGCTGGCGACGCAGGACATCGGCGTCGAGGAGGACGACGAGGACGTCGAGGGCGCGTGGCGGCGCGCGGCGCTGACCGAGGAGGAGAAGGAGATGATGGAGAAGGAGGCGCTGGAGGCGAAGAAGCGCCGCAAGCGCCGCAAGCGCGGGGTCAGCGACACCGCGTCGGTGACGGGCGGCGGCGCGGCGTCCGCGGGCCCGGCGATCAACTTCATGGCCAACACGCAGGAGCTGTCGAACAACAACTGGCGCCTCGTGTGCGTCCTGACGCTGCCGATGTTGTTCCTGATGGGGGCGTGCCTGGGCATGCACCTCGGGGCGCGCGCCGTGCTGGACGAGATCGACGGGAAGACGAACGCGATGATTGCCGCCGAGGACATGCTCCAGCAGGTCGCGAGGATGGTCGAGAACGCGCAGGAGCTCGTGCTCGCGGACCCTACGGTCGCCGACACCGACGCGCCCGGCGGGGAGCGCTGGACGAAGCGCAGGAACCTGAACGAGACCACGAGCACGTTTGAGGGCACGTGGGACGGAATCATCTTCGGGGACGCGTCCAAGGGCCTGGACGGCGACGTCATCGCGGCGTCCGAGTTCCAGAGCCTCCTGTTCGACGCCGACCAGTGCCTGCGCGCCAACGCCTCGTCGTGCCTCGCCACGGACCACCCCTTTTACGAGGAGCTCAACAACGGCCTGGACCAGGCCATCCGCGCCGTGGTCAACGCCGCGAACCTCCTCGGAAACTCCGCGCTCGCGGACCCCGACGTCCAGGCGCGGCTGGACGACCCGCACTTCCAGCTCCTGTGGGTGGCGGGGCTGATTGACGCGCGTGACGGCCTGTCGACGATCTCGAAGAAGTTCAACAAGCAGGCCGAGGCGCACATCGTGGAAGTCGAGGCCATCGAGGGCGCGCTGTTCGGGCTTGGCATCATCTTCATCGCATGCTACTTCCGCATCCTCAAGCCCTATACCAAGTCGGCCACCGAGGAGGGCCACTACGTCTCGGAGCTGCTCTCGCAGCTCCCCGAGGAGATGGACGTCATCGAGACGCTCAAGGTCGCGGCCGACATCGAGGAAACAGCGGGCGTGAGCACGCCCTGGATGGTTCGATTCGCGAAGAGCGTGCGTCACGGCGCGGCACGCATCGCGCTGGGCAGGGCGCTCTACGACGAGCTCGAGGACGTCATCCGCGCGAAGGAGGACGAGATCGCCGAGGAGTCCTCGCTGTCGCTCCTGGCGAACTCGCGCTGGGCGCCGAGCGCGGCCGCCGAGACGGCAACCAAGGGGAAGAGGAAAAAGAAGAAGTCGAGGGGCAAGAGCTCGTGAGGGGGGCGTGGAGGAGCCCCGGCGCGCCCTCGGCGCACCCAACAATCGACTGCATCATTGTTCATCGCTGCGTGAAACACACTGAGACGAAGTAGGACCCGCCTGGGGACACGCCCCCGGAGGTGTTCCGAACTCCGCCCTCTCCTGCCTGCCCCTCCCCTCCGAGCGCCGCGAGAACCAAACAGGTGCAAGCGCAAGGTTTTCGGAGCTTTGCTGATCCGCACCGCCCTGTGTCGGCCCCCGAGCGCTCTCGGAGTAGCCCTGCCACACTGAGGCCCGCCGGCCGTGCCACGCCGTGACTGTGAGCCCCCGCGACACCACCCGCGCCCCGCCTCACTCAGCGCATCATCCACGGCTCGCTCAACGCCCCTGCCGCGCCAGCCTCGCCTTGCGCGCCGCCTCGGCCCCTCCCGCGAAAACCCAGGCAGCGCGGGGCCGGCAACGACCGAGTCACTCCCGGCCGCCCTATCTCGGCCGCTTCCTGCGGCCCTCGAGCGCTCGTTTGCCCGCTGCCAGTCATTCCGTCAGTCACATGAAGTCGTCCTCGTAGGCATTGAAGTTTCCCTTGTACTTTTCCATCTCGGCCTTATGTTCCTCGAGCGCGTCCTCCGCGAGGATCGTCTTGTACTCCCGCAGCTCCTTCTGCGCGCGGCTCTCCGCCGCCGCCACCTTGCGCTCGTCCTGCACGGCCACGCACGGCGATGACGCTCGCACCCCCGCGCCACCACCGGCGTGCTGCTCTCCTGCGCCAGCCGCGGGCGAAAGGGGACGCGCACCTCGAGCTTCTTCGCGAGCGCCTTGCGCTCCCCCTTGAGGAGCTTGTCGTAGCGCTCGCGCTCCTCCGCCAGCTCCCGCGCGTCATTGTGCCGCTCTTCGCGTGTCTTCTCCAGACGCTTCAGGATGATCTTGTCCTTCTTCGCGACGGTCGTCTTGCGCACCTCCTTCTGCGAGTGGTACCCGACCTGCGGGCGGGAGCGCGGCCGAGCCGCCGGGCGCGGAGTGGGCGCAGCCGATGTGCGCCAGACGGGTCTGGACAGGCGGTGGGGGGCCGAGGCGGGGCGTCTCGGCGCGAACCTGGCCGACTTCCATGCTCTTCTGTTTCCGCAGGTTCTTCCACGGGGTGTAGATGATCGGAACGTTGTCCTGCTTGCACCCCTGGATGCTGTTCTCCTTGACCAGTTGGCAGCAGTCCTCCAGCGTGTCCTCCGGGATGTCGTCGATGGACATGCCGCGCGGCAGCCGCAGGTACACGTGGGCAGACGACAGGTTGTCCACGTGGAACCTGCAGGCAAGCTCGGACGACGCGCTGATCGGCCTGGGAACACGCCCGCACTCGCCCCGTCCACCTCGGCGGCGCGTGCGTGGGGCGCGACGGCTCCTCACCAGACGTCCTCGTCGAAGGCATATCTGATCAGCTCCTCGTTCTCGTACTTGTCCTTGCCCATGTAGATCAGCATTCCATTCTCCTTGGTGGCGCCGCGCGGCGTGAAGTAGAACACCATCTCCCGCCGGCCCGGTGCAGCGCGCGGGCTGCACCACCTCAAAGAACACCCGCCACTGCTGGACTGGGCGCGATCTCTGACACCGTCGCTGCGGGCCGCGAGGAGCGCAGGCCGTGCCAAGAGCCGAGCGCGTCTTGTGGGCTGCTGGTGAGGCCGAGCCGGGAAGTGTCACGATTCGCTGCGACGGAAACGTGACGCTGGACTGAGAGGGCGAGCCGTTGCGGCCGGCCATGGATGGGGGGGTGTTTTGAGGGAGCGCTCCGCGGCGCTTCCCCCCGCTGACAGATGGGCGCTGTCGGGCGTGCGTGAGGGCATCTGATACGGAGCTCCTGTTGTGCCTCGCCCATAGACGCTCTGTGACAGCAGGGTGCGGCAGTCGAATGGCTAGGAACGCGCAGGGTCACGAGGAACGGGGCGTGCCTTTGCGCAGATGGGCGCCAACATCAAGCGCGCACGGAGAGCGATCAACGGGGATGAAATGTGACTGAACGGGCTCTACATGAGATGGATAGAGATATAATGTGAAAAAATCGCGTCGCACCGAATGCTCGATCCCTTGCAAGCACGGGGACGAGCGATTTCACCTAGCGAGCAGTGTGAGCCGGCGGACGGGCCGCGGAAGAGTCGTCACGGGGGAATCAAGCAACGTGCAGAGTCGCGAAGTACTGTCCGCCCGTCAAGCGCGCCGAACACGTGATTTTGCCGCATACTGCGCCGCTGAGGGGCCTCCAGTCAGCTGCAGTGCATTGTCGCTTCAGGGGGCGCACATTGCCGCTCGCGGACGCGCACGCGAGTCGTGTAGCGAGAGAACGCGTGATCCGCTCGAAATTTGCGCTCGACAGGAGGGTCTGCGCACGGGACGGGGCAGGCGCGCGAAAGCTGTTCGATTCGAGCGCGTCGCCTGGACGCTCGACGCGATGGGCGGCGGGGACAACAGCGTGATGATGATCAACCAGTCCCTCTTCGAAGGGACTGGGATACCTTGGAAGCCGGCTTCGATGTCCACAGAGCCCCCACAGGGTAAGCGCGGCCCGACCCTCCACCAGCCATGCCCGTGGCGCGTCCCTCGCAGCTCCTCGCGACGCACGCGCCCTCGACCCAACCGCTGGCGGTCGCGACATCATTGCGACGCGATTTACGCACGCCTCTCTCCACGTGGCGCCCCGAGCGCCCCCCTTTCGCACCACGAAGGCACCCGTGCGCTTTCCGCGCACCCCGGAGCCTCACAGCGCGCCCGCGGGCCACGCGCGTGCAGGTTCGTCGCGGAAGAAGCCGATCGACGCGGTTCGGAGCAACCCCGTCGAGGAGCGGCCGCGCGTTGCCACCACGTACCAGCGCGGGAACGCAGGTGTCCTGCGCTACTGGAGCTCGCAGGCGCGCACGGGGGAAGCCTACGTTCCGGGCGTAGAGCCAGACCAGCTCCCCGGCGACGAGGCCGACCGCGCCAGGCAAGCTCCGCGCCCCGCACGGCCAACGCGCGCTCGTGCGCTCCTGCTGACATTCCAGCTCCAACACGCCCGCCACCGCGCCCTGCCCGCGCGCCGAGCTCCGCAAACCCGCGGAACCCACGCCTCACTCCACACACTCCTCCATTCCCACGCCGAAGCGGTCCAGAAGCGCCGCACCGCCGCGCGACACGCGCCCCCGCCCACCTCTGCTCAAAGGCGCGCGCCTCCGTCTGCCCGTCCCGTGCAGGGCCATCAAGGACGGGAGCCGGTACAGCGCGCTCAAGCTCGGCACGGAGGGCCCGCGCTCGGACTTCGCGGCCCACGACGACGACGTCATCAGCGTCAACGAGGAGCGCGAGCGCCCGCGCACCCGCGGCATCCCGGGCTACCAGGGCCTGCGCTCCGGGCGGTTCTCCGCGGCGCCGACGGAGCCGCAGTGCTGGCACGGCAGCCACCGCCCGCGCACCGCGATGCCGGCCTTCTCGACTGGGGAGCCCGACCTTGGTCTTCACTTCCCGAAGAAAGCGGCGCCGCTGGGGTACCCCACGAGCGGGCGGACGCCGCGGGGGCACACGCCGGAGCTGTACGGGGCCGGCGCGACCCCGCGGGACCCGGGGCGCCCGCGCGCGCCCGCCCGGCACGACGTGGCGGCGATAGAGGCGCAGCGTGCGGCGCGGGACGAGCAGGCGGCGCGCGGCGCGACGCCGGATTACTGGGAGGACGGGCACCGGCTGCCGAAGCCGCCGGCGACGGGTTCGGCGTCGGCGGCGGGCGCCGCGGCTGCGGAGGGGGCGTCAGGGAGCAACACTCCCCCGAGCCTTGGGGGGGAGTACGCCGGCGCGCGCGGGGCGCGCGAGGACGCGACGCGCGCGTCGCTCGAGGCCATGGCGCACGCGGACCGCGTCGCGGACACGATTCGGTCCAACGAGGTGCACCCGAGCCCGCTGCTGGTGGCGGCGGCGCGGCGGCGTGCGTTCGCGGAGCACATTCCGCACCCGGAGGACTCCCTGCACGTGCTCGGGCCGGAGGACTCGCAGGTGGCGCGCGAGGAGCGGCGGCGCGGCGTGCTCCCGGTGGACCCGTACCGGTCGCAGGTGCGGGGGCGTCTGGTGACCGGGTACGGGGGGAGTCGGAATTTGGTGCCGCCGGGAAATCCGCCGTTCAAGACGGACCCGAACGAGGGGCTGCAGCGGCGGAAGCTCAACCTCGGCTTCTGAGGGGGGGGCTGCGTGGAGGGGGTTGGAGGTAGCAGTCGGACGTGTGAGTCGATGGGTGCTGAGGGTGTCGATGGGAGGGAGCGTCGGGGCGGACATGTGCGGTGGCGCTGGAGGCGTGCTGCGAGTTACGTGTTGGAACAGCACATCACGGACTTAGTCGTTGTTGTCCTGGTCAGACAGCGGCGCTGACAGAGGCGGGGAGTGGCGCAGCACGGGCACTGCCTGGGGGAGCGCCGGGGGGCGGCCGACGCCCGTTCGAACCCGCGCGCCTCCGACCCCGGGGGCACTATTGCCTGTGTCAGGGTGGTAACAGCCTGACGGGTCCGGCTCGGACGGGCGATGTCTGGCAGCAGGACGCCGGCGGCGTCGCATTGCGTGTGCGCGTCACGGAGGGTTTCGAAGGCAGACCGCGTTGAGAGTCGCTCGCTACGTGCAATCCTGCCCGCGCCGCTAGCACCATGCCCACGCCAGTCCCACGGGTCCCGAAGCGCCTGCCAGCGTACCAAGTCGTCATCCTCGTGTTGATATCCCTCGTCTGCGTCGCTGGAGTCGGCTTGAACCTCGCTCTCCTATCCGTGCTGGCCGACTTGAAACAGGCAAGAGCACTCACCGCGCGCCTGGCGCGACCTGCCGCGGCGACTCTGGGGCATTGTCCGCCAGCTCTACGCCGTCTAGGGTCTCCGTGCGCTGGCGCGGACCGACGGCGGGTTCGCCTGCGCTGACAGGCTGCGCCGCTGCATAGGCCTCCAGGCCAGCAACGTGCTGCCCCCCGCGCGCCCTGAATGGCCGCGCATTGCCGGCTCGGGCCTCACGGAAGCTCGACGATCGAGCTGGCAGCTCGTGGCCGCGCGCAACGAGTGCCGGTCGGACCGCGGGAGCGCAGCGTCGAATAAACGTGTGCTTTTCTCCGCCACAGTCCCTCTGCCAACCTACCGCTCGCATCCCTCGCCTCGCAGGACACCTGGCTCAGCAACCACCCGTACGTCAAGGCATGGATAGAGCTGATCACGGAGAAGCAGCTGTGGATCCTGCAGCCAGCCACCTTCGCTGCCAGCTTCTTTGGCCTGGTGCGCACTCCACCCCCGCCACCGTCCACGCATTCCGGCAACGAAGCCCCGCGCGCGGCCACCACGCTCTCATGGCGGCAATGCGGAATCGCGCCCCCTTCAACGTCGCAAGCCGCGTATTCGTGCAGGTTGGTTGCTTTATCAAGCTAGCTGATCATGCCGCGGCGGGCAAGAAGAAGGCCCCGGCGGGGGAGGCGAAGAAGACCAAGTGAGGGCACCGTGCTGCCGGAGTGGGCCGGGGGGCGTTGAATGGCACCGATGCGCGCCTTGCGCGGCCCAAGGTAAAAACACCTGACTTGCGTGCGCCTGCAGACACTGCGACGACGGGCGTGCCGCCCGTGCGGACGGAGCGCTAGAGTGCCTGCGCTATGCTACGGAATGTGTGCGTGCTAGCGTGCACGAATGCGCGGCGTCGGCGTGGGCGTGTCAGCCCCTGTCGCCTTGACCATCGTATCAGTGCCCGGCACCTTGTGCAGGGCGCCGGGCGGACACGGCACCCGCGATGCGAGCGACGGCGCGGTTCGACGACGAGCCCTGGATTTACAATAGGCTGGACGCCGGGCGTGTCGCTGGATCCTGTCGACAGGCCCGCAGTGGGACAAAGTGTGCAAGCGTCAAATGTGACCTGCCCGGTGCAGCTAGGAGTCCTTGGTCTTGTCGTCGTTGTTCCACTTGCTGACGACGAAGCTGCGGGGCGGGGAAGCGGAGCGTGCGACGTGATGGACGGACGCAGCGCCAAGAGGCGTGCGTGATTGATTGCGCATGTGTGCGATTGCGTCGCCCCGCAGCGCCGCCCGGGCGCCGTCTCACCTGTCTATCAAGATCTGCGCGAAGTGCGAGAACACGCAGGGGATGACGGCGAGGCCCGCCACGAAGCCCATCTGCGCGCCCAGCTGCGTGATGGTCGTGACGGCAACAGGCAGGGTCTTCTGCGAACACGTCAGGATGATCGCGCGCTTGATCTTGTCCGCCTCCGGCCCGCTGCCGCCCAGATTCAGCGCCTTCGCCGACGCGGTGTTGAACGCCAGGAACGCCGCGTGCATCAGCGTCCCGGCACACGCCGTGGCAAACAACGCACTCGCCGAGATGTCCGGCTGCGTCGCCGCCGCCTTCGAGACCTGCGACGGAAGCGCCTCGCACGAGCACGTTCGACACCGCGACCGGCTCGGCCGAGCGGGGCACTCGCGGGCCGGGGGGGGGGTTGCATGGCGGCGCACCTGCATCCATGGCACCAGGCAGAGCAGCGCTGCGCTGATGTACGCGACCATCGGCTTGTTCTTCGTGACCCACTCGCGCGCAGGCGCGACCGTCTGCCGGATCGCAGCGCCGATGCCGAACGGCACGAGGATGTTGCGCACCAGCGACTCGAGCAGCGGGCTCGGGTCAAGCTGCAGACACACAAGGAAGACGGAGCCGAGGCCCAGAGGTCGCGTCGTCGCTGTGATGCGTCGTTTCGGCGCAGCGCGCGCAGTGCGGGGCCGGCTGGGGGCGGGTGCGTACCGCGACGCCGGTGGCGGAGCCCATGATGTTGCTGATGATGTAGGGCATCGAGAAGATGCCGAGGGTGTTCGTGAGGACGACGAGGAGCATTGCCAGCGCGCTGTTTCCGCCGCACGCCTGCGCTCGCGACGGAAGCCGGGCGCGTTCACCGGCATAGGCGCACGTGACGTACGCCTCGACACGCACGAAGCTCGCAAAATGTTCGGCGTACGTGTAGATACTTTTTATTCACGCGGGATGTCGGCTACGAGGGGGCTTACCGCGGTCATTGTGACGCAGGACGAGAGGCTGGTAGGCATGCACGCAAACGTCGCGACGCCGTACTTCATCTCGACGGGCGACACCGGGAGCGAGAGCACGAGCGACCCGATCAGCGGCGTGACGACCAGCGCGGACATGAGCCCGAACGCGATCGACTTGACGTCCGTGAGGGCCGTTTTGGCCTCGGACCCCCGCAGCGTCAGACCCGAGATCAAAAAGATCCCCGTCGTGCTCAGCTTCGTCAGCCCGGCGTCCGCCGCCACCTGGCCCGCCGCCGGGAAGCTCGCGCCGAGAAGGATCGCCTGCGCGCGCACGCACGCGGCCGCATCGCGCCATCTCGCATCGCGTCATGTCGCGCCCCGGCACGCGACCCACGCGAGGCGGAGCCGGCGGAGCGCGCCCCAGCGGCACTGTGAGGGCAAGGCACGCACCGCGACGAGCCCGATCGGCAGGTGCTGGGCCTTGACGAAGGACAGGAGCCGTTCAGAGAGGAGCGGCGTCGCTTCGTCCTCCGCGCCCGGACCCGACATGGCGGCGCTCGAGGCGTGCACCTTGAGGACGCGCGACGGGCCCCGGGCCTGGGCCGAGGAGGCCGCGTCGCCTAGCGGCGACGCGTGGCCGCGGCCGTGCGGCCCCCCTGCGCCACGCAGTGCCGCGTGCACGCCCTCGCGGCTCCCGGCGTTCCATCGAATCTGCGGGGTTCGCGGCACCGCGTGCGAGCTCTCAGTGTGATGCGAGGGGTGTTCGAGCGGGGAATGCGGCAGTTCGGGCGCCATCGACGAAGCGCGCTCGCGGTGGGGTGGCCAGACAACTGGCGTCGGGCGATTCGGTAATTCGGGGTCCCTGCGTCCTTGGACGCGCGTCCCTTGCGTTGCTCTCTGAGAGCGAGGCGTGAGCAGCAGCCCGGGGCCCGGCTCGGGGCTTCGGACCGCCGGGCAGCTGCGGCGCGAGCGGCGCAAGAGGCTGGGTGGCTTGCGGACGACGACGCTTGCCTGCGCAGCTGCCAGAGGACGCGCGTGACGTGCAGCTCCGACGTTCGACGGGAGAGAGCTGGGGCGGAAGTGTAGACTGCGCGCGCGGAGCGAGCCCGACGTGCGCTCCGCGAACGGCACCGTCGCGGGCGAATCTCTGCTGGTTCGCAGCCAGAGGTGCCCGGCGCGGCCCCCGCAGCGCGCAGCAGCCTGCACACTGTGCATTCTCGACATTTACTGGATGCGAGAATGCGAAAGCGTGCGTCGGGACGCACGTGCGGGCCCAATTTCGCGCGCGCGGGGGGCGCCAGCTCGGAGCCAAGGATCCCTGACTGGACGACACGCCGCGCCGTCGTCCAACCATGGTTTTGGTGACCTCTCACAAGGTACAGTCTCGCGCCGCAATGTCCGGCCTGCAACCACGGCCCGAGACCAGCACACCCCACCAGCGCACCCCACAGCACCCCCGCACCGCGCAACATGCGCGACGACTGCCCACGGGGCCGCAAGCCGGGCGCGACAGCGGCCGTCACAACAGCACGTCTTGATGACGACTCGCGGCCCGCCGCGCCGGCGCCTCAGCTGCGCCCGACCTTCTTCTTCTTCGCCGCCTTCGCCTCCCGCGCGCCCCCGTCGCCCGCCCCTCGCTCCGCCCTCTTTTTCTTCCCACTCCCCCCCGGTGCCTTCTCCGCCCCTGCGCGCTTCGCCGCCGCCCGCTTGCGGTCCGTCCGCGACGTCGGCCACGCCTCCTCGTCGCTGTCCCCGACCTCGACCGCCGCCCGCACCCTCGCCGCCTCCTCCTTCGCCTTGGACCGCTCCTGAAACTGTCGCTTCTTTGCAGCCTTCTTCTCCGCCTTCCGCGCCGCCGCCGCCGCCTTCTCCTCCGGCTTCATCTTCCTCTTCTTCTCCGCCGCCGCCGCGCTCGCCTTCGCGCCCTTCGCCCCCTCCCCGCCGCCCTCGTCAGCTTCCGCCCGCAGCTCGCGCCGCTGCCCCCGCTCCGCAGGCGCCTGCGCGTCCTGCGGCAGGTGGTCCAGGTCGCGGTCGCCGCGCACCATGTGCGCAAAGACGATGGGCTCCAGCGTGTCAGTGTAGTACGGGAACAGCGGGAGGCGCCGCTTGTGTTTCTTGCTCCCGATGTGTTGCTGCATGGACGTCGCGTTCAGGATCACCGCGCCTGCACGCGGCCACAGAGGAGACGGATGTGCGCGTGTGCCTCGGCGCATCGAAGCACCCGGCCGGCGCGGAGGGCGTACTTGCGGCTGCTAGCGCAGCGGCGCGGACAGGGTCGCTCTCTCACCGTTGCAGATGCGGCACACGAGCCGCGTGCCCTTGCTCGACGGCTCCTTGCTGTTCTCCTTCATCCACTGCTGCTTCAGCTTGTCGCACTGCGACCAGCACAGTGCACGGCGTAACGACCCACTCATGCCAAATAGGCGCTGCGGCAACTGCGCGAAGACGGTGCGCGGGGGGCGCGTGAACCTACCTGACGCAGGAGGGAGGCCAGGTCGGTGTGTGGCACGTCGTGGTCGCTCGCTGCCGGGCTGTCATCGGCGTCTTCGTCTTCGCTCGAGGCCCCCGCCTCGAATTCGTCCTCCGATATGTCGTCCAGGCTGCGGAACTTCGACACGGGTCCGTCTGGAACTGCGACATCCTCGCTGTCGCCGTCGCTGTCGTCGCCGCTGCTGCCGCTGTCCTGCTCACTGCTGTCGCCCTCGTCTGATGAGGACTCCTCGGCAGCGTCGTCCGAGCCTGGAGCGGGCAGAAGATGAGGCTCTGAGCGTCGCGTGGTGTATCGAGGATGAGGGACGGGCGACAGGGACGGGCGGGAGCGCAGCAGCCATACTGAAGCTAGCAGTGGCCGGCCCGCACGGCAGCTGGCACGCACTTTCACAAACGGCGCATGAGTGGCAACTCCATGCATATGTGCACATTCCTTGATTGAAAATGCCATGTCAGGTTGCAGTATGGAAGCGCGCGGGTGGAAGGAAGGCTGCGTACTCTCGTCGTCTTCGGAGCTCGAGCCGCCCCCGTCAGGGCCGTGCAGGTGCAGCCAGTCCCGCCGCTTGAACATGCTACACCGCCGCTACACCCTACCACGCCGCCTGATCCCGCTGCGCGCCCTGGGCGACACGGCACTGCTGCACACAACTCGCAACAGGCCTTGCGGGAGAATGCGCCCAATGAATTTCGTCAATATACGCAAAAAATGGCAGAATCCCAGTAAGTGATCGACGCCCGGCGCCCCGCGCGGCCGAGAAGCCCCTCACGGGGCGTCTGAGGCCGCCCAGATGCACATGACTGGGGCGGATTACACCCCGGGTGGGCGAGCGCGCCTAGAACTCGGTGATCAGCCCCGAAATGTCCGTGTTCCACGGCCAGTCCTCCGCCCACCCCTCCGGCGCCAGCTCCAGCGCCGTCTGCCCGTCCTCCATCGCCGACTTGTCCTTGTTCTGCAAAACAGCAACAGCGGCCCCACACAGCGCCCAGGTCAGCGCCCACGCACACGCACACGCAGCCACAGCGACGGCGGTCCACCACGCGCACTTCGCGTCAACCCACCGCTGCACGGCGCGGTGCGGCGAGGACGCAGCGACGTGCAATGCACCGCGCTGGCGGACCGGCGAGGCTGCGGTTCCGGTCTGGGCCGGGCGTGCGCGTGGGCCGTACCTTGAGGCGCGCCACGGCGCGGTTGGCGTAGAAGGTGTGTACGTTGGGAGGGTTGAGTTCGATGCCCTTGGTAAAATACTTGATCGCGGTCTCAAAGTCGCCGTCCATGGCTGGAGGCAAAAGCGAGGTGCGCAGGACACAGACGATTAGATCGTCGTGCGCGCAGGCCGGGGATGTGGACGTTGGCATGTTTGCGTGACGGCGGCGTGCAGAGAGGCCACATCAGAGGGGGGGGGTGTGGCGGACCTGCGGTGACGCCGGCCATGCGGCAGTCGGTCGCGCTGACGAGGGTGGCGTCGACCTCGATGCCGCACTTGGTCGAGAGCGCCTCCGCGACGTCGCGGCACGACCGCAGACCCATCAAATCGTAACTCCCCCCCTCCGACTCAATCGTCGCATTCGGACCGTCGGCACACCTGCAACGCGCCGCATTGGGAAGCGCTCGGTGGGACGCTGCGTTTCCGCAGGTCGGTTCGCGAATCAGGGCGCGGGGGCGCGGGGATGGTGAGGATGCAGGCAGGGCGGGGGTCGGTGGGTGGGAGCGGGCGCGTGAGGCTGGCTCAGACCTGCCCGTGCAGCCGGTCTCCTCGAACGAGACGCCCTCGATCTCCATCTCCCGCGCCCACCTGCGTTCGCGCGCAGCACACGCGGCGCCGCAGCAGTGAGTGCACCGCACAAGCTCCTTCGCGGTCGTGATACTCGTGCAATCATTTGATCGCAAACTTTCTTGCATTTTCATCATACTCCATCTAGCATCCGACTCTAGGCGAGCAGTGATCCATGGTCGGGCCCTCTATCGCACGCTGGAGCGCAAGACAGCGTTGCTAGGCTGACAGCGCACCAAGGCGCTGTGCGGCGCGTGGGGGGCTCGGCGCGGGCCCTCACGTCAGCAGCTCCTTCGAACCCCTCTTGCGGCACGTGTCGCCGCGGACGCAGATCCGCATCGAGCAGCCGGCGCGCGCAGCAACGCAGCGCCTGGCCTGCGCTCGCCTGGACAGGGCGCCCGCGGCGGGCGCGCTCACCGACCACGACGCACAGCTAGCCATCACGACGCACTGCAGATCCAGATTTTGACGAGGTGCCACCCGGCCAGGCCACGTTTGAGACCCCGGCTGGGGGGTACTCTCAGAGAGCCCCTGCCTTGCTTCTACTGGTTGTCAGGGCGCCCAGCGACGCGAGCGGAGCCTGTCCGGGCAAGAGCGGCCCTGCGCGAGCACCTGGCGCTCGCGGCGGCCGCCCTCCGCGCCGCCGTGAGTCGATTGTGCCTGAAACGTCAACTCTCAGCAAAGCAAACGAGCTTGTGCCAGTGCGGCAGGCGCACGCAGCACTTCAGTCAGACACCGCGCCCGGCAGCCCCGCGCATCGCAGCAAGGTCACATCGCGACCCGGCCGGGTCAGCAGTTCGCCAGGAGCTCCTCCAGCGTCCCCTGCACCGCACTTGCCGCCGTCTCCGTGGCCGCACCCACGGTGAGCCGGAACCGCTGCCCGGTCGCCGGATCGATCTCGATGCGCACGAGCACGCGCACGCCCTGCGGCGCCGACTCCGTCACCAGCGTCCCGCACCCGACCACGTTGGCAGGGTTGTGTTCAATGCCGTCCGTGTCCCTCAGCCTCGCCCGAGCGAGCACGTCCACGGCCTTGGCGCGGTCGAGCCCGCCGGGGTTCGCGCCCATCGCCTGCGCCTTCGCCGCGCCGCCCCACTGCTGGAAGAACGTGCCCTGGTCCACACTGACGCTGTCCGGCGTGATGAACTTCGTGACCGGCACCGGCAGCTCCACGCGCCGCACGACGCGGCCCGCGGGCCCGTCGAACGCGAGCGTGACCGCGGGGAAGTTCGCCGTCGCGTCGACGAGCGCGAGCCCGATGTGCGTCTGCACCTGCGCGCTCGCCGGGACGACCGCGGGCAGCGGCTGCAACGTCGCGCCGCGCCAGCCCGGCGGCGTCTCGACCTCGCACGTCGCGCCGGACAGCGGCTGCGGCGTCTTGTTGCCCACGAACAGCGCCAGCTTGCCCTTCGCGCCGCTGTACAGCGACTTGAGGCCCACCTGAATGACGCCGTCCTCGAACACCACGCCGCTGTCCGCCCCGAACATCTTCCGCCGCCACGCCGCGACCTGCGCCGCGCTCGGCCCCCCCGCCGCGCCTCCCGCCGCGCCCACTGCCCCGCCGTCGTCGTCAAGCCCCAACAAATCGTCGCCCCCGCCGCCGGCGCTGGCGCCGTTCGCTGCGCCGCCGACGTCCGACTCGAGCGCCGGCAGGGGCTGCGTCGGCGCGCCGGACGGCGCCGGGAGCGCCTTCATTGCGCTCGTCGCCTCCTCGACGCCGTACGCGTCGTCGAACCCCCCCCCGCCGTCGCCCGACGTGCCCTGCACCTTCGCGAGGCGCTTCAGGAGGCCGCTGACGCGGTCCGGGAACGCCGGCATCGCCTCCGCGACCGGCCCGGTCGCGGGGCCGCGCTCGAGGAGCGCCAGGTACTCGGTGGCGCGCTGTTGCAGCTCGACGTCCTCGTGGACGCGCAGGCCTTTCAGGACGTCGACGACCTGGCGTTGCAGCGCGGGGTCCGAGGCGCCGCGTTTCGCGACGAGTTTCGCGTAGGCGGTGAGCAGGATGGCGCGCGTCGCGTTGTCCGCGGCGTGGAAGTGCTCGTGCAGCGCGGAGAAGACGCCCCCGGGGGACACGGGGGGGTTCAGCGCGCCGGAGAACTCCCCGAGGAGGTACGCCGCGAGCTTGACGAGGTCCGGGTGCTGCGAGCCGGCGCGCGTGGCCTCGAGCGCCGCGCGTGCGGCGTACGGCTGCAGGTCGGGGTTGTTCGTCGCGATTTGCACCACGCGGAACCAAATGTCCTCCCCCACGAACTCCCCCCCCCTCTGGAGCAGCTCGAGGAGCGTGTCGACGTACCAGTGCAGGTCCGGCGCGTACCGCTCCGCGAGGATGGCGATTTTCAGCGCCAGTTCGTCCCGCAGGCTGTGCTCCGCCTCGTCCATGAAGGCCAGCAGCTGGTGCACGATCACGCGCACGGTGCGGGCGTCGCAGAGGATGACGGCGAGGTCGACGACGCGGCGGCGGATCGACGCGTCCGGCTCGGCCAGGAGCGCGAGCACCGCCTCCTGGTTGCGCGCCAGGGCGTCTTGCATCGCTGGAATCATAGATAGCTTGCCCATGTAGTCGAGCGCCAGATATTTCGTGTTCGGGTCGGCGCCGCTAACGAACTTTCCGAGCAGGGACACGACGAGCTGGACCATCGGGCCGTCGCCGTCCGTCTCGAGCGACGTCGCGAGCGCCATCGCCTCGAACAGCACCGCGTTGAAGCCGTTCTGTTTCCCGACGGGCCCGCGCACGTTCTGTCCAATCGTGATGATCTTCTCGAGGAGCGCGTTGAGGTTCGACACCGCGGAGCCGCCGAGCGTCGCGAGGTCGAAGTACTGCAGGACGCGCAGGACGGCGCACTGGAGCCACGGCGACGGGATGCCGTAGTAGGTGTACTCGCGCGGGACTCCCCCCATGACGTCAAGCGTGCCGGCGCGGTCGTCGCGCGCCTGCGCGGCCGCGCGGTCCGGCGCGAGGCGCTGCATGATCTGCGCCAGCCGCGACACGCACGGCTCGAAGCCCGCGGTGTCCGTGACCACGAACTGCTGCAACAGCTCAACGTAGCATAGCAACAGCCCGATGTCGCGTTCCGTGAGCATGGACGGGAGGTTGCGGGCCCAGATCTGGCGGTCGGGGATCTCGGGAGCCTTCCGGAGCATCTTGACGAGGCACAGCGCGGCCTTCTTCTTCACGACTGCGCGGGCAGTCGAGCGCGAGCGCGGCGCGGTGAAATACGGATTCTCGAGTGCGGGCGCGGCGGAACGGGGTGGGTCGCGGCGGGCGGGCGGACCTGGCCGGGAGCCCGGGGACTGCAGGATGCGCTCGACGTCACGCGTGAGGCTCTCGGCGAACTCCCGGTTGCCCAGGTTGGCCGCAGCCGAGAGCGCCAGGCACTGAAAGGCCTCGGACATCGAGTTGAGGTCCGACTTGATGGAGTTGATCGCGATTCTCAGGAAGTCGTGGCTCTCGTGGAGCAGCGTCTCGAGCGCCATGTACCCCACTTGTTTCTCCGCGAAGCGAGGCGCCGAGATGAGCTCCAGGGCCTGCATGTGGCCGAATTCCACGGGGTAGCCGAGCATGCGGATGTACAGGAGCTTCCACACGTACTTCTTCTTGTCGTACGCGGACATCGTCTTGCCGTCCTGGGCGCCCTGCAGCGCGACGGGCGCGAACGGACACCGTGAGTGGCTTTCTCCTCGCGCGTGGACACCGGCGGCACGCATACTCCCAGTACGCGCCGTGGGGACGATGCACGTGTCGTGAGGGACGCGCCGGGGCCGCCGCGCGCCCGAGCGGGCGCCAGGGCGCGGCGGCGGGCCCGGGAGGGTCGCGCGGCAAACAGCGTCCGGGCGCGAGGGCGCGCGCCTTCTTGAACTTGACGCGGATGTTCGCGAGCTCCTTCTCGATCCGCTCCATCTCCTGGTCCTTGTTCTGGCAGTTCCGTATGTCCTCGATGAAGGCCTGCGCACCATACGTGGAGCTCTAGGCGAGCTCACCATCACTGCCGGCCCCAGCGCCCGCCCCGCGGCCCTCGGCGCGCAACGCCGCCCGCAACGCGAGCGCTGACTCGCCCAACCGCACGAGAGCCTGATTCCGGCCGCAGGAACCGCGGCGTGGCCGTGGATCTCGCGCGCGGGCCTTCCCGGCACTGCACAGAGTGGCGAGGACGCTCACCTTGAGGCCTTTCATGTGCACGGTCTTCGCCATCCTGTTCAGATGCCGCTAACGTGCCGGCACGGGCCGCGGAACCCCGCAGGGCCGCGAAGCTGCGCTCTGTGGCCGGGAGTCACCGCAGCGCTGTGCAACCGCCCCGTAGGCACCGCGCAGCGGGGCTAAGCGTCCGACGAGCGGGGCGAGATGGAGCGCCGAGCGGGTCCGTGCAGGCCCGCGCGACGGCGCCGCCTCAAGTCGCCTGTGCGCGCCAGGACGCGCAGTTATACTCTGAGTTGCTCTTGACTGGGCTGCGCACGGGTCTTGCGGACGCGCGCGTCGCGGGGCGGGCCCAACGGCCCGCGCTCGAGCCTCGCCGGGCACTTGCTCGTCACCGGAAACCCCTACGCGTCGACGTGCCGTCCGCAACAACGCACGCGACGTCGCTTGGGCACTGAACGGCGCACGCGGGACAGTGGCCGCGCTCTAGGGCCCCCCACGCGGTCCCAGCTGCGGAGTCGCGCAGCCCGCGAGTAGGTGATACTTCTGCTCACGCACAGGAGGCAGCGAGCGAGGCGCTCCGGTCCGTTCGCGGGCGTTCTATATACGTCTGGGTGCTGAGGGCGCTGGTTGAGGCAACGAGGGGGCGCGGTCGGGGCACGGGGGGCTAGGCACGATGCAGGTGGAGCGCGAGTCGTCGATTGTGTCGTCGGAGGAGTCCGGGGAGGACGAGCGGAGGCCTCTGACGCACCTGGAGACGGTGCATGTCTACTCGGTGATTCGAGGGACCATGTCTCGGCTGGGCCTGGTGGGCGTGATCATGGTGGACCCGCAGGTCCAGGCGCAGCAGATGACGCAGAACGTGGGCGAGGAGATCTCGAAGATGATCGCGGAGCAGAAGGCGCTCGAACAGCGCTTCCAGCAGCTGATTGAGGAACAGCACTCGCTCCGGGGGATGGTCAACAAGGCCAAGCTCAAGGAGAACCAGGCCGAGGTGACGCGGGTTGCAGAACAGCTGCGAAACTCCACGATGCAGCTCTGCAGGTGAGCCGCGCGCCCGCCCAGCGCCTGCGTCTGCCGCGACGCGACGCCCGCAGCGCCCCGCCGCGCCCGCGCCGGTCCCGCGCTCCCCGAACCCGGCCCGCTAGACCCAGCCACGCGCCCGCGCGAGCGCATACCGCCGAAACATCCCGCCCAGCGCCCCACCAGCGCGCGCTGCCTGCGTACGCGCGACGCGAGACATGACGTTACCTTTCCCCGCCGCGGCGCCGCGCAGGAACCTCAAGGAGAACCCGAACGTCGCGGAGAACATCGCGAAGGTGGCGTCCGAGCGCCAGAGCCTCCAGGCGCTCCTCTCGCGCACCCTCGACGAGCTGCAGACCCTCGGCGACTTGCGCAGCGTGCGGGACCTGGTCGTCGAGGAGGAGGAGCAGCAGGCGAGCATCCACCAGACGATCGAGCGGGAGCGGCAGACGACGGCGGAGGTGCGGCAGCTCAAGCAGGCCCTGAAGCAAGAGCGCAACCGGTTCAAAGAAGAGATGCGCAGCCACCAGGAGGCGCTCGCGACGCTCAAGGAGGACCTCCGGAAGGCCAAGGCGCGGTCGGAGCTGGACGCGGCGTACACGGCGCGGTCGCTCGCGGCGCAGAACGGCGCGCAGCGGCGCCTGGAGGGGCGCGAGATAGGGCAGCTGCAGAAGCAGGTGCAGGAGCTGCAGCAGGCGATACGGATCGAGGAGGACGTGAACGCGACGATCATGGCGTTCCAGAAGAAGCGGAGCACGTTTTTGCAGAACGAGGCGCTGCGGTGGAGCCAGAAGTTCGAGAGCGACGTGGCGGCGAAGGACAAGGACACGGACACGCTCAAGGCGACGCTGCAGAAGGACCTGCAGCGGCTGCAGGAGGTGAACAAGACGTACGAGTTCGAGCTGCAGGCGAAGAACGCGCGCGAGGGCGAGAAGCTCTCGCGGGAGTACGCCGAGCTGTTCCAGGACGAGGCGGTCAAGGAGCGCATGACGCGGTGCGCGACGATGATCCAGTCGCTGTGGCGCGGACACAAGGCGCGCGAGGCCGCGAAGTCGAAGAAGAAGAAGAAGGGCAAGGGCAAGGGGAAGAAGAAGAAGTGACTGCGTTGCGGGCGGGCCAGGCTGTGAGCGCCGCGTTGTTGATGCGTCGCTGTCGACACGAGGGGGTTGGGGCTGCGCGGGCTGGCGTTGTTGCGTGTGTCGCCTGAGACGAGCGTTCGCTGCCGCGAGGGCGCAGCGCGCGATGGTTGTTGCGGTGTGGGGTGGCGATGCACGGCACCCCCGCACGCAATGTGGGCGCCGTTGGCGCCGCGGCACAGCCGTCCTGCCGCCCCCACGCGGCACGCGCGCCGCTGCTGCACCCGCCCGCCGTGCCAGTCACTGACGTCAGGTACAACACAGCACACCGACACAGCGCCCCCTCACGCGTTCCGACTCTCGACCATCGACGCGCACACTCCAAACGCATCCCCCGCCCTCGCAGACACCTGCACCGCGGTCGTTGCCCTCGTCCACCTTGTCCTGAGTCAACGCGACCCCCCTAAAGCACATTGCTGCATTCTTCTCACAACCCCACGCGCACCCCCGCGCCCCGTCACTCGCCGCCGGCCTCGAGCTCCTCCGCCTCGGGCATGCTCGACTCCTCCGCGACCGCGCCGCCCTCCTCGCCGCCGTCCCCGCCCACATCCTCCGCGCCGCCCCCGCTCTCTTCCGCCACCGGCCCCTCCGGCCCCTCCTCGGGCGGCGCACCCGACGCCTCGCCCTCGAGCGGCGGCAGCGGCGCCTGCCGCGACCCGGGCCGCGGGCCCGCCTGCGCCTCCGCGAGCGCGCGCTGGTGCTGTGCCAGCTCCTGCCGCAGCTGCGAGATCACCTCCCGCTGCATCTCTATCTCGCGCGTGGCGGCCGAGGGCGACGGCGCGTGCAGGCCGTTCCTGCTCCCGCGCGAGTTCTCCTTCGAGATCCGCCCCGAGCGGTACGCCGAGTCGAGCCCCGACGCGCGCCCGCCGCCCGGCGCCGTGCTCTGTGCCGACTGCCCCATCCGCAGGCCCTTGATCTCGCGGCGCAGCTCGTTGATCTCCTTGATCAGCGCGACGTTCTCCTGCATGATCCGCATGCTGTCCTGCCGCGCCTTGTCGCTCTCCTTCTGCAGCTTGCGCTTGAGACTCTCGACGGTGTTCTCCAAGTACGACCGCTGCCGCTCGTGCTCGCCCTCGACCTGCATGTCGACCTCGACCTCCTCGATCTCCTCCGACCCCACGTGGATGTGGTACAGCGCCTTGACCTTCTCCTTGAGCACCTTGGGCTCTTGCACGTGCTGCACGCAGTCGTGCAGGTCGTGCCGGAAGCGCTTCACGTAGACCCGCGCATCCCCGAGCTTCGTGCGCTGCTGCAGCACCTCGCCCTGCAGCGCCTGCACGCGCAGCTTGAGCTCGCTGATCGCCAGCTCCAGCGAGCCGTTCTGCTTGTGGTAGCGCTCGAGCTCGTGGTCCATCTCCCGGGTCTGGTCGCGCATGCGCGCGATCTCGGCCTCGCGCGGCTCGATCTGCTTCTTCAGCTCCTTGATCTTGTAGTCCAGCACGAACTTGAACTTCTCGAGCTCCTGGTTCTTCTTCTTCAGGTCGTAAATGCGCTTCTCCTTGTCGCCGATCGTCTCGTCGCGCTCGCGGATCTCCTTCTTCAGACCCACGATGTCCTTCTCCAGCGACGTGATCGTCGCGTACAGGTCCTTCTCCTTCTCAAACAGCTGCCGGATCTCCTCCTTCTTGTCCTCAATGTCCTGCGCACAACAAACACACCACACCGCGTCAGCCCACGCAACAACTGCACCCCCGCGCACCCCGCACGCGCACACAGCCCCCAGCACGCCCACCGCGCCCCGCACGCAACACCCCCCCAAAACAAAACACCCCCCACCTTTTGCAGGGCGTGGAACTTCTTCTTCATGATGCCGTTCTCGCCCTTGAGGCGCAGCGAGATCTCGCGCTCCATGCCGAGCTTCTGCTCGTACTTCTCCTTGAGCCCCTCGATCTCGCGGTCCGTGTCCTCCTCCATCTGCCGCCGAATCTCCTCAAACTCGCGCGCCATGTCCTCCTTCTCCTGCTGCAGCCGGTCCGAGTTCATCTGCTCCTCCTGCAGCTTCGCCTCGTACTCCTCCGTCAGCTCCTGCACCACGCGCTCGTGGCTCTCCACCAGCGCCGCGTTCTGCTCCTCCCACCGCTCGTTCAGCAGGTCCTTCTCCTGACTCAGCTGCTGGTACCGCTCGACCTCGACCATGATCTTCTGCTGGAACTGCGCGTCGAGCGCCTGCAGCTGCTGCTGCCGCAGCTCCTCCGCCTGCTTCAGCTTGTCCTCGTACTCCATTTCCATCTCGTTCTTCTCCTGAAGGAGTTTCTCGAAGTTCTCGCGGTCGCGCTCGACCTCGTCGCTGAACTTGGCCGTGAGCTTCTTGATCTCCTCCTGCATCGCCATGTCCTTCATGCGGATCTGGTACTCGTACTGCATGTAGTTCTCGTTGACCTTGTTCTCGAGCTCCAGCATCATGTGCCGCCGCTCCTCCAGCTCCGACTTGGTGACGAGGACCTCCTCGGCCCACGGCAGCGCGTCCTTGCGCTCCGCCGCCGCGCGCTCGGGGTCCTTGTCCTTGATCTCGAGCACGGAGAGCGTGCCGTCCGCCGACGCGCAGAACAGCACCGAGCTGTCCGAGGTCAGGCGGATGCGCGTGATCGGGCCGGCGTGGACCTTCGTGTCGACGTACTCGCCGGAGAGCGGGTACCGGTACGACCGCACGATGCCCGAGTCCGTCGCGGAGAAGAGCGTGCGAGTCCCCTGGGGGAGTGCCAGCTGCGTCAGGTTCTCGTCGCTGTCGAAGTCCTTCGCGATCGTCGCCGACCCCGTCCCCTCCTCGCCCACGAACTCCTTGAGCTTCTTGTCCGACCCCACCGCCCAGAAGTGCTTGCTATCCGGCGTCGCCAGCACGCAGTGGTAGTGCACCCCCTTTTGCACGTTCTCCGTCAGACGCCGGAAGTCCTTGAGCGTCCACTCGTACACCGCGCCGTCCGAGCCCGTCGAGACCAGCCGCGAGTCCTCCGCCGTCCACTGCACGCTCGCGACCTTCCCGTTGTGCCCGCGCAGGTTGCCGAGGTTCTCGCCGGTGTACGTCGAGTAGATGTGCACCGTCGAGCCGTTCACCGCCGCGAAGTACTGCCCGCCGCTCGAGAACTGGCACTCCCGGCAGGACTTGATCGCGATCTCCTTGATCACGCGCAGGTCGTCCATGAGGACCGTCATGAGGCGCAGCTTGTCCGCGAAGCCCACGAGGAGGAGGTAGCCCGAGGGGTGGATGGCGACGGAGAAGGGCTCCTCAACGAACTGCCGCGAGAGCTCGCACGTGCGGTCCACGTGGTTCCAGATGCGCACCGTGCGGTCCGCGGAGCACGACGCAACGAGCGGCTTTCGGATGCATGTGTCGAGGCCTGCGCGGCGCGGGGGGGGCGCGGGACGGTCGCGCGCGGTCGAGGCGGGGACGGCGGGGCGTGGGCGGACGCGGGGCGCGGCGCGCGAGCGGCGGGCGCAGGCCCGCGACGCGGGCCACGGGGTGGCCGGCGGCGTGAGCGGCGGCGGTGGGGAGGCGGCGGGGAGTACCTGTGATGGCGCCGTGGTGGAAGGAGGAGGCGAGGAGCTCGAACCCGAGGTCGTCGGCCTTCATGAGTTCTGTGTTGGCCAGCGCCATGGAGTAGGCTTGGTGCGTGCTGGTGGTGACCGCGAGGTACTCCTCGCCGGGGGACACGCTCATGTCCTTGACGTTGCCGGGCTCGTTCGGGATCGCGAACGTCCGCGTCAGCCGGTACGGCTCCTTGTCCGAGTCCTGCCGCTCGTACAGCCACACCTGCAGCGGCGAAACGACGCCGAAACCGGGGCAGACCCTCGCGCCTCCGCGCCGGACGCGCGCTTAGCGAGCGGAGAACACGCAGCGGCGCCGCAAGCGCCGCGAACGGCCCCGCCAGCCGCGGCGGACCGCGCGGCATGCTGCGCGCGTGCACCACGCCCCGCGCGCCGCGCCTGCGCGCTCCGGCGCCGCACGGCGCCCGCGGGAGCGAAGGGCGCGGCCGTGGCGTGCGCGGCGAGCGGCAGCGGGGCGCGCAGGGCGCGGAGCGGCTCCGGGGCGCACCTGGCCTGCCGATCCACCCACGATGAAGCCCTTCGAGTAGACGACGACAGAGAAGATGCCGTGGTTGTCCGGCATGGTGAAGAGCTGCTTGAGCTCGCCGGCCTCCATGATCATGAGCTCGCCCTGCTCGGAGCCGACGAGGAGGCGGTCGCGCTCGCCCTCGGCGATCCATGCATGAGCAGTGTAGTTGTGGGGCTCGCGTTTGGCGAGGGAGGCGGGCTGGGACTTGAGGGCCTGGTCGACGACGCGGAAGGTCTTGAAGATGCCGTTGCCGACCACGGAGATGAGGTCCATCTCCGGGGACGGGTGGAAAACGCACTGGTGGACCGGGTTGCCCTGCTGGTTGGTCGTGCGTGACGAGAAGAGCAGCTTGCCCTTCTCCCACAGCCACAGGACCAAGTCCCAGTCCGGGGCTCCGCCCTGGAATGGCGAAGCGGGCACGTGGGCGGCCGGTGAGCGCGTGCGGCGAACGAAATGCAGCGGCGGAGGAGGGGGCGGGGGCAGGCCGGGGTGGAGAGGGGGCTTCGCGGGGAGCGCAGCCGCGGGGTGGTTCGCGAGCTCTCGAGGCGCGCGTGGGCGGGCGGCGGGGCGGGCCAGCGGCGTTCCGGGCGAGTTTGCGCACCTGCGTGATGAGGTACTTTTCATCGGGGCTGAACGCCACGGAAACGTACTCTTGCGAGCCCGCGACCGAGGAGACCAGGATTTTACGCTTTTTCAGCGTCTGGAGATCGTAGATGGTCACGAAGGCCTTCTCAGCCCACTCCGCGACGGCCAGGTATTTCCGGCTCTTGCTGAGCGCGAGCGAGGTGATGCCCCCGGACTCCGGGTTGCCCGGGAGGATCTTCTGCGTCCTAGTGTCGGTGCAGTACAGCACAATGTTGTGCCCGGAAGGGTAGATGACCGTCGTCTCGTCGACATGATGCACGTTGCTCGCCACGTCGCCCTTCAGGCCGAAAATGTGCTTCACGCTGATCGGCTGGACCGACATCCCGCCCCCTCAGCGACTCCCGAGAACGGAAACGGCCGCCGGGACTCGGCAAAACGCGCACGGCGCCTCCTGCTCGGAGGAAGCTCGCTGTCGCTCACGGCGCGTCACCCATGTACGGATCGACGCGCAAACGGCCGCCAACGCACACTCGCCGACGCCAGTCGCTTGCGCAGCAACCCCGCAACAGCTCTGCCGCCCGCGCGCGCCCCGGCAGCCCCACGTCGCCGCGCCAGCCGCCAGTCCACGCAACACCCCCCCCGGGGGTTAATTCGCACGTGGCGTCAGGGGCCGCCCTCACACGTCGCTGAACTTCTTCTCCCAGGCCTCGTCCGTCGCCGGCGACTCCCCCTCGACCGACTCGATCGCGAACTTGCGCCCGACGGTGGACGCTGGCAGCGTCAGCGCACGCACGCAGGCCTCGGCGACGACCACGCGCGACGTCTCGCCGCGGAGGTCGTCCTGCCCGGACAGCACGACGGCCTTGCGGCTCCCGGACTTGCCCTTGATGAGCGTGTTCAGGTCGTAGCTCGTGTACGGCCCGTCTGCACGCAGATCGCCACACCGCAGCGCCGACAGTTGGCGCGCCGCACAGACGCGCGCCTCGGGCCGGAGCGGGGGATCGGAGGCGCTCGCGTCGCCGGCGGCCGCACGAGCGACGCGCCGACGCGGTTTTCGCGTCCGTGCGCACGAAGGGGGGTGTTTTGCCATGGCGTGGGGGGCGTGCGATTACCTGTGAGCCGCGAGGGCCGGAAGATGGTGTAGGGGAGGCCGGAGCCGACGAGCTTCTCCTCGGACATCGCCTTGTACTTGAGGACGCCGAACGCATTCAGGATCATGAAGGGCCCGAGCTGCTTGTAGCGTTCGACGCCCGCCGACGTCACGAAGACAAAGCGGGTGCCGGGCGGGGTCGCGTTGATGACCGCGGAGGCCGCGACGAGGTCCGTCTGCTCGGGGCCGTCCTCCTTGTTGTCGCCCCAGCGCGCCGACGGAAACGCCGTCGTCCCAATGGAGCAAATCACGGCGCTGACGCCCTCCATGCACTTTGACAGAAACGCGGCGTCGCGCAGATCGCCCTCGGCGATCTCCATCTGGTCCGCGAGGTCGCCGAGGCGCTCCTGGACCTTGGCGGCGCTCCGGGCGATCGCACGCACGCGGTAGCCCCTGCGCGAGCGGGGGCGGAGCACACGCATGACCAGCGGGCTCGCGGGGCGTGGTAGCGGCACGAGGGTCAGCGTCACAGGCCGCGATGCGCTGTTTGCGGTGATTTGAGCCTTCTTGCGCGAGATGGGCGAGGTTGGCGTCGAGAGAGCGGCGCCCTGGCGCGTGCTGTGTGTACGGGCGCAGCGTGGGAAGGTTTCGTGCCTTTCGACGAGCTTGGCGCACGTGATCTGCCCGACTCCGCCCGTGGCGCCCGCGACGAGCACGAGGGATCCGGGCTCGACGGGAGGCGCCGAGGTCGCGTCCACGTTCGCGGCGGACACGACGGTATTGCGTACGTTGGAGATACCTATGCCGCGCAGAGCGGCGCCGGGGCGCCGCGAGGCGATCGCTGTGGCTTTGCGGGGTACATGGAAACTGAAGGGCGCTGGCATCGGCAGAGATGGGCGGTGGAGCCCTCGCGGCGCGCCAGCGCGCGCGCTGTGGGTGGCGCAGCGCAGCTCGCTGCGACAGAGGACGCGCATGCTGCTTGGCTGCTGCTGCGAATCCAAGTACCCGCGCAGCACACTGCCAGGAGCCGATCGAGGCTCTCGGAGAGCCCGGCGGCACGATAGATGCGTCAGTCTCGGCTGTGTTGTACTTTCTGGCACACCCGACTCAGGGCCGCTCGGAGGTGCGCGCGGCCCTCGCGCCACGCAAGCCCCAAGCAGCTAGCACACAGCGCATGCACAGGACACTCCGTGCAGCACCGACCGGCGCAGATCTACTCGCATGTTACAACGCGCCGACGACGTCAGCTCGCTCCCTGCGAGAGCCCTCGCTCCATCGCGGTCACCTGGCTCAGCACGACCCCCTCCTCGAACAGCTCCTCCTCGTCCTCGACGGGCCCGAACTTGACGACTCCCCCCCCTGAGTCAGACCCCGTGCTTCTCTGTCGGCCTCTCCACGCCGCGGGGGGCTCGCCCGGACTCTCGCGCGCCCCCGTGAGATAGTGGTCGAGCCACTCCTCGCCGTCGACGTCGCCGGGGCGCCCCATCATGTACGCGCGCTTCGCCGCCGCAGCCACGTCGCCAGCGGCACGCTGCGCAGTGCACACCTCCTCGACGCGAGCTCGCATTGACACCAGGTTGTCGCGGGCGATCGTCCGGGCCACCAGCGCTGCAAGACACCGCGAACACCGCTCCCGTGAGGCCCCCGACCCGCCCGCACAGAGCAATGCAACAACGCATTTTCGTATTTGCGTCATTCCGCGACACAGGCCGCATCGCACCTCCGAACGCCGTCACCTTGCTCCCGGATCCACTGCTCTTCCCGCCATGCTTCGCGCCGGCCTCCGCGCTTCGCGCCGCAACGTCAGGCCCCGCAACACCCCCCGCGCCAAACAAACCGCGCCCCGGCCCGGCGCGGCCCCTGCTCTTGTCCGCGCGGTTCACCTCCGCCGCCACCTCCTCCATCGTCTTGTCCGCGCCGGCGTCCATCGCCGTCTGCACCCGCACCCGGTACTCGTTGTATCTGGCCACCAACACTGGCTTCTTTCCGTCCGTCGACAGCCCGTACCGCCCGAGCGCCGCCCGCAAGCTCGCCTCCTTGTCCAGCGCGAAGTTCCGCTTCGGCACCTTCGCCAGCGCCGTCCCGCGGTGCGCCGCCCGCGGCTTCGCCGCCACCGCGTGCTCGACGTGCGCCGCACCCGCGCCGCCGCCGCCGCCCTGCTTCTCGAGGCACGTATCGACGTGCGTGTTGATCAGCCCCACGCGCACCGACATCCCGCACATCGGACACGCAACGAACCCCTTCGGCGGCGGAGGCGCGTTGCTCCCACCGCCACCTACGATCACCGCGCTGTCTTCATCGTCCTCCTCCTCCTCGCCGCTGTTGCCGCCGCTCTCGCGCTCCGACGCGCGCCCACGGCCGGCCCCGGCGCTCTCGCCCGACGGCGCGGCCTCCTCGTCGCCGGAAGAGACCTCGAGGTAAACCTTGTCCGCTGCGTTTCGTGCTGCAGCGCGCGTGGGTTGCTTGCGCGCGCGCTCCGGCGCGTCCGCGGGCTGCCTGGACCCGGTGCCGCCGCTGCTGGGGCGCTGCTTGCGCTTGCGCGAGCGCGCGGGGGTGGTCGCGGCTGCGGCGCAGGCAGCTGCGATGTTGGTGCGTGCGGCGCCGAGGGCGCGCACGACGGCGGCGAGGCACGTGTTGACGACGAAGGACTCCTCGTCGGTCTCCTGCCGGCACTGCGGGCAGCACGCGCGGCTCTGCTCGTGCTGCGAGACACACATGAACGCAACACCATTCTTGACTCAGTCAGACACAGGGCACAGTCATACTCTGGCCGCGGCGACAGGCGGCTTGCGCTGGCGTGTGTGGCGGTGGCGGCGGAGGATTGCGGCCGCGGCGGACCGGGCGCGGAGGCTCAAAGAGGTGGTGCGGAGGTGCTGCTGTTGCGGGCCGCGTCGCATCGCGCGGACGGCACGCGCCGCGGTGCCGCCGTGTGCGCGGCGTTGCTGGAGCAGTGGGGCGTGCGCGGACCTGAATGAAGCGCCGGATGCAGCCGGAGCAGAAGCTGTGGCCGCAGCGCAGCACTAGTGGCGTACAGAAGGGCCCCTTGCACATAGGGCACGACACCGCCTCCTCGAGCTCCCGCAGGAGCTTCTCCGGAGCGAACATATCTGCGCCGTCCGCCATTGTCGGGCGGCCCTGGTGCCCTGCCGAGCGCGCCGGAGCTCACCACGCGCACCAGCAGCGCGTTCGGTCCCCGAGGGCCCAGGTGTGGCTTTCGTGGGTGGGTTTCGCGGGACCTGGCAGCTTGTGGATGGCCAGATGGCTAGGTTCCGTCGCGGGCTCGAGGCACTGCGTGGCAGCGGCGCGCGCGCAGCGTTTGCACTTCCCGCCTCCCAGTGCCGCCACGCACCGCTACGCGCGGCGGTCAATCATCGCTTTGACGTTGTGGCACGGGACTTTCTGGCAAGAGCTCGCGGTGGTGGCCCCGTGCGGGCGTCGGGACCCCCCCATATCGTGGCGCGGGACGGTAAGACTGGCTTTGAGGACTCACGTCAGCTCCAGGCCTGCGGTGGCGCACATCGGCGTCGCTACGTGCCGCGCTGCGGCCACATTGCTTCGCAGATACATCTAGTTGCGTCCCGCAGTGGCGGTAGTCGGGTCCGTCGGCGGTGGCGGTCTAGCGCGTCCTTTTTAGTCGAGCTGAATTGCAGCCCAAAATCGAACTTCCGGCGTCGTGCGCCAGTCCGACTGACCCCGTCTCCGCTCTTTCGGGCGTTTCCAGCAGAGACGTACCCGGCCCTGCGTACGCCGCGCCGTCAGTCTCGTTCCTCGCGACGGGCGCGCCGTGTGCACGAGACACGAGCCCGGGCACAGGCGCGGACGGCCGTGCGCGGCCGCAGCGGGGGCCTGAGCGCCGCGGATCACACGTGAGGGCAACGGGAACATGGCGGGCTACTGGGACGTGGAAGCAATCTTCGCGGAGACGCACGCTGTCCCGGCGAGGTTCTCGGTTCCTGCGCCAGGCCTTGGGCACGCGCTAGATGGCGACCTGGGCGACCACGACCTCCCGCAGGCACGCGCGCCGACGCCACGCCTCCACCGCTCCGCCGCCGCGCGACAGCGAAGCCCGGAACCGCCCTCTTCACATTCGAATTTCAGCCGCTGGACTGCACACGTTTGCGCCGCGCACGCGCGCGCGCTGGCCGGCAGCGCTCGCGCCCCCGCAGCCCGCGCGGCCCCCCGCCCTCGCTCACTCCCTCAACACCCGCTCCGCCTCGCAGGGCACGCGCGTGAACCTGCCCCTGTGGCTCGTCCCGGAGCTGGCGGCGCGACACTTCGTAACGGTGCCCGCGATGCCCAAGGTGCGCGCTCCCGCCCCACGCCCGCGGCCGCGCCGCGCACTCCTCACCACTATGCGTCACCACGGGCGCGGAGAGCCGTCCGCGCGCCCGGAAACGGCCACAACGGGCGGGTCTCCTTGAGCGTGACGCATCAGCAGCGCGTTGCGCGCGCGCGGGGCGGCGGCTCGCGTGAGCGCGTGTTTGTGGTTCGCGCGCGACGCAGACGTTCGGGAAGGCGGTGCGGAGGGACCTGGAGGCGGAGTCGGCGGCCGTGGCGCTGCGGTCGCGATGCCCGCACTTTTACACTGCGGCAACCAAGCTCGGGGCGGCCGCGCCGGGGCTGCGCGCGGACGCGAACGACCCGGACGAGAAGCCGCTGCACGAGTTCGCGCTCCTGACGTTCGAGGCGCGCTTTCGGGGCCTCGTCGCGCAGTCGTTCAGGTGAGAGGACACGCGCCGTTGCTGTGCGCGTTGCCCCTGTTGCTGCGGCGCCGTGCGGCGCGCCGCTGCGGTGCTGCACGCGCCCCGGCGGCCGCCGCGGCCCGCGCAGAGGCGCAGCTGCCTCCGACGCGGGCTGACACGCGGAGGGGGTGTGGTGTGTTGTGTGTGCAGGGGGGACAGTTTGGGGGGGTGTGATCCGCGGGTGCTGCGGATGACGAACGAGGAGCGGCGGCTGCACGACCTGGCGCAGATATCGCAGCGCATGATCAAGCACTGGGAGTTTGACGAGCGCCGCATGCATGCGTACAAGGAGCGGTCGCGGCGGCCACTGCTGGGGCTCGGGAACGCGGGCGGGCGGGAGAAGCGGCCGCGGCACTGACGCGGCGCGGAGGGCTGCCGTGCGGAGCGCGTGTGACGGCCGGACGCGACGTGACGTGCGCGTCGTCGCTTGCCTGTGGGCGCGGTGGTGGGCGCTGGGGCGCGTTCGCGGGATGCAGCGGCGTGCGTGGCGGGTGGGGACGCGCGGGCAGCAGAGCGCGCGGCTGCGCTGTTGTTTGGCGGCGGTGGTCGAGGTGTGGTGCGGCGGATGTGTGTTGCCGGTGTTGATGGTGGGGGGGGAGTGTGGGCGGGACGGTGGCGCTGGGGCCGGGCGGCGCGGGTGGTGCTGCGGCGCTGCGGGGGCGCGGGGTGCGGCGGGCGAGGTGTTTGGCCCTGGGGGGGTCGTGGATGACCTGGTCAGTCCGGTGTGTCCGTGAACGCCGCGGGCTCGATGCGCGCGGAGGGCGCGTGCGGAATGTATTTGAGTGATAGCAGCGAGCGCTTTCTCGTTGGCATTGCGGGCACGCCGGCGTGGTTTCGGAGGCCCTGCGGCTTTCTCTCCGTGAGCAGCCGGGCGCTGACGGTCCCACGGGGCGGCTGCGCGCCCTGCGACCACACGATCCCGTCAAAGTTAACGCAAATAATCTCTGAGAGTACATAGCCGGACCGGCGGTGCGAGGCGCAGCACGCCGTAGCGAATTCGCCTAGCTCGCTGCACTGGCGGCCAGGCGCGCCGGCAGTGGAGGCGCCCGCGGCCCTGAAAGGGGCTGCGGCACTCTGTAGCACACATGGACATCCAGAGGCTCTGCGAGTGCCTGCAGGCGGCCACCAGCGCCGATGCAGGCACCCGCAAGCAGGCGGAGGCTGCACTAATGGAGGTGCGCAGCGCCCCCGGACGACACAACCCCCCACACAAGGCGCCCCACGCCCCTTCTCGACCACCTGACTCGAGCTGGGCAGCCGAAATCATCCGTCACGCTCCCTGCGCCCGCTCCAGCCCTCGCCCAGCCCCCACGGCCCAGCCCGCCTCTCCGGGGCCGCCCCACGCCGCCACGCGCGCGATCTCGATGCGGCGCCGCGCCCGCAGCGTCCCCCAGTCGAACACCCGTCGCTCGGGACGCCGCCACCGATGCCGCGGCCCACCCGCCGGTCGCCACCGCCCCCACTCCGCCACACGCCCTCCCGCGCGCTCGCAGGGCGGGAACATGAACGGATTCACGCCCGTGCTGCTCCGCGTGGCGTGCGAGGAGTCCGTCGACCTCGTGACGCGCCAGATGGCCGCCATCACCTTCAAGAACACCGTCACGCGGCACTGGGACCCTGTCGCCAAGGACGTTCAGCAGGCCTCGGACGGGGACAAGGACGTCATCCGAGAGGCGCTCATGGGCGGCATCGTCGCGTCGCCCGCGCAGGTGCAGTCGCAGCTCGTCGAGACGGCCCGCCTGATCGTCTACTGCGACTTCCCAAGCCAGTGGCCGCAGCTCGTGCCGCAGCTGCTCCAGGCTCTCGAGAGCGGCGACGAGACGCGGATACACGGCGCGCTGCTCGTGTTCCGGACAGTCGCGCGCAAGTACGAGTTCCGGGTGCGTTCCCGGGCCCCCGCGCTCCCCGCCGCGGCCGCGCGGCGCGCTCTCGTGCCGCGCTTGCGCCCCGCGGTCGTGCCGCGCGTGGCTCGCCTCGACCGCCGTCCGTGACGTGCGCGCGCTCTCTGCCACCTGCAGAGCGACGAGAACGAGAGGATGGAGGCGGAGCAGGTCACCGGGGCTCTGATGCCGCGAATGTTGGAGCTGGCGAAGCACCTGATGCAGTCTGCGAGCTCCACGAAGCACATCGACATGCTGCGGATCATCCTGAAGAGCTTCGTGTCGCTGTGCTACTCGTCGTCGCCGCAGACGCTCGTCCGGGACGGGTCGCTCGTGCAGTGGCTGCAGCTGGCGCTGGCGGCGCTCAAGCTGCCGGTCCCCACGGAGGGGCAGCCGGAGGACCCGGACGAGCGCGCGAAGTGGTGCTGGTGGAAGCTGAAGAAGTGGGCGATGCAGGTCGCGGTGCGGTTCTACTCGCGGCACTCGTCCGAGAGCGTGGGCCAGCCGCGCACGCAGGTGCGACGCAGACCGGGCCGCGGGAGGACGAGCCGGCTGCCGGCGCGCGTCCTCGGCGCTGCCAGACGGGTGGCGTCACCCTGCTATGTTGCCGCAGTGGTGCTTGTTGTTGATGTTGTGCGCCAGTGTTGCGTTGGTAGGTGTCGTGGTGTGGCGGATGACGAAATTCCTGAAAATCCTTCTCCGGACTAGTGTCTGACGAACCTTCGCTGAATGAGTATTTTTTCAGGCTCCCACCGACGCCACACCCGACACACGCACACGCACTCACCCTCCGCCCCCGGCGCCCCAGCGCCCGGCCGCCGCACAGACACTTCGCGCAGCATCCCGCTTCAACCCCGCGCCCTCCCATCCACACCCGCGCTTCCTTCCATCACACCCCCCAATACCCCCCCCCTTTCGCAGGAGGAGAAGGCAGAAGCTGAGCTGTGGAACGAGCAGTGCATGGTCCCGTTCCTCGAGGCGTTCATGGAGCAGGCGGCGGCGCTCAGCCAGGGCGCCTACATATCCCCGCGCTGCACCAACCTCACGCTCGTCTTCCTGACCAAGTGCCTGTCGCGCGGCAACGCCTTTGCCGTGATGAAGCCCCACATCGAGGCGCTCGTGCTCCAGGTGCGGCGCCCCGTGTCGCCGCGCGGCCGCGGGAGCAGTGAAGAGATTCTCGGATTCTGACACCTCTTGTTTGAGGGGGTCTGTCAACAGTCCCCCGCTGAGCACAGCAATTTCCGAAAGGCTAATCTGAGCTCCCCGGCCGCACCCGCCCGTCGCCACGCCCGCCCCGACCTCCACGCACGCCCCGCGCACACAAACCAGCACCCCCCTTCTGACGCAGGTGGCCTTCCCGCTGCTGGCGTTCAACGACTCGGACGCGGTGCTGTGGGAGGAGGACCCGCAGGAGTACATCCGGAAGGGCAACGACGTCATCGAGGAGTTCTACTCGGACCGCAACGCCGCGGCGTCGTTCCTCCAGGACGTGGCAGAGAAGCGCGGCAAGGCAGCGATGCCGGCGCTGATGCGGCAGATCGTGGAGATCTTCAAGGCGCACGAGTCCGCGACGGCCGTGGGCAACGTGCCCGTGCAGGTCGCGCGGGCCATGGACGGCGCGCTGCTGGCCGTCGGGTCGCTCTCGGTGCGCTGACCCGACCGCGAATGTGCGAGTGCGCTCTTTTGCGCCCCCCGCGGCTGCTGTGGCCCGAGGCGGCGCGTTGCGCGCGTGCGCGCGTCCGCGGGGGTGCAGCGGCGCGTGCTGCGTGGTTGGTTTGCGTCCGACTGCTTTTGGTTGATGCGTGCGGCCGAAGATGCACAAACAAATTGACAAGCATATATCCGACGCCTCGTTGCGGGGCCGCGGCCTCGCCGGGCACTGACGGACGAACTTTCTACGCTGAGGCCGTCCGTCCCTTGCCGGGGCGTTCCGGGCGCCTGCGCGGCCCGTGGTGGGCGGTGACGACAAAAACTCAGTATCTAATCAATCGGCAATTTCTGAAAAGCCGTGACGAGACTATCTACGACGGTAGCCGAGCCCACCACGAGGACCCATATCAGGACGCACTCCTCGCGCCTAGCGCGAGCGCTGCGGGACACCGCCCCGCGCTTCCGTGCCCTTCTTCAGTGCCCTGCACTGTTTCACACGCTACTGCTTCCACGCGCGCACTGTTTCTTTCCAGTGCTGCCTGCTCCGCTGCTCTTCTCTTCTCTGTCTTTGAGTGCGTGCGTTGCTGTGGAGTGTGTGTGTGTCGTGGGGCGTGCGGGCAACGTCGCGGCAGGAATGACGACAACTTTCTTGCCCCGTATGATCGACGCTGATTCCAAAGCAAGCTGTAAGGGTGCTTCGCTGGCACCCGACCAAGCCAGAAACCACTGACCTCCGCAGCCCGCAACCGCCCCGCGACACACACACACAAACACCCACACCAGCAACGACCCCACTCAACACATCTCAATAACACCCCGCCAAACCGCACATCGATTGCCCTGGCACGGCGCGCCACGCCCACGACGCAAGCGCGGCGCCGGCCCCCCTCCCTCCGCAGAGCTATCTGAGAAAGAAGAAGCAGTACAAGGACTCTCTGGAACCCATGTTGCAGCAGTACGTGCTGCCGTGCTTCCAGTCGCAGTACGGGCACCTCCGCGCCAAGGCGTGCTGGGTCGCCGGGAGCTTCGCGGACCTCAAGTTCCCCGAGGGCGTGGGCGTGGGCCGCACGTTCGGCGCGATGATGTCGGCAACGGTCAACGCCATGTCCGACCCGGAGATGCCCGTGCGCGTGGAGGCGTGCATGTCGGCGCGGTGCTTCCTCGAGGAGGTTGAGGACGTCAGCGTGCTCAAGCCCGCGGTGCCGCAGCTCCTGCAGAGCATCCTCCAGGTGCGGACTGCCTGGTGACTGCTGTTGTGCCTGCCATGGTGTGGGGGGTGTGTTCCGAGGCGCCGCCGTGCGGGTGCGGGCGTTCGCGCGGCAGCGGGCCGCGGTCGGCACTGATGAACGACATAAATAATCAAGCTCAACAGATCTGAGCGGGGCTCCGGCCCCGAGACGACAACTTTTGTCCCGCTGTTCTGAGCCACCGGACACCGGACACCGCACCGCACCGCACGGCGCCGCGGCGGCTCTGCTCCCGCCACGGCGGGAGGGCGGACGCGGGCGCGCGGCCCCCCGTCGCCTCGCCCGACGCCACCCTCCTCCCCGCACCCCCGTTCCTGTTGCCGCAGTCGCCGCGGAGCCTCCGCAACCGCCCCGCCCCCCACTCCCCGCCCCCGCAGCTCATGTCGCAAGTCGAGCACGAGGACCTCGTCGTCACGATCGAGGCCCTCGTCGACCGGCTCGGGGAGGACATTGGCCCGTTCGCGGTGGAGCTGTCGCAGCACCTGGTGACGTCGTACCGGCGGTTCATCACGCAGGAGGCCGACGAGGACGGCGAGGACGGCGTGCTGTCGGCGTACGGGTGCCTCCGTGCCATGACGACGGTGCTGGACTCGTGCGGGTCGCTGCCGTGGCTCTACCCGAACCTCGAGGCCGTGATCCTGCCGGTCGTCGAGGGCATCGTGTCGCAGCGCGACGGCAGCGACACGATCGACGAGGGCGTCGAGCTGCTCACGCTGCTGACGTACCACGGGGCGAAGCCGTCCCAGGCGTGCTGGGCCATGTGGCCGCACCTGGTGCGCATCGTGCAGGAGGTCGACGCGGAGCACTTCGAGTCGATCCTCGCGCCCATGGACAACCTCATCAGCCGCGACACAGAGGTGCGCCGCCCCTGCGCGCGTGCGCAACGCGCAGCCCGTCCTCGCTGAATCGACCGCGCTTCCGCCGGCGACGCGCGACCGGACGCCTTCGGTGGACGGTTGGCTGGTTCGCAGCCGCCTGGGCTGTGCGTTCCTCGCGGCACACGTCGTGAGCGACTTGGTATTTGTGTCTGTTGGTTGCAGCACTTTCTGTCGTGCAAGGAGCCAGACTACCTGCAGTCGTGCTGGGACCTGGCGCAGTGGGCGCTCGACACCGGCAAGGGCCTCAGCGAGGACGCCATGATCCCCGCCTGCGAGCTCCTCAACGTCGTTCTCCAAAACTGCAGGTGGGTGTTTCGAAACCCCCCCCCATCCCTGCTGCCAGGCCTCGTCCCCGCCCGCCTCGCCGCCCCCACAGGCCGCAACTTTTTGTCAAACTCCGGGGGCCGCCGCAGTGGCTTCCCGCGAGCCGCGTGTTGCGCAGACGGACTCGGGAGGCTCCCTGACTCAGCGGGGCGCCGTCAGGCACCTCGCGTCACGGGGGCCTCCCTACACGCACGCAGCGACCACTGCGACGCCTCCCGCCCTCCATTCCCCCCCGTTCCCACGCTTCGTTCGCCGACCGATACCGCCCTGGACGGCTTCCGACGACGTGTTCTCCTCACCGCGTCGCACGTGCCTCGGTCGCTGACCTGTGCAGGGGCCGCGTGGACCACATCGTCGGCCCGAGCCTGCAGCTCGCGCTCACGATGGCCACGCAAGCGGCGCCGGCGTTCCGCCTGCTCAAGGACGCGTGCATGCGCACCGTGAACAACTGCGTGTACTACTCGCCGACGCTGGCGCTGGGGTACCTCTCGCAGCACGGCATGCTGCAGGCCACGCTCCAGACGCTCTTCGTGCTCATGAACGCCAAGAAGAAGGGCGGCGCGCCCGCGCACTTCGCCAGGAACCGCGACAAGAAGGTGCTGGCGCTGGCGCTGTTGGGCATCCTGGGGCTGGGCGACCAGGAGCTGCCCGCGGAGGTGGCGTCGAGTCTGGGGATCGTGTTCCAGGTGCGGGCACGCCTGCGCGGAGCCGCGGCCGCTTGCGGCCACCGTTTGCGTTTGGTTCCGTCCGTTTGCGGCGGTTTCACTTGGGCCGCTGTTGTTGTTGTTTCGGCGCGGCGAGCGTGTGCGTGCGGCCGGCTCCTGGCCGCGGCAGTGTTTCGCGGAGGTCTGGCCAGGATGACACGAAATAGCACTGGGTACTGAGGCCCAATGCGGCTGTGCTGAGTACCTATAATCTCTTCACTTTATGAGCCTCCTCCGCGAACGAACCGCACCCGCCGCCCGTCCCGCCCCGCCCCGCCCGTGCGCAATGACGAAAACTCTTTGACATCGGACTAGAGTTTCCAAGGCCTCGCGCCGTTGACGACCTAATCTCTTCACCCGAGCGCACACCACCCACACCCACCCAACGCCACCCCTTCCCGCCGCGCCCGCGCGAACGCCACGCGCCCCGCGCCTCCCCCGCGCCCCGCAGGGCCTCGTCAACTCGCTCTCGTGGCTCAAGGACGGCATGGAGAACGCGAAGCTGCTGGAGGAGGACGACGGGGACTCGCAGGACGACTACACGACGGAGGACGAGGACTTCGACCCGAGCGGCGAGGGCGAGCTGCGCGACCTGGACAACACCCGCGCGCTCGAGCGCGAGCACCGCCGCGAGGAGGCGGAGCACTTGGTGGAGGAGGCCTCGGACGACGACCTGCTCGCCATCTTCCAGGACATCGATGATCTCGAGGACGAGGTCGAGGGCCCGCTCGACGACGTGGACCCGTTCATCATGGCCAGCGAGCTCCTGCGCGCGATGGAGGCGCAGCACCCGCAGCGGCTCGCGGCGCTGATGGGCGCGCTGCAGCCCGTGGACATGCAGCGGTTGCAGGAGGTGGGGATGTACGCGGACGTGCGGCGGAAGGAGATCGCGGAGCGCGCGCAGGAGAAGGCGAAGGAGGCGGCCAAGCGGGAGGCGCAGGCCCACGCGCATGGCATGCACGGGTGACGGGTGAGGGGTTGCGCTGCTGGGCGGTTTTTCCCTGCTCCGTCGGCGGCGCGGCGGATGGACGGTGTGAGCTGTACGAGACGAGACGTGCGGAGAGGTCTGGAATGCAGTCGGGCTGGGTGGGGTTGTGCTGACGTGTTTTCTGGCGTGCTTTTGCTTGCTTGGCAAGTGGCCCTGATGACAGAAGTGCTTCGAAGGGGTTGCTCCTTCCCCTGTATCACGGCTTGGTTTCGAGCGACGCGCGGGCTGTGGTGCCGCCGCGCCGCGTCTGCACGGCCCGTCCGACGTCTCGTGCCGCCCTGTGTGTACTGGCCTGACAGCAGCCGGGTCGAGCCGCGGGGGAGTTTCCGAGGGCCAGGATAGGTGGCGCCGCAGCCGTCGCGATCCAGTGGCTCGTTTGGATACACCTGACGGGTCTATGCAAGCAGCTCTTGCTCGGGGCGCTCGCTTGTGTGGTTGGCGCACAACTGGGAAGGCCTCGCGGCACCGCAGCACCGGGGTTCTGGCGGCAATGCCGCCCCAGACGATCAATGTGGGGCCCAGCCCCTCTGTCGAGGAGGCCAGGCTGCTGATCAGCGAGCTGTGCGCCGACTTCTACAAGTGGGGGTGGGCATCAGGTGCGGCCGCGGCCGCGAACGCGACGATGCTGGGATGCCCTACGCTTCCCTGTCTCGTTCACAGCCAGTGTCTCCAGCTGAGGGGGGCAGGCTTGATCCAAGCCGTCGTGACCGCGCAGCTACGCGGCGGTTTCCCCTTGCTGGGGTTTCTTGGCCACACACGCACCTGCCAACGCCGATCTTTGGCGGCTTCGTATGCTATTCCGTAGCACAACTTTCAAAGTACGCGGGAGCTCCGCGTCACCGTCGAACGGGACGTTCTCGGCGCCCACTCGGCCGCTCCCTGCCTGCGCTGTGCAGGCACCGGCGGAGGCATCTCCGTGAAGGCGGCGGACGGACGCATCGTCATGGCGCCCTCCGGCGTCATGAAGGAGCGCATGCAGCCGGAGGACATGTTCGTCCTGGACTCGGACGGCAACGTCATCGAGGAGCCCGCGCCCAAGTGCGCTCACCACCCCGCCCGCCACCCACTCTCCTGCCCATCGTTCCCCCCACCGCCACCACGTATCTTTTCCGCAGAGGATTCCCCATCGCACGCGAGCGCATTCCCGCGGAAACCGCCCCGCTGCTCCCCGCACGAGCACGTCCACCGGCGTAGCCAACCTCCCGCCCGCCGCGCGCGCCCTGCAGGCACGGCAAGCCCCCGAAGCTCTCGGAGTGCTCGCCGCTCTTCATGTCCGCGTACAAGCTCCGCGGCGCCGGCGCGGTCATGCACAGCCACTCCCTCAACGCCGTAATGGCAACCATGCTCGACCCCTCCGCGGAGGAGTTCCGCGTGACCGAGCTCGAGATGATCAAGGGCATCATCGGGCACACGTACTTCGGCGGGTGCTCCGTCCCCATCATCGAGAACACCGCGCGAGAGTGCGAGCTCACCGAGCGTCTGCAGGCGGCAATCAAGTTGTACCCTGAAGCCAACGCGGTGCTGGTGCGCCGGCACGGCGTGTACGTGTGGGGGCCGGACTGGGTCAAGGCCAAGACGCAGGTGCGCGCTGCTGCGGCCGCCGCGCGAGACCGAGGCACCAGGGGTTGTTGCGCTTCTCTCACTGCTTGCTCGCGCGCGCGCGTGCGGTGGTTCGCAGGCCGAGTGCTACGACTACCTGTTCCAGGCGGCGCTTGAGATGCGCAAGCTCGGCGTGGACGCGAGCGTGGCTCCGAAGCAGCTTGTCGATCCCGACGGCGTGATTGCGCGTGCCAAGGAGCAGGAGGGCGCGAACGGGCACGCGAAGGCGAACGGCTCGCGCAAGCGCCCGCGGTCGGCCGTGCGCCCGAAGTGCGTCGTGCTGGACATCGAGGGGACTATTGCGCCGCTGACGTTCGTGTCGGACGTGCTGTTCCCGTACGCGAGGGCGAACCTGCGCCGGCACCTCGAGGAGACGTTCGACATGGCGGAGACCAAGGAGGACATCGAGCTAATGCGGGAACAGGCGAGTTTCGCCCGCAAACACCCACATCCCTGAACTCTCAATCGAAAAACACTCAATTAGGGATATGTATCCTTGCGATCGGATGTTTCTCAGCCTGACCGGTCGCTTCGTGCGCGTCTGCGACGCTGCAGTGCGCGAAGGACGTCGCGGCGGGGCTCCCGGGGTGCGAGGAGCTGCCGGGGAAGCGCGCGCCCAAGGCGAAGGTGGTCGCGGCGGTGGCGGCGGCGGCGGAGCGGATGATGGACGGGGACAGGAAGACGACGGCGCTCAAGGCGCTGCAGGGGCACGTGTGGCGGACGGGCTACGCCGCGGGGGAGCTCAAGGGCGACCTGACGTCGGACACGGGTCCCGCGCTGGCGGTGCGCGCCCCGCGCCTCGCGCTGACGTTTCTGCGCCGGATCCGCTGCGTGCACGTGACGGGCAGCACGGACAGCGCGCGGGAAGAGTGCATTGATTCGTGTGCTGATGCGTGTTGCTGCTGTGCGACTTGCACTGTTTGATGGTGTTTCATCCGTTGTTGTGTCTCTCGCAGGCGTGGGCTGCGGCGGGCGTGAAGACGTACATCTACTCGTCTGGCTCGCGCGAGGCGCAGCGGCTGCTGTTCGCGCACAGCAACGCGGGGGACGTCCGGCAATACATCTCCGGGTACTTTGACACCACCAGCGGTGCCAAGGTCGAGGCGGCGTCGTACCGCAACATCGCGCTCTCGCTCGGCGTGGACGCCTCCGACGAGATCCTCTTCGCGACGGACAGCGCCGCGGAGGCCGAGGCGGCGACGGCCGCTGGGTGGCGCGCGGTGCTCGTGGACCGCCCCGGCAACAAGCCGCTGCCGGCGAAGCTGCCGCGCGGCGTCCCGGTGGTCAAGGACGTGACCGGACTGCTCGACGTGTGCTGAGCGCGGGCGCGGGGAGCGGCTGGGAGGGGGTCGCTCAGGAGCGATGATTTCACAAGTGGAACAAGTTCCAAGTTGTGATTTGAATACTGGTTGCTTCCGTGATTCATCAATCGAAGCAGCGGGTCAAGACTGGTTGCCATGGCTTCGAGGTGGCTGTGTCCCGGGTCCAGCAGCACCAGCACCAGGCCGCGGGGGGGTGTGACATCGTCTCTGGCTGACTGGCCAGGTCAAGTCGCGTCAGGGGCCGAGCAGCCCTCGGCTCGATGCCCCGCACCGCCGCGGAGCATGCGGTGTCTGTCGCGATGGCCGCAAGTCGCGCTGCGACCGTGGCGGGGATGCAAGTCAGGTGCTCCTGTGGGCAGCTAGCAGCCCCTCCGGCCTCACGGCTGGCGGGGAGGCGGCCAGCGTCGAGGTCCTCGAGCGTCTCGTTCAGACCGCAGCATGGCAGCGGACAGCGACGTGCGCGGCGATCGTCGCGGCTAGGAGTGCGGACCTGCGCCTCTGCATCCGCTGAAGTCTCGGGCGCCGCGGCGGTCCCTGCAGAGGTCGCGAACAACGTTGCTGTGCTCGAGGACGGAGACGGCAGGAAGGTGTACGTCCTCGGCATCAGCCACGTATCGAAGGTGCGTCGCGCGAGCGGGAACGAGGTCCTTGCCGCAGCGCGTTTGCGCTCTGGTAAATCTGCCGCACCAGCCGCTGCACGCGTCCTCCGGCCGGACGGGCGTCCGGCGGCTGGATCGCTTGCACTCGGAACATCTCGGGACTGACGTGTACGTTCGCGTGTTGGCGCGGAGCGAACGCAGGTGTCGTGCGATCACATCGAGGCGCTGATTCGCGCCGTGCGGCCCGACGCCGTCATGCTCGAGCTGTGCAAGAATCGCACGACGCTCATGGTCGAGCCCGACGTCACAGGAGCAGCCCCGGACCAGCTCTGGCACGCCCCCGCGGTCTCAATCTCCGGCCTCCCCACCGGAGGTGCGCCCGTGCCCTCTACGTGCCTATTTCGCGCGTGAACCCTCCTTCCAACCTGCTTGTTCCGCCCTCAACGGGCTCGCAAGCCCGCAACCTTCGACCACGCGGAAGATCAGGCAACCAGCAATCACATCACATGTTGTCGCTGTGCAGCTGGGTGGCCCACCGAGCAGGAGCTGCTGGCCGCGCTGTCCACCAAGCCCTTCGCGCCGGTCACCCGCGCGACGATGGACGCCGACGCCGCCGCCCTGAGGGCCACGGGCCTCTTCCACGACGTCCGCGTCCGCGCGGGACCTCCCCCGCCCGGCAGCGCTCCCCAGCTGCTCTGCACCGGCGCCGCCAAGGACCCCGCGCCCGTGCTGCCGATGGGAGCCGTCGAGTTCGTCGCGCAGGCCGTCGCCAGCCCGCCCGAGGACTTCACCGGTGCGAGCCCGCAGGCCTCCTTCGTATTCGGGAACGTTTGTTCGTCGCAAGATGGAATTTTCCGTCTTCCGTGCACTTGCGATGTCGCGTGCGCCGTCGACCGCTTCAGCGCCGCTCTCGTTGATCGCAGCGCCGAGCCCGAAGCCCCCGCGGTACCCCGTGGCGCCGGAGGGCACGCGGCCGTGGAGGCTGGACGAGCGCGGCGGGGGTGTGCGCCCCGAGGACACGCCGCCCGCCTGGTCCGAGGCGCTGGCCGGGAAGCTCACGCGCGCGTTCGCGGAGAAGCAGGCCGAGGCGGGCCGCGTGGTCGGCATCCAGCCGGGCGCGGCGTGGCGCGTGGCTGCTGCCGCCGCGGCGCAGAACGGAGCGCGGCTTGTGCTGCTGGGGGACTTGCCCACGTCGGTGACCAAGCGGGAGCTGACCACGGCGCTGTCCAGCGCGATGACGTCGAAGGTCGTGGCCGCGGGGGCGATCGTCGCTGCGGGCGCGGCTGCGGCGAGCGCGCTGCCTGGGGGGGGTGTCGCGGGGCAGGTCGCGACGGTTGCGGCGGCGGTGGCGGCGGGCGGAGCCCTGGTGGCAGCGCCGCTGCTCGGGCCGCTCAACGAGGTGCGAGCCGCAGAGCCGTCGTGGAGCGCTTCGCGCGTCGGGGCGCCCTGCGGCGGAGGGTGACGATCGTTGGCGGCTCCTTGCGCGTGCAGGTCGGGGAGTTCTCGCGGATGTCGGGCCCGGAGATCGAGAAGGCGGTGGCGGTGGGGTCGCCTGGGCTGGCGGGGAAGCGGGAGATGACGAAGCTGTGGGGCGAGGACGCGCTCATTGACTGGCCGGGCGCGCAGGGGCCGATCATCGACGCGCGCGACAGGTGCGGCGGCGTGGCATGGACAGAGCGCATCTGCTGCGCGCCTGGACGGCTCCGGCGTGCTGGGACGCCACTGAGCGAGGTTTCCACTGAGTGATTGTTTTTCCCGCGGTTTGTTTGTGTCTCGCAGGCACATGACGGAGGTGTTGCGGGGCGTTGTGGCGGGCAAGGGAGCGGCGCCGGCGTTCGTTGTGGGGCGCGGGGACGGTTCGGCGGGGGCGTTGATGCGGTACATGATGCCGGAGGGGGCGTCGGATAAAGAGACGTGTCCTGGTGGGTTCGGGGAGGGGTGCTACACGGTGCCGGGCGACGTGCGGACGGTGGTGGCGGTGGTGGGCACCGCGCACGTGGGGGGGATGGTCCGGGCGTGGCAGGACGCGGGCACGGGGTCGTGATCGGCGGCGATGGAACGGACGCGGCTCGGCAGTTGCGTCGCAGGCCTGTGCACGCTGTGACGTACGTGGTGGTCTCACAGCGAGGAATGAATAAGCAGCGATGTCCGCTAGGGGCAGGTCGAAGGCGCGTCGAAGGAGACGGCAGTTTACGCGCCCGTCTCCATAGCGTGGTGGTCCTCGACCGCCCTCAATATGTGCTTGATGATGTAGAGCAGCTGGTTCCGCTGAGAATCCGTAGGCGGCGCAACCGATGACCCGATGAGGTCCGTGCAGAAGATTCGCGATGCGTTGCAGCCGGTGCTCGCAGCCACCTTGCTTCTGAGTTCCTGCGCCGTCCCCTGGCTGAACACTGCTGGGGCGCGGCCGCCGGGCGTACGCATCTCGGCGACTTTCGTGATCAGGATGTAGGTCGCTTTCCCACTGCGCACGCTGTGCTGGTGAATCCACCTGTACTTTTGCATCGTGTTGTAGTCGTGAATCGCATCCCTCGACACTACGAGCAAACATGCGTGTCCCTGCACACATAGGCGACGCGGCACACATGTGGCGTGGGCATGTCGCAGCAGCAGGCGCGCATGCTGTGCATGACGGCAGCCGCATCTGCGCTGGGGCAGCCACTGCGACCCGCTCGCTGCGTTTTCAGCTGAGCCGAGCGATGCGGGCTAGACAGCGCACCTGATTTGAGTGCATCGGGGAGCTGTTCCAGCTCCGGTTGTTGATCCACTCGGCTTCATCGCCCTCCGTGTCACATGGGAAGCAATGGCCCAGGTGGCCGTCCATGAGCCTGTTGAACAGGTCGTGCGGTCCGTGCTCGTCCGTTGCCGCGAAAAGGTCCCCCGACGTGTCGTACAGCCTGCGAAAATCCAGTGTTGAAGCCCGCGTCCTTGGCAACGCACGCACCACAGGAAGGTGCAGCAAAGAGTGCGTGCATCCGCACGACTGGGGCTCACCTCAGCGGGACGGGCCGCCTGTCGGCCAAGCGTGGAACACCCTGCTGCGCGGCGAAGCAATAGTGGCGCACGTGCCGCGTGACGGGCCCGCCCCCCAGGTCGCCCACTGGCGCGCGGCGAGACACTCGTCCCTTCAGCAGCGAATCCAGCGTGTTGACGAGGCTCGACTTGCCTGCTCCCCGGTGGCCGACCAACGCGATGTTCACCATCGCCTCCTCCCTGCGGCCTTTCAAGCCGCGGCCGGCCTTGAGCGCATCCTCCAGGAAGGGTGCGAATTCACGGACGATAGCGTCGCTCTCGGCGGGGTCGTTGACATCGCGCGCCATTTTACACGCTCTGAAAAAGCCCGCAAACAGCATGGACGCAGAAAACTGGAATGAAGATGGGCATTCGCGGAGCCAAAGCTTGCATCGACCCCGGGGGGGTTCGGCAGCGCGTCGGGGCCTCTTGCGCCGTACGACGGGGGTCGACGTGGCCGGAGCAGCGAGGACCTGCACCACTCTCTCTGTCACGTCGGCAATCCGGGCGCGAAAGCCCCGTGTCGGCCAGCGTGGCGGAGATTCGGCGACCGTGCTGCCGGCGCTGGGCCGCGCCGAGCGCCCGTCGGTGCCGGTGGGCGGTGGCAGCGCATGGCCGGGCCATACAACACGCCCATCGCCGTGGCCGCCACAGTTCGGCTCCACGCTTCCCTCCATCTATTCACCGATCATCACAACAGGGCCTGCGCGATATTACGGGGCGTGCTCGCGGCGCCACCCCTCGTGCGCCGTGTTTCCCACCATCACACCCAACACCTCCCCTCCCGCGCCACGCAGCGCCGTCGGAGGACCGCCCGAGCACTCCCGAGAGCTCCTCTCCCACGACCGCGACCACGGCCGCCGCCCGCGTGCGTCCCGGCCGTCCCTCGCTGCCGGGACGACGCGTGGCAACACCGCGACGCGGCCCCACTTCGGAGCCCCTCGCCGGACCCGCGACGAGCACCGCGTCGATTCCCCGTGCGCGCCTCGACAGTCAGCGCCGGCGAGGTCGTCAGGCGCGCCCGTCGGCCGCCCGCAGACGACGTTTCGCGGTGCCACGTTGCACGCCAGAATGCTGCCAGCATCTCCGACGGCGCACGGTCTGCCAGGTGTGTGGCGCGCTCGTGCGCTGCGCAGGTGGGTTGCCGGCAAAAGCTCGCTCAGTGCATCCGACATGGCTCGACAGCCGCGCTGGGGCGCATGAGCGTCCGCAGAGACGCCCCGGGCGCCGCGTTGGACCCGCAGCGCTGCCGTTGCCCTCCTCAGTGGCGAATCGGTGCGGGGATGAGGCTTCGGCGGACCGCATAGCATGTTCAGGGCCATGCCAAGTATATGTACATGCAGTTGGGTGCAGTTGTCGGGGATTTTGCCGCTGCGTGCGATCGTGGGAGGCGGCGAAAGCATGCCACGTGTAACCGCTGGTGTTTTGTTGGAGGTCCCCCCCGGCCGCCCTCCAGGCTTCTAGGGCGCCGCGGCGCGGTGTGTGTGGGCAGAAGAGAGTCTGAGGCACGCTACGATCAAGGCCGCACGCTGTTCGCACTGCTTGCGACGCGCCCGCGAAGCGGAGACTGGCTGAGTGCTTGTCAGAGCCCAGCCCACCGCCGAGGAGAACGGCTGACGCGCCAGGGCTGTCGCCTCGAGCTCATGTCGAATTAATAAATGCAGCGGTATCATCGAACGTCGGGGCTATGCGCCCTCGTGGCGTTCGTAGCGATGCTGGCCATTGCGCAAGCCCAGCCCCGGATCACTAGCCTCTCGTCCGTGGCCGGGAGTCTCGCGGGCGGAACGAGGTGAGACGATATGCTCGCACGAGCTGCTCGACCGCCGGCGATTGAGGCGCAGCCGTGACTCACGGCTCGCTCGCCATCGGCAACGGAACCCCCGTTGCTCGCCTCCTGGCGACTCGCACTCGCCCATGCTTTCCCCGGGCCACAACTTTCACATCTCCCGCTCCCATTCATGTCCCTCGATCTCGCGCGTCGCCCCTGCACGAGCCCCACGGCCCTGCCCTTTTCGTGCGCCCGCACCGTGCCACTTGGGCGCCCACCCGCGCACCGCGCGGGACCCTCTCTCACCCCTTCCGTCGCCACGGCTGCCCGCTGTCCATGCCCCACCTCGGGGCTTCGCACAACCACCTCCAAGGCGCCCGTGGACGTCCTGCCGCGGCCCTCCTGTCCCCGCTCCCGCCGCTCATAACCGTGCTTCCCGCTGCGTCCCCTTACGCTCATTTCCGCGACACAGCGCCCGCCGCTCAAGGCCACCTTGCCCGCCGCATCCCGCGACGGCCAGACCCCGGGATCCCCGACCAGGGCGCCGCAGAGCCCGCCCCCTGTCTGAGCGCCAGATGGCATGGCACATCCCGCCGCCGCGGCCCCACGCACCGCCGCGCACACCCCTCGCCTGCCCCGCGCCCTCATGACACGACGTCCTCCCCGCGGGAGCCGCGCGGAGCCCACGCCATCGCCCGTGCGGCCCCGAATCCGCGTCGCGAGGGCACGGCACGCGCCCACGCCTGCCCGCGCCCGCCCGACCGTCCCCCGCGCCCCCGCCGCGCGCAGGATCTACGTCCGCGGCGAGAACTTCTCGCCCGACATGTACACCGGCGTCAACCGCGTCTTCATCGGCGGACTCGAGTGCACGGTCATCCCATACTACACCTCGTCCGAACAGGTCCGAGCGCGCCCCGCGGCCCCCCGCACCGCACCGCACGCGCCCCCCAGGCCGTCCGCGCGACCCCCCGTGCCTCCCCGCGCCCCCCGCAGATCGCGTGCGACACGGCGCCTTCCACGCGGGAGGGCCGCTTTTCGGTGCGCGTGGACTCGTCGACGAAGAACCCGCTCACGGGCGTCGAGGGCGCCGCGACCTCGAGCGACGAGTTCTGCTGCTTCGAGTACAAGGACTTCTACACGCCCACGCTGATGCGCCTCGAGCCCGACGGCATCCTGGCGGGGGAGCAGGTGACGCTGCGCGGCAACGACCGCGGCGCGTTCGACCTGGACGAGGACAACGGCCTGAACGAGGTCGAGTTCATGCGGATCGGCGACTCCATCTGCCGCGTCGACGAGGTCGCCGACTTCTCCGCAACCTCGGGCCTCTCGCCGGAGGACGCGGCAACCGCGACCGCCGCCGTGGGGCTGCCCGTCGGGCAGGACCCCTCCGGGTTCTACTTCGTGCGGTGCGACATGCCCGGCCCCGGCGACAACGACGCCGCGGTGGGCGGCGTGAAGAACGTCACGGCGCGGTTCATCGGCGACGACAACAACGTGTTCGTCGGCGACGCCCAGGTCCGCGCGACGGACCTGCTGCGCGACTTCCTGGGCCGCCCGTACCGCACCGAGGTCGTGCCGACGGTCGAGGACATCTACCCGCGCGCGGGCTCGCTCGGCGGGTCGACCCCGCTGGTGATCACCGGCACGGGCTTCCCCGACATCCCCCGGAGGGTCCGGGACCCCGAGACGACGACGGTGACGTGGCGCGACCCCGCGCGGATCTTCGTCGGTGGCCGGGAGTGCGTGGTGCAGAAGTCGTCCTTCGCCGAGATGGTGTGCCTGACCGCAAACCAGACCGCGGCGCCGGCCGCGGCCGGCGCGGTGGACGGCAAGGTGCCCGGCGGGCGCGGCCTGCGGCAGCACCGGTACCAGAACATGGACGCGGTGTCGGGGCGGTACTCGGACGCGACGTGGGCCGCGGGGATCAGCAAGACGCTGGGCGCGCCCGCGGCACTGGCCAACATCTCGGAGATCGTGTTCTCGCCGCTCTCGCACTTCATCTGGGAGCCCACGAGCACGAACGACGAGCGCCGCAACTACATGCACGTCATGGAGGCGTTCTTCCAGCCGCCGGTGACGGGCACCTACTTCTTCCGCATGGTGTCGGACGACCAGGCCAAGGTCACGCTGCGCGTCCGGAACGAGACGGGCGGCACGAACGCGACCACGCTGTTCGACGTCACGCAGTGGCGGCGCTACGAGGACTGGGACAGCAACGGCCGCTCGCAGCCCGTGCAGCTCTCGCAAGACGTGCCCGTGCTGCTCACCATGGCCTACCAGAACGGCAACGGGCCCGGACACGGCCGCCTCGGCGTGGAGATCCCGTCCTCCGGCGCCACCGCCGACTCGAAGCCCAACAGGCAGCGCATCAAGATCTCGGCCGAGCGCAGCGGCGCGCTCCTGACGGTGCGCGTGGACACCGCGCCGGCCGGGGCCTCGCAGGTGCCGCTGTGCCTGTTCAAGTCGGTCGGCGGCACCCCGCGGACGCCCGGGCTGATCCTGGCGGACATCAACGCCACGTCGTTCTCGCCCATCGAGAACGAGATCTTTTCCTGGGCCCAGTCCAACACCACCAACGGCCGCCCGGCCTCGAACTACGTCAAGCGCGACCGCGGCTTCGACCCGGCGACCGGCAAGGACTACGTGACGCTCGCGATCAACTGGGACTACGACGACGTCGCGACGGAGGCGTTCGTTGCCGACCCGTCGTGCACGCTGGGCGCCCCCGGGCTGTCGAGCGCCAACGTCAACGTGACGTTCTACCCGGGGCTGCCGTTCTGGGACCCTGCGGCCGACTTCGTCAACCTGTCGTGGAAGAACATCTCCCTCGGCGACAGCAACGAGACGCAAATTTCGCCGCTGGCGACGCGCCGGGACGTCCTGGACGCGCTGGCGCGCATCGGCGTCGCCACGGGCGTCGACGTCGAGGTCGAGCGCGAGCCGGACTGGGGCACGTTCCGCTTGGAGAACATCGAGTTCGCCAGCACGCGCTACTTCGTCGACGAGGTCACCACCGTCACCATCACGTTCGACCCCCTGACGTACCCGTACGCGATCGAGCAGGCGAACGCGTCGATCGCCGGGAACGTCACCGCGATCAAGCCCCGCGTGACGACCTCGGTGCTCTCGACCTTCGAGTCGCTGCGGCTGCTGTTGCCCATCCCAGGCAACATGCTGCGCGTCCCCATGCCGGAGCCCTCGGCGGCGCGCGGATCGGACGTCCGCGTGTACATCAACCAGGCGCTCGCGTCCTTCGGCAACCGCACGCACCAGAAGATGCTCGACTTCACCTACTCGTCGGTGCTCACGCCGCAGCTCACGCAGGTGTCGCCCCAGACGGGCGGGGCCGGGACGGTGCTCACGCTGACCGGCACCGGGTTCTCCTCGGCGACCGCGAACGTCTCCGTGGAGATCGGCGGCGCGCGGTGCGAAGTCACCGCCGCCAGCGCCACGAGCATCACGTGCACGCTCCGCGAGGGCGGCATCGCGGGGCGCCACCCGGTGCGCGTGGGCTTCCGCGCCGTCGGGCTCGCGCGGGTGTCGGACGCGGACCGCGCGAACACGCTGTTCAACCTGTCGATCATGAAGGTGAACGGCGTGTCGCCGACCACCGTCGCCGCCAACACCAAGTTCACGATGCTGCGGATCAACGGCTCGGGCTTCGACTTTGAGGACTGCAGCAAGCACACCGTCCGCGTGTCCGGGTCCGCGCCGTGCCACGTCGTCGGCTGCACGGCCACGTCGGTGTCGTGCCTCCTCGACGCCAGCACCCTCGGCGCTGCCTCGAACCGCTCGGTGGAGGTGTCGCTGCGCGGGGAGACCGAGGAGGTGCACCCGATGGACCAGTTCTTCCGCCGCCGGCTGTCCGCGACGGCGTGGAGCGAGTCCGTGGTGTTCTACGGCATCTCGACCGTCCTCGTCGGCGCCCCCGCGATCACGCAGTCGAAGCCCTTCTCGTACGCGGCCCAGTACTACCGCGCGGGCGTGCTGACGACGCTGCCCCCGGGCGCGCCGCGGTCCGGGTCGCTCCCCGGCACCAACTCGACGATTTCGCTTCAGACGCTGGCGTTCAACCTGACGAACTCGACGGTCGGGGTGGAGAACGGGACGGAGCTGTACATGATGCCCGCGGCGCCGGTGCTCGGCGGGTCGCTCACGCGGCCGTACGGGGCGTTCCAGGGCAAGGCGTGGGAGCGCGCGCGGCTGCGCGTGCACCTCCACAAGATGTCGGGGGACTACTCCTACGTCCTGTGGAGCCCGTCGCTGTTCACCACCGTCAACGGTACCAACAGCACGGCGAACAGCACGGCCGGCGCGAACAGCACGGCCAACAGCACGTCGGCGACCGTCATCAGGGGCTCGGGCCCGCTGGTGCAGATCCCGCTGCTGGAGACGGGGGAGTGGCTGTTGACGGCGCACCTCGCGAACGGCACGATCCTCGCCGCGCCCGAGATCTTCACGCCCTCGATCTCGGTGTCGTCGGTGGTCCCGGCGTCGGGCTCGACGGGCGGCGGGCAGAAGATCAAGGTCAGCGGCTGGGGCTTTGCCACGCGCGACAACTCCAACGGGACGCTCGAGGCGGTCACGATGGTCACCGTGCCGGTCTCGACGACGTTCCCGTCGGGCAAGATCGAGTGCCTCGTCGACCACGCGAAGACGAACGACGTGGAGCTGTACTGCGACACGCAGGCTCACTGCGCCAAGAACGCAGACCGTAACGACCCCATGGCGATCGTCAACTGCCAGCACCTCGCCACGAACCCGGCCCCCATCGACGTCGTGTCGTGCGGGGACAACCTCAGCGTGCAGCGGCGGTTCCAGTGCTGGGGCTGGGACGAGACGGCGCGCGCGAACTGCACGTCGCCGACGAGCTGCCTGTACGCGTACTCGGAGTCGGACACGATGGTCGTCACGCGCGTCATCGCGGACCTCCCCGCGCCCTACACCGGGCGCTACGGCTCCGCGGCGGTGACGTACGGGGGCCTGACGGTGTCGCTGTCCGGCCGCGGCTTCCGGTCGGACTGCGTCGTGTACCTCATCCTCGCGGACGGCACGCGCGTGCAGCCCTCCACGATCAACGTCGTCTCCACGACGAGCATCACGTTCACGGCGCCGGACCTCGGCGCGGGGCAGTACGGCGTCCTGGTCAACTCCCCCTCGGTCGGCAACGCGCTGATGGGCCCCGGTGGCCGCGGCCTGTCGATCGCGTACGCCACGATCGTGACGAGCGTGACCAACAAGTTTGCGCCGTCCCAGGTCGGCCCGCTCGGCTCCGTGGCCGGCGGCACGACCCTGCGCATCGAGGGAGCGGGCGCGGGCTTCGCGTCGGGGGACGCGGACCGCCTGAACACGCTCCTCGCCGCCGGACGCGGCCTCTGGGAGCCCGAGGCGGGCGCGCGGTGGGCCAAGATGAACAACGAGTTCCAGATCGCCGTCGGCAACCTCCCGTGCCGCATCGTCAACCTCACGCGGTACGCGCTGGACTGCGTGACCGACCGCCCGATCGGCTTCGTCACGGAGGAGTTCTACGGCCTGTCGAGCAGCAGGAACTTCCCGAACTTCGCGAACCTGCTGCCCACGTCGTCCGATCTGTCCGACTCGGTGGACGTCACGTGGGGCAGCGGAAGCCCCGTGCCGACGGTCCAGACCGACTACTTCGGCGTCGTGTGGAAGGGCGCGTACCGTGCGACGACCGCGGGCAACTACACCTTCCAGGTCAACTGCGACGACCTTTGCCAGGTGTATATTGACGGCACCGCCGTCTTCAGCGAGGCGGAGCGCTTCGCCACCGTGACGAGGACGCTCACGGTCGGCTGGCACGACTTCCGCATGGAGTACCAGGAGTGGACGGGCTGGGCGCGCTCCCGCCTGTACGTGCGCACCCCCACGGACTCCTCCCCGCGCTCGGTCCCGGGCGAAGTGCTCTCCGCCGTGCGCCCGGGCGTCCCGGCGCCGGTGTCGGTGAAGCTCGGCGGCGTCCCCGCGATCCAGAACTGCACGGCGCAGCGCTGGGACTTCTCGGCGGACCTGTCGTCGGAGGCGTCTGCGTGGTCGGCATCACGCAGGCTGCTCGCGGCGGTGCCCACGGGCGGGCCGTGCTACTTCGAGTACACGGGGCGCACGACGCCGATCGTCAAGGGCAAGTTCCTCGGCGCATTCAACCAGACGGAGATCGACATGGTGGCCAACGCGGCTTCGTGGTCGACGGTGGAGCTGGCGCTGCTGAACTCGCCGCGGCGGATCACGGACAACGGGGATCCCGAGCTGCAGACCGCGGACGACGTCATCGTGCTGTTCGGCAGCCGTCTGAACATCACGGCGCCCACCGTGGCCATCAACGGCACCTTCGGCTGCCAGGTCCTCCGCGCGTCGCAGAGCGCAATCGTCTGCAAGCCCGACCCGCTCGCCGAGCCCGGCGCGAACCTCAACTACAAGATCGACGTCTACTACAACACCGCCGGATACGCGTTCTTCGAGGACTCCTGGTTCAACACCAACAGCGACCGCGACGACCGCGTGCAGTACGTCAAGTACGACACGCGCCTGTACGCCGTCAACCCGCTCACCTCCAAGGGATCGATCCACGGCGGCGCGAGCACCGTCCTCGTCAGCGGCTTCGGCATCCCCGGCCGCATCGCGCTCTCCGACGCGACCATCCAGGCCCTGCCGGCGTCCTTCTACGCAACGCCGCCGCACAAGACGCACAACCTGCCGCCCGCGATCCGCCGGGAGGTGGAGCAGCCCGTCAGCGTGTCGAACGCCGCGGCCGTCCCGGCGCAGCCCCTGCCGTGGCTCGACGGCCACATGACCCAGTTCGAGGCCTTCGTGAGCGTCTCGGGGCCCGACGTCAAGTGCGACATCGACCTGGAGCTCACCAGCACCACGGTCCTGGCGTGCAATCTGCGGGACGTCGCGGGCGTGTCGGGCTCCGTCCGCGTCCGCGCGGAGGTCCGCCGCCGGCGGCCCTCGTCGTCCTTCACCGACCTCAAGAACCCCTCGAGCGACGCCGACTTCCTGCTGAGCAGCGACTGGACGCCGGGGGCGAGCCACACCGCCGGCTCGCTCACCGTGCCCGCGCAGACGAACACCACGATCCGCTTCAACGTGACCGCGCCTGCGCTGATGCCAGGCCCCGTGTGGCGGTTGTGGCTGCGGCTCCAGCGCGCGCCGGGCACGCCGGACGACCTCGGGCAGGCGCACGGCGTGTACGAGTGCGCGTCGGTGTCGTACAGCAACGCGACGGGGACCCCGCAGGTGTCGTGCAACGGCCCCGCGCTGCCCGCCGCCACGTGGGACGCGCTGGTGTACGCGGTGAACGACACCGCGATCCAGACCCCGCGCTACACGCTGTCCGCGAAGAACGAGACGTTGACGGTCGGCACGAAGGCGTTCAACTACACGGTCGGGCACGCGCAGCCCCTGCAGTTCACTGTGCCGCTCGACATCTCGGGGGTGCAGCTGGCGGCCGGCCAGCGCGTGTGGGGCTCGTCCGCCGCGGACCTCGTCGGGTCGACGCGCGGCGGCCTGGACATCTCGATCAAGGGCAAGGGCTGGTCGCTCAACAAGGATGAGGTCGTGGTCATGATCGGCAATGTGTCGGCACCTATTTCGGACCTCAACCTGACGTGCCTGAACTTCACGACGCCCGCGCTGCCGAACGGGACGTACAACGTCTCGCTGACGACGATCCGCGGGGCGCGCCCCGTCGTCGTGGGGGAGTTCAGCGCGCTGGACCGACTCACCCCCAACGTCACGCACGTGGACCCGCACCGCGGCACGTCGCAGGGCAACGAGCTGATCAACGTGTACGGCACGCAGCTGCAGTACACCGACTACGTCGAGATCGGCGACGGCTCGTGGGTCAAGCCGGGCGAGAACGTCGACGGCCGCCTGCGCTGCACTTCGCTCATTGTGTACAGCGACACGCACGTGGCGTGCCGCGTCCCGAAGCCCCCGCGCCGCGTCGCGGGCCGCCTCGAGGTCCGCGCGCACGTGTCCGGCCTGGGCTTCAGCCGCGCCGTCCCGGCGAACGCCACCGCGTTCACCACGTTCCAGTACGTCGACCTGTGGTCGCGCCTGACGACGTGGGGCGGCACGCAGGCGGGCGTCCCGGTCGAGGGCGACTCGATCATCGTGCCGGAGGGCCAGACCCTGGTCATGGACATCTCCCCGCCCAGGCTGCGCCTGATCCTGCTCGAGGGCGACTTGGAGTTCGACGAGGAGGCTGTTCTGCGCAACCAGCCGCTCCAACTGCAGGCGGACTACATCCTCATCCTCGGCGGCGCGTTCCGCATCGGCACGCACAACGAGCCGTACAAGGGCCAGGCGACGGTCACGATGCACGGGCACCCCGAGGACACGCAGGAGCTGCCCGTGTACGGCAGCAAGGTGATCGGGGTGCGACACGGCGAGCTGCTCATGCACGGCATGGAGAAGCGCCCGACGTGGCTGCGGCTGGTCGAGACGGCGACGCCCGGGAGCAACACGCTCAAGCTCGAGAACACCACCAACTGGCAGGTCGGGGACAAGATCGTGGTGGCGCCGAGCTCCATCCACGCGCACGAGGTGGACGAGGTCAACATCACGGCGATCACGAACAACGCGGACGGGACGTCGACGCTGACGGTGTCGCCCGCGCTGCAGTACACGCACCTGGGCGTCGTGACCGACATGGACGGCAACGTCATCACGCCGACGCCGCGCGGGTACATTGACTACGGGCGCAAGCTCCTGGACCACCGCGCGGAGGTGGGCATCCTGACGCGGAACGTCGTGTTCGAGGGCGACGAGTCGAGCGCGCGCTTCCAGTTCGGCGCCCAGATCCTGGCGCACACGCACGGCGCCAAGGGCGTGAGCACCATCCCGCGCGCGGTGAACAAGGCGGCATACCTGAACGAGTACGGTCCGCTCGGCAACCTCGGCGGGCGCTCGCCGCTCAACATCCTCAACGTCGAGGTGCGCAACGCGGGGCAGGCCTTCCGGCTGGGCCGGTACCCGATCCACTTCCACCTCCAGGGCTCGACCAACTCCACCATCCGCGGCAACTCGATCCACCACACGTTCAACCGCGCGCTGACGGTGCACGGCTCGCACGGCGCGATCGTGGAGAACAACGTGGCGTTCAACAACATGGGGCACGCGTTCTTCCTCGAGGACGGCATCGAGGTGGACAACGTGTTCCGCAACAACCTGGGCATGCTCACGCGCCGCTCGCACAGCCTGCTCAACACGGACACGACGCCCGCCACGTTCTGGATCACCAACCCCCGCAACGACTACTTCGGCAACGTCGCCGCGGGGTCGCTGGCGTACGGGTTCTGGTACCGCATGCTGACCAACCCCGAGGGCCCGTCGACGACGAGCCAGGTGTTCCCGAAGTTCATGGAGCTCGGGGAGTTCGTGGACAACGTGGCGCACTCCAACCTGATTTACGGGTTCCGCGTGCACCCGGAGTTCTACCCCTCGGCCACGCCGCAGAACCGCCAGGCGCGCGTGAACTGCTTCGGGCAGGGCTGCAGCTCCAGCTCGAGCTCGTCGAACTCGGTGCCCGCGGTGTTCCGCGAGCTGCGCTCGTACAAGAACGGCATGAAGGGCGCGGTCCTGACGCAGGTCGGGTTGGTGCAGATGAAGAACCTGACCATCTTCGACAACGGCGCGGGGCCGTTCGCGCACGTCGTCAACGGCAAGGACCACGGCGGCGGCATCGAGTTCACGTGGATTGTCGACTACCGCAACCACTGGGACATGCGCCTCAGGGGGGAGTTCGACAAGATGTCGGGCGTCGAGAACGCCTTTGTCATCACCCGCACCGCCGCGGGGCAGGCCGGCACGGCCTCGAACGGCTGGGTGTCGGGCCGCGGGATCCGCGGCATCATCACGAACTCGGCCGAGTCGCCTGACTTCCGCTCGCTGATGTGGATCAACAACGTGACGATGATTGGGTGGACCGGCGGGCAGTACCACGCGTTCGAGACGTGCGGGAAGTGCAAGTCGCAGCAGGGCGGCTTCCACACCTACATGTCCAACGTGACGACGGTCCCGCCGGCGCTGCTCCCGGGCGCGACGTCGGGCACGCGCACGAGCCTGCACGGCCCCTGGGCGTGGTCGTTCCAGGGCGTGCTGTACGACCTCGACGGCACGATGCTCGGCGAGCGCAACCGCTCGCTGCACGCGCCGATGAACATCTTCCGCCCCTCGGACCTCGTGCCGGGCAACCTGAACAACTACTACATCACGAAGCCCAACATTGAGGTTCGCAGGTTCATGCTCAACTCGCATCGCCCGAACTCGATCCGGGCGAACGACCTGATCATCGGCGAGAGCAACGCGACCACGCCGCAGCCCAGGCCCACGTTCAAGCCCTTCTCGAAGTACAACGACGCGGGCTACCAGTTCTACGTGCCCACCACGCACACCGTGCTCCCGGCCAGCGACATCAACGGCCGCCCCACGCTGCCGTCGAACGCTTCCGCCTCGGACCCGCGCGTCGTCCTGCGTCAGTTCGACCTCGCGTGGAACGTCGAGCCCGAGGTCAGCCCCACGGAGTATGACCTCCACCGCATCGACGACGGGTTCGACGACGACCACGTGTGGTTCCGGCAGCGCTCCAACGTCAACTGGACGCGCTGGACGGTCAGCGGGCGCGAGTCCATCGACCGGTACCCGGTCGCCACGGACCCGCACGGCACGTCGTTCTACAACCTCACGCGCGACAACCTGCAGGACGTGAACCTGTACTTCTTGGCGCGCGGCGGCTCGCGAAGCGACCTGAACGTGAACTCGCACATCTGCCCCGTCGGCGGGTGCCCGACCGACACCATCCTGCCCCCCGCGGCCGTGGTGTCGAACGGCACGCAGAAGTGGAGCAGCCTCGACACGTGGCGCCAGCTCGGGCTCACCAACTCGACCGGCGGGCCCCGGCTGCCCGTCACCGGCGACTCGATCACCATCCCGCCCGGGTTCGAGCTGCGCATCGACGTCGACACGCCCGTCATGGAGCGCTTCACGGTGTTTGGCAACGTGTCGTTCGCGCCGGGCGACTGGCGCCTGGAGGCGAAGCAGATCATCGTGAAGGACACCGGCGTGCTCATGGCGGGCGACATCGGCGCCGACGGGCGCCAGCAGGCGTTCAACGGCCGCGCGAAGATCCTCGTGCACGGCAGCCGCAACGTCATCAACCCCCTGCAGGACCGCGAGGTCAACTTCGGCGACAAGTTCTTCGCGGTGATCAACGGCACGGTCATGCTCAAGGGCCGCACCACGGGCCGCCGCTGGACGCGCCTGACGCAGGCCGTGTCGGCCGGCGCGACGAGCCCGGGCGGGCTGGTGCTCAACGTGGACCCGCCGGTCCCGGGCTGGACGGGCTCGAGCTCGCTGCGCGCGGTGCTGACGTCGTCGTTCTGGAACCCGAACGAGGCCGAGGAGGTCATCATCTCCGAGGTGCGCAACGGCGGGAGCCAGGTCGTGGTGCGCGGGTCGCTCAAGAACAACCACCTCGCGAACGCCACGACCGTCGACCGCGTGCTGTACAACCACGAGGCGCTGCTCGCCAAGCTCGGAAACCAGACCATCGTGACGTCGGCGGAGCTGGGCCTGCTCGACCACTCGTCGGTCGTGGTCGCCGCGGCGGACCCCGCGGACCAGGGCTACGTGCACCCCGTGGACGCCTTCACGCCCTTCTTCAGCAAGAAGGACCTGTACGGCGTCAGCATGGTCGTGACGGAGAGCGCCAGGGTGTCGATCGACTCGGTCTACTTCCACCACTGCGGGCAGTTCGGGTTCTCCGAGCGCGCGTGCCTGCGCTTCCACGGTGCCGCGGACCCGGCGCTGCGCACGGGCGGCTTCCTGACCAACCCCCAGATCCACGTGCGCAACTCGGCCTTTGACCACATCCTCGGCGCCGGCGCCCACTTCGACGCGACGTCGGGCGGGATCGTGTTCGAGAACAACGTGCTGTGGGGCGGGTGGGACACGTCGACCGTGATGCTCGCGGGCGGGCGGCGCAACGTCATCCGTGACAACCTGGGTGTTGGCACGCGGAAGATCATGGAGGGCAAGAGCTCGTTCGACCTCGCGCTGCCCGCGGTGTTCGACGCGCAGGTCGCGGGCAACATCATTCAGGGCAACGTCGCGGCGGGCTCGGACCGCATCGGCTTCTACGTCGCCGGCGACAACTGCGGCCGCATCGGCACGCCCGCGCACCGCCTGGCGAACAACACCGCGCACGGCGCCCTGGTCGGCATGATCCTCGTGCAGGGCCTCGGCCTGTGCACGTCCGTCGACGGCTTCACCGCGCATCACAACTGGGACTTCGGGGTCCTCACGATGCGCGGCATCACGGGGCAGGACGTTCACTTCAACCGCCTCAAGCTCTCGGACAACAAGCACGCGGGCATCCTCGTGCTCAAGCGCGGGCAGACGGGCCGCAACCGGCAAGGCAGGGTCATCAACAACCCCATTGAGTGGGACCACAGCGTCACGGTGTCGGACTCGCTCATCATGGGCTACACGTCCACGGCGTCGTGCCAGGCGTGCCGTTCGAACTCGGACGCCGCGTGCCACCAGAACCTCAGCAAGCAGTCGTACCGCAACCCTCGTCAGGACATGATGGGTTTCGTGGCGGCGACGTTTGCGCTCAGCTTCACGCCGGGCCCGGAGATGAAGCCCTGGGACGGCCTCAAGGGGTACCCGACGATCCTCGGCCGCGCGACGCTCGACGGCGTCACCTTCGCGAACTTCGCGGGCAGCGCGTCGGACTACTCGAGCTTCGGCGTCACGTGCGACATCAACGCGTACGCGCTCGCGCCGCACGCCAAGGCGCCCGACGCCTTCCACCCGCACTACCTGAAGAACTCGGCCAAGGTCAACGTGCCGCTCTCTGGCATGCTGAAGATGATCGAGCCGGACCCGGGATGGCGCCGCCCCTCGGACTGCGACATTGCGACCTACCGCCGCAAGGACGGGTCGACGCTGCCGCTCAACTGCGACGGCCTCGAGCACACCTACTTCAAGGACATCGACGGCACGTTCTTCGGGCTCATCGGCACGGTGAACGGCGCGCAGCTCTCGGGCCGCCGCGCCCTGGAGGAGCAGGGCACGATCACGCCTGGCCTGGGCCTGACGCACACGGACCCGAACTTCGACCTCCCGACCTTCCTGGCGAGCGACAGCGCGGGCGGGCCGTGCTACCACTCGGCCGGCCTCGGCGGCGGCGGCTCGCTGTGCGCGTCGGGCTTCCCGCAGGTGACGGCGACGCAGCCCCGCGGCAAGTTCGGCGACCTGCAGCTGCTGGTGATCCACACGCTGGACGTCGACAGCGAGGACCGCAACTTCTCGCCCGTGAAGGTCACCACCGACGGGTACACGGACCTGCTCGTGACCAAGATGGACCACGGCTGGTGCTTCGGCTACACGTGCCAGAAGCGCCTGTCGACGTTCTGGACGTACGTCCCCATGGGCCAGCAGGTCGACGTGAACTTCACGGGCACGCCTGGGAAGTTCATGCGGTACTACCTCCCCGACGCGAGCCCCTCCGCGGAGGTCGTGTTCCGCGTCAACTACTACGAGACGCTCAACCGGTTCGCGTGGGCTGAGGGGTCGCGCCTGTCGCCCACGTCGTCCCTGCCCGCCGTGGGCGACGGCACGCCGTCGGGCGCGTACTTCTGGGACCAGACGAACACCATTTTCACGATGAAGATGAAGGGCGGCGCGGTGGTTGAGATCCGCACGGAGCGCACCGTGAAGGTGTCGCTGCGGCTCACCGTCGACGTCACGGACTTCTACAACCGCGCGGCGGACGTCCGCCGCAACCTCGCGGCGCTCCTCGGCATCCCCGCGGCGCAGTTCAAGCTGGTCAACCCCGTCGCGGCGGCGCGCATGCTGCAGCAGAGCACGACCGCCCCGGTGAACAACGCGCTCAACATCGAGATCTCGGAGCCAGACCGCGGCGTGATCGCGTCGCAGGACGTCGACCGCGCCGCCTCGATGGACGCCGAGGACCAGACCAGGCTCCTGCCGGCGAACGAGACGGTGCGCAACGCCGAGCTCGCGACGGTCCTGACGATCGACTCGCAGGTGAAGGCGGCCGAGAGCTCGCGCCAGGCCGCGGCCGCCTCGTCGGAGAGTGTGTCCACCACGACGCCGGAGACGACGCCCCCCGCGGCGACGACGGCGCCCCCGAACAACAACACCGGGAACCTCGGGTCCGCGCTGGAGAAGCTGTCGACGTCGCTGAACGACGGCGGCCTCGTCAGCGCGCTCGTGGCCATCGACCCGACCCAGTTCGCCAACCTGACTGTGTCCGGCGCGGACATCACCGTGGACGACCCCAACCTCCTGGTCGAGGCCGGGCTGAAGAACGTGACCGACAACGCCACGACGGGCATCGTCCTGACGCCGCAGAACGTCGCGACCACGCCGGCGGCCGCGACGACCGTGCCCAGCACCACCGCCGCGCCCGCCACGGCCGCCCCCGGCACTGGCGGGTCCGCCACCACCCCGGCGGGGTCGACGGCCGTGTCGGCGACGAACGCTCCGGGCGCGACGACCGCCGCGGCGCCCGCTGCGACGACTGCCGCGAGCACGGTGCAGGCGACGAACGGCCCGCAGGGCACCAATGGTCCGCAAGCGACGACCGTCGCCACGCAGGGGCCGGCGGGCCCCCAGGCCACGCAGGCGCCGAGCGCCACGACGCTGCCGGCGGCCACGCACACCGTGCGCGCGACGTTCAGCCTCGCGGGGGTGTCGTCGTGCGCTGGCAACACCACGAGCACCGTCGAAGCGACGGTTCTGGCACAGGTCAACCCGAAGCCGGTGCGCACGAACACGCCGACGTGCGCGGGCGGCCGGCGCCTCGTGATGGAGATGGACAGTATGCGGTACGCCGCGAAGAGCTCGCGCGCGCTCCAGCAGTCGGTCAGCATTACGCTGGAGATGCTCTTCGCCAGCCTGGCGAACGCCAACTCCGCCGGGTCGTCGGTGCAGGCCGCCGTGAACAGCGGCGCGCTCCTGCAGGCCCTGCAGGCCGCCGGCATCCCCGTGACGGGCGTCGCGGTGGCGCTGGAGATCCTCAGCCCGCAGCCCAGCAGCGGCACGCCGCGCGACACCGACGACGGCGTCAACGTCGGCGTGATCGTCGGGGCCGTCGTCGGCGGCATCGCGGGCCTCGCGATCCTCATCGGCATCTTCGTGCTCATCGCCTGGCGCCGCAAGCAGCACCGCGCCCCGTGGACGAGCGTCGGGTTCGGTGACGGTATGAACCAGACGCTGCTGTCCGACCTGTCGGGCGCGCGCGGCGGCAGCAACACGAACCAGGCCGGAGGCGTCATGGCCACCTCGGGCGGCGTCGGCGGCGGCGGGCGCCTGCCGTCGGGCGCGGTCGGCCTCGACATGACGAATCCCACGGTGGCGCCGACGCCGGCGGGCGGGCCGTCCGGAAAGACGTACGACCGCAACATCTCCGGCGTGAACTTCGCGCGCGACGCGTCCGGCGCGTACATCCCCGCTCAGACCGGGTCGCGCCCCGTGAGCGGCAAGTCCAACCGGGTGACGCCGAGCGGGTTCGGCGGCACGATGATGACGGTGGAGACGCTGGACCCGGTCAACACGTCGCAGCCGCGCTCGTCCAGCGGCGCGGTGCGGCCGCGGCAGGACGTCATGGCGCCGAGCGGCGCGTCCGTCGAGGGGCAGAGCGACGACGTGGGCCCCGCCCGCGGTGTGCCGCGCGGCAACAGCCGCCAGCCGCTCGTGCTGCCGCCCCCGATCCAGCCTTCCGGCATCGACCGGAAGCAGACTGAGGACATGGGCCGGAACTGGGAGCCCCCTACGCCTGGGCCTGTCAAGGTGCCCTCGCAGGGCGGCCCCATGTCGCCCGCCGGCCCGTCGCACCCGCTGGCCCCGCTCAAGAGCGTCAAGCTCGAGGAGGACGCCCCCGCGCCGATGCAGCCGAAGATGGTTGTGCCGCAGAAGAAGCTCACGGAGGCGCTGCGCGGCGTCGAGGAGCGCCAGCGGCAGTAGGGCCTCCGCGGCGCCGCAGTGCACGTGTTTCTCAACACGGCTGCACTCCTACACGGGCATTTGTGCCCGCCAAACACAGCATTGAAGGTCTCGTCCCAGGCGACGATGCGCAGGAAGACTTGAATATACCCTAATAGTTGCTTCTCCGACTTGCAACCCCGGATCCGAGCAGGGGGGGGGCGGCGCAGGCCCTTGCTGCTCAAGCCGGGTCCGAAAGGAACAGCTGTCGCTCGCCGCGGATGCCCAGGCATCCACTGCGAGACGTGCGATGTGAATCTACGCCACAACGCTTTGTGTGTCTCCGCTTCGTCCTCGTTGGGCCTCGAAGCTCGACCGTCTCGCCCAGACCTAGCGCCGCGCACGGGGCGGTGTTTCCACGCACGCCACGCACGTGCGCCACGGCTACATCATCAACCTGTCGCCTGCCATTAGTACGGCGTAATAATGCTTCTCCAGCTTGCAGCTTGCTCATCCTGCGTTGACCTCTCGGGAGGGCGCCGTGCGTTGCTCTGTGACTTGCGCTGACCGTCGGCGCGCCGAACGCAATACACCCCGCGGGGTCTGAGGTGCAGACAGTCTCAGAGGTCACTCACGCAGCAGTCTAGGGCGCCTCACGGGCTTCAAGCTGCGTACATCGGTCTTGCTGAGCACGCACACTGTGGCCTTCGGCGTCGCTGTGGGTAGAAACGAGTTCAGCGCGATGGGCGCGTGATCTCAGGGCGACCTGGCGGGGAGCAGCTGGATGGCGGGCTTGGGGCCCAGCACGGCCAGGCTGGGGAAGGGCGCCGAGGCGGCGTTGAGCTCTGAGGCAGTGCCGCTGCTGAGGCAGGGAGATGACTCGTCAAGGGGCTTTCCTGACGCGTATCTGGCCCAGGCGCCACCGCCGGCACTTCCACTGCGCCAAGGGACGCTCGGTGACGGCGCCGACGCCGCGAGCGTCCCCGCAACGTCCGAGGCAGGACGGATTTACCGCAGACATGACGTCTCCGGGCCGGTTACGGGGTTCCCTGGCAAGTTCGTCGCGCTTGCGGGCATTATAAACACCAAGCCAGCGCTGGTGCTCGTGGCGGTCTCGATGGCGGAGGCGTTCGTCACGGCGCAGTCCGGCCTGATGATGGGGAAGTTCTACAAGTGAGCGTCCTTCTCCGATCGACGCGAGCGCTCCATGCCGCTGCTGTGCGCCGTGCGGCCACGTTCCCCCCTGCTGCGCGCTAATGTTCCCCTTGCAGCTCACCCGCGCGGCGCACCGCGCTTCGTTCCGGCCCGCGCAGGGCCCTTGTCGACAGGGACGGCGAAGGGTTCCTCGCGGTGCTGTGGCGCGCCGCGCTTCTGTACGCGCTGACTGCATTCTTGATCTCCATGATGGACTTCCTCTCAGAGCTCCTGGCGCTGCGGTGGCGGGACGAGATGACGCAGGCGCTCCAGCAGCGGTACCTCGAAGACAGCAGGTTCTACCACGCCGTGCGCAGAGTCGACACGTGCGACCAGCGCATCGTGGCGGACGCCAGAGAGTGGAGCTGGTATCTTGGCCAGGTGCGCGAACGGCTGCGTACGGCAACAGAAACCCTCTGCTCCCGCACGTCCGACGCTCTCAGCGCGCCCGCTCTGCCCTTGAACGCCCGCCGTAGAGAGCCACCAATGCGCGTTCTACCGCGTGTGCGCACTTGCTTGCATCTCAACGCGGGTTTGCTGCGCCGCGTGATCCGGCAGGTGGTGAAGATCGTCGTCGCGGCGCCCCTGAAGATCGTCTACTACGCGTGGCTCACGGTCCGCCTCGTGGGCTGGTTGGGCGTGGGCAGCTCCGTCCTGTTCTTCTCCGTCGGAGCAGCGACGCAGTCCGCGGTCGTGCGCCCGATCTCGAAGCGCGTGTACGAGCAGGAGCGCAGAGAAGGACGCTTCCGGTGCGCCCCTAGAGGACCTCGTCGTGTCCGCCGCACGAGCGGGAACGGCACCCGCACCGTTGTTGTTGAGCGCTGGCCATTCCGAAGTCTCCGCGTCCCGGCTGCCCGCAGAGTCGGGCACGTGCGCGTCCAGGGCATGGCGGAGAGCATCGCGATGGTGGGCGGCGGGCGCGGGGAGCTGCGGTCGCTGCAGGGGCTGCTGCGCAGCGTGGTGCAGAACCAGTTCCGCGTCGTGACGTGGCGCTGGCTGCTCGGATGGATCATCAAGGCACGTTGCGTGGCATGGCAGATTGTCTCGCGTGGAATTCCCCGGGCGCTGCGACATCGGATATCGGCGCGCTGTCACGTCCGCGCCAGGCGCAAACGATCTTCTGCGAGTTCTGCTTTTGCTTCCGCAGATGCTGGAGTACGGCGGAAGCGTCCTGAACTACGTCGTGGTGGCGCTCGCGGTCTTTTTGTACCGCTCGGGGGCGCCGGACGGCGCAGACGACCGCGGGGCCGGCGAGATCGCGCAGCTGATTAGCAACTCGTCTTTCGCGACCCTCTCCCTCATATGGAGCCTCACGCAGCTGCTCCGGACGGGCAAGGACGTAGCGCAGCTGTCGGGTCTGACGTTCCGCCTCCACGACCTGGCCGCCGAGCTCGGCCTGGCGTCGCGGGGGGGGTCTCCTGCCCGGCATCAGGACCGCGTCTACGAGTTCGACAGACGCAGGCGGAGCCTCGAGGTCGAGATGGGGTACGACGGAGCCATCCGGGAGGCGCACAGGTGCTCCAACGGCAGCGCGGCTTCCCGGCCCGACTCCCCCGCGCCACCTTTCGTCGGCATTGCACCGTCAGCGGGATCCGCGGGCGGGTGCGACACCCTGCTGCCTCCGACCGCGGCGCGGATCGCGGACACCGACGACGAGCTCGAGGTCTCCGTGCACGCACTGGGCCGCGCCTTCGCGCGGGACCTGCGGGGGGTGTGTCCCGACTTGAGCTGGCAGGGAGCGGGGGGGGACTCAGACGGGGCGCCGAGCGCGCAGGGGTGGGCGTGGCGCCGGCCCTTGGTGGAGCGCGGCGGGCTGCGCGGGCGGCGCGTGCTCGCGGTGCCGGTGTTTCAGTTCGCGCGCGGCGGGCAGAGTTTGGCTCCGCGGGACAGTTTGTCGGCGCAGGAGGCGGACGCGCACGTGACGGAGGTCGAGGCGGAGATGGACCGCATGCTGCGCGTGTTCCTGTCCTTCGTGTCGCGCGTGGAGGCCGAGCTGAAGGCCCAGGGGTTCTGGTGCAGCGGGATCGATCCGCGAACGGGCCTGGCGCTCTCAGGACGGACAGGTGCGCGTCGCCGGGGCCGACGGCACCGTAGCTTCGCGCCCGCTGAGCCACGTGACGCACTCTCGAGGACGTGGGCTCGCTCGCGAGACGTTCAATCATCCATGATCACGTGTGCCGTGTTGTTGTTGCGATGCGCAGGTGCGAGGTACAGCGAGGTGCGCGGTGCGCAGGCGCTCCTGAACTACGCCGTCGACGACAGATCGCTCTGTCCGATCGTGCGCCACCCCACGCACGGCGCGTCGGCGTACCCTGCCACGCTGTTCACCACCGCACCCGCGTCCACGCTGGCGGACGTCCTGTCGCGGATCTGCCAGCCCCTCGCCGCGTCCCACGCGCCCCCCGAGCCCCAGGCCGCTCCCACACCCGCCGGACGCGAGCCCGACGCGGCGCACCTGCGCATCAGCCGCCTGTCGTGCCGAGCGCCCGCCGACGGCCCGCCTGTGGTGCACGACCTCTCCCTCGTCCTCCCGCCGGGCCGGGCGCTGCTCGTGACGGGCCCGAGCGGCTGCGGGAAGAGCACGCTCCTGAACGTCATCCGCGGGCTCCAACCGCCGGACTCTGGGTCGGTCGAGGTGCTGCTGCCAGACAGAGTGGTGGCGTGGGCGCCGCAGAGGGCGGTGCTGGCGCCGGGGGAGTCGACGTTGCGCGAGCAGCTCGCGTACCCCTCGCAGGCGGCGGGCGAGGGCGCGCGCGGCGGGCAGTGGGAGGCGGAGGCGCGCAGGGCGCTGGAGGTGGCGCGGCTGTCAGGGTTGTTGGCGAGGGACGCGGCGCGGGGACTGGACGCGCGGGCGGACTGGACGGCGGTGCTGTCCCCGGGAGAGACGCAGCGGCTGGTCGCCGCGAGGATCCTCCTGGCGAGGTGAGTCGGCCCGACGCACAAGCGCTTGCCGCCCCTAGCTGTTGCTGACAGGGTCGCACATGAGCGGATCGTCGTCGCGCTGCTCCAGCGAGTGCGCTATCAAGGTCACGCACCGTCGCTGGTCGTCCATCGCTGAATCTGCCGGCCCGCGGTGAACCGACGTGCGCTGTGTAAGGTGCCATGCTTTGCGCAGGCCACGGCTCGTGTTCCTCGATGAGGCCACGAACGCCGTCTCGACCCCGGACGAAGAAGCCTTCTACGCGGCCCTGCGGGCCACGGGCGCGACCGTCGTGTCCGTCAGCCACGCGAGCGCGCTGCAACGGCACCATGACCTGCACCTCCACATCACCGGCGACGGGTCCGGCGCCTGGACGCTCGAACAGATCCGACGTGCCAGCGCCAGCCATCATGCGCCTACGCCGCCCCACGGGGACCCGCTGTCGCAGCAGTCGGTGCTGTTCTCACACGGCAGCAACCCTCCGACAGTCTGACACGTGCTTCAAGAGCGCACTAGACGCGCTCCGATCCGATTCAAGCATAGGTCTGACTGCCGACGGCGGTACAGGGCGCCGAGACCGTCGGCGCTCGTCGCACACGCGGCGTGCCCCCGGTGCTGGAGTTTGAACGAGCTGGCAAGGCACACACGTACGCCTTTGACAGGCCACCGCGGGCGCTCAGGGCCCGCGCGCGGGCGCTTGCCGCAGGGCGATGGCGAACCGCTGCGCATGCAGGAGACGTTTCGCAAGCGGGACGCGGTCGAGCGAGGCGGCGTATCCCCTGATCTTCAGGTGCCGCAGCGTTGTGTTGTCGACCAGGGATTGCGCCAGCTGCTCGCACACGTCTTGAGTCCCCCGGACATCCGTGTACAACGCTAGTTCCAGCGACAGGAGCCAGCGGTTCCGCCGCAGCGCCCTCGCGATGGCTTCCACCCCAGAGGTGGCGGGGACGTGTGTAAGAGCCAGCCTCTGCAGCCTGCACGACCGCTGCTCCTCCAGGACGGCTGCGATGTTCTCCAAGCCGTAACGGCCGACGTTCCCCACACACATCTCGAGTGTGTGCAGCTGGCGGCCTTCGTGACGATTCCCGCCGTACAGCTGATACATCAGTCGCGACGGGCCGTCCACTGAACGACCCCCACCCAGCAACCCATGGACGGAGGAAATGCGCAAGACTTGCAACGTCCTGTTCTCGCCTAGGCCTTGCAGGAGCTCGTCGAAGCCTTCCGGCCCCCATTCGTCAGGTATCAGCTCCAGCTCCACCAGTGAAGTGTTGCATCTGAGCAGGGTGCCAAGAGCTGCGCCAACGCCATCCGTGGTCTCGGGCCCCCACTCAAGCCGCAGCTTGCGCAGACTTGTGTTGCCGAGCAGGGCCTGCACCACTGCCGTCTGGTCCAAACCGCCCAACAGTTGCCCAGCAACCGCCCTCAGGGCCAGCTCACGCAGCCCTGCGTTATTACGTGCCGCAGACACCACCGCAGCCGTCATAGCCTTGCTCGGCGGTTGTCCAGGTTCGCCAACTGGACACGTCAGGATGAGTTGCTCGACCGTGCTCTGCTCGAGGGCCCAAAAGAACGGGATGGCGTACTGCGAAGCCCCGTACTCCCAGAAGTCCCCGATCACCAGGCGCTGCAGCTGCTCGCTGTTGCTGACCAGCTCCGCGATATGCGCCCAGATCAGCCCCCAATCGGGAAAGACATGCCCGCTCAAAGGGCAGCGTTCCAGCTCCAGCGAACGCAGGTCAGTGGCTTCCCACCAGCGCACCGGCACCTCCCTGCTCGCCACGAGCACCTCGAGCCCCGCCGGCAGACCCCGTGGCGGCAATTCACCGCTTTGACTGAAGGCCATTTTCCCAACGTGAAGTTTGAGACTGCGCAGCGTCGTGGCCTTCTCCACGGCGTCCAGGAGCAGGCCCCAGTCCCGCGCGTCGAAAACATGTACGTCGCGCGACTGCCGCAGCTCGAACGCCGTCAGGCAGCTGTACTGGTCAACCAGACACCCCCAGCTCGGGGGAGTGTTGCAGAGCTCCAAGTGGCGCAGCGACGAGAGACCGCGCAGGGCGTCGTGCAGCAACCCTTCGACCTCTTGCGGCCACGACGACCATCCCACCGCCGCCGCCTTCAGGGACCGGAGGTTGTCCTTCACCGCCCGGGTCCGCAGAGCCTCCGCCACCCCCTGCGCCTCGCGTGTCACCGACTGTCTGTCGCGCAGGGTAGGTAGCGTCAGTCCCGTCACGTGTGCCCCGCCTGGGCCCTCGGCCAGTGCCTTGACCAGTCTGGTCCACGCCCGCGTCTCTTCCTCGCTTGTCGTGTCATGGGGATCCGCCTCCTTGAATGGGTCTGCGATACTCGTCGGCAGATCGCAGCCGAGGTTGCTCGACGCCGCCAACAGCGCGCCCGCGTCCGTCGCCGGCACCTGGATGCCACACAGCGTCACCGACCCGTCGCACGGCCCCTCCGCGAGTCGCTGTGCCAAAACACCCAGCACGGGGTCCTCAGGGTGCACCCTCAGCACTGCCCTGGTGTCCCGCAGCACCCTCTCGAGCGCAGTCCAGCACGTAGCTGCGAGGCTCGGCTTGTCCTCGTCCGGCAGCCTGTGCAATACGGGCACTTCCCGCAGCACGTGGAGGAACAGTTCCCCGACCAAGCGGGAGCCGTGGGAGGCGTCCATGTCGGATTGTCCAGCTCTACCGCTCCCTTTATTATCGCTGTGGTCGACCTCAACGTCTGCGTCGCAAGGGCACCATCCGGGGGTTTTCTTCGAATGAGAGCAGGGGATTCAGTTGGCCGTGATTCTCGACGCATGATGCAGCACACGCCGCGTACGACAAGAGATCGAGCCCTCAGGATGCAAGAGACGGACCTGAGTGCACGACAAGCCCGATCGTTCCGCTCGTAGCGTCTGCGCAAGACCCACTGTCTTTGGGGCAACACCAAGGCCTTCCCGCCGAACCATCCGGTGCGTATTGCGGATTAATGCGGTCCGAAGTGATGTCCGTGATGAAGGCGACGTCACATTGTAGACAAATCCCCGTGGGCGGCCGGCGAGACGCCCCCTACCACGCTCCTGGGGCCTTCAACTGAGCACAGGCCGATCGCCAGGCCGGCGTCGCACAAGCGACATCCTGCAAGCATGGCCCAACGCGCTGAAACGACGCGCAGGCTCGTCGCCGGCCACGCGACGCCTCGAACAGCGGAGGGACGCCACGCCTCGCCCAGTCGCACGTCGCCCCTCACACATCGCTGGCGACCGCTGCGTACGCCGCGTCCCGAGAGCAGCACACCGCACATCCAACGCAGCACTCACACAGCGCAGACGCCCCGGCGCGGCAGCTCAGTGCTCGCTGCACGTCACCATCGGCAGCGGGCCCTGCGTGACGCTCCCAGGCACGACCAGCAGCCTGTACTGCAGCCGCCACCACATCGCGCGGCCCTGCTTCTTCATCGCCCAAATACACGGCGGCATCTGCACGACGCTCCGCGGCGGCAAGCCCTCGTCGTCGGAGTCGTCCGAGTCCGAGTCGCCGTCGACGTCGCGCCCCGCGCCCGCCGGCTTCCCGGCCTCCGCGGCGCCCTGCGCCGCAAGCAGCCCCGGTGCCCCCCCCGCGAGCTGACTGCGAATCGTGAGGTCGGAGAGCTCCGCGCGGACCTCGCGCAGCGCCTGCTGCGGGAGCGCGCCTGCCGAGGCGTCGCCCGGCTCCATCGAGTAGAGCGCGTCGTGGATCGCCGTCCACAGGCGCGGGAGCTGCCGCGGGCCGAACCGCCGCAGGTCGACGGAGCGCTGGACGGGCGGCTGCCCGGGCGCAACCGCGGTAAACACGAGGCCCGTCGCACCCAGCACGGCGGAGCTCGCGTGCACCTCGCCGTCCCACGCGCCCGACAACGTGCAGACCCGCTCCGTCGCGAGACCTGCACCGGGGCGGCGGAGCCGCTCAGCATCACGTACGGTATGATGCCCTGTGCGTGCATCGGGCTCGCACGTAGAGGCTGCGCAGGCCGAGGGTCGGTCAGAGAGGTTCGGCGCACCGTTCAAGCGCTCGACGAAGCCGTCGACGCGGGCGCCGGGGCGGAACTGCATCGTGCAGGAGAGGCCGTTTGCGGGGGCGGAGATCTTGACGTCGCCCTGCAGCTCGATGGCCGAAGCGGCGGTGCCCATCGGGTCCATGATCAGCACGTCTGCAAACCAGAGAATGTTTCAAACATCTCGGAACGCGACAGGAGCGCAGCTAGCGTGCCACCGGATGCCACGTGGGCCCTGCAAGGGCTTGAAATTTCAGCACAAACGGGTCGGGGTATAAATATGTCGTCGTGACGGACCCGGGAGCTCGAACACGTAGGTTTCGGCGTGGCTCGGCATCGTGACCTTGCAGCGCGCGCGGAGCTGCACGCGAATCGCGACCGAGCGCCGCAGCCGCCCGCCCTTGACCTTGGCCTGCGGGCGCGCGTTGATGTCCATGAACGCGCGCAGGCTGCCCTCCGGCCGCCGACAGTACGGCTCGACCTCCTCTCCGTCGTAGAACGCCATCTCCTGCACCGAGTCCAGGCGTCAGCCAGCGCGCACGTGATGCGTCGCGGCGGAGGCGTTGCGTTCCGCGGGTGGGCGGCGCGGGGCACGCTTGCCTGGATGTGCAGGAGGACGGTGCCGGCGCCGTGCGGTCCGAGCTGGCGCTGCCCGACGTAGTGCGTGCCCATGGTGGCGAGCGGGAGGTGGTCCACGGAGGGGTGGGGGCGGGCGACGTCGGCGCAGAGCTGGAGGAGGAAGCGGACGACGAGGAGCATGCGGTCGAGGGACTCGTCGGCCTTCTCCGCGAGCGCGAGCGAGGCGCCGTGGCGCGCGAACACGTCCCGCTGCACTCGATCAACGGATGGATGAAACATTGTTGTGTGAAAATGTCCCGAGTGTTGTTCGTTTCCGCGCCAGCTCGAGGGCTCCGCGCGGAGTGTGCGTCTCGTTGCGTGTGGATTCATTCATGCGCATGTGCGGGGACGTGCGCCAGTCTATCGGATTCCGACGGGGAACAACGCCGGGAATGTTATGGCGAGATTCGTCGTTTTCGAGGCAGAGACGCAACCACGGCGATCGCAGCGGACCTGGAGGAGGACTGACGGGGTCTTGCGCCGCTTCTGAGCGCGGGACGCCGCCGGCCTGTCCGGCCCCGCAGGCGCGCGTGGCATGCGAGCGGTGCCCCCCATTGCAGCCGCCCCCGAGGGCGAATCGACGTTGATCATCTCGGCGACGTCAATGTCCCTGTCGAACGCATCGTCGAGCGCAATCTGGCTGCTGTCGTCGACGCGGTTGAGCGCCAGCTCGGCCTCTGCGGCGTTGTTTGAGTCCCCCATGGTGTGCAATGCGCGAAATGCGGCCAATAACGGGGCTTGGGTCGGACGCGCTGCCCCCGAACGACGCCGGTCAATACGCGCGGGGCCCTCGTAGGCGAGACTGGCGGCGGCAACGCGCGGGTGCCGCACATAAGCGCCGCGTTATACTTCTTTCTGGAACCTAGGAACGTCGAACAGCCCTCCCGTGCGTCGTTCCCGCACGGCCGACTCGCCGCGACAGGTATGGCACCGGGGACAGCCGGACGCGTTCCCGGCCGCTGCACACGGCGGCGATATTCCACGGAGGGTCGTTGTCGACGCGCAACCTCCCACGCGTGCGAATGCTCGGTCTCACGCGCGATATCTTTGATCCGGCTCCCTGCGACACCATCCTCTATCCAATTGCGAGTGATTGCCCGAGAACCGCGGGAACGCTGTGCGCGATCCAGCCGTGTGCCGCTGCCCAGCCTGCTTCCCGCTGCGCAACGATTCGACGGATTTCGCGCTCTCTACGACGCACGGCTGCGCCTCTCAGGTACTAGCAAGGTCGGGTGCGCGATTTTCGCTCACATCACGCGATCAGGCCGGCCGCACGACGTGCAGCCCTGTCGGTGGACAGTTAGAGCGCGGCGCCGCGATGGCCGGTCGTCGCAGGGACCTGCGCGCGCAACCGGGATGTCGCAGCATATCCTCGCAGCCGTGGGCGCGCCGGAGCTCCTGAGGCGGCGGGGGTGCCGCGGAGCACGGGCGCAAGTCGGTCAGTACTGGTGTCGCGCTGATAGCTGGACAGTCATGCGCGTCGGGGCGTCGTTGGGGAGCGCGCTGCGCACGTCCCGGCACTCAGTCGACCAACAAGCTCCTGAAAAGCAGCGTAAACACTGACCTCGCGGCGCCGACGACCACACGGGCCGCTCAGTGCTGGCGAAACAGTTTGCCGTCAACAGTCGAGCGGAGCGCGCCCGGGGAGCGCGGTTTGCGACCACCGGGGCGAAACGTGCTCGAAACGTCTCCCGCCGCGGCCAAACGAGCGCACAGGCCGCGCGACCGTGCGCTTGCGGACCCCCGCCTAGCTGCTGGACAGCTGTGCCGCGTCCCGCGAGTCTAGTGACGCTGCGAGGATGGGAGGGCAGAGCTCGAAGCAAGCCCTGTACGAGGAGGACCAGAGGCGCCAGGCCGAGGTCCCGCAGCGCGTGGAACGGCCAAAACTCCCCTCAACGTTCACCGAGGAGCAGGGCAACAGCGAAGCGAGCCCTGGTACGCGCCGCACACCCCCTATCCACCCCCCGACCGCGCCTGATCTCGCTTCCGCGCACATTGCCTCCCCGTCCCGCACAGACGCGGCCCCTTCACCGCGCCAACGCCACGACGCGGCTCCCCTCTTGCTGCGCAGGGGATGAGCGCGTGAGCTCGTGGAACAAGTCGCACGCGCTCGAATACACCGTCAGCTGGGACGAGCTGACCCCAACGGCCCTCGCGGAGAAGACCATCTGCACCGGGAAGCACGCGATCATCCCGTACATCGTCGGGTGCGTCCTCAACCACCTCCGCACCCACGTCCTGCGCCGCGCACGAATTCCGGCCCTCTCGAACCGCCATCCCCCCGCCTGACCTCGCAGGCAGCTCGACAGCGTTCCAGGGCGCCTCGCGCAGCTCGGGCGGGTCCTCAGCGTCGACACGGTGTCGCCCCTGCTCCCGGGCGCTACGCTCGTCATGGGCCCCGACGGGAACACGGCCATCATCGTCACCAACTCGGGACCGCTCCCCTTCGACGTCCCCCTCAAGGACCGAATCGAGGACGCGCGCCACCGAGGTACGCGCCCCCGCGCCCCGCAGCAAGTCGCACGCGCGCGCAGCGTCCCGGGACGCCCGACCTTGGGCCGCGCACTCCACCTCCGTGCCTCGGACCCCACCCCTGTTGCTCCCCGCGCCCCCCCGCGCCCGCAGCGGACACGGAGGTCGCGTCGTTCGTGCACCCGGTGTACGCGCTGGCGTTCTACGAGCGCTCGCTGCGCGCCGCCGCGGGGCCCCGCCCGGGGCCGTGGACGGGCTTCGACGTGTGGGGCTACGACTCCGTCGACGGTTCGAAGCCGTTCCGCATCGCGAAGATCCGCGGCAACCTTCTGAACGCCATCGACGCCAACGCGCTCGAACCCAAGCTGTTCGACGTGGTCGCGCTCGCGCGCGGGCTCCTCGCGTCCCCGCTGCGGTCCGCGGCGCTCGAGGGGCGGTCCGTCCCGCGCCACGCGCGCGCCCCCGTGCTGTATGCGTCCCGGTCCGGCAAGCTGTCAGCTGAGTGCGCGCCGGCGTCGCCGCGCGGGCGGGCCGAGGGCCCGCGGCGCAACGCGGACGGGGTGCGGTCGTCGAGCGCGTCGGGGCCCGCGGGGGAGCTGCACGGGCTGCACGCGCACGTGCACCTGGCCCACGGGCACCTGCACAGCAGCGAGCACCGCGCGGCGCCGCGGCGGCCGAAGCTGGCGAGCGTCAAGGAGGGCGCTGTCGGAGACGCGCTGGTGTCGGACGAGCTGCACAACGACTGGGTGGACTTTGGGTACGGGCCGGACGGGGACATTCGGCGCGACTCCGCGGGGGACATCCACCGCCCGACGAACAGCAGCCTGCAGAGCAGCATGACGGGCGGGCCGCGGAAATCGAGCGACATCCCCGACGGGTCGCTCTGGGCGAATGTGTTCGACTTCTGAGCCGGGCGCGGTGCGCTGGAGGAGCACGCTCGCAAGACGCGCGCGGTGCATCGCCGCGAGATGCAACGATTTTTGCGCGCCCGTCACGCGCAGCGGTGTATCCGGGTCCAGGGCCTGGTCAAGACGAAGACGTACCAACCCCCCCCCTTCCCACATCTCCAAGACCCCCCCCCTTTCCGACTGCACTCGCGCTTCACCCCCTTCGCAGCACGTCGAGGCGTCGATGCTCGTCCCGCCTGTAGACGCGCCCCCGCAGTTGACCTGAACCTCACCCATGACGTCGCACACGTGCTGTCTGACGTGGCGCGCCCTGCTGCGAACCTCCCCTCCCCGCCACCCGTCGTGCGCATGTTCCGAAGCATCTCACGCGTGCGCAGCCCTCGCGCCCCAGCAGTGCACCGACGGATCAACAACGACAGCTCACTTGTGCGCGTCCGTAAGCATGCGTGCACGCATGCCACTGCGCACAGGACCGTGCAACGTCCTTTGTCGCGTCCCTCTTATTTTTCAACGCGCCCTCTGTCGTTCGAAAGGGTGCAAGAGGAGCGCCCACGCCCCCCACGGCAACTAGATACTACATACTCCCCCCTCCGCTTTACCCAGGATGCCTCCCAGCCTTCACAAACTCCTTCAACTCCCGCCCGAGGCCGTGCGCACCATCCTTTTCCGCCCCTGCACCCTGCCTGTCATTGCCAGCACAGCTGCCAGCCCATCACGTGCGTTTCAGGACCACGACGGTCTCGATGTGATCCGAACCCGGGAAGAACACAAACCCCCGCGCCGCCGCCACCTCCCACCCGGCCCGCCCCTCGAGCAGCGCCGCCACGTCCCTCTGCGCGCATGTCGTGTCTTGCGCGGGCGTTTCAATCACTATTGCGCACGTTTTGCTTCGCGCACATTGCCATGGCTTTGTCGCGCCGATCGGAAAGCACACAGGCGGCGATGGTCTCAGCTGCGCGGTGCAAACGCCGCAGAATCAGATGCAGGGCAAGGCGGAGCGGGGCGGGCACCTGGAGTGCCGGAAATCCGCAGGAGAAGTACACGAGGGTGTTGGGACCCGGCTTGTCCGCGCACCCGTCCGCGAGCTCGCTCAGGAGCGCCGGCTCCAGGCCCTTGCGCGGCGGGTCGACAACGACGACGTCCGTGTCGGCCGTCCACCGCTCCGGGGCGTCGCCCGCGCGCCCCACGTGCATCCGAGGACGCTCGATGCCAAACGCACGCGCGCTGCCGCGCCACGCGGCATCCACGGTGCTGCGGAACGCCGCCGCCGCCGCCTCGTCGACCTCGACGCACCGCAGCGACGAAAGCCCGCCGCGGGCCGCCAGCGCGAACCCGATCGCACCAACGCCAGCATGCAGGTCCGTCAGACGCGCGCCCGCCGGGATGTAGTCCGCAACGAACGCCACTGCGCGCGCCGCCATCTCGAGGTTGGCCTGCATGAAGCTCCCCGGCCCGACGCTCACCGCCAGGCCGTCCGCGATCGGCTGTGCGAGCGCGCCCGTGCCGCGCACCAGCCGCCAGCTGTGCGGGGTTTTCGCGAAGATCGCGTTCCCCTTCGACGGCTGGGCGTTGATCCAGATTCGCGAGACCAGCCCCGAGCCCCCGTGCAGCCCGTGGTCGCGCCACAGCCGGTCGACCAGCCGCGCCGAGTCCCGCACCGCGGCGTCGGCGTCGGTCGCCGCCCAGACGAGGACCACCTCGACGGCGGTGGCGTCGCGGGAGAACTTCGGGAGCTTCCAGACGGGCGTCGAGGAGTACTCGGGGGCGCGGGGCTCCACCGTGAGCTGCACGTACCGCAAGTCGCCGCTCGGCGGGCCCTTGCCGGCGTCGCTGTACGGCTCCACGCGCGTCGCGGCCGCGACGTCGCGGATCGCGGCCGCCGCGTCGTTGATGCGCGGGTGGTGGACGGTGCAGTTCGGCATGGCGATCGCCTCGTGCGTGCCCGTGCGGAACAACCCAACCACGGGCTTCCCGGGCTTGCCGCGGACCGCCAGGCGGGCCCGGAAGCGCCACCCGCGCGGCGGACCTGCGCAGAGCGCGTGCGCAGCTGGGGCGCGATGAGGCGGCCGGCCTGGGCGAGCTCTGTGGCGAGAGCGACACCTTTGGCGTGTCGTGCGAGATGGACGACCGCTTCGCATCCCAGCGCCGTTTCTGCTCAAAGACGCTGTGCAGCGGTCGCGGCGTGACGTTCATACGTAGGAGTCGCTCGCGTGCTCGCGTCAGCGTCATGTTCGTGCGAGAATTCGCGAGGTCCGGCGGCAGGGAGAGAGTGCGCACCGTGGTCGATGAAGAAGGGGAGAGACATCCCCCGGAACAGCGCCTGGGCCTGCCGGGCGCTTCTCGGCATCCCGAGGTTCTTCTCCATCGTGCAGCCCGAGCAGGAGCTGAAGTGCGGGCACCCCAGCTCGGTGTCCTTCAGCGACGGCCTCTCCCTGGGGCGACCGGCCGGGGACGGGCTCCGCGGGCGCTCCTGGAGGTCCCTGTCCACAGTGACACGTCGAAGGACGGAAACGCGCCTGCTAGGCACGTGGACTACGCCATGCGCTCCCGTGCTGCGGCGCCCCGGACGGGAGTTGCCGTGCAACCGACTGGGCCCGCATTGCGTCGCACGACCTCCCACGACGCTGTATCCTCGCATCTTGAAATAAGTTCGAAGTGACCGACCCGCAGGAGCGCAGAAGGTCATCTAACGCGGTCCAGCAGTCCGGCAGCGTGCCACATCAGGGTCCGGGGACACAATATGTCCAGGTCCGGCTGGCCACCGCATCGCGGACGAACTACAGCCTCGCCCTCGACGTCACCGAGCGAGGCGGCAACGGCCGCGCCAAAATCGCTCCAAAGCTCGACGTTCGGGATGAAAGGGTTGGTTTCAAGGCCTGGAAACAGACAGAGTAGTAATTGACCACCCGCGCACGAAACGAAATGCGGGTGTGCTATCGTCCTGATCAAGGCGGCAGCGTGCTAGGAGTACTCGCGCGAAATGCCACAGACGTGTAGACGTGAGACCAGCTCCGCAACGCTCGTCAACGCGACCGATCACACGCCGCACGCGCTCACCGGATCGCCTCGATCGGCGGCGAAAAGTCGTGCACCAGCACCTCGCCCGTCTGCGTCCCCAGCGACAGCCCGCGCGGATCCAACGCCAGCGAGTGCGCAAAGGTGAACGACGCGCCCTGCACAAGCGACAGCACCTCCTCCGCCCCGAGCACCGCCTTCAGCGCCGCTGTGTTCCCCGCGGCGCCCTTCTCCCCCGCCCCCGCCCCCGCCCCCGCCCCGCGCGCCTGAGCGACGCTTGCTCGCAGCGCTGCCGCCGCTCGTCCTCCGCCGGTCGCGAGCGCCGCAGCGCCCGCCGCGCCCGCGCTCCCGCCCGTGCAGATCGGCGTCCGCGGGATGCGCGCCGACTCGTCGGCGGGCCAGTACGGGTGCCGGTAGAACGCAGAAAGACCGTCGGTGGGCGCCAGGGTCACGTGGAGGGCGCCGCGGGTCGAAATCGTGGCAACGGGCCCCGCGTGGTGCCCGAGGATGGCGAGGCAGCTCCCGGAGAGCATGTCCCAGACGCGCACCTCGCCGTCGTGGCTCCCGGACAGCACCCAGACAGCAGCGCGTGGGTCCCGAGGCTCCGCGACGCCGGCGCCGGGCGGTAACGCGGCGTCCGCGAGCGCGGGGCGCTGCGGGAAGCTCACGCTGACGGACAGAACGCCGTGCCAGTGGCCTTTGAGCTCCTGCAGCAGGCTCAGGTCCTGCATGCACCACACGCGCACGCAGCGGTCCGCGCCGCCCGTAACAACGATCCCCGGCGGCCGCACGTATTGCCCCGGGCCGCGCTCCTTGAGAACCCGCGACGCCTCGTCCGCCCCCGCGCCGAAGTCATGCGGGGCTGCGACCGCAGCGGTGCTGTTCGCCGGCGGCACCCCGAGGCGCGGCACGGCGTGCGGCGCCTCGCTCGCGCCGGCGCCGGACCGCTCGGGCGCCGCCCCCGTCGCTGGCTTCTCCTTCGAGGCCCGGTCCACCGCGCGCTGCTTCAGGCGCGCGATCTGCGCCACCGCCAGGTCGCGCCAACAGTCGGCCTCCGACAGCGACGAGAGGTCGACGACCTCGGTGCACAGCACCGCCGACGTGTGCGCGCGCCACTCCGCCGCGGGCGCCAGCACCAGCCCGGGGAGGCCGTCCTCGGAGATGATCTGAATGAGCGACGATTGCGGCGGCGCGGGACACGGGCCCAGAACGTTCCACGCCCGCATCATGCCGTCCCGCGCGCACGCCAGGACCGTCGTCGGAGCCACCTCGCGCGCGCGGCTCAGGAAGCCGAGGTCGTGGAGCGTCTCCATCGCAGCACGGACGCGGTCCAGTGCTTCACCCGACATGCTTGGCAGCCGCTGGCCGGCAAGGCCGGCGACCGCGTGCGCGAGGTGGCCCATGCGGACGCCGATCGCGGCGACGTCGGGCCCGGTGCCGCCCGCGAACGCCGGCGCGTCGTCTGCGGCGCCGCCCCCCCCTCGCGCGTGCGTGGCGGGCGCGGTGGCGCCTGCGCCCTCCTGCGCCCTCGGCTTCCAGTGCAGCGGCACGGACTTGAGCATCCACGGCACGTCCTGGTGTCCGCGGAGAATCCGCACCAGCGAGCCCTCTTGCAGGTCCCACACGTGCAGTTTGCCGTCCACCAACCCCACCGACAGATACCGCTCCGAGTTGTGGAGGAACGCTAGCGACGCGACGTTCGTGAGGTACTGCATGATCGCCATCGGGCTGGACTGCAGCCCGTACGACCACACTTTCACCGAGCCGTCCGTCGACCCCGACGCCACCAGCGCCTGCCCCGCCGCGACGCACGTCACCCACTCCGCCCCGTGGTTGAAGCTCCGGAGGACGTTCCCCTTCGCGCGGCCCGTCACCACGACCTGCCCGTCCCAGCCGCCGCTCACGATCACGTCCCCGAGCGGCTCGCACCGCGTGTGGACCAGGCACTCGACGTTGCCGCTGTGCGGCGACAGCGTCCTGGTCTGGTACCGCGCGTTGCGCCAGTTGCTGTCGATGCGCTCCGCGGCCCCGAAGACCGACTTCAGGAGCGAGTCCTGCGGCCACGCGTCCGTCCACTCCGCGCGCGCCGCCCCGGCGGGCGTCGGCGGCGCCCTCCGCCGCGACACCGACTCCAGCAGCAGCTCCGGCGACATGCCGCGCGCTTTCAGCCACGGCGCGAGCCGCGCGTAGCTCCGGCGCCCTATCGCGAGCGCCTCCGGCGCGAGCGTCGGCGCCGACACGCCGAGCTCGCGCAGCGACTCGGACATGCGATTGTGCGCTGCGAGGGTGGCCGCGCGAACGAGGTCGCCTTCCGCGACACCGACGACGCGGCGCCAGAGGAACTCCGTGCCGGCCAGGGCGCGCCAGTGGCGGGACACGCCGGCGCAGCGCGCGAGGTCCCGGCCCGGCACCCGCGCAAATATGGTTTCTAGAACCTCGGTGGGGAGCTCCTCGATGGTGGCGGGGCGGCCGCGGCTGGCGGGGGACGCCGGGGGCAGCGAGGGCGTGTAGATGACGGTCGTGTCGAGCGCCTTGCCTGGCGGGTCGGCCCGCGGGACGATGTTCGGGGCCATGCGCGGGCCGGATGGGTCCGGCGTGAGGACGCTCTGGTCCGGCTCGGCTTCCTGGTCTGGCGAGGAGGCTCGGGGCGGAGTCGAGGTCGTGCGCGGCGTGAGTCGCCGCGAGCTGGACCGCTTTGGCCCTGCCTGGTCAGCATCGCGCGAGGGTGAGGACTCAGCGGCGACGTCCGACGCGTTGCGCTTCCGGAACGAGGACACGAGGTTCCGGAGGGATCGGGCGACCCGCGAACGCTCCGCCTGCCGCGCTGTCGCCCCCGCCTCGGCCGTCGGTCCCCCCGCATGGCCTGCCTGGCCCTCCTCCGCAGTCGGTCTCGGCTGCGACGACCCGCCTGAGCCACGTCGGTCGGAGGCGACGGACTTCGAGGACTCGTTCCGCGCGGGACGGGTCGGGATGCGCGCTCGCAGGCTCCGTGAACTCGAGCGAGAGGGAGCGCGGGCTGGAGCAGAGGGGCCGGGCGCACTGCGGTCCGCTCCGCGCGCCTTCGCGGCCGAGGACCCGGGCCTCACGCTCGAGCTTGTTCGCCTCGGCGCAGGCGGCCGGTCGCGGGGCGTGCATGCGGCCTTGTGCGACGGCCAGTGCGTTCTCTGGCCTGCAAGATATGTAAATGTGAAGGCGAATGATGAATTGTGAATACTCGATTCATTGATATAACCATGTGAGGTTGTGGGAGTGGGCCGTGGGACGAACGGCTGCACGACGTCACGCGCAGGTTGCGTGTGCGAAACGGTGCGCGAGGTCGAGCAGAACCGATCGAGACGCGGTTCGGCGCGCTTCACGGCGCGTGCAGTCCGCGAGCGGCGACGAAGCAGGCACGAGAGGGGCTGCACGGAGCGCGCCCGTGTATGCAGGGGGCGGGGTTGGACGCGCGGAAACGTACACTCGCGGGAGCAGTACACAGACGTCTTGCACTTCGAACAGCGGAAGCTGGCAGGGGCGCCGCAGTGCGCGCACGCGCGCGCCCCGACCCCCGCCATCCCCTGACGTGCGTCCCAGGCCGTGTGCGCGGCCGCTTCGGACGGCCTCTGCGCGATTGGCGACTTGTGTTGTGCGAGCGGAGCGCGCAGCGGACCCCTCGTGCCCCGCCGGGGCGTCCGGGGCACCAGGGGGACTGCACGTCTCTCAGTCTGACTCCGTTGCACCGCGACGCCCGCGGGTCCGTCCGCGGTCGCCCCGCTGCTCGGGGACGCCGGCGGCTGTGCTTCGCGACTGCCTGGGGCTTTCGGCCCGCGGAACACGGTGACAGCGAAATTCCTTCGCACGTGTTGCGGCGCGTGTGTTGGTTGTGCGCGGGGCAGCGACGAAGCCCGTCAGCAGCCCGGCGGACGTCTCCATGCGGGGCGTGCCCGCGTCGGCCGCACCAAAGAGCGCCACGCCTGGCCCTCGAACGTGCCGCAACGTGCCGTGCGAGCACATGAGGGGCGAAACGCGTCGTGGCGGTGGCGTGTCGTGCCCGACGAGGCCGGGGTTGTCGCGGCTTTGCGTGGCGCGATGCGGCGCGGGGATCTCGGCGCAGGGGGGTGTGCGCGTTGGCGTAAGACAGGTGTGTGACGTCAGCGCGTCTCTCGTGCCGTGTACGTTGCTTGACGACCCTCGGCTCCCCCGCAACGCCTTTGACAATCCATACACGATCGTTCCGGCCGCTTTCACGCCCGTGTCGACCCGCGAACGAAGCCAATTGGGCCCTTCTGGCGTGCGGCCCAGTCAGCACTAGACACGCGCGAATCCGGTGCGACATGGCGATGATGCTCCGTTCCTGCCCGCGCTCCGCGCCCGCAGCCACGGCACAGCGGCCCCGAGCGCGCACCGTGCGCGCCGCGGCCACTCCGGACCTCGTCCTCCAGGTTGCCGAGGCCGCTGCAGGTATCCTCCCTGCGCGGCACATACCGGCATGATGCGAGCGACTCTGTGCCGCACTCGACGGCTCCAGAGCTCATGAACCCCGCTGCGTGCCCGGATTCCGCGGAGAAACGGTCTGCGCGGCTCTGGTACGGCACGCAGGCAGCGTCGAGGCGCCGGGCTGGGTCTTGCCCGCTGCAGCGGTCGGGCTCGGTCTGGTGGCGACGGCGGCGATTCCGCTCGCGCTCAAGCCGGGACAGGAAGCCCAGGTGCGCAAGCATCGTCGCTGAGAGCCACGAATTGCGCACACGATTGATGCGCGAATCGCATCAATCCAGAGAGGTCCAGCGCTCCCGCTCGGCTGTCCGGCGCTTTCGCGGGCCGAAGCGCTGCCGTTCGGCTTCTCTGTGTGCTAGCTATGTTTTCTGTTGAGTCAGCTCGCGTACCCCCCGCGCGGCGCGACGTCGCGGGTCCTCAACCACCTCTGGACGTATCGGGCGGTGTCGTCGCGCTCGCAGGACAACATGCGGGAACGGGACTCGGGATTCTTCAACAAGGACAAGGGCAGCCCAACGCGGAAGCGCGTCCTCGGAAGGGAGACCATGGCGGGCGGGCGCCGGCCTAGGAAGTGAGCAGCTGAACAGCGAACGGCGCACACCGCGCCCCCGGCGCTCGACACACTGTGAGCCGCCGCATCGGTCAGAACGCCGCGTCGGTTCCTGAGCCGTTCGGACACGAAAGCGGAGTCGTCATTTTTTGCCCACTTGCACATGCATCATCAGTCATCCTTCTTCCAGGCGTGCGCATCGCTTGTTCGGCACGCCAGTGCGCGTGTTTCCTGTCACACTGGACGCACGGCGCCGGGCCTGGGCCGGCAACGCGTGCGCGCGACCGCCAGGCCGCGCGACTGGCAGCGCCGTCCGTCCAACGGCGGTGCGCTGGCCGTCATCCGTCCTGCTGCTGCGCGGGCATCAGGGCGTACGGCGGCAGCAGGCACAGCCTGCCCGGCTGGTCCAGCCGACTCCCCCCCTCCGCCGAGGGGGGTCGAGAGAACCCCACCGCCGACTCGACGCGCCCGGAGGCGTCGATCCGCACCACGTAGCCCCCCGGTTCGTCCGCGAGCGCACGGGCCGCGCTGCTCGTGGACAGGACGTACGACCCGTCGCGCGCGGCCGCGGTCACCCGCGGCGGCACACAGACGATGCTGACAGGGAGGCCGTAACGACCCCCCTCCTCCCGCCCCCAGCCCGGCAGCGGGCCGCCCTCCTCCCCTGCCTCGTCCCCAGCGAGCGGCCCCTGCACAGCGCGGCATCATCGCACCTCTTCAAACCACCACGGCTCCACACCGCAAACACACGCACGCACACCAGCGCTGCGGCAGCGGGCGGGTGGACCGTCGCTGCACGCACCTTGACGCGCACGATGCGCCCGTGCCGATCCGCCCCGGCGCCCGCGACGCCGGCAATCACGAGGTCCCCGGAGCCGTTGAAACACACCCCCGCTGCCTCGAGGTCCGCAAGGACGCAGAAGTCGGAGCACGGCGTCGGGCGCGCGTTCCCGGGCGCGTCCGTGTCGTCCAGGGCCGCCTCGAGCGGGAACCGCTTGACGCAGGTCGTCCACGTGCCGTCCCAGGCGGGAGTCCCCTCCGCGCCGCCGTTCGGGGGGGCCTCCGCCGCGAGGTGTCTGCCGCTCATGGCCACGAACAGCGCGCCGTCGGGGCCCACGCAGGACGCGACGGGCTCGAGCGTCGAGCGGTCGGACGAGCTCTCGCTCGGCCAGAGACAGCGTCGCCGCACCGCGCCCCACTTCGAGGTGGCGGCGTGCGGGAGCTTGTGCGTGAAGCTGGCGGTGCGCTTGCCGGCCTTGAGGAAGCCCGCGTGCCACGCGTGGCTGAAGCGGCCCTTCGCCGCCCCTACGTCGACGGCCTCGACACAGCGGCTGGCGCGGTCGCACACGATGGCGGTGGAGCCCGACATGTGCACGTCGTGCGGCCGCTGCGCCACGGGGTCCTCCGTGGGCATGCCTGCAGCGGGGCGGGCGCGGATGTCACGCGGCGGCGGTCGGCAGGGCGGCGGGCCGCGAGACGACGGGAGGTCGCCGCGGGGGGGCGGCGTGCGCGCCGGGTGTGGGAGCGGCGCGGGCGGGCGGACCAGGCAGTGGAGGAAAGCGCGGGGAGTGGCGGGGGCTCACTCGCGATCCATGTGCGCGCTGAGAGGTTGATGACTGTGGACTGGCTCAGGGGCTCGGGCTGGTCCGGGGTGCGCTCGCAGCGGCGCATCGTGGTGATGACCGGGGAGCCGAGGTAGTGAGGGTGCCCCGTCGCGGTGTACACGAGCTCGTCGTCCTCGGCGCTGTACACCAGACCTGCGCGTTCATGCCCGGGAGGCTCCTTTCACACCCGCGGGACACTCACAAGGGGCTGTGAAAGGAGCCCGGGGGAGAATGTGGCGCGCACGTCGCGGATTCGCGGGCTCCCGGGGATGACGTGCGCGGAACCGCGGGGAGGGGATTGTTTGTTCTGGAACGCGGGGAATTACCCGTGATTTCGGCGTTCTTGAGCCAGAATTTGGACTCTCTCGCGTCTTGCAAGACGTGGACGCGGCTCGCGTGCTGGTACGGGACGACCTTGATGCAGGGGCTGCTGCTGCTGCCCTCACTCCCGTCACTGCGGCCGTGCTCGGCGTCGACTCCCGGCGGGTCGAGCGTCGACGGCAGCACGCAGAGCTGCTGGGAGCCACCCAAAGACACCGCGACCGCCGGCTGGAGGGGCCTGCGCTCCCTCAGATGCTCCGCCGTCCTCTCATGGAGTGAGTTTCTGACGCACGCGAGCCGGCACGCGTCCGCGAACGACAGCAAGGGCAGCACGTGGCCCGAGAGCACCTCTGCTGGCAGGGGGAGGTCCGCGCGCTCAGGTTCGGGGCGCGCGCCGTCTCCGCCGCAGTCCAGCGACGCCCTCGACGTCATATCGCGCCATCCGCCGCCAAGTCACTCGCAGATCCGCCGCCTGCCGCGTCAGCGAGCGCTCTCGCTCAGGCCGTTGGCCTCATCGATCCACCACGCGCGCAGACGCAACGGACGGCCACGTTTGCACCCCGACACGCCTCTGTCTTTTCCAAAGAGCACGCGTGCCGGTCGCTCCGCCGCAAGATATCCCTGCAGGCCCGCCGCGACCGTCTCGACCGGCTCGAAGTACACAGGGGCGTCTCGACCTGCCGCGCCCGGCGACATGGGCCTCGCCAGCGGGATCCGCGCAGCAAACCCGCCCGCCCCCGGCGCACTGCTGCCCGAGACCGGGCGCCCCGTAGCCAAGAGCCGCGCCGCAGCGGCCCTGGGTCGGAACCTCCTTTGCACACTCCCGGCAACCACCGGGCGTCGATCGACGCGCCGCCCGCGAGGCCGTCGCACCGCCCCTCGATAACGCCCGTGCGGCGGACAGCCCCCGCAGCGGCCGCGCGAGGCCGCAAACTGCTCCCGCGGCGGAAACACACGCTTCAGGGGAGCACCCACCGAGCATGCAGCGGGAGCCGCGCAAGCGGGCGCGCCGCGCCGTGACGCGGTTCGCGGACGAGCACGATGCGGACCCGGGCCTGGAGCTGGTGCGCCCGGACGCCCGTAGCCCGCCTGTAGCCCGCGTGCGCGTGTCTTGCCAGGGAGCAGGGCTCGATCGAGCGACGGCCGCCGCCGTGGCCCGCGAGGGCGCGGGCCGCGCTGGCTCGGTGGCCTTATTGCGGGGACCGGTCCGCCGAGGCGGCTCGCCGCCGCGGGCACGGTGCGGCGCGGACGACCGGGCGCAGAGGCAGAGAGCAACACGCACGCGGTTCGGCCCGCGCGCGCCCTGGCGGCCCCGCACCGCCGCCCCGGGCCCTGCGGAATTCGTCGCGCCGCCGGGCCGCGGCTCGCGGCCTGTCGCGGCTCCTCGCGGCCACGGCGCGGCCCGAAGCCGGCCGTGCCTGCTGAGCGCGACCACGAGTGCGCCGCTGTGCCCGCGGCGCCGAAACCGCGCTGCGCTCCCGCGGCACGCCCCCCGCAGGCGCTCAAGCTCTCGATGCAGCAGGTCAAGCGCGAGGAGAAGGAGGCGGAGGACGCGCCGGTGTTCCGCCCCAGCGTGGCGGAGTTCCTCGACCCGCTCGCGTACATCGCAAGCATCAAGGACGTCGGGCGGCAGCACGGCATCGTCAAGATCATCCCCCCCGAGGGCTGGGTGCCGGAGTTCCACCCCGAGGGCATCCGCAGCGAGAAGCCCTTCACCACGAAGCGACAGCGCGTGCACAAGCTCCAGGAGGCCGCGCACTTCGAGGAGGGCGGGCGGTACACGCAGCAGGAGTACCGCGACACGCAGGCCAAGTTCGAGGCCGACTTCTGGGCCAAGCACCCGCAGGCGAGCTCCCCAACGCCCCTTGCTGCACCGCGCGGTGACTGGCCCGCGGCTGCGCGCTCCGCGGCGCGCTCCGCCCGTCTGACCGCGCGCGCAGCCCGCTCGCGTGCCGCGCAGATCGAGGAGGACGCGCAGGAGATCGCGGCGACGCTCCGCGACGCGCGGCCGGCGTTCCGGGAGTTGTCGGAGGACGCGCTGATGGCTGAGGCGCGCGCGCTGGCGCTGGAGAAGTTCTACTGGCGCGTGGTCGACACGTCGTGCGAGGAGGTCGTCGTGGACTACGCGCACGACCTCGACGTCCTGCGCTACGGCAGCGCCTTTGGCCCGCACACGCGCCCGCCCGCGCCGCCGCCGGCGCACGCCAAGCGGCCCGCGTCGCCGGCGTCGAGCGGCGAGACGGAGACCACGGAGCAGAACGAGGCCATCGCGGCCCTCGACGCCCTCCCGTCCGTCCTCGAGGCGCACCCGTGGGAGCCCACGCGCATCGCCGTCGGGCCGCAGTCCCTGCTCCGCCGCATGGACTTCGGGCTCGAGGGCGTGACGCGCCCGTGGCTGTACTACGGCGCGCTGTTCGCCACGTTCTCGTGGCACACGGAGGACCACCACTGCTACTCTATCAACTACATGCATAGGGGCGCCGCCAAGTCGTGGTACGGGGTGCCGCAGAGCCAGGCGCGGCAGTTCGAGAGCTGCGTCCGGCGGGCGCTCCCGCTGCTGTTCCGCGACAAGCCGGACGTGCTGTACCACATGAATTTGATGGTGCCGCCGACGACGCTCATCAACGCGGGCGTGAAGGTCGTGCGCGCGGTGCAGCGCCCGGGGGAGTTCATCGTGACGTTCCCCGAGGGCTTCCACGGCGGGTTCTCGCACGGGTGGAACTGCGCGGAGGCGGTGAACTTCGCGCTCGTCGACTGGCTGCCCGCGGGGCGCGAAGCCATGCTCAAGTACCGCTCGGGGAAAGGGAAGCGGTCGAGCATCTTCGCGCACGACAAGCTGGTGTACGACCTCGCGTGCGAGGCCATCCGCGCCGCGCAGGACGCGGGCTTCCGGTCTGCGCCGCTGCCGGCGGCGGTGCTGCGTCGCCTCGACCGCAAGCGCGTCGCCGCGGCGCAGGCCGCGCGGAGCCGCCCGGAGATCCTCGCGGCGATCGAGGCGGAGAAGGCGCAGCGGCGGGAGGCGCGGAGGGCGCGCGGGGAGGACGTCGACGAGGAGGACGCCGCTCACGGCCGCGCGGTCGTCGGGACGACCGTCGCGCCGCCGCCGGGCGGGGAGGGACCCGGTGGGGTCCAGGGCGACGCACTGCTGAAGTCGAAGGCCGCGAAGGACGCGACGCGTGCGGCGGAGGGGGCGTCGCCGGCACAGAAGACGCCTGGCACCCCCCAGGGTGTGGATGGGGCGGCGGCGAAGGAGGAGGGGGCGGCCGCGCCGGCGGCGCCGTCCCAGGACGCGGCGTCCGGTGCCGCGCCGCTGCTGAAGCCGGCGGGCGTCGGGGAGCTGTGGGACGACAGCGGGCTCGACCTGGCGACGATCGAGCGGCCCGACCCTGCGGTGCCGCTGCTGCCGCGGCGCGACGGGCCGGACCTCGCGGCGCCGGACAGCGGGGCGGAGTCGGACGCGGGGGGCTCTGAGAGCGACGAGGGCGACGGCGACGGGCGGCGGCGGCGGTACCGGCCGGTCACGACGGCGCGCGCGCTGGAGTACGTGCCGCACGTGGGGGTCTCGCGGCTGCCGCGGTGGTTCGCGCACGAGTACGACTGGTCGGTCCTGCTGCTGCACTTCGCGGAAGTGAAGGCCGACGAGGACCGGTGGCGCTCGTGGCTCCGAGATCACAAAGCGGGGGGTCTGCAGGAGACAAGCGCGGTGCCGCGCGAGAAGGACGTGAGGGACCCGGAGGAGTGTTGCATCTGCCAGGTGGTGCCGTATCTGTCCGTGGTGAAGTGCGAGTGCCGGCTGCACCCGGCCGTGAACGACCCGGAGGAGCTCATGTGTCCGGAGCACGCCTTCCACGGGTGCACGTGCAAGCCGTACCAGAAGACGATGGAGGTGCGCGTGAGCGACGAGGACCTCGAGACGGTGCTGTGGTGCCTCCAGCAGCTCGCGGCGCGGCACCCGGCGCCCGAGGGCACGCCCGAGGCCTACGCAGGCCAGATGGCGCGCGCGATCGTGAACGCGCGCGCGTCGAAGAAGAACCGCCCCGCGGTGGACGCGGCGGACTTCGGCGGCGACATGCGGTGCTCCAAGTCGGCCGGGAGCTGGCGGTGCAAGGAGGAGCGGGAGCCTGGGTCGCGGTTCTGTGCCAAGCACGCAGTGCGGGTGCGCGGGCCGGTGCTGTATCTCGACGACGCAGCGGGCGCCGCGGCGGCGCCCGCTGCGGCAGCAGACGTGGCGCCGCCGGCGAAGAAGGCCAGGGTGCGCAGCGGGAAGGGGAGCTCGCGGGCGCCCGCGGACGGGGAGCGCTGCGTGTGGAACAACCCCGCAGGGACGCACCGGTGCCGGGCGGTGCGGGCCGAAGGAGAGGAGTATTGCAAGTTCCACCTGGAGCGCAAGGACGCGGTGAAACACAGCGTGGTGGTCGGCGGCGTGGAGAAGCGACGGTGCCAGCGCACGAACGGGCGCGAGTGGCAGTGCTCGAAGCCCGCGGAGGAGGGCTCCGTGTTCTGCAAGAAGCACTACACGCAGAACATCGCGGCGCGCAGACGGCGGAAGCACCTGGGGGCGAGCGGGGGGAAGGCGGCGGTAAAGAAGGAAGTGGCCGCCGAGGGGCAGCCGGCGGAGGGCGCGGCGGAGGGGGCTGCGCCGGCGGCGCCGGCGAAACTGCCAGAGCAAGTCTCGCCCGTGCCCGCAGCAGTATGAACGAGGGCCGGCGGGTCGAGGGGGTGCGCGATGATCGCGATACACAGGCGAGCTGTGAGATTTCAACGAACTGCGCGCACAGGCTGTTGTTCCACGTGCACGTGTTGCCGCGCTGCTGGCCTGCGTGCGTTCTCTCTGCGAGCTTCGGCGAGTCGGAGCTGCGTCCGGTCAGCAGGGGTGTTGCTACGGGTTGCAGGTCGCTCGCCGGAGCGAATGTGTGTGTGCTGGCTGAGCACCGCCGTGATGTGGCTGCACGATTGGTGGTGCGGCGGAGCGGGGGCTCTGACTTCGATGCCGTGCTGTAGACGGGAGGCGGTCGACACACCCATGTCAGGCGGGCGTATTTGAGCCGGGAGAGAGGCAGGCAGGCTAGTGACTGCGTCACATAGATCTGTATTGCGATTTTCCGCGGACAGGCTGTCGCGGTTCTCGTCGACGGGGATCTGCGGGGACATGAGGCACAGTGCATCAGCACTTCGCGGTCGTGCGTGACCTTGTTTCTGCATGTTTCGCGACTATCTGTCCGGGATCGAATTCGTCTTGCGGGGGACGAGATGGGTTGGGGAAACGGCTGCACGGCCCGCTGCGTGGGCCGCACGAATCATGACATGAAGACTCCACGCAACAAATGCGTGGGTCATGCTTGCGATCCTGATCTAATTATACGGCCGTCGTCGACGTGTCAATCCTGATCGACAGCAGCGTGCGACGACGCCGCAGGCGCGTGCGACGAGCGCAGTGCATGGAATAGGGGCTCTGCGCAGCCACATGTCGCGCGCTGTTCCTCACCGGCTGCGTGGTCGCAACCGCCACCTTGGGCGGCTGCACGCGCCAAGAAACGTGTGCGTCAGTGCAAGGGGGGGAAGGTTGAAAGATCGGTTTGGGGAGAGGGGCCGGGAAAATCCTGAGTGCAGCGACGCCATCAGTACACCGGCGCCGTCTTGTCGCGCTCGCTGTCCTCCTCGAGGACCTGCGAGCGGATCTCCTCGTTCCGCCCCGGGTTGACCGCCGACATTGCGTGCTGGATGCGCGCCCGCGCTGCGCGGCGCGAGGCCTCATAGTTGGCGCGCTCCTTCTCGCTGGCGTCGGCGTCGCGCGCGGACAGCGGCGGGCCGCCGAGGATACCGACGAGGTCGTCGACGGTGATGTTCGAGGGGTCGTCGACGGACACGGGCTTTAGGTGGTGGTCTTCAAACCACTTGAGGAACCCCCGAACGTTCATGAACCCGGTTTCGTGGTTCGGGAGCGCCGTGAGCTGCATGATCAGCACGCGCATGTGCTCCCGCTGCCAGTCCTTGGTCATCCTGCGCGGCCACGACGCACCACGCGCGCACGCGTCAGCAAGAGAAAAACACACCGCACGCACGCCGCGCCGCACGCCGCGCCGCCGCCCGCACCTCATCAGCGCCTCGATCTCGGAGAAGAGCACGATCCCGCGGTTCCGCAGGTCGATCTGGTAGAACAGCTCCGCCACGAGCCTCTGCTTGTACGGGCTCAGCCGGCAGTCCACGCCGGAGAACAGCGACATCATGCACAGCTGGATCAGCACGGGCGTCTCCGTGGCCTTCGCCGACGGGAACCCCGCGACGATCAGGTCCCCGATGCCGACGCGCGTCGTGTTCGAGTGCGCCTTCATCAGCCCCGTGGCCATCGTGGTGACGGTTTGCGACGAGATCTCGACGTCCGACCGCATCGCGTTCGAGGAGATCATCCGCACGACGTCCTGGCACATGACGTAGCCCTCCGAGCCCGACACGGTGTCGAGCACGTGCAGCCAGAGGCGCGCCAAGCCGTCGAGCTCGAGGCCGTCGACGAGGATGCCCGACGTCATGCGCATGAGCGACGTCCCGGGCGCCACGCGCACGCCGCGGTTCGCGGCCTCGACCCACGGCGGGAGGTCGTGCTGCGAGAAGATGCCCAGTGGCGTCGGCAGCAAGTTGGTCATGCGCCCGCCCATGGCCTGCTGCAGCTTGAGGCTCTTCTCCGGCGCCGCGGCCGCCGCGACGTCCTCCGCGGCCTTCTCTTTGTCCTTCGCGCCCGCGGACCCCCGGGCCGTCGGGGCGGCGTTGTTGCTGTTGCTGCGCGGCACCGACGACGCGTCCGCGGCCGTGCTTTCCTGCCCGCTGCTCGACTTGGTGCGGGACTGGGTCAGGGGCGATGGAGACGGCTTGCTGCGGGGCTTGCCGAGCGTCCGCATCCGCTGCAGCGCGTCTAGCGTCTTGGAGAGGTCCTGCGGAGGCCAAGAGGACCGAGTGCACTCACCACGGAGGCTGTGGAGCCGCAGATCGCACGTGCGCGGATTCAGAACGAGAACATGGCGCCAATCACGAGCTGTGGGGCGTCTGTCAGCTCGAGAACAGGGCAACAAGCGGCAGAGTACCGCTGCAGGGGTTCATGCGAGCATGCACGCACCTTGTCCTTGCCGGCGTCGCGCGCGCGGCCCGAGTCCCCGAATGCACTTGCGGTCCGCTCGCGCACGGAGTCCTTCGCGCGGCGCGGGTCGTTGCCCGTCAGGCTCCCTTCCCTAGCCACAACCGACGGCTTGAGTGCCGGCCGCGGGAGTTCGAGCGACCCGCGCTTGCCGCTCGGGGACGGCCTGTAGCCGCTGTCCCGATAGGTAGGGGCCAGGATCGCATCGGAGCCGAACTGCGACTCCGTGAACGCGCGCGCGCGGTTCACCACTGTCGGCGCCACTGCCTGGCCCTCCGGCGGCGTCTTCCGGGGCGAAGGGGACGTGGGGAACGGCCCGCCAGGCGCAGGAACCCCAGCCATCGGGCTCGGGCCGGCCAGGTCGCCCGAATGGCGGTCAAGCTGGCTGCCACTCTGCATGGAGGTGGAGCGGATGATGCCGCTCTCGCTTGTCCTGAGCGTTTCGAGCCGCCGAAGCTTCATTTGGGTAGAGGTGACCCCGTGCTGACTGCCTGGGAGCCCTGAGGGCTGCGCGTCCCCCGCAGAAGCCGTCACTGCCCCGTGGTGCACTGGCGGCGTTTTCTGGTCGCTTCTCACGCCCGATGGGCGCCCGGAGCCGCTCTCCCGCCTTTTCTCGATCAGGTGGCGCCAGCGGCTGTCGTCACGCGACCCCGAGTCCCCCGATGCGGGGCCAGGGCCCGCTCCACCTGCGGCCTTTGCTTTCATGGCGTGCGTGGCCATGGCAGCCGGAGGCCCCGCCGCGTCGCACGAGGCGGCAGCTGGAGATGTGAGGGCGCGGCGAGGGGGTGCAGCGTGGTTTCGACCGGCCTCCCTCGCTGGCCGCCCGCGACGTGATGCACCTAGCACGCGCGGTCGTCGTCCCTGCGCGTACCGACCCGCACGAGCAGTCGATCTTCGGTGCGCTCCGCGTTGTAAATGTTCGCCGACGGGCCGTCCGACGCCCTTGTGCCCGCACGCGGCGGCGCGGCAGGACGACCGCCGGCCACACACGGAGGTGCCGCCAACCTTACTCATGCCCCACATGCGGCGCGAAACGCGGCGCGCACGGCCCTCTAGCGCGACCAGCCGCGCCCGCCCGGACAACTAGCCACCGCGCTCCCTGCGGCCACCGTCTCCGGCGACTTCCACGGCTCTGAGCCTTGCGCGGCACGTCGAGTGTTGCCGCGTCTCTCGCTGCCAGCGCGCGCCTGCGGTTCGACATGGACGCGTCGGCGGCCGCGGCCCGGAGGGTCAACGGGCTCGTTGGGCACCTGCAGGCAAGCCACGCGTGCGCTGCGCGTCGCGAGAAGGGCCAATGTGCATGACGCAACCACCCGACGCGCGCGTCGAGAGCCGCTGTCCCATGTCGCGCCGCGCTCGTTCCTGTGTGACCGCAGGGACAAGGGGCCCTCGTCGGGCCCGCGGGCGACTCCCCCGACGACATCGTGGTGGTGGCTGCGCTGCGGACGCCAATGACCAAGGCGCGGCGCGGGGGCTTGAAGGACGTGCCGCCCGAGGAGCTGATGAGCGCGGTGCTCAAGGCCGTCCTCGACAGGACGAGCGTGCGCGGCGAGGAGGTCGGAGATATCGTGGTTGGGTCGGTCCTGGGCTCTGGTAAGCACTGCAGGCCGTGAGCGCACCCGCGCGGGGTGCGTGCGGGCCAGCTCCTCGTTTCGCAGCTGTGCCCGGCTTTTGCTGCTTCGTGCCTTGAGAATCCCGTCATCGCACGAGGACGTTCGCGACTGGCGAGGCGGGACGCGTCCGAGTCACCAGGTGCACCTCTGCGCCTGCGCTGCCGTGGCGGCGGGGCCACACGTTCCGAGCTTCGCGCGCCCCTTTCGCTGACCGGTGCAGGATCGCAGCGCGCGACCGAGGTGCGCATGGGCGGCTTCCTCGCGGGGCTTCCTGAGACGGTGCCAGTGCGGTTGGTCAACCGCCAGTGCTCCTCTGGGCTGCAAGCGATCGCCGACGTCGCGGCGAGCATCAAGGCTGGCTACTACGACATCGGAATCGCAGGTGCGCCGCACGTTCCTCCCATTCGCGGCGTCCCAGCGCCCCTGCTGCCCCCTCCCACCTTTCACGGGACCGCACGGAGCGCAGCGAGGCCCGTACTCGCCCGGAACACGTCGCAGAACCTAGAAACGATGCGGTTCTTCTCGCAGGGGGTATCGAGACGATGTCGATCAACCCGATGGACTGGAAGGGCGACATCAGCCCCGCCTCCGTCATGCACGAGCAGGCGCGCTCCTGCCTGCTGCCCATGGGAATCACGTCGGAGAACGTGGCTGCGCGCTGGGGCATCGACCGCGACACCATGGACGCCTTCGCCGCCACGAGCCACGCCAAGGCCGCAGCCGCACAAGCGTCGGGACGCTTTGCGGCGGAGATCGTGCCCGTGCGCGGCCTGGACAAGGACGACGGCATCCGCGCAGGCACGACGCCGGAGTCCCTCGCCAAGCTGAAGCCGGCGTTCATGCCGAAAGGCACAACCACGGCCGGCAACGCCTCCCAGGTCACAGACGGCGCCGCCGCCGTTCTTCTGATGCGGCGCTCCGAGGCGCAGCGCCGCGGCCTGAAGGTCCTCGGCGTCCTCCGCAGCTTCGCCGTGGTCGGCTGCGACCCGGCCGTCATGGGCATCGGGCCCGCGGTCGCCATCCCGGAGGCAGTCAAACGCGCGGGCATAGCCATCAGCGACCTCGACGTCGTGGAGCTGAACGAGGCGTTCGCGTCGCAGGCCACGTACTGCATCAACAAGCTCGGCCTGGACCCCGCGAAGGTCAACCCCAACGGCGGCGCCATCGCGCTCGGCCACCCCCTGGGCTGCACGGGGGCGCGGTGCACCGCCACGCTGCTGCATGAGATGGCCAAGCGGCCGGGGGCGCGGTACGGCGCCGTGTCGATGTGCATCGGCACGGGCATGGGCGCGGCGGCGGTGTTCGAGGTCCCGAGCGCGTGAGGCGATCGCACACAGTTCACGAGGCAGGTGCGTTCCGCCAGCCGTGCATCTCGGCAGCAACTCGCGCCACAGACGGCGCAGGAGCTGAGCGCTGTGAAGCGGTACACGTCAACGCATCCCCTCTCCACGTCCGACCGATTTACACCCCCCTCCACGGCCTACGAGTTGACCGACGTCAGCAGCCCTGCGCCGTCGCCCTGCTCGACCACCTCGTACCCGACCCCGCGCGGCTCCTCGTACGGCGCCGCCCTCTTCTCCGTCATGTGCGTCCTGTCCATCAGCTTCTCCAGCATCTCGTCCGACACGACGCCGCTCTCCGCCACGCCGCCCGACGTGCTCCCGCCCGCGGCCAGCAGCTGCAGCAGCTCCGCGCTCGCGTCGTCCGACCCCGCCTTCCCTTTCCCCTTCTTCTGCTGCTTCTCCGCCGTCCCGCTGTCCAGGAACGCCCCCTTCCGGATGATGAGCTTCTCCAGCAACAGCTTCGAGTTTGCTCGCGAGAGCATGCGACCGTCGACGCTGCCCGCGGTGACGAGGCGGTACACCACCACCGGCTTCGTCTGCCCGATGCGGTGGCACCGGTCCATGGCCTGCATGTCCTGGTGCGGGTTCCAGTCGCTGTCGTAGATGATGACCGTGTCGGCGGCGGTGAGGTTGATCCCGAGGCCGCCCGCGCGCGTGGAGAGGAGGAACACGCGGACGTCGTCGTCCTCGTTGAACCGCCGCATGAGCTCCTGGCGCGTCTGCCAGCTCGTGCTGCCGTCGAGACGCACCGACACGCGCCCGAGGTCGTGCAGGAAGACGTCGATGAGGTCGAGCATCTTGGTCATCTGCGAGAAGATGAGCACCTTGTGCTTCCGGTCCAGCAGCCGCGACAGCAGCCGCTCCATCAGCTGCATCTTGCCCGACTGCTCCAGCAGCACCTCCGGGGAGGGGTATTGCAGGTCCCCCTGCGCCTCCGCCGTGATCAGATCCGGGTGGTTGCACACCTGCGCGCAACAACACCAACGCCCGCACCCATCACCACACCACGCCGCACCACGCAACGCAACGCGCTGCGGTGGTCACCAGCGCTGCCGCCGCCCGCGCCGCGCCCCGCACGCACGCGCAGGCACGGGGCGCCGCACCTTGCGCATCTGCATGAGCACGTTGTTGATCGACGACTCCGCCGCGCGCCCGATGCCCGTCCCCATGCTCTCCTTGATCTCGCGCAGCTTCTCCCGCAGCGTGCCGTCGACGAGGTCCTTGTTCAGGTCCTTCTGCAGCTTGGTCATGCCCGCGTACAGCACGATCTCCTTCTTCGGCGGCAGGCCCTGCGCCACGTCGAGCTTCACGCGGCGCAGGAGGAAGGGCTGGAGGATGGCGTGGAGCTTGGTGACGACCTTGTGGCGCTGCTCCTGCGCGACGAGCTCCTGGTCGCGCTCGCCGTCCTCGCCGATGAAGTCGAACCAGGACTCGAACTTCTCGAGGCTGTCGAACAGGTCCGGGAGGAGGAAGTTCAGGAGCGACCAGAGCTCGGCGAGGTTGTTCTGCAGCGGCGTGCCCGTGAGGAGGAGCTTGTTGTCCGCGGGGATCGTGCGGAGCTCGCGGACCAGCTTGCAGTCGAAGTTCTTCAATCGGTGGCCCTCGTCTACCACCACGTACTTCCAGTTATACTTCTTCAGCGCCGAAATGTCCCGAATCACCACCTCGAAGGACGTGCACACGATCGGGAACGTCTCCGTGCCCGCCTGCGCGCGCCCGGGGCCGGCAAACACGCGTGAGCGCAACGCGCAGCAGGAACGAAAAGACGCTGCGCCAGACGCGGCGCTGGTGGGGGCTCACCGTCCGCGGCTGCATGTGCTCCTTCCGCAGCCCGTCCCGCTCCTGCTTGGTGCCGTGGTAGAGCACGACGGGGAACGTCGGCGTCCACCGCTTGACCTCCCCCACCCAGTTGGGCAGCGTCGACAGCGGCGCGATGATGAGGAACGGGCCGTGGATGCCGTGCGAGCGCAGGTGCGAGAGGAACCCGATCGTCTGGACCGTCTTGCCCAGGCCCATCTGGTCGGCGAGGATCCCGTTGAGCCCGTTCTGGTACAGCGACGCCAGCCACTTGATGCCGGAGATTTGGTACGACTTGAGGCGCCCGCCCGTGATGAGCGGACACAGCTCCGCCTGCTCCTCCGCGTCCTGCACGCGCGCGGCCGGGCGGGGGCGCCGTCGGGGCGCGCGTCGCGACGTGCTGGCACGGCACGCGTGCAGCTGGGGGTTGGTTGTGGCGGTCGAGGGCTGGGAGGCGCGTGGCGGCGGGGAGCGCTGGCGCGGCTAGGCGTGGTCGGTGCGAGGCAGGTCGGGCGGGCGCGGGCGCGGCGGCAACACCCGCGCATGGCGCGCGTTGCGCTGCGTGGGGACACGAGCGAGGGCCCGCACCGCGTCGGCCCCCGAGGCCTTGCTCTTCTTCTGTTTCTTCTTCGCGGGCTCCTCGTCGCGGTCGATCTCGATGTTCTCGGCCAGGAACTGGCTGTACAGCTGTGTCTTGTTCAGGAGCTGGTCCAGCTGCTCGTACTTCTTCTTGTCGAGCGTCACCGGCGTATCCTGCGACGCACGCCCGAGGGCAGCACCACGCAGCGTTTCGCGTTCTGCGGCCGGAATCCATCGACAGCGCGACGCTCCGTGCATTGATCAAAAACGTGCACCCGCGGCCGCGCCGTCATCGCGCGCCGCGAGTTACGGCCCGCGCCGCCGCAAACGGGGTACACGCGTGCTTCTCACCTTCTTCGGGGTGCTTTTCGCCTTCTTCTCGCGCTCCAGCCGCAGTTTCTCCTCCTCGTCGTGGACATGGTCGTCCTCCCCGAACATGCCCTTCACGTACTCGCTGTCGTCCGACGCATCTGCGCGCCGTACGGTGCGAAGTGGCTGCGAGGTGGGCGCGCGAGCTCGGGGCGATGCGCCCAGCGCAGCGCGCCGGAGTGCAGGTACGCTCCGGAGCAGCAGGAGCTGCCCGTGGGGCGCAGGGCACCGGAGGACCGGGCCACCGCGCCGACGCGGCGCTCCGTGTCCACGATGTCGCGTCTGGGATTGGCCGAGCTCGAAATATACGCCGTGGAGCGACGTCGCGCATGTAGGGCAAGGTGCAGCGCCCGAGGTTGCGCGGGCTGCGGCGCCGGGGGGGGAGTCACACCTGCGGTCGGGCTCGCATCCTTGCTGTCCTTCTTCGACTTGGGCGCCGGCTGCAGGTGACGGCGAAACGGATGCGGCACGGGAGTTGTCGAGGTGCAGCCCCGCTGGGCAAGGTAGGCAAACGCCGCCGGCACAGCGCGCCGGGGGGATCAGGCCAGCGGGAACCGGCCGCTCTGTGCAAGACTGGGTCGTGTCCCTCGAAATACCCTTATAACAACCTCTGTTCCGGTCAGACAGTGATTCTTGGCGGCATTGCAAGTCCTCCAGGCGGGAACCTCGCACGCATCGCCGCGAGCGGCGTCTTTGCGCGCGGGCCCGGCCGGATGCTTCTGTGAGGCTGAGAGCGGCCGGCAGGGCGCCCCAGGCCCCCTCCCCAGCCCCCGGGGACGCCGCGCGGGCGTCCCTTGCTGCGCCGCCACTCGCAGGCGCGCGCGAATGCGCGCGGCTGACGCCGGCACGCGGGGCCGGACGCGCGGCGCCGGGGAGGTGAGCGCGTACCTTGGATCCAGAGGCGGGGCCGTTACGTACAGTACGATGCAGCGGCCCGTCCTCGACAGAGAGCCGCTTCCCGGCACCCTCCTTCGCTTGAGACGTCATATCCCCGCACACTCTCCTCGAACTCCAATCCCCAGCGTGCCTAACTGTCACTCTTCTGCCTTCGCGGCCCCACCGCCGGCGGCAATCAACGCCCCCGCAGCCCCGCCGCGCACCCCACCAACACACCACCACCACGGGCAACCTGCACCGTCCCGGCACCATCGCGATGCGGCAGCCCGCCAGACGCCGGCACCGAGCGAGTGCCGATCCAGGCCTGCCTTCGACCTGCCTACATCACATCTCGCGGGCCTTGTTACTCCCCCGCGACCCCCCCGTGCTCTGCACACTATCAGCAACTTCACGTGCCGCGCCCGTCACTCCTCGTCGCTGCTGTCCACGAACTCCCCGGCCTGCTCGAACGCCGCCATCAGTCGCTGGCCCTGCTCGATCGAGTCGGCCTCCGCCGCGCCGTCGTCCCCCGTCGAAGGCTCCGCCCACCGGTGCGCAAACATTTCGCGCACGCCGTTCGGGCTCGGCGTCGCGGACGCCCCCACGAGCGGCCCCGGGGACGGCGTCGTCCCGAGCGAGCCGCCAGCCCACAGGTCGTCCATGCGCTTGACTCCCCCCGGCGTCAGGCCTGCCCGACAACCCCCCGTGGTGTTTAGCGGGATCGGAGGGGTCGCGCCGCACCACCCGGCGTCCATCGTGGCGCCAGGCGACGGTCCCGGCGGCGACGCCGGGGGCATGCACGGCCCGGAGTGCTGCGCGGCGCTCGTGACGTCAGGCGAGGGGGTACTCATCTCGACTCCCCCCCACGACACCTCCATCAGCGCTCCCACGCGCTCCGGCGTCGACCGCTGCCGCGGGTTCGGCCCGCCCGTCGACAATGGCAGCGACGCCTGCGACATCGCCGGCGTCGGCGCCCCCTCGCCCTCCCCCTTCAGCGCCCGCCCAAACAACCGACGGAAGAACCCGCTGCCTGCGGAGCTCCGCACGCTCGCCGTGTCCGACGCGACCGACGCCGCGCCGGAGAACCCCCCGAGCGAGATGCTCTCGCAGTCGCCGTACGACGACCCGTCCACCGACCCAGCCGCCACGTGCCCTGCGTCGTCATCGTCGTCGGCGGCGCTCTTCCCCGGGGCGGGGACGGCCTTGAGCTCCGACGCGACGTCCTGCACGCCCGTCCGGATCGCGCGGAGGCTGCGGACGAAGTCGCTCGACCGGGAGTCGTCGCGCTTCGAGCCGCCGGAGTCGACGGTGCTGATCGTGGCGCTGGACGCGCCCGCAGCCTCGGAGACCCACGACGCGGTCAGGCGGGCGGACACGGGCGACGGGGCGCCGCGCGGCCGCCGCGCCTCGACCTCGTTGCGCAGGATCTCGATCTCCGCCGCTGCGTGCTCCAGGTCGGCGCGCGCCTCGGAGAGCTGCGCCAGGGCCTCGAGCACGCCGTCGTCCGAGCACTGCGGGCGGGGGCGGAGCGGGGGACGTTGCAGCGGTGCGGGCGCGGGCGAGTGCGCACAGACATGATTGTTTTCCGCGACCACGCAAAGCCTATGATTCGGGACGAAACGCAAACGCAAGATCGGGAAATACGAGTTTCTGGTTCGTTCGTTCGCGATCTTGTCGCACCTCGAGTTCCGCGCTCTCGCGGACGTTGAGCAGCCCCGCGTGGTACAGCGCCGACACCACGCGCTGCCGCTCCTGGCTCAGCCCGAGGATCGCCTGCCGTGCGGCCTCCAGCTCGGCCTCGCGCCCCAGCAGCTGCGCACCCGCCTGTGCGTGCGCCGCCTCCGCCTCCGTCGCGCGCCGCTCCGCCGCCGCGAGCGCCCGCCGCGCCCCCGCCAGGTCCTCCTTCAGCGCCGCCCCCTCCTCCTTCGCGCGGCCCTCCGCGATCTGCGCCTCCGACGCCTCGGCGTGCGCCACCTCCACCTTCTGCGACCACGCCCGCTCCGCGGCCCGCGCCTCCGCAACCAGCCTCTCCCGCGCCGCCTCGAGCTCGCCCACGCGGCCCTCGAACCGCGCGAGCTCCGCCGCGGCCTCGCGCGCCGCTGCGTCGGACGCCGCGGCCCGCTGAGTCAGGCCAGACACCTCCGCCCTGACGCGCTCGAGCTCCCGCGCCTGCGCCGCCGCCCGCTCCCCGAGCGCGCGGGACTCCTCGAGCGCTCGCGCAAGGCTCCCGGACAGCTCGTCCAGGCGCCGCGCGTCCTCTCCGCGGCCCTTCTTCTCCTGCCTGAGCTGCGCCTCCACAACGCCCGCCTCCTCCCGCGCCGCGTCGCGCTGCCGCTCCGCCTCGCCCGCGCTCTCCGCGGCCGCGGCAAGCTTGTCCTCGAGCTCGCGCACCGCGCCGGCCAGCTCCGCCCGCGACGCGGCGGCGGCCTGCTCTGCTGCGCACACGCGCTGCGCCATACCGTCGCGCTCGCGCCGCAGGGCCTCGGCGCGATCCTCGCACTCCGCGACCCGCTGCGTCAGCTCCGACGCGCGCGCCCGTGCGGCTTCGCGGTCCTCCGCGAGCTCCTTCGCCTTGGCCCGTTCCGCCTCCAGCGCAGACACCGTGCGCTTCATCTCGCCCTCCGCGTCGCACAAGCGCTTCACGGTCCCGCTGTGGCGCTGCTCGAGGTCAACCAGCTCGCCCTGGCACACATCCAGCTCCCGCTGCGCCTCCGCCGCCCGCGACACGGCGGCATCGCGCTCCCCCTCCGCAGCCTCCAACGCGAGCATCCTGCTCTCCAACTGGCCCTGCAGGTCGCTGACGCCGCCGCGGAGCGTCTCGCAGGTGCCTTCGACGGCCGCCAGCTGCGCGCGCGCCTCACGGAGGTCCCGCTGGGCGACCCCGAGCTGCTCCCTCAGAGTGGCCGCATCCCTGCTGCTCTCCTCCCGCTCCGCGACCGCGCCGTCGCGCTGCGCCTCCGCCTCCCGGACGCGCTCCAGCGCCGCGTCGCGCGCACGCTCGGCCTCTCGCGCCCCCGCAACGGCCCTCTCCAGGTCCGCCGTGATCGTCGCCACTTGCAGCTTGAGGGCCTCGTGCCTCGGCCTGATCGCGTCCAGCTCGAACTCGAGCTGCCTGTTGTCGGCGCCCACAGTGCTCAACGCCTCGATTGCCTTTCCGAGCCTCTCCTCCTGCTCGCCCGCGGCGGCAGCTGCCTGCCTGAGCTCCTCCTCCAGCTCCTGTACGCGTGTCTTGGTCTGCTCGTTCTCGGCGATCGCAGTGGTGAACCGCTCGCCCTGCTGTGCCAGCCTCTCCTCCTGCTCGCCCGCGGCGGCAGCTGCCTGCCTGAGCTCCTCCTCGAGCTCCTGTACGCGTGTCTTGGTCTGCTCGTTCTCGGCGATCGCAGTGGTGAACCGCTCGCCCTGCTGCGCCAGCTCCGCTTCTGCGGCAGCGCGGCGGGCCTCCGCCTCCCGCCGGAGCTGCTCGACGGCCGCGTGGGCGTCTTCCGCGGCCGCGAGCTCCGCCGCGTGCGCCTCCGCCGCCGCAGCGGCGCCGTCGCGCTCCTGCGCAGCCCTGGAATCGGCAGCCTTGACTGCGGCACTCAGTGCGGCAATCTCGCTCCGGAACGCCGCGCGCTGCTCCTCGGCCTCCCGTGCTACCACGAGCAAGCGGTCCTCCGCCTTCTGAACCCGCTCGGCGAGGCCGGCCGCCTCCTCTCGAGCCTGCCGTGTGTGCGCCTCAGCCGCAGCAACGTCGGCAACAAGCGCCGCGTTCTCGCCCTGCACCGCCTCGACGCGCTTGCGTAGGTCGTCGACGGTCCCCCGGAGCAGCTCGCGTGCCCGCTCGCCGTCCGCGGCGATCCTAGCGGACGCGTCGCGCTGCAACTCGAGCTTTTCCAACTGCGCCTGGAACTCTGCAAGCTTGGTCCGCTCCCCCTCGAGCCGCGACGCAAGGCCAGCTGCCTCCTCCCTCGCCGCGTCGAGCGCGACCCCCGCCGCCGCCACCTCCGCGTCCTTCGCCAGCACACCCCCCTCTGCTGACTCCGCACGCTCCTCCGCCTCCTGCCTCGCGCCGCGCTCCGTCTCCAGCGCAGTGCGCGTCTGCTGCAGCTCGAGCTCGTACTCCTGCATCTGCGCCTCGGCCGCCGCCACCTTCGCCGCCGCGTCCAGCGCCGTCGACGCCGTGCGATCCTTCGCAGCCTCCACCGCCGCGATCGACGCCCTGAGCTCGCGCAGCTCCGCACCGAGCCGCCTCTGCTCCCGGGAGCTCGACGCCGCCTTCGCCTCCGCCTTCGTCGCCCGCGCGCGCGCCGCAGTCAGCTTCCCGTCCAGGTCAGACGCACGTGCCGCGAACGTCTCCTGCGCCGCCGCCGCCGCGGCCCCGGCGTCCGCGAGCTCCTTCCGCGCCGCGTGCAGGTCGCGCTCGGCCTGATCCGCCCGCGCGACCGCCGCGTCAATCTCCTGGCGCAGGAACGCGACGTGCTCGTCCGCCGCAGCCGCACGGACTGCGCTCTCCTCGCAGCTCGCAACGGCGCCGTCCCGCGCCGCCTCCGCTTCCTGCGCGCGCTCACGCGCCCCGTCGCGCTCCCGTTCCGCCTCGCGCACCGCACCGGCGGCCCTCTCCACGTCAGCCTCAAGCTCGCCCACGCGGCCACGCAGCGTCTCATTCTCCGCTGCCGCAGCGTCTCGCTCGCTCCTGCGGTCCTCGAGCTCCTTCGCCGCAACCGCCTGCTTCTTCACGGCCTCCTCGAGCTGCGCACGCGCCTCTTCGAGCGCCGCGGTCGCCTCGGACAGCTCCCGGCGCACGTCCTCCGCGGCGCGCTCCGCACGCGCCGCCCGCTCGCCCACGTCCCGCGCCGCGGCGTCCCGGGCCCGCGCGGCCTTCGCCCGTATCGCCGCGCCCTCCTCGCGCGACCGCGACAGCTCCTCCGCCGCCCGCGCCACCTCCGCCGCCAGACGCACCTTCTCTCCATCAATCTCAACGCACCGCCGTTTCCCGTCCGCCAGCTGCCGCCGGAGGTCCTCCACGGTGCCCCGGAGGTCCACACAGCACCGCTCCGCCGCAGCGGCGCGCTCCGAGGCCGCGGAGAGCTCGCGGTCCAGCGCAACGATCTCTCTGCGCAGTGCCAGCGCCTCCGCAGCGCGCGCCTGCGCCTCGCCGTGCGCCCGCGCCTCGGCCGCCTCCAGCCGCGCGGTGACCTCCTCGAGGGCCGCCGCGCCCGCCGCCGCGTCCGCGGCCTCCGCCGCCCGCGCGGCGGCCCGCGCGTCCTCCGCGCCCTGCGTCGCGGAGCGCAGGGCCTCGCGCACGCCCTCGAGCTCGCGCTGCAGCGCCGCCTCGCGCCCAGACGAGGCGCCGGCGGCGTCGCGCGCCTGCCGGAGCTCCTTCAGCTCCCGCGCGGCGGCCTTGCGGTTCTTCTTGTGGGACTCCACCGCCTGACTCAGGCGCCTGACGTGTTCCCGCGCCGCCGCCGCGTCCGCCTGGGCCTCGACGCGGCCCTGCTCGGCCTCCGTCAGCAGGTCCGACACGCTCGTGAGCGCGGCGTCCTTCCCGGCGAGCTGTCGCCGCAGCGACTCGGCCTCCCTGCGCGCCGCGTCTCTCTCGGCCTGCAGCGCGCGGGCGCTCCCCTCGGCGTCGCGGCGCGCAGAGGACCCCGCGGCGACCGCCGCGAAGGCTGCCGCGACGCACCGCGCGACGCTGACCTCGCGTTCGCGCTCCTCCTCCCCGACGGCCACCTCGACGGCGCGCCGCACCATGCCGCGTGTGGCGCCGCGCACGAGCCCGCGGGCCTCGCGGGACGCGCGGCCGGCCTTGATCAGCGCTCGCTCGCACTGCAGGACCCAGGCAGCACGGAACGCGCGGGCTCAAGTGACATGAAGACACGTTTCAGTATTTCTTGTTCCATTTTTTTTTTTGTTTTTTCTCGCCCTCGCGCGGGGGCGCTCACCTTGTGCACGGCGTCGTCGCGGTCGGCCTCCACGCGCCCGACGCGCGCCCGCAGCGTCTCCAGCTCCGCCTCCCGGTCCCCCGCGAGCCGCTGGTATTGCCGCATGGCCTCCGTCGCTCTCTCCGCCACCTCCACGTACTCGGCCATCTCGCCCTCGATGGCCTCCACGCGCTCCATCTGGTCGCCCGCGGCCTTCTTCAGCTTCGCGATCACGCCCGCGCGGTGCCGCACCTGCTCCCGCAGCGCCGTGACCAGGTCGCCGCGCGCCGCCAGCGCCGCCTCCGCGCGCGCCGCGCTGCCCTCGGCGTCCCGCGCGCGGTCGCGCGCGACGTCGCAGTCCGACCGCGCCTGCGCGAGCTCTCGCGAGGTGCCAGCGAGCGTCCGCTCGAGCGCGTGCGCCGCGCGGCAGGCCTCCGCCGCGGCCGTGCAGTCGCCGTCGCACACGGCGACGCTGATCCCCAGCCTGACGTCAGGCTCCCGGACCGTCAGCGTGAGCGTCACCGGCGCCGATGCGGCCGCCTCGAGGCGGGCAAGCACCAGGGACGCGCCGGCCAGGAGCGCAGCCGGCTGTGGAAGGGGAGCGCTGTCGTCGGCCGGCGTCTGCGTCGGGACGTGCGCAGCCAGCGCGTCGAGGGCGCCGGCGTCGCCCATGCTGCGCTCGAGGACGCCCGCGAGGGCCACGAGGGTGTCGTGCAGCCCCGTCTGACAGGCACGCAGGTCCTCGGTCAGACTGAACGCGTTGCGCAGGTCAGACAGCTCCCGCTGCAGCGTCTCGACCTCCTCGCGGGCCTGGCTCAGCTGCGCGCGCGTCGGGCTGCCCGTTCCCGCGCGGTCCTCGGCCGTGTCCGGCGACACGACGCGAACACGCGTTGCCGGCGACAGCGAAGGGTCCGCCTCCGAGGCGCCGCCGTCCGCCGGGCGCTTGCTCGGGGTCGCCGCGGGCGCTTCGAGCAGCGGGGAGGGCGGCGTGGCCGCGGAACCGGCCGCGAGGGCCGCTGCGCGGCGGTGCGGGGGGCTGGGCGGCGGCGTGGTGGGCGCGACGAGCATCGACCGCAGCAGGTCGCACGTGGCCTCGACCTGCTCGCGGTAGCGCCTGCGCAGGTCCTGGAGGATGCGGTACTCCTCGGCGGTCGGGGGACGCGCCGCAACGTCCACGGAGGCGGAACTGCGGGGGCGCAGGGGGCCGGAGGCGCAGGTGAGTGCGGGCGGTGGCTGCGGAGCTCTGGCGCGACGGAGGGGCGCAGCTTCACCAACGAGGGGTTCCTTCATGTGAGAGGGGCCGATGTAGGGGACGAGAGAGTCCACGTGCGGCGTGCAGGTGCGCGAGGATTCAAAAGTGGGTTTGGCAGCTGTGGCGGGTGTCAACAACTCGCCTGGCCCGCCTGACGACCTCCACGTCCTCATCGACGCCCGCGGGCACGGCCTCGAGGTCCTTGGTCCCGCTCGCGACCGACGCGGATCGATCGAGCGCTCGGCGCGCGGACGGCGGGCCGGCGCTGCGGAGGCGCAGTGTGGAGGCTGGACGGTACGGGGACTGCGAGGGCGCCACACGGCGCTTCTTCGAACTCAAACCCGATTGTTCCTGCGCCTCCGCGCCATGAACACTGCACACGTCCACGAAAGCAACGCAGGGATCAGCGGGTGGGACAGCACGAGGGCGTCGCTGGTCCTGTGTGCAAGTCACTGGCGAAATTCGTCTTCTGATGCATCCTGCGGCTGCTCGCGTGCATCTCTCGGTAGGGATAAGGTGAGGGCTTCCAACCTGGTGCTTTTCGGTGTGCGGGAAGGCGTTCCTAGCCCGCGAACAGGCGTCTGCTTGAAGTCTGATGGCTGCGCATGGCCCGCGTTCGCGCTGAGGTTGCGCAGACTCCCGAGCGGGGTCCGTGGTGTCTTCGGGGAAGGCGGAACATCGCCGTCCTCGAAGACGCGGAGGCTCGCCGGGCGGCGTGCGGCGACGCCGGGCCCGAGCTTCATCGCCCCGAACGCCGGCTTCGCGCGGCCGCTACGCTCCTATCTCGGGACCGTACTCGGTCGCCGAGCAATCCTCGAGCCAAGTGGCGTACGAAACTCGGCCCGAAACTATCCAAATCCCAGTGGGGAGGTGGCCTTGCGCGCACGAACCGAGAGCGCGTCTCCACGCGGCACAGGACCCAGCCGATCGCAGCGCAGCCGCGCGACAAGACATCGCTATCTGACGGTGCCTGGCGCGGCGCGGCGCAACGAGCGGGCGTCCCACGCGTGAGGTCGGCTGTGCTCAGGTCAACTACCAACCTGAGTAAGACCGACGGGTCCGCCAGGACGAGGCCCGGAGTCCCTGACTAGCGCGCCGCGGGCTGCCGTCGCTGCGAAGAACCCGACCGTGGCCACCAGCGCGGAAGCAACGGCACCGTAGGCCGCCCAGCGGTACACACTCCCAGCCTGTCGAGGGCCTGTGCGGAATTCCAGCTCACGTGCGATCGCGTCTGTGACTCCTTCTGTTCGTAAGGTCCTCCGGGCTCCATTTACCACCTAAGGTGCGCCTTAGAAACCTCCCAGGTGAGCGCCTGAGGCACTGCGTGCCCCGCCAGGATGGGGCTCGAGGGCACGGTGGACACACGCGCAAGTCGCGCGCCCGCACGCTCCGCAGGAGGAAGGCTCGAGATGAGCGAGGTGGAGGTGCTGCGCGCGGACCCCGAGAATGCGGCGCCGGCCAGGTGAGCCCGCGCACCATGCGGGACGGGCATTGCTCCGTCTGCGGCGGCCCGCGGTCCAACAGCCCGCGAACGAGCACGCATGGACTGGACGTCTGCACGCGGTACCGTGTGCGCGTCGTGCTCGTCTGCGCTCGTCGCATCTGTACGGGCTGGCCTTGCACGCAGGCCAACGTCTGCGCACCGTCCCACCGCCCGCGCAGCGACGGCAATCTCCTGCGCGAGGAGTTCAGGCAGCTGTGCGACCTCGTGGCCCACAAGACCGGCTTCCAGCCGTCCGACAACCAGCATCTGATAGACGTGTTTCGGTTCTATGACAAGAACGGCAACGGATTCATCGAACAAGAAGGTCCGCCGCACAGACAACTGCCCTGCTCTCGCGCACGCCTGCGCACAGCTTGCCGGGCCCGCCGCGCCGCGGCAACCACGTTGCCAGCCGCCCAGAAGCACGCACGCGGGTCCGCGCCCTTACCAGCGTGACGACCCAGTCGCGGGCGCCGCAGAGCTGTTTCCGATGGTGTGCGAGCTCCTCGGCTGGGACAAGGAGGAGATGGCGTCGAAGAGGGACGGCGTAATCGCGGAGTTTCTCTCGAACAACGACCTGAACAACGACGGCCGCGTCGACTACGTGGAGTTCGTGCGGTACGTCCTCCGGCAGGACTCGACCGCGTGGGAGGAGGCCGTGCGGCAGTCCTTCGAGGCCATGGACGTCAACGGGGACGGCTTCATCGATGCCAGCGAGCTCGCGGCCAAGCTGGCAGACCACGGCTGCGCGGGCGACGCCGTGGCGGACATGCTCAAGGAGCTCGACAGGGACCAGGACGGCAAGGTGTCGTACCTGGAGTTCCTCGGCAGCACGATCTTCGGGTCGCTGACCCCGCAGGCGCAGCTGGTGGCCATGTTCAAAAACAGCATGGGGCGCCGGGAGGCGGAGGAGAAGGAGATGGACCCCGGGGAGGCGGCGTGGTCCAAGCTGAGCGCGAGGCGGCAGAAGAAGGTCCTGCGGGCGTTCAGGACCTTTGACACGAACGGTGAGTGCGTGCAGTGCGGCCCTCGCGCGACGCGCTGGGACGTGCGGTGCGGGCGCGTGCCGAGCGGTGCGGGCTTGCGGGTGCGTGCAGGGGACGGGACCGTGGACAAGAAGGAGCTGAAGCGCATGCTGCGCGCAATGGGTTTGAACCCGACGGACCGGGACGCGGAGCGCTACCTGCAGGAATGCGACATGGACGGCGACGGCACGCTCGACCAGTACGAGTTCACCATCCTGCTGGAGCTCGCCGAGTCGCTGGTGAACCCGGCGAAGGAGGAGGAGCGCGTGCGCAAGGCGCTTGCCGTGTACGACACCAACGGGGACGGCAGGATCAGCGCGGGGGAGCTGAAGGCGATTCTGACGGCGAGGGGCCACTCAGGTGCGCGGCAGAGATGGACCGGCCGGTGTTGTGCCGGTGGGGATCTGGCGGGGGGTTAAACGTGCGATGGGCGCGCCTGAGACGTTTGCGTTGCGGTGGTGGGCGTTGCAGAGGCGCTGACGGACGAGGAGGCGGAGCGCATCCTGTCGAAGTTTGACAAGGACGGGGACGGGCACGTGGCGGCGGAGGAGATCGCGCGGTACCTGCTGCACGGCGGCATGTAGGCTGGACAGACTCGACTTGACGTGTGGTGTGCTGCGTGGGCGTGGAACTAGACAGGAGGCGTGGCGCTGGGGAGCACTGTGAGGCGCTGGTCTCGCCGGCATAGGAACCGCGGGGGGTCCGTCAGGTGACTTGACGCGGTTATACCACCCCGAGGTGTCAGAGCCCGACGGTGCAGTGGCTGGTTGCTGCGCGCGCAGCCGCGACGCAGCTGCTTTGCGTTCAGCGTCGCCACGTCCGCGAAAATATAGCTGCGCACCGACGACGACGGCACCTGCTGTGTAGCACCCAGAGTCTCAGCGCTTCCGTGGCTGTGTTGCGCGAGGGAAGCGCGTCCCGAGTGACCTCGACGTGTCATAGAGACCACACGATGCGGTGACGTGTCGTATTCCGCTGCGCGCAGCGTGAGCTGCACGGGCACGCGGGCTACATTCCCTCTCAGCGTGTCTCCGCGAAATACCGGGTTAGTTCGGCAGTGTTGGCTCGTCGTTCGTGTCGCTTCCTCCCTATCCTGCGCTGCGCGTAGGGTTTTAGGCGTCGTCACTTCCCAGGCTGCTGCCAATGAGGCTGAGCCGGTGCATCCTTGTGGCCCTTCAGCTTGCGCTGGTGCTGCTCGCCGGGACAAGTTGCGCCCGGCCTGATCCCGCCCAGGCAGTAACGTAAGTACGACGACCCCGGGCGCCTGCGGACACGCTCTCACGGGGCCGCAACGCCCCCGCGACGATCGTGCTGTTTCTGCGCCACACTGCCGACGCGCCCCGCGCCAGTCTCGCGACACACGTGGCGCTCAAAGCCGTCAATCATCCGACACTCTTCCATGCCGTGTCCCGCAGGCCGGCGCCGGAGCCGAGCGGCCGGCAGAGGATCGCGGAGGGGGCTTTCATACCCACTCGCGCCATCCTGTACACCCCCAACTCCTGCCGGATGTGGCGCTACTTCCCCCAGGTCGGCGACTTCACCCAGATCGTCGTCCCGCTGCTCGGGCGGCGCATCAAGTGGAACCAGAACGGCGTCGACCCGATGCTTATCATCCACCGCGGCTCTGAGATCCTCGAAAGAGTGGATCTACGGAAAGGCTTCCACGGCGAGACCGGGTTCGAGGCGATGACGATGCTGGAGATGGTCGAGGTGCTCAAGCGCTGGAACATGGACGTGGACATCCCGAACGCGAAGGACCTGGCGGCGATGCAGCGCCAGTGCACCACGTGCCGCCTGTCGCACGTGCCCGACGAGCTGTAGCACGCACGAGCTCTCCGCGGCTTCCGCGGCTTCCTTGTGACCGCGCGCGCGTACAGCGAGCCCCGTCGCCGGCGACCCGCGCACCTCACACGACAAGCGTCATAGCCCAGGCGCCGACGACCCCCTACGGCTCCTCCTCGCTCTCGGAGTCGTCGTCCTCGCCGCCCGCTGCCACCGACGCGATCGAGTCCCCCTCCCCCAGCCGCATCAGATGCACCCCAACCGCAGTGCGCCCCGTCACGCGCACCGACCCCAGCGCGATCCGGTTCATCACGCCCTTGCTCGACGTCAGCAGCACCGTCTTCTTCGCGTCGTCCGCGACCAGCATCGCCTTCAGCGTCCGCTTCTTGCCCTGCGAGGGCAGGCACCGCACCCCTCGCCCGCCGCGCCGTTGCAGCCGGAAGAGCTCCACGGGGACGCGCTTCCCGTACGCGTCCGACGTCACGAGCACGACCCACGGCCCCGCGTGCTGCGCCCCGTCGCCGTCGCCGTCGTCGCCCTCGTCGTCGATGTCCACATCCTCGTCGTCTTCGTCTTCGGACAAATATAGACTCTCGCCCTGCGGCAGGATGGCCATCGCGACCATCGAGGCGCCCGCCCGGAGCTTCATCGCGCGGTTGCCCTGCGCGAGGCGGCCCATGCTGCGCAGCTGCGCGTCGTTGACCGGCATGTTGAGCGCGTAGCCCTCGCTGGTGGTCATCATGATAGAGTCGCCCTCGCGGCACGCGGCGACCTGAATGACCTGGTCGCCCTCGCGGAGCCGCATCGCTCCCATGCCGGCGCGCGAGACGGACGAGAACGCCGACAGCGACGTGCGCTTGATCTGCCCCTCGCGCGTCAACATCACCAGGAAGACGTCCTCCGGGAAGTCGCGCACCGCGATCACGCCCGCGATCCCCTCCGTGCCCTTCCGCGGGATCAGGTCCACCAGCGGCGTGCCGATCGTGGTTCTGCAACGACAAATGAACAAACAAACAATAATCAATATTGAACAGCGCCACGTGTTCAATCAATCGCACATTGTGCGGCATCAGGCGCCCGTGCGCGCCGCGTCACGTGCGCGCAGCGCGGAATTCCGCCGGCTCGGTGCGGCGAGGGGGCCGGCGAGTGCGCACCGGGAGGTCTCGGGGATCTGGAAGCCGCGGAGGGAGAAGGCCTGTCCTGCTTCTGTGAAGAAGAGCAGAGTGTCGTGATCCATGATCTGCTGCACGTGGTACACGAGGTCCTCGCCGCGCAGCCGCGCGCCGGCCTTGCCGCGCGTCCGGCGCGCCTGGCTCCTGCGAAGCGGCGCGGGGCGGTGCACGGTGTTGGGAGGGGGGTGTGTGCGCAGGTATGATCGGTGGGGCGGTCGTGCGTGGTGCGAGGGAGATCGGGTGGCGGCGATGGGTGGCTTGGCCGCTCACTTGATCGTGTTGCTGCTCATCCGCTTGATATAGCCCTTCTCCGTGACGACAACTATGCTTTCCTTGTTGGGGATGACGTCCTCGTTCTCGATCGTCCCGTCCTCGCCGTGCAGCACGGCCGTCCGCCGGTCGCACCCGTACTTCCGCGCCACCTCCTCCGCCTCCTCCACGATGATATGATCCACCTTATCCGCGTCCGAAAGAATATTCTGCAACCCACGAATCTTCGTCTTCAGCTCCGCCGCCTCGTCCGCCAGCCGCGTCCCCTCCAGCCGCGTCAGCCTCCGCAGCGGCATCCCCAGCACAGCGTCCGCCTGCTCGCGCGTGACCCCCAGCAGCGTCTCCAGCGCCGCCAGAGCCCCCGCCGAGTCGTCCGCCGCCGTGATGGCCCGCACGACGTCCTGCACCCGGTGCGCCGCGGCGAGGAAGCCCTCGACGAGCAGCAGGCGGTGCTCGGCCTTCTTCAGCGCGTGCGCCGTCCGGCGCCGCACGACGTCGCGCCGAAATTCGAGGAACGCCCCCAGGATGCCTTGCAGGCCGATTTGTCGCGGTGTGCCGTCAACCACGCAGGTGAGGTTGAGGTTGACGTTCCGCTGGAGAGACGTGCCCTTGAGAATGACGTTCCGGACGAGGTCGGCGTTCGCGCTGCGCTTGAGCTCCACCACCACCCGGATGCCCGACCGGTCCGACTCGTCGCGGATGTCAGACACCCCCTCCACCTTGCGCTTTTCTACCAGCGCGGCGATCTCCTTGACCATGCGCGCCTTGTTCGTCTGGAACGGGATCTCCGTGATCACCAGCGCGTCGCGCTGCCCGCGCTTCCCGGCCTCGAACCCAATCCGCCCGCGCACCGTCGCCGACCCGCGCCCCACCGCGTAGGCCTGCCGCAGGCCGCGCGTGTCCACGAGCTCGCCGCCCGTCGGGAAGTCCGGCGCCGGCATGTGCGCCATCAGGCCCTCCACGCTGATCTCCGGGTCCGCGATGAACGCCTTGAGCGCGGCAACCACCTCCCGCATGTTGTGGGTCGGAATCGAGGTCGACAGGCCCACGGCCACGCCGTACGAGCCGTTGACGAGCACGTGCGGCACCTTCGCCGGCATCGCCGTGGGCTCGAGCTGCGACCCGTCGAACGTCGGCAGGAAGTCGACGACGTCCTCCGAGAGGCCGTCCAGGAGCCTGCGGGGTGACGCGGGGGCGGGTCGCTCGAAACGCGCGTGCGGGGCGGCGGCGGAGTGCTTGTGCGTCGCGGGGGGTCGGGGCGCACATGTCGGGCGTCGCTGCGGCGAGGCGGCACTCGGTGTAGCGCATGGCGGCGGCGGGGTCGTCGTCGATCGATCCGAAGTTGCCGTGGCCCTGAATGAGCGGAATACTCATGTTGAAGTCCTGCGCGACGCGGTCCGCCAGCACGGCGCGGAGCACGGTCGGTCCAGCGACGCAGGTCGGACGCAGGAGCACAACAGGAGTCAGGGGGGGGGTGTTTGGGCCGGACCTGGGCGAGCCGCACGAGCGCGTCGTACACGGCGGAGTCGCCGTGCGGGTGGTACTTTCCGAGCACCTCTCCGACCACGCGCGCGCTCTTCCTGTGGGGTTTGTTGGGCACCAACCCCAGGTCGTGCATGGCCCACAGAATGCGACGGTGGACCGGCTTGAGGCCGTCGCGCACGTCCGGGAGCGCGCGTCCCACCTGCGACCGGCGCGGCGTTGTCGGGCGGGGCGGCGTTGGCGTGCTGCCGTGCTGTTCGGCCGAGTCAGGCAAGTGTGCTTCAGGGGGGTGTGTCGCACCAGGGTGGACATGGCGTACGCCAGGTACGACTCCTGCGTCTCCTCGATGAGGGCGCGGTCGATGACGCGTAGGCTGTCGTCATCCTCGGACGCCTCGATGGACGCTGCAGGACACGCGGGGCCGCAGAGGAGGCCGTTGGGCGTGGACGCCCGACGCGCGACCGCAGCGAGCGCACGAGGGCGCAGGATGAAGCCCTCGTCAGTGAAGGACTGCCGAGCCACGAAACGCGGCCGGAACTGCGCGGACCAGGCTGCATTGCTCTCGAAGATGCCCGTACGGCTCCCACGCAGGCGAGCTCGCGTGGAGTCAGACTGGGACTCACGGGCCGGCGCTGCGGGCCAGGCGAATGAAACGTGCGCTATCCTACGAGAGGGGGGATCCTGAGGCTCGGTGCTTGCCTGTGCGCGCAATAATGGCGGACCTCTTGCCATGGTGGCTTGCGGTGGGCCCTGTTGCTGCCCACCGCGTCGCGAGCTGCGCGTTTCTCAAGGCCGCGCCCCTCGAGGGTTCCCTCCACGATGAGTGCGACAAATGACGGGCGGAATACAGGGAGCACATGCTGCTATGCGCGCGAGCTGCGGGGGGCAGCATCGCACGCGGTGTGGCTGTCCGCATGAGGGACGCCGCTACCGCTCGCAAGCAGCGCAACGCCATGCAGGCACGTACGGTGTGCCGCGACGCGCCGCGCCGCGCCCGCCGTCAGCGCGGGTTCGCCGGGCGGGGGAGCGTGTCTTTTACGCCCCCCAAATACAGTATTACCTGACGTCGCTTCTCCGCGGCACGACGCGCGCGCACCCGACCGGCTCCGCGTGCATGCACTCTCGCCCACCTCCCGGCGCCATCTCGGCCCGCGCCGCGTGCGTCCGAGGAGTAAGCTCTGGCAGGTTCACACGTCATAGGACTCGTCAACCCATAAGCCTCCGCGTCGCGGGGACGCGCGCGCGCCGGCCACCGGCACTCCGTGGAAGCAGGGAGAGCAGGGAGTCGGGGTCGTCGTGACTCGAGCAGCGTTCGGGGTGGTAGCAACGTGCTGTGACAGTCCCAGAGGACTGTCAGGCCGCCTGCGCTCCACTGCCCTCGTCGGGAGGTCCGAGTGGCAGGCGGCGCACATTTGTATTGCTCGGACCAGAGGCACACATCGCAGCGAACGCCCCGCGCTGTCTGAAGCGACAGGCCGCGCCCTCGAGGTGAGTTGGCCCCTAGATGCGCCTGCGCGAGTCCAGCGCGGGTATATTTGGGATTTTACGTCTACCACCCGCTGACCTGGACCAACATCTCTCTAGATTCTCGCATGGGGCTATTCGCGAGGGACCACACTCCCCCCCCCGGCGACCCCTTTGCCCTCTCCTGTTCTCGCGGTATGCGCCGCGGTCCCGCGGGCAGCTGCTGTCCGGGCCCTTCCCCCGGCCCCTGCTCCATCGCTCGTGCGTCCGAGAGCATCCCCGCGCGGTAGAACCGCGGGAGGGTCCCTGGAGGGGCTGCAGGGTTGCACTCAGCACGAGGAGCGCAGACCGGGCCCCGTGCAGCGCCCGCCGAATCCAATGCGCAACGCCGGCGCGCGCTCATGCCCATCTCTGCCAATCAGCGCCACTCATCGGGCGCGTTTCGCGACCGAGCGCGCTTGCGCAGCGGCAACGTGACCGCTGCCGGGCATCCAGCTCGGGGCGAGCTGCGCGGCCGCATCCTGCGCCACAATTCCCCGGCGACGCGCCAGTACCGTTCTTTGCCCTCCAGGCATACGCTGCGTTCCGTTTTCGCACCTCAGCGGCGACCGGTCTCGACAGGACGCAGCCCGGAAACGCTTTGCCACACCGCTTGTCGTTCATGGCATTCTTCGCGCGCGTGCGGGGCCTCGCTGATGACCGGCGCGCCGGTGCTCTTCTGCAGGCATGATGGGCTTCGACGGCGGACCGTCTCAGGCGGGAGACGCAACCATGCCCCCCGCGCAGCTGCTGCCAGTGGACGGAGCACAGAGCGCACCGCTCACGACGGCCGAGATGCCGGCAATGCCGGCCAACCTACCACCTCCCGTCCTGCTCTCGAGTTTCCCTGACCCAGGTACCGCTCACCCGTCCCCCCGAGCTCCGTGTCCATCGCAAGCCTGGCACCTCTCGCATCGCCCGTAGCGCCGCGCAGCGCGCCGCCCGCTTCACGCCACCCCCGCACGGCACTCCTTCACGCAGCTTCCGCGCCCCAGGACGTATCGGCCGGCGTACCCCCACCAGTATTCCTCCCGAACTCAGGTACTGGACTTCACGCTCCCCCACACGGCCTCCGGGCCCGCCACCGCACACCGCGCGTTCTTCCAAGCCGAGACGGTCTCCCCGCACCCGCCCCGGCCGCCCGAGCGCCTCCCCAGCAGCGCACGCGTCACAGTAACCACTTGCGCCCGTCGCGACGCACTGCAGGAGCGATGCCGGCGGGACCCTTGCCGATGGCGCCGCCCCCCGCGCCCGCGCCGACGCCGGTCTCGGCGCAGCCGGGCGCGGACGGCCCGATCGGGTTCGTCGTGACGCCGAACGCGGGGGGCCCCACCGGGCCCGACTCGGGGTCCAAGTCTGGGTACCGGGGGGTGCGGCAGCGCCCGTGGGGCAAGTGGGCCGCGGAGATCCGTGACCCCACGCGCGCGGCGCGGCGATGGCTCGGCACGTACGACTCGCCGGCGCAGGCGGCGATGGCGTACGACGCGGCAGCGCTGGCGATTCGCGGGCCGAACGCACGGACGAACTTCTACTACCCGGACATCCAGGCGAAGCAGGGCAACCCGCAGAACAAGCCCGTCGCGAAGCTGAAGGAGTCGGACGCGCAGACCGCGCTTGCCGCCGCGGGTTTGCCTGCAATTGCGTTCAACGATGCCGAGCCCACGATGACGCGCGCTGCGGCCGCGGGGCGCGTGACGCGGCGCGGGGCGACGGGCGGAGAGCCCCCCGCGCCCGCGCCGGCGCCCCGCAGCGCCGTGCACGCGCCTGCAGCGTCTGCGGGGATCCCGACGCCGACAGCGGCTGTGGCCCAGGACGGCCGGCGGCCGGGGCGGCCGGGGCGCGCGGACGCGCCGGGGTCGGGGTATCCAGGGGAGCTGGTCATCGAGCGGGACGGGAACTTGGCGGAAGAGCTCGGGCAGAGCCTGGACATGCCGGAGGACGCGCTGGCGGCGCTGCACGAACGGATGAGGTTGTGGGACGAGGAGCAGACGGTGGGGGCGCTGCACCTGCACAGCAGCGACGAGGAGGACGGCGGGGCGGTGCGCGGCGCCGCTGGGCCTCTGGACGTCTTGCCGACGGTGCGCGAGTCGAACATTAGAGACTGCCGTGCCCTCCGAGTGCTGTGTCTGCCTGCGTAGGCTCGCGGCGGTGCTCCTGCCCCGCAGCGATGCGCCCGCGACGACCGCCTCTTTTTCTTGCTGCCGGGGGGTGTGTTGCGACTGTCAGACACCGACACCGCGCGTTCCCGGAATCGCTCCGTGCAGAAGACGGCGCAGCGGCAGCCGATACCCGCGGCGCGGCGCGTGCAAGACTCGGAGCGCGGCGACGACGGCAGCGGCAGCCTGGACCTCCCCGCGCTGCCCATTGGCAGCTTCGCGGAGCAGACGCGCCTGGGCGAGGCCGACTCGGGCAACGAGGACGACGCGCAGCTGCCCGCCGGCAACGCCCGGCGGCAGCGCCCCTCGGCGATGGGGCAGGCCGAGGAAGTCGACTTGGCGGAAGACTTTGAAAACAAGATGTCGTGGCGCGCGGGGCCTGCGATTCCAGTGCCCGGGACGCACTTCCAGGACTTCAAGGGCGACGACATGCTCGCGATCTTCAGCACGTCGATGGCCAGCGAGGAGGGTCTCGGCGCGCGCGGCGCGTCCCCGGGGTCGTCCTTCCTGCCGCCCAGCAGAGTGCAGCAGGCGAGCAGGCCGGGACGGCCCCGGCGCGGCGCGAGCGGGAAGGCGCCGCAGTGACGTGCCCGCGCGCATGCAGGGTCGCGCGGCACACGGTACGGCCGTGTACATATCTAGCCACTTTGCAGCGAGAAGGTGTTTTGTTCTCGCTTGACTTCCGAGCTGTGACCGCGAGACCGCATGAACGCGCACGCGCGTGCAGCTGTCGCCGCGATTGACGATGGGCGCGGGCTCACCTCCGCGGCGTCACGGAGGGAGGGCGCGTTGCGTACTTGTTGTGCATTTGCGCTGGTCACAACGCAGCGGTGTTCGCGGCGCGGCTACAGGTCCGCTCGCCGCCCCGCCGCCGTATCCCGCGACGCAGCCTCCTGCCCCTCAGTCCCCCCCCCGCCCCCTGTCAGGTCGACTTCAAACTCCACCCTGTTCACCTCCACTTCAGCCCCCCCCGGTCTCCGGAACCTCTCCGTCGCCACGACCCGCCCGGCCGTATCCACCGTGATGACCTGCGTCACCATCGTCCCGTACAGCTGCCCCCCGAGTGGCTCGATCGGCGCGGGGGGGATGTAAATGCGGTCCAACAACCGCTCCGTGTCAGGCCCCCACCCCGTCTCCCCGCACGGCAGCTGCCCGTCGTCGCCGCCCGTCGCCGCGCCCTCGTCCAGCATCACGCCCACGAGCTCGTCGTGCAGCCCCTCGAGACCCCCGAACAAACCTTCAACGCCCCCCCCCGCGCGCATCCGCTCCACGACGCCGTCCAGCCTCGCGCGCAGGCGCTCCGTCTTCGGCCACCGCGATCCCAGGTGCCCGTTGCTCAGCGCGTGCACGCCCCGCTCCAGCCGCAACACCCCCCCCGTGCCCCCGCCCTCAGTGCTGCCCTCCCTGTCGGTGTTCGACGGCACGGTGCGGCCCCCGGACGAGCGGCACGCGCCGTTGCCGTTCTCCCACGGGCCCTGGCCGTCCGAACAGACGTACGCGAGCTCCCGCGTGGCCAGGTCTCCCGCCAGAAGAGAGTAGTGGTTGTATGGGCAGTTGTCCCCGAGCTGTAGGCTCCCGAGGTGCTGCGCGGGCGACGTGCTGCGGTCCGCCTCGAGGAAGCCGGGGACGAGCTCGCCGCGCGAGGGCACGGACGGGCCGTGCTTGATGCGGTCTGCGGGCACGCGGACGTTGGTGAGGGAGCACACGCGGCCGGAGCGGGAGAGAGCGAGCCACGTGCCGCCCAGGCCGAGGTCGCGCCCGCCGAATATGTTGGGGTGGTCGTCCCAGAAGGCAGCGCGCGCCGTCGGCCTGCGCGGGCCGGATGCGCGCGGGCACGGTCAGCGCGGGGCAACGACGCGGTTGAGAGACCAACTGCAGGGTGAGTAGAATCTATAGCTTTGCAGGTGCCGTGCGCGCTCGAGCGGTGGCCAGCTTCGTACACCGCATTGGAGGATCTCGTTTCGGTGGAGTGCGAGGACCCGGCGTGCAGGATACACCGCGCTGCGAGCTCCTCAGTGCTGCGTGCTGCTCGCGTCGCGTGCGCCGCGCAGTCTGGCCGCCTGGCCCTGGCGCGTACCTGTCGAGGAGCTCGTCCCTGTTGCTGAGCAGCAGGAGCAGAATGCCGGGGATGCTGTCCCAAACGAGGCCGGTGATGCACATCACAGCAGACGGTGCCGCAGGGGAGACACTGCGCGCGCGGTGCGGCCGGCCATCGGCGTCGACTCGCGGATTCGCGGCCCTGACCTAGCCGGACGACGACGCGCATGGCGCGCCCGCGCGCGGGCGCCGCGCCTTGCCACGCGGCGCGCTGCGGGGGGGGTGCCACGCATGACCTCAGCACGCCGCGGCCGGGCGGGGGCGAGAAGGGTCGGCGCGGCGGCGCACGCGCGGCACGACGCAAGCTGTGTCTCAACGTGGCGCAGAGTGCTGTCAACGCGCACGTCGCTCGTGTACGCGTGGGCAAGGTGCACCCGCGGACTTGGGACGAGTTTGCTTCTGCGCGTGTTTGGCGCTCCGCGCCGGCTCCATTCGGGTCCGCGCGGGCGTGGGCTGTCACCGGGTGGTCTGTCGTGAAGGACGCGGGGAGCTATGTCGTGCAACTGGACTCCCGAGGTGCGCGGACTTGGCTAGCGAGTGCCGCGGCCCGCGAAATGCCGCGTTTCTGGCCGACAGAATGCCCTTTCCGGTGCACGTTGGCGGCCAGCAACATTTTCGCTTTCGTTTCTGCGCGGCACGCGACCCGCCCCCGCCCGCCTGGCTTTCGCGGAGGCGCTTGTGTGCAGCGAGCCTGATGCCGCGCAGCTGCCCGCCACGCGACGTTCCAGACCTCTCCGCGCCGCGCGCCGCGCCCTCTCACGAGCAGCAACCACCCCCCGCGATTCCGCAGGAGGACGAGCAGCTCAAGGCTCTGGTAGAGAAGCACGGTCCAAAGAAGTGGGCGCTAATTGCTTCAGAGCTCAAGACAAAGGGTTCGAAGCAGGTGCGACGCCCTCCCCGCCTCGGACGGCCCCCGCGCTCCCGCCTCGCGAGACGAGCGCGGGTCCTCGCGGAACGCAGCGCCTGCGCACCGCGCGTCTCATGCTCACGTCGCGGTCAAGCAGGCCGCACCGCGCTGATGCGGCGCCGGTCGACGGTTCGGCGCGCCCTTTCCTTGTCCCGAGTGCTCCCACGGGCCTCGCGGTCGGTTTACGGCGGTGTTCACGCACGAGGAGCGCCGCGCCGGGCGACGCTCTCCTGAGCGATAGCAACCTTCCTGCGCCCCGCAGTGCCGCCGCCGGTGGAAGAACTGCCTCAACGCTGACCTGAAGACCGGCGGGTGGACTCCGGAGGAGGATGACCAGCTCATCGAGCTGCATTCCAAGATGGGCAACCGCTGGACGGAGATAGCAAACGCCATCGGGGGGAGGTGAGTACGACACGCACCCCCCGTCTATGCGCCTGCCCCGCGGCCCCAGACACGGCCCATAGCGTTTCCATGCGCCCGCGCACGCTTCTGCCCGCGGACCCGCGCGGCATCCGCGCCACAGCCACGCATCAGCCTGAAAGCGTGGTCTCTAGCGCGCCCCCGGCCGCCCACGGTCCGCGATCCCCGTTGCGCGCCCGCAGGACGGACAACGCGGTCAAGAACCGCTACGCCGCGCTGAGCAAGAAGTCCGGGCGCATCCGGAAGGCCGCCCGGCACCGCCCCGCCTACAACCGCGCGGCGGCAGCGGACCAGGCCCTGCGGAACCACCGCCGCGGCGGCGCCTCGGACGACGACGACGACGACGAACCGATGGACGACGGCGCGTCGGACTCGGACCACAAGCCGCGCTCCTCCGCGCGCCGCGTGCGCCGGCCGCTGGTGTCGACGGGCAACACGTCCGCCGGGCAGGCGCCCGGCGCCGGACCGCCCCGCTTCGGCGGCCTCTCCATCGCGATCCCCGACGACCCGGGCGCCGCGCCGGCCGCGAGCCAGCCCGTGCCGCCGCTGCCCCTCCACGTCGACCGCAACATTCTGTCGCCGCTCGAGATCCAGGGCGTGCAGGAGATCAACTCGCTGGGCATGCCGCTGCACATCGAGCTCGAGAACGGCCCGATGACGTCCGCGCGCGCCCAGGGCATCCTGGACATGTACCGCATGGACACGCCGCTGGGCGCGCTGCCGACGCCGGCGCTCGGGGACGTGCGCGACGTGATGGGGTGGCTGCAGACGCCGCGCGCGGCGACGGCGGCGGCGGGGCCGCAGGGGCAGGCCGCGCCGCAGCAGGGGGCGGCGCAGCGGAACGGCGGCGGCGACGGCCCGCTGCAGCCGCTGAAGGAAGAGCACCGCAGCCTGCTCTCCAAGGTGATCACGCTGGGCATGCGGAATAGCCAGCAGCCGGCGCAGGGCGGGCAGGCGCAGGGGCAGCAGGGGCAGCCCGCGGCGCAGGATCCGGGGCTGCTGCGGCGGGTGCAGGAGCGGAAGCTGCGTCAGGCGGGGCTGCAGCGGGGGGACTCTCTTGGGCGCGCGCAGGCGCGCGCTGCGGAGGCGGAGCTCGACGTAATTCAGCCGAGCGACACGGCGGCGTCGCCGGGCCCGACGAGCCTGGAGCGGGCGCGCGACGACGGGGGGGTGCGGCGGTCGCCCCGGCGCGCGGCGCAGGGCAACGGCGCGGCGGCCGGGAACGCGGACACGGTGGACGTGGTGATGGGCCCGGCGTTCCGCGACGAGGAGCTGCAGCTGCTGCTCGAGGCGCTCAACGACAAGACGGTGCAGCTGTCGACGCCCGGCGGGACCGCGGCCAACGACAACATCTTCCGGTCGCCGCGGCAGCGGCGCCTGGGCACGCCGCGCGCGCTGGCGGCCGCGAACGTGAGCTTGAGCCCGCTGAAGCCGCCGGGCGGGAACAGCATCGGAGGACTGCTGCGCTAGTGGTTGGTGACAGCAGGAGGGGGGGTTGTTGGGCTGCGGGGGGGTGGCGCGGAGGAACGGGCAGGACGGAGGATCGGGTGCGAGGTGGCGGTCCTGCGGCGTTGGTGTGGATTAGTTCTGCGTGCCAGTGTAGTATGTGTGAGCTCCGACAGCCTGGGGCCTCGCAAGGAAGCCGGGGAGGGGAGCAGACCGCTGCGAACGACGTCTTCCATAGCTCACAGTACCCGTTGCCGGCGTACCACCGATTTGCATCCTCCGGGGGCCCATGCTGGTGCTCGGTCTGAACGGTCGGGTGCCTCCGTCCTCAGAGTCCAACAGTCTCCTCAAAACTGTCGTCGGTACTCAATTGCACATATGACGTAACCACGTCGTCCTGGGCAGTTCCATTGCGAAGGAACTCCCCACCCTCCACCTCCGCCCTTGCACCCAGCACCTCCGACGTCCCGTGGCCTCCGTTGTCGTTGCACGTCGCGCCCCGCACCGTCACCACCGTGCCCTCGTCCGCCGCAAACACACCGCAGCGACCGTTGCGGCAGCACTCCCCGCCCTCCACCTCCACCCTCGCACCACGATCGCCGACTATCCCGTGCGTTTGGTTGTCGCTGCACGTCGCGCCCGCACCGTCACCGCCGTGCCTCGTCCTGCGCAACCACGCCGCACCTGTTGTTCGGCAGCACTCCCCGCCCTCCACCTCCACCCTCGCACCACGATCCCCGACTATCCCGTGACCTCCGTTGTCGCTGCACGTCGCGCCCGCACCGTCACTGCCGTGCCCTCGTCCTGCGCAACCACGCCGCAGCGACCGTTGCGGGAGCACTCCCCGCCCTCCACCTCCACCCTCGCACCACGATCCCCGACTATCCCGTGGTCGTTGTTGTCGCTGCACGTCGCGCCCCGCACCGTCACCGCCATGCCCTCGTCGACTGCAGCCACGCCGCACCCGTCGTTGCGGGAGCACTCCCCGCCCTCCACCTCAACCCTTGCACCATGAGTCACCTGTATCCCGTCGCATTTGTTGTCGCTGCACGTGGCGCCCCGCACCGTCACCACCGTGCCCTCGTCGCCGCCAGCACGCCGCACCCACCGTTGCGGCAGCACTCCCCGCCCTCCACCTCAATACTTGCGCCTTCGCCCCCACCTATCCGTGGCTGTTGTTGTCGCTGCATGTCGCGCCCCGCACCGTCGCCACCGTGCCCTCGCGCGCCGCAAGCACCCCGCACCCACCGTTGCGCAAGTACCTTCCCGCCACTCCACCGTCCACCTCGTCGCACCATGCGGCAGCACTCCCCGCCCTCCACCACCACCCTCGCACCACGTATCCCGTGGCCGCTGTTGTCGCTGCACGTGGCGCCCCGCACCGTCACCACCGTGCCCTCGTCCGACGCAGCCACGCCGCAACCTTCGTTGCGGCAGCACTCCCCGCCCTCCACCACCACCCTCGCACCACGTTCCGCATATATCCCGTGGCCGCTGTTGTCGCTGCACGTCGCGCCCCGCACCGTCGCCACCGTGCCCTCGTCGTATGCTTCCATGCCACACTCACCGTTGCGGCAGCACTCCCCGCTCTCCACCTCCACCTGCGCGTGCGCGTCCGGAGGCGTCACATCAGCGGCAGATCATACCCGCGCGGCGGACCTGGCGGGCTGCGGTGCGTGTTGGCGGCACGATTCATACCTTGGCACTTTGTTCGACCAGCAGCCCGGCCGTGCCGGCTTGGGACTCGTTGAGCTTGCAGCTGCGCAGCACAACGCCGCATGCGCCGGATATCTGCACCATGCCCTCCGGATCTGCAAGTGCCGTGGGAGCGAGCGGGCGAGTATGAGCATGCATGCACATGTGCGTCCTGCTGCAGCTGTGTACAGCACCGCGACGTTCCCGCGGAGGTGCAGGGTGCTCGACGCGCGCTCACCATCCCCGCGGCTCGGAGCTGTGTACTTCTGGACCGTCAGGCTGTCCAGCAGCAGGCCACGTGCATCCACAGTCGCGTACAGGCGAATGCCCTCGAGCGTCCCGTTGCGCAGCGCCAGGCCGGCACGCGCGATGGTGAGCGAGACGGGGGCGTCGGACGTGATCGTGCCGCCTCCAAGATCGATGACCTGCACGTGCACCCCCGCGATGCCGCGCACCATGGTCGTCAGCACACGGCAGGTACTCCACAGCGCAGATGGCGCTGCACGGCTGGGCGGGCGCAGGACGTGCACGCAGCGCCGGTATGTGGGCACGGCGCGGCGGTCCCTCGTGCGCGCTGTACGCGACACGTGTCACGCCAAGCGCGACCACAACTTGTGTGCAACTATCAGGGCGCGGGATATGACGCCAGCTGGCGCGACGACCGGCGGCAACAGCGCGGCACTGCAGACTGTGTCCTTGACGCTCCGTCGTCGCGTGGCAAACAACGCTTAGGAGCCGACCAACGCCGCCCCCGTGCACCGTGCCCGTCCGGCTTCCGAGCACAAGAGCGAGCTGCGGGGCGCACCAGGACTGCGGGGTCCGCCAGAGCTGCTCGGAGCTTGTCCAGCGTCTCGCAGTGTGCCCTGTCCGCGGCGCGGCTCTGGCGCGCCGCCCCCGCCTGCGCCGCACGTGCCTGTTCGGCTTCCCGCTCCATGCTCTGGACGGCAGCGATGATAGCGCGGGGCACCGACGGCGGCACGGCCCGGCCCGCGTCCCTCCAGTAGTCCTCGAAGTCGCTCTCACTCGCGGCGAGCGCAGCACGGTGGTTCGCTACGCCCAGTGCGCGGCACGCCCGCTCCACCTCGTCGCGGTAGGTGCCCGCGCCCGCGCGCTCAACGAGCTCCTGGACGTACCTGCGCCCGGTGAGGTCCGCCATGATCGCAAGTTGCGCGACCGGGGACGTCAACGGCGTCGTCGGATGTGTCGCGCGCGCCCCCGACGCGCCCCAATCACCCCTGGGCCAGCGCAACTGACCGTCCCTGGGTCAGTCGACCTTGAATAACTTTCAGCGAGCAAACAAGCGTGCTGGCGGCCGTAGGGAGATGGCCAAGGTAGGGCGGCCGAGAGCAATGACAGCGGTGGAGTACCCCACCGCAGTGAGAGAATTCACACGCCGGAGCAGGGACTGCAACCTGAGCGCTCCTCGGGCGGGAGAGGTCTCACGCTCGACGCGCCGGGCGGTCGCGCTCGCGCCCGTGCGATGTCGCCGGCGCTGCCTGACGGCGCGAGAAGAGTTCCGACCCATAGCTCACAGTACCCGTTGCCGGCGTACCACCGTTTGCCCCCTCCGGGGGCCCATGCCGGTGCTCGGTCTGAACGGCCGGGTGCCTCCGTCCTCAGAGTCCAACAGTCTCCTCAAAACTGTCGTTGGTACTCAATTGCACATATGACGTAACCACGTCGTCCTGGGCAGTTCCATTGCGAAGGAACTCCCCACCCTCCACCTCCGCCCTTGCACCCAGCACCTCCGACGTCCCGTGGCCTCCGTTGTCGTTGCACGTCGCGCCCCGCACCGTCACCACCGTGCCCTCGTGCTCAGCAGTTATGCCGCACTGACCGTTGTGGCAGCACTCCCCGCCCTCCACCTCCACCCTCGCACCTCGATCGCCGACTATCCCGTGCGTTTGGTTGTCGCTACACGTCGCGCCCCGCACCGTCACTGCCGTGCCCTCGTCCTGCGCAACCACGCCGCACGACCCGTTGCGGCAGCACTCCCCGCCCTCCACCTCCACCCTCGCAGCATATTGCACGGCTATCCCGTGGTCGTTGTTGTCGCTGCACGTCGCGCCCCGCACAGTCACCACCGTGCCCTCCTCGAATGCAGCCACGCCGCACCCATCGTTGTGGCAGCACTCCCCGCCCTCCACCTCAACCCTCGCACCTCCATCCCCGCTTATCCCATTGTCGTTGTTCTCGCTGCACCTGGAGTTTCGCACCGTCACCACCGTGCCCTCGTCCACCGCAAACACGCCGCACGACTCGTTGCGGCAGCACTCCCCGCCCTCCACCTCCACCTGCGCACCACCACTCCCGCCTATCCCGCCGCACCGTTTGTTCTGGCTGCACGTGGCGTTCCGCACCGTCACCGCCGTGCCCTCGTCCGCCGCAATCACGCCGCACCTGTTGTTGCGGCAGCACTCCCCGCCCTCCACCTCAATACTTGCTCCTCCACCCCCACCTATCCCGTGGCTGTTGTTCTCGCAGCATTTGGCGCCCCGCACAGTCACCACCGTGCCCTCTTCATAGGCGACCACACCGGACTGACCGTTGCGCAAGTACTTCCCGCCCTCCACCTCCACCCTCGCAGCATGTTCCGCATATATTCCGTGGCCTTTATTCTCGCTGCACGTTGCGCCCCGCGCCGTCACCACCGTGCCGTCGAGCGCAACCACGCCGCACCCATCGTTGTGGCAGCACTCCCCGCCCGCCACCTCCACCCTCGCACCACGACCCCCCTGTATCCCGCTCGCTTTGTTGTCGCTGCACGTCGCGCCCCACACCGTCACCACCGTGCCCTCGTCGTATGCTTCCATGCCACACCCATCGTTGCGGCAGCACTCCCCGCCCGCCACCTCCACCCTCGCAGCACGTTCCACATATATCCCGTGGCTGTTGTTGTCGCTGCATGTCGCGCCCTGCACCGTCACCACCGTGCCCTCGTCCTGCGCAAGCACGCCGCACCCACCGTTGCAGCAGCACGCCCCGCCCTCCACCTCCACCCTCGCACCATGAGTCCCCTGTACCCCGTGGCCGCTGTTCTCGCTGAACGTCACGTCCCGCACCGTCACCACCGTGCCCTCGACCGCCGCAACCACGCCGCACCACTAGTTCCGGCAGCACTCCCCGCCCTCCACCTCCACCCTCGCACCATGGTCCCCTGTGCCCCGTGGCCGCTGTTCTCGCTGAACGTCACGTCCCGCACCGTCACCACCGTGCCCTCGTCCGCCGCAAGCACGCCGCACGACCCGTTGCGGCAGTACTCCCCGCCCTCCACCTCCACCCTCGCAGCAAGCCCCCCCTGTATCCCGTGGCCTCCGTTGTCGCCGCATGTCGCGCCCCGCACCGTCACCACCGTGCCGTCGCGAGCCGCAGCCACGCCGCAGCCACCGTTGCGGCAGCACTCCCCGCCCTCCACCTCCACCCTCGCACCACGAGTCCCGGCAATGCCGTCGCGTTTGTTCTGGGTGCACGTCGCGCCCCGCACCGTCACCACCGTGCCTTCGCCGAACGCTATCATTCCGCGCTTGTTGTTGCGGCAGTACTCCCCGCCCTCCACCTCCACCCTCGCACCACGACTCCCCTGTATCCCGTGGTCGTTGTTGTCGCTGCACGTGGCGCCCCGCACCGTCACCACCGTGCCCTCGTCGAACGCTTCCATGCCACACTCACTGTTGCGGCAGCACTCCCCGCCCTCCACCTCCACCTGCGCGTGCGCGTCCGGAGGCGTCACATCAGCGGCAGATCATACCCGCGCGGCGGACCTGGCGGGCTGCGGTGCGTGTTGGTGGCACGACTCATACCTTGGCACTTTGTTCGACCAGCAGCCCGGCCGTGCCGGCTTGGGACTCGTTGAGCTTGCAGCTGCGCAGCACAACGCCGCATGCGCCGGATATCTGCACCATGCCCTCCGGATCTGCAAGTGCCGTGGGAGCGAGCGGGCGAGTATGAGCATGCTTGCACATGTGCGTCCTGCTGCAGCTGTGTACAGCACCGCGACGTTCCCGCGGAGCTGCAGGGTGCTCGACGCGCGCTCACCATCCCCGCGGGTCGGAGCTGTGTACTTCTGGACCGTCAGGCTGTCCAGCAGCAGGCCACGTGCATCCACAGTCGCGTACAGGCGAATGCCCTCGAGCGTCCCGTTGCGCAGCGCCAGGCCGGCACGCGCGATGGTGAGCGTGACGGGGGCGTCGGACGTGATCGTGCCGCCTCCAAGATCGATGTCCTGCACGTGCACCCCCGCGATGCCGCGCAACATGGTCGTCAGCACACGGCAGGTACTCCACAGCGCAGATGGCGCTGCACGGCTTGGCGGGCGCAGGACGCGCACGCAGCGTCGGTCCCTCTTCTCGCTGTACGCGACGCGTGACGCCAAGCGCGACCACAACTTGTGTGCAACTATCAGGGCGCTGGATATGACGCCAGATGGCACGACGACCGGCGCAAACAGTGCGGCACTGCAGACTGTGTCCTTGACGCTCCGTCGTCGCGTGGCAAACAACGCTTAGGAGCTGACCAACGCCGCCCCCGTGCACCGTGGCTCTCCGGCTTCCGCGCACAAGAGCGAGCTGCGGGGCGCACCAGGACCGCGGGGTCCGCCAGAGCTGCTCGGAGCTTGTCCAGCGTCTCGCAGTGTGCCCTGTCCGCGGCGCGGCTCTGGCGCGCCGCCCCCGCCTGCGCCGCACGTGCCTGTTCGGCTTCCCGCTCCATGCTCTGGACGGCAGCGATGATAGCGCGGGGCACCGACGGCGGCACGGCCCGGTCCGCGTCCCTCCAGTAGTCCTTGAAGTCGCTCTCACTCGCGGCGAGCGCAGCACGGTGGTTCGCTACGCCCAGTGCGCGGCACGCCCGCTCCACCTCGTCGCGGTAGGTGCCCGCGCCCGCGCGCTCAACGAGCTCCTGGATGTACCTGCGCCCGGTGAGGTCCGCCATGATCGCACGTCGCGCGACCGGGGACGTCAACGGCGTCGTCGGATGTGTCGCGCGCGCCCCCGACGCGCCCCAATCACCCACCAGCGCAACTGACCGTCCCTGGGTCAGTCGCGGTTGAGTGACTTCCACCGAGCAAGCGAGCGTACTGACGGCCGTAGGGAGATGGCCAAGGTAGGGCGGCCGAGAGCAATGACAGCGGTGGAGTACCCCGCCGCAGTGAGAGAATTCACGCCCCCACGCCCGAGCAGGGACTGCAACCTGAGCGCTCCTCGGGCGGGAGAGGTCTCACGCTCGACGCGCCGGGCGGTCGCGCTGGCGCCCGCGCGATGTCGCCGGCGCTGCCTGACGGCGCGAGAAGGGTTCCGGCCCACAGGGAAAGACCTGGCTCTTTGTTATAATATATACACACGCCGTCCTCCAGTTTCGTCGCGCATCGCCCCCACCCCGCTCCAGCTGGGTTCGGACCCCGCTGCGTTGTGCACCTAGCTTTCGGTCCTCCGCGGGTCCGCAGACCCCCCCTGACGTGCTACACAGCATTGTCTGCACTCGCGTCAGGGGTGGAGTGCGGGCCTGTGACTGCCAGCGGCCCGGGACCTGAGGGGCATGCGGGCGGCTGTGCGTGCGATACATCCGGAGACTGAGTCGCTCGTCGAGGGTGCACGCGACCCGAAGGTGCGCACACATTTCGCCCGTCTAGGTTCTGCTGGCGAAAGCCACGCGCGGTTCGCTTCGTCGCTGCCTGATCGCCAACGGCGGCCTCCTGACATGCCGGCTCGATGCTGGGGCACGCATTGCAGGCGGCGCGCGAGGAGCAGCGCTGGCGGAGGTGGGGGCAGCAAAGTGCTGGCAGAAACACCCGCGCCGCAGCCAGGCCGTGACCTGTCGGCAGAGACGTCGCGCCGTTGGGATACCCCGCAGCCATAGCCGCAGGTTGCGAGTCGATGAGGGGCCTCACCTCTCTGAGCGCCGCTCGCGCGCACTCGGCCCAGCAGCGGGGGCCTGCGCGGGCCGAAGCCCTGCAGAGACGCACCGCTGACAGCGCCCGCGCGCGTCGCAACCGCATCAGGGATCCTCTGGACGTCGAGCTCGGCGAGCGGCCCGTGACATTCGACGAAGACCCCGCCACAGGTGGAGCAACGCCCTTTCGCACCCTCGCTCCATTTCCCGCGGAATCCGCGGTCGTCCGCCGCTGGAACGTTCACCGCGGCATGCCTGTACTCCTCACACAACGCAGGTCTGAGGTCCATCCTCAAGCCGCGCCCCGCAAGGCGCGTGGGCCCTGCCCCGGGCACCGCCATGGCCACCTCGATCCTAGAGCGCGGCGTCAGGGGCCTGCGGCCCCCGAGCGGCCCCGAGGTACGCACTGCGCGTCACACACCTGCTCGTCAGCCGACAAACACTTCGCTCGGCACCCCGGCATCGCGCTGCCACTCATTGACGCAGCGCACGCGAACCACGACGCCGGGCCGCCTCGAGCCACAGCGCCGCGTCCCTGCTCGCCGTCCCGCTTCCGAGCGCGGTGCTTGCGAGCCGGGCAGTGCTCTCGTCCGCTTCCGGTTCGCCCTGTTGGACAAAGCAGCATTGTGCGGTGCGGCGCAGGCCAGGGTGGACCCCCGGCGGCCCAGCGCGGACGTCGCGGCGATCCTGCGCGGCCAGGGCGACGCCAGGGCGCTCGAGCTGGACCTGCCCTGCGGCCCCGTCCTGCACCTGGTCAACACCCGCGACATCTCCGACGTGGCACGGTGCGGTCCCGACCGCGACGCGTCGCTCGGCGGGGGCGGCAGACGCGCGGGTGCCGAGGTCCCAGAACTGTGCTGCGCCCCGCACGGCTTGCGAGCGTGCCACCTCTTACAGCGTTTTGAACCGACAGGCTGGGAGGATTTGTCGATGATTATTTTTGACCGCTTTTGCTAGCTCGCGCGCCCAGTACACGTCCGGTAGTGGTCCCACGCTCGCCGCGTCGTTCCGCCGCGTGTGCAGGGACTGGAGGTGTTTTGCAACACCCCCCCAGCTGGTGCCCCTAGAGGGCGTCCTCCTGCCGCTGTCGCGGCCCGAAGGCGGCGCAGGCCCGCTCGGCGGCCGCCTGTCCACGTCGGACCGCGCCGCGCGCCGCGCGTACCGCGCAGCGGGCGCATGGCTCGCAAAGCAACTCGCGCATCGCAGCGGCCACCCGACGGACATCCAGGCGCTCGCGCGCACCGCGGCGCTCGACGCCACGGCGCGCGTCGCGCTCGCGCACGGCCCCGCAGGCCGCTTCTCTCCCGCGGGGCCTGCGTCCAGGTCGACGCTGGAGGCCATGCAGCGAGCGTTGGACGCAGCGCTGCCTGCGACGGCGGCGGCGGGGATCGGGGCGCCGGTCGGGGGGCAGCTCGCGGGCGCGGTGGAGGAGATCGAGAGGGAGATCTACGCGGCGATCGCGGGGCGCGAGGGCGGGACGCTCGTCGCGGAGGGCGATGCGGACTTGCTGTCGGCGCTGCTGGCGGGGGGCCCGCCCGGGGAGCGCCCGCCTGAGAAGTTCCGGAGGACGCGTGCGGAGCTGCTGCCGGCGATGACGACGTCCACTCTCGCGGTGTCGCACCTCGTCGCCGCGACGCTCCTCGCTCTGGCACAGCGCCCGTCGCGCCAGCAGCGCGCCCACGACGAGGCGGGCGGGCGGCCCGCGGCCTCAGCCTACACCGCGGCGTGCGTGATCGAGACGCTCCGGCTGTCCCCGCCGGTACCGACGGGTGCGCGCCCCGGCCACCGAACAAGCGGCCAGTTCGCGCACAGGCTGTCCTTTGGGACGAACGCGCGGGCCCGTGACGGAGAATCCAGCGAGCCGCGACTGCAGTTCTATGAGACAACGATCGACCGCTCACGACCGCTCGTGTTCCCCCCCGGATCTCGCAGTGTACCTGGGGTGCGTGCGTTCGACGCTGGTGGGGCCGTTCCGTGTCGACGCGGGGTCGTCCGTGGCGCTGAGCGTCCGCGCCGCGCAGCAGGACCCCCGCAGCGGCGTGTGGGAGCGTCCGAGCGCGTGGGTGCCCGAGCGGTGGACGCAGGGCGGCTCCGCGGGCACGGAAGCAGCAGCGCGGATGGCCGGTGCGCTGGTGCCGCTGGGAGCGGGCGTGGCGTGCGGGCTGGACCGCCTGGAGCTGATCGCGGGCGCTGCGGAGATGGTCGGGGCGGTCGTGAACAGCGTGGAGCTCGGGGCGGTGCGCGGGTGGGAGCCGCACGTGCAGGAGGCCGTGCTGCCTTGGAGCGCGAACGGCGTGCTCGTGCGGGCGCGTGGGCGCTCGTGAGCGCAGGCACGGCAGCGTGGGTGCGCTGATGTATTTAGAAATCACAATCGCGGTCTCGTGACTCATTGGCGCGGTGTGATGCAAATATGGTGTGTGTGGACAGGTCGCCGCGTGGCCGTCGTCGACGCCACCGACTCTCGCGCGTTGCTCGCGGGCCCGCATGGGCCCGTGCGCGCGCCCCGCTCGTTCGCGGGTCCCCAGGCCGCACCGCCGCTGAACCCAACCTCAGTCACCCGCGCAGCATGGCCCGGCTGATGACACCTCCTGACAACTCCCCAGCGCTGCGACGCGTGCCTGACAGACGACGACCACGACGTCCCCTCCCCACAACACCGTCTCGCTCCCTCACGGCACCGTGACGGCGGGCAGCCTGCACGCAAGCAGGGTGTGCACAACAGACCACGTCAGCGCGGCGTTGCGGGCCGTGCGCGCCCACTGCGCCGCGGACAGCAGCGCGAGATGCTCCTGCGCGCGTGCGCGCGCGAGACGCGTCACGCGGCGCCGCGGCGAGTCGCGCGGGCACCGCGACAGAGCGTCGCTCCCTAGAGCGCACCGCAGCGGCGCGGGGCGGCGCGGGGGCGGCGTGTAGGGCGGGGGAGGGGGCGGACCGTGCGACGTCGACCTTGAAGGGGTCGGGGCGACAGGCGACGGTGTAGTCGTCGCAGAAGGGAGGGTAGCAGTTGGCGTTGATGATGCCCTGCCTCTCGCAGTCGCCCGTGCAGGCGTTCACCGTGAGGTCGCACTGCGAGACGCAGTCCTGGACGAGGTACTGCGGGGAGGCGCGCATGCGGTGGGGGGTGGGTGTGGTGAGGCCGGAAGGGGCTTGTAGAGTTGTCACTAACGTTGGGCCGTACGTTTGAGGGGGGGCACGTACCTGCGCGAGGGGGTCAGGCTGTCCGTTCTTGAGCTGAGAGATGCTCGTCGCGCAGGCTCGCGTGCACTCCTGGAAGGTTGCGAGGCACGGCGCGCGGCACTCCCGCAGCCTGGTCCAGCAGTCCTTGCAGCATGGTGGCGTCGGAGTGGCCCCGCCGTCGACTATGGAGAGGAGCTCGAGCAGAGAGGAGCCTGCGGGGAACACGAGTTGCGGCCCCGGCGTCGGTGCGTCGCGAGGAGCGAGCTCAGGAGGAACAGAGGTGCTCGGCAGGATTCCGGGGGCTGTCGCGCCGCGAATCGCGGCATGGTGGGTGCTCGGTGGGAGCACGTGGTGGTTCCTCACCTCCTGGCTGGGCGAACTCGTAGTTTCCGAGCTGGTTGCGCCCCGGAAAGACCAGGACGGAGGCGGGGTCGCCAGCTTGCCGAGTCGTCGCGCTCGAAGCCTGGCCGCCCGCGTCCTCGTGCTGCTCGCCGAACCAGCCCTCGTCGACGGTGAACTCTCCGGCCGAGGGGTCGTTGAAGACGTTCGCGTTCGCGTTCCCGAGGAATCCTGCACGTAGCGGCAGTGCAGGCCAAGCAACGCCGTCTTTCGCGCGGAAGGAGGGACGTCAAGCACGGGAGGCGCGTCGGCACCTCGGCTGGGGCTATACGGCGTGGAAAGCGGGCCTCACGGCTGACGGGCGCGCGGAGCGAGGGAGCGTCCAGCTCTTGGGCCTCGCGCTGCTGTGCAGCCGCGCAGCCGGCCCCGTGACCACCGAACCGCGGCCGGCGTACTCTACGTCTCGGCACACCGTGCGGGGGGCGACGCTTCGGGCGCTCAGGACCCCGACGCGGCGACGTGAAGCAGAGCTGCTTTCGGACTGGGAACTCCGTCCCGTTTCCTTCGCGCGTGCATGCGCAGAGGGCTTGTCGACGGCGTAGACGTACCTATCAGGGCTATCAAGACCAGCAGCTGCACCGCTGAGGTGCTGCGGCGCACCGTGCTTCGCATCCTTGCTCGATGGTTACTCCATGATACGTTCCACGACGCGTGGCGGGCACGAACGGCACTTATACGGTTCTGTGCCGGTAATTGACCGGCATCGTACTGCACGGGGCGTCTGCGTCACCGAGCCGATGACAGGACGTATGGGGACGCCCCCGTCGACCAGTGGGGGTAGTGGGACCATGCCGGCTTTACGGCGCTCGACGGGTTCGTGCAGGCCAGCGCCATTGGCGGGAGCAGGCGCTTGGCTCCAGAAGCTTGGCGGCGCCTCCGCTGGGCGTACTTCGTTGTTTGTCGCTGCGGGGGGCAACGACGCACGGAGCAGGCGTGTGGGCTCCAGCCCTGGCCAGGAGGCTGACACCCCGTGCAACCTCACAGACCCATACTCCTCGGTGACGTCAAGGAGGCGGAGCACCTCTCGCTCGTCGAGACGGCGATGGATCCTCTCGGGGCGCTCAGACCTTGCGCCAGGGGTCGCTGGGCGCCCGCGTCGTCGCACACGCGCGGCGCGGCCCGTCGGCCAGCATGCCATCACGGTCGTCAGCTCCGTATCGGTGCCGCCCGGGCGCACCGAAAGGTCGCCTTCAGCGCGCGCTGTATGCGTTCCCGCACCCCAAGGCTGCGTCCCACCCTCGCTCGGTCGCTGCCGGGCCCGCACGACGTTGGCGACGTGATCAGGGGAGAGTACGAGATCGTTGATATGATCGGATCGGGGTCCGTAGGCACCACGTACCGATGCGTGTCCCCAGAAGGCGACCCCGTGGCCATCAAGGTGCGCACACCGTCGTCGATGTGCGTGCTGCCCGGGCCGCCCTCTCGAGCGCGCACGAGCCGCCCCCATCCGGCCCGGTTCTCCCCGCAACGGCAGGCCGCCTCGTCCCCTCGACAGCGCGCCCACACCGCCGCGACGCGAGATTCCGCCGCCACGTTGCGCAGGTCGTGACGCTGCGCACGGGCCGCTGGAAGGCGATGGAGCTCTTCGAGCGCGAGGCGCGCGTCCTGCGCAACCTCTCGCACCCGAACATACCGCAGTACCGCGACTCTTTCGAAGTAGAGTCGGCCGATGATGTTTCGTGCTACTTGGTTCAGGACCTCGTGCTCGGCAAGACGCTCACGGAGCTAGTGCAAGGTGCGCGGCGGTTGCCCCACGCCGCCCGCGCCGGTGCGTGTGCGCGGCGACGCCGGCGCGCCGCGTGACGCGTCCTTGGTGCTTGCATGCGCAGAGGGTTGGAGGCCGAGGCAGGAGGAGGTGGGGCGGATCGCGCGGGAGCTGCTGGGTGTGCTCGCGTACCTGGGGTCGCTGCAGCCCCCCGTCGTGCACCGCGACATCAAGCCCGACAACATCGTGATTCAGGGGGGGGTCGCGGGGGGAGTCCCGTTCCTCGTCGACTTCGGGGGCGTCCAGGACGCCCTGAAGACCGCCGGCGACCAGCTCGGGACGACGGTCGTCGGCACGTTCGGGTTCATGGCGCCCGAGCAGTTCCGGGGGGAGTATAAAACCACGTCCGACCTGTACGCGCTGGGCGCCACGCTGCTCTACCTCGCCTCGGGCGGGCGCTCCCCGGAGACGTTCCCGACGGAGCGCATGCGCGTCAAGTTCGAGCAGGAGATCGAGACGTCCCCCAGGCTCCAAACGCTCCTCGGCGGCCTCCTGGAGCCGCACGCGGAGGACCGCTTTACCGTTGCACAGGCCCTCGACGTCCTGGACGGCAGGGGGGCCGCGGGGCGGTCCGGGGCGGTGTTTGTGTCGCGGGAGCACGAGGCGGTGTTCCGCATGTGGGGCATCAACGCGGACGCGATGCGCATGATGGATGTGGAGACGGCGGTGCGGGCCATGGAGGCGGTGCTGCCGCGCGAGGAGGCGGAGGAGGCGGGGCGGCTGCTGCGCGACGCGGACCTGCCGCCGGACCTGGTGTACGAGACCGTGCAGATGGTGCTGCTCGCGCCGGAGCGGGGCCTGCTGAACGTCAGCGAACAGGTGCGCGCGCGGTGTGCCGCGTGGGCAGGGGCTGCGAGGGCGGTGCCGGGCAGGCAGTGGCGTGGGGCACGGAGCGAGATAGACCCGGAAGATAACGCCCCTCACCGGAGGGGGGGGTGTGTTGTGTGCAGGTCCGACTGAATCCGAAGAGGACTGTGCGGCCGAAGCGGGCGCGGAGCAAGGTGTCCGTGGAGGGCGGGCGCCTGATCGTCGAGATTCCGCCGCAGGGCTTCGTGGCTGCGATCCCGGAGGGGGCGTTCGCGCTCGGGTGGAACGGGTGCGCGCCGCCGCTGGAATGCTTCGACGTGCTGCGGCGGCCCCCGGAGCGCTGAAACCGTACCGCTTCTTCGCTTTGCGCGGCTCCGCAGGATCATCACGTACACCTTGTTCGAGGCCGTCGTGGCGGGCACGGGGGGGCTGTCTCTCCTGGGCACCGCGGGCTTCCTGGGGGTGTTCTACCTGGCGGGGGTGCCCGTCATCAAGACGGCGGTCGATCGGGCGTTCCTGTCCGAGAGGCTCGTGGTCGGGCGGCACCGCTGGCGCCTGAGTCAGGAGCTGCAGCTGGGGTCCTCGGACGGCGGGCGAAAGGCCCCGTCGCGGCGGCGCTTGTTCGGGGGCGACCGCGCGGACCTGTTGAGCGTGAAGCTGCGGAAAGGGCTGAAGATGCAGGGCTCCCAGGATCCCGACGGGATGGTGCGCGGAAACACAAACACAAGCACGTGTGCTCCGCTCGCATGCGGGGGCAGTTTGCATCAACACCCCCCTCGCGTCGCCCCGTGTCGACCGCTGCTGCCGCGGCATCTCTTGCTCGTGCAGGACGAGCCCGTGGGCTGGCTGGAGCTCCGGGACCGCGGTCCGCTGGCGACGGTCACGGTGGGCGGCGGGCCGAACAACGCTGCGCTGCGGTTGGCGATGGAGGAGCTGCGGTGGCTCGAGTACGAGATCAACAAGTTCCTGCAGCGTGATCCCGAGGAGCTGGACTATTTATACCCCGACGACGACGACCTCGAGGTGCCTGGCGGCGAGTTGGACACCACCCTGACTGGCAAAATCACCAAGCTGCTTCTGGGGAGCCGCGACGACGCGTGACGGCGCGGAACAACGATCGCGGGCACGGTATCCTGTGCGGGAGCGTGCACGGTGCGAGCTTGCGCGCCCGGCGCAGTCTCAGACGTCACCACGTGCCGCGATCGCGCTCGGGGCCGCGCCGTGGCCCCGGGTGGTCGGTGATCGGCGTCGCCGACCGGGCACAGGCTTCGGTGCGGTGACGATGTGCCGCTCCCACCGCTGCGGGGCACACCACCGCGGTCGTTGGCTGGAACGATCCATCCAGCGGCAAGCACGCACGAGAGAGGTCACAGTTTCACTCAACGTCACAGTTTGAACACTGCGACTCCATCGCATCCACATCGGCGAGCTGGTCTGGGCGTAGGAACCGATTCCGCGACGCGATCTGCCCCGGCGTGGCGCGTCGACACGCAGACGCTTGCACTGTGACGCATCTACCTGCGCGCCGCGCCTGGCTTCTGCTCGACCCAGCCCGGACACTCGTGCTCCTCGGCGTACTTCTTGATCTTCTCGTACGTCTCCTTCGAGATCCTGCACGCGACAACATCACCAGCGCCAACTGGTGAGTCCTCAGCCGTGATTTGCGCCTCAGGAGCGCTCAGACCACCCCGCCGAGGCAGCCAGAGCCTGCTGCGCGCTCGCGGCGGCGCAGCGACGCGCTTGCCAGCCTCCTGGGACGTCCGCCAATTTGCGACGCGTGTGTGTTGCCCACACTCACCCTCTGGCCCTGGCAACGGCCGGGTTCCCGGCGTCGAAACTGAAGTAATCGCAGAAGTTCTTGCTGGTGTACGCATCCAGGCGCTCCGCGTCGTAGCGTTCCTTGTTGTCTCGCGAGCGCTGCAGCAGGCCCTGAATGAGAGGGCTGTCTTCAGGAGCAACGCCCGAGTCCTTGTCCTTCGACGGCGCCGCGTAGGCCGCGCCCGGCTCGATGAGGAGCATGCCGACTGCTGCAGCCGTCACGGCGATCCGGGCCGCGTGCCGCCGCAGCGTGGCCGCGGGGGGAGCGGCCTCCCGCCCCTGAGGCCGAGCTTGGAGGCGGACGTGTCCCGACGCGACGGGCAGCGGCTTCAGCGGCGATGGCATACTGAGCCTCTAAGTGCTGGCGACGCGGTGTCCGCAGCCCTCCCCGCGCCGGCTCGTCGACAGGGCGCGCGGTTGAGTGCTCTCTCAGGGAGGTTTGTGCGACACAGAAGCGCTGGCGCCTGAGTCAGGTCTGACCGTGATGGTTACAAGCCGATGTGGTTCGTACGCGGCCGCCGCGCTCCCTTTCAAGGCTAGAAACGCGCAGGTGAGAACAAAACACCCCTCCCTAGGTCACGCATGTGCCACACGACCGTGCCGTCCGACAGCGCCCGCGCGCGGCATCGCGAGCGAGCTCGCGGCGCGGATCGGCCTCCCCAGCCCCGCCTCGCCGGATCCAGGGGCTGCGGCGCGCCGAAAACAGCTTCCCGGCCTCTCAAACGGACAGCAATACGGAACACGATCCATCGTGTTGCCATGACGCGCCGCACGCCGTCCATCGGAGCGCGCCATGGGCACGCCTGGGCTCAGCGCGAGCGGCGGCGTCGTCCGCTCGACGGCGTGCGCTCGCCAGGAGCCGCGCTGAACCGCGTGACGTGGCTTCTGCAGTTCCTGCTTCGACCTCGGCCTGACGCTAGGGCACCGCGTGCTGGGCTCGGTTGGCCACGTCTGCCGGCGAGGACGCCCGGGAGAGATACTTTGCGCCTCCGTTGCCGCGCCAGGGCCGACAGCGTGACTCAGCGCGCTCACGGCCCTCCTGTTGCCCAAGTGTAGGGTCAGAGCCTGCCGTGACCTCCGAGAGCTTCGCAGCTGCCGTCGATCGTCCGTTCCCGCTCCATCCCGGTGACTTTCTCGTCGACTCCACGTCGCCGTTTCGAAGAAGGCGCTCTGCTGGCCAGGCAACTCTAGGGGCTTTCCTCACGTTGTAGCTCCTGCTTCGCCGCAATCCCGCCGGCATCGACCATCGACGCGACTCTATCGCGCGGCTCGTGTCCGACGAAATCGTTGACAAGATGATGCCCGGCGTTTACCCCGTCGGGAACGGCGGGCGAGATGGCTCGGGGCTGAACAAGTTCGGCGGGCCGGGCGGCAACAAGGGGCCCACCTGCGTCGACAGGTACGCGTGCCCGGTCAAAGTCAAATCAGACTGAGGTCCAGTGGTGTCGGCGGTCCGACTCTTGCAGCGTTGAGGCCAGCGCGACGGTCGAGATCGACCAACTGTTTGTCCCGCGCCGCCCGCCGCCATCGGCGGCGCACGGTCTCGTCGACGCCCGTTCACGGCTGTATCAGTGCAATGTTTGCTTCCTCGACGCAAGCCTTGCCGTTTTTGGCGCCGGATGGCGACAGAAATCACCCAACCGCAACAGCATCGTTTGCCGTCCTCGTCGCGCGCCGGCCTCGCGACGGGCGACGCAGGCGCAACGTCTCGTACCATGATCCCTTTATGAGACGGGCCCTAGTTCGGTCGCGGATGCGTCACACCACCAACCCGAGCTGCACCATGGAGCCACCCATGGTGCAGCTACATGATGTCGCTGTTCCGCCGCCGAGCGCCGCCCGGATACCCCAGGCCCCGCGCCACACGCAGAACGTCCTCACAAACACCCCTCGCTGCGTATCGATCCTCCGCAGGTTGATCTGGTCGCTGCAGTCGATGGCCAACAACGACGTCGACGCCATCCGCAACGTCCTCAGCGTCTCGGTCCACCAGCACCGCCTCCGCCTCCCCGGCCTCACCAAGGCCGTCGCCTCCCTCGCACGCACGGGGCACGCCCCCACGGCCGCCGCCGTCGTCCAGGTAAAACAAACACCCCCCATCGGGATGCCAAATCCGATCCCGTCGGACCGAGCCCGTCCTGAGCCACGACGCCCGCGCCCACGATCCCGCCCCCGCAGCACTCCCCGCTCCAGCCGGACATCAAGCTCGTCAACGCCGCGATGCCGAACCAGCCGGCGGACGTGGCGCTCGCCCTGTACCGCTGGGCCGTCACGCGCGGCCTCAAGCCCGACGGCCACACGTACAGCTCCGTCATCACGAGCCTGGCGCGCGAGGGCCGCGCCGCCGAGTCCGCCGAGCTGTTCCTGCGCATGCTGCGCTCGGGACTCCCCCTCGACCAACACGTGGTGTGCTCCATCATCACGGCGCTGCGCTCGCACTGGCACGCGGCGCAGCACGTCTTCCTCTCGTGCCTGGACGTGGGGTTCGACCTGCCGGACAAGCTGAGCCAGGCGGACGCCGGCCCCGGCCAGGGCGGGGAGCGCGACGGTGTGCCGGGCAGGGGGGGGGACTTCGAGCCGACACGCCCCTCCGAGAAGCCGTACTCGAACCTGGACCAGGGCTCGAGGATGGTGGGCTCGGCGATGCCTCCCCCGCCGCCCGCGCCGCCGCAGGAGACCCTCGAGGGCTTCCCGGGGGGTCTGTTTCCGGGTATGACGGGACGGGGAGGGGGGGGTCCGGCGCGGCAGACCAGCGAGGACGACCCGTGGGTGTCGGCGAACCCGATGCCGTGGATGCACCCCCTCGCGGGCGCGGAGACGTCGCCGCAGAAGCCCCCCGGAGACCCCAGCCAGGATGCGGGGTCCATTCTTGATTCCCCAACTCGCACGCCGACGACGTTCCACCAGAGCTACCACGGCTGGGGGCCCTGGAGCTGGGCCATCGCGTCCCCGCCTGCCACCGCCCAGATCGGCTTCCACCCCGACGCGGCGTCCGGGTCCGCCGCCCCGACGGCCGCCGGCGGCAGCGAGCACGGCACCGCCGACATCCTGTGCGAGGACGACCGCATCGCCGAGCTGGTGCGCAACGTCGTGCCCCTGGTGGCGGCGCTGCGGCGCCGCAGCAACAAGCCGCCGCCGAACCCCAACGTCATGTGCGCGAACGCGCAGCTGGCCGCGTACGCCAAGGGCGGGCAGGCGCAGCGCTCGGCGGTGCTGCTGCGCTGGATGCTGGACTCCTCGGTCCGGCGCCCCGAGGTGCAGCCGGACTCGATCAGCTTCAACACGTGCATCACGACGCTGTTGAAGGCCGGGGTCTTCGAGACGGGCTTGGAGTTCTTCGAGTGCATGCTGACGATGGGAGTGCAGCCCAACTCGACGACGAGCGCGCTCGTGACCAGCGGCATCTCGCGCGGGCTCATCAACCCGGCGTCGCACCCGTGGGCGCTTTCGGCGTCGCGCGGGCCGAACAACGGCTCCGCGGGCGACCCCGGGATGCACCACGTCAACAGCGAGCAGTGGTCGCCGGCGCGGTCGTCGCTCGGCGCGGTCGGAACCCCGCAGCGGACGGGCAGCCTCGACACCCCGCCGCGCGGCGCGGCCGTGTACCCGGTCACGCCGAAGCGGCCGTTCACGCCGCGCGCCAGCCACCCGCCCACGCCCAACGGCGCAGGCGGCGCTGAGGCCGCGGCCTGGCAGCGCAGCTACCAGGGCATCACGCCGCACAGCCTCGTGTCGTCGTTCTCGACCGGGGCGGACGGCCGGTCGTGGGGGAACTGGGAGCAGGAGGGGAGTCACCACGGCCTGGGACCCCTGACGCTGTCGGGGCCCATCGGACACGCTCCGCAGGGCCTGCACGAGTACTGGCAGCCGCTGACGTACCACGACTCGCTGAACCCGCACACGCCCGGGGCCGCGCAGCAGCGGACTTCCCCGCCCGCGCAGCAGGGCGGGGGGGAGTTCGGGGGGGATGTGTTTGGGGTGTACGGGGAGGACCCGCGGCCGTCGGGCAAGTGCGTGTGGGAGTGAGCGGCTGCGGGCGCGGTTGTGCGTCGTTGAGCGGCGGCTGGTGCGGCGCGAGGACTGGTCGGTCTGTTCGTTTGCGCGTGGGGAGACTTTGTTCCTGAATGAATGAAAGGGCGATGGATCCGCTCTGCCGCTGCATGCTCATGCGCTCGTGCTCTCGCGGCTCCCTGCACGGAGGAAGGCAGCGCCGGTGCGGCCCGATCGGCACCTGCGGGATCGGAAACGCAAAAAGCACTGTGAGGGGAAAGTAACCGTGCCCGCCATGCACGGTTCGCAGGAACGCCTGCCGCGCTCGTCGTCCTTCTCCCTCACCTCCCAGCGTCGCTCGACCGATCACGGCTGCATGCTCGCACCCGTCTCTCGCCACCCCAGCGCACCCAAACGCAAAGACCGCACAACATCCCCATCCTCCGCGGCTCACTCACACGCGGCGCTGGCGCTCCGCGCGCCTACATCGGCAGAAGCGCCCGCTTGGCCGCGCCCCGCGCCCGCAGCATCCGCCACGCAAGCCAGCCAATCACCGCCGCGACTCCGGCGCCTGTTGCGCCCAGGGACCGCACGCGGCGCGCTCCCATGGCGACGGCGTGCTCGAGCAGACCCCACTGCGTCCCCAGCGCGCCGCCAGCGATCAGCGCCCTCACCGCGCGCATCACGGCGCCAGCCAGGTCAAACATAGCGCGGGCAATCGGCACACGGAGGGTGCGTGTTGCGGCGCCGCGCGCCGGCGCGACGGCGGTGCGCTCCGGAGATCGCACGTCCCGCTGGACCTCGGGGCCCGCACTCGCGTCTTCGCCGGACTCGCCCACAGGGGGGTGTTCTTCTTCGTCCACCGGGGGACTGGCCTTGTCCCCCAGGGGCGTCGCCGGACACCCCCAGATGTCGGACCCGGACGTGTCGAGCCCCGTGCCGTCGCTGCTGCGCTGCTTCGCCGCCCCGACGCTCTCGCCGTCGTCTTCGCCGTCACCCCCGCCCTCGGACGCGATGCTGCTCACGCAGTCCGCGTCGCTCTCCACCAGGTCCCCCGCAGCCTCCTCGCCCTCCTCCTCGCCGTCCGCGTCCTCCCTCTCCTTGCTCAGGCTGCGGCGCAGCGCGTCGATGATCGAGCCCGCTGCCGCAGGGGTGAGCGGCACCGGGCTCGCCATGCACGTGGCGCTCGCGCGCACGTCGTCCTCGCCGCCGACGCCGCTCCAGTTCATCGGCGGCGCGCCTCCGCGCGCCGTCGCGTCCGCGGGCGTCGGCGACGGCGACTTGAGCGAGTAGTGCGTCATGCGGGGGAGTTCCAGACTCCCCCCGGTGCCGACCTCGCCAACGGCGCCGCCGCTCGTGCGCAGGAGGTGCTCCGACAGCCGGAGCGCGTCCGCGAAGAGCCCCTCCACGCGCACGCGCGCGGCCCGCTCCCTTTCGAGCTCCTCCCGGGCCCTGCGCACCGCCTCCGCGGCAGAGTCAGCGGGGGGAGTCGGAGTAGTCCCCCCCTTGCTCATGCTCGTCAGCGACGCCTCCTCGGCGACCGAGGACTGCTCCATCGAGGTGGACGACGCGTCCACGAGAGACCCCCCCACCTCGATCGCCCCGCTGCCTCGGAACGGAGTCGGGGCCCCCAGGGACTGCGGGGAACACCCCCCCGCCGATCCGTCGCCGCCGAACACGCGCGACGCAGGCGGATAGGTCTTCTCCGCGTCGTCCTCGCCCTCGGCGTCCGACCCGGTCTGACGGGCGACCCAGTCGGCAGCGGCGGCGGCAGACGCGCGGGCGTTGGGGCCGCGGGCGCCGGTGGGCGTGGAGGCGACGGACGCGAGGGTGCGGCGCGCCTTGTGCGCGAGCGGAGGGCGGTCGTGGGAGCGGGACGCCAGGCTGCGGGGGTGTGGGGCGGATGGCGCGCGCGAGATGTGTGTGGGCTCGCACGGGTCCGACGCGCACTGAAACTCGGAGCATATCGCGTATTTGCGGATGCGAGCTCTCAGCAGGCGAGCAGGTGTGCAGGTCACGTCACGTCGCGGAGGCGTGGCTGGGTGCGGCGTGCCTGGTAGCGCTGAGCCTGCTGGGGTGCATGGCCGGCATCGACGACCTCGTCTCCGGCATCGGGGAGTTCTCCTTGTCGGACGCGGGGCCGGAGGGCTTGTACGGGGACGGCGACGGGCCCTGCACGCTCGGGCTCAGGCCTGCAGGAGGCGCGGCGCGGCCGGTGCGTCGCGCGGTGGGCGCGACGCGGGCGACCAGCACGACGTGGGTCGCTACGATCATCTGAGGAGCAGCCGCCGCGCGGCAGGACGCGCGTGCGACGCCCACGCGCGGCGGTGACGTGGAGGTTCTGTTGCTTGTGACACGCCGCTTTGAAGGCGGGGGCGCGGGGAGGCTCTCGGGGCGGGAGGTTTCCACGGCGGGGCCACGCGCCGCGCTCCTTGGTATCGGAGGGGCACAGGGGGCGCGGGAGGCCCCGCATTCACACCTGTTGCCGTTCCGGAGAGCCACGAAGCCTCGTCTTCGTCAGTGACCACCACGACGCGCATTTCCTCGAGCGGGGACGCCTCCCCGGAGCGCCCCGTGACGCTCGTGTTCGACGGTCTCATGGTGGTCATGGGCACGCGCTCGCTCGCGGCGAAAGCTCCGCGTCGGACGCGTCGCGGGCCGTCTTCTTCCGGGAGAGCGAGGGCGCCGGAGAGGCTGCGCTGAAGCTGCTGGGACTCGCGGACGGCCGCGTCGAGCTCTGCTGCCGTGCGAGGGAAGCTGCCGTAGCAGTGCGGGCAGTTGTTACCCGTGTGGATGTGCCCGGCGAACTCCAGCGCGTCCAAGGCGTCGTCAGCTCCTGCCAGCATCGGTCGATGACCCAGCTGGTCGTTTGCTTCACAACGGCCGAGGAGGGCAATGCTCGCGTCTGTGCCGCGCGGAGGGCATCGAGGGCCGAGCGCAACGCGACCTCCGTGCGCCCAGCGGGTCAGACCAACCCTGGCGTCAGCCACGGAAGACCTTCCGCGATCACGGTCGATTTCGCCGCTGTGTGGGCTCCACGGCGCGCCGCCGCGTCACTACAGAGGAGGGTAGCCTGTAGACATCCCGATCAGACAGTCTGTGGGTTCCGAGCGGCCTATTTCGTGACCGCAGTGCAGTGGCGGTTTGGCGCCAGTGCAGCATCACAACGCAGTGGCCCTCGCGTCCTCCGGGGTCGCGGTCCGGCATGATGGCCGACAGGCTCGAGCCCTCGACTCCTGCGGTCGATCGCACGCAAGCGCCGCCCGGGGCGGCCACGCAGGGCACGGTGCGGCACCGGGCTGGGAGCACACTGCCAGCCAGCTGCACCTGTCACGCACCTTGCTTTCCAGCGCTAGTTTCCGCATCACGGCGCATGAACGACACAGAACATTCAACGGCGCGCGATCGATGCGCGTGAGACACCCCCACTCGCCCCCCTCCAGTACCGCGTGCAGGTCACGCCAGCCACGCTCACGCCGGCCCCCGCGGCGCTGCGAACGCCCGGGACGCCGCTCGACGCGTGCAGCATCTGCTTCGAGTCCCTGACGTGCACCCCTGCGAGGAAGCACACGCTCCGGACTTGCGGTCACAGGTCGGTCAGCTGCGCGCTTGCGCCAGCTCCCGCGCCCTCGCTTGACCGGACTCCCCACCCGCACCAAGCAGCTAAACCCCCGACGATCCGTCCTGTCTGCGCGCAGATTCCACAAGACGTGCATTCGGAGGTGGGCCGAGCACAGCGCGGCGCGGATGGGCGACGGGCAGCCCATGTGCCCGATGTGCCGCCAGCAGCTCCCGCTGGACGACTCGCCCTTCGAGAACATGACGGTATGCCTCCGCTGGCCGCTGGGCTCGCACGCGGGCTCGCCTCCGTCGCCGGGGAGCGATGGAGCGCTGCGCCTGCGTTGCGTGACTGCAGGTGGTCGCGCCGGAGGCGGTGCCGAGGTACGAGGTGAACTACCCGCCGGTGCGCTCCTCCGCCGTGATGCACCGGGCGCACGTGATGCGGGAGGCCGTGCGGCGCGCGAACGAGGCGAGGGCGGCGGCGGCGGCGCAGGCGAGCGCGCAGCTTGCCGCGCAGCAGGTGGCGTGACGGGGGCCGCGCGGAGCGGGCCGCGCGGACGGTGTGGCCGCGTGGGCTCCGTGTGACGGCCTGGCGCGGAGAAGAGCCCCCCGTAGGTACAACATATGCTGCAGAACTGGTCCGACTGTTTCTTGTACGATGGGCTCCGCCGGAGGCACCGTCGATGTGACACGACGACCGCAGCTGCTCCCTGCAGCGAGGTTCCGTCGTCCCGCGCCCCGGCAGCCGACGGATCGCTGTCCGTCTGACTGGGGCCTGTGTCAGGGGGGATCAGCGCAGCTGTCGGTCGGGCTGGGCGGTGCCGCGGGGGCGGCAATGCGCGAGGCCGGCGACGGCCGTGCGCAGTCACCGGGTCGGTCCCATGTCAGACTGGGAGGGGTCGGCAGCCGTCGGAGCGTCGTGGTGTTTTGCGACAGCAGTGGTTTCTTGCACCGGAGGGCAGCATGGCGGAGGAGGCAGAGGCGCCGGAGCGGTGAGGGATGCATGATCATGCGTGTGTCTGTTGACGGGGGTGGTCGCGGTTGCAGGAAGTGCTATGTGGGCGACGTCAGCTCGGTGAGATGGTTTGGGTTGTGTGTGAGGGCCCCACTGCGTCGCTCGGGCTCTCTTCTCGCGGCCGCAGGGCGGATGGATTCGTTTTCAAGCAGCACTCGGTCAAGATAAGGTATAAGAGGGACCAGGAGACGCGTATCGGGTCTCTCAAGCCTCTGGACACGGCCATCCTGGAGGCAACGCGTCTCGCGCAGGAGCCCGCCCCAAAGCGCGCTCGCGGGCGTAGGGCATCCGGCGCGCAGGCGGACGAAGGAGCGGAGCTCGTCGGAGTCGAGGAGGCCGTCTGCTTCACGGGAGCGGCCGTGCAGTCCCTCCACTGGCTACCGCACCTCCTTCCCGGCACAGCGCACGCAACCAGTTCGGCCCCGCAGGCCTCCCACGCGCTCCTGGCCGCGTCGCTGTCCTCCGCTCGCGACCTCAGCATCGTCATTGGCGACAAGGTCGACGGAGCGGGCGTCATTCAGCTCTGGACGGTCGCCAGCGCCGCATCTGTCCCCGCTGGGTTCACAGCGCCCTCCGGCGCGGCCCCCCACGGCGACGCAACGTCCCCGCTGCGCCTCGTCCACTCCATAAATCACGCCGACGGGGTCGCGTGGGGCGTGCGGTGGCGTCCAGGGCCGCCAGACGCGCCCCTCGACCTCGCTGCCGCACACAGCAGCCACGCCATCGCCGTCTACCGGGTCACCGGCGGCGATCCCCGCGACGGCGCCGCGTGGTCCTCGCGCGTCCTCACGCGCTCGATGCGCGCCGGGCAGGTCGGCTGCAAGCCCTCCTCCATCGCGTGGCTGGACCGCGCACCTTACGACGTGTTTGCGGTGGGTGGATGGGACGGGTCCTTCATGCTGTTCCGCCTCAGGTGCGCAGCCGCGGGGAGCGCGCCTGAAGACGCGGCGCTCGAGGGGCTGCTGCGCGTGAAGGCGGACAAGCAGGCGATACGGTCGGTGTGCTGGCTGCCGGACTTGCGGCGTCAGGGGGGGGAGTCAGGGGGCGCGGGCGCCGCGGACGCGACGCCGGGGCTGCCGCGGGGCGCCGTGCTGTCCGTGGCCGGGGACAGCAGCCAGATGACGCTGTGGGACATGCAGGCAAGGGCCCTGCATACTGCGCGCGTGTGTGGAGCCGACGCGTGTTTTGTGTTCGCGTGCGATTCCGCCTGGGCGATGCGCTCAGAGGCGGACGTGCGGTGGTCGAGCGCGTGGGCTGCGCGCCGGTGCCGTGAATCAGTCCCTGTTGACGCGGGGAAGGCGAGACTCCGTTTCTTGAGTGGCGTGCTCCTGCAGAACTGCTTTGTGCCGCTGGTGCGTCTGCCGGCGCCGTCGCGGGCCTGGACGCGCGACCACTGCTGGGCGACGCGGCCGTACGTCGCGGCGCTGATGGCGCAGGACGACGGAAAGGCAGTTGCGGTGATTAGTAAGTCTTCGGAGGAGGTCTCCAACCCCAAGGACGCACGAAGTCACGTCATGATCGACGGCGACACCCTCGGGAGCGCCAACGCCATCGATGTCAGCGGCGACGGTCGTGCGTGCCCGCCCGCACCCGTCCGCACGAAGTCGCTGTCCGAAACAATCGAGAATTCCTGTTTCTTTCCCCCTCGTCATCTCGTGATTGATGTTCTTGCAGTGTCTCACCGCTGACGCGGCGTCTCTCTACGCGGGTGGCTCGCAGGTACCGTGCTCGTTGCAGGCGAGGACGGCGAGGCGTTTGTATTCGAGATTCAGGATATTCTGTCGCGCGGCCGGAACAGGTCTAAGATCACGCCTGTGGCGTGGCAGCGCTGGACGGGCCGCGCGCTGCAGCTCGGGGGGCGGCCGCGGCGGTCCGTGGACGTGCAGGCGATGCGGTTCCTGCGCGCACCGGCGAGGAAACCTCCGGAGGCGGCGCCGGGCGTTGGCGGCATGCCATGGGACTGCGAGGTGGTGCTGTGCGCGAAGTGGGGGCCGGAGGTGGAAGGGCAGGGGACGTGGCTGGCGCTCGCCGGGCGTGCGGGGCTGATCCGCTTCATCTTGCACGAGTAGGCGGCGGCGCTTTCAGTATCACACGTCCCACGCGTCGCGGTGTGTGCACGCAGCTGTCCCGCGACTTGCGCGGTGCCAGCAAGCAAGCGGGGCAAAGATGTGATATAAGCAAGAGCGTTGCGCATTGGTCGGGTGCATGCAGTGGCATAAAAGAAGCATTTGTAATTTCTCTAGTCGATCTCGTGTCTCGCGACGCTATCCCACGATCGACACGTTCCCGTCCCTTGCCCCGAGCATCGCGCACGCCATCAGTGGCATCCACCCCATGCACGTCCGCCCTGACTCAGGCAGCGGGACCACCTGTTCTACCACCCCAGCGTCGACGACACCCCCCGCGCCGATCCGCCCCGGGGCCGCACGCAAGCTCCACACCGCCGACGAGCCGCACACGACCATCGTTCCGTCGTGCTCCTCGCGGATCCCCAGCACAGCCCCAGCCCCGCCCGGCGCGTCCGTCGACAGGACAGCACTCATCGTCGCTGCCCCTGCGCCCACCTGCACGTCTTGCAAGCGCCGCGAATCGAACAGAAGCACCTGCCCGGCGCCGTTCCCGACCGCCACGCCCCACGTGTCGCACCATGAAAGCGCCGTAGGGCCCTGCTGTGAGTGCGGCGACGACGACGAGGGCATCTTCGGTGCCAGCGCGCGCCAGAACGCCGCCGGCGTCGGTTGCCGGCAGTCGATGAGCGCGAGCGACCCGCCGGTTGTCGCGGCTGCGAGCACGCACGGGTGCTGCGCCCGTCGGCCTGACCCCAGCGGGCCCGTCTGGGGCACGATGACTCCCGCGGGGGAGTGAAGGGTCGACCCCCCCCACGCGGCCTCGACCTGCCCGTGCGAGCCCTCCGCGGCGTACAGCGCGTTCGGAACCAGGCACACGACCGCCTCCGGCGCCGGCAGCTTCCACGAGCACGTGACGTGCTGCACCGCGCAATCGAGGCTGAAAATCATACCGGATGTCGACCCCCCCAACACCCCAGCAGCATCGAACTCGTGGCAGCCCGTGCTGAGCGCCGAGACGTACTCCCCCTGCCCGCCGCCGGGCCCGCCCGCCGCACTGCTCGGCCGCCGCCCCCACGTCACCGCACGAGCCGTCATGCCATGACCGGCGTGAACTGAAGGTCCCCACAGCTGCAGCGAACCGCGCACGTCCGCGGTGGCCGCGAGGCGCTCGTGCACCGCCGCCGCCGCCGTCACCGCGGACCGGTGCCCCGTGTGCCGGTGCAGAATCGCCCCGGTCGCAAGTTCCCTGACTTCGACAGGCCAGGGATGCAGCCCGCTCTTCGCGGCGCCGCCCGCGCTCCGCACGCGCGCAGCGTGCGCTGCACTCATGGTCTGCGGCGCCGCTGCCGCGCTCCCGACCGCAATCGCCCAGCCGCCAGCCTCCCACGGAACCACGTGCCTGACGGCGCCCTTGAAGGCTTTCCAGTTTAATAGTGTTCTACCTTCGAGGACGCGCGCGCTCGGGGCGCCGTCGCCGTCGTCGACGGCGCCAAGACGTCCCACTGTCATACCGGTCTGCCCCCTGCGCTGCCGGAGCCAGCCCTCGAGGGCTGCTGCGTCATACCACGACCACGGCGAACACACCCCCCCCTGCGACCCAGCCTCGCGACTCCGCACGGAGCCGTCCGTGGAGCCGTCCGGCAGGCTCGTGGTCCGGTGCGGCGCAGAAGATCCGTGCCCCGACGCCCACAGCGCGCCACGGCGCCCCCGTGGTGCTTGCGGCGTGCCCGCCGAGGCTCCCGGGGGGCTGCGGCTCGTCCGCGACTTCGCCTCGGAGCCCCGCACCAGATCCGGATCGCGCTCGGGCAGCTGCCGCCAGAACGGCACCACGCGCCGCGCCACGTCGTCCCCGAGCAGCAATGACACCTCCGGGTACAACACCTCCCACGGACCTGCGTCAGGCGCGCCGCTGCGGCCCGACGCCGCGTCGTCCTGGCGCGTGTCCGCCGAGTGCCCGCTCGACGCGCCGCGCTGCCCGCCCGGCCTGGGGAGCGCGTCCACGAGGCTTGGCAGCACGTTGTCTGCGAGGAGAGAAGCGTCGCCCAGCGCCCGCATCGCGACGACCGTGAGCGCGACCGACGACCACGACGCGGCTGCGGGGACGTGCGTGTCTCCAGTCGGGCCGCCGTGGCACGCGGAGGCGAGCTGGACCAGCGGCGCAGGGGTGCGCGAGCATGAGTCAGGCAAGAGTCCCCCGGAGGTGACGAGGGCCCAGCGCAGCGCCGCGGGGCCGCAGCGCGGCGCCGCCGCCGTCAGCGCGGACAGAAAGACCCTGAGAGTGCCGGCGTCCGCGGACGCGTTGGTGCGTGCCACATCAAGCGCCAGACCGACCATGACCCTGAACGCTGAGTCAAGCAGCCCTTGTGGAAGGTTGCTGACGAGACTGACGAGCGGCGCGACCGTTGCCGCGGTGTCCAGCTGCCCCGCGCGAAGATAGTGCAGGACCGGCACGAGGATGCGTGCCGCTGCGACGCCGGGCGGCAGCTCGTTCGCCACCTGAACTGCCGCTGCGCCCGCCGCAACACACGTGGGCGCCGTTGCGGGCGTTCCCGCGCGCGGAGTGCGCGGAGAGTCGACGGACGACGCGTCGTTCGAGGGCTCCGACGTCCGGGCTCGCGCCTGACAGAGCATCCGGGTCAGACATGGCAGCATGCGCGCACAGTAGACGCGGACGCCGAGACCGCGCAGGATCGAGGACTGCGCGGTCGGACCGCCGAACGCCGACGCGACCGCGCTCGGTCCGCCTCCGGCGACGCGCGAGATCGCCGGCGCGAGCTGCTGCACGGCCATCTGGCGCGGGAGCATCAGCGTCAGAGCCGAGACCATGTCCCCGAGTTGCGCGGCGGCTTTTGGTGTTGCCCCGCGGCCCCACGCGGCATGTTCCGCGGCGATGAGCAGCGAGGGCAGCGTGAGCTCGAGGGTCACCGGGCTCGCGCCGAGCGCGGCGAGTTCGCCCCGCTGCGCCAGCGATGCGAGTCGTCCAAGCGCGGACTCCCCCTGGGGGAGTGAAGCAATGACCTCCCTTGCGTGCCTGACGTCAGCGCCGGCCTCCCCGCTCTCCAGCCGCGCCAGCGCGCAACTCGCCGTCGACTCCGGGTCCCGCGAGAGCGCCCCCGCGACCAGCGTGCCCACCACCGCGCTGTGCTGAGGCAACAACGCCGCCGCCGCCTCACGCAGCGTTTGGTCCCACGGGGCCGGTGCGGCGAGAATCGGGTGGCCCGACAGCACGGATATGAGCGCCGGAAGGGCAAAGAAGATGTCGCGCTGGTGCAGCGCCGCGCGCGCGCCCCCGACGAGCATCGACAGCCGAGCGCTTTCGAGCATTCCTGCCCTCGACAGCGGCCACGCGTCCAGGCCCGCCGCGCCGGCGTTCGCGAGGTCCGCGGTGCAGATGTCGCAGCAGTGGTGCGGGACGACGGACACCGACAGGATCACGTCCGTCGCCTGCGGCAGGTGCGCGTCCGCCCCCGCCGCGGAGCAGCAACACGCCCCCGGGGAACCTCGCCGTGACATCCCCTCCTCAGTCTCGGTCGAGGACCCCCGCCGCGCGTCCCGCGACGACACGATCCCGTTCACGATCATCTCCGCGCGCCTCGCCCCCTGAGGGTGCGCCCCGGACAGAACCTTCGTGCGTGCAACGCCCGCGTTCACCTCTTCGCGCGTCGCCCGCGCAGGGACGTTGAGGTCCGCAGACGACAGCAGCCGGGACCCAAAGTGCAGGTCGATCCACGCCGGTAGGTCCCGCGCCACCCTCGCGCTCTCAAGCGCCCACCGGTGAGCGCGAACAAAGTCCTCTGGCCCACGCGCCCAGTCGGGGGGCTGCAGGTCCGGCAGCGCGAGCGGGCCGTCGCCGCCGGGGCTGCCGGCCTCCGCGGCGCTCGCGCGCTCGCCCGTGTGGATCGAGCGCAGAACGGTGGGGTCGTCGTAGAACTCCGGGATGGCTTCTTCGGGGGACGCTTGGTACAAGCGCAACACCCCCCCCGGGTAGTCTCCGGCGCGGACGCGCCGGCGGACTTCGGCCTCGAGGACCGCGCGGGGCAGCACGCGCGCCAGGTACATCGCTCGCGCGTGGCCGTTCAGCAGCGCTGCGGGCACGTGGTGCGGCGGGCGCGAGGAGCGGTAGGCCGCCCTGAGCTGCTCGTCGCCGCGCACGACACGCCACTTCGACAGCGCGAGGTCCCGCCAGCCCTGCTGCTCGCCGCCGTTCGCGCGGGGGTCGCGCGTGACGTCAGACACCCACGGGACGACGGGGTGCGCCGGTGAGTTGCGCACGCGCCCTGCGAGCAAGTTGAGCCGCAGAATGTGCCCGAGCGTGGTGCCGGAGCCGGCCTCCCACGCCGCAGTCATGTCCTCGACGGACGCCCACCGCCCTCCCATGGCGGCCACGTCCCCTGCGCGGCTTGCACTGTGGCGTGGCTCCGACCCCTCCCCGCGCGGCGTCGGGTCAGCCGCCGGAGCTGCGCGCTTCGCGCGGTGGAGGGCGACCATCAGAGCGAACGTGCGGCGGTGGATCGTGAGCCACGGGCCAGGCGCGACGAACACGGCCTGCAAAGAGAGGCATGCGCCGCCGATGATGCCACCGCGCTCGTGGGCGTCCGCCATGGCCGCCATGAGCTGTGCCGCCAGGAACATGCGATGCGGCAGAGACGGCGGCTCCGTGTGCTGCCACCAGCGGAGCTCCGTGGCCAGCGTCGGGCCAGGGGGGGGTCCTAGGAGAATGACTACCCAACAACCCCTCGGCTCCCCCGGAGGCGCCCGCAGCGGCTCGCAGGCCCTGCAGCCCGCTGGTGCAGCTTCGGGATCCCAGGGAGCGTCGATGTCGTCGACGATTCCTTCCGAGCACCCCCCCGGGGCGTGCGTCGTTGCGTCTGACGCAGGGGTCATGACAACGACGGCGGCTCGCGGCGTGAGCCACGCGGAGCGCGCCGGAACCCGCGGCCTGCCTCGCTGGTGTCCTTTGCGCAGTGAGGAGCTCCTGAACGGCGATGCACCCCGCGAGTCCGCCTCCGGCGCCCTCCGCAAGCGCGACGTGCAGGTTTCCCCCTCGCGCGCACTGCCGGCCATCACGCCCGCCGTGCCGGCCTCCGCGGCATCGCTTGCTCTATTCTCCGGCGCGGGAGCAGGAAGCGGCGTCAGCGGCCGCGCCGGAGAGCAGCGGCAGCGACTTGTGTGCGACACGAGCACTGGACAGCCTCCTGGCAGCAGCCCTGAGTCAACGAGGTCGTCGGGTCCGTGGCAGACGTCCTCAGGTATCCAGTCGACCTCGCACAGGCAGACGGCCTCCGTGACTGGCGGCTGCAGGGCCCGGGCGGGGCTGTCGTCGTCTGGCGCTAGTGGCGCAGCCCCGGCCTGGTCGAGCGAACGGTCGAACGCGATCTGCTGCCACTCGCGCTCGGTGCTGCACTTGGTGCTCGCCCTAATGAACGGCGAGCGGCCCGTGCTCGGCGCCGCGTCCGTAGAGGGCGGGCACAGGAAGCACACGCCAAGGTAGCTGCGCGAGGGTGCTGCCGTTGGGTGCAGGTGGCTCCACTCGCATCCCGGCACGAGCGAGACGATACTGCAAACGCGGATCTCGGCCTAGGTGTCAGACATTCCGCGCGTGACGGGCTGTTCAGGGCGACTCACAGCGCGCTTGTCCGTGGAGGTCCGCGCGGGAGGAAGCTTAGGACAGTCCGCGCAGTGACAAAGGCGCGCGTCTGAGCGTACTGCGCACCTGCGGAACGTCTCCTCAGTGATGCCTCCGTTCAGCGGAATGTGAGCGCCCAGCACCTCGTGCTGTTGCGACATCGCAGCGCGTGGAGGCCGCTCCAGCCTTCTTCTCTCCGCTACTGCGGCGCAGCGCCGCGAATGAACTGCGTCCGTTTCATTACGACAGTATCCCTGACGCTCTGTTGGCACGCCCCGCACATATCGTGCGCGCAGCCCGCCCCTATGTGGTGTCACGGCAGGATGTCAGACTTGACGCGATTTCTCACTACTGGATGCCGACACTGGGCCCACATCGACACAGAGCCTCGCAGCGCACGCTCAACATTCGCTGCCCGGGACTTCAGGGCCGACATGGCTCAGCCTGAGTCAGGAGCGGCGGAGAAAGGGCTAGGTCTGCGCTGACGGTTTGCGGGCGTTGCGATGGCTCCCGGGGAGCTGCTGACCGTTCAGCTGGGCCCCCGGTCGAACTTCGTCGGTTCCCACTTCTGGAACCTCCAGGACGAGCTTCTAGGACTCCAAGGCGACCCGAACTGGCCCTCCCTGGAGTCCTACCTCTACGACGGGGCGCTTTTCTCGCAGGGGGAGAAGGCTGACGGCACGCCGACGTACACGCCGCGTGTACTGATCGTCGACGCGCGAGGCGCGGCCGGGAGCTGGTCCGTCCAGGGCGAATTGGCGGGGCCGCGAGGCGCTGTTGCCCACCCCGATGCAGCTCCCGCGGCGCCGTGGGGCGGAGCCACGCGGACGACGCGCCAGGATCCCGTCCCGGAATCACACTTCCAGAGAGAGCTGCGAGACTGGGATGCGACCGGCGCGGACACCGCGGGCGCCGGCCCCGCCGCTGAAACACACGCCGACGGAGCATCGCGTCTCGAGGCCGCGGCTGCGCGGTTGGAGAGCGACGCGCGGTACTACACGGACTTTCTGAAGACGTACTTGCATCCAAAATCGATATTCGAGGTGCCGGGAATCTGGGCGGGCGCCGGCAGCATCGAGTTCAGGGGGTTCGGCGCCGGTCTGCAACTGGCGTCGGCTGCGGACGTCCGCGACGAGATCGACGACAGGCTCCGCCACCTGGCCGAGGAGTGCGACCATCTGCAGGGATTCCAGATCATGGTGCGCCTCGACACCTATCATCATGCTTGCGTCGCGCTCACCGCCGGCCACGTCGCTCCCGTTCCCGCACCCCGAACGTCGCTGCGTTGTCGCACCCCTACGCAGGTCGACTCCGGCGGCTGGGAGGGCCTCGCTTCGGCGATCGTCCCGGACATTGCCGACGATTACGGGCCGAAACCCGTTCTTTTATTCTCCATGCGGGATTCGGCTGCCGATGCCGCTGCGTCGCACGCCGGCGCCCTGGACGCCCATCCAGACTACGAGGGCGACGACGGCGACCCGTACGCGCGCATCCGGCAGCTCAGCGAAGGCATGGCGTTGCACCGCCTGTCAGGTTGCGTGGGGGGTTACGTTCCAGTGGATCTGAGCCTGGCTGGGGTCGGGGGCCCGGACGACGCGGCGGGCGCCGGCTGGCCGCTGTACGCTTCGTCCGCGCTGGTCGCGTCCGCGCTGGACGCGGTGACGTCGCCGTGTCGGGCTGGCGGCGGCGCGGGCGCTGCGGACGCGTACTGGCCCGAGTCGCTGGGGGCGCCCGTCGGAGCGGTCAGTCTGCCTGACATGCTCAGGACGGTCTCCGGGCAGCGCGGCCCGGTGGCGTGCCTGTCCGCGAGTCTCCCGGCGGCGCGCGTCGGACCAGGCGTGCTCCACGCGGGAGCGCGGGGACTTATGGGGGGTCTCAAGGGGGGGGTATTGGGCAAGGGGGTCCGCGGGGAGTGGGTGGTGGCCCGCGGTGTGCGGACGCGCGGCGCCAGCGTCAGCTACGCGCGTGCGGACGTCGTCGAGGATGCTGTCGCGCGAGACATGCAAGGCGAGGGCGTGCCCCACGTGGCAGGCATGACGTCACTCCCCGTGCCGTCGCTGCTGCCAGTGACGTTCCCAGCGCGGCTGCTCGAGCGTCTGGGCGCGGAGGGGGCGTGTTACGGGGAGTGCAAGGCCCCGGGGTGCGCGGTGCTGACGCGGCTGCAGAGCGGGACGGAGGTCGCCGGGTGGGTGCGTGGGCGGCGCGAGGCGCTGCGGCGCGCCGCGGGCGGCGCGGGCGGCAAGGCGCTGCTGGCGAGCTGGGGGTGCGAGGAGGACGACGTGTTGCAGGCGACGGAGGAGCTGGAGGAGCATGCCAACATGTACGAGGACGAAATGCACTGAGGAGGACGGCGCGGCGCGTGCGCGAGGACGACGCGGTTCGCGCGCGGTGCTGCTAGCGCCGGCGCCCGAGGAGTCGGAGCTGAGGGCGCCGGGCCTGTGGCGCAGGACGTGAGTGATGGTGCGGGAGCGCACTCTTGTGGTGCTCGCTGGCCCGCGAGGCACTCGGATTGGATAGTGCGCTGACCTGCAGACGTCCTCGCTGCGGGCGCGTGTCCGGGAGCCTGGAACAGTGCGGCAGATGGCTCCGGCCCCGCAAGGTGCGGTTCACACTCGGCCGCGGGCGCCGCTCGTGCGCCGCATCAACCGCCCCGCGCGGCGCAGCCAGGGCTGTAAACCTGGCCTCGCTCTGGTCGCCAATTGCGCACCTGTTGTCGAACCCTCGCTGTTTTCGGTTCCTGATATTCCATCGTCGGTTCGGGATTGTCTACTCATCATATTGCTTCCATCTTGTCCTGATTGTCGTGCTTCTAGGTGTGGAGCCCTTCGCGATCGCATGCGAGCGCGGGGGGACGTGGTCGCGCATGTAGGAACGAAACGCATAGCGAAGGCATGAGCATTGCTCTGTCATGGGTTCGTGCATTCGTGCATGCAGGAAGAACCCCCGCGTCGGATGCGCTGCACTCCATCGTGTGAAGTGGCGATGCGATAGAGGGGCGTCCCGGGGCCGTAAGGCTCCCGCTACCCCCCCGCAGTCACTTCCTCTTGGCGGGGGTGTTGGGGGGGTTCCTCATCGACTTGCTCTCCGCCTCAGGACGACACGCCGCGGACCCGGGCTCGCCCAAGGCGGTGTGCCCCTGCGGCGCCTTCGTCGGCCCGACGCTCCCCCCGGCAGAGGAGGCCCCCGGCTGCGTCGACACGGCGTCGTCGGTCGCGGGCGGGCCCTCGACGGGCTTGAGCCCCCAGTCGCTCAGCAGCGGGAGCGGGCCAGGGTCGGACCCGATGCTCGCCGGGCCGCCTGACTCGGGCAGCGAGGAGAAGAACGACGTGTCGGTCGGGCAGTTGACTCCGCGCGTCATGCGGGCGAGCGGGTCGGACTGGCCGTCGTTGAAGTTGAGGCAGTCCTCGAACAGCAGCGCGCCGGACCTCCGCGCGTCGTCCGTCGGCATGAAGTCGAGGGCCATCGGCGACAGCCGCTTCTTGAGCGGTGAGCGGCGCGGCGTGAGGCGGTGCGCCGGCCTGGGCCTCTCCGCGCACTCCGCGTCGGCCGAGGCGCTCACCCAGCCGCGGCGCGGACTCCACGGGCTCGGCACGACGGCCCCAGGGACCCAGCGGGGCTCCGGACACGCCCCCGTGGACGCTGCGTCGACGCCCGGCGCGTGCCACGCCGCGTCTGAAGTGCGCACCAGTCCGCCGGGGGCCAGGAAGTCGCTCGGGCGACGATTGAGGTCCTCGGACGTCGGGTTTCCGCGCGGCATCGCGGGGCGCATCCCGGGAAACGGAGCCCAGAACTGAAAGGGTCCGGCGTGAGCGCTGTGGCCGGTCGGCGCGCTGGTGCGTGCGATGGGGAGGCCGAGTGGCGCGTAGAGCCCTCCGTCGAGCTGCGGCGGGGTGTCGAAGGCCGGGGGGAGAGGGGGGCGCTGCAGGGGGGGTCGCTGGAAGTCCCCCGTCGGAGTCGGTGTCGTCTTGCCCAGGTCGTGCTCGAGGTTGCGGACGGGCGCGCTGGGGGTCGAGGTGGGCCGCGAGAGCGTCGTGGGCGGGGCCGACGTGGTGCGCGCGTCGTTGGCGACGGGGTTGTACCACGGGCGCGTGAGGGGGGTGTTCTCGAGATGCCCCCCCCCGGCGTGGGCGTGCTCAGCGAGCGTGTGCTGGACGCCCGACACGACGTCGTCGGTGCTGACGTTGCCCGAGGAGGTGTTCAAGCCGGGCGTCATGCGCGCCGACGTCGCCGGCGACGTCTCGATCCCTGCAGTGAACAACCATTCGAAAATCGTAGTCTCAGAAACCATCCGACATCCGATCAACACGCCTCTGCAGAACTCGGCCAGGTCACGACGGGCAGGTCGGGCACGCATGCGAGCGGGCTGTGCGCACCGGCGGCATGCGGGCAGACGGCCCGGGGGGGGGGTTGGTACTGGAAGTCCACCCCCATGATGCGCTGCCACTTGGGCACGTGCATGCCCTCGCACTTGCCGCCCGTGAGCTCCTCGTAGCGGTCCACGGCCGCGCTGATGATGTGCAGCGCGTGCGCCACCGCGGGGGACCCATGGTCGACTGCCTCGGGAGACCCCCCCCAGGGGGTGTGCTGCGCAGTCACGGTGAGCTCGCGGTGGGTCCGGCACGCGCTCGACGCCGGAACGGTCCGCGAGCGGATCTCGGTCTGCGTCTGGCGGCACAGGTCGCGCACGCAGCAGCCGCGCGGGCCGATCACGAAGCCTGCAGCGAGCGGAGTGAGCAATGGGGGGGGGGTCTGGGCACACGTCTCCGGTCCCGTGGCGGCACCGTCTCTCAGCGACGGGTGGCTCCTCGCGTAGACGAGATAGACGTGCGCGGCTGAGGTGCGATGGCGGACCGCGGCGGTGACGTTGCGCGCGCCAGTGGCGCGGCACGACACATTATGTTCTGCGAGGATCGGTGCTGTCGAACGACAGAGTGCTGCCCGCTCGGGATCGGGCTTGACTACATTGACGTCGAGGCGGCGGCGCGGCATGTCGCGGTGCAGTTTCGGGGCGCTGTGGGAGGCGGAGGTTTGACGCGGGTGCGCGCGGGGCACTTGCCCGCCGCGAGGAGCGTGATGCGCAGCACGACGGCCCCATCGGCGCGGTGGTCCATCGAGATGATTTCCTGAGGCTGGTCCTCGACTCCCTGGCCGGCCTGACGCGGCCCAGAAGCCTGCGGAACCATGAACGGCGGGAGAGGCGTTCGCCAACTGCGAGTCCGCCATGTGAACGGCTCGTCGATGCACGAGCGCTTGATTTCTTTGACGCCGTGCCCCGAAATTTTTTCGTACGAGCGTCTGAGCGGATAAAATCCATGGCAGGTGTTTGTTGCGGGGCGTTCGGCGCTGAAAAAAGAGGCGGGAATTTTTCGGCGTCGAACGACGCCGTCGAGCCCTGCGCGCCGCGAACTTCAGTCCCGCCAGCAACGTCGCGAACGATGTTGGTGCAAGCTGGACGACGCTAGTCCGCGAGGTGCCCGACGACGCCGGCATGAGCGCAACAAACACCGTTGCTTCTCGACGCGATTCTTCGCGCACCTGGTGCATGGCGTACCAACTTGTCCAACAGGCCAATGGAAGCGAATATTCACGCACTCGGAGCTGGTCTCGCAGGGCTAGATACTCCTCGCACGACGCGCGGAGAGGCTTACTGACGCTCCTGTGTCTTGAGCGTGGCTGCGGGCGCCCTGCGGCGGCGCAAGATCCGATACGGCCTCGCAGAAACGCGAAACTCGGCGAGGTCGAATGCCGGACTGCGGCGCCGGCCGCCGTGGATGGCGCACAGGGCGTGACGCGGTGTCCCGGCGGCTGACAGCAGCGTTCCTGAATTGACTGTTCTACCTGTGCACGCAGTACGCCTGAAGCGCACAAACGCGTACGGACCGTGCAGCAACGAGGTCGGACATGCGGCCCCTGGCGTTTTCAGGCCGGAGTGGCCGTGAGTCGCGTGAGAAGCGCCGGGCAACAACCTCGTTCGTGGCTCTCTCTCCGAGCGTTGGAGCACGACGCCTCAGAGTCGGTCAGTCGGTCCATCACAAAACAACGTAGCCGCCTGCACCTCACGCCCCGTACTTGTACGCGCACCCGATCTTGTAGGCGATCTCGTGCATCAGCCTCTCCGCGAGGATGCAGCCGCCGCCGCCCCGCCCGTGCGCCTCCCGCATCCCCAGGCGCTCGATCTCATCCACGCGAATGCTCCCAAGCAGCCGCTGCGCCACGAGCGCCACTTGCGACTCCACCAGCCCCGTGACCGGCTTCTCATTCAACATCTCGAAACTCTGTTTGGGAAACGGTATCTTCCGATCCCTCCAAAACGCCGGGAGCCTCGCGAGCCGCGCCGGCGCCGGCTCGCGCGGCAGGAACCCGCACCGTGCGCCGCGGGGGGGTGTGAGGACCACTGACAACAGGATGCGCTCCTGCGCGCCCGGCACGCGCCACAGCGCGCGCACGAGGTCGTCCGCCCACTGCAGGAGCGCCTCCGCGTCGCCTGCATCGCCCTCTCGCGACGAAGCGTGCAGGAATAAATGGCGGTACGCCTCGCCGCCGTCGAACATGCCTGTGCCGCCCGCCGCCAAAAAATCCCTTCCTGCGCGAACGGGGGCCGCGCTGCGCGCTGATGCCATCGCAGCGCCGGCCACGGGTATGGCCAAGGATACCCTGGGCGGGGAGAGCGCGCCGGCCTCCGAACGAGCGCGCAGTCGGGCCGGAAGACGCAATGAACAGTCGTTGATTCATATGTGCAATTTCATGCTTCAGCAGGGCGGGGTTGCGAGATCGAGCGGCGGTGACGCACCGGACGCCAAGCCGAGGGTCTGCAGCACGCTCCCCGCGCACGCGTCGGGCTCCGGCAGGCCCAGCGCGCCGCCCGGCCACTCCCCCGGCCCCCCTGTCCCGGCCCCCGGGTCCTGGCCCCCGCCGACCACGCCGTCGTCGAAGCACCGCGCGTGCGCTATCCCCGCGCGCCCGGCGAACGCGACCGCGGCCGGAACGTTGCTGCAGATCGCCGCCGTCATCGTCTTGAAGCCTCGGAAGCGCTCGCCGACGGGCGTCCAGGCCCCCATCGACCCCCCTGACTCAGCCCCGCCGGCCGCCCATAGCCCAAGCTCGTCGACGTACGAAAGCACGTTCGCGAGGCCGAGCAGCGGGTGCGGATGCGCGCCGCTGTCGCGCGCATCCCTGGCCGTCCCCACGCAGCGCTCTCTCTCGGCAGGGTCGCTCGCGGCGGACGCGCCCAGCGGGTTCCGCAGAGCCAAGAGGCCGCTCGTGCCCCAGCGGGCGACGGCGTGCAGGTGCGGAATCTGTGCGTCGTCCACGCCGGTCGCAGGCATCTCGCGTCCAGCGCAGCTGTCAAGAGCGTTGCCGGCCCCGCGCGCGTCCACCTCCGCGCCGCCCGCCTCCGGCACGAGCGCGCCGTCGAGGAAGATCAGCAGCGACGCAGGGGGCGGCTCCTGCCGGGCGGAGGCGGTCGCGAGGTCCGGCGCGGCGCGTGGCGCCCCACCAGACCGCGCCGCCCCTTGGCAGTCGGCACAATCGCACGGCGGGCGCTTGTCCTGGATCCGTCGCCGCGTCCGGGGCATGCCTGCAACGCGCGCTACGTCTGGCGGCACCTCGCTGCCCCCAGAACCGAGGAGCCGCGCAGCACCGGCTCGCAGTCATACTTTTCAGGGGGGAGTCCATTCAACACCCCCGCGGCACGAACGCGCGCTGCACAGTCGTTGCCGCGCGGGCGAGAGGGACGGCGGCACACCGCCGATCCTGTTCCGACGCGTGCCGCTCGGCGATCCGCGCTCAACCGTGGCTGCTGTGTGTCAGCGCCTGCGTTGCCTGGTCCGAGTCGCGGGCCGGCCCCGACAGTGTCGTACTGTGCTAGCAGCGTGTCTGGCTGCACAGAGTGGGCACTAGCCGCCCCTTTTGGTCGCGTTGCGGGCCAGACGCGCCACCGGAGGCCGTTCCCGCGCTGGTTGCACAAACGCCAGCTGGTCTGGTGCGTTTCAGTGTGGAAGCGATGTCGTTTGCGGGCATGGTGACCCCGCGGGGCCTCGCCGCGACGCTGGGCCTGGCGATCTCGACGCCGTCGCCCATCGCGGGGACCCCGCGGGCCCGCGCGGAGGTCGCGCCGTCGCCGCACGAGGTGGAGTTGGCCGGGCCAGAGCAGCTGGCGGACCTGCGCGTCCTGGTGGCGTCCTGCTTGTCCAAGCACATGTACGAGGCGGCGCACTTCTTCGCAGACAAGTTCCACACGCTGTCCGGGAACGACCCCGCCGCCGCGCACCTCCTCGGCCACGCCCTCATGGCTGCGGGCGAGCACCGGCGCGCGCTGGCCGTCATGGCAGGCGCAGGTGAGACGCGCCCGCACCACACGCTCACGCACGGCTGAAACATCCAGCAGAGACGTGCGTTCGCGGCGTAGCGGGTCCCTCACGGCCGCATACCTCCGCCGCGTGCGTGCTGGGGTGCGCTGAGGCTCACTCCGCGATTTCCTGCGTGGCGCGCACGCGCAGGGCTGATCCACGGACCGAAGGCGGACGTCCGCGTCCAGCACTTGGCGGGGCTCTGCCTGGGGCACCTGTCCCGGTGGGAGGAGGTCCTGGGCGTGATTGGCGACGGCGAAGATGTGCGCGCCCTGCCACGGGACGCACGCAGTCAGCAAGCACGCCCCGCGCCTGCGCTTGTCCGGCAGAGCGTTGCCAGCGGCCCGGCCCGACGGCGGCGGAGTCGAGGGCTCGGAGCTGCCAGTAAGACGGGATTTCGTATTTGTTTGTTTGATGTTGATTGATTTCCAACCCGCTGTTCGCTGCGTCCGTGCTGCTGCAGGCCGCCGCGGATGGCCGGCTGCAGGAGGAGTGTCGGCGAGCCGACGCCGCGGAGGCTGCGGCCACGGGCACGACCGCCCCGCCCCCCGCCGGAACACCCCCCCTGCTGTCAGGAATACGCCTCTACTCCGCGATCTGCCTGCTGCGCGGGCGCGCGTACGACGCGCGGAACAGCCCCGAGCGCGCCGCGCGGTGGCTCAAGGCCGCGGTGAGGGTCGACACCAGGAATTTCGACGCTCTGTCGCACTTGTTGCGCGGGCACTTCTTGTCGGCCCAGGAGGAACAGGAACTGCTGTCAGGGGGGGAGTTCCCGCTGGCCATGCGCTGGCTGCAGCCGCTGTACCGGAGCATGTGCAAGATGAACGGACAGGTGCGGGACGGCCCCGCACGCGCCCTTTGCCTGTTGTAGATGTTGCGTTTCAGATACCGTTGCCCTTTCTGTCAGGAATCGTCACGATAGGTGCGTGTGTCCTCGACCGCCGCGCAGGAGGACACGATCGAGAGGCAGCTGGCGGAGCTCGAGGGCGCAGATGCCGCGCAGGTGGAGGCCGACACCGTAGCACAGTCGCGGCCCGGGCAGCTCACGCCCGAGGGAACCGTGCAGCCGATGACGTCCCTGCACCTCACTACGCCCCCGCGCATCGTTCCCGCGCCCGCAACGCCGCAAGACGGCGCCTCTGGGCCGATGGCGATCTCCACGGGCGACGCGACGCCCATGCTGGCGGCAGAGGTGCCGGCGGCGGGCGCGGAGAGCGCGGCGGGCGCGCACGGAGGCGGACGCGGCGCGAGCGACGCGGCGGGGCCAATGACGCGGTCGCGCATGCGTCGGATCCACACCGGCGAGCAGGACGCCGACGTTCCAATGCCCGAGGCGCACCGTGCGGGGGGGGGAGTCGCTGACCGGAGCTCCCCCGGGGGACTGCTCCCCGGGAATCCCGACGTACTGGCGTGTCGGGCGGAGTGGATGGGCCACCAGGGGCGAGCGAGGGAGGCCCGCGACGCTACGACGCGCGCGCTGGCGGCGGACCCGGGGCACAGGCGCGCGGCGGAGGTGCACATCGCCGCGTGCGTCGCACTGCACTTGAAGCAAGAGCTGTTCGAGCTCGCGCACCGCCTGGTCGCCGAGGCGCCGGACGACCCCCTCTCGTGGTATGCCGTGGGTGCGTTCCTGCCCGTGGCTGTCCTGACTCAGGACGCTTGGCTTTCTGCGACAGACGCGCTCGGACAAAAGCGTCGGCATCGGCGCCTGTTGCCAGACTGGCACATTCCGCGGCTCAGCAACCCCTTATCTTCGTCTCGCATCCTCAAACAATTGCCAGGTCCTCTGCCGTCCTCTCCGCGGCCCCCTGACGTCGCCCTCCGCGCACTGCCCGCAGGCTGCTACTACCTGTGCTCCGGGCAGCCCACCCTGGCCCGCCAGCACCTCCACCGCGCGACAAGCATGCCCGGAGCGGCTCGCTTCGCCGCGGCCTGGATTGCCTACGGCCACGCGTACTCCGCACTGGACGAGGCCGACCAGGCGCTCGCGGCGTACCGCACTGCGGCGCGGCGCTTCCGCGGCCTGCACATCCCGGTGCTCGGGATCGCAGCGGAGTACCAGAAGACTTCGAACCTCGACTTGGCGTTGGAAGTCTTGTCTGACGCGCGCGACCTGTGCAAGAGCGACCCGCTGGTGTGGAACGAGCTCGCAGCGGTGTACCTGCGCCGGAACGAGACGCGGCTGGCGCTGGACTGCGCGCGGAAGGCGATGGAGCTGCTACCCCAGCAGGCCACGCCCGACATGCGGGCGCCGCTGTGCGTCAACTTGGGCCACGCGCTGCGGCGGGAATGCGACCTGGAGGGCGCGATGCGGGCGTACAGGGAGGCGCACGCGCTGGCGCCGGAGGACCCGGGCGCGGCGTGCGGCGTGGCGGTGGTGCACCACGCGAGGGGGGAGTTAAAGGATGCCGTGGACTGGTACCACCGCGTGCTGATGCGGCGGCCGAAGGACGAGTTCGCGAAGGAGATGCTCGACGAGGCCGTGCGGGACTCGGCGCGCGAGCTCTGGGTGATGTGACCGCGGGGGGGAGTCCTTGCGGGGAAGTGGGCGGACGGCGGGGGTCTTCTTCGTCGCTGCGTGGGGCGCCCCTGCTCCACGTCGTGCCTGCCGGGTCCGCGATGTTATCCGTGAAGCGATAGAGGGGGGTGTGTGCACTCAGAGTGCAACTCAAGGTCGGTTGTGTCAAGGAGTGGCGCCTGCGGTGTTGGGGGATCGCTTCGGCGCGCGGATCGTCGCGCTCGCGCGATATAGGTATAGAGCGTTTGCTGGGGGCGGCGTGGCTGGGGAGCCGGCATGTTGGGCGCGTGGGCGGGGCTTTCCGCGCTGCGGGTTGCCTGCCTAGCCCTCGCGGCTCTCACACTTGCACCAGCAGCCGCCGGCCTCGCAACGAACCACGTGGAGAAGATCACTGTATTCCACCCAGACGACCAACACGTCGGATTGTCGCTTGAATGGGACTTTCCTGCACAGGTGCTCACCGTAGCTCTTCTGCCCGCATCTCTCTCGATCTGTAGACCTTCGCCGCGCGCTCGTATCGCCCCTCCACCTCTCTATCGCACGACATGCATACGCGCGACTTTCATGCAGGATGTGGACGCGACGGCGACCGTGCTGGAGGGCGTCATTGCGGCCATCGAGGCCTCCGGTGCCGCCGCGGCGAACATGACAATCACGCTCGGAGAGTGGGACTACCACAAGTGGGGAAAGTACACCCACCTCGACCCCGCGCCTCCGGGGACGCGGCTGGAGGCGTTCTGGGACGTGGGCGAAGAGAAGCTGCGCGACGCACAGTCCTGCCCGGGCTGGGCCGCGCTGTCGAGCGGCTGGAGCTCGACGCTGCAGACCGGCGTGGCCGACCTTGCGGACCCAGTAGCGGTGCGCGACCCGCGATGAGCCGGCCCGAACATCCCTCTGTGCTGCGTTGTTGTGGTGTTGCAGTGGCAGCGTTGTCGCCCGGCAGAGCGTCGCCGCGCGTCTCTCTCCGCCGCGCAGATCCTCGAAGGTGGTGGCCGCACGCAGCGGTGCTTCCAGACGGCCGAGCGCGCCGTCGCGTGCGGTGAGAACATTGCCGCGGTGGCGCGGCTGCTGCCGTGTCGGACTGACTCAGGCATCGGGACCTTCCTCGCGCTGCCGGGCCTGAGCTTCGCGACGTGGCTCTCGGTCCACGTCACGGCGCGGCGCGACGCGGCGGCGAGCAACGGCGTCGCGGTGCGCGCAGCAGTGCACGCAATCGCCCGCCTGAGGCCGCTGGGCGAGCTGCCGAGCGACTGGAAGGCGCCGCAGGTGCACGCTACGGCCGGTATAGCGGTCTCGGAGCTCATGCGGCTGCTGAAGTGGAAGGGTTTCGCGGAGGACGTTGGCGAGAGCGACGCGATGAACGTGCTCGTTGCGTGCCCCGCCGCGCGGGCGACGCGGTGCGTACGGCAGCAGGGGGATTTGCTCACGGGGGAGCCGATGCTGGTGGCGACCGCTGAGGAGCCGGCGCGCCGCGACGACGCGGGTGCGGGCGAGGGGGCGCAGGAGGAGGGGGGTGTGTCCGAGGACGGTGACGGAGCCGATGAGGCCGGCGGCGACGAGGACGCGGTGGAGGAGGACGAAGAGGAGGAAGAAAGTGCCCTGTCCTTCAACCCCGCGAAGGTGCGCCAGGCTGCACAACAGCAGCATGCTGCCGCGCGCGCAGGTGCACGCATGGACCTTGCGCGCGCCGGACCGAGCCGAGCCAGTTCTGAGCCGCGATGTACGGGCGTGCGCTGGGCTGCAGGCGTACCGGTGGCTGGTCGTGGACCAGCACGTGCGCCGCGCGCGCAGCGGGACGGTGCACGTTGCTGTGGAGGTGCAGCGCGCTGGTGGGGGCGCGGTGCGCGGCGGCGGCCGGTGGTGCCTCCATCAGGAGCTGCACTGGTCCCTGCGGCCGCTCCTGCACACCCTGACCGCCACAGCGAGGGTCCTGAGTCTGACTGACGATCAGGAAATCGTGCGGTCGGACATACTGGCGGCGATCGTCCCGCACGTCGGACAGAAGGCGCCGCAGAACGCGACGACGTGGACCGCCGAGCTCCTGGGCCCGCCGGAGCCGCGGCGCGGCGCGGCGCTGCTGCGGATGTGTGGGCCGGCCGCCGTGCAGCTGGAGGCGATCACGCTGGCGTACGACGCGGCGCGGGAGGCGCGCAACGCGGAGGAGTACCCGCCGGACGTCGCGCGCGGCCAGAGCATTCCGGGCGTGGCGGCGACGTGGGTGGACGGAGACCAGAGTGCGTCCGCGGCCCACACCTCACCCGCGCGCGCAAAACACGTCGCCGCGCCGGTTCCTGCGCCCGTGCACTGCGGCCTGCAGGCGCGGGACGTGCGCGTGTTGCGTCGCGCGACACCCCCCGGGCGTTTGCGGGTTAGACACAATTGCCGCCTCTCTCGCTGACGCACGTGCAGACGATCCGTCTCCTGGGGGCTTGCACGTCCGGACGTTCTCGACCACGGCGCTCTCGCCCATGTGGCCGGCGATCCCGGACATGTCGATGCCGTACAACGCGGCGTGCATGGCAGCGACCGTCGTGGTGCTGTGGGTCGGCACCGCGGCGACGACGATGACGGCGCGCCGCCACAAGCCCGCCCCGACGCAAGGCGACCGCGTCCGCAAGGCCGCGCGCGTCGTGCTCGTCCTGACGTCAGCCGTGCTTTTGGCATTATACCTAGACGAGGACCTGAGGGTTGCTACTGGAACCAACGAACTGTTCCGGGGGCTCGTGCACTGACGCAGCCGAGCTCCGCGGCGGTGCCGCCCGCTGGGCGCGTTCTCGCACCCGTCGTCCTGCTGTTGCCGTGGGAGCTTGTGAGCCGTGCAAGTTTCGCGGCGTTTCGGCGGCGCTGGCTCGTTCCGGCCGAGCGCTCGATCTGCGGCGTATGGCAGCGGACAGGGCATGTGCGACGCGGCGGGCGCAGTGTCGTTCCGCGTGGCTGAGGCTGGCGCCGCGGGTGCTGGAGAGCGCCGCAGCGCATAGACGGCAGTCGAGGTCGGTTGGAGTGCGACCGCCGGACCCTCCACATGCCTGGGGAGCGTCGGACCGCGTTGCGTGCAGCCGTGAGGATTGCGGGGCGCGCGTCCCGCAAGACTGAGAGCGCCGCGTCTCACCGGTCCGTCTCGCGGCCCACGTGCGCGGGGGTGTCCGCCCTGGCGTGCGCACGAGTGCCGTCGTTGCCGCGTGGGTCGCGCACATCCCGAGAGGCGCAGTCCCCGAGGCCGGCGGACAGCGTAAAGCGAGGGAGCTGAGTTACTGTTCGAGCGGTTTTCGCGGCGTTTTGCGAGACGGGCCTCGTGAGCGGCCCGGAGTCGATTGCGACTTTCGAGAGCGTCAGGTGAGCGCGCCTGCGTTGTCGCCTTCGCGCGGCACGGCGAGCGCGGAGCTTTCGACATCGCGGATCCCCCCGCGTGGCGGTCGTGCGCCAGGGAGCGCGTCTTCGCGCACGGCCCCTTCATGCGAGGATTCCCCAGCTCGCGCCGCGGCGGGTCCGCGCAGATTCACTGCTGTCCGCCGGCACGCACGCTCGCGTCGCTGGTGAAGATCCCAGCTGCGTGCGACGGCATCGCGCGCGAGTTATTCCTGCGGTTCACGCTGCTCCAATTCCCGCCGCGCGCGAAAGCGCGCGCCGCAGCGGCCCGCGAGGCCCCGCCCCGCCGGTGCGACCGCGAGCGAGCATCTCAACTTCCCAACGCCCTCTTCCTTCCACGCAGGGACTCGTCGGGGCGCCCGCGACCCCCGGCGTGCGAGAGGCGACCGAGCTCCGCCGCCCCGAGCAGGCCGCCCAGGACCTGAATGCGCAGGGCCTGAGAGCTGGCGCAGAGAGAGAGCACCAGAGTGGGACCCGGCTGTGGGAGCCCTGCGACCGTCGAGAGCGTCGCAGGAGAGTGGCAGTATGTCGGTCGCGAATCGAAGGAGAGTCGGGCGCCCCGGCGCGGACGGAGACCGCGGGACGCACGCGCAGCCCTCATCCTTGGTGGGCTGCCCGACGTGCAGCGATTGGTGCCATGTGGACGCGGAGGCCATCGAGGCGGAGATTGACCCGACGCTACGCAAGTACTGGAAGAGCCTCGGGCCCGCCGAGCGCGCGAAGCTGCTCCAGGTGCGCGCCCGCGGCCGCCGCGGCGCCTCGCACGCCTGCAACAGCCGAGCAGGGTCGCGCCTCCCGCGCCGCCGCCCCGGGCCGCCTCCGCGCACCAGCTGCGCCCCGCCCGCCCACGTCGGCCACGAACTCCGCGAAACCGCGCCCGGGCGACCGCGCCGGCGCCCTCGCGCGCCGCCTCCGCGACGCACATGATGACGGGCCAGCGCTGGCGCCCCGCAGCTCCGCGATCGCGCCCTCACCGCCGCTCCCCGCCCCGCCCCCCCGCAGGTCCCGAAGAAGAAGTTCTTCGAACGGATCCGGAACCTCTACTGCTCGCGCTGCTACGGGCTGTTCCTCCTACGCTACGACGAGCTGCGCACCAGCGCCGGTACGGCCCCCCCCCGGCCCCGCCCGCGCCCTCCAGCTCCCTCAGATCCCTCCTCGCGCCCCCACGGCCCTCCCGCGGCCACGCGCCGCGCCAGCCGCCCTCACCCCGCGCCCCCACCCCCTGCCCCCCCAGATCTCGAATGCCCGGCGTGCGCCGAGGTCTACGCGGGCCTCGAGGTGTCCGAGGACGGCGGGCTCGAGCTCGCGGGCCCCCGGCGCGAGGACCCGTTCACCGCGATCGCCATGAGCCGCCTGCGCGAGCAGCAGCGCGAGCTGCAGTTCATGTCGGACATCTGCGGGAGCGGGTGGCGGAAGCGGCCGCACCTGACGATGTGCTCCCTGCACACCGCGCCCGTGCCCGCGGAGACGCTGTCGGAGTACTGGCACTCGCTGCCGCGGGAGCACCGCGCGGCGCTGCTGTCGATGCGGGAGGAGGACTTTCTGGCGGAGCTCGACGGGCACATGCGCTACCACCTGAAGATCTGCCGGGACTGCCGGCTCAACGTCGCGCGGTGCTTCAAGGACCTGCGGATGCCCGGCGCGCCGGGGGAGGGCGTCGGGCCCGAGGTGGGGGCGTGGCCGACGGAGCACGCGGGCGGGGCGCACGGCGGCGACGCGGCGGAGGGCGCGAGCAACGGCGAGCACGCGCACGCGCACGGGCACGCGCACGCGCACGTGCACGAGTGCGAGTGCGGGCACCACCACGCGCACACGCACGGGCCGCTGCCGCTGGTGTCGGACCTGTCGGTCGCGGTGCAGGGGCAGGTGGTGCGCGTGCTCGGCCCGTCGGTGTCGGCGCTGTTCGAGCGCGCGGAGGAGCTCGAGGACATGAAGGCGCAGGATCCCGCGTACGCCGACGACGGCGGCGGGCAGGAGGGCATCCGGCACGCGGAGACGCCGGAGCTGGCGCGCGAGGTGCTGCAGGAGTCCGCGGTGATGATCTTCAAGACGCAGGTCGAGGTGGCGTTCCGCGAGCAGACCGCGGGCCACAACGCGCTCGTGCTCTTTGCGTACCTCGCGCTGCACATGATGCTCGAGAACATCGAGTGCTCGTACCGCGACGGGATGGCGCGGGCCGCGCAGGACGCGCTGCTCGCGGAGCTGCTCGGCGAGGAGGAGCAGGCCAAGGCCAAGAAGGCCAAGAAGAAGGCGCGTAAGAAGGCAAAGCGGGGGAAGCAGCAGCGGGGCGACGGCGAGGGGGCGGGGGAGGAGGGCGCGGGCGAGGGGGAGGGCGCGCGCGAGGGGGGCGGCGCTGCGGAGGGCGAGGGCGCGGCGGTCGTGGCGGAGGCGGCGGCGGCGGCGGTGGGCGTGGGCAAGCGCGCGATGCCTGTCGAGGGTGTGGACTCGGGGTGGGAGGAGGAGGAGGGGCTGGAGGAGGACGACGGGCTCGAGGTGCTGATTAATGCGCACCGCGGGAAGGCGGCGGGGGAGTCTGCGCCGGCGGCGGGGGAGTCTGGGCGCAAGGGGGCGTCGGGCCACGGGGACCGGTCGCACCACAGCGAGGGCGCGTCGGGCGGGAAGAGCGTCGCGACGGTGCGCGTGCAGGTCGTCCGGCCGGGGAAGGAGGGGGCGGCGGGCGCCGCGAGCGCGGAGGCGGTGGTGCGCAGCGCGGCGCCTGCTGCGAGCGCGTGGGGCGCGCCGCCGGGGGGCCGTCTGGGGCCGCCGCGACGCGCGAGCGCCGCGGCGTCAACGCCAAGACGGTCCAGGCGATCCCCGTCGCGCCGCGCGCGCGGCCGTCGGTCGTGCCTGTCAGCGTGGTGCCGTCGTCGCCGCCCGCCGCGAGCAAGGCGTCGGTGACGCCCGTCTCCGGGTCGCCGGCGAAGAGCAAGGGCGTGGCGAAGACGCCGAACGCGTGGACGCGGCCGCCGCGGACGGTCGTCGCGATTGGGCGCGCCGACGGCAACAGCCCCCCGGGGGCGTCGTCCGTCGGGAGCCAGAGCGCGTCGGCCGGCACGCCAGGCGTCCCGCAGGCGGCGCGGGGGCTCGCGTGGGGCGGCGCGGGCCTCGGGCAGCGCAAGACGGCCAACGCGCAGGCGCCAGGGACGCCGGAGGCGGTCAGCGCCAGCGACACTCCCTCGGGGGTGTCCCCGCAGCCCGACACCGCAGCGCAGTCCTCCCCCGCGGCGGCCTCGTCGCCGCAGGAGCAGCCGCGCCAGACCAGCGGCAGCGGCAGCGCCGGCGCCCCGGTGAGCAACCTCATCAGCTGGACCGCGCCCTCCGACAACGGCGGGGGCGGCGCTCCGCCGTCGGCGGGCATGCAGCCGCCGCCCGGCGTGCTGTCGCAGCGCTTCGAGAACCTCGCCATCGGGCAGGGCCAGGACGCGCCTCGCGCGCCGCAGGGCCCGCAGGAGTGGCCGGCGGGGGGGGGTCCGCCGCCGCCGCACGGCGCACCCGCCTGGGGCGTCCTGCCGCCGGGATCGGCGCCGCCCGGGCCGCCAGGAGCGCCGCCCGTGCCCTTCCCGGGCACGCTCGCTGCCGGGTTCGGCCCTGCACCGTGGTCGGTGCCGCGGGGCGGCGCCATGCCTGGCTGGGGCGGAGGTCACGGGGTCCTCGCGGGGGGGGTATTGGCCGGAGGTGACGGCGGGCCGCCGCCGGTGGGCGCGGCGCCCTGGATGGGCAACGGCGCGCCGCCCGCGGGCGGGCCGCCGCCGGGCGTCGCGGTCTCGGTGCCCCCCGGCGCGCCCCCGACAACGGCACCCCCCCCGGGGGGTTACGAGCTGTTCGGGGCGTCGGACGCGACGGCGTTCTCGCTGCTGCCGCAAGACTTCGCGGGCTGGTCCTAGGTGCGCGGCAGAGCACTGCCACGCGCGGGGCGGCCTGGGGAGAGGGCTGGCGAGCGAGTCGCGCTTGCCGACGTGTGAGGAGCTCGAGGTGTCGTTCCGGCGGGCGTCAATCTTTCACTCGCTCGCCCTGACTGCCAGTGGTGCTGTGGACGCGAATGCGCGGCGAACGGAGACCCGGATCCTCGAACACCGCCAACTTCTTTTTTGTGGTTGTTCCCGCCGCCGGCGCATGGGCTTGGCGTACACGCTCGCGCCGCTGCAGGACCGCACGCGATGCAGCCGTTGCGCCGCGGGAACTTGGTGGCGCTGGCCTCCAGGAACGGCTCTCTGTCGTTGCAGGGCACAACATGCGGCCGTCGCGGGCGGCGCGCGTGATGTGCGCGGAGTAGCGGGCGCAAGACGTCGCTGGTGGGTGCAGGTGCCGCGGCGAGGCTGTGGATTGCCAGGGCCATGCGGCTGAACGGGTGTCAGCCTGACTCCTGCAGCGCCGCGCTGCGCGGCGCCAGCGGCCCGGCGGCAAGGGCGCGCAGCTGCGTCGCGCCGTCCCACAGGGCTTTCGTCGCTTCAAGGCACAGGTTCACAGCACTCTCCGTTCTCTGCGTCCCCGGAAGCAGCGCGGCGGGTGGCCCAACTGCCGAAAGGGCACAGGCGCAGCAACCCCGGCTCGAGGCAGTCGTTCCAGGCGGCGCTGCGGTTGCGTGAGGCTCGCTTGTGCGGTCGCGCGAAGCAGCCGGCAGGCGCGGCGTGTCGCGCCGCGGGCGGCCGCGAACAGCGGGCCTTGGCTGGGAGATGGGCAGGGGGTGCGGGGCGTGAGAGAACATGGCGGCCCCGGTGAGCCCCAAAGGGGCCGTCTTCTCCAGCGGGGCGGTTGCGAACCCCGTGGTCGCGGACTCGAAGCAGGAGCGGCTTCAGGCCATCCGGTGCGCCCCTCGCTCTGTGCATCGCGGGCGATTCTGCGCGCCTCGAGCCCCCTTGAGCGGTGCTTGTCAAACCTTCCGAGAAAGCACAAATTCGGACGCCGTGTCGCGGCGTGACGTACGCGTTCGCTCCCTTGCGAAGCCGTGCCGCCGCTATCGGGCAGTTCATATGTGCGACGGCATTTGCGCACGCGGGGCTCTGTAGGCGGCTGGCTGCCCCGCGCGGCCCCGCCCGGGGTATCTCCGAACTCTGTGGCTGCTGCACGGCCGGGATTCGCGCCGTCTCGGGCACAGGACTGCACGCACGCGCCCTCTGCCCCCCCTGGCCGGAGCCTGGGCGGCCGCCGTTCCGCGACCCTGCGCGAGGAGTTTCCGCGCGCTTGCGCCCCGCATTCGAGCCGCATCTTCGAGAACAGCCGAGTCGCCTCACACCCGCGATGGGCCAGCAGCGCTGCTCCCACGCAGCCCATGCAGCACTGTGCACCCGTCGCCGAGGCCCTTTGCGGCGCGCGAAGCGTGCGCGAGACATGCGCGCAGCAGTAGACGTGCGCGTTTGTCCCGTCTGGTCCGCGCCCACTCTGCCGCGCCCCGCGCCCCGCAATGTGCAGAAAGGACATTAGCTTCAAGATCGCCCTGAAGAACAAGGACAATGGGAAGAGCGCCGAGGACGTGAACAAGTTCATCCGCCAGGCGTCCGAAATCCGCGCGAAGCTCAAGAGGAGCGAGGGCGAGAGCGAGAGCGACGAGGAGGGCGCGACCAAGTCTGCCGTGCCCGAGTCGAGCCCCAGGCCCCGGCCCACCGCGTCCTGGACGTACCTCTTCGAGCACCTCGAGCGCGCCAAGATCGCAATGCTCGCGGACGAGCAGGAGACGCTCGAGCGGCGGCAGCGGCAGTTCGAGGAGGAGGACAGGGCGGCCCGCGAGAACCTGCGGGCCTTCTACTCGTCGCTCGCGAGCACCATCGCCGAGCAGCAGCAGTCCGCCGTCATCATCCAGTCCTACTGGCGCGGCTCGCGCCTCCGGAGGTGGTACCTCCAGCTCCAGCGCCGCCGCCGGCTCGATGCAAACCTCAAGGCATACAGGGCGGAGCTCGACGCCCTGGTCACGAGCGAGGAGGACGCGCGGAAGCAGCGCATGCTCCGGCGGCAGCAGTCGAAGCGCGACCGGCTGCTCAAGTGCGCCCCCCGCCCCGCGCGCACACGCCCAGCCCCCGCTCCACTGCCGCTGCCCGCGCGGACGATCGCGCTGGCGCCGAACCTCGCCGCCTGGCCCGTTCGTCGCGCGTGCAGGGACCGCGACTACGACGGCGACTGGCACGAGCGCCTGAGCGCCACCCGGACCGGCAACGTGAAGGCGAAGGCCTTGACGCCTAGCCGTGCCGCGTCCTTCCGAGCCGGCGTGGGCGAGAGCCCGGGCGCCGACGGGACCCCCGGCGTCGGGTTGTTTAAGGTCAACGGGCATCCTCCGGGGGTCTCCCGGAGCAACTCGCGGCACGGCGGTGGCATGATGACGGGGGGGGTGACGGTGACGCCCCCGGTCGCCGCGGGGCCGTCCTTCACGTTCAAGACGTCCCCGGAGCGCTCGCCGTCGTTCGTGCGCGCGGGCGACTCCCAGCGCAACCTCATGGCGGGGCGCTCGTTCTCGCTCGGTCACTCCCCCAAGATCCCAGAAAACACCCCCGCCGACCCCGCCCCGCTGCTGCGCGCGCCGATCCCCCACGCCGAGGCAGCGCTCGCGCCCCCCCGCGCATCGGACGCGGCCAAGACGGCCCTGCAACCCAGGGAGTCGGCTGCGTCCTCCTGCACCCACAACAGCTCCCCGAGGACGCTGGCGCCGCTGGCGACGCAGTCCCTGCACGAGCCGCCGCCTCCAGACGCGTTCTCGGCGGCGGGATTCAAGCGCCCCGCGCCGCGCAAGCGTTCGTCTTCGCTGTCGCAGGCCGACGTCTTCGGGACGGTGCAGTCGCCCACGCACCGCGAGCCGCCCAGCAGAGCGCCGCTCGGCGCCCCAGCCGTGCGTGGGTACGCCGCTTCCGCGGACGAGGGCACTCCTCGTCCTGTGGCGGACTGCGTCGCGGCCGACGCCGCCACGCGCGATGCAGAGTCGCAGTCGCAGTCGCAGTCGTCGCCGCCCGCGGCGCCAGCGGCGCGCGAGGGGCCGATGGTGCTCACGGGCGACGGCCTGGCGGTGCCAGAGAGGCCGCCGCGCGCCGACAGCGAAATGACACCCCCCGCAAGGCAGCCGTCGCCACACGTGGCCGCGGCTGCCCGCGCGACGCCGTCGCCGGCGCGGACCTCGTCTGGCATGGTCGCGCAGCTGGCGTCGCGCGGAGCGGCGATCGGGGAGGTCGACGCTTCCAAGCGCCCGTCGAGCCGCAGCGGGCGCGCACACAACCCACTGGCTCCGCACCCCGCGCAGTGGAGCGAGGGGCAGCAGCCGGGCAGCGCGCTGACGCTGGCGTCCAGCGACGCGGCGGAGTCGCTGAACGGCTACGAGAAGGCGAAGATCGAGCCCGTGGTGCGGCACAAGACCCCGCGGGGGACTCCGGGGGCGGAAAAGGACAGGCCGCTGCCGCGGTACGCGGCGCCGCTGCAGCGCACGATGTCGGAGCGGGTCGGTGGGCGCCGGATGACGGTGGAGGAGGTGGCTGCCGCGCAGCAGGCCTCGAGCAAGCAGGGCAACTCCCTGGAGGCGGGGCGCTCGCCTGGCATGCGGCCGGGGTCGCAGGGCGCGGGCCTGATGCTGCAGCTGGAATCTCCGTCGGGGGCAACGCCCTCGTCGCAGGATCCGATGAGCGGAGGGGCGCTGCGGCGCGGCCCCCAGGGGCGGTTGCACAAGGCTGCGAGTGCGGCGCCGGGCGCGCTGGGGATGGCCACGCCGTCGCCGCTGCGCGCTCCTGGGCGACGCCAAGGCAGCCTGGAGCACATGCGCAGCGGTTTGGAGCGGCATCCGGAGGAAGGCGAAAAACACTCCTCCCCCCGTCAGAACGCAACGACTCCGGAGCCCAAGGGCCCGGCGGCGTCGATCAACGGGCGGCCGATCATCGGCGGCGCGGTGGACGTGCTGCCGCCGCTGCCGAGCTCGGGCAGGGTGAAGCAGAGCTACGGGGCCAGCTACGACACCCCGAAATCGAACCCCCCGCGGGCGCGGACGCCGAGCAGCGCGGCGGCTGCGGTGACGTCGCCTCAGACGGGCGTCAGTCTGGAGCGCACCAAGTCCAAGGCTGGCGCGTCGCCGGCGGCCGCCAGCCTGACCATCACACCCCCGCCCGCTGCCAGTAACGCAATGCCGGCGTACCCGCAGCGCGGCTGGAGCATGCGCAAGCCGGCGCGGGCGGGCTCGCTGGAGCTGTATGACGCGTAGTGTTGTTCGTGCTTGCGTGCTCTGTTGTAACATTTGACGATGACATCGTAGCTGCGATCCGGCAACGCGGACGACCTCGCGCTCGCCTGGCCTGCAGCCCCCCGCTGCATCTGCTTCGATCACGATTCGTGTCCAGCGCCGGTCTAGCTGCGGGCGTGAGCTTTGCCCGCCCCCCCGCGGCCTCACTTGTTTTCCACTGCACCCTGCAGCTGCGACGTCAGGTGATCGTGCAGCTGCGCCGCCGAAGCGAAGCCGGCGTCCGTGGCCTCGCGCATCAGGGTGAGGCTCCGTGCGACCAAGCGCGCGAGGATGCCCGCCACCGCCGGGGCGCAGCTCTGGGCGTGCTGCAGCCTGCGCGCAGCTGCCACGGCGCCGGGCGTGGGCCTCGCCCACGGGAGTTGGCTGAGCGCTTCCTGGAGCGCGATCTTCATCAGCTTCGCCGCCTGCGTGGCGTCAGCAACACCGAGGCAACGACGTGTGCTGCGATGGCGGCTGTAGTTAAAGGCAGCTCCAGTGCTGCAAACGCCGCACCAGAGGGGGAGCTCACCTCGTTCGCCGGAAGACGCTCTTTGCTGCTGCAGCTATGATTATCCGCCTCGCCGAGGACGAAGTGGGGAACGATGAGGCGCGGCGCGGGACAGGTCTCGGACTGCGGCACCAACAGCACTTGCGCCACCCACGCCGACGGCTTGGCGGCATCGCATTCGCCGACGTCCAGACCACAGACCTTCCAGTCGGTCTGCCTGATGCACCGCTCAAGCCACGCCGTGCGCGGGCACACCTTCCAGGAGGCCGCGGCTACGATGTTGCACGTGTTGTCTTGCGAGCGCCCTGCGATCGCATCGAGCGCGGCCTGCAGCTCTTCCGCGACGCTGAAAACGACAGCGACCTGCACTTCCTTGATGACGTCCGAGTCGGGGTCCGTGGCCCGCCCGACGACCGCGTGGCTGCCGTTGTTGCACGCTGACAGCACACACGTCAGAAAGTGGTCGTCCGGTACCGAACCCGTATCTGGGCCCTCGTAATCGCCGTCCAAGGCCGTGCATGGCGTCGCTGCGCGCGATGGCGCGAGGATGTGCTCCGTAGTCGCCTTTTCATCACCTGCCAGTAGCTGTTTGGAGAACGTGAATTGCGGCGCCCCGGGTTCGAGCAGCATCCCGACCACTCGCAGGACGCTGCGAATCAGGGAGGCGCACGCTCCTAGCACGTCGCACTCAGGGAAGCTGTGCGAGCGCAGCTCGAGGATGATCTCCGTGCCAGAAAACGCCGGCTCGTGAAGCGGCTTCATTTCGGCGCCAGCTCTCCTGACCGCCCGCGACGAAGAATTTGCAATGAACCATTTCTGAACGGTCAAGTCGGACAGCCTCGTCGTCCTGAGCACGATTTCGGCGCTGGCATGATCGCTTGCCAGTGCAGCACTCTCCAGCTGCCCCAAGGCATCCGCGAGGCTGTTCATGTCCTTACGCGACACCTCTCCGTCGCCGGTGTCGCATATCGCGACTCGTACGTGGCCCTCGCCCTCCACCACCTCAATCTCGACCTGCTGATGCGTCCTCTGTGCGTCCGGGTGCGGCGCCGTGCGTGGGATCGACGCCTGAGCTCTCAGAATCCCCAGGAAAAATATGTTCTGAAGGGCGGTGCGGAACTCATGCGCTCTGGAGGACCGTCCCGTCGGACAGAGGTCGCTACATTCTTTAGCGTTTGTGGGTTCCAGGAGCTGCGTTCCCCCGGTCGTGTCGCGGTACGCTTGTGTCGAGGCTCCATCCATCTCGGTGTGCACCTCCTCCCGATACTGATCGCCCCAGTGCGGACGTCGCGCGCACGACGTGGCGGCAGTTTCGCCCTGACAGCGCTGCAGCCAGACGCGCAGGCCACTGACGTCAGCGGCTGGGTCTCCGGGCCCCCTCACGGGAGCGCACGCACCCCACGTGGCCACTCATGAGCCAAGTCGCACTTGCGCGACAGACAGGGGGTTCTGCGGTCCCGGGTGCCCGCCCGGAGGGCGTCCTGTGGTTTCCTTTCAAGGCGGCATTTCGCCCGGCACGGCGGTTCATCGTCCTCGAACCGGCGCTGTGCTGCCGTATCCTGCGTAGGTCGCCGCGTTTCTCACGCGCGTACGGCTTCGCGCGACGTGCATTGGCCCCCAGGCGCGGCCACGCACTTTGCTCTCGTGCTGCGCGCGTAGCGCCGCTCGCTCGCACCATACCGGGGCGCAAATCATTACCAGCCATCTGCTACGCACGAGTTCCCTCCCCCGAGCGCCTCGCTGCACCTGCGGTCCGCGCGGGCGGCCAGCGCCCCTCGATCGCAGCTACAAGGGTCCCTGGAAGCTTCCGGTCAGAATGGTCAATATCCGCGTCAAGACGCTCGCGCACGGCGACCACCGCATCACCTGCGATGCCCAGGTGCGCCCCACCGACACCAATGCTCCCGGCCCGCACGACACGGCCCCGCAGAAGCCCCCACGCTGCCTCTGCGTCTCGACCCTTCGCGCCCGCGCTCGCGAGCGCACGGCCCGCGCTTCCGTGACAGCCACGCCTTCGAGACGTGTCATCCTCGCAGACCACGGGCCGCGCGCTGAAGGAGCTCATCTGCGAGCGCACCCAGGTGCCCGTGGAGCGGCAGCGCATCATCCACCAGGGCCGGAGCATCGACGACAGCGCGAGCGTGTCGTTCGACGACGACGCCGTCATCCACATGGTCGAGCGACCCGACGGTGCGCCCCTCGCCCGCGAGCACCCCCCACAGCCCCGCGAGTGCCCCCCTGCCTCCTGCGTGAAGACGAACCGCCCGCGCCCCGCCGCGCGCAGGGATGCCGCCGCCGTCCGCCGAGCAGCCGCCTCGGCGCCACAGCCACCCCGCCGGCGCCGCCTCCGGCCGGCTGCAGACCCCCGCCCCACCTCTCGCAATGGCACGGGTTCTCCGCCCTGGCGCGCTTCATCGAGGCATCGCGGCCGATCATGCACGCGTACACCGAGAGCCCGCTGCTCGTCGCGAACGCCGCGGACCTCGAGCGGTCGGTGGCCGCCGCGCCGCCGCCCCAGAGCACCGAGCAGGCGCGCCGCGACGGGCCGGCTCGGGACTCCCCCGCGTCGCTCGTGCACACGGCAGGTGCGCCACGTCGCAGCGACTACTCCAGCCCCGTGCAAGCGGACGCACGCCGCGTTGTCTTCCTGGCAGCGTCTCGTGTTCGTTGCATTTTCACAACACTGCGAACAACGCGCGTTCGTCCTGCGGCCGACGGGCACGAGCGCGCAGCACAATCAAGGTGCTCCGCCGGGCTTGGTCACGCGCCCGCCGCGGCCGCCCCCGACGCTCGACATCCGTGCCCGCGCCCTGCAGTGCGGTGCGACGCGTGCGACGAGGAGCTCCGCGGCCCGCGCTTCAAGAGCGTCGGGCGCGCGGACTTCGACCTCTGCGAGCCGTGCCTGCGGTCGGGCCTGTACTGGTCAGACGGGCCATACGTCAGGCTCCTGCTGCCCAACCTCGAGGCCCGCATCTCTGGGTCCATGCGCTCGCACCTCCAGACGCACGGCGCGGAGCGCCTCCGCAACGGCATCACGCACGCGCTGGAGAGCCGCGGCCCGGACGCGCCGTCCGTGGCCGTGCCGGCACCGCAGGCGCTGGCGGGCGACTCGCACCGCGCCACGCGGCTGTCGTCGCTGGCGCTGTCGACGCTGATCTCGCAGTCGGCGCGCGCGATCCGCGAGGAGCTGCTGCCGGAGATGGAGGAGACGGCGAGGGCGCTGGAGGCGCAGGGCGCGCACCCAGCATGGTCCTCGCAGCATCCCGCGCGACAGGAGGCGCAGGCCATGACGCTGCGGTGCGCGGGGCTGCTTGCCAACCAGGCCGCGACGATCGGAGAGCTCTCGCGGTGCGTTCCGCCCCGGTCTACGCAGGGAGACGTGCCCCTGCTCGACCATGCGCCTGCGTGATCGAACGGCCAGTCGCCCGACCACGTCGAGCGCTGCGCTGCACCTCTCATGTCGAGCGCGAGACTCCTGCGTCGTTCGCAGCCAGCTGCCGGCCGCGACTGATCCCTGCGACGCCCTGTCTCTTGCGCAGGGCCTGCACGGCGTCGGCGATCTCCGCAGAGACGGTCCACGACACAGGCGCGGGGGGACAATTCCCCGGACACCCCCTGGACGCCATCAACTCCTACCGACCGATCCTGCTGGCCCCCGGGACCCTCCAGCCGTGCCTGAGCGGGAGTGGGATACTCCTCGGGCCCGGCATGACCCCCGGGGCCCTCGCCCAGGCCATGATGATGATGGGGGGGGGTGTTGGCCCCGGGCCGGGCGGGCCGTCCACCGTGCGCGTCATCCAGACGTCGGCGAACAACGGCGACGGCCAGATGATGATCGCGGCCACCGTGTCGCTCGGGCCCGCGGGCTCTGAGACAGACCGGGACGACACTGGCGCGCAGGCGGGCGCGCAGGCGGGCGGAGACGCGGCGCGCGGCGAGGGCAGGCGCGTCTCTGGCGCCGTGGAGCGCAGCAGAGGCGACCGGCCGCGCAGTGCCAGGGAGCAGGGCGCGCCTCGCCACCCTGCGCCGCCGCGGGCCGCAGCCGACTCCCCCCAGCCCCCGGGGGATGCTCCAGCGCCGCCGGCGCCCGAGCAGCCGCCGAGCCTCGCGGACGGCCTGAGGCGCGGATTCGCGCCGTCGCGGAGTGCGCAGGCAGCCCCTGGGCCCTCCGCCGCGCCGACGGCGTTCCTCGACAGCCCCGCGTCAAGGGGGGGGTCTTCTCTGCCCGCCACGGACGCCTTCCGGGAGCTGCTGGACCGCATCGAGGGCGGCGCCGTCGGCACACCGCCGCCGGCGTCGTCCCCGGCGCGGGGCCCGTCCGTGCGGCCCACGCAGGCCGCCACGTCAGGCGGCGTACCTGTCGAGACGTCCGAGTCAGCCGGGCCCCGGAGACTCCCCCCCCGCCCCCCCAGCAACCGCAACTCGCAGGTCACGCCGCCGAGCACGCCGCCGAGCGATCGCTCGCGTTCGCCGATGCGCCTCCGCGGCGCAACCCCCCCGCAGACCCCCCCCCAGCAGCAACCGCCGCAAGCACCGCCGGGCGGGTCGCAGGCGCCCCCCCAGATGGCCGCGGCGCTCGGCGACCTCATCAGCGCCCTCGGCGCGCACCACGGCGCGGGAGGCGAGGCCGGGCCGGGCGGCGCAGTCCCCCCCAACCTGTCGTCCGCCCTGACAGGCCTTGTTGACGCGATGGGGGGGTTCCCGCAGGCCCCCGGGGGAGCGGCTGCGCCTCCTGGAGGAGGACCGGGGCAGCCGCGTCGCGTGGTGATTCGGTTCGGGAGCGACGGTGCGCCGCTGCCGCCGCAGGGCAGCGCCGCTCCCGGGCAGGGGGGGGGTCAGGTGGGGCCGTTCCAACTGCCCCCTGACGTGGCGAGGCAGCTCGCGGCGTCGTTTGCGGGCTTGATGCGGCCGCCGGGGAGCGGGGACGGAAATGCGGGCGCGGGCAGCGGTGGCGCGCCGCAGGGCGACGGTGCACCTTGAGGCGGCCTCTCTCGTGTCGCGCAAGTTGGCGGCGCACTGTGAGCGACAGCTCGATATTCGCCTACACAGCGCCACTAGCGTGACTGCATGCGGCGTACACGGCGTGCGCCGGCCACGTGGCTAACACCCCCCGAAGTGCAAGGGGGAAATCGGGGGTGTGTCCGTCACCGGGTGAGCGCTGTCTGCTTCGGCTGCGCAGGTCCGCATTTACAAGCGCTCAGTACTCCGTGCGCGCGACTATCGAGGCGGCGCGCAGCCGTGCACGTGCGACGATTGCTCAAAACATGGGCTGTCCGCTCGCGCGCTCGAGGCACAGGAGGAGGACCATGCCGAGCATCGCCGCGCGGCCGTTCGCGAGCTCCGCCTTGGGCGTGAACGGCCCGAGCGACTCCGACCGCAGCGCGCCCTGGAGGATCGGCGCCAGCGACGCAGCCGTGATCGCCACCACCGTCGCACCCACCGCGACCGGGTGCTCGTGCGCCTGCGAACGCACACCGCGGGAAGAAACGCGATGAGCGTGCGCGGCGAAGCAGCTGCGGGGCGCTCGGCTGCGCGGGCGGCGGGCGCACCGTCTGGGCCACCGTCTGCCCCGCCACGGCTTCACTGCCGATCGCGGCAAGGAACCCGATCATCGCGGCGCGCGCGTTGATGATCTCCGGCGCCGGGCCGTTGAAGGACATGGCCTGGAGCAGGGACGGCGCCTTGGGGCGGGGCCCCGACCCGTTGGCTGCCGCACGCACCTGCGCAGGCACAGAGGGGCGCGGCGCTGTGAGCGTGCCGCTTTGCATGTGTTGATGAACGGCGGGATGGGAACGATGCGATGGAGCAGGGCGGGCGAGAGGGTCTGGTCCCGGTGGGATGCTGTGTGCGAGGCGGTGTCGCGCGCGCTGTGCGGGGTGCAGGCGCTGTGGGAGCGCGACACAGCGTGCTCGCGGCGAGTTGTCAGCCGTGCTTGCTGCGTCTGGAAAGAACGAGGCCTGAATGACCGTCTGCGCTCGCTGAGACGCCAGCTTGCGTCGTTGACGCGCCGCAGCCGCGGCCTCGAGACGGGAGCCAGTCGCCGGTGGGGGGTGCGGCCACGCACGCACCGGGGCCCTGGCGCGCAGGATCCGCGCGCGGCGCGGGCGAAAAGACCACGTTCGCGGCGTCAGGTGTTCGGCACGGTCCGCGGGACACGGGAAACGGCGGATTCCCTGCCTGAGGGCCTGCGCACGCACACGCAGCTCGCGGTCGCGGCCGGGCACGCACCACCACGCCGCTCCGCGCCTGCGCCTTCCCGGCGACCCCGCCCCCTTTCACCATCGCCCTCATCATCGTGTCGACCTGGCGCGGATCCGCGCTCGGGAACCCTCGCCCTGCTGCTGTCTGTGTGACCTAACTCTCGCTGCAATCGATGACACCGACGCCGCAGACCGCAAGGACGTTCCGCACGAGGAAGCTCCTTCACTCAAGATCCCCGGAGTGGCCCGCCCCGCGCCGCCCGGCCCCATCTCGCTCCCGCCCGTCGCACCCTAGTCTGACGGATGTCATGACGTCACCGGCATGCGCCAAGGCCGGGCGCCGCGGCCGGCTCGGCGCAGCTGCCATGGAGGAGGACGACCGGAGGACGGGGCCCGGGGACGAGGACCCGGGCCCCGCCATGGAGGCGGCGCTCATCATGAGCTGCCAGGTGGTGCAGCGGCCAATCAAGTCGCGCAAACGGTCCGGCGCGAAGCGCGCGCAGCGCGCGGCCGAGTTCCGGCGGCGGCTCGAGGAGGCAGGGTCGTGGCGCGGCGGCAGCTCCGAGCGGAAGCGCGCCGTGGAGGCTACGTTTTCGCTCCTCCCCTCGCCCCTGCAGCCGCCCGAGGCGCTCACCCCGACCACGCTCCCGGCGCTCGCGGCGCTCTCGGCGCCGTTCCTGCGCGTGACGATCCGGCCCGCGCAGCAGGGCGCGGCCACGCAGGAGCTCGAGATCGTGCACTTCCCCCAGGGCGCGCACGCGCCAGCGCCCCCGCCGAAGACTGCACTGGTGCCTGTTGGCCCAGAGGGGAGCGCGCCCTTCCGGCCCGACGCGGCGGGCCCGGCGCCGGACCTCGCGGTCGTCGCGGACCAGATCTCGATGGCGATCTCGTGCACGAACAAGCGGCTGGTGCCGGACGAGGGCTACGCGTTCGCGTTCGACGTGTCATGGAGCCCAAGCGGCGAAGTCTCCTTCTCCCCGCAGCCACGGTACTGCTGGAAACTCGCGTGACCGCGAAAACGAGCCCCAACTGCAAGCGACCGTCAAGAGCGGAGTTGCGTCCTCCAAGAGCCCGGCGAGTGCGTGCGGCCAAACTCTAGCTAATGAACCTCTGACGACCGTCACGCCCCCACGTGGGGGCGGACGCGCATGAACAGGAAGGCGGAAAACCCTATGCACGTACGCGAAGTATCAGCCCTCGGTGGGCGGAGCTTCCGCGCCCCTGGCTGAAATGCGCGACGATGCGTGCCTACCACCACCTTTAGGTTGCCGGGGCGCGTGTGAGCAGCCACGCCCGCCCGAACCCTTCGGACGCAGCCACTCCCCATAAAGTGCTCGCGCGCTCCGGGGCCCGCCACGCGCCGGCGGCCCCCGCACGAGCCCGCGCGGTGCCAGGCGGGCCTCTGCAAACGATCTAGACGTAGGCATCGGCCGATTGCGAGCGCATCGCGCTCCCAAAGTCGCCGCTGCGTGCAACACGCGCGCACACCGGAACTGGTGAGCCGACCGGACCCGCGCCAGTCCATCCCCTGCACGCCCGCCGGCCCCTGCGACGAGCTAGGTCAGAGGGAGTGCCTGGCGGCGACTGCGCCGCATCGCGGCAGGGGGGACGCATCGCCGGGCGCAGGTGGATCGTGCGGCGCCCGGCCACGGCGCGGCGGGCCGCAGCGGGTGCGCGGCGGTGCGCGGCCGTGGGGGCGGTTGACTCACTGTCACAGCCCTCGCCCCCGGCCTGCGCCGCTTCGCCCGCCGATCCCGCCGCGCGCGCGGCCACAACGCGCGGCCGACATCCCGTCATGCTCGGACCGCCCCGCCAGATCGCGCGGACCCGTCCGTGGTTCCGCCTCGCCCCTGCGTGCAGCCTGCTCGCGACGTCGAGTCTTCATTCGAGGAAAGGAGTCTTTTGAGACCTCCCAACCACAAACGAGGCATCAAGTCCATCGTGGAGCCGGCGGGGCGCACATCGGCCTCGCGCGCAGTCCGCCGCGGCAGTCCCGCGCGCGCCACCGCATCGTCGGCCCCGCGGCGCGGCCACTCCGCAGTCACCGCGCGGGTGCGGATTTCACCCTGCAGTCGCGAGGGGCCTGCAGGCGTCGCAGAGCGCGAGTCAAGAGCCGTCGCGCCGATAACCCAGTACGCAGCGAGCCAATCTAGCGGTACCGTGGACTTCACGTTGTTTGATCGAGGGAACCGGGCGTGGCACCGCACAGCACGTCCTGGCGGCACGTCCGGACGCCCGCCGGGGCGCAGGCGCGCCGTGACGTCGGATCTGGGAAGCGATGAGGCGGCGGCTCTGGCACAGCTGGGCTGTGGCGTTGCGCAACGCGACGCGCGGCGCGACGGAGGCCGGCTGCGGCCGCAAGTGCTTCCGCGGAGAGGCAGCGCCCTGCGGCGAGGGGCGTGGGGTCGCCGCGGGGGCGAATCATGCTCAGTGGCAGCGTACGTTTGCCTCGCAGCCCGCGGTGGATCAAGAGAGGCCGGACGCGCCGAAGTCGCCGGCCAGCAGCTGCTTGGTGCGGCTGGCGCGCCGACCAGAGGCCACGCTCCCCGAGGTGAGGAGCGCCCGTGAGCGCGCCGGAATCGCTTCCGAGCGCCGCAAATCGCAGGTCGACCACGCGAGGCGGACGTTGCGTCCGCACGGGAGAGCAGCGGCGCGCCCGCATTGCGTGCCAGGGCGTCTCATGGCAGTGTAGCGCCCCGTCTTCGACGCAGGCGCTGCGGGTGTGCACGCCCGAGCAACTGTTGTGGGAGGACTTCGCCAGGCTACTCGACGACATGGGCTGCCTCCCGGGGACGACGACGAACGACTTGACGGTGAGTCCTGCTCCCGTCATGTGCCGTGGCACCGACGCGAGCGGGCGCGGCAACACGGCGGTGCTGCAGCCGCGCCGCGAAGGCGACAGGGAACGCTGGAACACGCGCATTACATGACAAACCATCCCTTGTTCATGACTTCGTTCATTCATTGCAACTCGACACGTTTCGGGTCTTGAGACGGCGTCGCAGCTTGTCACACGGCGCGCTCAGCACGCCCTCATCCCCGCAGATCAGCCTGTCGAACGCGGCGGTCGTGACGGGGGAGGGTTGGCGCGCAGCGCAGGAGGAGTTGCAACGCGACGCGCAGCGGCCAGCGGGGCAGCGGCGGTACCCGCGGCTGCACGCGCCGGGCGTGCAGGAGCGCATGTATTATTCCATCAGGCGGGAGTGGGACAGTCTGGACCAGGCGCTGCTGATCATGCGCGAGAAGCTCCAGAAGCTGGAAGTGCGGGGCGTGCTGGGCACGACGGCGATCGGTCGCACGCTCCTGGACGGCCTGTGCCGGCAGCTGGAAGCCGGGATCGTGGAGAAGCAGCGGCAGGTCGCGGTGCACCCGCACGCTGCGAAGGGGTCGGCGTCGAGGGAGGCCAGCGTGACGGCGGCGGAGCTGGCGTTCCTTCAGCTGGAGCCCGGGGCGACGGCGAAGGTCACGGTCGTCAACATCATGCGGGTGCGCACGAGGCTTCGCAGTTGCTGCGCCGCAGGATCGTGCCAGGCGGAGGAGCCCGCTCATCTGTGCCTCCGCGGTAGTTATGAGCTGACGGAGTCTTGTTGGACGTGATTGCTGGATCGTTTCCGACCGCGCCGACGCATGCCCCGCGGTCGCAGAGTTTGTATTGCGACGGCACAATCGACGCGCTGTTCAATGAGGACAGAGGCACGGGCCTGGGCGCCATGTGGTCGCTCAAGGGCGCATCCGTCGCGCGCAAGGTCGCGCGGGAAATCGGGGACGCCGTCCAGGCCCAGGTCCTCTACGACAACGTCAAACTCCGCGGGTGCGCTTGCGCAACTGCGCTCCCCGACGCACACTCTCATGCGGCCCGCGACTCGCGCCGTCGTTGCCGACGCGAACGCTCGCCCCAGCCGCGCTCGCGCGTGCAGGAAGGCCACGGAGACGACGCTCGCGCGGTCGCGGGAGCTCGCGGAGGACCTCATGGCTCGCTTGAAGAACCTCGACACCGCCATGGTGGAACACGCGCGTGCCCGGAACAAGCCGCGGAAGAAGTTCGAACGCTCCGCCCGCGGCTGGATCGAGTCCGTCGCCACGGCTCTCAGCAGCCCGAACGTGAAGCTCGCGCAGCACGATCTCAAGGCCGTGGGGACGATCGTGGAAGCGTTCGGGGGGCGCGAGCCGGGCCAGCGCGCGCTGTCGTGGCGGATGCAGGCGCTCATGCGGAACCTGCAGGACGTGCAGCCGTGGTCCGAGACGACGAGGCTGCTGGTCGGGCTGACGCTGCTGGAGCTCGCGCTCATGTCTCTGTGGCTCAAGGACGAGGAAAAGCCCGGCAGCAACAAGCCCGGCAGGCACCTGCGGGCGCCCCTGGCCCCTGTGGTGCGCACCTGCTCCTACGACGCGTCTGGTCTGGTCTGATCGATACCAACCGAACCACCGCACGCCCCGCGTTCCTGTCGGCGCGTCCGCGAGCTCACAGCTCCTGACGTTGATGTCGGCACATGTGCCCGCACGTTCCAGGACGACGAGCGTGCCCGCGTCCGACCGCCCGCAGGAGCAAGCCCTGGCCATGCACGACCTCACGCCTAGCAAGTTCTTCGCCCCCGGCGGTGGCGCCGAGGACCTGCGTGCTGCGGGCCTTTTCCCCGCCATTGAATACGGAAAGCTCCCCACGTTCAATGCCCACTTATCGAGGCGTTTGTACGGCGGCAATCCGTGTATCTGGCCCACACAGGCCCTCCTGGACCGCCTTCACGACTACTTCGAGTCGGCCGCGTCCAACCAAGTTGTCCGGCCGCACATGGTGCTGCCGCCCGTGCCGTGGACGCGGAGCAGCGGCGGAGGCACGCTTCAGCTGCAGACAGGCTTCATGCTTTCGAGACGTGGCCCGCAGCAGGACAGGTGCGGCGCTATGTTGGCTTCGAGACCTCGTGGTGTTGCGACTGTAGTGGCTGCAGCATGCACTGGGACGCGGGGGGCGCCTCGTCGTCACGGAGAGATGCGTTGCTGTGTGCGTGCAGGATGCGGGATGCCGACGTGCAGATGCAGCGGCTTGAGACCGACTCCGGGCACCTGACAGAGGTTGCGCCCGGGGAGCTCGCGGACCGCGCCGCGGCGCTGCCGTACCAGGCGTACCGCGCAGTAAACGTGCTGTCGTGCACGAAGTGGCGCATCAACCGGCTCGTGCTCGACGTGGCCGAGGCGCTGTGGAACGCCGGGGGGGGGGTGGCAAAACTCCCCCGCCGCTCCGATCGGTACCCCGACCTCAACGTTCCCGCGCCCGCCAGGGACCGCTTCTGCATGTTTCGATCAGGGCAGCAGCTCGTCGCTACGCGCGGTCGCTGCCATGAGGAGCTCGTTGCCTTCGAGGCCAGGTCGCATGACGCTAAGCAGCAGGCGGGGGACTTCAGCGAATCCTGTCAGATGCGCGAGATGCTCCGCTACGCAAACGAAGTCAGGCGAGAGCACTTGCCGTCCTGAGGCCGCGTCGTCCGCTCGTATCGTACTCGCGACAGGCCTGAGAAGCCTCCAGTCTTGTTTCTTCGTCTGTCTGTTCACCAAAGGCTCATGTCTGCCTGTGCCGCGCGTTCCTCTTCGCAGGGACCTCGAGTACTTCTACCAGCCACATTTCGTCGACTTCCGCGGCCGCGTGTATCCGATGCACCCCCATCTCAGCCATGTTGGGCGCGACATCTCCCGGGGCCTACTGCGCTTCGCGACGGCGCGGCCCCTCGGCCGCCAGGGCCTCGACTGGCTTTTGATCCACGCCGCCAACACCTTCGGCCAGGACAAGCTCCCGCTCGCGGGCCGCCTGCAGTGGAGTCAGGACCGACTGGACGACATGGTACAAGCCGCAAAAGACCCCCTCGCGGCGCCACGGTGGTGGACGCAGGCCGAGAACCCGTTCCAGTTCCTGGCCACATGCGACGAGATCCGCGCGGCCTTTGCGTCCGGCGACCCCACCGCGTTCGAGTCGTCGCTGCCCGTGCACCAGGACGGGTCGTGCAACGGCCTGCAACACTTCGCGGCGCTCGGGCGCGACCTCCCCGGCGGCGCGGCGGTGAACTTGGTCCCGGGCGACCGCCCGAGCGACGTCTACTCCGAAGTCGCGGTGCTCACGCGGGCGCAAGTGGAGCGGGACACGCAGCGGTCGCACCGCGACAAACCTCTCGCGGAGGCGGTGTTGCCCGAGGTGCGTGCGTTCCGGAAGCTTGGCGATGCGTGCGCGGCGGGCGCGGGTGCCGCGTGGCTCGGTTTGTCGTTGGGCCTCGGTCAGGACGCGTGTTTTCACCCTGTGTTGTTTGGGGGGGTATTGTGGTGCAGGTGGACCGGAAGTTCGTGAAGCAGACGGTGATGACGACGGTGTATGGCGTGACGTTCATCGGCGCGAAGCAGCAGATCAACGCGCGCCTTCGCGAGCGCGGGTGGAAGGATGACCACTTCACGACTGCGTGCAGCGTCTACGCCGCGCGGGTGACGCTCCAGGCCGTGGGGCAGAAGTTCAGCCAGGCCAAGTCGCTCATGCGCTGGATGGCCTCCTGCGCGGGCATCGTGGCGAAGAACGGCGCGTTCGTCGCTTGGACAACACCCCTCGGGCTGACAGTGCAGCAGCATTACGGGCGGCCCAGCGGGAAGGTCAACATCCACGGTGGATTCGCGTCAGCGCCCGCGGAAGTGCACAAGGGCTGGTCGAAACACACATTTTGGAACGAAAGCGACGCCAAGGACATGCAGGTAGACACGTCAAAGCAGAAAACGGCTTTCCCGCCCAACTACGTGCACTCCCTGGACAGCTCGCACATGATGCGCACGGCGGTCGAGTGCAACCGCCTCGGGATCGAGTTCGCGGCCGTGCACGACTCGTTCTGGACGCACGCCGCTGATGTGGACTCCATGTCGCGCGTCCTCCGCGACGAGTTCGTGGCTCTGCACAGCGAGCCGCTGCTGGAGCAGCTGGTGGAGCAGCTGGCTAAGCAGGTGCCGGCAGGCGCGGACGCGCTGCCGCCGATTCCGCCGCGTGGCGAGCTCGACCTTGACAGCGTGCGCGGGAGCACGTACTTCTTCTGCTGACTCAGGGGGGGTGTGCAGGGCGCGCTGTAATGGACGATGTCGGGCGGAAGCGTCTGGTGTTCGGGTCCGGAGGGGTCACTAGCCGGACGGCATGGCGCGCCGCTTTCTGGCCTGTGCCGGGGTGAACTTGTGCTAGGGGCGCCAGGCGGCGGCCGCGAAGCGCGACGCTGCGGGGGCGTGCGGCGTGTGCGGGAGCGAAGGAGCGGTGCAGGTAGGGATGAGGTGAGGTGTCACATTCTTCGCGTCGTCAGCCATAAGGCTTTGGGGCCTGAAAAGATCATTCGACTAGGTGGCGAGTCATGCTAACCCCCCACCGTTATGGTAGCAACAGGTTCGGCAGCTGTGACAGAGTCGGCCTGGAGCAGATCTTCGATGCCACGAGCAAAGATCGCCATGCCTCGCTGATTCGGCAGGTTCAGGAGATAACGCACTGCAGCGTTGGCAGCGGCTTCCGAGTCGAGTGTTGCAGCGCCGTACAGGTCCTCGAGGTGCTGGCGTAGCCGGCGGTTGAGAGCGAAGCGGCGGCGCTGTCCAACAGTTGCCGTGGACGACAGGGGCGCATCGGCAGCGGGCGGGGGTGGCAGCGTGAGCTGCCCAGACGAGTCCATGGCCAGGCCCGCTCGTTCCCGGAGAGAGCGTACCGCTGGGGCGCGGCAGTCCAGCAGCAGGTGGCGGAGGTCCTCCGGGGCGGGCGATGCCGCCACGTCCACGCAGAAGCGGCAGACTTTCGACGGGTGCGACAGCGGTGTGTGTTGCCACTGCTGCTCCTGGTCCGCCATGGCCATCGTGGAGGTGCGCAGCCTCGTAGCTCCCACACGCAGGCGGGATAGGGCACGGCGGTCCGCGTGGTAGATCGCGGTGTCGAGCAGATGTGAAGGGATGGTGCGCGGTGGTGGCTGGCACCACCAGGCGTACCTGGCCCGTGTGCGGCCAAGCCCGTGCTGAGTGACCTCGGTCCGGGGATCCGGGGTTGCCGCGGGCTCGTGGTCCGGCAGCACGACCTGAGCGATCTTTCGTACCCTGCCCACAGCAGGTGCAGGGTGTGGCTGCTGCGGGGTCCCTGGCGTGCCGCCTATCTGAGTGATGGCCGCCGCGATGTGCGCTGCCCACGGTAGCTCGCGTTTGCGGAGGCGGTGGGCTGCGGGTTCGGCGCGCCTTGTGCTCGTACGAGTTGTCGACGTCGTGCGTAGTCCCCGTCGGCCCGCGCCGCTCCTGCCTCCCCCGCGCCGCCCGCGACCCCGTGATCGTCCGCCTCGCCCCCGTCCCCGGGTGCTCCGTGGCTGCGACCGCTGGCCCGGCTCATCCGAGTCCGTCAGGGAGGTCGTTGAAGACGCAGTAGCGTTGTGCGACCCCTCATACTCTGATTCGCTGTCGTCGCCAGTGGCAGCCGAGGAGTCCTCGCAGTAGTTCGGCCTCGGTGTAGCGCGGGATCCCCCTCGCGTGGTCCGGTCCAGCGTGCGACCAGTCAAGCGGTTCGATTCAGTGCTGATGTGGGTCACACGTTGCTGTCACGTGATGTGTCGTGGAGGAACGAGGGTTGCGGGGGGGGAGGGAGCCCAAGATCAAGGGCTCTTGAGTCTTCTCTCATGGTGGATGTCACGACATTGGGCGAAAGCGTGTTGCTTCGTCGGGTGGTTCTGGCTGCTGTGCCTTCCGCAATGTCACGACTGAATGGTGGTGAGTTGCTACGACATGCCGCGTGGTCAGATGCGCCTCGGCAGTGTCCAGGAATCGGCGACGCCAAACTTGCGTCGCGTGTTTCGTCTCATGAAAACGGAGCGGGATGCGAGCGCCGCACGACATTGCTGTCGGGCCGCTGCGCCGCGTCGCGACGTGCAGCGCCTCGGAACGTCGCTCCGGATGGGTGATTTGCTGTGTTCGGGGAGAGGGAGGGAGGGAAGGGAGAAGGGAAGAGAAGAAACAGGGGGAGGGAGGGGGGGGGGGCTGAGGGGCCACTGGTTTGTTTAGGGCGTTGCATCAAACACAACACATGATTAATTATGATGTTCTGTGTACTCCATCGAGGAACGTACGGATGTCTACCTGGGCGGCACCTGGGCGCGCAGCCGAGCCGATTCGCAGCTCCGTGCGCGCCCAGAGATCGTACATCTTCGGCCAACGTGGACACGAAGGTGCGGCAAAGGGCGCGAAACATACACCGCGGTGTGTCGGCAAGCGTGCGCGCTGGGAGGGCGGCACGGCGGGAGGAGGGAGGGTGGGATCTGTTATATATGACGGAGGGTCGATAATGGAGTACGCGAAGGCGCAGCGACCTGGCCGGGGGTTTGAGGAGTGAGGGTGTGTGACATGTCAAAATGCCGAGCCAATGACACGATCGGCGGGGTTCGTGCTGCGAAACGCACGTCCGGATCCGGACGGTGGCCGCGGGCGTTCCCTGGGGCGGGACGGGCGGGGTATCGCTCGGGGCTAGATCATCAGAAGGGAGAGGGTTGTTGGTCGGGAAGGGGGGGGGGTATGAGTTGCATGCGAGTTCGACGGGGCGGTCGCAGGGAATCCTTCGCGGCTCCGTCGAATGCAACACAGAGGAAAACAACAACAAGAACAGGCAGCGCTGTTCGTTGACAGAAAATCAAGCGGCGACAAAGTTCGTTTGGTTCACTGGGGAGGGCGGGAGGGGGTGTGCTGGGGGGATCGGGGAGGGAGGCTGACCTTGGGCAGCGGGACGCATCGCCGCAGCCGGAGCGCGCTATCTGCGGCGTCAATCGGCGCGGCGCCATCACTTGGGCATTGCTGGGGTTGTGGGGGGGGGGTCTCTAGCGCCGCCGGTGTGGCGCTTCGCGGGCTCGCTGGAGGCCGCCCCGGACGCGAGGCTGCTGCGTCGGCGGTCGTCGTGCTTTTCGGCCGAGAAACGTGAGTTGCGGTGTCCGAGCGAGCCCAACCCATGCAGGCGGCCCAGCGGCACCCCCGCCGTGGACCGCGTGCGGCGCAGGTGTCCGTGGCTGGCGCGCCCCGCGTCCTCGCGCGTCCACCCGTCCGTTTGCACCGAGGATTCGCGGTGCAAGCCCGAGAAGGGAGCTATCAGGTCCGGAACAACGGCGGGCCCGCCGAGGGTGCTGTCGCCGTCGTTGAGGGACGTGCGCGACCCGGAGCTGGACCTGAGCCGCCGGAGGATGATCTTGTGCAGAGGAGTCCCTTCGATCGTCCTGCCGTGCCCGGCGCTGGGCGGCCGGGCGGGCTGCCGCTGGGGGGTGGGCGCGGGCGGGCTCGGGGGCTCCGTGACGAGCGTGTGGACCAGTGGCATCGCGCGGAGCAGCTCCAGCGGCTGCAGGCCCTGCGGCTTCTGCCTCTTCAGCGAACCGTGAGAGGGTGGGCTCATGTTGCCTGCACGGCGGGAACGGAGTTGAGGGCTTGTAGGGCAGCCTGCTTCTCACATGAACCAAGGTGCCACGGGATTCGATGAAATACTCGCGTAAGCTGCAATATTGTCTTGAGAAATGCAGATCACGTCGACATAGTCTGTCGATACACGCCGATTCCGCGCCTCGACACATGCGAGCTTCGCAAGGCCCCGCCTGCGGCGTCGCGCCTCGCGGCAAGCCACTCACCGTAACAGGGTACGTTTCGAATACGGTCATCGTGCCCCAGCGGTCTTTTCCTGGAGTTAGACGCCCTGGGCGCCGCTTCAGGGGATTCGCGGCACGGCCCTTCGGAGGCCACAGCAGCCGGCCTCTCGGCCACCCGGGTACTCATCGTGCCAGGACTATCAGGAGGAGCCGGAGCCACTGGGCAATCGAAGCCGGAGCAGGAAGCGGCCTGTCCCACCGCCGGGGCGACACAGCCCTTGCCCTCTGTCTGGCGGGCCCGACGGGAGCTCCAAGGCTCGCACCGAGCGCCGCGCTGCCCCAGCACGCCGCAATTCACCAGAGCATGCGAGTCCGACGCGAGACCGGAACTGGTGGTGGCCGTCCCGTGCGCCCTGCACCCGGGCGCCAACCGCAAGCGCTCGTCATCCCCGCCTGCGTCACTCTCGGCTCCTCGCGCAGCCACGCTCGCCAACCCACACGCAGCACGTCGCACCAGCGGCCACCGGCGCCCCGGGCGTCCCACGCGCAGCCGCGCTCACACGACGTTGTGTTGCGCAACGGGTCATGAAAGCTTCGCGGACACGGTCGCGTGGAGCTTCCCGAGCTGTGTCCACCACGCCGACAGCGCCGCGTACCTCCCCGTGTCCTCGCCCTCCGCCTCCTCCGCCGCGGGCGCCGTCGCCGCCGCGCCCGCCTTGGGCGCCTGCGACGTCGCTGCGACCTTCGCCGCCGCCGTCGTCGCCGCCGCCACCGCCGCCTGCCCCTGCCCGCGCACCTCCAGCGTCCCCGTCGTCTGATCGATCCGCCCGTCCAGCTTCCCGTCCAGGATCAGCGACACGAGCAAGCTCTCCACGTCGTCAGTCGACACCTTCAGCTGCCGCGCAGCCCACTCCACGCTCACCCTGCGGTACGGCCGCAGCATCACCTGCAGCACCTGCTTCCTCAGCGCGTGCAGCAGGTCCTCGACGTGCTGCGCGATGAACGGGTCCCCCATGACTTGCTCGCGCCCCGCCGCCAGCGCCGCCTCGAAGTCCGCCATGCGGTTGGAGCGGTACGCGTCGACGAGGTGCGCCATCGCGACGACGTCGGGGTCGCTGCGGTACGGCCGGGCCTCTTGCGAGTCGAACGGGTCCACCGCGGACTGATTCAGCATCGACGCCAGGAGCAGGTATTTGAGGCAGAGGGTGCGGCGCGGCGAGCCGGCCTCGTCGTAGGCCTTGAAGGCCTCGAAGAAGTCCGTGCATGCGTCCTCCCAGCGCCGCTCGCGCATAAGCATCTTGCCGCCGCACTCCTTGACGACGCCCAGGATGCGGGGGTGCGGGATGGCCGACTTGACGCCCAGCGCCCTGCGGAGCGGGACGACGCCGCGCGGGCGCTCAGGAACGCGCGCGGGCTACGCGCGGGAGCGACGCGCGTCGCTGCCGCGCGTCGACAGACGCAGAAACACGCAGCGATCGAAAAACAAGGATTTGCAGAGATACGGGGACAGCAGCAGGTGCCGCGCCGGCCGGCCCGCGCGCCGCGCTGCAGCTCACCTCCTGTACAGGTCGCGCAGCCGCTGGTGGTCCTTCTGTTCCGTGCGCATTTGGATCTCCAGCGCCAGGACTTCGAGCAACTGCGTGCCCTTGCGAGGGTCCTCCTCGCCGTCCTGGAGGCACCACTTCCGCAGCCCCTTGAGGAGCGCGCCGAGGCGCGCCAGGTCGCCGCGGCGCAGCCACAGCGCAGCGAGGCGCGTGGAGACTTTGAACCACAGCCGCTCGTTGCGCGCGCCCTCCATGGCGGCCAGCGTGGCCTCGTACATGTCCTCGAGGAGGCTCGCGTCGGGACCGTCGCCGACCGTCTGAGCGACGAAGTCCAGCACCGAGTTGATCTTCTTCTCGCCGTGGTTGCGCGTGACGGCCGAGTGGATGTATGTCAGCATCTGTGGGGGTTTCGAGAGAGGGGGGGGGTGTGGGAGGGGGCGGGATGGGAGGGGGTGGTTCGGTGGGGGTGGTCGGGTGCTGCGCGCGGGCCTTGCCTCCTTGTAGGACTCGGTCATGCCCTGATAGTCTTTGGAGAGGCACTGGAGTTTCACGGCTTGTTTCAGAGCCTTGAAGCCCCACTCGCCCTTCTCGTCGCCCTCCATCTCGACGACCTTGCGGAACCCTTCGAGCGCCGTGTCGCGGTCGCCGTCCTCGAGGTTGCCTGCGCGGCGCAGGGGCGGTGAAGCGTTGCTGCGTGGGACGAGCGGGTCGAGGGCCTCCGGCGCTGTAGGGCCGACGGCGGCCATGTGGCGCCGGGGTGGGCGGCTGTGAGAAGGTGGAGCAGCCCGGCTGTGCGGGACTTGGCTCGCGTGAGGCTGACGGAAACCGTAGCGCGGGGCTTGCCAAGGCGATGGAATGCATCGGCCGAGGCGAAGCGCTCAGCGTTGGCTGGGTCACCTTTGCTGTTATAGTACTGGTTCTCGATGTCCACGTCCTCCTCCTGCTCCTCGTCGTCACTGTACTCGAAACCATAGTCCATGTCCTGCGGAAACGCACGGCGCGAGGCACGCTCAGACGCCACCCAGGCGTCGCAGCGGCGCAGCGCGGAGCTGATCGCGCGGGCTGGGCGCCGTCAAGGGCCGCACCTCATCGCTCATGGCGCCAAAACCCCGACGCGCCCTCCCTGGGCGCGCCTCGTTGCGGTGGGAACACCAGGTGGTTGCAAGGCCGGTCCTCCAAGGTTCTGCCGCGCGTCTGACAGGACACCTCGCGTCACCAGACCAACTGCATACACTCGGCGACGCGCCCCCGCTTTGAGCGGCCTCGCTGCCGCGGAACCAGCCCCTGCGGGGTAGCTCCCTGATGGCGGTGGGGGCGTCCCCGCTCGGCGCGGCGCTTGCGCTCTTCGGTGGGTGTGGCCCAGCGGCGCCGCTCATTCCCTGTAACGCCGACCACGTGAGCTGCTATCAACGCACGTCCTTCGCAGCTGTCGACGCCACGCGCCCTCCAGTGGGAGCAAGCCTCCTCAGCCCGGCGGGCCAGATATCGTCCCGAAGCGCGCGCGCCCTGCTCGCGGCGCGTTCCGTGGGTCGTGTCCCTCCCCGCTAGAATGATTCAGACGGCGCGGATGAACGCTGCCGCGTCTGGCGGCGCCCTGCGGCCCGCGTGGAGCAGTGCCCGGTCGCCAGGCGCACTCCGCAGGGCCGTGCCGGCGGGCTTCGGGCGCGGCGCTCGCCTGGTTGCGCGCGCGGCGTTCGATGAGGCGTCCAAGAGCCAGGCGCAGGCGCAGCAGGTGCGGCCCAGAGCGCGGCTTGCAGCGATACTGCAGTCTGTTGCTAGAAGGAGTCCGGATTACGTCGCGAACGGCGACTCGTCGCGCGCCTGCTACGGCGTCCGCGATGGCACATTGCCGTTTCCTTGCGTTTCGATGATTTTGGATGGCGGTCGCGCGCGCACTGCGTTGCTTCAGCGGCCAACTGCCAGCCGTTTGGTTGTGTGGTGCGCGCCCTCCGCGCAGGTCAACTGGGGCCCCGCGACCGTGATCGAGAACCGCGCCGAGAGCGCCGACGGATCCCTGCGGACCCTCGTGCTCAGCGTTGAGGACAACCAGGCCCTCATGTCGGGGCGCTCCTTCACGGCCCGCAAGCGCGCCCCGCGCTGGATCGACGGGTGCGCGGACGCCCCGCAAACCGCCCGCCCTCACACCTCCCGGCACACGCACGCTCGGGCCCAGCGCACACGCTCGCTGAACGCATCGGGCCGCGCCGTCCCGGCCACGCACCCCGCCCGCTGTCATGCAACCCACCACGCCGCCGCGCGCAGGTACACCGCCCCGGGGCAGTTCATCGCGATGCGGCCCACGGGGGATGAGCCCGCGCCGCAGCACCTCGGCCCGTCCACCGCGCACCGCCAGCACGTGCCCATCGCCACGTCGCCCTACGAGTCGCGGTCGCGCAGCGCCCAGCTCGACGCCGCGATCGTGGAGGTCCTCGTGGACCGCCACATGACGGACGCGGCGCGCGGGCCGGACGCACGTCTCGCGGATTTGGGCCCCGGGGGACTGGTGGAGGTGGCGGGGGAGTTGCGCGGCGCGGGCTTCGCGAGCCTCCTCGCCGCCGACGTGTCCCTCTCCGACGCCCTCGAAAACGGCTGGCCGCTCCTCATCATCGGCGCCGGAGCCAGGCGAGCAGCCCGCCTCCCGAAAACAAACACTCCCCCTTCAACCCCCCCCCCCTAGCCCCACGCAGGCCGCCCCGGCGCGCGCGCCGCGGCGCTCACAGTGCGTTCCCCTCTCCTCCTGTGGCGCAGGGGCGCGGCTCCGATCCGCGCGGCGATGGAGTGGGCTCCCCTCCAGGCGCATGCCGGCAGCCACCCGGTGCACGCATACCTCGTGTCGGAGTCGCCCGCGCGCGCGCCGTACCTGAAGAACTGGGAGGAGTGGCGCGAGTCCGGCGCCGTCGTCAACCCGCTCTACACGGAGCAGTACAACTACGACGAGGGGGTGTGGGACGATGTCGGTCTGCCTGCCGACCTGCAAAAACTCCCCTCCGCGGTGCGTCAGACCCGCCCATGACCTCACGCTCTGCGCAGCTCCGTCCCCTGGCTCCCTCCTGCCCTGCATCTCCCCACCGCGCCGTGTGGCGCGGCTGTGCTCGTTGGCGTCTCAGTCGCGCGTGGCGTGAACATGCGGGCATTCGTGGCCGCGTGCGCGCAGGAGACGCGGCACCTGTACTCGATGCTCAAGACGGCGCTGTTCGGCGGCGAGAAGGGCCTGGAGGGCTGTCTGGGCTGTCCGCCGTACAACGCGGCCGTGCTGCTGGCGGGCGTGCCCGGGCCCGTCGCCGCGCAGCTGCAGCACCGGCTGGTTGCGGCCGGCGTGCAGCGCGAGCGCATCATGTTCTGCGAGTTCTTCTGAGCCCGCGGCGCCGCGGAGCTTGCCAGTGGGCCTCGCAACATGCGTAGGTTGCTGCTGAGCTTGTGATGGCTGCTTCGGACGTGAGCCCGCCGCGGCGATGTGGGGTGCCGCCGTTCGGTGCGCTGCGGGGCCCGGGAGCGGAGACGCCCCCGTGTGCGGATGGCTGACTGACTCGGGAGCCGGGGGTGTGTCGATGACGCAGTCGGACAGATCCGTCGGCCGTGTTTGGTCGACGCGTAGTTGGGCACACGCACAGCCGCGGTTGCGGTGTTGTCCGCGTCGCTGCGTGCCCCAACGCGGCAGTGCGACGCAGCAGCAACACCAGACTTCCTTGGTGGTGTTTTTGTCGCCATGTTCCGAATAGGCGGCGCAATCCTCAAAGCACCGGCCTCGGGGAGCTCGATCTTCAATGTGCTCTCCAAGCTCGCGCCGTCGGCGCCGCGGGCCGCGTGGAGTCCCCCCGCACAGCTGTCTTACTGCGGGAGCCTCCCAGGCAGAGGGCAGTCAGCGCTGTCTAGGGCGTGGTGGGGCGGCCGGTTCGCTCACACGTCACCGGGCAGAGGGTTGCAAACCAGACCAGTACTGGAACGCGGAGTGTGGAGCGGGCCATCGGGGCACCCCTGTATGGCGAACTCATTTTCACGGGCGGGCGGCTTCTTCGGCGGTTCTTGGTCGCGTTTCCTCGTTCCGAGGCGCTCCTTTGCATCCTTCAATAGGCGAGCCTCCATTTAATTCGCGAAACCTTTTAACGCGTGTCGCAATCGCCTCAGCGACTAAGGCTCAGCAGACTGCATTGCCCCCTCTCCCGCGTCACACAGCGCGCACGCGCGGAATCCAGCGATCTGACGTGATGCCTCACGATTCCGGTGCTTGCAGGGGTCAGCTAAATCGCCAGCGCCACCCGCGGGCGCGAATGCGGGGCTCTTTGTTTGGCGGGTTGGGAGAAGCGCTCGGCGCGCGTACTGCGTCGACAATCTCGTCAGCCGGCGGCCTCGAGAAACTCCACACACACATGTCGGGCATCTTCGCGGTCCTGGTGAGACGCCGCCCGCACGCCCCGCTCCCCGCACGGCACCCTCCACTGTGCAACCAATCCAGCCGGCGAGGCCCTACCAGGGCGTGACGACGGCATTTCGACATGCTCCGTCAATGATGTGTATCTGAACTTTGCATATACGGCCAAATGCGTGCTCGAGTCGCACGCCCTTCGCTGCCACGAGGCGCTGTTCTTCATGCAATGACATCCCGCTGCGACGCCCCGCAGCTCCTCGACATGGCCATCAACTGGGTCGGCTGGGCGGCGTCGGTGCTGCTGAAGACCGAGATGTTCTACGACATCACCGGCACGGCCACCTTCCTCGTCTCCGTCGTAGGCACCTACTTCTGGGGCACCATCCCGCACGCCCGGAAGATCGTCGCCAGCGCCATGGTCTGCATCTGGACCCTCCGCCTCGGCTCCTTCCTCCTCTTCCGGTACGCGCACCGCCAGCCCCCCCACGTGCGACCACGAAACAAAACACCCCCCTCGTGCACACTGAGCTGTTTTACAAATTGGGCCGTGGCAGCGGGCCCCGAGGACGCCGGCGTTCGCCTCCGCTGCGACGCGCAGGGCGGTGAAGACGGGCGGGGACAGTCGGTTCAAGGAGGCGCTGGAGAAGCCCGGGACGTTGTTCATTTACTGGACACTGCAAGGGCTCTGGTGTTGGATCGTTGCGATGCCCGTGCTGATCGTCAACCGCGCTCCCGCGCTGGGCGCGGCGCTCAAGTGGACGGACATCGTCGGGCCCGTCCTGTGGGGGACGGGCATGCTGCTCGAGGCCACCGCGGACATCCAGGCGCGCTCCGCCAGCACGCGTCGCCGTGTGCTGACTTTCGGCCGCGACCCGCGTGTCACGCGCGGCGCCGCGCGGCCCGAGCCTCGCACGGATGCGTGCCCGTCTCACGGCGCCGACCCCGTCGGTTCGAATGCAGAAGTTCAAGTTCAAACAGGACCCTCAGAACAAGGGCAAGTTCATCGACGTCGGCCTGTTTAAGCTGGCGCGGTACCCGCAGTACCTCGGCGAGATGTCCGTGTGGTGGGGCACGTTCATCTTCTGCGCCGGCGCGGGCCTCAGCGGCTGGCAGTACGTCTCGATCGTGTCCCCTCTTTTCACGATGGGCCTTGTTCTAGGTCTGTCAGGCATCCCGATCCAGGAGCGGCAGGCCAAGGAGCGCTGGGGCGCGGATCCGGCGTACCAGGAGTACCGGGAGTCGACCAACCTGCTCCTGCCCGTCCCGAAGCTCATACCGTCGCGACCCAAGGGCCACGACACCTGACTCAGGGCGGGGGTGTGACGATGCATGGACAGTCGGGAACGCTCGAGTCGGGAGTCACCGGCCGCGTGCAGCTGCGTGTGGGGCGTGAGCGTCGCCCCGGAGTGTCGCGGCGCACGCCGCGTGCCTCGGAGGCTCTCGCAGCGGGGGGGGGTGTGTGACACGGCCCCAAAGGAACGCGCAGCAGTGCAACGACCGCGCTCGCGCGTGTTATACAGGCCGTGGCGACTTGCAAGTCGGGGACTTCGGGCAAAAACATTCACAGCTCTCACAGATCTCCGTATTCCCAACGGCCGGTGAGAGCCCGCACGCGCGGGGGTGCATGCAAGCCTATGTGGAAGCAAGGACTGCCGACCCGTCAACGCCCGGTGCCGATGTCCCGGTGGCTCCGGGGCCAGCTGGATAGGCCGTGCGGGTGTTCCGCGGCCCTGGAGCCCCCGTGACAACATCATAGGCATGCTGCAGCACGGACCACACGCAGGAGCTCCCATGGCGCTGCACCCCCACCCCTGACAACCACCACGCGGGTCCGCTGCTCAACGTGTGCTTCCAGGAGCGGCCCGAACAGCGGGTGACGTGAGGGGCTGTCACCTGACATGCGTGATGTCTTGCGTATGTCTTGCCCGGGCAGGGTCGCCGGCCGACGACATCGGGACGCGTGGTGGGGCTTGCCGACGAGTACCCGCACGCCCGCGGGGCTCGTCACTCATCGAAGACTTCACTCGAGCTGCGTGCGCAGGTGCTGGGACCCCGACACCTGTTGCTGCAGCTTGCTCATCTTGCGTGCGGGTACTCCACCGCGTCGTTGCTCTCGGCCACCCCTTTCCTGGTTAACGTGACCTCCGGTGTGACACGTTTGTCACACTGCATGTTCAATACAGCGACTTGTTTGCGCTGTTGTTTCATGCACCGTGTGTCAGCATGGCGGGGGGGCTGACGCCGGCCGCGCGGGACACCGTCCGTGTCTACATGATGTCTCCCCAGTCGTGGTCCGGGCCCGGCTGCATCATGTCAGGGTGCACTGGCCCCGTGCCTCCTCGCCCGCCGCGCCCGCCGCGCCCGCCGCGGCCCGGGACCGGCGGAGCCCATCCGGGCATTCCCTCCGGCGCAATCGGGTCCCACCGCGCCCCGGGGGGCAGCCTGCCGTCGCCGAACGCCCCGCCCGGCATCCCGACTCCCCCCCCAAACATTGGGTCCCCCGGGCCGACTTGAGACCCCCCTCCCGGGAACGGCACTCCCCCGATCCCGCCGCCGAAGGGGCCCATGCCTGGCGGTCGGAACCCGGGCGGCACGACGTCGTGGGCGCCGACCGGAACCGCCGGGCGCGGCTGCTGATAGAAGCTGCTGTCAGGGGGGGTGGTTGCTGGCGCGGGGACGCCTCCGCCCGCGCCCTGCGTGGCCGCGCCCTGCTGCTTCGAAGACTGGACGTTCGCACGGGGCGCTGCACGCGCGGCGAGGGGCGCTAGGGCCGCGGCGAGCCCTTCTGGATCGCTGAGCTTCATGCGCCCGTCAGTTGAGCGCCCGGTGTGCTTCGTGGCGTCCACCTCGACGACTTCGGGTTCCTCGCCCGGACGCGACATATCTGTGGCCGCCACGACGAGCGTGGGCCGCGCGGCGATCGCCTTGACACAGAGCCGGCGAGGCGCTGGAAGTTGAGAATCAGGCTCTTCCTCTCCGGGGCGATATATGAATGCGTACTGGCCGGCGAGCTCCTTCCAGGACGCCCGCACGTCGGCCTCTTCGGACAGACGCGACGCAGACGCGTACTCGATCTCGTCCGCGGCGCGCCCCGCCGCGACGCACACGAGGCCACACGCGGTGAAGTAGGCGTGCGTTGACGACGCGAGGAGGTCGAACTCGTCACTGCAATCACGAAACACGGAAGTATAGTTCTTGAAGGGCGTAAAGGACTACGAAATTCCGTGGAAGCTCGGGTACCGCTGACACATGGGCCGGCTGTGGAACTTGCCTGCATTCCAGCTTCAGCAGGCGCAGAATGGCCTGCAAGGACGCTGCGTTCGCCATCCCTGACGTGCTGCGGGCCGCGCGCAAGTGCGGACGGATCACCGAGCCGGCGCCAACGTAGGCGGGGACGTTTTCACACCGTATGGTCCCACACCCCACCGGGGGTGTTTCCCGGGGCCCGGTGCGTCGGGAGGCGAGGGCGCTGCGCACCGCGCGGGCCCTGGCAGAGCGTCATCGAACAAAGAGCGTTGCCTGGTCGGGGAGGCGCCGCGGACGGGTCCGCAGTGTGTGTGCAAGCATCGACACTCAGCGGCTCTTCTACCTGCGTGTCGGCGGCGAGCTGCTTAGATTAAGCTTGGTACATATCGTATAGATTCATTTCTGTCTAGGAACGCGGAGGTTTCGTCGATTCGGCCGCGTCTGCGGGCAGGAGTCGCTTCAGACAAGTGGGCGCAGGTCTCGGGGTGTGGTCGAGGTCGCCGCTGCACGGCCGCTCGGAGCTGGGCAGGCGGCGATGAGCAGCAAGTTGCTTCTCGGGCTCGCGGCTCTCGGCGGAATATACATGTTGGTGCGCCAGGATTTGCGCCGGGGAGGCGCCATGATGCGCAGCAACATCAGGACCATCCGCGGGTGGATGGAGGAGGCCAGCAAGGCCGCCGAGGAGGCAGGTGAGTTCACCCTCTGCGCTGCCGGGCCGCTGCGAGGCCCCTAGGAGCCGCGACGCCCGCAAATAACGCGAGGGGCTCTTCCGAGAGTGCTTCCCAGCAGCCGTGGCCTTGGAAACTTGGACACCGTCGCGTGCGGCCGCGGAACCTCGCAGGACGCAAAGCGGAGGAGGCCGGAGCGAAGCGGCTCGAGCAGCAGGCGAAGCACCAGGCGGAGGAGGCGGCGGGCAAGGCCAAGGGAGGCGCTGGGGGCGAGGGGCCCGGGGGCGGGCCGGGGCAGGGCGACAAGCAGCCATGACGCGGCGCGCTGCGCACGCACCGCAGCAGCGTTCGCTCGCGAGGATGGACCTGGCACCTCGACACGAGCCGGCCTCGCTGTGTGTGCACCCTGGTTTCCCGTGCCCGACGCGCGCGACGCGGCGATATACGACGCGGGAGGAGTAGCGCGGCAGCGGGGAGTGAAGTGAGATGGTTTCTGGACGGCTAGGTCGGGAGCGAGTCACAATGCCGTGCCGTGCGGGCTCGAAACGTAGCTAGGGTTCGAGCTTTACTTGCCGGCCTTCGCCAGGGCCTCCTCGCGGATCTCCTTGAGGCGCTCCTCCTTCTCCTTGGGGCTCAGGCCCTTCTTCTTGATGCCGCCCTCCAGGGAGTAGCCGGCAGCGGTGGCGCCGGTCGACGACTTGCCTGCAAACAGCCCACGTCGCCGCAACGGTGAGCAGCGCGCCTGGAAGAAGTGGGCATGCATGCCAGGTCGCCCCAGACGCGCGGTGGTGGCCGCCCGGCGCAGTGGCGCGGCGCGTCGTCGTGCAGCGGCCCGCACTCGGCGAGATATGGTCCGGAGCGGAAAGAAGATCCATGTTCGATTTTCGGGTGGAATGGGGACTCACCGGCGCGGATAGAGCCCTCCTGGATCGGGGACTTGAAGCGCGAGGCCGAGGCGGGGCCGGCGGCCAGGAGCGAGGCGGCCAGGACGCCTGCGGGCAGGGCGGGGGCAAGGGTGCGTGCGTTGGGCTTCCAGTCGCGATATAGCGCCGCGTCCGAACCGAACGAACAGAAGCGCTTGGCGCCGATGCATCGTTGGGGTTCTGGAGATGGCGGAAAATCAGCCGGCTGGATGTGGGCGCATCGTTGCGAGGCCGCAGACGGCGACAGCGTTTGAGGAGCACTGAGCGCCCGCCGGCCGCGCGCTGAGGATGTCGCAAGCGACGTTATACGGTTGATTCCAACGTTCATTGGAACGTGCCATCGGAACTGCCCTGACAGGCTGCGAGGAAGCGCGGATCGGGGAGCTACGCACCGAGAGCAGCCCGGCGCGAGGTCGAGTCGTCAGCGGCGCGGGCCACGACCGCGGTGCGGGTGGCCGCGCGGGCCGAAGGGCGAGCCGAGACGGCGGGGGCCGCGGGGGCGGAGATCCGGCAGGACTGCATCTTGGACGAGCTTGCTAACGGCGAATCGGCGGACGATCGGACTGGTCGAGCGCGAGCGGCTGCTCCCTACGACGTTCACGCGAAGAGTAGTAACAGTACGATAGTGCGCACTCGCGCTTCCGGCTCGCTGCCCCTGAGCTCCGGGCGGCGCCCGGCTCCCCGCGAAAGGCCCCTCAGGGTCGCTTAGTACAAGCAGACACCCCCGGCACCGGAAAACAGCCGCCAGGCCCAGCGGCGCGCCCGGGAGGATCCAGGCGCGCAGCCCGTGCGCTGCCGCGCCACCGATGCGAGGGCCCGCGCCCGCGAAGTGTCGTGCTGGCGTGCTGCAGCGTCATGACATGATCACAGCTGACAGGCAACGGGCCACTCACGGCGACCGCGCGGCGGGCCCTATACGTGGCGCAGATGTGTCGCGCGCATAACAGCCGCGAGAAAGTGCGTGCGCGGCGTCACCACAGCCCGCAGGGACCGCCCCCCAGTTCGCCGCTGAGGCCCTCGCTCTCCGACGCACTGTCGCTCGCGTCGCTCACGCTCGACGCCGCGCCGCCTGCGTGCCCGTCGCCGGCCACGTCGTCCTCGCTGTCGGACGCGGCGTCGCTCGACTCCTCCCCGAGACCCCCCCTCACGCCCCCCCCGTCCGCATCGAACCCGTCGAGCTCCTGCTCCGGCCGCCGGCACTGCACCATGAAGCACGCGTTCTCCCGCCCGTGCAGCTGCGCGATCGACTTCTTGAGCTGACTCATGGCCGACATGAACGCACTTAACTCCGCGTGGTGCTCCCGCTTCCACGCGCCACCCTCCCCGCGCCCCGGCGTTCCCGCGGCCCACGCACGCGCGCCGCGGCGCTCCTGCGTCGCGTCGATCCACAGCGTGTGCAGCCGCGGGGCCAAGCGCGCCACGGCGCCACACACCGCCGGGGTGGTCTCCATGGTCGCGCTGTGCAGATTCACGCCCTTCAGCGCCCGTGCCCCGGCCGCCAGAGCCGAGAAGCCGCCCTCGTCAATGTGCGCGCTCCCGATGTCGATGCGCCGCAACGTGGGAGCGTGTGCCAACACGCACAGAGCCGCGCTTCCCATTCCCGCGCCACGCCGCCGCGTCACCTTCCCCAGGGGCTGCGCGCACGCCAGCGGCTCCGCCTCATCGGGCCCGCGGCCCAGACCCCCCCCCGTTCCGGCGTCGCACGTCCAGACACCTGAGTCATGCACCTGAAGGTACGCCAGGTGCGGTGCTGCGGCGAACAGGGCGAAGAGAACCTGCTCCCACGCTGCGTCGGAGCCGCGGTCGGCCGTGAAACCCGAATCCGCGTCCGCGCCTGCTCCGTGCTGCGGCCAAATGAGACCAGCCACGGTGAGGCTGCGCAGGCGCAGGCCGGCGCTTGAGGCGTCCGCGCCCGGGCTGGGGAGCGCGGAGACGGGGAGGAGGATCTCGAGGCACGCGAGGCGCCGCAGGGCCGGGAGGGACAGCAGCGTCGCGGCAGAGGCGTGCGGCATCGCTGCGAGGGGTTCGAACTGCTTGCCGCGGCCGCAGAGGTGCACGTCCTGCGGCGACAAGTGGAGGGGAGACGCATATGCTCAGGGCGCCGCGTTGGTCCGGCGCAGGCGCATGCAGAGCCATCGCGACAAGGCTTGATTCAAAGAACAGTTGGAAAATGGTATCTTCTGCTGGACGCGCAGCGAGCGAATCAGCAAGTGTGTCCGCAGGGGGCGAAATGCGCCGCGCACCGTGAGAGATGTGAGCGAGCCAAGGGCGACGAGGCCGCCGAGGCACGAGCGCGCGTGGATGATGCGCAGCTTCCGCAGCCCAGCTGGCAGCCATTGGCCGTCCGGGGACGCCGCCGCCGCGCGGACCATCTCGGGCCCGGCCACGTGTTGAAGCGTACAGACGTGTACGTGCTGGACGCGCGCGAGCTCCTGCACACGCAAAGCACCGCGCACAGACCTATTTTCCATGCGCTCGCTTTGTGTTCGCTTCCTGCTTGCTGTTGACGCCCGGGATGGCTGGTTCCGGCGCGGGCCACGCACCTTGAGCTGCTGGCTACCGATGCTCCAGTCCTGCCCAGCTCGCTCCATGCACCGCTCGCGCACAGTCAGGTTGAAGCAGTGTCGCAGGAAGACCTCGTTTCCCGGATCAATTTCCAGCAGGTCGAGCTTTTGCAGCGCGGGCGGCAGCGGGGCGACGCGCCCCTGGAGGACGTGCTTCAGGCGAAGCGTGCGCAGCGACTTCAGGAGCGGCAGGTCGGACAGACACGTCGACGGCAGAAGAGCTTCGGCAAACTCTGTGGAGACTGACAGGCACGACAGGCCCGGAACGGCCGTGGCGAGGCGCTCGACGAAGGACTTGGGCACCCAGCTCCACGCCACGCGCAGCTTCAGGGTCTCCAGCCCTCTAACTGCATTCCACCGAAAGAGACAGTCTGCACTGGTTGGCTGGTTGTGTGTCTACCAGGAGCGCGTCACGGTTGCCGAGGGCCGTCTGCCCGCCGTGCGACCGCGTCGTTCCTGTCTCGGAGGGGTCCGTGCGTCGCATGCGTGGTTCCAGTGCTGCGGCAACGCGATGAACTCATGCAGGCTCTTGCCTTCTGTCAGCGCCTGCGTGAACAGCTCGCCGTCTGCGGGCAGCATCGCGTAGCCGAAGTCCAGGTGCCGTAGGCTGTCCTTGCAGCCGCGCAGGAGCGCGACCAGCCGCGCCGCCGTCAGCCCCGACGTCCCGGGCGCACTGACGTGTGGCGCCGGGCTGCTCGGGCCCGACAGACACAGCTCCCGGAGCCCGGCCGCGACCGGCGCGATGCGGTCGTTGAGCCAGGGGCACCAGCCCCACAAGTGCAGGTCCGTCAAGCGCTGCGCGTGCCATCCCTCGCGCTCCAGCCGGGACAGGAGGGCGTCGGGTGGTCTCGCGCGCTGCTCCTCGGCTGCCGCTGCCTCGGGCGCAGCTGCCACCTCGGGCGCCGCGCTGAGATGGAGCTTAGTGAGGTGTTGAAGGACCCACGGGTTGCGGCAAGGCCCTTCCGGAAGCGTGCTCCGGAAGTTGAGGTGAGCTCGCAGCTGGGCGTTGGCCGGCAGACGCGGGCTCGCGTCTGGGCAGTGCGCGTCCGTGAGAGGGACGTACCAGACGGCGCGAAGGAGCTTGCCGCTCAGCTGCGCGGGCATGTTGTCCGGCCGGGGCCCCGTGGACGCGAGCACGGCTTGGCAGGCCCCGCGCGACATCAGCGCGAGCTCGGCGAGGTCCTGGCCCGTCGCGAGGTCCGACGTGCGTGCGACCACGCGCGACAGTAGGGCCGGATTGCCGAGAAGCAGGTCGCCTGTGTGCATCTGGCGGGCCCTGCGCTGCGCGTCTGCGTCACGCGCCGCGTATTGCGCCATTTCGACAGCGTTTCGCGAGACGACTTGAACGCCCGCTACGCCATCTCGGCCTCGGAGCGACCGGTCATCCAGCCCGAAGACTGCGACGCAGCCGCGGCTTCAGAGGAGGGTGCAGTTGCCGTGTGTGCAGGGGTGTCCGGACGCGTGTTTGTGCCTGAGATCGCTTCGAGGCGGCCCTCTGACATCGCCCAGTTGCCCTGTGGCGCATGAAGCGGCCCGCTCCGGACTGCGGCGCACCCCCGCTGCTCGAGTTGCACCGGAGGAGTGCGACAGGAGGCCCCCGGCCCCGCACGGAGCTTCCGGGGCGTCCTGGGTCGCGCTCGACGCCTGGGGGTGCTGTTTGGCGCGTACGGGGCAAGTAGAGCGTGTTTCGTGCGTTCAACACCCTGCTCAGGGGGCGTTCGCGCTCCCATATTGCTTCCTAGTCACTCGTTCGCCGTGGCCTGCCGCTGCGCCGCGGTCTGTGCGGATCTCGCTGCCGCGAAGCGTGGCCGGCGAAGTCTCTGACTCCGCTCATCGAGCGCCGGGGCGGCGAGAAGCGCGGGACCGCGCGGTGCGAGCTGATACAAGTTGAAGGTGTAGGGCCGCGTAGCTAGCCATGCATGGGTCGCACAGCCACACCGGCGACCCGTATCATGGAGCACACTGCGAGATCTGCCGGGAGGAGTCCGACAAGATCCGCATCAGCCGCATCAAGGCGGGCGATCCAGGTGGGCGGAGTGCGCTCCGAAAGCGCGCGGCCCGCGTTTCCCGCGCGCTGGGAGCGGCACGGACCGCTCAACGCACCCCAAGCGCAGCCACCATGCCACATCAGCGCCCTGGCCTTCGAACCGCGACGTCCGGGCCAATCCCGTCGGCGCCCGCCCATGCTCTGCCCGGCAAGGAGTTCGCAGCGCAATTTCACGCCCGGGACGGCGTTCCAGGCCACCGCGCGATCCCACCGCGCACGTTCCACCCAGCCATCATCCCCGCCGCGCTGCCCGGCCCGCTTCGCGCGCGGCACCGCCCACGGCCCGCCTGCCCGCTCCTCAGCTGCATCGTTTCGCGCCGCGCGTCACAGCGCCGGCGCCCCGCGTCCCGCCCGCAGGGAGCCCCGTGCGCTCGAACGGGTCGGGATACGTCAGGACCACCTCGAGCCCGTACGGCCGCGGGTACTACTCGTCGTACACCTCGCGATCCCTCCTCGACGACCGCCTGAACAAACAGCCCGAGAAGAAGCGACGGTCCCTCGCGGCCATCCTGAAGCCCGTCCTGCGCGTCGCGAAGATCGCCGTGCCGATCGCGATCGGCGTCGGCGCCGGGACGTACTTCGTCTGGCGCGTGTTCAACAGCCCTGGCGGCGAGGCGCGCAACAGAGCCAGCCGGGCGCCGCCCGACCCCTTCCTGCTCCCGCCCCCGCCCCCGAAGACCCCCGAGCCGTCGCGAAAGCGCCTCGCCCCGATCCCAGTCGCGCCGCCAAAGACCGAGGTGGCCAAAGCGACGCGCCCGTCGCGCGGCGACCCCGTGTCCGGGGCGCCGACTTCGGAGCCGGTCCGGCCCGCGGCTCCCGCCCCGCTGCCGCGCGGCAAGGCGTCTGCGAAGGACTTGAACGCGGCGCAGCGGCTGGCGGTGTCGCCGGTGACGGAGGTGGAGCTGCAAGCGGGGGAGACGGTGTCGTCGGTGCTGGTGCGGTACTCCGGGAGCTGCACGGAGGAGATGCTGTCGCTCGTGCGCGAGATGAATCCGTCCGTCAAGAACCTCAACCTCGTGCAGCCGGGACAGGTGCGTGCGTGCCGAGACCGTGTGCGCAGCAGTGCGGTGCAGTTGTTGCTGGCACCGTCGCGCGCTGCGGCCCCGACCGACCGTGCGCCGTCTCCCGCGTTGATGCAGACGCTGATCGTGCCGGACCGGCGGCCGGGCTTCTACGAGCCGACGGTGGTCACGCCGTTGAAGGGTGTCGACACCAGCGACGCGCGGTCCTTCCTCCACAAGAAGTAGTGACCGACCCCGCACTGACGCGGCAGCGCATCCACGCGGAGCTCAGAGGGATGTCAGGGAGCGGAGCCGCAGGGCGATGCGGACCTGTGAAGCTCCACGCGACACCCGCAGTACCTGCTGCACTGCACGACCCGCAAACAGTTTTTCCGGCTCCTGCGCGCCGCAGCTTGCGCGCAGAGTGCTTGGAAGACCTCACAGCGGTCTAGCTGCGCGCCTCCCTACACGTTCTCCTCTCCTTTCGGAGCCTCAGCTTCCGCGGGCTCCGGACGCTTGCTGTCATCCTCGGGGCTCGCCTCCGCGGGCTTGCTGCCGGGCTCGCCCTGCTCGTTCGCCAGCTTCTCCGCGCACGCGATGAACTCGTCCCGCGCTGCGGTGTTCGGGAGGCGCAGCGCGTAAGTCCTCAGCCCCTCTCCTGCCTCTCCATCCTTGCCCTCGGGCGCCTTCTCCTGCGACGCGAACAGCGAGCCACAGAGTGTTGAGAGCGGGGCTGCATGGGCAGGCGCGGGGTTGCGTCTTGCGGCGCGCGTTGGCTGCGCGTGCGCGGGTCCGCTTGCCTGCGTCTTCACTGCAGCGGCGTTCATGCACGAGAACGTCACGCCCTTGCCGCCGTCCATGGCACTGAAGACCATGCCCTTCCACAGCCGCGCGTTCAGCACCAGCCGCCCGTGCCCGTCGGCACGCATCACCAGCCGCCCGCGACCGTCGGCAGTCACGTTGACCTTCGCCTCCCCCGCCCCGCGCTCGTGCCAGCCCTTGTCGGCGCCGTACTCGAACAGCTTGCCCTTGCTCCGGAACGACACCGTCTCGTCCTCCTCCCCCGTCGCCACCTCAACTTTCGACACCTCCTTCGGCTTTGGCTGCAGGTGCCGCGAACGTCGCGCTGCGGGGGTCAGGGCGCCGCAAAACCGCGCAGCTGGACGCTTCAAGGCACGCAAAGGGTAGCTGCGCGCACCGACTCTTTGTCCGCGTCCGCGAAGACCACGGGCTTGACGTCGACGGCGCTGAACGCAGAGTTGCCAAAGGTCAGGGGGGCTTTGGCGGCGTCGGACCCGAAGCCGCCGAAGCCGCCGCTGCCGAACTGCGCGCCCTTGCCCAGCGCGGCGAAGCCCGTCGCGCCGCCGCCGAACGAGCCAAATGTCGGCGCCTTGCCTGCGCGAGGTGAGCAGCCGCGAAACAGGGCACTTGATTCAGGACATACTGAGCTTCTGTGAAGATGGCAGCGATGGATGAGCGCGATGCCGGTCCGTTCGAGGCCGGCATGGGCGCCCGTGCGGGCGCGAGCGGGGCTGCACACCGGGGGTGCTGCACGAACCGTGCGCGCGGCGCAGAGGCGCGATTCAGGGCGCTGTCACGGCTGCGCCTGTGAAGGACAGCACGGAGAGCAAGGGAACGCGGCGCACCTGCGTCCTCGCCGTCGCCCTTCTCCGCTTTCCCGTCGTTTGCCGCCCCCGCCTTGGCGACAGCGGCGAAGCCCCCCCCGAACCCGCCGAATCCGCCCGCCGCCGGCGCCCCAAGCTTGATGCCCGCGAACGGGTTCTTGCCACCATCCGCATCCTTGTCCGCAGGCGGCGCGAGCGACACCCCCCCGAACGGGTTGCTAGCAGGCTTCTCGCCGGCTCCATCGCCCTCCTTTTTCTCCCCGTCGTCCGCCCCCTTCTCCCCGGCGGCCGCCCCGTTCCCCTGCGCCTTCGCACCGCCTCTCCGGCGCGCGCTGATGATCTTCCGCCCCTCCAGCGTCTCCTGGTCGGCCTGCTGGAACTCGCCGGCCTCCTCGCTCGCCCCGTCCGACTCAGGGTCGTCCTTGCCCCCCTGGACCTCCTGCCGCCGCTTCTTCGGCGGAGACATCGCTCAGCTCCCCCGCCGTGCCCGCCACGGCCGCACCCCCGTCCCGCACTCGGCTACTCCCGCGGCACCTCCTCCGCCTGTTCACCCGCGACCGTGCGTGGCAACCGCGCTCCGAAGCACTCTGCGCCGCCGCAAAGGTTCAGCAGCCTGGCGCAGGACCGCCGGGCGCGCCCGCCTCGAGCCAGGGCCCGCCACATCGGCTGAACACAGTGGGGGCTCCTGTTGCTGACGCTAGTGGCACGCTCCCGAGGGGCAGCCCCGGGGCCAACGCCCGCGTCGAGGCACTCGGCGAGCCATATATCTGTCGAACGCGCATTGTCACTGCAGCGCGGTATCGTCTCTATCGGTACAAGGCGAGACGGAAAGTTCCTTCTTCTGCAAAGGCGCCGAACCCTCCGACCCGGTGCGTCAGTCGCGCATGTGATCGCATCGAGGCGCTCACCATGCCATGAGCGCATCGCCGGTCTCGCGAACTGACCGCGGAACCGCCGTGGTCGCGGCCACCGCCCGGAATCTCCCCGCGTGCCTGGCCCACTCTTTAACGCGCCGTCTCGCGCTCGGCGTCCCCCCGACGACATCCTTTCGCGACACCCAAGCTCTGTGCTTGCAGCGTGCAGGAGAACGCGGCGTACCTGCCCTGCACGAAGGCAGGACGTAGGTTGTGCCCCCACGAGCTCTGAGCAGGCGCGCGGCCCGCTGAGCCGCACCATTGCGCACGCGAGATGGGCGCCGGCGAATCGAAGGCGTGCGCAGCCGCGGCGGACCGCATCCCAGGCTCCGTCGACGCCCCGGACCTGTTCGAGGTGCGCCAGCACCTCGTGGCCTCAGCCACACGGGTGCCGCGCCCGCGGCGCCCTGAGGCCTGCCAACCACTGCTGAGCGCGCGCCTGCATCTCCTGCTCCATGTCTGACGCGGGCCTCGTCGGATTGGGCAGCTCATGCCCGCGTGCCACCGTGCTCGCGCCCCCGCGCTGCGCGAGCCCCTGGCACTGTTGACCTTGGCGCGCGGGGCGGCGCTCGCGCGCCCGCGTCGCGTTCCCGCGCCGCCGAGCTGCGGCCCACGTCCTGCCGCCGCGTGCTGTGCGTCCAGGAGCGGAAACACGCGGGCAAGCAGCGGATGACGTACTTCCAGGAGTTCTTCCCTGACACAGGGCGCGTCGTCATGTACTGCGAGTCAGACGCGCGCGGGTGGGGGCAGAACATGGGCCCGTGGGGCGAGGGCACCCGCAGCGACCGCGGCACCACGATATTCACCGTCAGAGTGAGTCCCCCCCCCCAATTACTCTCTCGCCCCCGCGGCGCTCTGAGCCCGACGAACCTCGCCCGCAGGCCCCCCTTGCCGCGCGCTCGGGCGAGCCAGCCTCACGGCGGCGGCCGGCGCGTCCTCGGTCCGCAGGGGAGCGACTCGGTGCTGTACGAGCGCAAGTCGGTGGGTCTTGGTGTGGAGGAGCTCTTCTCCTATATTTCCGGGGTGACGTTCACGATTCGCGCGGACAAGGCGGGCTACATCATGGTGTCGCGCTCGGACCGCGCGGGCGACGTGGCGTACATGCAGGCGAGCGGCGGGGGGCTCGGGCTGTTCCAGCGCGTCGACGGCGGCGCCAAGATGATCGCCGGCACGGGCGGCAAGGTGCCCGCGCCGGTGGGGCACAAGCGGCGGAAGATGGTCATTCCGGCCGGCTGCGACGTGGTGCTCGTGTGCGTGCTGCTGTGCACCGGGCAGGAGATGCTGCACTTGCTCGAAGGTCAGGGGGGCTGAGGACGCGGCGTGTGGTGTGATGCGGTGATCGCCGGAAGCGCATCTTGCCATGCGCGTTGCGCGGCAGGGCTAACGACCCGGCTCCGGCGTCGCACCATTCCTGCCGCATCAGGTGTGCGCGCGGCGATGTTCTGTGGTTGCTGCGCTCGGTCGTCGCCCCCGCGGCCGTCGTGCGGCGGCGTGCGGCCGCAATTGCAACGCGCTCGATGTTGCGCTGGCGGGGAATCCGTCGTGCCGGACCGCGTGTTGCGGCGTGCACGTGGCTGTGCGAGCGATGGCCGTTTGTGGATTGGCGGGGACTGGCGCATCCTGGTCCCGGTCCGAGGCCGAAACGTCGGAACATGGCATTTGGACGGGAGATTGCGCACAGAATGTCCCCCGGATCGAGTCAGTGGGGGCGCCAGACGGACTGGCAATGCGCTCAGGAGGAGAGGGGCTCTCTCCGCGGGGTACGCGGCCCTGCAGGCCCATTTTGGACGCTAGAGAGGGGCGTCAGATGCAAACAACATCGCTTTCATGCCGAACATGTCGCAATCTTTTGTCTCTGTGGCTGTTTCGCCTCGTGTCTAATCCTCAACTGCCATCCGTCCGTTGGAAGCGGGAAGGGTCGGTCTTGGGACAGGCCGTGTCTGTCCTTGTTGCACAACAGTCTGCAATCGTTGTTGACGATATGCGAATAACAGCCGCGCGGGTGGTCTGGAGCGCCCTGCTCTTGCTCGGCGCATCTCAGATGCAACCTGCAGCGGCGGAGCGGGCGCTTCAACAGGACAGCGATGCATGCCGCGCTGTCGCGAATCTCCGAGCGAACGGAGTTCAGTCCGAGCAGGAGGTCGCGGGCCTCCTCTTCGGGGTCAATCTCAAGTGCGAGCCTCTGTTGTTGCTCCCACCACACAGTGCCGCCTCTGCGTCCCGTTTCGACCGAAAGCAACGTGACCGCCACTTTTTCGACATGTACATGAGCAAGATATCTCAGACCGCAGGGATGAGCCCGCGAATCACCGTCAGTGGCGCGCCGGGCGCGTGCACGTGCCTGAGCACCACAACGGCCATCCAAGTCAGTCCGCCTGGCGCCCTCACGGGCGCGTGCACGTGCCTGAGCACCACAACGGCTCCCGCCGCACACCGCGCCGCACCCCCGCCGCCTCGCAGCATGGGCGTGGTGCACGAGCCGCCGTACATGGACATCGTCCGCAACGGCGACGACGTCACGTACTCGGGCTACATCGTCGACGTCCTGAACGCCGCGGCTGCGCGAGGCGGCTTCACGTACACGTTCACCGCGTTGGACGAGTCGGCGCTGCTCGCGGGGGAGGAGACGTACACGGACCTCCTGATGCGCACCGTCTCGGAGCAGCGCTTCGACGTCCTTGCGTCGGGGTGGTACGACACGGCGGAACGACGGCGGCTCGGCGTGCTGTTTGGCCGGCGCATCATCGACGTCAGCGGCTACGTCGTGGCGCCGAAGAACGACGCCGCGAGGAAGCCGTCCGCGGGGCAGAAGATCGCCCTGTTCACCAAGGCACGTGCACGCGCTGCCGAACTGACGTTGCCAACCCCAACCCCCCACGCGCGCAACACCGGAATCGTGGTTCGTGACGCACTTGTCATTCTGGTCGCACAGAATTCCTTCGTGCCCTCGCAGCCTTTCTCGTGGGGGGTGTGGGCCATCATCCTCTCCCTCCTGTTTTTCCAAGCCTCGATCATGTTCTTCCTCGAGCGCCACCGGATGCGCCGCGCCGCGCAGGCCCGCACGCTCCTGGCCGAGGACCTGCGCCGCGAGGCGTCCGAGAGGGCGAGCGCGGACGCGGGCGGGCGCGAAGTGCGGAGCGCGCTCTCCGGCAGGGTCATGCGCTCGGTCCCGACCACGCTGCACAACGCGGCGTGGCGCGTCGACGCCACGCAGAACGAGCAAAGCGTCCTGCACACAGAGGAGCCCCGCAGCACGAAGGCGCGGCTCGCGTGGCTCGAGGCCTACACGCAGTCGGCGTACGAGACGATCTCGCACGTGTCGCAGGCGGAGGACGCGCACGTGCCGGTGTCTTGGATAGCGCGCATGCAGAACATCGTGTGGTGCTTCCTGGTGCTGCTCATCATCTCGGCCTACACCGCCAACCTCGCGACCTTCCTCATCGTGCGCTCGCAGCCAATGTCGAGCATCACCGGTGCGTTCCCGGCCAACTCCCCCCTCGGCCGAGCCCAGCGTGAACTCAGCGCTTCACCAGCGCACGCGCCCGTCGCTTTCCGCAGGCATCGGCGACCTGATGGTCAAGCGTCTCCCCACCTGCGTCCCGACGGACACGGGCCTCGGCGAGTTCGTTCAGGCGAAGTACCGCAGTTTGAACGTGGTGGACTCGCCGTGGCTGGCCGGCATCGACAGACTCGTGGCCAGGCAGTGCGCGGCGATCATCATGCCGCTCTTCGACGCGCAGCAGGCGCTCGCGAGCGGCCCGGGCTGCGAGCTCGGCGTGCAGGGACAGCCCCTGGTGGACTTGAGCGGGGCGTTCGCGTACTCCCCCTCCTCGGGCAACGGAGGGTGCGGGCCGCAGGTCATGGTGGTGATCGACACGCTGCTGTCCCTGCTGAGCGAGGACAACGTGATGCAGGAGCTCTGGGAGCCGTACGTGCAGCCGCAGTGCCCCGGCGAGGATGACAGTCTCGGTCTGACTGAGCTTGAAGAGAAGGTGGCGCTGACGGTGGAGGGGTTCTCGGGGCCGTTCCTGGTCTACGGCTGCGCGACGGCGGTGTTCATGACCATCGCCGTCGCGCTGCACCTCACGGAGGCCGCGCCGCACAGACTCGGGAAGAAGATGGATAGCGGCGTCACCGTCGGCGTGCAGGCGCTGGACGTGGCGTAGCAGCGCAGGACGGGGCGGCCCCCGCGATTGTACGTCCTCTCAGGCGAGCGTCGGCGGAGGACGGAGTCGCACGAAGGCTGGCCGCCACGGGCAGGTATCTGAGCCCCGCGCGGCACAAGAGTGGCATGACAGAGACAGAGAGACAGAGAGTTACACTCCGGAGACCAGGAAGAGCAACACCGCGCAGCACGTGCGACGATGTGAGGGTTCACGGAGAGCGCAGCACGGCCAGGCTCATCTTTGACTGCAATCACACGCACGCGCACGGCGTAGAAGGGTAGTTTTCTTTGCAGGCTACAAGGAGCGCCATGCAACGAACGCTCTCTCCGGCGCCCGGCATCGCTCCTCGCGCCGCGCCTCGTACAAGCGCGGCGCTTCGCATGCTCCTCCGACCCGCGCGGCCTCTGCGGGTGGGTCCCACCGCTGATTCGACTGTGCCAGCAACGCACACTGCCGCGGGGGTCATTCCGTGCCCTCGTCAGCGTGGGATGGCGAGCACCACAGCTCGCAAGGTCGGGACGTCGGTCGGAAGGGGCCTAGGCGCCAGGTGCGGCATCGCGGGGGGTCCCTGCACAGGCGTCTCCCCGGGTGGCATGCCCGGTGTACGACTGCGCGAGCCGCGACCTCGCGGGCTTGCCAACGCCGAGTTCGCTGCTCGAGCGGTCCGCCGGGCGACCGCCGGTCTTGTCCTCGGGCACCCACGGGATGCTGTTGAACGCTTCCTTGGGCAACTTGATGGTCTTGTCCCGGTGGCCGGAGAAGGCGTTCACGGCCTTGGAGATCGGAGATAGGCTCATGGGCGACGCCACGATGTCGTCGGACACCCCGTCGCACACGCCGGGCCACCGCGAGGCTCGGCTGCTCATGCCCGTAGAAGGTTTGATCGGGATGCTCTCCGAGGGAGGGTTGTGAGGCCCTTCCGTCGTCATGAGGGCGCTAGACGCATGTGTAGCGCACATTCGTGTCGGAATCTGCACAGTATGACGCGGGACGGCGCCGTGTGAGCGAGGTGCTTCCGGCGCCAAGGGACCAGCCGCCCTCCGCTATCCGTCGATGCACGGCTTTTCTTCGGCTATATCACCGCGAATACGAACGACGCAAGCAGAACAGGGCAGATGCGCCCCCTCGTACATGAAATCGAGCGAGCACGGCCGCACGGGGCCGCTCGCCTAAGCAGCGGTGTCATCGACCGCTGCCTAGTCCCGCCGCCGCGGACAGGCGCGTCCTGCCCGGTGACCGTGCCACAACGCTCATCAGTACCGTCAAACTATGTCGCCGGTGCACCCGGATGGGCAAAACAGGGCCCGCAAGCGATGCGGAGAGCCGTGGGTCGCATCATCTCATAGAGGGGCCCTTTCTGCGGGACGCCTACGGGGCCCAAAACGCATAAGCGCGCACCTTTCGCTTCTCAGGAAGTATGGGGTCGCGAACCCTGGGTCCGATCTGCGTGCGTGTGCCCCCCCCCGCTGAGTGCGGCTGTCTGCTGTTTCTGTGCGTGACTTTGGCAGGCCAACTCGGGGCTCGCGAAGTCGAGGAATCCAGCGTAGGGGCTAAGATAGGCAGAGTAGCGATAGGACTGGGCGGGGAAGCGCTTCGTTCGGCCCGAAGTCCCCCGCACGGCCGGGCACGAGGGGGGGAGGCCAGACGTGGCTTCTGGACTGTCCGAGCATGAGAGTCCACCCCTGTCAGGACGCGCGGGCGAGCGGCGAGCGACGCGCGGCGCACCAAAGAGGTAGCCGACCGCACGCAGACCGTGGCGGGCAGGAGCTCACACGGCGCGCTGTCGTAGCCCGCACGCGAGGGCCACGTGCGTGTGCGTGTGCGTGTGCGTGTGCGTGTCCATGCCAAATGAGTCTAATCCTGGGGGTGTCTCGTTCCGTTTCGTCCGCGGAGCTCGGCAGTCCGCCGCCGTCGATGTCGGGGCGCAGTGTTCGGGCAGTGAGCTGGGATCGTCTCGTGCCGCGCAGGGCTGCGCGACAGCGACATGCAATCTTAAAATTGCTCTGCCGGTTGCAGGTGTTGGGGGTCGAGCCGAGCGTCGAGGACGGGGCGACGGGGGCGCGCTGACGGCAGACGCGCGCCATCCTCAGCAGTGTGCGGCTCGAAACGCCCAGGAAGGGGGGGGCGGGGGGGTTAGTTGTCTGACACCTGATTCAGGGCGGGGGTGACGAGTGGATTTCGCGAAGGGGTTCTTGCAAATGATGCGGGGGCATAGGGCGCGGAGGCTGCTACCGGTGTGGCAGCGAGCGGCAATGATGAATACGTTGGCCAGCGACGTCGACGCACTGGGCGAGTTACGTGTCGGCGATGCACGGCGCGACGTCGCTCGAGTGGCTTGCTCGGACGACGAGCGAGAGATCGGCCGACGTGGGGACGGATAAGAGGGGAGGAATTCGTTGAGAGGGCGGGGGGGGGTAAGTGTCAGCTTATCCAATTCGAAAGGGGGGGGGAGGAATATTTCCGCGCTGTTTGCGGCCGTTGAATCGATCGTTGCCGGGAAGAGATCAGTCGTCCCCGGGGGAGGCATGAGGGAGGGGGGAAGGGGGGGCGGGGGGGGGAGTAAAGTTCGCGTGCCGGAGCGGCAACGTGCAGACGCGGGGCGTGTCGCAGGGGCGCGGTCCATGCGTTCGCCTTCGTTCCCGGCCTCCAGGTGGCCGGGAAGCTCTTCTTCTTCTTCCTCTTAGGCTTTTGTCTTGCGACGCACGGTCTTCTGTTTGCGTCGTATCAGTCTTGAGTAGTCGAGGTGCGAAGCATGGCCGCGTTACTCCTGCGCAGGCTCCGTCGTCCACTTGGAAAGCCGCGAACGCTGCTTCTCGCCGCGCGGCGCGGGCTCCGGGCACGCGCAGCCGCCGGTTCTGGCTGCAGGGGCGCTGGTCTGCATTCGGGCGCCGAACACGCGCTCTAGGCGGTGCGCGAGCCAGCTGACGGGGTCCTCCAGCTGGGACCTATCCGTGGGAGAGATGTAGATGCCACCGGTGCGCGGGAATTCCATCGAGACGCGCCGCTGGGCCGCCGCGTTGTGTTTGCTCGGCACCGCGATCGGTCGGCTGGCGGCGCCGACGTTGTTTGGCGCGCCTTTCGCGGTGCCCTCCCTGGACGTGATGGTGTTGTCGAGGATCATGGTCGTGCCCCTGCGTCCACCGGCGGAGGACATGCCAGCCGTCAGCCGCGTGAGCAGCACACAGTTGCGGCGTGCGGCGGCATCGTCGCGAACGGCAGGCAAAACTAAAGCGCATTTCAACGAGCGACACGTATCATCAGTCGAGACGCGTCGCCGCGCGCAGAGATCGCGCGTTATGGCGCTGTGCCGCGAATGATGTTCAACAGGTCAACATCATTCGCGGCAGCTGAGCGATATGTGCAAGAAACCGGATGACGTGCCCGTACCACGCATCTCTTCTGTACAGAGAGCGGCTCACGCACGTTGCGGGTGCAGGATACACACGCACGTCTCCGCGAAGGAGGCCGTAGGCTGCCAACCGCAAAGCGGGCGCGTAGCCATGCCGGCGGCGGCGACCGCAGCGATTCTGAGCGGCGCAAATGTCGAGTGATTACAGCCACGCACCTTGTCGGTCTGAAGGTGCTTCCGGGCGCCGCCAGCGACAGCACCAGGCCTCTGCGTTCCCGCCTGTGCCGTTTTGGGCGCGTGGAGGGCGCCTGCTTGATATGTGCAGCTCAAGTTTCTGTTCCCTGCCACGTATTCTCGCGTTCCCATGACGCCGGTCGCGCGCCGTTCCCTGGGGGGTCGCAACGACAGGCCCCTCTCTCGGCGCACGCTCAGCGGCAGGCGCGCTCCAACCCGCACCGGTCGACCAGCAGACCAACCAGCCCAGCGAAATCCAAATTTACATGCCGTCCGCGCCTCACAGCGCCGCACGCGCCACGCGCGATCTCGCGCCGGCGCCGACCCCCTCAGTGCACCGCCGCACGTGCCCCGCCCTCCCTGCTGAGCCGCGACGGATTCCGCGCGGGCCTGCGCGCCGCACCGGGCATCAGCGCACCCTCCGCGGCGCCGGCGGCCCCTCCGGGCGCGTGTTCCTTCTGGACGCAGATCACCTTGTCAGGGTGCCTGGTGACCTTGTTCACGGCCCTCGAGATGGGCGAGAGCGACGTCGGCGACGAGATCACGTCCTGGCCGTTGCTCGGCACCCGGACCAAGGTGATTCGCCTCAGGCTCGTAGTCTTCTTGTACGATGGTGGCAGCACGCGCCCTGACGCAGGCGTCTCGGCGTCGCACGCCGGGCCCGCGAGGGGCCGCGGGGGGTCCTCCGTGCACGCGTGCGGGGAGGGCTCCGCGGACATCGCCGCGCTGTTGATCCCGCCTGCGTGGGGGGTGGGCCGTGCAGCAGGGTTCAGGCCGCGGCGCGAGAGCAGGATCGCAGGGGCGCGGCATGGAGGCGTATGTCGACGCAATGGTCGTTCTTGGCGAGAAAGAGGCAATGCGGGCAAAGACGGAGCGGCGGATCCGCGCAGAGCGACGGTTTCGGCGCTCGAGGAGTCCCTGAGTAGCTCCGCGTGTCGCTGGAATACGACGCGATGCGACGGTCTGTGCGGTACGGTGCGACGAGGAGCGGCGGCGCAGGCGCCGAGCTTCCTCTCCGGGCGGCGCGACGGAATGGGTGGGCGCGTCCGGGCGAGATGCCGCGCGGGTGCACGCACGCAGTGCTCTGGCAGGAATGCGGGCTCTCGCGGCGCGGTGCAGGGCGCAGCTGCTCACCGCTGGTTCCAAACGACGCGCTTAAGCTGAGGTCCGGGCTGACCGGCGTCATGAATCGCGTCCAGCCCCCCACGTCACCTCTGCCCCCTCCACTTGTCCAAAGGCGCTTGGCAAACAGTCCCACGCTCAGAAAGAAGAATGTAGCTCTCTCACTGTACGCAAGTCAGCTGTATGCATGTCAGGTATGTAGCGCGTGCGTTTCCCGCGCGAGCGCATCATCACGCGCCGCGTGCGGCCCGCATCGATTGACACCGGGGATGCAACGCTGCCCACGCGTCAGGGCGACACGCCCCGCCCGCGGACGAGCGCTCGCGGCGCTGAACGCCCCGCCCGAACGCCCCCCCGCGTCCAGAAGCATCCTCCTCGGGCCAGAGCTTCAGCCACGCGCCGCAACGACAGCAATTGCTACGGCACGCGTAGTGCTCCGAGAACGCACCGCGGGCGGCGGAGACGGCGGGGGGCCGCGGCGTGCGCTTGCGCCGTGAGTTGTGTGCAGTGAGGCGGCCGCGATGGCGCTCACAACGCTGCAGTCGCAGCTCACCATCGCCCGGGAGTCGGCGGTGCTGGGCGACTACGCCGGGGCGCTCGTGTACTTCGACGGCGTGCTGGCGCTGCTGAACAAGCACATCCGCGCCTGCTCTGATCCCTACATGAAAGGACTCTGGCACAACTGCAAGAAGGACGTCCAGGTAGGCGACGTCGCGGGCGCCAGAGCAAACAATGCCACTCCGAAGCAGCCTGCGCGACTTGGGCAAGGCCCCGCGCGGGCGTTCCGGGACCCACAGCCGCGTCGTTGTAGCAGTAACTGGCCCGAGCTGGCTCCGGGCGGGAGCCGGCGTCCTCGCGCGGCTGACGCGACCCGCGGCCTGCGGGTGCGACGTGACGAACCGACTGGCCCGCTCCCTGCACCCCCGCGCCGCAGTCGGAGGCAGCCGTCATCCGCGACATCGAACGCGAGCTCATGAACCTCCGCGGCCACGCAAACGGCGACGAGCGCCTCGTCGGCGCAGCCAACCTCCCGCTCTCCAGCGCAGGTGCCCGCCCGCCCCTCCACACTCCCACAATGCGCCAGTCCCGGCGTCAAACCCGCACTACCCCCTCTGATACGTCATGATCCAAACTGCCACGGAAGCGGCCCGTGTTTGCGCCCGCAGTGGACGACGAGGACCCGGACGTGTGGCGCCCGCCTTCCCGCCACACGAACGCCCGGACGCCCCCGCCGCGGGAGCTCCGGCATGGCGGCGGGTTCGCGATGGAGTACCCTTCCCGGCGCGTGCGCGCGAACTCGAGCAACACCGCCGCCAACGCGCCGCCGCAGCGTGTCAACGCCGGCCGCCCGCGCGCCCGCACCCCGCCCCGCGGCGGCGCCGGCAACTTCGCCGCGCCCACCGCCGCCAGCGCCAACCGCGACCGCCAGCGCCCCGCGCCCCCGACAGGCAAGCCGCCCCACGACCGCAACACACCCCCAACCCTCTTCCTCCACCCCACACACCCCGCCTCGCCCCGCACCGCGCAGGGAACCGCCGCGGCGGCCCGCCCGGGTCCGCGCCGGACCCCAACCGCCACGGTCCGGGCGCGCGCGGCCCCGGCGGCCCCCCCGGGCACCACCCCGACGGACACCCTGACCTGGCGTCGATGTTTCAGGGGCCGGACCACGAGCTCGCGCAGATGCTGGAGCGCGACGTGCTCGACCGGTCCCCCGGCGTGCGCTGGGACGACATCGCGGGTCTGCGCGAGGCCAAGCGTCTGCTCGAGGAGGCCGTCGTGCTCCCGATTCTCATGCCGGATTACTTCCAGGGGATCCGGAGGCCGTGGAAGGGCGTGATGATGTTCGGGCCGCCCGGGACGGGCAAGACGATGCTCGCGAAGGCCGTGGCGACGGAGTGCGGCACGACGTTCTTCAACGTCTCCAGCGCGACGCTCGCGAGCAAGTACCGCGGCGAGAGCGAGCGCATGGTGCGCATCCTGTTCGAGATGGCGCGGGCGTGCGCGCCGTCGACGATCTTCATCGACGAGATCGACTCGCTGTGCACCTCGCGCGGCGCGTCCGGCGAGCACGAGGCGTCCCGGCGCGTCAAGACGGAGTTCCTGGTGCAGATCGACGGCGCGAGTGCCGCCGAGGGGGAGAACGGGGAGCGGAAGATCGTCATGGTGCTGGCGGCGACGAACTTCCCGTGGGACCTCGACGAGGCGCTGCGGCGGCGGCTCGAGAAGCGCGTGTACATCCCGCTCCCGGGGCGCCCCGAGCGCGAGGAGCTCTTCCGCATCAACTTGCGGAGCGTCGAGGTCGAGGAGAACGTGGACTTCGCGGTGCTGGCGTCGGAGACGGAGGGCTACAGCGGCGACGACATCACGAACATCTGCCGCGACGCGAGCCTGAACGGGATGCGCCGCAAGGTGGCGGGGTTGACGCCGGCCGAGATTCGCGCCATGACGTCCGCCGACGTGGCCGACCCGATCTCGATGGAGGACTTCCGGCAGGCCATCTCGAAGATCTCGCCGTCCGTGGGGAAGGACGACATCAAGCGGCACGAGACCTACCTCGCCGAGTTCGGTTCCTCGTGAAAGCCCTGTTTGGAACATCGACGCGGGTTGGAGCAGCCGCGTGTGTGATGCTTGATTCGATGCGGTGCGATGGACAGGGGCGTGCGTTGCGATGCGGCGGGGTCGCGCGCAGGCGCAGGCGGGTCCGGGCGGGGGGGTAGAAGCGATGGAGGGGGGGTGAGTGTTTGTGTTGCTGGTGTCGTCACGCGGCGTTGTCGGCGCGGTGCGTCACTTGCAGCGCAGCGCCTGCATGTGGATACTGGCGACCGTGTGCCGTTTGAGAGATTGTCGTACGTGTGAGCGCGGGCCGCAATGCTGTATAGACTGGCGGCAGGACTAGCTCCTGCGCTGGCGACTGCCGGCCGCACCGCGCTGCCCATGGCGGCGCGTCTAGGTGAGACGAGTGCCTATCGCGCCCGCCCCGATCAAACACGGCGAATTCCTGCCGACGTCGACGTCGCGGTGCCGCACATTCCACGAGCCCAACCGCCTCGAGGGTTCCGGGGACCCAGCCGCGCGTTTCGAGCGAATCGAGGCCGAAAATGAAGTCCCCACAACATATGTCACGTCTATCCACAAACGTCGCCGTCCACGTCCCCGCGTATGTTCGGGGAGAGCACACCATTCCAACCGCCTTGTCTGTTTCCGCGTCGCAGCGGCGGCACGGGCCATGACGGGCGTCATTCACGATTCTCCCGGTGTGGAGGAAGGCGTCATCGTCACGGCGCACGCCCATAAGACGATGGTCACGTGCGACCAGGTGTGTTGCCCCCCCTGTGGAGGATTGCCCCCTGCCGCGCTTCTGCTACACACAGTTTCGCTCACTGCAGCGTCGCGCTACGCACGACTTGCAGGGAGGTTTCCGCTTCGACATCGGCGAGCCCGGAATGGACGAGGCAGACGAGGGCAACGGCAACGGCACCGCCGCCACGCCCCTCGGGCATCTCCTCGGCTCGGTGATCGGCAGCTCGCAGTGGAGCGCCCTGCACGCCGCGCGGGACAAGGGCGTCGACCTCGGCGAGGTACGTGCCGCCACGACACCCCCGCATCGCCCCCTCGTCTCGCAACAACAACACCAAAGGTGGCCGCACAGCCCCCGCACTTCGCCGCCCACACCGGCCCGTGCCCGTGCCGCAGGTCAAGTGGGTCGCTGTCGGGCACTACGACGCGCTGGGGCAGCTGGGCGTCAAGGGCCACACTCCGGTGATCAAGGAAATACAAGTGGTCGGACAGGTGTCCACCAACGTCACCGACTCCGTGCTGCAGTCCATCCACGAGGACGCGCAGTCCAGGCGCGCCCGCCACCCCTCCTTGCGCGCACGACTTCCCTTCTGCGCGCGTCAGCAGGACGCGTCGTGGGTCGCGTCGACACTGAAACGCAACAGCGGCAGCTTGCCACCGTGCGTCTTCGACGAACCCTCGCATCCCGCTAGGAACGACCTTGCCCTCGCCCCTCCTTCGACGCTTCATGACTTCTGTCGCGTGCCGGTCTGCAGGGACCCCGTGGTGGCCACGCTGCGCATGGGCGGCGTCTCGCTGCAGCACGTCCTGATGCGCAGGGGCGGGCACCTGCACGGGCGCTCCAACCAGCCGTGCTACCTGCACAGCTGCCTGGACAGCCGCGGACCGGGCACGCACCGCGTGCACCCCCCGGAGGACAGAGACGTCAGGATGCAGCGCGGGGACCTGCCGTACCGCCCGCAGGGCGTGAAGCGGCAGGGCGTGCACGGCTCGCGGTTCGCGGCGTGGGGCAGGATGGAGGAGGGCGGGTGAGGAGCGGGCTCCCCCGCGAGGTGGTAGGTGCATGACTCGACTCCTGCGCAGCGCGCATTGCTAGGCCTCTTGGCCGCCATGTAACGAACATTCATAGATTGAGTACGACGAACTCCGTGAAAGCTGCGTGGCGGTATTCGTGGGTCTGCCAAACTGGAATGAGGTCTCGGGTCGTGCCTGCATCAGCACCGTGCGTTGCTCTCGTAGCTTGCCTGTGCCGCACCCCCTTGCTGCGTCTTGTTCCTCGTTGAGCGTCCCGGAGATCCAGGCTAGTGTGGTCTCGGACGTCCTCTGCTGGGCGGTGGTTCGGACGCCTGTCAAACTTCAAGCGCAAAACATCCGCGGGACCAATCATCTCACACGCCCGCAGCGCGCGGCTCACGACAGCGGGTCGGCGCCCGTCCAGTCGAACCGTATCTCGTCCAGCAGCTCGATCCTCTCCTGACTCAGCCGCCCGTTCCTGCGCGCCACGCGCTGCACTGCCTGCCAATTCTGCGCATAGTAGTTCTCCGACTTCCCCACGTCTGACAGCATGCTCGACAGCCCCGTGTCCTCGGGGGACTCCAGCGAGGCCTCGCGCACGTAGCTGTACCACCGCATCCACTCCGCAGCCTCCTCGCTGAATTCGAAGCCAGCGTCCTCCAGCTGCTGGCGGCGCGCTGCATCCAGGGCGCCGCGGGACAGCGCGCGCCGCTGCGTCGCGGCCCACCGCGCGAGACCCTCGTCGTCGTCGTCCCGGAACCCCACATGCACGTCGCCGTGCTCCCGCCCGTAGTCGAGGAGCTGAGCGTACCTGCGGCCCCACTCGGTGTCGTTGTCCGTCGCCTGCCCCTCGCGCCACGCCGCGACCTGGCCCTCGGCGGCCTCGCTCGCGTCCGGGGACGCGCCCTCGAGCAGCAGCCCCGGCTGCGACTCCACCGCGGCGAGAATGTCGGTGATGGAACCTGCAGTCGTGCGGACGAAAACGGCAGAGGTCGCGCGCTCCTGCCGCTCAGATTCTGCCACCGCGTGCCTGTGGTCAAGAGCCAACGGACAAGCTGTGGCGCGACGCTATCAATCGCCCACGCGAGACGGAACGGACATTGCTCATCAGATGGTAAACAAACACACGCACCTCCTTGCGCCATCTTCATTTCGTACAGCCGCTGCATGACCGAGCTGGGCTCGACTTGCGATATCCGCGGCTCGCGGACCACCATCCACGCCACGTCGACCGACCCCTCCCCGCCAAACGCCGCCTCGAGTGCCAGCAAGCGCTCCGAGAACCGCGCCACATTCTCCCGCTGCGCATCGAGCACGCAGCGACGACGTTCAAGGCGGGCGCCGTCAGTGGGAGGCGCGCACCAGCGATCGCGCAATGGCGCCCACGCACAAGCGGGTGATGATTGAGTGATTCATGGCAGCCCCGCAGCGCACCTCGGCTGTCGACATCCAGGTGGCCGAGAGGCCCGGCAGCTGCACCGGTGCGTCCGCCGCCGGCGCAGGCCCGGCTGCGTACGCGTCCTGGTAGCACGACCCCGCGAACGCACCAGTGACGTCACGTCGCAGGTCCGCCTCAGGCCCCCCGAGAAGGCCCTTCCGGGCGCGCTCGACGACCGTGATGAGTTCCTCGCGCTGCGTGCTGTCGGTGACGCCGCGCAGCTTCCAATACTGGTCCAGCACAGCGCGCTCGCCCCCAGATAGTCCCGCTGCGCTCTTTTGCTGCGCTGGCTGCCGCTGAGAGCTCGTGCCGCGCGCCGAGCTGTTCCCCGTGCGCGACTGATCGGGCACCTCCCATGGCTTCGTGCCCGAGCGCGGCCGGCTGGGGCCGCGGCGCGAAACCGTCGTGCCTCGAAGGCGCGGTGTGCAGAGCGGGCAAGCGGGGCTGTGCGCCGTGGAAAACGGCATTGCGCCGCGCGTCCGGTGCGCTGGCTCCTCAGTCTCAGATGTCCGCTCGCCGAACAAAGCAGGTGGTTCCCCCGCGCGTCAAGGCAGCGGGGCCAAAGCTGCGATGCCGCACGGCGGGCGGTCGCGAGGCCCCGGCACTTTCGCGCAGCGTTCGTCGTTCCGTGAGCTGCGTCACTGTCGCGACAGCGCCACGGGGCGCTGCCTTCGGCGCGGGCAGGCGCGGCCTCACGCCCCCCTGACAGCAAGGGCCGTCTGCCTGGACGGGGCCTCGCTGCGCGCAGGGACATTGCCTGCGCCGCGCGCCGTGCGCGAGCACTACTGAGTGGCGTACCGCAGCGCACGCGAGGAGCCCCACACCGCCTGCAGGACCCCTTGCGACGCATCAGCTCACACAACAACCAACACACGTCGAGTTCGACTCCCTAGAACAGGCCCGCGATGGGTTGTGCCGGTAGCAAGGACGAGGGCCTGGGCGGCGGTAAGATCAAGGATCGCTACCGCACGTTCCAGCAGGTTCAGGTGCGGTGAAGGCGGTTGAGAGGAACGCTGGCATACACACGTCCGGGCCGCGTCTCTGTGGGTGGTTTTTTGCGACTTCTAGTGGCTGGAATCGTGAAATATGCGTGCGGGCGAGACGTAGATTGGAAACCAGACGAGCGCTACTGCGATGCGACGCCCCGCGGGTCGGCCCCCGCTCTGCACCAGGGCCCTGAACCCGGCCCTCGCGCCCGCTCGGCGCCCGTTTACCGCGCAGGAGGCCCTCCGCAAGAATGGTCTCGAGAGCTCGAACCTCATCATCGCCATTGACTACACCGCGAGCAACACCATGCAAGGTGCGAGGGGTCAACTCCTTTCTTGTGGCACGCACAGGCTTGCCGCGGCTCTGCTCTGCGCGTCAAGGCCCGCCCGCCTCGCCGCGCTCGGCGCATATGTGTTGACCCCGACCCAGGAGCGGCGTGCTCGCTTGTTCGCAGGCATGAAGACCTTCGGGAAGCCAAACTTGCATGACCAAGGAAACCCGCCCAACCCCTACAAACAGGCCATCTCGGCCCTCGCACAAACGCTCTCTCCCTTCGACGAGGACCAACTGATCCCCGTTTACGGTTTCGGCGACGCCAGGTGCGCCACTCTCACTCGCAGCGGTTGCTGCCCCTTGCATGCTCCCACGCCCCGCACTCCCCCCCCCGCCGCCCCCAGCCCGCAAACTCCGCCCGAACCGTCCACACTCGAGCACTCCCACGCGCCGCCCCCGCCAACTCCCCCCCCGCAGCCGCACACTCCCCCTCGCAGGACCCACGACAACGCCGTGTTTCATTTCAACCCGGGCGGCCGCATGTGCCACGGTCTCGAGGAGATTCTCACGCGGTACTCCCAGCTGACCCCTCAGCTCAAGTTCGCGGGGCCCACGTCGTTCGCGCCCGCCGTGTACGAGGCCATGAAGATCGTGCAGCAGTCTGGCAACCAGTACCACATTCTGGTGATCCTCTGCGACGGCGGAATCACCGGCTCCGGCATCACCGGGGGCGCGCGCTGGAGCCCCCAGGAGGAGGAGACCATCCAGGCCATCATCGACGCCAGCCACGTGCCACTGTCGATCGTTGCCGTCGGGGTTGGCGACGGCCCGTGGGACCAGATGGAGCACCTGGACGACAAGATCCGCAACCGGCAGTTCGACAACTTCCAGTTCGTCGACTTCGTGCGCGTCCTGAAGAAGAGCGGCGGCGCAGGCACCACCGAGGGGCTGGCAGGCTTCGCCGCACACGCGTTGATGGAGGTGCCGCAGCAGTTCCGCATCTGCACCTCCCTCGGGTACGTCGGGCGGCCCGGACCGAGCCACGTGCCGCCGAAGTGGGCGTCGCGCATGCCGCTGATGCCGCCGGACGACGCGACGGGCGGCGGCGGCGCACCGGCGTTCCAGGCGATGCCTTCGGCGAACAACTACGGCGGCGGGCCCCCGCCGAACATGTTCCAGGCCGTGCCTTCGTTCAACCACGCGCCGGCCGGCGGGTACCCGCCCGCAGCGGGCGGCGGGTACCCTACCGTACAGAAGTTTTGATAGGGGGGGGTGTGCTGAAGCTGGTGAGACGATGCACCGCACGCGACGCCGCAGCAGTCCGCGGCCGCTTCTGCGGGCCCCTGCGATGTGATCCCTCCAGCCCACGTCGGGAGTTGTTTGCGGGCGGGGCACGTCTTATGATGATGAGTCATTGTTGACAAGTGGTTGTGTGCGCGTGGCCGGGGCCCCATGGTCGCGCGCCGTCAGCGCGCGCCGGTCGCCGAAGCGACATGTTTCAACGAGCGCGTAGCCGCGCACAAACACCCGTCAGACGCACGCACACATCCCTGACCTGAGTCAGCCTGTGACAGACCAGCGAGGCGGGTCAAGGCGCCTCGATCGCTCCAGTGCCCGCCTCGGCATCGTGCCGCGAGACTCCGCACTCCCGGCTCCGTTCCGGCTCGCGTTCGCACGTTGCACGGACACCGCGCGGTGTGCGTGGCATGGTCAGTGGGTCAATGAGCGCTCGCTGCGTCGCCCCGCAGGCCGGGCGCGCCGCATGCCCCCGGCTGTGGGCGAGCGATGCGCGTCCGCGAGCGAACGTGCGCGCCCACGCGGCCCCGAGCAAGGGCCAGAAGCCGCAGCTCTTGTTCGGTGTGATGCCTCCGCAGCCCCCAGCGAAGGTTCCGCCAGCCTACGTCGCAGCGCCGGTCGCCATCGGAGCGATTGTGCTCGTCGTGAAGCTCGTGAAGTGGCTGCGGAGGGGCAGCGGGTCGGCTTCCGCGCTCCAGGAGAGGTGCGTGCCGTGGCGGAGCCCTCGTGCCCTCTACGAGGGCGTTCGCGTGGGCGCTGGCGCGCGTGAATCTGAAGGAGCGCGGTCCGGGACGCACCGGATTGCCCCGGGGCCCGGGCAAGCCTCGCGGGCGGCGTCCCGCGTGACAGCTCAACAGTGCGAAATGCTGCGCGGGCGGCGCCCTGGCGGGGCGCCGGCGTCAGATACTGCACTCCATGGACGGGCATGGGCGTGGTGACCATGGTTGGATGGCGGGAGTGTCGCGCCGGGCCTCCTGCAGTGCTGTGGCGCGCCGTGACCGCCGCGAGTAACGGTGCAGTGCTCCCCGCGCGCCGTGCAGGGGCTTGCAATCGGAAAACAACGGCCAGGTGATGGTCGACGATACGTTCTACCAGAAGCGGCTGAAGAGCGTGGGGAAGATCAAGTGGGAGGGCGTCTCTGAGGCAGACATGATCGCAGCGCGCGAGCGGCGACGCGCGCAGCTCGAGGTGCGACGCGCGCCGCGCTCGGCCGAGACGGAGCCCTCCGTCGCACCTGGCGCCTGTCCGGCCACCTCACGCGCAGCCAGCGGCCCGCGCCACCTAGACAAAGAATCCAAAGACATCATTTCGTGTTATGTCACGTCCCGACCGCCGCGCGCGCAGGCCGAGGGCGCGAACCTCAACCTGGAGGAGATCGACATTCCGACGGACCACCCGTTTTTGACGCGGACGGAGGTGTCTCAGGAGGAGCAGGACGAGATCCAACAGCGGCTCTTGGAACAGGCGCGCCGGATGGCGGACGACGGGGGCGTGCGCCGCAGACGCCCGACGCCCGCGCCGAAGAACGTCGGCCCGCCCGGCGGCGACCTCGACCTGCCGGACCCCAACTGACGTGTGAACCACAACAAACGCGCACCCATGGGTCACGCGGGCCAGTGAATGGAGGGACCGAGCGGCGGCAACAGCGACGGAGCACCCGTGCGCGGGACGTCACTGTGGATTGCAGGTGTCTAGCCGTCAAAGCACACTTGGGAGCCCACGGTGTTCGTGACATGTGTTTGCTTCTGACACGTGTCTGGCGCCGCGCAACGCCGACCGAGGCGTCCCGGCGCGCGCCGCTGCCGCACGGAACAGAGACGCGACGTGCGAGGCGACGCCAGGCGCGGCACGTTCCGTCACAACACCTAGGCGAATGATCCGTACAGGTCCCGAAGCCTGATGGCCGACGACGCCAAGTATGTGACACCTCGCCGCACCTCACCCGCGCACTGCAACGCAACTCACCGCAGCACGCGCCGCGAGCCGCCGGGCGCCGCGTCCCACGGCGGCGGCTTCCCGCGCTGGCTCGCGCGGTCCTGGAAGCCCGCACGCAGCGCCGATGTCCCCGTCGCCGCCTCCACGTCGCGCATCTCCTTGTCTGCCTTCTCAGCGTCCCGTGTGGCCATGTACGCCAGCTGGTGCATCGAACCTGTCGCCATGCCGCGATTCAAGTGGTCCGTGATGCTCGTCATCGCCTTGGACAGCAGCTCCGAGACCATCTCGAGCCGCTTCAGCCGCACCGGCAGCGGCGCGCCGTCGTCCCGCATCAGTCGCCGACGCCACGACTTGGCCTCCTCCAGTGACGCGGCCGCAACCTGCTCGGGCGACATCGCGCCCCTGGCCAGCTTGCCCGTGAGCGGCGGCTGCGGCGCCTCGAACGCCGCCCTCGCCATCGCCGACGCCGCTGCCCCCGCCGGCCCACCAGCGGCGGCGGCAGCGGTCTCTTGCTCGAGCATAGTCCCCATCTCCCTGACCTCGTCTTCGAGCCCGCCGCGGATCTCCGCGAGCAGGGCGTGGTTGTGCTCCGGGTCCATGACCACGGGCGCGTCCTGGTGCAGGATGACGGCCCGCCCGGGCGTCTGCGTGAAGGCGTCGCGGGGGCGGGCGCCGCCGACCTTGTCGTACGCCGCCTCGGTGTTGTGCGCCCACACGAGGAGGCACCGCATCTTCAGCAGCTGGTCCGCCGTGCGGCGCTGCATGAACGCCGCCACAACCTCCACCTGCAAACAAAAAAATACGACAACTCGAGATTTCAACATCTCTCGTGAATCCTCCAGCCACGCCGAGGACCTCGCCGGCTGCGCTGCGCTCCAGACGCGCCCGTCACGGCCCCGTTGCGTCAGTCCGACTCACCGGGTTGTCAGGGTCGACTGGCTCATACTGTGCGCGTTCCTTTGCCCTGCGCCGGCGGCCCTCTGCGCCGTCGTCCTCGCCGCGCAGCTGCACCAGGCGCTTCATGATCGCCTGGTTCCGCGGCGGAAGCACGTACCCGCCGCCCTTCCGCACGGGCGCTGCCACCGCCTGCGCCTGCGCCTGCCGCCGCTCCACCAGAGAGGCTCCGGGCTTCTCAGTCCGCGAAACCGGTTCCGACGGCCCCGCGGCGCCATCCTGGGGGCGAACCGGCGCCTCGGCTTCCTCGGGGGACGGCGACCGGCTCGGTCGGACCGGCACGTGGAGGGGAGGGGGGACTCCCGGCGGCGGCGGGGGTACTGGCGGTGGCGGGCCGGGCGGGGGCGGGGGCGGCGCGGCGCGCCGCGGCGAGCGCTGGAGCGTCGTGAGCGTCGCGACCATGCGCCACTTCGCGGCCGTGCGGACCCCTGCGAGCCGCGAGCGCAGGCGCTTGACCAGTGCGGTCGCAGCAGCGCGCACGCGGTCGGCTTCGGCGGCGCTCGCCACCGCGCGGGCCTCCGCCTCCGCCACGAGCTTCTCCGCACGGCGCAGCGCCGCGCCCTTCTTCGGCGACGCCGGCTGCGGCGGTGCCGCAGGGGGCGCGACGTACGTTGTTGCTGCGCTGGGTGCGTGGGCCGCCGCCGTCTCGCTGGCGCCGCGGGCCTGCGCGAGGTCCTGCTGGAGCGTCTCGGAGATGGACTTGAGGGCCGAGATCTCGCCCTGCGCGGCCGCGAGCTCCGTGGAGAGCTGCAACTCTCGCCCGCGCAGCGTCGAGGCCTCCTGCTCCGCCGCTTGCCTCGCCTCCTGCGGGGCGGCGGTCCAACACACGTCTCTCAGGCGCGGAAGCGAGTTTGGCGGTCAGTACCTCGGCGGATCGACCGATGCGGACGCGAGCACTTGTGGGTGATGCATCGCACCTGGCTGCGCGCAAGGGCCTCGCGGAGCTCCCTCGCAGCGCCCTCGAGCCACTCCGCGCGCACCTCCATCTCGCGCGCCTTCTTCGCCGCGGCGTTCGCGTCCTCTGCCGCCGCCGTCGGCCCCACCGCTGTCGACGCCCCCCCTGTGGGACTCAACAGCGCCTGCATCGCCGACGCCTCGGCCCGCCGCGACGCCGCCAGCTCCCGCCGCAGCGCCGCGATCTCCGCCGCCGCCCCGGACCCCGCCGCCGGTCCCGCCCCGGGCGGCGGCGCGAGGGCCGTCGCCTGCGCAAGCTCGCGACGCACGATCGCCAGGTCGTCCTCGCGGTCCGTCACGCGGCGCTGCAGCCGCTCGCAGTCCTCCGACAGCTCCGTCACGCGGCGCCGCAGCGCCTTGATCAGCTTGCCGTCCCGTGCCGCCTCCTGCGGGCTGCGCGGCGGGCTGGCCGGTTGCGGCGGGCCGGCCGCTCCGCCGCGCGTGCCCTCGCGCCTGCTGCCTCGCTCGACGTCCGGTCTGGGTCGCCGCGGGGAGCCTGAGCCTCCGGCGTCGCGGCCGGCCCCGCCTGCTTGTGCGCCGTCGTTCGCATCGCCGCTGATGACGATCTGCATGCGCACGGCCCCGCTCGCGGCCCCGCTCGCGAGTCGCTCCCGCGCGCGCTCGAGCTCCGAAGCCACGCGCGTAACGAGGGACAGCGTCGACGCGCCACCGCGGGCTGCGCCGATGCCCAGCGCCTCGGCGCACACGTCGCTGACGCCGCGGAGCTCCGCAGTGCTCGCCTGCATGCGCTCCGACAGCGCGCTCGCGCGCTCCTCCGCGGTCCTGCGCCCCGCCACCGCCTGCGAGCGCCGAACGAAGGCTTAAAAAAGAACATAAGACAATAAACAAAAATCCACGTGCACATATTGCAAGTCAAACCCGGCCCTGCTGCGCGAGTGACCCTGTGGTCATGCGAGATCAGAGCAGTGCCTGCCCAAGCGCCGGTGACTCCGTCGCTCGCACGTCACGCCAATCGCCCCCCCCCCCTTGTTCTTTTGCGCACCTTCGACAGCTCCGACCTGAGACCCCGCAGCGCCTCGATCGCGGCCTGCCGCTCGTCGTCCAGCTCCAAGATGCGCTGGTCCGCCGACGCGATCCGCTCCAGCAGCGCCTGCTGCCGCGCGCAGACCCCCTTCTGTGCCGCGCGCGTCTCCTCCGCCTCGCGCCGCAACGCTTCCTGCCGCAGCCGCTCCGCCGCGCGCTCGCTCCGCCGCGCCTCCTCGCCCTCCTTCAGCCGCACGCCCGCCTGCTGCAGCGCCAGCCGCGCCTCCTCGAGCGCGGAGTCCAGCCGTGCTGTCTCCCGCTCAGCGGCAGCGCGCTCCGACCGCTCGCGCTCGAGGGCTGCGCGCAGGGCCGCCGCCTCCGCGCCGTGCTCGGCGGCAGTGCCGCGGAGGTTGCGTTGCTCCCTCTGGACGGGCGGCGTCGGGCGGGTGCGGTGATGTCAGGGTGGTTTTGGGGGGGGGGTGTTCGGCGTTGCGGCGTACGGCCGGCGCGGTGGGCGTTGCGTGTTTGTCTGGGCGTGGGGCGCGCCTGTATGGCGATGAGTTCACGGTCGTCGCGGTCAGCGGCTTCCAAAAGCGTGTGCAGTTGTCGCCGATGGGAGCCGCGAACGGCGGCCATGCGCCACCGGTGGAGCGCCGAGAGCGCGGCGGTCGCATCTACAGCCTCGGTCATCGCGCCGGGGCCGCAGGGCCGGTGGCTAGCGGCCTGTTCGCGGGCCCGTCGGTGCGGCAAAGCCGCGCGAGCAACCTGCCCGCCCTCGGGCCCGACGCGCACCTGCGAGCGAGCGTTCCGCAGGGTGACGGACTTGCGAACACGGGGAGAGCGTTTCGTGCCGGCCAATCATGGCGTGCGCAGCAGGGCTGTTGCTCGGAAGCAGCACAGGGTGGAGTGGGACGTGCAACCGCAGCTGAGGGTGCTGAGGAGGCTCCAGGAAGTGACTCACCTCCCGAGATACGAATCCGTTCCGTGGAGTGGGGAAATTCAGGTATAAATGCGATACGTAAGCGCAGGAGGCCGGGGCAGCAACCTGCGCGCTGGCTGTCCCAGTGAATTGAAAATGCAGCGCAGATCGGGCAGTCTTGTGGTATATTTTCGTCCTATCTGCCTTCTACCAGGGATTGCCGGCGCAGCGTCGCGACGCGCGTGCTTGACCCTCCGGACCGCCGCGCCCCCTGACAACAGGCATGGGGCCCGCCTGCCAGACAGCGGTCCCCTCGTTCGCTGCCGGCGTTTTGGCCACAGCGGGCGATGGCGACAGCTCGCTTGAGGCAGGGAGACACGTTGCACGGGGCTCGCACGCGCTGTTGGGTTCGGTTCGGTTCGGGATCAGCGGAAGCGAAGGAGGTCAGAAGAGAGGCCCTTCTACCGCTGGTTCGCGCCCCAGCGGCGCGGGGGTCCGCGGACGGGCATGGGCGATGGGAACGGGGCAGGCGAGGGGGGCGGGCAGGGGTCGGGGCCCAGGAAGCGGTTCAGGAGGAAGGACTTGGAGGAGGAGGAGGAGAAAAACGAGTGGGCGGCGCTGATGGAGGCGGACGAGGTGAGCTGGGCCCCGGGGATGATGGAGAAGATATGTCTGCAGCGGGTGACGCCTGCAATGCCGCTGAGCGTCGAGGACGCTGGAGGTAGCGGCCGGCGGGGGTTGCTCTCAGTGAACAGCGGCGCAATGCCGCGCCTGAATGGAATTTCGTGCCCGTACGGCGATCTCACGGCAAGATACATGTTGTCTCTGACCATTCTGTGCGAGTTTCGGACGAAAATCGGGCTACTCGTCGCCAGTGGGGCATCGGCAACACGCCACCGCTTGTGCCCGAGCGCACGGCCGGGTCCGCTGTTCCGCAGGAGGATGGCGCGGACGCCGGCGACCAGGATGCCGAGGAGTACGTTCCTGTGCACAAGCGCCGCGAGATGGAGCGGCAGGAGCGGCTGCGGCGGCTCGGGTTGCAACACAAGGTGGCCGAGGACACGGACGGGGACGGCAAGCCGAAGCAGTCGCTGCTGCTCACCGCGCTCCAGATGCGCAAGGAGCAGCCCGAGGAGGACGAGATGGAGAAGCAGGCAACGCGCCCACCTCGCGCCGCCCCGCGCACCAACAAGACGCCGCGCGCCACGTCTCACGTCCGCTGACGACGCACCCGCCCCGCCACGGCGCTCCCGCAGGCCAAGGAGGAGCAGGAGATCCTGCAGCACATCACGACGAAGAAGGCGCTGATGGGAGTGAAGGAGCTGGCCTCGGGCGTCGTGTACACGCAGTCGATCGCCACTGGCTGGAAGCCCCCCCTGCGGGTGCGGCTGCGGTCGGAGGAGCACAACGCGGAGATCCGGCGGCAGCTGCACATCAACGTCGAGGGCGACAACGTGCCGCCGCCGATCGCGACCTTCGAGGAGATGCGGGTGCCGCGCCCGCTGTGCGAGCACCTCCGCGGCAAGGGCATCCAGCGCCCCACGCCGATCCAGGTGCGGCCGCAGGGCGAGCTGCTGTGTCCGCGCTGGATGCGCCTGCGCCGGCTTGCAACGCGGGAGCGCACTGTGTGTTTGTGTGTGTGTGTGTTTGGCTGTGGAGACGAGATGCTGAAACTCGTTTGTTGTTGCCTCGCTCGCCCGCAGATCCAGGGCCTGCCCGTGGCGTTCGCCGGGCGCGACATGATCGGCATCGCGTTCACGGGCAGCGGCAAGACGCTGGCGTTTGCGCTCCCGCTGGTCCTGGCGGCGCTCCAGGAGGAGCTGCGCATGCCGCTGGTGGAGCAGGAGGGCCCGATCGGGCTGTGCATGGCGCCGTCGCGCGAGCTGGCGCGGCAGACGCACGAGATCCTCGTCGAGCTCGCCGGCGTGCTGCGCGGCGGGGGCTTCCCGGAGCTGCGCGGCCTCCTGGCGATCGGCGGCGTGGACCAGCGCGAGGCGTTCGACTCGATCAAGCGCGGCGTGCACATGGCGTCGGCGACGCCCGGGCGGCTGAAGGACATGCTGAAGCGCGGGAAGGTCACGATGGACCACTGCCGGTACCTGTGTTTGGACGAGGCGGACCGCATGGTGGACCTGGGCTTCGAGGAGGACATCCGGGAGGTGCTGAGCTACTTCTCGGGGCAGCGGCAGACGCTGATGTTCAGCGCGACGATGCCGATGAAGATCCTGACGTTTGCGGAGACGGCGCTGGTCAACCCGGTCACGGTCAACGTGTCGCGCGCGGGCGCCACGAACCAGGACATCATCCAGGAGGTGGAGTACGTCAAGGAGGAGAACAAGCTCGAGTACCTGCTGAACTGTCTCCGGAAGACCGCGCCGCCCGTGCTCATCTTCAGCGAGATCAAGTCCGAGGTCGACCGCATCCACGAGTTTCTGCTCAGCAAGGGCGTGGAGGCTGTCGCCATCCACGGCAGCAAGAGCCAGGAGGAGCGGTCGTGGGCGATGGACCAGTTCAAGGCCGGGGGCAAGGACGTGCTCATCGCCACCGACGTCGCCAGCAAGGGCCTCGACTTCCCCGCCATCCAGCACGTGATCAACTTCGACATGCCCAAGGAGATCGAGAACTACGTGCACCGCATCGGGCGCACGGGGCGCGCGGGGAAGACGGGCATCGCGTCGACCTTCATCAACCGGCTGTGCGACGACTCCATCCTGCTCGACCTGAAGCACCTGCTGAAGGAGGCGAAGCAGCGCATCCCGCCGGTGCTGGCCAGCCTGGAGGACCCGACGGAGACGGCGGCGGAGGTGGCGGCGCTGACCGGGCAGCGCGGGTGCACGTACTGCGGCGGGCTGGGCCACCGGATCACGGAGTGCCCGAAGCTCCGCGCGGAGAACCGGGCGCAGCAGCGGGAGCACATCGGACACGGAGGGTTCGGGGGGGAGGCGTGAGGAGGGGGGGGGTGTTTTGTTTTGGCGGGAAGATGCCCTAGGTGGGCGCTGCGAGTCTGGCGTCGCGGTGGCCGAAGCATGTGCGGGGCATCCAGGGGCGACCCGGGGCACGTGCGTGCAACAGGACGGCAGATCTGTGACGAACAGGGCTGTGCTGCGCTGACCTTGGAGCACCCTCGCCGCGAGGACGCTCGGGTGTCTGAAATGGTACGGCTGCAAATATGATTCGTCGAGTCTGGGCGACTGGTTCGTCGCAAAGAAAATCGCCGTCACATGCGCGCCGTATGTACGCCGCCGAGCCCTGCGCACACCCCTAACCCCCCCCGGGGCCTTGCAGTCGAGTCCGTGACATCACTCCATGTCCATGCCGCCCACCGCCGCGCTGGGCGCCGCCGCGTCGTCCATCGCGTCGCCCGCGTCCTCCTCGACCATCTCGCACCCCTCCTGCTCCATCGTCGGCGTCGGCATCGCCAGCCCCTCGGGATCATCGCCCCACGCAATGTTGTGCTTGGTCACCCGCGGCTTGTCGGCGATGACGTGGCGCACGAGCCGCGAGGGGTCGTGCGGCTTCGGGTTGTTCGTCCGCAGCTCCTCGTCCTCGTAGTCGATCACCACGACGTACCCCACGCGCACGAACTCCTGCAAACAGGCCGCGCACGCGTGGTGGTGAGTGCTGCGCCCGTGCCGCTCGAGGCGCGCGTGACGGGATGTGCGGCCCGCGCGAGGCGATATCTTGGCAGGCGAGGAGGGCGCCGCCGCGCAGGCGGGCGGTGACGCGGTCTGGGTGCGCGTGGGTCGGGGGTCGTTGGTGCTGCTGCGCTTGTGTGTGCTGCGCACCTGGTTGCGGTAGTGGCAGGTGAGGATGACGGCGGTCGTGCCGACGAGGTCGTCCTCGGGGATCTTCGCGGGCTCCGGTGCGCGAGTCTGCGGGTCGCGAGCGCGCGGGAACCCGTGAGGGTCGCACACGTACGAAACGCGTCGTTTGCGGCGCCCAGACGAGCGCCCGAGCGTTGCGTTCCGGCCACGCGGGCCGCGCACGACAGGAGCGACAACGATGATCATAGAACGGAGCCGCGCGGGGACAGGAGGAGCGCGCGTGCGGTTTCGCAGAGGGTGGACAGTCGAGGCGAAAAAGCGCGCCGATTCGCGTCGCGTGGCGCGCGGACGCGGCCGGGAGCGCGTCGCAGGCGCTTTGACTTTCGCGCGCTCGCGAACCGCGGCCGTCGGGGACTGGTTCTGCGCGCGCGGGGCGGGCGCGGGCCGGCCCTGCTGGGCGTGCTCACCTCGAGGACGAAGCGGAAAGCGCCCTGCTGCATCGGTCCGACCAGGATGGACTCCAGCTCCTGGTCGTGCCTTTCGTCCTCCGCGCTCCCGACGTACGTCACCTTCCACTCCACATCTGCGGGCCGCGGCGTGGCCGGGTTCGCGCCCCTGAGCTCCAAACGCTGCCAGGCAGGGCGGGTGCGCGGGGGGCGCGTTGCGGGCCGTCCGGGCCTCCGTTCGGTCCCGTCAGACGGAGCGCCGGTCTCGCTCTCGCGGAAACCGCGTCGAGACGGTCCGAGGCGGAGCGGGGAGGCCGCGCGCGCGCGGTTTGTTGGGCGGTCTCTCGAGGGCGCGCAGGAGGCGGTGTGGCGGCTTTTGGGGCTGCTTACCGTCCGGCAGGCTGCTCAGGCACTCGTAGGAGATCTGGAATTGCAGCGGCTCGGAGAACGGCGCCGGGTTGTTCAGGACGTCGACTGCGGTGAGGTTGATGACGCTCATGGCTGCGGAGGGCCCGCTGCAGGCGAGCGCAGCGCGGTTCTGCGGGCGCCGGCTATTCTAGGACACGGAAGCTTCGACCCAGGCTGCAGGAGGCGGCCGTCAGAGGTCCTCGCGGGGCTGCGCTGTGCCGAATGCACCTGCTCTCCTCCCTTGTCGCGACGTTTCGGGGCCGGGACGCGCGTTCAAGCGTGATTCGCGGAGGTGGACTCGGGCGCGGAACTGCTGCACCACCGGCTGCTCGTGAGGCCAAGAGGCCAGCAACTTCGGGGCTCGACTCAGGGTGGTGTCTTAGGAGACTGACGGGGAATTGGGCGTCCGCGGAGCACCGCTCGCGCGGCGCCATTGCGTCCAGGGAAGCAGCTGCGTGTGCTCGACAGGGCGCGCCAGGCGGCATTCGCAGAATCAAGCTCGGCGGCGCAAGCGCACTACGTGTTGGCGAGCTCAGGCGACCTGCGGCAGTAGCGACGCAACGGGTGTCGTTCCAGACGCCCGAAATCGATCAACGATAGGTATACGCACATTGGCGGGCCGAGCGCGGTCTGCGACCGCGGGCGGTGCGTGGACGGGCACCTGCTTTTCATCAGGTCTGAGCTTGAGTGCCGCAGAGCCACACTGTAGGCCCGGGAGTTCAGAGGTTCGAACGGCGCTCGAACATGGATGAGGAGGTCGAGGCGCTGGGCTACTTGTACCCCGATTGCGTCGAGCTTCTACGGCATGGGCAGCGTGGGGCGGACAGCAATGGTTTGCCTGCCAGCGTCGCCGTCGACCTGACTCCCCACTGCGCCAGCGAAGCAGAGCAGGCGTACGTTCGTGCGCGGATCCAGCTCACCTGCGAAACCGGCTATCCCGAGCGACCATGCGCGGTGAGACCTGCCCTCCCTAGCGCTACGTGCCCGCTCATCGCTCGCCACCCTCCCGCCATGGCATTCACGTCCGGACGCCGCCACCAGCCCCGGCAAGCCCATGGTCGAGGTTCTGCACCCAGGGGCAGCCCGAGCCTGCACTCGAGGCCCAGAAACAACATCCGTCACACGCAGGTGTCTCTGATCGAAGAGAAGGGCCTGGGCGAGCGCCGCGCGGCTGCGCTGCTCGGCAGGCTCGGGCAGCGTGCCGCGGAGCTCGCGAGCGGACACGAGCCGGCGCTGTGCGCCATGTGCGAGGAGGCGCGGGACACTCTGTCCGACTACAACGGTCCCCAGGGGGACTGTTTCGCGTGCCTGACTGCCCTGGTGCCTCTGCATCTGTGGGACAAGGACCACCCGGGGCGCCTCGCGTCCGACGCGCACGCCGCGGTGAACGCAACGCTGGTGTTGCCTCCCTGCCTGCACTGCGCGCACCGTGCGTGCTACGCACAGTACCTCGCGCACGTCGGCGACGACACACTCCGCTGTCCTGTCTGTCGCCAGGCCGTCTCGGACGACGACGCTCGCCGCCTACGGGAGCAGGCGTCGGAGACACCCCCTATGCCTGTCAGCTCGACTCCCCCCTGCGTCGCCGCCGGCGCTGCAAGCGACGATACCGCGCTGTCCAGCGCGGAGCTCGCGGCCGTCGCAGCAGGCCGCGCGAGGATGGACGCGATCCTGGCGAAGCAGCGTGCGGCGGGCGCGACGTTTGAGAGGGACGACTCATCGGCGGTGATGTACAGCGCAGGGTGGACGAGGGAGCTGGAGGGCGAGGTGGCGCGGGAGGTGCAGAGGCAGGAGCAGCGCGAGCGGCCGGGTGACGGGCGCGGCCGGCGGCGGGGAGGAGCAAGAGGGGGTGAGGGGGGTGGCGGAGGGGGCGCTGTGCGGGAAGGCGGGCGCAGGGGGCGCGGGCGGGGCGGGCGGGGTGGCCGCGGAGACGCGGCGCAGCGAGTCGTGGTGGTCGCGACGGTGGAGGCTGGGGGCGGTGGGAAGGACGCAGGCGCGCAGCGGGGCGGGAGGGGGCGCGGGCGGGGCAGGCGCGGGCGGGGCGGCAGGGAGCAAGCTGGACGAGAGGGCGCGTGAAGGGTGATGTTTTGTGCGCCGCACACGTCCGTTTCGCCGTCACACCGTCATCCCCTATGTGCCGGCGAGTCCCGCAGCACCATGTCCCCGCTCTGCGCGCTCGGCGAGCTCTCCTCCTCCCGCACCGACTCCAGCGCCGAGCTCGACGGCACGTCCACCGACATGTTCCTCAGCAGCGTCCCCGACAGCACCTGTGGGCCCTCCGTGCTCCACGCCGCGCCTCCGCCCTCGTCATCCGACGCGTAGTCCGGCGACCGCGACCCCAGCGACGCCGCGCCGAGCTCGTCCGCGCGCCCAGCCGTCGCCTCCGTCGCCTCCGTCGCCTCCGTCGCCCCGCCCGCGTCCGCCCCGCTCCCCACCGCCGAGCTCTGCACATTGCTCTCACCGCCCGACCGCCCCGCCCGCGGCCGCCGCGACCCCGCCGCCAGCGCCTGCACCAGCTCCCACTCCACCTCGCCCTTGCGCTGCAGCAGCTCCTTGTTCACGTCGCGCTGCGTGTCCAGCCTCGAACCCAGGTCCTCAACGTCGGTCTCCAGCGCCTCGATGCGCGCCCGGGCCTCCGCGAGGGCGCGCTCGGCCGCGACGCGCTCGCGCTCGGCGGCGGCGCGGCCGCCGCGCGCAGTTTCGCTCTCCTGGCGCAGCATGCGGTCGTTGTCGCGCAGGACCCGGCACTCGGCAAGCGCGGCCTCCGCGCGGCTGTGCTGCTCGTCCCGCGCGGCGTCCGCGGCCGCGCGCGCCGCGACAGCAGCCTCCTCCGTCGCGCGCGAGGATGCGAGCGCGCCCGACAGCGCCGACTCGCGCTCCAGCGCCTCCGCCAACTCCCCCTCCAACTCCCCTGCACGGCACACCGCCACGACGGGGGGGTGTCGCGTTCGAGCCCCGAAGCCGCGTAGAGCACGCACAAAGCGCCAAGCAGCGCCGGACCGGCGCAGAGGTGCGGGCAACAGCGAAAACGAACGCAGCAGTGTCGCAAGGCTGCTGGCAGGCGTGTCGCACCGAGTTTCACCCGCCACGCGTCGCGCTCCTCCGCGAACGCCCGGTGCTGCCGCTCCATCTCGCGCTCGAGCTCCACCGCCCGCTCCATCGCGTCCGTCACGCGCCCCTCCACCTCCACGCGCACCTGCTCGAAATACGGTCCCCGCTGCTCGTCCGCGGCCAGCTGCAGCTCGTCGCGCTCCCGCGTCACCGCCTGCAGCTCCTCCTCGAGCTTCCGCGCCCGCATCACGAGCACCACGTTGTCGGCCGCCACGCCCGCCACAGCACGCTGCGCGCGCTCCGCTGCCCCCTTCGCGCGGTCGCGGTCCGCTACGATCGCCGCGACGGACCCCTCCGCGTCCTGGCGCGCCGCCTGCGCCTCCTGCGCGACCATGCGGTGATGCGCGGCCTCGCGCACGGCCTCGTCCGCACGCTCCTGCGCCGCACGCAGACGCGCATCCATGCCGCCCGCGGCCTGCGCCCGCGCGCGCAGCTGGACGCGCGCGTCGCCGAGCTCCTGCTGCGTGACCTGGAGCTGGTCCGTGAGCTTGTCGAGGCGGTTCTGGAGGTCGTCGCGCTCGGATTCGACTCGCGAGAGACGCGCGAGCGTGTCCTGCATGTCCTGCGCCACCGACTCGAGCTGCCGCATGGCGTCCGCGCGGGACCCCTCCGAGGACTTGACGTGGTCGCGGAGCTCCACGGACCACTGGTGCAGCCCCTCCACCTGCGTTGGCGGGCGCAGAGGCGACGAACGTCGACGTGTCGCTGCGGGGGGGCTGGCCCGAGAGAGGCGGTGCGCGGGCGGCGGAGGCGCTGCCGGGGGGCGGGGTGGTGCAGGGAGCTTGCCTGCGCGACGACGGCGTCGAAGGTGGCGCCCATGGACTCGAGCTCGGTGGCGCTGCTCGCCAGCTGCCGCTTCCGAGTCGTAGCGGACACCGTGGGGCCCGTTCCCTTCAGGAGCGCGGCCGTGCTGACCATGCGGTCGCGCATGCCTTGAAGCCTGCGGAAGAGGGCGTCGGAGAGCCGGAGCGCGACGGTGTGGGCGGGAAACCGATGCGGCGGTACGCTCGATGCTCTTGGGCCCGCAGACGCGGCGTCCCGCGCTCCGCGTCGACGCGGCCGCGCGAGCGGCTGTCTCGAGAGATGGATGTGCGTGTCGTCGGCTCAAACGAGGTGGCACCGGCCGCGCTGGGCCCGCAATGCGTTCCCGCCTGCCCCGGAGCACATTGCCCAGGCAGGTGGCGCGCGCGGCCGCAGACTCGCCGCGGCGCGCGTTCCTGTCCCCAGGACGAATATCACGCAAACGTCATCGCGCCGGGAGGCAGCGGCGTTCCGGAAACGGCGCGGGCGGGGCGGGCTACGTCGGCCGGGCTTCCTGCCTGTCGAGAACGGCTCCCCACCCGGCACGTGCCGCCGGCTGCACGGCGCGCGCATTTCCGACCGCGGCGTCGATGTCCAGCGCGGCGGGGTCATCCCCGCCGCTCCTCGTGTCGACCACTGCGCCCCGCTGCGAGTGCGCGGCCGCCGTGTGAGCGGAGGCGTCCCGGTGCGTCCGGGCCCGCGCCGTCGACGCTGAGTCAACACGTGGCTTCCGCGCGCACGGACCGATCGCCTAGGGCCAGGGCGTCAGAGTGGCTGCGCTTCGGCGCGCCGGCGCGCGAGATAGCGCACGCAGGGGGGTTTGGGCTGTCATGGCACTCGAGTCCACTGGGCGGTGTGGTTGCGCGGATTTGCGGGTGTGTTGAGGCCGCGGGGGCCGCGCGCGGGGCAAGTTCGGGCGCCACCGGTGGCATTGGGGCGGAAGAACGGGGCCGGATCGGGCGCGTGCACGCGACGGGCGAGACCTGCCCAGCCCCACAGCCTGCTAGCATGGCCAGCGAGGAGTTCGGGCAGCAGGATGCCGCGGGTATCGCGGAGCTGCACAACCTCATCAAGGAACTGCGACTGAAATACAAGGTCGCGCGCCCCGGAGGCGACGCAGCCTTCGCGAAGCAGCTGGACAAGTGCGAAGGGCCCGCCTCCGCCAGCTCCGACCGTTCCATGCGACGTCCCCTGCACTTCACCCACGTTCTGACCACAAGGAAGCACAGCAGCGCGCTGTTCCGCCCCCGGGCGCCAAGCAGCGGCCCTGCGCAGCTCGCCTCTGGGCGCCAGTCCCACCGCTCGCACGCGGCGCCCCGGCGCGATCCGCCGGCCCGCGCGGGCTGTTTCGCCAGTCCATCACTGCGACATGCCTCCCGCGCGGCCGCTCGCCTCGCGGATTCCCGCACGGCGCGCGAACGGCCCTCGAACGTTGTTGGTTGCAGGAGCGTCAAGGAGATCCTAACGAGGGCCCGCACGGCCGTTTCCGCGAGCGACGATGACTTCGCGGTGCGCGCCGTGCAGCAGCTGATGCGGAAGGACCTGGTGGACACGTGCTCGGACGCGCTCGCGGACATGATGCGCCTCATGAAGCTGCGCGACCTCGCCGGTACGTCGCCATGTGGCGTCCGTTGGCGCGGCCCGCGCGGCCTGCGCGCGGGATGTCGCGTTCGCTGCGTGGAAGCGGCCTGGGACTACCGCGCGCGACCCGCTGGCGGCGGCCTCGTGCGGCGGCGAGCGCGATTTTCGCGGAGTGAGGCGCGGCAGCGCTCTCGCGGGGCGTGCGGGCGCCAACTGCGCCGCTCGTCCCGGGACCTTGCATGCAGACCTCTTGGTGACTCTCAAGGAGTCGTACTCGGGCATCGTCGATGACTGGAAGGGCCTCATGGAGGAGCAGGACAAGGCCTTGGCCAGTCAGCAAAACGAGGTACGCCCCACCCGCGGCGCCCCGCGGCCCAACTGCCCCCCGGACGCGCCTGCGCAGGATGTCGTATCCACGAGCTCGGCGCCCGACCGCACGGGCCGCGTGCAGGAGGCGCACAAGCTGCGGGCGGACCTCGAGGCAGAGAAGGCGTTGCACGCGTCCCTCACGGTGGAGATGGAGGAGCTGCGCGGACGGCTCCGCGCGCGCGACGACGACGTGGCGCGCCTGGAGAAGCAGACGGAGGACCTCGCCGGGCAGGTCGAGAAAGGTGCGCCCGCCTGCGCGCACGCGTAGCGCACGTCCGCCGCCCGCCGCCCGCGCTGACGCCCGCGCCCCGCCGCACGTGGCGCGCAGGCAGCGCGGAGGCCGCGCAGATGACGGAGCGCCTCGCGGCGCTGCAGGCGGTCATCAAGGGGAAGGGGGTGGGGCAACCAGAGACGCCGCGGGCGACGATGCAGGGCGCGAACGTCTCGTTCGACGGCGCGGGGTACTCGCGCGCGACGCCCGTGGCGCCGACGTCGACGGGCCTGTGGGCGACGGGCTCCCCGTCGCACGCGGGGGGCTCGCCGAACGGGGGGGGCCGCGGGAAGCACACCCCGGGGGGTCGCTCGCAGCCGTCGGGGGGCCTCTCGAGCTCGAGCCTCCTGCAGCGCGAGCTCACGCGCGGGAAGCTCAAGGCGCTCATCCGGGAGATCATCGCGACGAAGGAGCGGTCGGACGAGCTGGCGGCGGAGGGCAAGCAGCCGCGGGCGACCATGGAGGAGCACGTGTACGCGCACATGAACATGCGGTACGGGCTGCCGAGCCTGGTCGAGGAGCACGTCGAGGCGCTGCTGGCGGGCGTGCGGCAGTTCGAGCAGGCGGACCACGAGGTGGCGCTGTTTGGGAAGATTCTGAGCAACGAGGTGGCGGAGGAGTTCCTCGCGGAGATGCAGAGCCTCGCGGAGAGCGTCGTGGGCGTCCTCGAGCAGCTCGTGCAGGTGAGCGGCCGCGGCGCGCGTCCGTGCTGCGTTGCCGGCTGCGTGGGCGCCGTCGCGCTGAGGGGGTGCCCGTGCTGCTGCGCGGGCGATGCGGGGCTGCGCGCTCGTGCTCGCTGTGCGTGCGTGTGCGGTTTGTGGGGTTCGGTTCGTGTGGTGACGGGGGGGGGTGTGTGTTGAAGGTATGAAGTGCGTGTGGTGTGCGTGCAGGTGCGGCACCCGGGGAAGCTGCCCGCGGAGCGCGCGGCGGAGGTCCGGCGGCGCGTGGGCGGCGAGCTCCCGCTCGAGGAGGCGACGGTGATTCTCCGGCAGATGCAGGACGCGGCGATGCGCGAGGCCGTCAACGCGGAGCTCACGCGGCGCATCGAGGCGCGCGTGGTCGAGGTCGCGCCGTCGGAGCACACGCGCACCTCGCCGGGCACCGTCCAGCGGCCCACGTCCGTCCCGTTCGCGGAGTTCCTCCAGGTGAGTGACTCCCCCCGCCCCCCCTCGTGTGCTGCGCTCGTGGCGGGCTAGCATGGCGCGCATGCGTGTGCGCGCGCCGACCCGCGCGGCGCCTCCGTGGACGCGCAGATCATCCTGGAGAAGCACGTTGCGCGGTACGAGGCGGCGGTGGCGCCCGCGGTGCAAGCCTTCCGGCAGGTTGACGCGGTGGGGTCGGGCGTGCTCTCCGACGACCAGTTCCGCCAGTTCTGCCAGCTCATCTCCCCGGACATCAAGGAGGCCGAGGTCGACGCGCTGCTCGACCTCCTCGACCCGCGCGGCTTCAAACGCGTCACGTTCTCGTCGTGCATCTCCACGCTCGCCCGCGAACTGCCGTCGTAGTCGCCGCCGCGGGGCGCCCGGCGCGCGGCGCGCGGGCAGGGCTCCTCGCTCACGTGTGATGCTGCGATGCCTGCGGGGGGCGTGGGGGGCAGTGGGATCGTGCGCGCCGGCACTCGGTGGTGCGTTGCGGTGGTCGGTTACTCCTTTACGGTCGACATGAGGTTGCCGGGCGCGGCGCGTAGTGGTCGCTCCGGCGGGCGGCTCCTGCGGGTTACTTGAGCTAGGGGCTTGGGTTTTGCGGCGGGAATGCGTCGCTCGGGGCCGCGCAGGCGCGGCGCAGGGCGTGAGTTGCCGCACGTGGGTCCTCACGTCTGGCAGGAATGACTGTGGCATGGCGGGGCGACAGGGGGTTGCGCGGCGAGCGGGCCGGGATACTCCGGACAAGTTGAATACAGACAACGCTGTCCTGCCGCGAACGCTGTCTGCGGGACCCTGAACGCGACGTTCGAGCGAGCTCTTTCCTGATACGATCGTGCCGCCGCGCGCGTCGCGGGCGCAGGTCATGACCGAGCTGCGGGGCGAGGAATAACGGGTCTCGCCGCCCAGCCGGGCGGGCATCATCCCAACATGCGCGCCGGAATGCTGCGAACGGGAGGCACCCCCGAGCTGCTCTCGAAGAGGCGGGCAAGCGGCCGTCGGAACGGTGAGGGCGTCGCACGAACATTACCAGCCTCTTCCAGCAGACTAGGGCTGGCGAGCCGCGGCTGCGGGAGGGCGCAGACGCGGTCGACGATGCTTGCGGAGCGCCATGGGCTGCACGCCGCGAGCAGGGGCGTGCACGCCCGGCCTGGCGCCCGCGCGTGCGCCTCGTGCGCCGGCGCGGCAGGGAGCATCGCGAGCAGGAGCGTCGTGGCGCAGCGGTGGCGGCCGCGGGCGGGACGTGCGGACGGCGCGGGGCGACGGTTTTCGTTGGAACCGTCGACGTTCGTCGGTAGAGGGGGCGTGGGGGTCGGGCGGAGGTTGGTCCGGCCAGAGAGAGGCAGGCAGCTCGCGGCTGATGCGCCCGAGGGGCAAAATGCGGGCGGGGCGCACCCGGACAGCAGCCAGTCGCTCGGAGCTGTTGCTGCACACCCGCCTCTTCCATCTGCCCAGGTGCGTGATGCGCGAGGACCGCTGCCTCCGCGGCGGCACTGTCCGTGGACGTGCTCGCCGAACCAACAGCTGCCACGCCACGCCGCGGGCGCGGGCTGTCCCTGCGGGACCAGCTCACAACGCAGTGTCCGTACCAACGGCGCAGGAGGAGGAGGAGACCGAGGCGACGGTCATCACGTCTAGTTCGGGCTTCTTCCTGCTGACCATATGCGTCGCCAGCGTCGTCGTGTACATCGTCGCGCAGGCACTCTATCACTCGCTCACGTCAGAGGCGCGTTTCCCAGCCCCCACGCCCGCGCGCACCGCAGCACGCCACCACGGACCCGCGTTCCGCACACCAGTCCTCCCAGTCGCGACCGCCAACGCGCCCGACCGCGCGTCGACGCCCCCCCGGCCGCACCCAGCCAGCCCACCCATCCGCGCGCTCCCACACCCCCGTCGACCCCCCTGCCGCCCAAACGACCCCACGACCACCTCCTCCTCCCCGCAGATATCCCTCTCGCGCGCCCTCTTCAAGTCCGCGACGCGCCTCATCGCCGCGAACGGCTTCAAGCAGCTGGCGTTCATCGTGTCCACCATCACGCTGCTGCGCGCGGGCCTCGAGCCGGTCGTCAAGGCCGTCCGCCTGCTCCTCGCGGGGCCGGAGGGGCTCGACCAGGCCGCGTGGGAGCGCAGCACCGTCTTCATGGTCCTGCGCGAGATCTACCAGCCTCTGGAGATCCTCCTCTACATCGCGGCGACCGTCGCCGTCGTCGAACACACCCTCCCCGCACTCATCGCGGTACGCGCCTCGCCCCCGCGCGGCCGCGCGACCGCCGCCGGCCGCCAACGCCCGCGCGCGGCACGGCCATTGTCCATCTGTTGCGTTTGGGGCGCTACGTGTGCGCAGGTGCCAGGCGCGTACGTCGCGCACGTGATGCGCACGATCATGACGCTGTCGTTCATCATCACGAGCGCGCGGATCATCCTGAGCATCAAGACGCGCGCGCTGTCGAGCGCCGCGCTCAAGCTGGAGCTGTCGGGCGAGGCGACGAAACAGCGACGCATCGAGGCGATCGACAAACTGCTCACCGTCCTCACCGTCACCGTCTCCATCGTCCTCAGCCTCCAGTCCGTCGGGTTCGACGTCAACTCCCTCCTCGCCATCGGCGGTATCGGTGGTGTCGCCCTCGGTGCGTATTGCAACACACCCCCCTTGTTCCCTGGTGGCCGACGCTGGCCGCGCACGCGCAGGGCGAGGGTGTTGGAGCGCGGCTTTGCGTCGCGTCTGAGCTAGCCTCCCCGCGAGTCTGTACCCGCGTGACGCGACGATGTTGTTGTGCGGCGCGTGCACGCAGGTCTGGCGGGTCGCGAGGTGCTGGAGAACTTCTTCAACGGGCTGGTGATCCTGTCGTCGTCGCCGTTCGAGCCGGGCGACGAGGTGTTCTTCCGCCCCGCCAACACCACCATCGTGGAGGGCATCGTGGTCGACGTGGGGTGGTTCCGAACGCAGATCCGGTCCTTCGAGCGCGAGGTCTGGATCGTCCCGAACTCCGTCTTCTCGAAGATCGTCGTGCGCAACGTCACGCGCAAGGGCCGCGAGTGGCGCTTCTTCCAACAGCTCCTCCTCACCGCCGACTCGGTACGCCGCAACACAACCCACGACTCGGAATACATCCCTCGTCGTCCTGGGCCCTCCACGCGCTGCGCCCGCCCCCCGCGACACACGAAACACAATACCCCCCGTACACGTACAATACCCCCCCCGCAGATCCGCGTCGTGGAGCGCATCGTGAACGAGATCCGGCAGTGCATCCGGCAGGACGCGCGCGTCATCCAGCGGCTGCACCGCCGTGCGTTCGTGAACGGGTTCTATCCGGACCGCATCGAGGTGTACGTGTCGTTCTACATTGACGCCATCAACCAGGACTCCTACATGGCCGTGCGGCAGGACCTCATGCTGCGGTTCGTGCGCACCGCGGAGGAGTGCGGCGGCCGCCTGGCGTACCAGCAGCTCGCCGTCGACGTCGGGACGCAGGCGGGCGTCACCGCCGCGCCCAGCATGCTCGGCGGCGCGCAGGTGCTCGCGCAGGGCGCTGGCATGGTCGACATGGGGTGCGTAACCCCTGCACTTCCCCTCCCCGCCCGCCCCCTATCTTGCTGTGCGCAGCACAAGGGGAGCGCCCTGCGACACCGAGCACGGCTTTGGCGTCGCAGAGTGCGCGTTTGAGCGCCTCAAAGGCTTGCTGAGCGGCCGGAGACTAGGCGAACGCGGCGGTGCCGGCCGACGAGTCGACCGCAGGCTTCGCGACCGCGGCGTAGCCTGCGATGTACTGCCGATAGAACCCTGCAAGACCCAGGAAAGAACGCAGCTCGTTCTGGGTGGCAGCGGGTGCCCGCCGTGCGGATGGCCTCGATACTGTCGTGTAGCATGCTGGTCCCACTGGCGCCGATGACGTGAGAATGAGCCGTTCATCGGACACGACATCGGCGCCAGCGGCATCCGAATGCAACACGTCAGCATCGCGGTCATCCTCACGGCGGCCACTGCCTGCCACCCAGAAAGAGCTGCGTTCTTTCCTGGCCTCGTAGGGTTCTATCGGCAGTACATCGCAGGCTACGCCGCTTCAGTCGACTTGTCGGCCAGCGGCGCCGCGTTTGCCTGGTCACCGGCCGCTCGAGAAGCCACTGAGGCGCTCAAACGCGCACCCTGCAACGACAAGGCCGTGCACCGCGCATTCAGCGACCAGCGGCCCGTCGAACTGCGGTGTGCTGCGTTGTTACCGATCCTCTCTCTCTCTCCGCGGAGTGCTGCGTTGCAGGGACACTCCTGTGCGTGGCGGGCCCGGGCGGTGGGGCGGTCCCGGCGGGCTGGGCGGCGGCGGCGTTGCGGCGCCGGTGCCGGACTCGGACTGGTCGGACATCGCTCCGTCGACGGTGTCGCAGGCCACCGTCATCGCCAGCGCAGCTGGGTTTGGAAAGAAGCCGTTCAAGGCGTCGCCGGAGGACGACGGCGCCGACGAGGCGCACGAGGCGTCCAAGGAGAAGGCGCGAGGGGACGCGCGAGAGAGGGGGCGCGGGGAGGCGCGGTCGTCGGGTACGAGCACGGGTAACGTCGTTGAGGAGGAGGAGGAGGAGGTGCACGCGATTTCGCACCCGCCGCCGCCGGAGGAGCGTGCGCGACGGGCGCGCGAGAGTGCGGAGGCGGCGCGGAACGGGAGCGGCCGGGGCGCGGGGGAGAACGGTGCGCAGGGCGAGGCGCAGGGCAGCAATGGGACGGTGGTGGTGGAGCCCGAGGTGGCGCCGGGGTCGGAGACGGAGTCGGACGAGGAGGAGGAGAAGCGGAAGGCGAGGGTGTTCCAGGACGTGGACGTCGACGCCGAGAAAAAACAGTGACGGCGGTGTGAGGTACACTGTGCCAAGGGAGCGTGGGGCCGCTGCGCGCGAGTGTGGGGTCCCTGGTCCGCCGCTTGCTCGCGCGCGCGCAGGGCGGGTCCGCTGCACACGAGCGCGCGAAGGGAGTGGAGTCGCAAGCCAGAGAGTTGAACATGAACATGAACAGGCGTGATCATGAGTTACATCGCGAGCGCCGGCTCAGCCGAACACGAGCTTGACGAGCATGACTACGATGTTCACGGCGATGAGCGGCACGCGCAGGTACTGCACAGCATGCACGAAGCCAGCTATTTGCTGTTTGAGGCCCCCCTGGTCCGGTGGACCGAAACCTCCTGCGACGCAGACGAAGCGGGAGGTAGTACGTGGGTAGATAGTGCGGGAGACGTGCTTCGGGGCGTTGCGGGGCGCTCGGAGGCGGCGTGGGGCGCACCTGAGCCTGGCTGCGGTCCGCTAAAGGACAGCCCGTGCTTGTTCAGGAACCGCTCGTCGTTCAGCACGGCGACGCCGTTGACTAGCAGGATCGCTGTCTGCAAGGAGGGGAGGCGCGGGCGAGGGTCGGAGCCAAACGGACGGGACGTGCGGGCGGGCGCAGCAGAGTGACATGAGCGGACCGCGGGGTTCCTGCAGGGAAGCCCGACCTGCAGCAGCGACCACAACGTCATAACGACTATCTACGGCGCCCTGCGAGCTCAATGCTCGACCCTGCCGCTGCAACCGGCCCGCAGGGCGGTCAGAAGCCGCTGCACCGAACCACGCGCCTCCGTACGTCGCTACCGGCGGTTTTCGAACGTGTCTGACTCAACCAGAACACCGCCTCTCTGTGCGCATGCCGCCGGACGCACTCCGCGCGCCTCTCATAGCCTCCCGGCGGAGGACTGCCCTGGGCAGCCCAATTGACACGCCCCAGGAGCACATGAGAGGCCTCCCGCGGACACCGAGTTGCTCCTTCCGGCCCCGCTAGCATCGGGCCGCGCCCGCGGCTGGCGTGCGCATACCGGGGCATCGGCGTGCGTGCCAGGCGTCGACTTGCGGGCTGTGTGTCCTGCCTACCTACCTGCGCTGGTGCGGGGCCGTATGTGCATGGACTGATGTTCACGCGGCGGCAGGTCATCCGGTTTCTCACGGAAATCTGGCCTCCCATCGCGAAGAAGCTCGCCCTCTGCCTCGTCGGCATATTCTGCTTCATTAAGCTCTGGCCGGTGATCGTGAGGGCCTTCACGGGGCCGTCGAGCTTCACTTTCGACCCGACGCGAGGCAAGCGCATCAAGCAGGGGCACAGAAAGACGGCCGGTGCATCGAGACCTGCTTCCAGTGCGGCGACCGCCGGCGCTTCCGCGGGTGCGAGCCCTGCCCCCTCAGTGCCGCCCACAGCCCCTGAAATCGACCATCGAAGCGAGGCGCCCCCGAGCAGGCAGAAGTACTGCCTCTTGCTCCAGAGCGGCTGCATTGAGGCATTGTTTCGCCCCGAGCAGCACGCAATCACCCAGCGAGCTCCCCCTCACTCTGCAGCGCGGACCCCGGCCGCTCCCGTGACCGACGACGCCTCCTCGGCCCCGACCGACAAGAAGACGAACTAGACGATAGAGCAGCCGCGGCCACGCACCCCCCGCGACCCTCCCGACCGCCATGCCGGGCTCGGACAAGCCGCGTTATGGGCGCAGCCCCCTGTCCCTGCACCTCCCCGACCGCGACGCGCGCGAGTGGCTCAAGAGCGAGCGCAGGTACTGCACCTCCCCGCCGCCTCCCTCGCGCACCCGTCGCGCCAACCCCCGCCGGCCATCACAACCCTCAAAACCGCAACACAACGCACGTGCAGGGCCGACGACGTGGCCCGCAACGTGAAGAAGTACCCGCGCGCGTACAAGGGCAAGCGCTGGTACGAGCTCACCCTCGAGGACCTCACCGCGGCCCCGCGCCCCTGGCCGGAGGTCGTCGGCTGGGAGGGCGGCGCCGACGCCATAGCTGCGCGTTACTCCGTGCCGCTCAACCTGCCGGTGCTCGTGGACCGCGTCGAGGAGAACCTCGTGCGCTGGGCGCCGAACTACGTCCGCGCGGCGGGCCTCGCGGGGATCTCGGTGCTGGCGGGGCACCCAAAGGCGGCGCTCGGGCTGCTGATGCTGGTGGTGCTCTGGCGGCTCATGGCGCGGCTGTCCGCGGCGAGCGAACGGGCCGCGAGCTCCGGGGCGATCTCGCCGCTCCAGGTGCGCCGCGAGCGTGCGCGTTCGCGGGAAGATCACGGCCTGCGCACTGCACCCTGCAGGCTGGTTGTTGTGGGCCCGTGAGACGTGATGATCGGCGTGGTCCGTTGCGTATACATCGCACGTGCGTGGAGGAGGCGCGCGCGGGCGAGAGAGAGGCTGATGCGGCGTCTCGACGCGGTGTCTTGCCCGCTGCAGGCAATGTGGCACACGCTCCTGTACGTGGCGTGCGGGCTCTCCATGTGGCTCGTCGCGCTGCACTCCCGCGGCCCCGCGACGCTGGCGATGCTCGCGTCGTCCTGCGCGCTCCTGGTCTTCTCGCACGCCGGCCTGCGCCGCTGCAGGTGCGAGGAGCAGCACGCCAGCCGCGTGCGCAGCGGCCTGGGCGTGGGCATCGTGTGGAGCTGGATCGTGGGCAGCGTGCCGTCGGGCGCCGTGGCGGCGGCGGCTGCGGCGGCGGCGTCGGGCTCGCAACCAGGTGCCGGGAGGAAGGCCAACTAGCACGAGTGCCTGCATCGAACCACGGGCGTCCGTGTGAGTTCGATGGCTTCACGGGCCGCCGAGAGCCGGCGTGATGCGCGGCGCGCACAAAGGGGGGTGGGGGGTGTTGAACTGTGCAGGTAGAACCTGTGTCAGGCGTGGCAGACGGTCTGAGACCGGGGGGAGACTGGCAGTACGTTTGGGGGCGCTGCTGGCGCGAGGGCGCACTCGTGCGGGTGCTTCCTTGTCGGGAGGAGGCTGGAGGGTTCTGAGCGGGCTGCTGCGACTGCAATGCCCGCATCCACTGTCGCTGGCGCTGCGAGCGCGATGCGCTGCACGGCGGGAACTCGCACGGCGAAGGTCCAGGGCCTCGCGTTCCGCAGGGTCTCCGCGCGCAGCCCCCTGTGCCGTCCGCGGAAGCTGCGGGCTCCGGCGCCCGCCCGACGGTGCCGTGCCGGTCGCGGGCCAGTGTGGGTCGCGGCCTCTGCCGCGCAGCCGGACTACTACGCGATGCTGGGGGTCCAGCCGAGCGCGACGCTCAAGGAGGTGAAGCAGGCGTTCAAGAAGAAGGCGCTGAAGCTGCATCCTGACGTGAACAAGGCTCCGGACGCACAGGAGAGGTTCCTGGAGATGAAGGAGGCGTATTCCGTTCTGTCTGACACGGTGAGCTCCGCGTCCTGCGCCGTGCGCACGGAGACTAGCACGGAGGATGTGTTCCTGCGGTCTGAGTTGCCGATTCGGGTCGATGTGCGCGCACGCGAGGATCCCTGGGTGTTGGTGGAAGCGCCGCGGCGCGCGCAGTCAGGTGCGCGATGTGCGCTGCCCGGGTCCGCTGCGATGCAGGAGAAGCGACGACAGTACGACTTCCTGCGCAACGGAGGTATCGGGGCGGACTGGGGCACCAGCGGAGTCAAGGGTGACCAGTGGGGAGGCTTCAAGAAGGAAGAGGAGGAGTTTTACGGCCTGGACGACTTCTTCCGCGACTTGGACGAGGAGTACAAGGTATCCGACGCGCTCCAACCTACCTCGCAGCGCCCCGCACGCCGCCCGTTCGCCCATCACAGCTCGCCGCACCACGTACACACGCCCCATGGCCCCGTTCCCCCGGTCCAAGCGCCTGAAACCCCCCCCCGATCCTTCATGAATGGACGCAGGCATACAGGTCGCGGCGGGGAGCGCCCAAGTCCCTGTGGGAGGAGCTGGGCGCCCTCGGTGAAGAGTTCGTCGAGTTTCTGGAGCAGGAGAGCGGCATAGCGGACCCGAGCAAGTCGAACGGGCGCGGGCGCGCACAGTCTGGGCCGCGCGCAGGCAGCGGGAGCGCGCGCGCGTCGCAGGAGCCGCCCAGGCGCCCGCCGCCGCCGCCCCCGCCGCCGCCGAAGAAGAAGTCGATGGACGTGGACGACGAGCTCGCGGCGCTGAAGAAGAAGCTCGGCATGTGAGGCAGGAATATGTCTCCGTGTCGGTGGGCCGTGACGCGCCAGGGCAGCCGGCGCGCACTCATATTCGCACAATTACAAATAGCGCACAACTGTTCGCAAGTGTACGTCTTCGCCGTGCTGGTGACGGACCCGTGCAGCACGACGACGTCTGTCCGCGGCGCGCGGTGCCAGCCACCTGCACTACTGTCCCGAGCGCGAGCCCGCCACACCCGCGCCCACCCAACATGATGCCATGCGACGACGAGCATGCTGCTCGATCACACCGCGCCGCTACTTCTTCTCGATCACGGGCTTCTTGCTCACGATGGGCAGCTCGAGCTCCCGCTCCACCTCCTTGACGAACTCGATCCCCTCCTGCACCGTCGGCATCGACACCATGATCTCGCACACCCACGTGGGCATGCCCTCCTCCTTGCACACCACCTTGTCGCCCTGGCTCACCAGCGGCCGCGCGTACAGCACGCTTGGGTGCCCCACCCACTTGTTCATGTACCGCGTGTGCGCCATGTACCCCGACCGCGGCGCGTTGATGCTGTACTCCGCAATGCACCGCAGCGGCTTCTCGGCGATCTGCGGCCGCACGGGGATGCCCACGGACGCCATGAGGTGCTCGTCGACGAGGTCCACGCCCCACACGAGCCGGTTCGTCAGGTGCACCGGCCCGCCGCCCATGCGGCAGTTGATCTCGATGAGCCGCGGGCCGCGCGAGGTGTACTTGGCCTCCACGTGGAAGACGCCGAGCTTCAGCCCGAGCGACTTGCAGCCCTGCACGGCGAGCTCGAGGAGCTCGCGCTGCTGGTACGAGGGCAGGATCGACGGGCAGTTGGAGCCCGTCTCGTTGAAGTAGGGCTCGATGGTGGGCCAGTTGTCCGTGATGGCGCCGTAGACGGCCTTGCCCTCGGCCATGACGACGTCGACGTCGACCTCCTCGCCGTCGAGGTACTCCTCCATCATCATCGTCAGGTCGATCCACGACGCGGCGTTGTTGGCCTTGGCCGGCCCCGCAGCGGGGTCCGCCTCGGGGAGGTTCTCCTCCTCGACCTTCTCGAGCGCGCCCGACGACACCTTGTACGAGCACATCTCCTTGATGACCTTCTCGTACGCCGTGCGGAGCTCCTCGGGCGAGTCCACGCGGACCACGCCCAGCGACGCCGCGCCGGCGACGGGCTTGATGACCGCGGGGAAGCCGACGACGTCCGCGGCGGCGGAGAGGTCCTCGGGCCCGTGGATGGAGTGCGAGGCCGGGGACGGGAGGCCCGCGTCGGCCATCGCGCGGCGGAACTTGTGCTTGTCGCGCGCCACGTCGACGGCGTCCTTCGGGTTGCACGGGAGGTTGAAGATCTCCGAGAGCCGCGAGACGAGCGGGACGGCCATCTCGCAGAAGGTCGTGATGCCGTCGATGTGCCCGAGCTCCTTGGCCACGTCGTTCAGCCGGTCCAGGATGCGCTGCATGAGCGTGTCCGACTCGTCCATGTCGATCGCGACGAACTTCTCGATGATGCCCTCGTCGACGAGCTTGCGGCTCCACGAGTCCGGGCTCTCCACGATCACCGTGCGCACGCCCAGCCGCTTGGCCTGCTCGAACACGAAGCGCTTCCCGCTGTAGCCCGCCGTGATGAAGACGATCACCGAATCCCTGCGGGCGCGTGGCGGGGGGCGGCGGAGGGTCGGGAGGGGACGAAGCGGCCGTGGGCGCGCGGCGCGTGCGTGCGGGGGGCGTGGCGCGGTGCGGCGTGCTTGACGAACGCACCTGAGCAGCTTCAGGCGGATCTCCTGGCCGCGTTCGGAGTTCTCGCGGACGCGGTTGCTCGTGGTGCCGCCGGGCTTGATCATGTTGCGCAGGTCGACGGCCTTGGGCGACATTGCGATGCTGGAGGCGACGTCGACGCTGCTTGGCATCACGGAGCCAGTTAGGACCTGGGGCGACACCAGGTACGACCGAGCCATCTCGTACGCGCGGTCCGCCTGCGTTAATTGAAGTGGGGAGTGCGGGAGCGTCGGTGGCGCAGCGCGGGCGCGCGTAGCAACGCAGCTGCGCTGGCCTCGGCAGTTGCGCCGCAGCACGCGCGGGCGTTGGCGCGCGCGAGGGCGCGGACGGCGGGCGGCGCCGCGATTTCTCGCGTCAAGAACACGGGCACATGCGTGGGGCGCGGCCCGCTGGCGAGGATGGAGCGGAGCGACGCGGCCGGAGCGCATCCCACCCAGGGGTGGCCAGCTCGAGGCGTCGGCTGTGGCGCGGGCCCAATGCGCAGCGCGCTGGCCCGAACGGCGCGGGATCGGGATCGGCGCGGCTGAGACACCGCTTTGGCCGCACGGGCCGCCTCGGAACGGACCGGCAGCGCGAGAGGCGACGCGCGGCGGCGCCCTCAAGTGGCGGTGGTTGCTTCAGCAGCATAGAGCCTCCCGAAAAAGGCGGAGTGCGGCCAGGGGGCCCGGCAGGGCGGTCCGTCGTGATGTGACCGACCAGAGGCGCGCCGGCGCGCGCGTGCAGGTGTGTGTAGCCCGCCGCCGTCCGCGGCCGTGGACCTGCCGCCGGCTGCGCACCCACAGCGCGCCGGTGGCGCCCCCGCGCGGCGGGCGCAGGGCGGGGCGGGGCGCGCACGTTGTGGGGCTCGGGAATGACGAAGTCGTCCACGTTCGTCTCCGCCACGGAGCCCTTCGAGGGCTGCGCCTGCTGCTTCATGGCCTGGCTGAGCAGCGAAGGCTTCTTGGAGGGCTGTGCTTTCGAGTCCATGCTGGCCGGCTGCGCGAACGATGCGCGTGCCGCGACGGCTGACGAGCCTGCCGGGGATGCCGCGGAGCTGCGCGGCGGCGAGGAGCCTCGCGGGCGGTGTGTCGATTGCCTGGATCGGCCCGGTGGTGCCGCGTCGCTCGGCGCTCCGTGCGATGGTTCGGCGCTCGCGCTCGAAGGCACAGATTGAGTACTGCGCGCGCCGGGCCTTTGCCGGGCCGCAAAGGCGCCGGGCGACGTGTCGTCCCGTCAGTAATGGGACCGACTGCCGCCACCATGTTCGACCGCGCCTGCCACGTGCAGGAAAAACGCGCCCATCACATCGACCAGCTCTCAATGCGCTTTTTCTATCTCGTAGATAGAATTTCGACGCCGAAAGATCGCAACTCGCGTCGGCGCGAGGGCAACCCTAATAACCTGAGACACACCGCGCCTCTCACACCCCCACTGCTCGCAACCCGCCTCCCGCACCCTGCCGCGGCGCAGCGGCCCCGGACACGCCGTCGGCGCCCTCACACGGGGTCCCCGCGGTCCCGGGGGGGCCGTGCGTACGTCACGCGCAGCTTGCGTCCCAACAGCTCCGTGCCGTTGAGGTCCTTGACCGCGCGGTCCAGCCCGGCTTCGGACTTGAAGTGCAGGTGCGCGAAGCCGCGGCACGCGCCGGCCTCGTCGCGGTGCAGTCTGACTTTGCGCAGCGTCAGGCCGCGGAAGTGCCGCTGCAGGTCGCCGTCCGACACCGCGCCCTCGCCCGTCGGCAGGTTGCCGACGTACGCCACCAGGTACCCCGGGGTCTTCTCGGGCCCCTGCGATCCGGGGCGCGGCCGTAAACGAACCTGAGGTCACCGTTCGTGATCAACACCACCACCGGGCCTGCCTACAACAGCACAATTGTGCTCGTCGCGCGAGGCGCCGCTGGTGCCGTACGGGCAAACATGAGCGGGAGCACGGAGTTGAGCGCGGCGCGGGTGTGCGCGCACCTGCGTCGGCGCTCCGTCGTTGCGGTTGCCCCGCTGTCTGCCAGAGGGCACGTAGGGGCGCACGACGAGCGTGCCGCCGTCGAGGCCCGTGCCGTCGTACTCGAGCGCCTTCTTTGCGCCCTCCTCGTCCTCGAACGTCACCATCGCGATCCCGCGGAACCGCCCTGAGTCGGGGAAGGTCACCATGTCCACGTCAGACACCGCGCCGCACTCCCCCCACACCGCGCGCACCGCGTCTTCGTCGTACGTGAACGGCATCCCGCCCACGTACACCTTCCGCGGATCCTGAGCGCCCTCCCGGGGCCGCGCCTTGAAGTCCGCAGCCTGCACACACGCACCCCGTAACCACGCAAGTTGCTCTTTCGTCCCCTCACGTCCGTCGCAACGCTACGTGCACGAGCGCGCCGACGAACGACAGACCGAACGCACCTTCCGCTCGCTCCCCGCCGCGTTGCCCCACGCCCAACCCTCCCCGGCGCCCTCACTCCCCCCCTGCCCCTGCTCCGAGCCCTCCCGGTCAGACTCGGCGCCAGCGTCGTCCTCGTCGGGCCCAGCGGCCTCCGCGGTATCGCCGCCCTCGAAGCCGAACGCGAACTTCGTCACCTGACGCCCCTGGGGGACAGAGAAGACACCCCCCCCATACCCCATCACTTCCCGCATCTCCAGCGCCTGCTCGCGGTTGCCCGGCAGCTGCCGCCGCGCCCGCGCGCCTGCCTCCACCGCCGCCGCCCCGTCCTCCCCCGCGCCCTCCTCACCGCCGCCTCGAGAGACCTTCTTTCCCGACTTTTGTTCCTTGGCTTTCTTCCCATCTACCGGCGCCCCCGGGCTCGCCGCCGCCAGCGCCTCCTCCTTCTCCCTCAGGAGCCTCCGCAGCAGCTTGACCTCGGCCTCGAGCCCCTCGGCCGGCGCCGCGTCGTCCGCGGGCGCCGCGCCCTGAGGTTGCTCAGGCGTCTGCCGCGGAGCAAAGTTCGGCGGAGGCGGCGCGGCGCCCTTCAGCTGGGCCGCAGCGTTGGCCTGCTTCGCGAGCTTCTTGTTGAGCTTCTTCTGCTTGCGCGCCGCGACCTCCTCCTCGCTGCGGTTGCGCACGCGCTTCGGCTTGACGGCAGGCGCGGCGGCGACGGTGCCGCCGGCATCGTCCGGGCTCGGCTGGGCCGCCGCGGGCGGCGCGGTCGCCACGGCGGCCGGCGGCGAGGCGGGCTCCGCGGCGCCGTTGGCCTTCGCGGCTTTCTTCCTCTGCTTCTTCAGCTTGCGGGCGGCGACCTGCTCGGCCGAGCGCACCCGCTTCTTCGACGCCGCGCCCTCCTCGTCCGCCATGGTCCAGCGAGGGATCGGGCGCGAAGAGTAGCGTCAGAGATGGGGATCGCGGTGGCTCGGACTCGGAATGCTCGCAGGCCCGGGTTCGCGCGCGCGGCCGCAGCGGCACTGGAAGCCTGATGGGTCGCCGCCCGCGCTGCTGTCACGCCCGAAGTCGGCGGCCGGCCGCTGAACAAGATGATTGTACTATGATTGGGTCTCAAGCCTCCTTCGAACCGTCTCGGGAGATATATCTCGGTCAAAAACCACAGTGGCAGCACACAATTCTGCACCTCAGTGCCTATTTGTCACGAATGTTGCGGAGCGGAACGCGTGCTGGTGTGCGACCAGCCCCCGGCTGCAGCGCCGCGACGCGGCACGCCGGCATTGACATCGTGCGCCTGCACCGATGGTACAACACGCCTGCACATGAACACGCCCCGCACGCGGTCGCGAGGGCCGCTACAATGTGCGCTCCGGAGCCCGCGCACGGACACGTCCACCTGGTGCGCTTTGCGGCCGGAAGCACTCGACGAGCAGACAGCGTGACGCAGGTTTCGAGCGCGTGAAGCAACGCGAGTGGCATCTACGCAAACATGCCGTCCCCGCTCGCACTCCACGGCCCCACGCCGGTGCTGGGCCCGCGGATCCCTAGCTCACCGCGAGCCCGATGCGTCGCGGTGCCGCCGGCTCGCGCAGCGCGGCGGACTGTGGCGCGCGCGGCGCCGGGGGACGGCGGGTCCGTGCCCAAGGTTGTTGCCCTGGGAGAGGCCCTGTTCGGTACGAATCAGTCCCTCCCCTTTACTTCTGTGCGACACGTCATCTACTTGTCAAGCGCACAGGGCGGATCGCTGTCGCAGACCCCCGCAGACTGCCCGCGGGGCTCCCTCGGTGGCTCACTCGCCCTAGATGGCCCGCGGCGAGCCGACCCGGGGACCGCGGCCCGCCTGTGCGCTGCGATGCAGACTGCCTGGCCGACCAGATCGGTCTGCCGAAGGAGCAGGTCACGTCCTGGACGCCGTACCCTGGCGGAGCGCCCCTCAACGTCGCAACTGCCTGCGCCCAACTCGGCATCCCCACCGCGTTCGTCAGCGCGATCGGGAAGGACGAGCTGGGCGACAAGCTCGTCGCGCTGATGGAGAAGAAGGGCGTCGACATGTCCGGCCTGACGCGGATCGACAAGCCCACGCGTGACGTCCTCGTGGAGAGGAAGGAGGGCGGAGACCGCGTGTTCGCAGGTGCGTGGCGCGCCCGACGCCCCCCGCGCGCTGGCGCACCGCGCCGCCCCGAGTGTAGGCTCTGCGGCCGCAGGGACAGCACGTGCGGCGCCCGAGGTACGCGCCAGAGGTATGCGACACGCAGCGAAGACGTGACGTTCAGTGCGCTGCGTGGCGGCCGTTCGCCTCCGCAGGATTCGGCTCCCCGACGGAGACGTACGCGGACTGCTTCGTCGGGCCGGAGATGATCCCCGTCGCGCTCGTGGCGGGCGCGGAGGTGATGGTGATGGGCACGCTAGGGCTAGCGCAACCCGAGACGGCGCGGGGGATGAAGTTCGCGGCGGAGGAGGCGCAGAAGGCCGGCACCGCGGTGCTGGTGGACGTGAACTGGCGCCCGGTGTTCTGGGCGGACCCTGCGGCCGCGCTGGGCCCGATCAAGGAGCTGTTGTCCTGCGCGAGCATGATCAAGTTGACGGACGAGGAGGCGGAGTGGCTCGTGGGGATGCCCGCGGCGGAGGCGATCAAGGACCCCGCCACGCTGGAGAGCAAGGTCAAGGCGGTCGCGCCCAACTGCAGGTGCGGCGGAGAGCGGAGCTGTGCACGATGCAGCCGCGATGCGCCGCGAGGGGGGTCCCCACGTGCGGGTCGCGCACGGCGCCCGCGAGCGCTGAGGCTGCTGCGTCCCGCCGCAGCGGGGTGCCGCTCTGCTCTGTTCGCTGCTTGCTGTTCACCACCTGCTTAGCATGTGCAATGGTGTGCGTGGCGGCGCTGAGCGCTCGGATCGCAACCCGCGGCTGCAGGGGCATTCTCGTGACCGGCGGCGAGGCGGGCGCGGCGTACTCGTTCGGCGGCGTCAGCGGGATCCAGCCAGTGCTCGACATTAGCGTGAAGGACACGACCGGCGCTGGCGACGCGTTCACCGCGGGGTTCGTCTTCTGCCTCACGCAGGCCGGGGGCCTGGACAAGCTGCTCGAGGACCCGAAGCTGCTCGGGCGGGCCGTGGCCTTTGCGAGCGCGTGCGGCGCGCTGACGTGCAGTGCGCCCGGGGCGATCGACGCACAGCCGTCGAGCGACGCCGTGCTGAAGCTCATGCGCGAACAGACGGGCTACGAGTGATCTGCGCCGTCCGCGAGGGTGCGCTGGAACGGACGCGCGTGTTACGTATCTTGACATGAGTTGTTGCACCGTCCCCTCCCTGACGCGTGGCGCGTCTCCGGGCGCGAAGCGCCGTGACTCGTTGCAGCGTCAAAGATGGCGCACGGTCTGCTGATGCGCGGTGCCGCGAGCCCCGCAACGCGTTGCGCAAGTCGCCTCACAGGAGCATGCGCAGGTGTGCTGGGACCCCGACACCTGCCGCTGCAGCTTGCTCATCCTGCGTGCGGGTACTTCACCGCGTCGTTGCTCTCGGCAACACCTTTTCGTGGCCAATGAGACCTCCAGTGGACACGGTTGCCATGATACTGATACTTGATGATGCGCAGCGCTCATGGCGGCGCGCTTGGCCGCGAGTCTGCCGTGCCGTTCTGCGCCCTCACCGACGCCCGGCGGCCCTCCGCGGCGCCGCCGTCCGCGATCGTCGGCATTTGCGCGAACCGCGACGCCCCCACGTGCTTGGGCTGTCCCAGCGGGCCCAAGTCCTCCGACCGCCCCCTCGCCGCCGCCCCCTGCTGCTCCTCCCCCTGCGAGCGCACCGCTGGCCGCACCGCCTGCGTTCCGGCCTCCTGCAGCCGCGCGTCCCCCCGCTCGCTCGCGTTCAACACCTCCCTCGCGTCCTGCAGCGCGCCCCCCAGCAGCGACCGGTGCGGCGCCGACGCCCCGAGCGACGCCTTCACCTCGTACACGCGCTTGAACCGCTCGAACTCGTGCCGCGACAGCACGCCCTCCAGATGCGCCGGCCGCACGTGCGCCTCCTCGTCGCCCAGCGGCAACACGATGGGCACGGGGATGCGCCCCTCGAGCGCGCCGTCGACGAGCGACCGCGCGCACGACGGACAGAGCCGCCGCCCGCGCTCCAGCACCACCGGCATGCCTCGGCGGGTCTGGTTGTAGCCCAAGCAGAGGCGGCAGTAGTACCCCTGGTCGACCTCGACGCGGCTGGAGCCGTCGACGACGTCCAGGGAGAGGTGCATGCGGCGGTAGAGGTCGTGGTCGTCCGCGGGGTGCAGTCCGAGCGGGCTGAGGGCGCGAACGATCCAATCGTGGATCTCGAACGCCTCTCCGGCGCCCGTGGGCGGGCCTGGGGAGCGCGCGGCGCTCGCTGCCTTCGCGAGCTGGGACAGGGCGCCGACGGCGAGCGACGTGAGGTCGTGTACGCGCGCGTCCGCGGAGGAAGGCGAGCGCGAAGGCGCGGTGCACGCGCCCGAGGACCCGTCCTTGCGGTGCTGCTCGGAGCCCGTGCGGGAGATGGCCGCCCACGCACCGGCGCTGGGGAGAACTGCAGGGGCGCCGGAGGTGGGGGTCGGGCGCGGTGGGGTGCTGGTTGGTTGGAGCGTGGCAGAGGGTCTGGGTGGAGCTGTGCGCGCGCGGGCGGCGCGGTGGGGCGCGTGTGAGGACGAGGAGTGTGGTGTGGGAGTGATGGGCTTGCCTCGGTGCCGGATGCGGCGGATGTCGTGCTCGAGCCGCGCCAGGCCGGCTGCGCGGCGCGCCTCCATCAGTTGCCGGACGCGCTCGCTGAGGAGGTTCGTCTCCTGCTTGAGGTGATGCATGCGCGACATCTCCGTGTAGATGATCCAGCAGGCCATGAAGGACAGCAGGAGCGTGCACAGGGCGCCCGGGGCCGGCCAGAGGTGACGCAGGGCGCTGTAGAGCACCGCCGCCCCGGCCACACCAGCGAGCCGTTTGAGGCCCCGCCGTCTCAGTTCAGCTGCACAAGCGGGGAGCCGGGCACGCAATGCGGTCTTAGGCACGTCCGCGGGCGGGAGGGCGTCGCTGCGTGCAGCACGGGCCCTCGCCCACACCGCGCGAGCGGGACGACAGCGCGGGCTCGCTCGCGGCGCTCCAGACGCACGAGAGGAAGAGGCAGCCCGACGGATGCAGCCCGGTGCGCCTACAGCCCCACCGTGGCGCCACCGCTCCGCCTGCCACTGCCTCGGTCAAGGGGTAGCTGCGTGGCGCGCCCCTGCGCTCCAGGGCGGTTCCGCGACACGCAGGGCGAGGTCTGGGACGCACCATGTCCGAGCTTGCTGAAACCCTTCGGATCGTCCATCGTGTTCAGTCCGGTCAGCTTCATGCTGCGGCCCGACATACCAGAGACCGCCTTCCGCCGGCTGGTCCACCAAGGGGTGAGCATCCCGCCGCGCACCATGGCCGCCCCGCTCAGCCGCACCTAGCTCTAGGACCGGCGCTGCGCCCGGCCGCCGACAGCTGTCCACCTGCGCACTAAAAGCAGCGGTCCCGTCACGCTCTCATCGCCTTGGAACCCCTAGAACCGCCCGCGCCCACCCTCTCGAACACTATACTCCACGCCGACAGGCTCGGCAGCGCCCAGCGAGCACCCAGTCTCGCAGCGCCCCCCTCTAGTCACGCTGCAAGCCCCGCGTCTCACGGTGGTGCAGTCCGACGCGCGCAAGCGGGCCCTCCAATGCGAGCCAAGATCGGTGGCGTCAGGGAAGCCGTCTCTGGCCGCAGCCGGCGCGTTGCGCGGCCATGGTGGCCGTTCCGCCCCGGGGGAGAGCACTTTCAGCCCCCAGTGAGACCAGGAGCCGTGGTGGGCGCGAGCGCGGACCGCAGCCCGTGGGGGCGCGCCCGCGGGCGCGCGTGGCACTTGTAACGCCGAGGCGTGGAACTATTCTTTCCGCTTCGACTTGATACAAGGACCCATCATGTCTGCTCCTTCGGCTATGTGCGTCGTCGAGAAGGGCGCGACCGCCGGCCGCGAGTACAAGGTCGCCGACATCTCGCAGGTGTGTTTTCCATCCGTCCTGGTCCGCGCGTTCGCGGCGATACCCCCGCTCCGCGCGCCCCGCGGCCAGCCGCCCCGGCGCCCCCCGCCCCAGGCTGAGCTTGCTGCGCGGCTGCGCGCGCCCTGCGCCCGCAGGCCGACTTCGGTCGCATGGAGCTGGACCTCGCGGAGGTGGAGATGCCCGGCCTGATGTCGTGCCGCAAGGAGTTCGGCCCCTCGAAGCCGTTCAAGGGCGCCAAGGTGTCTGGCTCGCTGCACATGACGATCCAGACGGCCGTGCTCATCGAGACGATGACCGCTCTGGGCGCGGAGGTCCGCTGGTGCTCGTGCAACATTTACTCGACCCAGGACCACGCCGCGGCCGCCATCGCGCGCGACTCTGCGTCGGTGTTCGCCTGGAAGGGCGAGACGCTCGAGGAGTACTGGTGGTGCACGCTCCAGGCCCTGACGTGGCCCGATGCCGACGGCCCCGACCTCCTCATCGACGACGGCGGCGACGCCACGCTCCTGATCCACGGTGCGCGCCCCAGCCGCCACCTCGCGCGGCACCTGTCGCCTGGTTCGACGAGCACCGCCGTGCGCCGCCTGCCGGGACGGACCGATGCTTGTGCGGCGCTCTCTCTGCTCATTTTTGATCAGGGGCGCCGGAGACGCGCGAACCGCGTCACCCTGCGCCGGGAGCGCAGCCAGAGGCCTCGAGCCCGCGGGACGGCTCGCATGGGCCCGTCCGTCGAGAACGGCCCGCGCGCAGTCGTGGGCCCGATCGCGAGCGCTTCCACGCTGCGCACTTCGCCGGCTACCTCCGTTGCCTGCGGAGCCCCGCCGCCCCCGGGCGCCGTTTCCGCGGTGCCACCCCTCACCTGAGTCCCGCCCCCCCCGCGTCGCGCAGAGGGCGTGAAGGCCGAGCTGGCGTACGCGAAGGACGGCTCCCTCCCGGACCCGTCGAAGACGGACAACGCCGAGTACAAGATCGTGCTCAGCATCATCAAGGAGGGCCTGCCCAAGGACCCCACTCGCTGGCAGCGGTGCGCCAAGAAGCTGGTGGGCGTGTCCGAGGAGACGACGACGGGCGTGAAGCGCCTGTACGAGATGGAGAAGGCCGGCGAGCTGCTGGTCCCGGCGATCAACGTGAACGACTCGGTGACCAAGTCGAAGTTTGACAACGTGTACGGGTGCCGCCACTCGCTGCCGGACGGCATCATGCGCGCGACGGACGTGATGATCTCGGGCAAGCAGGTCATCATCTGCGGGTACGGCGACGTCGGCAAGGGCTGCGCGTTCGCGATGCGCGGGCAGGGTGCGCGCGTGGTGGTGACGGAGATCGACCCCATCTGCGCGCTCCAGGCGTGCATGGAGGGCTTCACCGTCGCGCCGATGAAGGACTACCTGGCGACGGGCGACATCTTCATCACCACGACGGGCAACAAGGACATCATCATGGCCGAGGACATGGCCAAGATGAAGAACAACGCCATCGTGGGCAACATCGGCCACTTCGACAACGAGATCGACATGGCCGGCCTCATGAAGGTCCCGGGCATCAAGCGCCAGAACATCAAGCCGCAGGTCGACCGCTTCGTCTTCCCCGACGGCCACGGCGTCATCATGCTGGCCGAGGGCCGCCTGCTCAACCTGGGCTGCGCCACGGGCCACCCGTCGTTCGTGATGTCGTGCTCGTTCACCAACCAGGTCATCGCGCAGCTCGAGCTCTGGAACGAGCGCGCGTCGGGCAAGTACGACAAGAAGGTCTACGTCCTGCCCAAGCACCTCGACGAGAAGGTCGCCGCGCTGCACCTCCCCGCGCTCGGCGCCAAGCTCACCGAGCTCACCGACGAGCAGGCCACGTACATCAACGTCCCCAAGGGCGGCCCGTACAAGCCCCACACCTACCGCTACTAAGCGCGCCGCTCGCCGCTGCGGCGCGGCGGGCTGACCGCCGCCCCCGCGCCCGCGCCTTGCTAGCAATGTAGGACAGAACACTCGCGCCCGCGCAGAGGTATATCCTCCTGGTGAACGCCAGGACGCAGCGCGCGGGAGGGCGCGCGACCGCGAGGTGGCTGGGGAGGGCGTTCATGCCGCGTCCCTCCGCGCCCCCGCCGTCGCCGCCCCCCGCTCGCTCCCGCGATGATCGCATCGACACGCAGCGCCGCCCTGGCAGAGCGCCTCGCCGGCCGCTGTTGTAACCAGTACTGAACCGCTCGACTGCGCGGCGGCGCGGCATGTCAGCTCAAATGCGCGCTGCGCTGTCGTGCGTGCTAATTGCTGCCCCGCGACTGCACTCGCGTACGACGCGTGACCAGCAGCTGCCGTTCTTGGTCACGCGCCCTCGGCTGCCATCGGTCGGGGGGGCGGAGCGCAGGCTTGCGACGCACGTGCGGAACGGCGCCGGTGCGCCGTTCCATGTAGGACCCGGCGGAGCGACGGGGCGTTGTGCATTGTGCACGGGCATTTCGGCTCATACCTCCCCTTGGGAGGTGTCAACACGTCGTCACGCGGCCTGACTCAGCTGCGTGGGACGCGCCGGGTGGTTGCGGAGCGAGGCAGGACGCGCGCGGCACGCGCAGCGTGTGGGACTGCTTGGCTTCGTGCCGCGTTCGCAGGCGTACGGGGCGTGCAACCCCCTACGCAAATTCACGGGTCGCATCGTTTGCACTGTGCGGGCGGTGGGCGCGTGCGTCAGTGCGCGAGCGGCGTGTTGAGACAGCGAGCATCCTTTTCGCGAGCAGGCGCTGAACAGGCGGGGGCGGGATGCTGGCGGCGTCGCGTGCAGTGGTGGGGGGCAGGGAGGGGCCGTGCGGGCGGGGAGGGGGCCGGCGGGGGTCAAGGCGCATCGGAGCGCGAGTTGTGCGATACGGGGGAGGGGCGGGGCAGGCGGGCGCGGGGCGAGGGGTCGCGGTGGGTGCGGCGCGGCGGGTGTTGGCAGTGGGAGTCGGAGGGGCGCGGGACGGCGCGGGGGGGGAAGTACGGGGCGACCCGGGGGGCGGTGCGGGGAGAGGAAAGAGACGAGGATACGACGCGAGGGCGGAGGAGTTCTGGCGGGAGCACAAGATCGAGGACATGACCTGGGTGCAGGACAGGTTCCCGCCGGACGATCACTTTTGGAGGGACGGGAAGAGGCTTTACGCGCGGAAGGAGGTGCGATACACGCGGCACACGCATGTCAGTCTGTCGAGCGGGCTGGGACGGCCCAGCACGGCGACTTCCTTCCGCAGTGCGACGCGCACTCCAGGTCATCCTGAGGAATGCGCTGACGGGGTGCGTTTGACCGTGGCGCTGGATCCCGGAGCGCGTGTGCAGGAGTGGCTGCGGGAGCTGCCGTGGATGACTGAGGGGACCTTCCAAAAGATGCTGCGGAGGGAACCATCGTTGATCAGACTGAAGGCAGGGACTCTGGGTGTGACGATGGAGGCGCTGAGGGGGTGCTTGGCATCGACAGCGATGACGGAGGAGGACTGGACGACGGCGGTGCAGAGGGAGCCGAGAGCGCTGGGCACCACGCCTCACCGCGCGAGACAGCAAGTGAGCGTGATGGCATGTGTGGCTTGATGGTGTGTTGTGGCGGGGCGGGGCGCGGAGTAGGCGCTGGTATAGGGCGCGGGGGCGGTGAGCGTGGCGAGAGCGGGGCACGTGACGCGGTGCGGCTGTGCGCGGTTGGTGCAGGTGGAGGAGCTGCGCAAGGTGCTGGGCGCTGGCGAGGACGAGAACGGCGACAAAGCTGTCGGGAAAGCGATACGCAATTGTGCGCCCCTTCTGAGTCAGTCGGTCGATATGCTGTGGGCGAAGCGGCGTTTGGTGGAGGACATTGTTGGCACACTGCTAGGAGACGTGGAGGTGTCGGGAGGGGGCGGGCGGGTCAGAGGGACAGGAAATAGCGCGGGGCGCAAGCAGCGACGCGGGGGCGGGGCGCACTGGGCGAAGGCGGGTGCAACTGTGGATGGTGTTGCAACGAAGATGATTGGGACCTCGCCACAGCTGCTGACTGCTTCCAAGGAGGCCCTGGAGGAGCGCGTTGGTGATCTGATGAAGCTGATGGCGGGCAGGACGGGGCGGGCGCGCGTGGCCGGCGCCATCATGTCTTGCCCCCATTTGGTGTCGCGGTGCACGATCGAAACAATGGAGCCGAAGTGGTGGCTACTCGTGCGGGGATGCGAACGCAACAAGGGGTGGGCGGAGTGGATAGACGACGTACCGGCGGGGAGCCTCGGAACGTTGCTGACGATAGGCCTGGAGCGCATCGCAGTGCTGATGGTGATTGCCGACCTGGTGGAGGAGTGGGAGGCGGAGGCGGTGCGGGAGAACATCGCCGAGGAGGAGGCGGCGGTGTGGGCGGCGGCGGCGGAGCTCTTGAGGCGGGCGCCCTCGGACTTGGTCAACAGGGCAAAGCTGGAGGGATCCCCTAGCACCAAGGGGGCGCTGGAGAGGCTGGGCGTGAACAAGGAGGTGTGGAGGCGGGTGGTGGGGAAGCGGGCGAAGGCGTACAAGGAAGAGGCGGAGGCGTACGCGGAGGCGCTGCGCAAGGCTCGCAGCATGTGACCTGCGAGGGGCGCAGAACTTTCAGCAAAGCGAACGAGCTTGCCGAGGGCCTCGGGATGAGCTGGCCAAGATGGGTGTCTTGCTCGTTCCCGGCCATCACACTTCCTTAATATGTACATCACGACAGTGGCGGACTGTCCCCCCCCTAGCAGTTCTCCGTGGCGTGCATGTGCACGCCCAGGTACTTCAGGTGGTCGGTCACGCTGTGGCAGAACCCCCAGGCGCACATCTTGTCGTGGCACGTGGGGTCCTCCCCGCTGCCGTCGCACACCCGCGCGAGGGTCAGGACGCGCAGGCCGCCCGGGATCGTCACGTCGACCGTGAACACCTCCGTCGCCACGTGGTGGAACCCGGCGATCTGGTACGGCACCGACGGCACGGGGTCCTGGTTGTGCGTCAGACGCGTGGTGCTGTTGGTGATGGCCTCGACCACGTGCGCGAACGGCTCGTTGCCGACGCGCGGGGACCCGAACGTGTGCAGGTGCATGCGCTCGGGCCGCACGGCGGTCTCCACGCTGAAGTGCAGGTCAACTGCGCACAAGAGAAAGCAACGCAACCAAGATATGAAACGCTGCCCTGTATTTCGTTTTCGCGCCACAACGCGCGCACCACGAATGAACGAACCCCGCTCACTGGGGCCTCGCGGTACGTCGCCGCGGCGGCCGGTCTCGCAGGTCTTCGCCGCGCATGACCGCACCGACAGCGGCGAGGAGACGGAGAGGCGCGGTGCGTGTGGTGTCGCGGCCCACCTGCGCTGATGGTGGCGAGCGCTCCGCCGAGGGAGTGCCCGATGAGGTGGACGGTCTTCTCGCCGTGCTTGGCCTGCAGTGCTTGGAGCGACGCGTGCACGCGGGGCCGCAGCAGGGACCCCGCGTACGCCTCCCAGAACCCCGTGTGGACGCGGATGGGCTTGTCGGTCGGGAACGGCAGGTCCATGGTCGTCCGCGCGTACTTGATGTTCTCCATCCAGTTGTACAGCGAGCCGGCGTCCGTGCCACTGCGAGAGTGCGCGGTCAAGAACGAAATCAGAGCTGTTAGGGGGTCTCGCGCACCAAGTCCTGCAGGTATCCGCACGAAAGCGACACCAGAGCGAAGACAGGGCCTTCGCCGTGGGCCTGGGCGGGCCGGGCATGCTATGGGGCGCGTCAGTGGGCGTCGCTCGTTGGGTAACGATCTGGCGGGGCAACGGACTTACCGGAACACGACCAGGAAGCTGTCCAGGTCCGGACTGTACCCGGTGTAGGCGAGAAGGTCGTTGTTTGCGTCGTCGATGAGCTCCTGGAGCTCGAAGTTGGCCAGCTCGGGCAGGCCGACGCACTTCTTGCAGGTCCACGACACCAGCAGCTCGTGCTTGTCGCAGTACAGCACCGACTGGAACTGCGCTATCAGCGTCTCCGCATCCTCATCGAACTCTCTGTCCGGAGACCCGTCTTTCGCTCCCTTGCGCGGCCAGTTCAGGTCCAGCAGCCCGTGCTTCCATCCTCCCGAGAACAGGCGCGCAGCCGATGCCACGGAGGCGTGCGCCGCCAGGACGAGCGCGCACAGCAGAGCTGCAAGATAGCTCGTCCGTCCCTTGCTTCGTCGCGCCCCAAAACCCATCCCGCCACCCCAGTTCCGCGGCGCAACGCTCCACGAGGGCCAACAGGCCCCAATCCCCGCCACGAACGGCCAGCTAGATCCGCGCAGCACGCCAGATACCTAGTGTGTAGCCTGTTCAAGCAGCCTGTGGCCGAAACCAAGGCTCTGCTGGACGTGCCTGCCCGTACGCGCCGTGCGTGTCCACCTAATGCTCGACTCCGAATGCGCCCCGCGGCACGCGGTGCAGCGCAGCACACTGCAGTACGCGAGCAAGTTCGGCCGCCGGGTGCCTCAGTGCACCGTTCCGTCCGTCGCGGGCGCCCACTCAGCGACCGAGCTCGACGCGCCGGGCGGAGTTCTCCCGCCCTTGCGCCGGTCAGACGTTGACTCACGCCACGCGCGGCACCCAGGATGTCGCGCACCGGAGAGCATCGCGGCATGTCGGTGGCCGCGGGGCGCGTCATCGAGGTCACGCGTCGCCTCATCAGACGAAGCACTCGGGTGTAAGGGTACGTACGATGTTCAGATTGCCACACGCCGTGTTGATGCGAAGCGCGGCTCCCCAGGGGGAGCGGCGCGGCGCGGCGCTGACGAGGCCGTTCGCTGCGCTCCGGCGAGCGGCTCCCCTGCTCCGTGTGCGCCTGACTCAGGGGGGGGAGGTGTTTTGCGATGACGCAGCGTGCGGTCAGCGGCGAAGCGTGCAGTGCGGCGCCTCGCGCCGTCGCGCGCTGAGTTCGCGCGATGTCGACGGTCCTGAGCAAGGACATCGTGCGCGCGTTGTCTGACGCGCGCTACGATCGAAGGAAGCATGCCGCGCTGGGCATCGAGGCGTCCGTGCGGTCTCTGAGCGCGCAGGGGCGCACGGGGGAGATCAACGAGCTCCTGCGGCGCCTCTGCGATGAGTTCGCGTTCTCGCCTCTGTCGAACAACAGAAAGGGAGGCCTCATCGGCCTCGCAGCCCTCGCAGTGGGCCTTGGCCCCGCCATAGACGCGGTGCTGCCGACCCTAGTGCCTGCCGTCCTCCAGGTATGCATATCAGATGACAACTGCGATAGTGACCGTGCACCGCGCGCGAATGCCGCCTCTTCGCCGCGCCGACGACGCCACACGGGACCTCTGAACGTGCGCCGCAAGGCGGTTGCCCGCTGTCTGTGCCTTTCACGGCCTGCCGTCCCCTGGTCCAACCGCGAATGACTGCTTTGTGTCAAGCGACATCGGTTCCGTGAGTATCAGCCACTGAACTCCAAGGGCCCGCCGCGGCACCCCGACCCCACTCCTGCACTCACACACGACGCGCGCAGAGCTTCAACGACCAGGACCAGCGCGTGCGGTACTACGCATGCGAGGCCCTGTACAACATCTGCAAGATCGCGCGCGGCCACTGCACCGCCTACTTCGAGTCGCTCTTCGACGCCCTCTGCAAGCTGTGCGCAGGCACGCCACCCGCGCGCACGCACGCGCCGCCGCCTGCCCGCCCCCCGCACGCCCCGACCGCACGCCCCACGCCCGCCGCGACCCCGCAGACACGGACCCGAGCGTGCGCAACGCCGCGCAGCTCCTCGACCGCCTGTTGAAGGACGTCGTCGCCGAGGAGGCAACCTCCGAGAAGTTGTCGCGCGAATTCCTGCCGGAGCTGATCCCCGTGCTCAAGGAACGCATGGCCGCGCCGAGCCCGTACGTGCGGCAGCTCCTCGTGTCCTGGCTCGCGCTCCTCGACACGCTGCCGGAGCTGCAGCTCGTGCAGTATCTTCCAGACTTGCTCGACCCGCTCCTGGGGATGCTGGACTCGGACGCGACCGAGATACGGTCGTCCGCGTCGCAGGCGCTCGCGGACTTCCTCGAGGTGCGTCCGGCCCGGCCTGTCCCGCAGTCAACCCACGAAATACGATCCGTTGATCGTGGAAACGTGTTTTTTGTGTTTGGTGCCGAAGACAGCGGCGCGTGGTGGCCTGCTGCGTGCAGGAGATCAAGACCGGCGGCGAGGTCGACGTGCGTGCGCTGGCGCACATTCTGGGGCGGTGGTCGTCGCACCCCGGCGCGTGCAGCGAGTCGGTGCTGCTCACGACCCTGCGGTGGCAGACGGTGCTGCTCGACGTGCACCTGCGCGCCGTTGCGCCGTGCTTCCCGGCGACGGTCCGCACGGCGCTCCTCTCGGTGAGCAGCCCGAACGTCGGCATCGCGGAGGCGGCGCGGGCGCTGAACGACGCCCTCATGCGCAACATGCCGGGGGGAGTCCGCGGGGAGGTAGAAACGGACGCGATCCTGGCGGCCGTGGCGGAGACGCTCGAGAGCCCGCGGCCCGCGACCGCGCTCGCGTCGCTGCGGTGGCTCAGGGCGATGCTCGACAGCCCGTCGCGCGACGCGGTCGTCGCGAGCGCGCAGACGTTCGTGCCCAGCCTGGCGCGTACGGTGACGGAGGCGGCGCCGGAGGTGGTCGCGGCGGCGCTCGACGTGATGAACGCCATGGCGGGAGACATGGAGCACTTCCACCTCCTGCTCACGCACCTCATGGACTCCTTCCGCGGCCCGGACGGTACGCCATTCGTTTGTTTGTACATTTGTTTGTACATTCAACTTGCTTTCGCGTGCGATGCGTGTTGATTTCGTGGGAACCGCACCACCGCGGCGCACGTCCGTCGCTTGCAGGGATGCGGCGGCTGCAGCAGCAGGGTTCAGGCACCATCCGGAAGCTGTGCGCGCACCTGGGAGCGGAGCGCGTGATGTGCAAGCTCGCAGTGCTCCTGGAACACGAGCCGGACACAGAATTCGCCGGCACGGTCGTCCAGACGCTCGGCCTCATCCTGCTGACGGCTCCAGAGCTCGCTGAGATGCGCAGCAAGCTCAAAACGCAGCGGCAAGGTCCGAAAACGCCATCGCCTGCTCTTGCGCTGCGCTCCTCTTGCCTGCGCAGCGCGCGACGACGCCCGCCCGCCCGCCCGTGCCGCTGCAGTGATCCTGCGCGGGGAGGTGCCGGAGCTCCTCCCGCGGCTCTTCTCGTGCTGGTGCCACAGCCCCGGCGCGGTGCTGTCTCTGTGTCTACTTGCGGAGCACTACAAGCTCGCCGAGGCGCTGCTGTGCGTCTTCGAGCGCGTCGAGGTGCACGTCGACATCCTCGTGCAGCTCGACCGCCTCGTCATGCTCCTGGAGACCCCTGTTTTCACTCCCCTCCGACTCCACCTCCTGCGGCCCGCGGAACACCCCTCCCTGGTCCGCGCGCTGTACTCCCTCGTCATGCTCCTCCCGCAGTCCGACGCGTTCTCCCTCCTCTCGCGCCGCCTCGCCGCCGCCCCGATCCAGAGCCTGCTGCACCTCGACTCGCTCCAGCTGCGAGACAGGAACACCGACGCCGCTGTGCAATTCGCCACCCCGATCGGGGACGCGGACGCGAGGACGCCCGCGAAGACGCCCGGCGCGGCAGGGAAGAAGGACGAGTGGGAAGGTGCGGCACTGTGCGGCGCAGGCGGGACGCGCGTGCGTGACGTGGATGCGTGCTGATATATATTTGTGCATATATAAGGCGTGGATGCCGCCTCGTGATTGCGCAGAGCGGATAAGGGAGCTCGTGAAGGTTTTTGAAGACCGGCTGTCCGTGCAAGTCGTGCACGCGCGCCAACGGCCCTTGTAGCCTGGCACACACATCATGATGGTGCACAGCATGACACACCTGTATGCATATGACCGACCCATGGCGTGGGGAACACGTGCGAGTGCGCCCGCGGGCGTCGACTGTGAGCTGCACTCTCGTGTATCGGTCCGTCAGGCGCAACGTCCCCGAATCAGCTGCCCGAGCCCCGCTGAACGCGTGTCAGACAGCAGCCACAGGTCCGACAGCACGCGGCATGGCCCACAGCTGGCTTCTTTGGCGCGGCTACGGCTAGCTCCGTGGCAGGCTGTCTTGCAGTGCGCGTGCGCGACGCCAAGTCGCCGCTGGAGGTGCGCGTGCGTGCCCTGATTTCAAAACGCCAGAAGGACAGCCGTGGTGCGTGGACGCCACCCAGCGGTGCGTAGGTCCCGGAGAGGGCGGATGGAGCGGTGAAAAGCGACCTTGATAGCGTATCGTTCCGAACAGGGCGGAAATCCGGGCAGTTTCGCCCAGACGCGGCGGGCTCGCGCGCCCGAGTGAGAGCGCGGAGCAGGGCGAGGTGAGGCTCGCGCGAGCACGCCTGCGCAGGAACGCTCCGTCCGCTGACGGCTTGCCCGTTCGTAGCAGGTCGCTTCCGCGGGCCCACTCTGGCTGTTTCGCGCCAACGTGTGCTCGCAGAGGAGGGTGGGTTTGGACGTGCTGGGCGCTGCGCTCGCTAGCACGGGGAGCAGGGCGGGATGAGCTCGCCGACGCGGACTCCTGGGGCCTCCAGGCGGGCGTCTGGGTCCGGACATGGCTTTCTCGGCGGCATCATGGGCCGCCTGAGCGCCTCGAGTCCGTCCAGCACCCCGCAGCAACAACTCACCACGGACGTCCAGAAAGTCCTCCAGGTGCGACGCACTGCCATCTCTGTCTCTGCAGCAATACGGCGCGCTGAGAACCCTGCGCTTCGAGGGACGGAAATGCCCGCGCGAGCGGCATCTTGTCGTTGCTCCTCTCCTGCCGCGAACACGGGTTCCCACGGCCGACGCGATTGTTCCTGAACGGTCGCAGTCGCACGTGAGCGAAGTGATGCGCCTGACGGAGGAGAACCGCTTCCTGGAGCAAGGGAAAGCCCGCGTCGAGCAGCAGCTGCAGGCAGCAGTGGCAGAAAGCAACGCGCTCAAACAGCGCATCCGGGAGACGTCCGACACGAAGACGCTCGACGTCGCGCGCATGCGCGCTGAGCGCGACCAGCTCAGCCAGGTGCGGCGCCCTGCGCGAATTTGCCCCCCCCCGGCTCTCATGTGCACACCACACGAGCCTCACGTGACGTCGCGCTGCGTCGGGCGTGGCCGCGCAGGACATTGCGGATCTGCGCGCGGAGCTCGAGGGGTCTCGCCGCACCGCCCAGAGGGAGGCGCAGCGGATGCAGGACCAGGTGGCGGAGGCGCGCGAGCAGGCGTCCTCGAAGGAGGCGCTGGTGTCCGGCCTGCGCGCCGAGGGCAGCACCGAGGTCATCGCGAGGATGGAGGAGGCGCTGTCCGCCAAGGACAGCACCGTACAGGCGCTCAGGTGAGCCCTCACTCGACGAAGACGAACTTGCGCACGCAACGACTCGACACGTGCATACGAGCGCCGTAGATCGAACCTCTGAGTCCCGCGACGTGAAGCACCTATGATACCTCGCGTGTGCGGCCGATTCTTGCGCCCCGAGCAACTCCCCCCCCCCCAATGTTGCGCTGCGTCGCAGGCAGCAGCTCCGCGAGGAGCGTTTCGCCCTGGAGGAGCAGTCCGCCGCGCACGCCGCGGCCCTGCGCGAGGCCGCGGACGCCCACGACCGCCGCGCCGAGTCCCTGCACGCGGAGATCGACCGCCTGCAAGCAGAGCTCTCGCAGGCGGTGGTCGGCTCCCGCGGCCTGCGCCGCACCTCGGACGCCGAGCGGCTCGAGGCCGCCGAGCAGCGCATCGCCGAGCTGGAGCGCCAGCTGGCCACGGCGCAGCGGATGGCCGCGGAGGCGGAGGAGCATGCACGCGACGCGCAGGCGCGTACGGATGAGGCGGCGGCGGAACTGCGGGAGCAGGCGCGGGCGGCGCAGGAGGCGCTCGCGGAGAGCGAGCGGCGTGCGGCCGACGCGGAGAGCCGGGCGGCTGCGTCCGAGGAGGCGCTGCGTGCGACACGCGCGGCAGTGGAGGGCCTCCAGGCGGAGCACGGGGACGCGATCCGGCGGGCCGAGGAGGCGGAGGAGGCGCTGGAGGCTGCGAGGCGTGCGGCCTCCGAGGCTGAGGCGGAGCGCGAGGCGTCGTCGCGTCGGGCGGAGGAGATGGCTGCAGCGCTGGCGGCTGCGCAGCAGGGAGCCGGGGAGGCGGATAGGGCGCAGGAGCGCTGCGCGGAGCTGTCGGCGGAGGTCGCAGCGCTGATGCAGGAGCGCGACGAGCTGCGGGCGGCCGCCGCGGAGGCGCGGGCGCGCGCGACGGAGCTCGAGGTGTCCACAGCGCGTATGACGGACGAGGGCTCGGAGCTGCGCGCGGAGGTGGAGCGGCTGCGTGGAGAGGTTGCGGCGCAGCATGCAGCGGTGGAGGCGCGCGTGCGGGAGGGGGTGTCGGCGGCAGAGGCCCGCGGGGGGGAGTTGGAAGAGGAGCTGCGTCAGGCGCGTGCGCAGCTGCAGGAGCGCGACGCGAGCGTCGAGGCGGCCGAGGCGGAGGCTGGGCGCGCGCGGGACGCAGCAGGCGACGCGGAGGCGCGGGCGGGGGAGTTGCAGGAGCGCCTGAGTCAGTTGGAGGCCCGACTCGAGGCTGAGAAGGAGTTCAGCGCGCAGCTGGAGCAGTCCATCAAGGACGCCGAGGCGCAGCTCGCGGAGGCCGAGGAGGACGCGGCGGCGCAGCAGGAGCGCCTCGCGGCCGCGGAGGGGCGCGTGGCGGAGCTGGAGGGCGCAGTGGCGCAGGCGGCAACCCAGGCCGACGCGGACGTCGCGGGCGTGCGCGAGGAGCTCGCCGCCGCACAGGAGCGCATCGCGGAGCTCGAGGTTGTGGAGGAGGACGCGGCGGGCTTGAGAGCCCAGCTGGATGCACTGCAGTCGAGAGTTGCTGTACTCGCGCCACTCGAAGAGCAGGTGTCTGCAGCGGAGGCCGCGGCAGCGGAGGCCGCTGCGCGCACGGAGGAGCTGGAGGCCGAGCTGGCGGCCGAGCTGGCGGCTGCGCGCGAGGAGCTCACGCAGGTGCAGGGGGAGTTGCAGGCCCAGCACGAGGAGTCCGCTGCCGAACGCGCGGCGCTGGAGCAGCGGTGCTACGACGCCGAGGGCGCGCTCGAGGAGGCGCGCGAGGAGCACGGCAAGCTGAGCGCGGAGCTCGCGGAGGTCAAGGGCCGCTGGGACGACGCTGCGACGGCAGCGACGGCGACGCTGCGTGCGGAGGTGGAGGCCCTGCGCGCGCGGCTCGCGGGGACGGATACGGCCGTCGCGAACGCTCAGGCTGCGGCGGAGGCGGCGGAGGAGCGGCGGTCCGCGACGGAGCGGCGCCTGGAGCGTGCTCGGGAGGAGGTCCTGCGGTTGGAGGGGGAGGTGGCGGCGCTGCAGGGGGCGCGGGACGGCGCGGAGGCGGCGCGCGGGGAGGCCGACGAGGCGCGGCGGCGGCAGGAGGAGGCGGAGAAGGTCGAGGAGGCCGCGCGGCTGCGCACGGTGCAGTATAAGGAGCGGCTTGACGCGGCGAACAAGGCGCACAAGGAGGCGGCGTCGCGCGCGGAGGCGGACGCTGCGGCGGCGCGGGCGGAGCGTGCGGAGCTCCAGGGCGAGCTCGAGCGGGTGCGTGTCGCGCTGGGCCGCGCGGAGGCGCTTGGACGTGAGCTCGAGGCAGCGCTGTCTGCGGCGCGTGAGGCGGAGCGGGCGGCGGTGCGGGAGCGCGAGGGCGCGGAGGGGCGCTGCGCGGAGACGCAGGAGCGGCTCGAGGCGGCGCAGAGGCTCGGGGAGGACCGGGCGAGCGCCCTCGAGGCGCTGCGCGCGCAGCTGGCGGACCGCGAGCGTGCGCTCGAGGGCGCGGGCGAGCGGCTCGCGGGACTCGTTGAGGCCGAGGGTGAGCTGGAGAGCGCGCGATCGCTGGTGACGGAGCTCCAGGGCCTCCTGCGGGAGCAGAGCACGGCGTCGGAGTTGCAGGCGGCGCAGGCCGAACATACCGAGGCGCAGCTGCGCGAGGAGGCGGCGCAGGCGCGGCGCGCAGCGGACGAGCTCGCGGCGCAGCTGGCCGCGGAGCAGAGCGCCGCGCGCGAGGGCGCGACCGAGGCCAACGCGCTCGCGGAGCGCCTGGCGTCAGGTGGGGGGGACATGGCAGCGGACTCCCCCGTGCGGGCCGGGCCGGGCGCGGGCGGCGGGGAGCCGTTCGACGGGGAGCCTACGGCGCTCGGGCTGTCTCGGCACGTCCACACGCCTTCGAACCGAATGGTCGTGATCGGTCCAGGGGGCGCGGGGGCGGGTGCGGCGACGGCGGACCGCGTGCTGGACGACGAGCTGGACGCGGCGCTGGGCATCGTGGCTGCGTCGCAGCGGGGCTCGTCGCGCATCTCGGGGGCCAGCGCGGGGCCGGACGCGGACCCCCCACTCCTGCAGGGGAGGGGTCCCATGCAGCGGCTTGAATCACTCCCCCTGGTGTCCCGCGGGGCCGCGGGCGAGACGCAGCGGCAGCTCGACATCCTCCGGCAGGCCGTACAGCGGCGCACGGACCGCATTGCGGAGCTCAAGGACGCATGGGAGGCGATGGAGGCGCGAGCAGCGAACGCGGAGCGGGAGCGCGACGCGCACCTGCGGTTGCTGGAGGAGGAGCGCGCGCTGGCGTCGGCGTCGCGGTCGGTGTCGGACGCGGCGCGCATGGAGGCCGAGGCCGCGCGGGCGCGCGAGGCGGCCGCGGTGGAAGAGGCGGGTGCGTTGCGTGATGACCTCGCGGCGCTGCGAGAACGCCACGCGGTGTTCGCGGCGGAGGCGGAGCGCGCCGCGCGGGATCTTGCGGAGACGCGGGAGCGCCTGGCGGCCGCGGAGCGCGAACGCGATGCGGCGCGGGGGGGTCTGGAGGCCCTCACAGCGACAGTGGCGTCGACTGCGCGCGACGCCGGGTGCGGTCCGGGCGGCGCGGAGGTCGCCGATGCCGGGGTGGGCGGCCGAGACGCGGGGGGCGTGGATGCCGGATGCGGGGGCAGCGGCACGGAGCTGGCGGACGCGGAGGCGCAGGTGGGTCTGTTGGGGGCGCGCGTGGCAGAGCTGACTCAGGAGGTCGCGCGTCTGACGGAGGAGCTCGCGCGGGCGAGGGCGGACGCGGAGGGCGCGGCGGCGCGGTGCGCAGACCTCGAGGGCGAGCTGGCGGCCACGCTGGAGGCGAAGCAAGCAGCAGAGGCGGACGCTGAGCGCCTTCTGGCGGACGCGCGGGCGGAGGCGGAGCGTGCCGTGGCGGAGGCACAGGCAGAGGCGGAGCGTGCTGTGGCGGATGCACAGGCAGAGGCGGAGCGTGCTGTCGCTGAGGCGCGCGAGAGGGCTGACGCTGCGGAGCGTGCGCTGGCGACGGAGACGGAGCGCGCATCGGCCGAGGTGCGGGAGGCAGAGCGCGTGGCGGCGGCCGCGACGGAGCGCGCCGTGGCCGACGCGGTGGAGGCAGCGCGGGCGGAGGCGGCGCAGGCGCGCGCAGCGTTTGAGGCCCAGCTGCAGGACGCTCAGGCGGCGGCAGCCAAGGCCGCGGAGGCGCAGGCGGCGGCGGACGAGGCGCGCGAGCTGCGTGGACAGGTCGAGCACCTTGCGGACCTGCTGGCCAAGCGGCAGGTCGAGGCGGACGCCGCGGTGAAGGCGCGCGACGAGGCGGTGGGGGCGGCGCAGGAGGTGGAGGGGCTCAAGCAGGAGGTGCAAGAGCTGGAGGAGGCGCTCGCGGCGCGCGAGGAAGAGGTGCGAGGCGGGCGTGCACGGCGGGGCGTGCTCCGAAGCGCCTTGGCGACGTGCTGGGTACCGAGCACTACGTGTTGCTGCGTCTGCCGCACGCCCCGACGCACCGCGACGCCCATTCTGACGCAGGTTCGGGAGAAGAACAAGGAGATCATTGGCCTGGAGCGGGACGTCGAGCGGCTCACGGCGCTGCAGGACGGTGCGGAGGAGGCCAAGATGGCGGTGATGCAACTCGAGGCGGACCTGGAGGCGCGCGGCGAGGAGCTGCGGGCGGCGCGGGCGGAGGCCGCGGAGGGCGGGGCGTCGAAGGAGCTGGCGGAGCGGGCGCGGGCGGAGGCGGACGCGGCTGTGGCTGCGGCGGCGGAGATGCGGGAGAGAGCGCGCGCAGCCAACGAAGCGTGCGACGCGGCGGGGGAGCGCGCGCGCGCGGCGGAGGCCGCGGCGGCAGACGCAAAGGCGGCGGCGGCGGCCGCGGAGGCGGCGCTGCGGCGCGCGGAGGAGCGTGTGGGGGTCGCGGAGGCTGCGCGGGCGGACGCCGAGCGTGCCGCAGGGCAGGTGCGGGTGGAGCTCGCGGAGGCTGAGGCGCAGGGCGTTGCGGCGGGGAAGCGCGCGGCGGCCGTGGAGGAGGAGGCGGGGAAGCTGCGCGACGAGGTCGCGGCGCTGCGCAAGAAGCTCGACGACGCGGAGACGAGGGTGCGCGTCGCACCGTCACTGTTCGTTCGACCCATGCTTTGCGCCGCCTCGCACGCCCTGGTGGTGTCTGCACGCTCGTTCCTGGTGTGCCGCGAACCTCGGTTCCCCATTGCCGCGGCTTTCTCATCTCCCGCTTACGTAGTTCCGTAACAAAACAATCATGGTGTTGTCTTTCCCTTGCTTGACCGCCCCCATCGCTGCGCCCTCTGTTCCCAGGCGCGCAAGTGGGAGCGTGAGGCGCGCGACGCCCGCGAGGACGCCTCTGCCGCGGAGGTGTCCCTGGAGCGCCTGCGCGGTCAAACCAAGTCCTTGGACGCCCGCGCACACAGCGCGGAGCAGGAGGCCGCCCGCCTCCGCAGCGCCGCACTGCTCGGGGAGTCCGCGCAGCAGGACGTCGCCGACCTGCGCAAGCAGCTCGCCTCCGCACAGGACCGCGCGCGCGAGGCCGAGCGCCACCGCGCGGTGGCTGAGGAGGCCCGCGACGCTGAGCGCCGCGCCCTCGAAGTCTCCTCGAACGACCGCATCCGCGCGGCCGAGGCCGACCGCACGGACCGCGAGAAGCTCTGCGCGGGGCTACAGCAGGCGCTGGACTCGACGACGGCGGAGCTGCGGCGGGCGCAGGACCGCTGCGAGACGCTGGAGGCGACCGTGGAGCGGCAGCAGGCCGAGCTGTCGGCGCTCGAGGCGGCGACTGCGGACGACGCCGCGCACGCGCGCGAGCTGGGCGCGGCGCAGGTGGAGGCGGAGCGGCAGCGGAGCGCGGCGCAGGACCGCGCAGAACGGCTGCGTGCGGCAGAGGGCCGCGCGGCGCGGATGCAGTCTGACTTGGAGCGCGCGCTCGGGCGGCTCGAGGAGCTCAGTGCGGACTCGGGGCAGATGCAGGCGGACCTCCGGGAGAGCGAGCGGCTGCTGGAGGCGCAGCGTGCGGCAGTGCGGGAGGCAAACAGGCATGCGGAGCGCGTGGCCGGGGAGCTCGAGGAGGTGCGGGTGCACGCGGCGCGACTGGAGCGGAGCGTGGCGGCGAAGGAGGCGGCGGCGGGGGAGCTGCGAAAGGCGGCGGACGCGGCGGTGGCGGAGGCGGCGGAGCTGCGGGAGCGGTGCGCGGCGCTCGCGGCGCGCGTGAGCGCGGTCGAGGACGAGAAGCGCGCGCTGCGAGGCGAGCTCGCGGAGGCAGCGGCAGCGGTGTCGGCCGCGGAGGTGCGCGCGTCGCGCGAGGCCGTGAACGCTGCGAGTGCGCAGGAGGCCGCCACGGCGGCCGAGGGGCGCGCGCGTACAGCGGACATCGCGCTCGAGGGCCGCGCGCGCGAGCTCGCGGAGGCGCGGCGGCAGCTCGACCAGGAGACCGCGAAGCGCGCCGCGGCGACCCGAGACGAGGACGCAAAAGACAGTGCGGTGCGGGAGCTTGCTGCCGAGGCCGAGGGGCTGCGGCTGCGGTGCCAGCGGCTCGCGGGAGAGAACGGGCAGCTCAAGGCAGTCGCCAGCGAGATGGATGCGCTGCGCGCGGCGCACGCGAGGCTCGAGCGGGACCTGACGGAAGCGACGACCGCGCGGGCGGTGGCGGAGGCGGAGGTCCTGTCGGTGCGGTCGGAGGCGGAGCGGGAGGCCGAGCGTGCGCGCGCGGCGGTGGAGGCGGCGGAGCGCCGCGCGGAGGACGCGCACGCGGCGCTCGCGGCGGCGCGGCACGATGCGGCGGCAGCTGCGACGGAGGCGCAGGAGGCACGGTCGCGCGCGGACGGGGCGGCGGCGGCGGTGGACGCGGCGAAGGGGCGCGAGCGGGAATTCGTGGCGGCGCTGGCTGCGAGCGACGCGAAGCTCGCGAGCGTGCAGGAGGCGCTGCGGACGCTGCGGGCGGAGCGCGAGGCCGCGGACGTCGCGGCGCGGGAATCTGCGGAGAAGGCGCGGCGTGCGGACGAGGATGCGCAGAAGCGCTTCGCTGAGTACGAGAGCCGCATTCGGACCGCGGAGGACTCGCTCGAGCGCGCGCTGAGCCGCGCGAAGGCGCTGCCGGAACGCATGTCGCCGTCGCGGCGCAACCTGACGCAGGGGGGGGGTCCCAGCCCGTCGAGGCGGAGACTGGACGCGGACGCGGACGCGGACGAGTACGATCGCCCTGCGCAGGGCCGCAAGGGCCCTGCCAGGGCCGCGTCGTCGCGGCGGGCGCGGCGCGATGACGGTGACGCAGCGGACGTCGACCCTGGGCGGTCGCCGCGGCGCCGGGGCGGCCTCGCCGTCGCGCGCGACGACGACATGTCGACAGGCCGCGCGCGCGGGAAGCGCACGTCGTTCGCGGGCGTCCCTGCCGGCCCCGCGTACGCACCGAGTCGCGACGGCACAGGCGGCGGATCGCGCGGCCGCGAGCGCGCGGGGTCGTACGGCGGGTTCCGCAGCGCGACGCGGCGGCCCTCGCGGTCGCGCATGGGCCTGGGCGGCGGGACCAGCACCTCCGCGGCGAGCTCGCCCCGGAAGGGCCCGTTCATCACCGCGCAATTCCCGGAGCCTGGCTTTGGGGGGTTCCCGCCGTCCCCGGCGCGGTCGCGGCGATCGCGCGGCTCCGCGCGGCTCAGCCGTGACGCGATCGCGGCGGCAGGCCTGGTGTCGGCGACGACGGCCCGTCGGCTGCGCGACAAGTTTGGCGACAGCGGCATGGTGTCCAAAGAGGTTGCGAACGCGCTGCGGGACCAGATCGCGGAGACGGAGGCGCAGCTGTACGAGCTGGAGGAGTTGCACGAGGGCGGGCGGGAGGACGTGGCGCGTGCGGTGCGGGACGTGCGGGAGGTGATGCAGGTGCTCACAGAGGTGCGGACGCAGTTGGGGAACCGGTGGGCGGAGGTGCTGGGGGACAGGGAGGGGTCGCACGAGCTACTTGGGGTGCTCCAGGGGCGGCTGTATGCGCTGGAGGAGCGGATCGCGCCGCGGAGGGGCGCTGGGGCGGACGTGACGGTCGGCGGGGCTTGATGGTGGCGCATCGGTGCCGATTGATGTGAATCCGACACCTCACCTCAGTGATTGCTCAACGTAACAGAGATATCAGGGTCCGACTCTGCTCCTCCGGCAGCCCCTGCAGCTGATGTGCCGTGGCCCGAAGCTTCTGCAGCCTCCCGCAGCTCGACGCCGGCAGCCACCCCTCCCCCGCCAGCTGCTTGCAGCCACGCACGTCGAGCTCCTCCAGCGACCCCATCCCCTCCGGCAGCCTGCGCAGAGAGGAGTCCCGAGCATCCAGCTTCTTCACGCTCCTGCCGCTCGATGCCGGAAGCCACCCCTCCCCCGCCAGCTGCTTGCAGCCGATCACGCTGAGCACCTTCACCGACCCCATCCCCTCCGGCAGCCTCGCCAGCGACGAGCCCCGAGCAAGCAGCTCCCTCACGCTCCCACGACTCGACGCCGGCAGCCACCCCTCCCCCGCCAGCTGCTTGCAGCCGATCACGTTGAGCACCTCCAGCGACCCATCCCCTCCGGCAGCCTCGCCAGCGACGAGTCCCGAGCAACCAGTCTTCACGCTCCCTGCCGCTCGACGCCGGCAGCCACCCTCCCGCCAGCTGCTTGCAGCCGATCACGTTGAGCACCTTCAGCGACCCATCCCTCCGGCAGCCTCGCCAGCGACGAGCCCCGAGCAAGCAGCTTCTTCACGCTCCCGCCGCTCGACGCCGGCAGCCACCCCTCCCCCGCCAGCTGCTTGCAGCCACGCACGCTGAGCTCCTTCAGCGACCCCATCCCCTCCGGCAGCCTCGCCAGCGAGGAGTCCCGAGCATCCAGCTCCCTCACGCTCCCGCCGCTCGACGCCGGCAGCCACCCCTCCTCCGCCAGCTGCTTGCAGCCACACACGCTGAGCTCCTCCAGCGACCCCATCCCCTCCGGCAGCCTCGCCAGCGAGGAGTAACAGCAACCAGCCTTCGCGACGCCAGCCACCTCCCTCCGCCAGCTGCTGCAGGCTGAGCACCTGCAGCGACCCCATCCCCTCCGGCAGCCTCGCCAGCGACAAGTCCCGAGCAACCAGCTTCTTCACGCTCCCGCCGCTCGACGCCGGCAGCCACCCCTCCCCGCCAGCTGCTTGCAGCCGATCACGCTGAGCTCCTTCAGCGACCCCATCCCCTCCGGCACCCTCGCCAGCGAGGAGCGCTCAGCAACCAGCTCCCTCACGCTCCCGCAGCTCGACGCCGGCAGCCACCCCTTCCCCGCCAGCTGGTTGCAGCCACGCATGCTGAGCACCTGCAGCGACTCCATCCCCTCCGGCAGCCTCCGCAGCCTTTGCTCGCTCACCACCACCTCCTTCAACCGCGCCGCGACGCTTGCAGGCAGCCACTTTGCCCCCCACTCCCGACCAATGTCATAATGATCCCCAAACGCCCTGACGACCTCCAGCGCCGTCATCTCCTCCGTGATCACCAGCCGACGCGCGTCCGCCACAGGCCCGTCCCCCTGGCCCGTCTTCCTGGCCTCCAGCCCCACGATCGCCGCCACACTGTCGGGGTCCGCACCCGCACGCCGGTACACCCACCACCGCCCGTCGTCGCTCGCCCGCCCCACCAGCGATCTCGCCCCCGCGTACACGCGCCCCTCCACCTTCCCCGCCACCGCCCTCCCCACCTCCCTTGTGCATGCCGTCCATCGAGCCCCCCCGCAGCTCTCCAGCACGCTCGCCATCGCGCCCGACGACGCAGCCGCGAGGGCGACGCGCGACTTCCTGGGCAGCAGGCGGATGACGTCTCCCAGCGGACCGCTGCCCGGCCCGAACGACAGGTCCATCAGAGGGGGTGCGTCATCGTCACCAGCGCGTGGGCGCTGCGAGGGCCGCGACCCGCCCACGCAACGTCCGCTTCGCAGCTCCATCGAGTGCAGAGATCGTGCCCGTGATGCTTCGCCGCCGCCGGAGCGCCGTGGACGGGTCCTGCGGGTGCCAATGAGAGATTCCAGGAGGTGAGGTAGCGGGAGCTGTGAGAGCCGCCCGGCGCGCGCATGCAGCCGTGCTCAGCATGACACCTAGTGCCTGTCATGTGACATCCTGACAACCCAGCAAGGGTCTCCCGCCACGCAGCCTCACGGCCAAGGTCCCTCCAGCGCCCGAGACGCACGCCGCATGCACCGCGTTGGGCGCTCCATGCGACTCTCGCGGCAGCCCGCGAGACAGCGCACACCTCCGCCACCGCCGTGCGATCAGCACCGACCACCGCCAGCGCGTTCCGCGAGCACCGCCCCGCGTCTCACCTGCTACAAGCAGTTGCACGGCCTGCTGTCGTCACGGCGGCCAATTCTGTTGTGCGGCTGATCGCGAGCCAGTCACACTGACCGTGTGCGAGGCGGGCGCACCCACATGATGCCGCCCGGGCCGGTGAGAGCCCGGCTCAGTCGCACACACAGGGTGTGTGAGGTGACCCCTCCTGGGGGTACAACCCAACGAAGAAGACAGCCCACGGCATCGAAGACGCACCGCGACGCACGTGGCAGGCGCCTCCCGCCGGCTCGAGCTCTCGGGCCGTCATCATCCAACGCGGGACGAGTCGCACTCCTACACGCGCAGATGTGCACCACACGCTCGCAGCGTTACACGGACACGGATACACTGTTTGCAAGGTGCGACTCGATGAGTGCGACATCCAGCAGGGCGCGGTGCCACCGCCGACTCCGGGGCCATCGCGGCGACAACACGCACCGGCGGCGAGTCATCACATATTGGGCTGGAACGCACCCCCGCGGCGATCGGAGAGGAGATCGCGATGTGGATCGTGTTTCGGGGGAAGAGGTCCTGGCGAGACGTGGTCACGCTGGTCCGTCTATGTCTCTTCGCGTTGGTGGTGGACAGTCTTTCTGTCCCAGGAAAGACCGTGGTGCGACTTGCTCCGATTCGCAGGCGCGTTGCGGCTCCGTTCGAGCCACACGGACAAGCAGCTTCGCATCCGCGAGCCCGAGGCCACGCCACCGTGCGCAGGTGGGCCACGCAGAGGCGCTTCAACTGCTCGGACTTTCATCACAACTCCGATTCTTGGCAACAGAACGCCCCCATCCAGCAAGAAGCGAGGCCCGCCTCCGGTCTGTCGGCTACCTCCTACCGCCCGGGCGGGTGGAACACGCTGTTGATGACGTGGAGCAGCAGCCGGCACTGCGTGGCGTCGGCGCCTGTGATCTTGTGCGCCGCGTCCTGCAGCGCCCTCAGCACGGGCCCGAGCTTCTCCTTGATCTCCTTGAGGTCCAGGCTGCCCGCGTCCAGCGCCAGCGCACACTCCCGCATCCACTCGACCCGCGTCGGGGTGTCGCTGTCGCCAAACTCCCCCCCCAACGCCGACACCACCGACAGCAGCAGCGCGTGCGGCACGCGCGGCGTGCCGTCGTCCTCCAGCACCGTTCCCATCGGCGTCCCCAGCGCCTTGCACGCCTCCAGCACCACGTCAGGCTCCCCGGAGTCGACCGCAGTCTGCAACGCCCCCTCCGCGTCCCCAGCCGCCGCCAGCTCCCGCACAACCTCCCGCGCGTCCCGCGGCGCCCTCGCACCCGCGCCCGCGGCCCCGGAGGCCGCGAGCGTCGACGCCTGCGCGGCCAGGTTCGCCGCAGCGGCGCCCAGGTTGCTTGTCGCTGCCTGAATGTCGCTCACCGCCGACGCCACCGCGCTCGTCGACGCCTGCGCGCCGGACTCGATCGCGCGCGCGGCCCCCGACAGCGCCTTCGACGCGCCCTCCATCGACCCGGACAGCGCCGTCGACACCTGCCCCAGCGCCTCGCGCGTCGCCGACTCCAGCGCCGGCACGAGACTCTCCGCGAACTGCGACCGCACCGCGTCCCCGACCGCGCGCTTCACCTCGCGCTCGATCTCCTCCTTGCTCGCCGCGTCCATTTTCGCGCCCTTGCCGCCCCCGGCGCCCCCCGCGCCATGCTGCATGACGTCCTGCATCGCCTTGGACACCGCGGGCGTGACGCGCGACGCGAGCCGGCCGAGCTCCCGCTCCATCGCCGCCGCAAGCTCCACGGGCACCTCCTTCCGCACCGCCCGCGAGACGCTCTCCAGCGCCCGCGTCGTCGCGTCCTGCAGCCGCTGCCGCTCCTGATCAAAGCCCTCGCGGATCTTCGCCTCGACGGCGACGAGCAGCCGGGACTCCATCGCGGCGGTGCGCGCCGCCTGCGCCTCGATCGCCGCGAGCACCGTCGAGAGGCTCGTGTCGCCGGCGGGCGGCGCGACCGGCGTCTGCGCGTGCGCTGGCGACGCCGAGATGACCGGCGCCGGCGCGGCGACCGGCGTGCGCGCCGGCTCGGAGCGCTGCGGACTCGGCGTCGGCCGCGCCGGCGCCGGCGCCGGCGTTGCGGGCGGCGCGTGCCCGGCGCGGACCGCGGGCAGCGCGGGGTTGCGGCGACAGGCCACGGGGTTGACCTCGTACTGCTGGATGCCGACCTGCTGGACGGCCCAGACGTGCAGGGTCTTCTCGACGTCGCCGTCGGTGAGCGGGGCGTCGCGGCGGACGTGCATCGACAGGATGGGCTGCGTGATGCGGAACTGCGCCACGTCAGTGAAGCGCACGCGGTCCGTCGCGAACCTGACGGCAAACACCTCCCCTCGCAGGGCGTTCACGACCAGCACGAGGTGGTCCTCCTTCGCGACCGAGACGTGGTTGTAGAACAGGCTCGCGTCCGCGGCGCCCGCCTTGCCCAACGTCAGCACGGCGTGCACGGCGCCAGTGGCCATGTCCTGCAGGCCGAGCTTCGTCCCGCGGCGCGCCGAGACGAGAGCGAGCATGCCGTGGCCCAGCCAGCTCACGCTGTCCAGTTCTCCGTCCGCCGCCGCTGTCACGTCCGCGACCCTCATGTCCGCAATGCTGGCGGGGGCGACCACGCTCAGATTGACGGTGACGGCGCGGCCGGTCGCGCACCCGAGCACGGCGCACTCCCCCTCCTCCATGACGTCGATCGAGACGATGCGTGCGGGCGCGTGGACGGGCGCGTGGTCGCGCAGCCGCGAGGTCGCGCCGGAGCGGTCCGACTGAGTCATGTCGAACCGCCAGAGGGCGTCCCCGACCGCGATCAGCAGGAGGGTCTCCGAGGCGCAGACGGCGACCTTGGGGTAGTCGGGGTGGCCGTCGCCGTCGACGAGGTAGCGGTGCTCGAGCGTCGTGCCCACCGTGCCCGACTCAGGCGACATGCCGAGGGTGTGGATTTCGACGGAGCCGTGGCGGGCGACGACGAGGCGCGGCGGCTGGAAGGTGGCGTTCAGCGGCGCGAGGAGCGCGAGGTCCGTCACGGCCGGCGTGCCTGCGTCGCGAAAGTGAGTGAGGTGCAGCAGTGGTGAGGGCGCGCGAGAGGCTGCGGGGCACGCGCGTGATCGCAGGTTGGAGGGGCGGCTGTTTTGGATGAGTGCATGCGTTTGAAGGACTGGAATCGGGTTGCGGTGCGCTGCGTGCGCGGCAGTCGCGGCTGCCCGCAGGACGCGTGGGGCGGGGGCTGCGCACCGTCGGCGGGCTTGATGATTCCCTTCGCGGCGGTGGACTTGTCGAGGATGCGGACCGATCCTCCCTTCAGCGCGTAGCAGATCCACTGTTCGTCCACGGCAATGAGCTTCGCACGGGTCAAAGCGGCCTCGTACTTCATGCGCGTCACCGGCGACACGAAGAGCTGGTGCGGCGCTTTCCCGCCCACGAGCGCCCGCTCCACATCGTAGAAATGCTCGTCGCCGTCTGACAGCTCCACGCCGTGCGCTTCCGGGGCCGGGGCGCCGCCCTGAGAGCTTGGGGTTGCCTGGGCTCCGTTGCCCGCGGCCGGGGTCGCCGCTGCGTGGGCGGGGGACGCCGTGGTCTGCGACAGGAGCGCCATGAAGGGGTCCTGCGGTGCCGGGGAGCTCTGCAAGCAGAGTTGGATCCGGGAGCAGCCACAGGCAGTTGGCGGCAGCGCTCGTAGCGGGGCAAGAGGCGAGGGGCCGGCGAGATCGTGCAGCCCGATCGCAGCGGCAGGTCGTCGCGGCGTTATTCCGGCGAGAGCGACGGTAGAGGCCACTCGAGCGGCAGCGCCGGCGGCAACACAGCCACAGACCTTGTCCTGGGCGTCTTCCTCCGCAGGCCGTCCCCCGAACTGCTGAAGCAGCGCACTGAAGTCGCTCATGCTGTGATTATCCGACCGCGGCGTCTCTCAGCCTGGTTACTCCGCAGCGCGGCCGGCTCAGGGACAGGTGAGCCTGCGCAGACGCCCCGCCTACGCGTCGTGTGTGAACGATCCCCCGCTTCAGCGTTCTCAAGACGCCTCAAATGACCGCGACATGCGCTGGGCACGGCCCATGTCGACCATCGTCCCCGTTGCCGAGTTTTCTTCTACCCAACCTGACACCAGCCCGACGCACGTGTCGCCACGGCGCGCGCAACCGCGCCAGGCTCGCTCCCGTCGTGCGTGCCTGCGCGGCACGCGGCGTGGGACCTTGCCGGCGGCTAGCTGGGCGCCGGGCCCACCAAGGAGCACGTGGCGATGTCAACCATTCGCGCTTCCGAGGCCGCGAGACGGCGTGTGGCGGCGCGATGTCTGACAGCGGATCGCACCCAAGTGTGTGAGGGCGCTGAATGTATGCTCGACGCGAGCTACTGCCCGCTCGCTTCTGCAGCACAACATGCAAGGCACGTAGCGTGTGCTCAGGGTCCGAAGCTGCAGACGGTGCCAACCGGCCTGGCGGCGCTGGGAGCAACGCCACACCAACACCCACCCGAGGCCGCCGCGAGCCACGCCGTCACCACACGCACGACGCAGCCACGCATCCTCCCCCCCGATCGCACGCACGTCGTCACCTACGACATCGCTCGACAACGTCGGCATGACTCGCCGTGCGGGACCGCCCCGCGCACCGGCCGCGCTCGCACTCGCGCGCATCACAGAGTCTCGGCGCCGCCGCCCGCTCACTTCCACCAGCTCTTGTTCTCCGGCAGCACCATCTTGCCGCCCGCCACGGTCCCGTCGGGGCCGTCCTGCCAGTACGGGCCCCAGTCGAGGTTCCACTTCTTGTCCAGCCACGAGATCTGGTTCTTCCCGTTCGGATCCTCGCCCAGCATCGCCTGCCCGTCCTTGCGCGACTGCGCCAGGATGGCCTCCACCTCCCCCGGACTCTTCCCCTTCTCCAGCTGCTCCTTCTTCCACCGCGCGCGCTCCATCTCCCAGATCTCCTCCTGCGCCCACACGAACAGCGCGCCCGCGTCTCAGCCGCTTCGCCTCGAAGCGCGCACACGCACAGATGCAGGCACGCCCAGGCGCCGCCCGCCGGGGCAGCCGGGCGCCCGGAGCGGCGCGGGAGGTCCCTGGGGCACGTGGGACGCACCTGGTCGTACACCTTGAAGTCTCCCGGCTCCACGGGACCCTGGTAGGACGGCCCAATGACGGGCTCGTAGCCTTCCCGGTCGTAGTTGAGGATGTACCGGATGCGGTACGTCAGCTGCGGGGGGTTCCTCGCGTACAAAGTGGATCCCGGGGCGTTCGGGCGGATGTACGGCTGCCAGATGGTCGCCGCGTAGTGCTCCTCGCCCTGCTCCAGCAAACGCTTCCCGTCCTCGAGGTCCTGCGGGGGCGTGAGGGGGCGCGCGCGCGGTGGATGGGATGCACGCGACGAGGTCGGGGCGTGGCGGGCGTGGGGGTGCGGCGAGCGGGCCGTGCGGGGACGGGGCGAGCGCGTGTGGGTGCGGCGGGGTCGTTTGCGGGCGTCAGCGTGGGCCCGGGAGGAGTCGGGCTGCGTGGTGGCCGGCGGCGGGTGGTTCGTCGACTGGGGAGCGGGCGAGCGAGGGCTGGGCTGGGCTGTCGGGTCCGCGCAACACGTCGCAGGGCAGGAACAGTGGCTGTGAGCGGAAGTGGCGCCGTTGGGAGGGGTTTGGGCGGCTTTGGGCGGCCGTACCGTGTTCTTCCAGCGCTCAAACTCCGCCCTGTATCGCTGAGCCTGCAGGGGATGGGCCCGAGAGCGCGGCAGGGCCCGGTTGAGGAGTGCAGGTACTCAGCAGGCTCGCTGCTGCTCTGTGGCCGCTTCCGAGCCCGTGACTCTGCCAGGCCCGGATGTAAACGAGTCGATATGGCGCCCGTGGGGCGCGGAGTCGTGCGAACGGCAGCTTGCGGAGAGGTTCGAGCGACAGAGCGCTTCCCGGGTGCACGGGCTCTGGGCGCTCACCATGTAGATGAACCCGACCGGCCCACGGGTAGCTGACGCCGAGTTCTTAAGGAGACGCCAGTACAAGCTCATGACTGCGAGCTTGTGCGCCTGGGGGATCTTGGAGACGGTCGAAGACGCCATATTGACGGATACCCTCCCGTCGGGGCGCGCGTGCCGACAGGCCTGTCCGCTCCTCACTACAGTGAATCAGATGCGTCCCCGGGCGGGCGCCGACTGCCCGTGCCCGCGGCGGCAACCGCAGCACGCCGATGCAACTTGCGCTGTTCCGCCAGGCGTCCAGCTGCCCGCAGCTCAGGGACACTCCTCACCCTCCGAACCTCTCCTACATCCGCACATGCCAGCCGGACCCAAAGGCGCCGGAAGCGCGGCAGTGGGGCGTCAAGCGAGACCTCCCCCCGCGATGTCAGCCTGGAGGACGCGTCAGTCGCGGGGGCGGTACCGAAGGGGCACGTCCGCGGCACGCGGCGCGAACTTGCTGCCCGGGCGGCGCGGGCGATCGGTCCAAACGACACCATGCCGGCCTGCAATCGGCGACGTGCCCTAATAATGCAGCGCGACGGTATGTCAGGAAGTGCGCGCGCGACCGCTCGCGCCCGCAGCGCCGAGCGCTTCGCGGCGTGGCTGCTGGCGATCGCCGGCGTCCTCGTTCTCGCGCTGGCGTCCTGCGCGCAGCCCGCAGCGGCCCAGGGCGTGCGGTTCGGCATCTGCGTTACGTGCGGCTCGCTGACGCAGTTCGGACCCGCCCGCTGCACGGGCACCTTCACCTGCGCCGGTGAGGAGCTCGTTTCAGATGCGCACGTGACGCGTGGGTGCGTTGCTCCTGACTAGGCTCATGAAACGTTGCTTCTTGGACGCAGGGCGGTGCGTCTGGTTCCGCGGGGAATGCGTTCTCGCGTCGCGGGTGGCGGGTGCATCGGGCGACGCGGAGAGCCCGGCAGCCGAGCCGTTGGACCCGCTTCCGGAGCCTAACGGCGACCAACCTCCTCCAGGTAACGTCGCTATCGGCCTGGCCCGGGCTCTGGCCTCCTGTCCGCTTCGCGATCGCGTTCCCTGGACCTGTGAATTTTCCCGCTCGTGCTGGTGCAGAGGAGCGGTGCGCGGGGCCGTGGGAAGCGGGTTCGTGCGGGGCGAGCCTTCCCCGGTTTTGGTACGACGAGAACACGGGCGCGTGCGTCGAGCGCATCTGGAGCGGCTGCGGGGGCAACGCACTCAACAGGTTCAAGCGCCCGGAGGACTGCGTCGACGCCTGCGTGGGCCAGTAGGCGCCCACTCGTGCAACCTGTCACCCACACACCTCCAGCCGCTTCGCGGCCTCACCCGCCACCGCCCCACCTCCCCGACCACCCCACCTGCCCGACAAAATCCCATCCGTCCGTCTGGATCGACCCACGAGCGGCTTGCACGGCACCTCGCGACCCTCTGACCAGTCTCACAGCGCAACTACTTCTTGTCGCCGCCCTCCTCCTTCTCCTTGAACTCCGCCTCCTGCGCGCCCTCCTCGCCCGCGCCGCTCTCCGCGCCCGCCTTGTTCAGCGCCTCCCCGATCTTCATCACCGCCTGCCGCAGCGCGTCCACCTTGTCCTTGAGCGCATCCGGGTCCTCGCCGCCCGCCGCCTCCTTCGCCTCGCTCACGGCCGCGTTCACCGCGTCCACCACGTCCTGCGGGAGCTTGTCCTTGTGCTCCGCGAGGCTCTTCTCCGACGAGTAGATCAGCGAGTCCGCCTCGTTCTTGGCGTCGATCATCTCGCGCCGCTTCTTGTCCGCCTCCGCGTGCATCTCCGAGTCCTTCACCATCTGCTGGATCTGGTCCTCGCTCAGCCCGCCGGAGGACTGGATCGTGATGGCCTGCTCCTTGCCCGTCGCCTTGTCCTTGGCGTTCACGTGCACGATGCCGTTGGCGTCAATGTCGAACGTCACCTCGATCTGCGGGACGCCGCGCGGCGCCGGCGGGATGCCCACCAGGTCGAAGTTCCCGAGCATCTTGTTGTCCGCGGCCATCTCGCGCTCGCCCTGCAGCACCTTGATCGAGACCTGCGTCTGGTTGTCGGCCGCCGTCGAGAACACCTGGCTCTTCTTGGTGGGGATGGTCGTGTTGCGCTGGATCAGGCGCGTGAACACGCCGCCGAGCGTCTCGATGCCGAGCGACAGCGGCGTCACGTCGAGCAGGAGGATGTCCTTGACGTCGCCGCGCAGGACCGCGCCCTGGATGGCCGCGCCGATCGCGACGGCCTCGTCCGGGTTGACCGAGCGGCTCGCGTCCTTCCCGAAGATCGACTTGACGATCTCGTGCACCTTGGGCATGCGCGTCATCCCGCCCACGAGCAGGACCTCGTTGATGTCCTTGGCCGTCACGCCCGCGTCCTTCATGCAGCTCGCGCACGGCTGCTTCGTGCGGTTCAGCAGCGAGTCCGAGATCTTCTCGAGCTGCGCGCGCGTGACCGTGAGCGCCAGGTGCTTCGCGCCGGACGCGTCCGCCGTGATGAAGGGCAGGTTGATGTCGGTGGTGGTCGTCGACGACAGCTCGCACTTGGCCTTCTCGGCCGCCTCGCGCAGCCGCTGCATCGCGAGCTTGTCGCCGGACAGGTCGATCCCCTGCTCCTTCTTGAACGAGTCCACGAGGTGCTGGCAGACGGCCTGGTCGAAGTCCTCCCCGCCCAGGAAGGTGTCGCCGTTGGTGGCCTTGACCTCAAACACCCCCCCGGAGATCTCCAGGATCGAGATGTCGAAGGTGCCGCCGCCGAGGTCGTACACCGCCACGATGCCCTCCTTCTGGTCCGCGCCGTAGCACAGCGCCGCCGCGGTCGGCTCGTTGATGATGCGCAGCACGTCCAGGCCGGCGATCTTGCCCGCGTCCTTCGTGGCCTGGCGCTGCGAGTCGTTGAAGTACGCCGGCACCGTGACCACCGCCTGGCTCACGGGCCGCCCCAGGAACGCGTCCGCCGTCTCCTTCATCTTGCCCAGCACGAAGGCGCCCACCTGCGACGGCGACATCTCCTTCCCGCCCGCCTTGACCCACGCGTCGCCGTTCGACGCCTTCACGATCTCGAACGGCACCATCTTCTGCTCCTTGGCCACCGTCGGGTCGTCGAACCGCCGCCCGATCAGCCGCTTGATGCCGTAGAGCGTGTTTTGGGGGTTGGTGACTGCCTGGCGCTTGGCGGGCAGCCCGACCAGTCGCTCGCCCTGCGGGCCGGCGGCGGGGAGCGTCGCGGGTCTCGGCGCGCGCCGGGGTGCGGGGGGCGCGCATGCAGCCCGCGGTGGCGCGGGAGCGCGGCCGGCGCGGCGCGACGCACCTTGTCGGTGAACGCGACGACGGACGGCGTGGTCCGGGAGCCCTCGGCGTTCTCGATGACGCGCGGGTTCTTGCCCTCCATGACCGCCACGCACGAGTTCGTCGTGCCAAGGTCGATGCCGATCACCTCAGCGCCAGCGCTGCAGCACAAGGCGGGGCGCCACGGACAGCCACGGTCAGCACGGAGCGCGGCAGGGAGCGAGAAGCGGCATCGAGATGTTCCCGGGGCGGGAGCCGTGCTGGATGGCCCGGAGGCGGCGCGAGGAGGCGCGTCTCCGCAGGCTTAGGGCAGCGGTGCGGGTGGTGAGCTCGTGCGGGGTGCTCAGGGCGAGATGGGCGGGCGGGACGCTGGCAGCGTGGCGGGACAGGCTGCGAGGTACGCGGAGGGCGGCGGGCGTGCTGGAGGCTGGCCGGCAGGCGGCGTGTGGGGGCAGCGGCTGGTGGCCGCGGGACACAGGCAGGGTCGCGCCGCGCGACGCTCACCTCATACAGCGGACATTCTGGGCCAGCTCCGAGGCGAACTGCGATGGGAGGAGGCGGGGGGGGCGGGAATGAAGCGACGAACGCGCGCAGACGTGCACATTGCGGCCCTGGTCGAGGTGCCACAGGAAGAGGCTGGCGCGCCCAGCGCGGCAGGGGGGTCTAGAACGGACGTCGGGGCCGCGGCTGCGCATCCGAAACATATATCAACGCGTCTTGATCGGACGCGGCGGCCGCGGCCGGAGATCGCCCGCAAACGGGAGGCCTGCGAAGAAGACTCACCGAAGTGTTGCCTCGGAGCGCGCCCGCGCGCCCCGCAAGGAGGCTCGTGGCTTTCCGGAGCATCTTACCCTGCAAAATCTATGCGACAGGGCCACTCGCATGCCCACGTCGCAGCGCTTCGGGCGCCAAAAAGCCCTCTCGAGGAGGAGGTCTGTCGCACCATATGCCCCCCGCCCCCGCGCGGGCCTCGAAGCGCGCACGACGCGGCCGCGCCGCCCACACAGCCCCGCCCCCCCCGCCCTCGCCCCACGCACCCCGCCGCGCAGAATTCCCACGACGTCGTTCGCACACGTTCGCTTTTATGGCGCAGCGCAACTTAACGACCGCCCTCCGCCGCGATCGCTCCTGGACCTGCCCCGCCGCCCGGACGAACTGCGCGATTCTCCGGCGCGGCCTCGCGCGCGGCATCGCCGCATCCGCCTCGCCGCGGGCGTCCTGGTCGACCATGGACATCGTGGAGAGGGTCCAGCGGTCCGACTACCCGCACCTGCAGGAGAAGTTCGACCACGCCGTGAGCGTCGTCGAGCGGGCGCTGTCCCTGTACGGGCGCGGAGGTGAGCGGGCGCCGATCGAGCTCGGGGGCCGGTTGTCTCGCGGTGTGGCGGGACGCACCACGGGCGGGGGGGCCGAGCGGGCGCGCGTTCTGGCTGAGACGCAGGTGTGGCGCTGTCGTTCAACGGAGGGAAGGACTCGACGGTGCTGCTGCACATCACGCGCGCCACGCTGGCGCTGCACCCGCACCTGTCCACTGGCGAAGGACTCGGGCTCCCTGCGATGTTCTTCGCGAGGTGCGCCGACGCGCCGTGACGCTGCGCGACAGCCGCTTCATGCACCTGCAACGCGCCGCGGCCAGAAGGACCGCATGCCCTCGGACGAGCGCAACGCCCCGCCTGGCACAGCACCGCGAGTGTGACACGCCGTCGCAGGGACGACGACTTCCCGGAGATCAGGGACTTCGTCGACGAGGTGGACAAGAGCGTGTGCGACGGCAGGCTCCTCCGCATCAACAACAGCGACTACAAGGCCGCCATGACCGACCTGGTTGCCGACACAGGCTGCACAGTGCGCCCCCGGGCCCCCACGGCCCCGCCGCGCCCCTATCCGTCGCCCAGCAGTCCGTGCTACCGCCGCAACGACGCTTCCCCCTCGCTGCCGCGCCGCGAAGCACCGGCGACCGCATCGCTGTGTTGCTCCGCGGAACCTCGCGCCCCGCGGCCCGCTCCGCGCGCAGGCCTTCCTGATCGGCACGCGGCGCGGTGACCCGAACGCCAAGGGGCAGGAGCACTTCTCGCCGTCGACGCCCGGGTGGGCCAACTTCATGCGAGTCAACCCTATTCTGGATTGGTCCTACAGTGAAGTCTGGGCGTTCCTGCGCGAGACGCAGGCGCCGTACTGCAGCCTGTACGACCGCGGGTACACGTCGATCGGCGGCGTGCACAACACGGCGCCGAACAACGCGCTGCTGACTCAGGACGGAAAACACCTCCCCGCGTTTGAGCTGGCGGACCAGCGCATGGAGCGCGCGGGGCGCGGCAACACGCGGCACAGCGCGGGGCCGACGCCGCGCGCGGGCCTGACGCGCGTCGCGGGGCTGCTCATCGTCGGCGACGAGCTCCTGTCGGCAAAGGTGCAGGACACCAACATCTCCTTCATGTGCGCGGGGCTGCGGCGGATCGGGTGGCGCGTCGGCCGCGTGTGCATCGTGCCGGACGACGCGGAGGACATCGCGGCGGTGGTGCGTGCCCCGCCGCGCACACACACGCCCGCTTGCACCGCGCACGTCTCGCGGGGTCCTAGATGCGGTCGATTCGCTGCTGACGTGCGGTCCTGGCGTGCGCGCAGGTGGCGGAGATGTCGAAGCTGTACGATATCGTGATCACGTCGGGCGGCATCGGCCCCACGCTGGACGACAAGACCATGGAGGGCATATCCGCGGGCCTCGGGCGGCAGCTCGTGTCGCACGACGAGCTCGACAAGCGCATGCGGGCGGCGTGGACCGGCGACGACCTGACGAACGCGCACCTGAAGATGACCAACGTCCCAGAGGTGAGCGCTGACCGCCGCGCGCGTACACAGACACGCTGCCACTGCCTCCATCACAGCAGTCGCCGACTTTCGTTGGCGCGCAACGCAAGTGCTGCGGTGTCCAACACCGCCGCACTGCACCGCTGCATCGGCGGCGAAGCGCGATCGTCGCGCGGCGCCTCGGAACAACGTGCACTGCATCCGCCGCGCCCCGGCCCTCGCGAGCGTCTTTCGCGGCGTCACGGGCGGCTCGTCGCTGTCCGCGGCGCAGGACGAGGACGTGCTCCTGCACGACCTCCCCGGCGAGGAGGACGGCATCAAGGACGGCAAGTTCGCGGGGAAGATGAACCCGTTCCCGCTGGTGCAGTGCCGCAACATCCTGGTGCTCCCGGGCGTCCCGAGCCTCCTCCGCAAGAAGTGGGCGACCGTCGAGCGCGTGCTGATCAAGTCCGTCCCCGGGGGCCTCCCCCTGGGGCGTTTCCACAACGCTGCTGTCAGGCTGCGGTGCGGGGACGAGACGCGCGTGGCGCCGACGCTCGAGGACGTCCAGCGGCGCGCGGGCGCGGAGGTGAGCATCGGGAGCTACCCGGTGAGCGGGCAGGAGGACGGCGCGGGCATTGTGTTGTCGGTGGAGGGCAAGAGCCTGGAGTCGGTGCAGGAGGCGAAGACCGACCTGCTCGCGTCGCTGCCGGAGGACGTGGGCGTGCTCGCGGTGTGCGACGACGTCGAGGAGCTCGGGTCGCCCGCGGTCGGGGCGCGGGAGAGCCTGGAGCGGCAAGACAACGGCGCGTGATGCGCAGCAGCTGTGACCCGCGCCGCAGGCGACGGCGCAGTGCGCCAGGCGTCGTGGCGGCTCTCGCCGACCGCAGGGGATGCGGGACGAGTGACAGGCGGCGGAGGGAACGGTCTCAGTGAGCTCGTTGGCGTCGCTGAAGCATATTCAATGCGTCACTTTGAGTTGGACAACTCCGACTTGATGATGGCTGCGGACCAGTTGCCGAGGATCTCCTCCAGGTCGGCGTCCATGCGCACGCCCGCCCCGCCCCACACCAGCATGTGCGGCAGGTCCGCCAGCGTGTCGCCCCACACCTGCCGCACGGCCCTCCACCCGAACCGCCCGTAGTAGCGCACGAGCCGCGAGAGCTGGTGCGGGTCGTCGTCGATCGCGAGGAGCTCGCCCTTCTTGCAGCCGCGCTCGATGCCGAGAGTGACGCTCGCGGCGCCCAGCAGGAACCCCAGACCCAGGGCGTTGCGGCGCGCAGCTCCACCGGCCTCGCCCATGGCGCGCACGCGGTCGTTGAAGACGACCATCTTGTCGATGTGCAGGATACCGACCAGGGGAATCCAGAAGCCCTCCACGAAGCCGAGAATCTCCTCCTTGCGGGCGGGCGCGCTGCCCGTGGTTGATGGCTGAGCACCTTCCGGCGCTTTCGGAAGCGCACGGACCGACACGCGCCACAGCGGGCCGATCTCGGAAACAACCAGCTCCATGCCTCGCCGGCGCGATATTTCCTCCAGCTCTCGCATGTTGAGGAGGCGGGGGCGGGCTGGGGTGTCATCGCTGCTTTGCGGGCTCTGCGCGCTGGCGACGGGGGGGCGCACGCCGGTTCGCGAGCACACATTGCGAGCGCTGACTCCGAACTCTCCGCTGGTGTCAAGGGCGCTCCTCGGCGTCGGCCTCACGAGCGCCGCTCTGCGGCGGGCTTGCGTCGCCCCCCCGCGCCCGCGCACGAGCGCGACATTCGCCCGCAACGCTCCCGACATCGCCCCGGAATCAGCTCCGACTGCGCGGCATCTGTTGGGCACGCCGCCCTCGTGGCTCGCCCCACCTACAGGCTGCGTCAGGCTGAATGAGTCCTCCCCGGACACTCCCACGCCCTGTGTACGCCACGATGGTCGATGACAGCCGGCGCGGCTCCAGCGGGACACTCCCTGGCGTACGTTGCTACCGGCGGCTCACGAATATCCATCCGACTGCGTGAGCGCAAGCGGCACGCTGAGACGTTCCCCCCGCGAGCTTGCGCTGCGGGCTGTGAGCGCGCGACGCAGAAACAGACGCAGTCGACTGCGAGACCCGCGCACTGGAGTGCGCCAGCAGCGCTTGGGATCGCCAGGCGGGGCCTTGGACCCGTGCCGCCCCTGAGCTGCGAACACGCCCGTGCGGCTGCTGGGGCTCTAGAGCGGTCCGAGGGGCGCCATGCCGATCGTGGGCGGGCTGCAGCCGCCGTCCGCGGAAGATGAGGAGCAGGAGAAGCTGGAGTCGCGGGAGGGGATCGTGGTGGTGCTGGAGCAGGCCACGCTGGAGGTGGGCAAGGTGGGGAAGAGCATGGTGCTCCTCAACTGCGACGACCACGCCAACTTCCTGGCGCGCCACGACAAGAGCCCCGCGGACTACCGCCCAGACATCTGCCACCAGGCCCTCATGTCCATCCTCGACAGCCCACTCAACAAAGCAGGTGCGCACCAACTCACACTTACACACCAACCTCCCGACCCAGCACTCCGCCGCACCGCCCCCCCGCCACCCCGCACTGTCCCCTACAGACCCCCCGCGCCGCCCTCACCCGCGCGCCGCCGCCCCGCCTCTGCAGGGCGGATCAGCGCCATCTACGTGCACACGCAGAAGAACGTGCTGTTCGAGGTCAGCCCGCAGGTCCGCCTGCCGCGCACCTTCCGCCGGTTCTGCGGCCTGATGGCGCAGCTCCTGCAGAAGCTGTCCATCCGGTCCAGCAACGGGCCCGACAAGCTCCTGCGCGTGGTCAAGGGGCCCGTGACGCGGCTGCTGCCCGCCGACTGCAAGCGCATCGGGTTCTCCGCGCACGCCGACCGCACGCTGTCGCCGACCGCGCTGGCGAAGGAGTTCCCGCGCGGCGAGAAGACGGTGCTCGTGGTGGGGGCCATGGCGCACGGGAGCATTGATGTCACGTACACCGACGAGACGCTCTGCGTGTCGAACTACCCGCTCAGCGCCGCCTGCGCGCTCGCGAGGCTCCTGGGTGCCGTCGAGGCCGAGTGGGGGGTCGTGTGAATCACTTGCAGCGATTTTTTAACTTCCAGCGTGACTGTCACCAAGCACCGAGGCGCGGCGTGGCGACGTGCCGCTGTTCCTTGGAGCATCGCGCAGACAGCCGACACGTCCTGCCCCTCCGAGATCTCCGCTACGCCTCTTCAACCCGCCGTGGGGATCTCTCTTCCCCTCGGTGGGGGAGTTCCCATCCCGAAATGCGAACAGTGAGTCAGGTCGGATCGGCCGGACTGCGACGAGCAGTTACACGGCTGCGGGCTAGCTCCCACCCTCCTCCCCCTCCTGCACCTTGGACAGCATGCGCTCCAGCGCCTTGCGCTCCGGCGTGGCCTGCGCCGCCGCCGGCTGCGGCGCGGCGCCCGCCCGCGACGCACGAATCGCCGCGGCGGCCCCCAGATGCCGCTGGCGGTCCACCGTCGTCATCGACCGCCCCATCGGCGACCGCGACTCGTCCGGCGTGCCCCCTTGCTGGCTGTCTGGCGACAGAGGTTCCAGCCCAGACTGTCCCAGGCGCGACGGGGCGCGGAACGAGGCCGGGGCGCGCCGCGACGGCGAGTCCACCAGCGCCGAGCGCCGGCGCGCCCGCCCGCGCTGCTGCGCGCTCTCCGTCGCCGTCCGGCGCCCCGCACTGCCCGCACTCTCCACCGCGGACGCGCGAGTCCCCCCAGCCCTCGCCGCGGCTCTCCGCACGGCGGTCTGCCGCCGGATCTCCTCGAGCGTCATGCCCTGCGAGGACGCGTGGCGCGCGGGTCGGTCAGGCGGCGGGGGAGGGGGTGTGATTGTTTCAGTGGGGGTGTGTTGCGGGCGTGCGCACCTGCACGCGTGCGCGCGCGCGCTCGATCGCGGCGCCCCGGCCGCTCCGCACGAACGCGAGCCCCTCCGACAGCCCGTCGTCGAGCGGCCCCTGCGCGCGCGCCTTGCTGCGGCGCGACGCCAGCGTTGCCGGCAGCACCGCGTCCACGCCCCGCGTGAGCAGCATCACGCGCAGGACCACGGCGCCCGCGCCCTGCGTGGACAGGAACGTCTGCCGCACGGGGTCCGTCACGCTGTACGCCACCTCCTCCTTCTCCAACTTGGGGGGCTCCTGATTGAAGAACACGCGCAAAATCTCGCGGCCCTCCGTCCGGCGGTCGTGCGCGCGCCAGCACTGCGCCGTGACCACGTGGCAGCCCGGCGCGCACGGCAGCGCCACCGAGCCGTACGCGTGCGCCTTCTCCATGCCGTCAGCGTCCCGCGTCAGCACCTTGATGTTGATGCGCGGCCACGTGGCGAGCCGCCGCGCCTGGAGGTGCACGTCGAGCGGGTGCGCCCACACCGCGACGGGCGAGCTCTTGCTCCCGCACGCCACCTGCGACGCCGCGGAGCGATATCCACTCGAGTCAGGGGGGGGGGTATTGCGGGCGCAGGCGACCGCGGGCGAGCGCGTGCGTGGGCGCACCTGCGTCACTCCCGATGTGCGTCCCGCGACCGTCGTCCAGCCGTCTGCGGGGTCGTCGGGCAGCTTGATGGACCACTCGCACAGCACGGGGGTGTTTTCTTTGCCAGTCCCCTCCCGCCAGCCAACGACCTCCCCGATGAAGTTCACGTCGCACGCAGGCCCCGTCGGCGCGGCGGCCTCGTGCACCGTCGGCCGCGCGGATCGCAGCGCGTCGCTTCCGGCCGTGGTGCGCGCCCGGCGCGCGGGGGCCGCTGTCTGCGCGGACGGCCGCGGGGCGGACACGCGCCGCGAGCGCGGCTGCACCGGATCGCCCGGGGCGTCGGAGGGCTGCGACTGCCGCGACGCGGGCGCCGCTGCGCCCCCAATGGACGGCGGCGCTGGCGGCGGTGCTGCACTCTCCGCCTGCGATGGGGCGGCGCTCGGTGCGGGCTGTGGAGCCGCCGGTGCTGGTGGTGGGGCTGCGGGGATGGCGGGCGCGGGGGCGGGCGGCGGGGCGGCTCGGCTAGCGACGCCCCGGAGTGGAGGTGCGTTTCCTGCCGAGGGCCGCTCAGCGGTCGTCAATATGGCCCGCAATGCGCCTTGCCGGTTCGGGAGTGCAGAAGATGGGGCCGTCGGTCGATGCGCGGGCTGCGGCGGCGGCGGCGGCTGCGGCTGCGACGGGGGGGCGCCTGGTGGGCCGCGTGGCGCTGCTGGTGCGTTCGTGGGCTCCCTGGCCGCGAGAATGGCGCTCAAAACGGGACCTGCGTGGACGTCGCGGGTCGTGGCTCGATCGGGCGCGCGCAGGCGGGGCTGCCGCGCCGCAGTGGCGCGAGGACGCAGCGAGCGGGCGCAGCAGTACGAATTTTCACGGAGCAGATGTCCCCGGTGGCCGCGTGCACCGCCGCCCGGGTGGAACGCGCCTCCCTCCGGGTCGCCAAGATCAAGAGCTCGCTGGGAAATCATCGCACGTGCGTTCGCGCGCCGGCGCGGCGAGGGTCGCCTGCACAGCACTGCTCTGCGCAGCGCCTCGCAGCGCATTTCGGCCTGCGGGGCGCACCTCTCCGCCCGGGGGGCTGCGGTAGTTGTGCCACATTGCCGGTCCCTTGGCCCCGCAGCATGGGAGGCAGCGGCGCCGCGACACCGGTCCGTACGGGCGGGAGGGACGAGCCGGCCCGCGCTGCTGGCAGGACCGCGGTCAGCGGAGGCCCGCCCAGAGGGTCCCGCTCCGCCCCAGACCCCGCCTGGCTCATCCTACCGCATCAGGCTCGCGAGCAGCGCCCCGAATCCGAACGTTCCCCCACGCCTCCTCCTGAACGGCGTCCAAGTGCGTCTGCGAAAAACCACCTCCTCTGCGACGCACCGTGCGGCGCTGACGTCCGTGCTGTCGCGTCGACGCGTCGCGCCCTGCTCTACAGACCGAACTGCACGCGCCCGGGGGGCTGTGCTCGAGACGGCCCGCCGACGCGGGGCCGTTACCTCCCTGCCAGACCGACCAGCTGGAGACACCGCGCTGCGGGGGGGCGAACGGATCCGTGTCCCCGCGCCCGCTCGTCCAGAACAGCGCGCGCGCCAAAGGGACGCTGATTGTCCGCGGGGGGGCGACGAGGAGCACGTCGCGTGAACTGCAACAACCACGCAACACATTTACATGTCTATGAAAGAGTATATCTTTCACATTCGCAGCTGCCAGGAGCGCCGCAGCCCGCGGCCGAGCGCGCGCAGTCTTCGGCCAGCGAGGTCCCGGCAGTCGAGGATTCCCATCTAGCCATCAGCTGCAGCAGCTCGACTTGGGCTTCTTGCCCTCCTGCTCCGCCGACAGGTTGATCGCCTGCCCCTGCCCCGGCCCTGCACACGGACGACGACGCAACGCGCGTCCCGTCCCGCGCCGCCGCAGCAAACAAACAGACACACACACACGCAAACGCACAGCGCGCAGCACGCACCCGAGGCGCCGGCGTTTTCCGACGCGAGCGTCTTCTTGGCGACGAGGCGGTAGATCTCCCCGAGGATCCGCTGGAAGGCGGTGTCCACGTTGGTGGCGTCGAGCGCCGACGTTTCGATCAGGCTGAGCCCCTCCTGCTCGCAGTACTCCTGCGCCTCCTGCGTGTCGACGCTGCGCAGGTGCTTCAGGTCCGACTTGTTCCCCACGAGCATGATCGTGATGTTGGCGTCCGCGTGCTCCCGCAGCTCCTTGAGCCACCGCGACACGTTCTCGAACGTGCCGTGCTTGGTGATGTCGTACACCAGCAGCGCGCCCACCGCGCCGCGGTAGTACGCCGACGTGATGGCGCGATACCGCTCCTGGCCCGCCGTGTCCCAGATCTGCGCCTTGATCGTCTTGCCGTCCACCTGCGGGGCCGGGCGGGCGGGCGCGGGGTCGGCGTGCGCTTGCGGGGGAGGTGGCGCGGGGGCGCGCCCGTGCGGCGCGTGGGGGCGCAGGGGCGGCGAGGGCGTCGCGGGGTGCGTGGGCGTGGGGTGGGGTGCGGTGGCGTGCGAGGAGCGGGGCTGGCGCGGGACGTGGCGGGGCGCCTTGCTGTCGATGTGAACAGAGCCGCGGGTGAGCGTCGGGGCCGCCGTGCGCGGGTTGCGGGCCGCGAGTGGCAGTGGAGGTTGTAGAGGCAGGGGGGAGGGGCCGAGTGGGGGCCTGGAGGGGCGGTGCCGCGCCGGGGGGCGCGGAAGCCGCGGGCGCGGGCACTCTGGTGCCGAGAGCGGGCGCTGCGGGGGTCGTTTCGCCGCGGCGGCGCGCACCTGGATGCTGCGCGTGGCGAACTCGACTCCGATCGTGGACTTGGACTCCAGGGAGAACTCGTTGCGCGTGAATCGCGAGAGGAGATTGGACTTGCCCACCCCGCTATCGCCGATCAGGACCACCTTGAACAGGAAGTCGTAGCTGCGCGCCAGGATGGTGGGAGCGGTGAGGTTGCAGCGGCGCCGGTGGGCGCGCGAGGCGGGCGTTCGCGACCCGCCACGCTGGACCAGCAAGGAGTTGGTTCCCTGCCGATGCGGTTCCGGGCGCGCGGCGGGCGTCCAGGCGGGGGAATCGCGTCAGTACGTACTCGTCGTCTAAGTTGTGCCCCATCTTGCCCTCGCCTCCACCCGTGAGCCCGAATTCGGCGGCCTACGCGCGTCCAAGCGTGGCTACAAGGTCGCTGCAGTGACGAATTTCCAAGATACGAGAAATGCCGCTCGGTGGTGTTTCGAGGGACCGGAGTGGCGCGGCGCCAGCGTCCCGCAAGGCAACCACGCGCGCTGAGCCCTGCTAGGTCGGGTTGGTGGAGTCCGCCAGGCACTGAGGCCCAATGCTCGCCGCGCTGGGCTCAATGCCTGCCGGAGCGCGCCCGCTGGAGGCGTGCGTCGGACGTGACCACATGTAGATGTAGTAATTGTCTCGCCATTCAACGCCTTTCGATCTAGCATTCAGTTCGTTCGGAGCTCGACCCGAGCATTGGCAGCGCGAACGGCCGCGGACCGCACCGCATATTCAAACCACCGCTTAAATCGAACCCATTCGCGCCGCGGCTTCGGTCGCTCGCGCGCCACCCGCGTCGGTTCGAGGGGCGCGGCACTCTGGCACTGTTCGCCCGCCCAGGACCGCACCAGCACCCTGCATCGATCCTCGGGTGCGACCCCGGGCACGCTGCCATCGACCCCTCTCCGTCGCGGCCGCCGCTGCGCGCCCGACCCGGCACCTGACAACGCGGCAGGGGACCAAGTGCACTGCACCAGGCAGCAGCCCCGCGACCGATATACCGGCGCTCGAGCGCTGCGCTCCGCTGTACGTGCACTGCAGGAGGGACCAGTGAGGGGGCGCACCGATGCAGGCCGCGCAGGGCGACGTGGGTGCGCAAGGCACGTCCTGACCCTCCATGGCCTGCGCTGGCACTCCGCACGGCGCGCCGAGCCCCGCGCTCCGCGCCCGCGGTCGCCCGCTCCGCTCCGACGCTGCCCCGCTCCGCCTTCGCCGCCCGCCGCGCGGAAACGCCGCCGCTCCGCGCCCCGGCGGTCCTCCCAACCAAGGCCCTGAACATCACTCCGCAGGGGTGCGCGGGGACGCGCCTGCGCCGGACCAGCTGCTGCCGGAGCAGGTGACCACGGAGGTCGTGCAGCGCTACCTCGAGGAGAACGAGCTCCTGATCAAGGTGCCCCCACCGCCGCCTCGAACACCCGCACACACACGACATGTTTGCTCTGCGCAGTGGGGCGCGCTCCGACCGCGCAGCGCGGCCAGCGGCGCCCGTGGCCGCGCGCTCGCGTGCGCGGCGGTGCGTGACCGCGGCGCGTCGGCTGCGCGTCGTTGCAGGCGATTGTGGACCACCAGAACCAAGGGCGGCTGGACGAGTGCACGCAGTACCAGGCGAAGCTGCAGCGAAATCTGCTGTTCCTGGCCGGCATCGCGGACGCGCAGGTGCGCGCGAACGCCCCGGCTGCCCCGCTGCGATTCGTCGGGCCCCGTGCATGTGTGCGGGGCTTCCCGCCGTCAGTTGCTGCCGTCAGTTGCTGCTGACCGCGGAGGCGGGGACGTGTGCATGCAGGTGTCGGCCCAGGCGACGATGCCGCGCGGCGCGGCGGGCGACGGCGGTGCGGCGCAGCAGCCACAATGACGGCGCAACGCGCTCGTGCTTCTGCTGGCGGGTGTTGACGCTCGTGCGGCCCCGGGGGCTCGCACGCGGCACCGCGGCGTCGAATGCGGCGTGAGCGTGGCCGCGCTGGTCGCGGGGAGCGCTGCGGCGGAGCACGTCCGACGAGAGTGCTAACAGGGTGGCAACATTTGCAAGGCATGTCGCGCCGATCCCGTCGCGGTCCGGACGAGTGCATCGCCGTAGGAGGACCGTTCGACGCGAGAGACGGGCGCAGACCGCGGCGACCTGTGACCCGCTGGTGTCGGAGCCCCGCTGCGGCGTCGCCTGTGCGTGTGCGTGTTGTGGGTCCGTTGGCGGGCTTGTGCGCGCGGCGGAAAAAACTCGAACCAGCTCTGGGTGGTTCGGCGGTGAGCGTGACAACGTGGCGTGGCGAAGGAGGTGGGCTGGAGCATGACATGACCGGGGGGGTGAAATGACTCCTCCAATTGGGCAGGCGGCCTGGCGCGGACTGCCCCGGATTCGACGGGGCGCTCAGGCGCGCTGGGCGACATTTCCGAGGTCACTTAGACGAAGCGTGCGACTAGGAGGATCGATTATTGTTCGAGCGGCTCCGGCGAGCGCATTACTCTCGCCGTACCCGATCGCAGCGCTTCGTGTGGGATATACAGCATGTCGACGCCGGGTGCGGGCGCCGATGGTGCCCCATCTGAGCCGAAGAAGGTGGTTCGCAGGGTCGTCAAGAAGAAGGACGCCGCGGTTGATGACTCCAAGTGGGAGGAGAAGCAGCGCGTGCCGCCCAGCAAGATCGACGGGGACATCAAGGAGTACATGAAGATCCAGTACTGCCGGGATATGACGGCGCGCAACGTCTGGTACTACCGCGACAGGCAAGCAGCCCACGCGACCGAGGCAGCCGGCGCCCCGGGCTGGCCATCGTCTCCTCCCTCCTCCGCTGCACCACAACCACGCGCGCCCGCGACACAGCCGCCTCCTCGTCGGATTCCATCAGCGTTGTGCGTCCGTGCGGTGGCCCAAAGCCCCCCTGCTGGACGCCGCCCGCCATATCCAGTCTCCAAGTGAACAGTCGGTGGATTCTCCCCGCCTAGGAGGCCCGTTTCCGCGTGTACGCGCTCTCACTGCGCGGCAACACTGCCGAACATGGCGGCCGGGGGAGTTGATGCGGGGGACCGGCCAGGACCAGGCGCCACGCGCCGAACTGCGCCCCCATCCTGCTGCGGCCTCGCCCACGCCGCGATAGGAAGGCCACGCGACGCGCGCGCCGGCGCCCTGGCTTCGATCGATGCAGGTTGAGCACGCCGCGGGGCCCGTGCACGCTGTCGACGCTGCGGGAGGCGTGGGTGACGGGGACGGTGGACGAGAACACCCTGGTGTGGGGGGAGGGCCTTGGGGACTTCATCCCGATCCGGAACGTGCGGACGCTGGTGGCGCAGATCCGGACACCGGAGGTGAAGCTCGCGACGTGGCTGAACAAGAAGCTGCTCATCGAGCCGCGGCTACGGATGGCGCGCAAGGCCCGCGGGGAGGCCGCCGCGCGCTCGAACCAGGTCGACAACATGTTCTAGGCGCGCGACAGCAATGCGGGCGGCGGTGCGAGGCCAGGGCTGGGCGTGACGACGGGGCCCGCGACCCTGCGAGGCGTTGGGGGGTGTGGGTGTTTGGAGAGGTGCCGGGGGGGCCGGTGGCGGGGGTCCGAGAAGACAGGTCCGGTGAGCGGTGGAGGGATGCGGACGGCGCGGTCTGCGCGGTGGTTGGCTCGAGTGCGGCGATGGAACGCCGTGTGAGCGCACCCCGCTTGTTCGCGCGAGTTGCCGCCGCCAGCGTGACGCCGTCGGCATAGATGAAGCTTCGCAGAGCAGCGCCGCTTCGGCGAAGACGCTCTGCACGTGGAACCGGCCTGTCAGGAGCCCGCTGACGGTCCTGGGGGCGTCTCCAGCACTGGCGCTGTGTACACAGCATGAGCTACAGCGCTCCGGCGGCTCCCCCGCCCCTCACGCACTCGGAACCGCGAGGTGCGAGGGACCTCCTGCTGCACTCCGCCGCCACCGCCTGCGGCACGCCCAGACTGACTGATTGAGAAGTAGAACAGCCTGACACCACAGCGAGTGCGGGCCACGGGTGTTGCCCTGCCCCGGCGCCCAGCGTGGACACTGCAAGAAAAGCGTTCGCGTTTCGCCCCTGCGCCACGAGGTCGCATCCTTCCCGGGGCGCACCCGCCCTGCCTTATGCCACAGCATCACCGACGGGTGAGGCCGGCCAGCAGCAGGCGGACAGCACCTTGTCGCACTTCCTGCGCTATCTCAATCAGCGCTATTACGTGGCCCATCGCATCCAACGAAAACCCCCGCGACGCGGTGCCTGAGTGCGAGTCATCCACCCACTGGTTGCAGCCCCGTCAAGGCGCGATGGCCGCTCCGAACGGCTCCAATCACGACGAGGCCCCACCGACGGTGCGTCCGTGGCGAGCCCGGGCTCCTCGCGCCGGCGCCCCCGCTGTGCACGTGCGCGCTATCGACCACGGTCGTGCTCCACGCCGCCCTTGCCTTTGACCTCGCCGCCCCGAAGCCCTGCGTCGTTGAAACGCCATTTCGGTGCACCGTGCGCGCTACGAGGCGAGTATCTGTTCGTGTTCGATGGCCGATGTGGGGAGTAGAGGTTCTTATCGCCCTTGTTTGCAGGTCGAGCACCCTGATGGTGACGTGAGGCACACATCCGAAGATGACGACGAGGTGCGAGCCCGACTGACGCCGGCAACGCTCTCCGCACGCTTGTACGGTCTATGCTACACGCGCGGGCGCACGCCCAGCGCCAGGCCCGCGCGCGCAGGCTGTCGGGCCTGCGCAGTGGTACGTTGCTCCCACTCGCCGGCGCGTCCCGCCGTATCACACCCTGGCTGCGTTGCTGTCGCTCCGCAGGACCAGGACGCGGAAGTGTTCGCGGACTACGTCCCGCAGCTGATCACCATCGGCCGCGACCACCCCAGCGACGTCAAAGAGTCGGCGTCGCTGGCCGGTGTCGTGCCGCCCGATGCGTCGTTGCAGCACGAGCTGCGGATCGCGAAGAGGCCCGGCTTCGAGCGGGCGCTGTCCAAGCTCCAGCTGGAGTCGATCGTGTACGCGATGAAGAGGCACGGGCAGTTTGGCGGCGGGGCGAGCGTTGCGCAGCGCAGCGGGTTCCTGATCGGCGACGGCGCCGGCGTGGGCAAGGGCCGCACGATCGCGGGCCTGGTCCTCGAGAACTGGCTGCGCGGGCGCCGCAAGCACGTTTGGATCACGGAGAACGACGCCCTGTACCAGGACGCAGGTGCGCCTCTGACCGCGTCGCGGAACGCCGCCGCTGAACGACGATGACAGGGCAATGCGACCCACGAGCCGAGCGCGTTGCCCGTGCGATGCAGCAGCTGTCGGCTTGCCCTGCCGCGCAACGTTGCAATCAATCAATGAATGCATTGAGTTCCTGTTATGTTGTGTTGCAGAGCGTGATCTGAGCGACGTCGGCGCGCACGTCGGCGGGTGGGACACCGGCGCGGCTCTCTTCAGCGTGAAGGAGACGACGCCCGGGGCCGAGCCCCCCGCGGGCGTGGCGTTTCTGTCGTACTACACCCTGGTGAGGGACGAACACTTCAAGCGGCTGCTCGAGTGGTGCGGACGCGACTTCGACGGCGTGATCGCCTTCGACGAGTCGCACAAGGCGAAGAACCTGCACTCCGAGGACGCCGAGGGCAGCGAGCGCAACGCGTCGAAAACGGCCCGCTGTGTCGCGGAGCTGCAAAAGGTGCTCCCGCGAGCGCGCGTGGTGTACGTCAGCGCGACCGGAGCGTGCGAGCCGCAAAACATGGCGTACATGACGCGGCTGCACCTGTGGGGCCTCAGGGCCGGTCCCGGCGCGGCGGCGAACTTCAAAACGTTCCGGGGCTCGCTCGAGAGGGGGGGTATTGGGGCCATGGAGGCGGTCTCGATCGACCTGAAGGCGCGCGGCGTGATGGTGGCGCGCTCGCTGTCGTTCGCGGGGACGTCGTGCACGGAGGACGTAGTCGACATCGGCCCCGCGGGCGCCGAGATGTACGACGGTCTGGCGCGCGTGCTGCGGCGGCTGCGGAGGGTGTGCGTCGACGGTCCGGCCGGCAGCCGCAGGAACGCGGTCGGGTTCCGCGGCGCGCAGCAGGCGGTGTTCCGCGCGGTCTGCGTGGGCCTCAAGGTCGACAGGGCGCTCGAGATCGCGCGGGAGGCTCTGCGTGCCAACCAGTGTGTCGTCATCGGACTGCAGGGCACCGGCGCGGCCAGCACGGGCAAGACGGCGGCGGAGAACGAAGACGAGGGCGGCGTGCAGGACTTCACCTCCGCGCCCCAGCAGCGGCTGCTCACTTATATCGCGGACATGGAGCACAAGCTGGCCTCGGGCCCCGGAGACGAGTCCCAGCGCGCCGAGGCCGTCAAGGAGCTCAGGGCGCTCTACGACGAAGTGAGCGAGATGTCCCTGCCCCCCAACCCCATCGACAAGCTCGTCATCGAGCTCGGCGGGCCAGACCGTGTCGCCGACCTGACGGGGCGCGCGGGCCGCATCGAGCGCACTGCGGACGGGCGCTTGGGGTACGTCCCGCGGAAGTTCGACGCGGCCGCGCGCAACGTGGAGCGGCAGGCCTTCCAGGACGGCAAAAAGCTCGTGGCGATCATCTCCGCGGCATCGTCGACGGGGGTGTCCTTGCACGCGGATCGCCGCGCGAGCAACAAGCGGCGCCGCGTGCACATCACCATCGAGCTGCCGTGGGCGGCCGATCAGGCCGTGCAGCAGTTCGGCCGGACGCACCGCGCGAATCAGGTGCTGCCGCCAGTGTACTGCCTGCTGATGACCAATATTGGCGGCGAGCGGCGGTTCCTGAGCAGCGTGGCGATGCGGATGCAGAAGCTCGGCGCGCTGATGAGCGGCGACCGCCGCGCCGCGGACTCGCAGTCCCTCGGGAAGTACAACGCAGAGACGGAGATCGGGCAGCTGGCGCTCAAAGACATCATGACCGCGATCGATCGGGGTAGCCGCACGCGTGGCGGCAACACGGGGGGCAGGCGGCCGCCGATCGACGCCGTGGAGCCGCGCGAGTGCCGCGAGGGCCGCATGACCGAGGCGCAGTTCCTGCAGAGGTGTCGGGAGATCGTGGACGACATGGGGATGACGAAGCCCGGGGCGAACGGCGCGGCCGCGTCGATCGACGTTTCGTTTGACAATCAGGGCGTGCGCAAGTTCCTCAGCCATCTCCTGGGCGCCAACGTCGCAGACCAGGAGATGCTGCTCGCGTTCTACGACGACCAGGTCCTGGAGCGGACGCGGCAGGCCAGGGCGAGCGGGAAGCTCGACCGCTCGGCGCAGGAGCTCCGCGGGACCGGCGTGTGGCTCGCGCGCCACCCCGAGGTGCTCTACCGGGACCCTGCGTCAGGCGCGGAGACCCTGCTGAACCGCGTGATGGTCGACACGCGCCTGCCATTCGGCGCCGCGGAGGAGTTCCTGCGGGCTGCGCTCGAAGAGGAGGAGCGCGTGCGCCGCGAGGACGCCCAGGGCAGCTCGCCCAAGTCGGGGTTCTACCTGACGTCATCCAGGAAGAAGCAGACGGGCGTCGCGGTCGCGGCGTACCGGAAGCGAGGAGGCCGCGTGACGTACGAGGTCAGGGAGCCCGGCGACTGCAAGACCAGGACGATGCGGAGGAAGGATTTCGAGGACAAGTTCCGCACGCACAGTCCGCTCGAGGACCCTGTGCAGATCGAGGGGCTCTGGGAGGAGCAGTACGCGCGCAGCGAGGTGTGCCACGAGCACGTGGTGCTGTCGGGCGTGCTCCTGCCGATCATCGGCGCGCTCGCGAGCAGCAGCGCGAGTATCTGCATCACGCACTGCGCTCTGACGCGGGCGCACGCGTGCGAGGGCGGCGAGGCCGGGAAGCCCGGCCAGCGCATCGTGGGCATCCCGATCGAGGGCGAGATCGTCGACGACGTGCGCGCGAAGCTCGAGGAGCTCGCCGCACAGGCCATGGTGCGTGCGTCCGCGCCGTCCCCAGCCCGCCCTTCGCGTGCGCGACGCACGCGGGAGCGATCAGCGGCGCTCTCATGTCCACACACATGGCCTGCTCGACGCCCCCGAAGACGACCTTGCGCCTGTGTCACGTTGAAAGAGAGACGAGCGATTGTTGATCCTCTGCAGGAGCTGTACCAGCAGCAGCAACGGCAGCTGCCGGAGGAGGAGGACACGGTCGTCGCGGAGGAGGCCGGCGGCGACGCAGAGGCGCTCGACAGCACGGGCTCCGGCGCGCCCAGCCACCCCGCGCGCTCCATCCCCAACGACGACACTGACAGCGCCAAGTCCAGCGAGGGCGGGCCCTCCCTGCGCGAGCAGGTCGCGCTGCTGCGCGCGCAGTGCCAGGCCCTGCAGCGGCGCTGCGACGCCGCCGAGGCCGCGCGGGAGCGCGAGGTGGGCGCGCTGCGGGAGGAGAACGCGGAGCTGCGGGCGCAGTTCGCGCACATGGAGGGCCACTTCGCGAGCAGGCTGGACGAGCTGCTGCGGCTCGTGACGCAGGCGGGCGCGTGAGGGCGTGGACGCGGGCGCAGCGGGGGGCGTTTTGCACCAACTCGGGCCTTGCAGCGTCGACGTCGTGTGAGTCGTCCAGCGCGCGAACGCGGCGTTGGGGCCGCTGCGCCGTGACCCACGGTTTGCGCTCTGCGCCCACAGTCTCACAGACAGAAACATCGGGCCGTATTGCGTCGGGGGGGGCCGGGGTACCGTTGGGTGCGGCGCGCGGCACCCTTACGCCACCGCGGCGGCGCGGGCGCCGAGCTCCCGCGCGAGGGCGCGCTCGCGCTTCTTGAGCTTCGCGGCGGCCTTGGGCCCGAGCTTGCCGCCGCCCCACTGCGCGCGCGTGCCGTTGTTGTACATGCCCATGGCGCTCTCCGTCAGCTTGGCGAACTCGCGCTGGTCCGCGTTGTCGACGCCCGTGAGGCACAGCGCGGCCGCGTTCTTCATGTGCACGACCTGCCCGAGGCGGGCCTTGCCCTTGACGATCACGTACGGCACGCCCATCTTCTTGCACAGCGCGGGGAGCCACACCACGATCTCAATCGGGTCGACGTCGTGCGCAATCACCACCAGCTTGGCCTTGCCGGCCTCCACCAGCTGCGTCACGTGGTTGATGCCGAACTTCACCACGTTCGGCCGCTTCTTCTCCACCTGCGGGGCGGACGGGCAGTGCCGCGAGGTGGGCGCGCGGCGTGCGGCGCGCCGCGTGGCGCTGACGGCCGCCGGACGGGCCCGGCGGCGAAGAGTCGGCACCTCGAAGGCGGGGCCGGCGGCGGCCGGGCGCGCGGATCGGCCGGGGCGGCAGGCCGGGAGGGCCAGCCGGCGGGTGCCTCCACGTCCCCACAGCGCCCAGGGCGCGCGGGCGGCGCGGTTCGCAGGCGGGGGCGCGCGCTCGGCGGGGGTCAGGGCGGGCGCACCGTCTTGCCGTCCGCGCGGGCCTTGGCCTCGGCGAGGAGGCGCTCCTTCTTGGTGGCGGCGTCCTCCGGGCGGTACTTGGCCAGGAGCGTGAAGAGCGTGGTGGCCGTGTTCTTGTCCAGCGTCTTGGCGAACTGGGTCAGCGCCGGGGGCACCTTGAGGCGCTGGTTCAGGACGCGCTTCTGGCGCTGCACGCGGACGTACTTGGGCCACTTGACGAAGCGGTGCATGTCCCGCTTGGGCGCCAGGTCCTGCCCGATGCCGAAGTTCTTCGGCCGCTTCTCGAACAGAGGGTTCCTGCGCGCGGACATGGCGTCGGCGGGGCGCGGGGCGGGTGAGGGGGTCCGGCGTGGGCCGTGCGGGCCAAGCAGCCGCTTCAGAGGAGGGAGTGCTCGCTGGTGGCGCGCGCAGGGGGGGCGCGGCGCGGTTCGGTCAATGCGGGCGTGTGCGTTGGAATCTTTGCGGACGGAAACGAGCATAGCTGCCCGCAGAGCCGGCCTGCCAAGGACCCAGGCGCGAGGCAACGTGCTGGATGGGCCCCACTTCGGCCTCGCGGCGACCTGGCGGGTCGCGAGCGCCCGCGTGCACGAATGATGCACGAGGAATGCGCGGCCGCGCGCGGGAGCCCCCCCCCGCTGCGCAATGGGGCCGAAGGCCGAGAGCAGCCGACCGGGAACGAGCATCCGCCGCGGCGCCCCTCGACCGCGAGGGCGCAGCCAAACGGAACGACTCGATTCCTACGTAAAATATGGGCGGGCGGGCTCACGTCGGCTGCTTCGGCGCCTTCTTGGCGGCAGGCGCCGGAGCGACCTTCTTTTTCGCGGGCATGGCTCCTCTCCTGATCCCACTACTGCCAACCGAGTATCGCAAAAGCGAGAAAGGATCGAGGACGCTTCCATGGTGGCCCAATGACCCGGAACGACGCTCGGTGGCGCGCAGGGGGGACCGACGTGTGCTCGTCTGACCGCTCTGTGCGACACCAAAACTTTCCCAAAACACGGCCAAGCATGCACCACTCCGACAGACGCCCACAGCCCCTCTGCGCCGCCCGGAGCCACCGCGCGGGAGACGCGACCCAGCACTGCACGCAGAGCGACATCACATCACGCGAGCGCCTCCCCGGCGAGCTTCTTCCCGGCCTCGAGCGCCTCGTCCGCCTTGTCCATGTTGGGCCCCGTGCCCTGCGCGAGCCCCGGCTTGCCCCCGCCCTTGCCCCCCAGCACCTCCAGCACCCACTTGACCCAGTCGTTGGCCTTCAGCTTCGCCTGCACCGACTCCGGCACGCCCGCGAGCGCCAGCACCTTGCCCTTGTCGGCGTCCGCGGACACGAACAGCGCGCACATGTCCGCGTGCGCCTTCGTGATCGCGACGAACGCCTCGCCGAGCGTCTTGCCGTCAATCCCGTCCATCCGCATCGCCACGAACGGCTGCCCCGCCGCCGCCGCGGCGTCCGCGGCCTTGACCGCGTTCGCCGACGCCTGCACACCACCGGACAAACGCACGACGACTGGCGTCGAGAACAGCGCGAGACAACACAAGTCAGTCCGTCTGGCAGATCACGCGCTCGCAGGCGCCGCGGCGCGTCGACGCACCTCCTTCTTCGCGGCCGCGGCCGCGGCCTTGGCGGCCTCCATCACGATCTTGGTCAGCTTGGACATCTCCTCGCGGATGTGGCCCTTGAGGCCCGCGCTCATGACGGCGCCGTCCACGTCCTGCCGCAGCGCGCTGAGCTTGTCGCTCAGCGCCTGCCCCTCGAGCTTCTTGGCCTCCTCGAGCGCCGCGAGCAGCCGCTCGCCCTCCGCGACGGCCTTCTTCGCCTCCCCGCGCGTCACCGCGATGACGCGCCGCACGCCCTTGGCGATGCCCTCCTCGCTGATCAGGCAGAACGCCTCGGCCTCGCTCGTGTTCTTCAGGTGCGTCCCGCCGCAGAACTCGATCGAGTACCCCGCGTGGCCCTCCGCGGCGGGGTCCGCCACCAGGTCGTCGATGGCGCGCCCGACCGACACCACGCGGACGGGGTCCGGGTAGGCCTCGCCGAAGATCGCGCGCAGGCCGTTGATGCTCTGCGCGGTCGCCAGCGGCAGCTCGCGGTTGTGCACGGGCAGCGCCGCCGCCAGCGCGTCCCGGCAGATCTGCTCCACCTCGGCCAGCTGCTCGGGCGAGACGGGCTTGCCGTGCGAGAAGTCGAACCGCAGGCGCTCGGGCTGCACGATCGAGCCCTTCTGGTCCACGCCGTCGCCGACGACCTTCCGCAGCGCGTAGTTGAGCACGTGCGTGAAGGTGTGGTTGGGCGCAATGTCCTTCCGGCGCTCCAGGTCCGGCTCCGCGGTCACGCTGTCGCCGACGCGGATGGCCACGTCCCCGGCGACGTCGCCCTTGTGCAGGACGTACCCGGCGGCGACCTGGCAGTCGGTGACCTCGAGCGTGGCGCCGGCGGCCGTGGTGATGCGCCCCGTGTCCGCGACCTGCCCGCCGGACTCCGCGTAGAACGCCGTCGCGTCGAGGACCAGCCCGACCGGCCCGTCGACGCCCTCGGTGGTGTCTCGGTACCCCTCCAGCGTCAGGATCGCCACCACCTTGCCCTGAGTTGGCGCCCAGTCGTACTTGGGCGCGTCGTTCGTCAGCGGCGCGTTCATCTCCTTCAGCGCCCCCGTCGCCTCGGCCTCGAACTTCAGCTGCGGCCCCCCGCCCGTCTTCCGCGCCGCGCGCGACCGCTCCTTGGCCTCCTTCATCGCCACCGCGAACCCGTCCATGTCGACGCGCAGGCCGCGCTCCTCCGCCATCAGCTCGGTCAGGTCCACGGGGAACCCGTACGTGTCCCAGAGGAGGAACGCGTCCGGGCCGGAGACCATCCCGCCCGCCGGCACCGCCTCGGCGAACTTCTTGAACTGCTCGATGCCCTTGTTGAGGGTCCGCGAGAACGACACCTCCTCCTCGGAGATGATGTCGAAGATCGTCTGCCGCGCGGCCACCAGCTCGGGGTACGCCGAGCCCATGTGGTCGACCAGCGGCCCGACCAGCTGCGAGAAGAAGCCCTGAGGCGCGTTGAGCCGCTCGCGCCCGTAGCGCACCGCGCGGCGCAGGATGCGCCGCAGGACGTAGTCGCGGCCCTCGGGGCCCGGCCGCGCGCCGTCCGCGATCGCGAAGGACAGCGTCCGGATGTGGTCGGCCACCACGCGGTAGGCCATGTCCACGCCCTCGGGGTCGTCCTTCCCGACGGTGTCGCCGTAGGGCTTCGCGAAGCCCGTGACCGCCTGGATCGCGGCGAAGAGCGGCGAGAAGACGTCCGTCGCGTAGTTGGACTTCTTGTCCTGCAGGACGGACACCAGGCGCTCGAGGCCCATGCCCGTGTCGACGTGCTTGGCGGGGAGCGGCCGCAGCGAGCCGTCGGCCTCGCGGTTGAACTGGATGAAGACGAGGTTCCAGATCTCGAGCACGTTGGGGTCGTCCTGGTTGACCAGCTCCGGCACGCTGCGCCCGCCGATGCGGTCGAAGTGCAGCTCCGAGGCGGGCCCGCACGGCCCCTGGTCGCCCATCTCCCAGAAGTTGTCCTTGACGGAGCCCGCGATGACGCGCTGCTCGGGGAGGAAGCGCAGCCAGAGCTTGCGCGCCTCCTCGTCCGGCGGCAGCCCGAGCGCCGCGTCGCCGCCGAAGTAGGTGGCGTAGATGCGGTCGGGGGGGAGGTGGAAGACCGACGTCAGGAGCTCCCACGCGAAGTCGATGGCGCCCTCCTTGAAGAAGTCCCCGAACGACCAGTTCCCGAGCATCTCGAAGAAGGTGTGGTGGTAGTTGTCCTTGCCCACGTCGTCCAGGTCGTTGTGCTTGCCGCCGGCGCGAATGCACTTCTGCGAGTTGGCCGCGCGCTTGAGCTTCGCGAGCTCCGTCGCGGGGTCCGCCTGCCCGAGGAAGATCGCCTTGTACTGGTTCATCCCGGCGTTCGTGAAGAGCAGCGTCGGGTCGTTGTGCGGCACCACCGCGCTCGACGGCCACGGCGTGTGAGCCTTGGTCGACATGAAGTCGATGAACGTCTGGCGGACGCGGTGCATCGTCCACTCCTGGGTCAGGCACGGCACGAGCGCCTCGGCGGGCGAGGGGCCGTCGCCCCACGGCGTCGGGGAGCTGGGCGTGTAGGCGTAGCGGCGGGCGGCGCCGGCGACGGGCGCGCCGAGGACGGACTGCGTGGCCGGGGCCGCGAGGAGGTTCGCGAGCCAGGCGGTGACCTTCGGGCGCTTGTCGCGCTCGGCCTTGTCCATCACGGTCACGAACAGGAGGAGCATCTTGACGGCGGCCACCACGTCGGCGAGGGACGCGGCCGGGCCGGCGAGGAACGGAGAGGCCGACAGGTGCGCCTCCAGGGCCTGCGTAAGGCGCGCGCGGGCGTGGCCGCGTGAGCGAGCGCGGGGAGCGGCCCGTGAGGACGCGTCGACACGCGCGTCATCACGGGTGCGCAGGGCGCCGCGGACGGGGCAGCGCACCGTGAGGGTCTCGTCGAGCTTCTTCTCGGCTTCCTTGGTGAGGCCGGCGTCGTACGGGCGCACCCCGAGGATCGGGTACACGAGCGCGGCGGTGATCTCGGAGAGAGTGGCGCTCCAGTCGAGCCAACCGTCCACCTTGCACCTCGCGATGTCTGCGCAGCGGGCGCAATCGCACGCCGGGGATGAATGTGCGCTGCGGGGAGCGGGGGGCGCGGCCCGGCGCGCCGCCGCCGGGCTCCAACGCACTTCGCGGGCTGAGTTTGGTGCACATGGGGTCGTTGCGCCCAGAAACCTCCGCAACTCCAGATTGCGATGGCTGTGGCGGGATGAGGCGATCCAGGGACGCGCCGTGCGACAAGATTCCGCGGCGTTCGTTGCGGGGATGCTCACCGCCGGGGCCCTCACTGGCCGGATACAGAGACGCGCCCTTCGGGCCGGTGAGCGCGAGGTAGCGGCAGATAGCCCCTGTCTCGAAAATGCAACCATCCTTGGTTTCGAGCAACGGCACCTGCGCGGCAAGAGGTCGAGCAGCGGTGAGCGCACAGGCAGTCGAGAGCAGTCGAGCTCGACGGACGAGGAGCGATGGGGTCGAACGCGGCCGTTCCGGCCAAGCGGCTGATAGTTGTCGCACGTGCATTTGCATACTGGGCGGAGCGGTGCGTGCGCAGCGCGGGACGCGCGGCGACGGCTGCAACACGCACGATGGGATTTCGCCCGCCCTCCAGCGGCGGCGAGCGACTAACCTTGCCCAGAGGACTCTTCGCGAGGAACTCGGGGGTGCGATTGGTCACGCCGTCGGTGAACGGGACGACCTCCACCTCAGCCCCAGCCCACGCGGCCACCACCCGGCACGCCAGGACAGAGGTGCCCACGCCGTAGATCTTCATGGCCGCCATCGCGCAGCGCACGCAGCGTGAGCAGCGCTTACGACTGCCTGCGCCACGCGGCGCCGCCGTCACGCCAGCCCGGTCGCGAGGCGGCGCGCGGGGGGGCCTTTTGTGGTACAAGTACCTCCCCTCGTCAGGTCGCGCGGCGGCCACATCGCCCCCGCGCCGGCAGCGAGACCGCCAGTGGTACCAGGCTCGGCGGACGGCACGCGACGGAGCTCCTGCTTCGGTTCGTCAGCCCCGCACCGTTGCCTGCGTCGCGACGCGCCCACGGCGCGCACCGACCCGAGAGACCCGAACGATGCAAGCTGCGGCTAGCATGCAGTCTGCACCCGCTGCGGCAGCGCGCTGTGGGCGGTCGCCGCAGCGCGCGCCGCCCGCTCGCAGCGCGCGCGTGTCGGCGCCCGCGGGTGCAGGAGTGGCGTCGTTCGCGCGGCGTGCGGCGCCTGCGTGCGTGCGCCCGCCAGCTACGCCTCGCGCAGAACGCAAGGTCGTCGTGCGCGCCGAAAGCGGCTCGGCGTCGCCCGCGGAGGAAGAGGGAAAGGACGGGTTCGAGATCCTGCTGCCCTACGCGTATGGGGCCATGGCCGTGGCGTTTGCGGCGTATTTCGCGGTGGGCGTCGCCGCTCCTGAGAAGCTCATGTCCGATGTCTGCTTCGCGGGCCTGTCCAACACCGCGTTCCAGGGCACCGGGGCGCTGGAGGCAGCGCTCACTCGCCTCGCAGCGTGCGCCGCTGCTGCGCCCGCGGCGGCGTGCTGGAGCCTGCGCTCGGCAGGTGAACACCCCCACGCGCATGTATGATACATAAGTATACTGAGGCACTGCGGAACGCGGCTCAGACGTGCATGTTCACGCGGGAAAACGGCACGTTTGCCGTCCCGGGACGTCGGTCACAACCGACCGCTCGTCCGTCGTCCCCGTGCCTCCGCAGCGATGCACGACCGCCTCAAGTCCACCACGTACCAGCGCCTCAACATCGGCATCGCCCTCTTCGCGCTCTTCCAGGGCTTCGCCGACACACTCCTCAGGCGCGCCTCACAACGCACCCGCCACGCCCGCCCAGCACCCCGACCGCACCCTCCAACCCGCCCCCCCCGCCCCCACGCCCGCGCGCAGGTACCTCGAGCTCCAGGCGCCGTGCAAGGCCTCGATCATCGTCGGCGGCGTCCTCCCGTTCGTGATTGCGTCCCTGGGGCTGTGGAAGGGCGGCATCAGCGGCGAGAAGCTCGCGCTCGTGGAGGACCTCGTCGTCGCGGAGGACTACAAGGCGCTCGCGGACCGCCCCGTCGCGACGCCGCGCGCCGCCGCGCACACCATCGGCTACTGCGTCTTCATGTTCACCGGCGTTGTGCTCGGCCTCGCGCCGCAGGAGGTCCTGCAGTGGCTCGGCGTGGTGCGTGCCCCCCCGTGCTCGCGCCGGGCTCGTTCGGCCGCTGTGGTGCGCTGCTGAGTGTGTGCGCGTTGCGTGCGTGCGTGCGTGCAGGACGCGCCGTCGAGCGCTGCGTGCCACATCGTGCGGTGCGTGGGGGCGCTGTCGTTCGTGACGGGGAAGGGCCACGCGGTGCTGAAGGACGGGTGGAACCGCGGGCGCCTCGGGGCGAGCACGTTCAAGCAAATGGATCTGGGGATCGGTGTGGCGGGGGTCGGGCAGGCGGCGGCGCTGGGGGCGGCCGCGGCGTCGGGCGTCGCGGCGGTCTCGGCCGCGACGTGCATCATGTGCGCCACGTGGGGCGTGACGGGCGCGTTCGCGCTGTACGGGTTCCTCACGGACAAGAAGTGACGGGTTTCTTGAATACTTGAATAAGGAATCCATAGTAAATGACAGCAAGCGGTGCTGTCGTGTCGTGAAGCCGCTCCTCGCACGCGTCATCTTGTTACATGGTCTCGCCGAGCGCACTGCGACATACCGATCCTCGTGGTCCTGGGCCTCGAACTCCACGGAACTCCATACATATCTGCTGCAATGGCCGCCGGGCTACAGGTACCCAGGCGCGCAGCTAGTCCCCTGCGCGGGCGGCCTCAAGTTGCTCCCGTCCCGCGCCGGGCTGCCCCCCACGCTCCCGTCGCCCGCGCCCTTCTCGAATATGCAGCAGCAGTCGTACAGCCCGCCCCCGAACAGCCGCTCGCCCACGCGCGCGTTCTTGACCATGGCCAGCTTGACGGTGTCGCACTTGAAGCGCGCGCGCAGGTTGGTGTGCAGCGCGCGGCCCATGCCCTCGATCACGATCAGGTCCGTCCCCGTCGCCGCCTCGGCCAGCTCCTGACTCACCCGACGCAGGTCCAGGCAGGGGCCGCCCTGCCCGCTCTCCACGACGAAGAGCCGCCCGATGCGCGCGCCTCCGCTGTTCGACAGCGGCGGCGGCGTCCGCGCCGGGCTCGGCACCGGGTCGTGGAGCCGCGGGCTGTTGCGTCCCCACGCCCCCTCCTCCATGCTGCGCCCGCCCTCGATGCGGCTCCCGCCCTCGGGCGTGCCCGCGCCGCTGCCCCCGCCGACGCGCACCGTTCCGCCGCCGCCGCTCCGCCGCCCGCTCGTCGCGATCCGCGGGAACGAGTGCAGCGACGCGCGTGCGCGCACGCCCTGCTCCCACCCGACGCTGAGCACAGCGTCCATGTGGGCGGTGGCCTGCAGGACCGCCTCGAGCTCGCCCGCGGTGACGTCGTTGATCGCGGGGAGGCTGTTGGCCGCCATCACGACGTCCGTGCCGTGCCGGAGGAGCTCCCGGGCCAGCGGGATCATGCCGAGCACGAGGTCGGCGCCGGCGTTGTCGACGAAGAGCAGGGCGCGGCGGTAGAAGGAGCCGCCGGCCAGCATGCCGTGCCACTGCTCCGACAGTGCGTCGAAGTCGTCCGCGCGCCACGGCCGCTTCGACAGGCGCGCGCGCGCGTCCCTGCACAGCACGCAGGGCATCTCCCGACCACGTGGTGTCAGGCGGGGACTGTTATCAGGTCCGGCAGCGAGCGGCCTAGTCATGCGGGAGCCCCGTACCTGTAGATCTCGAGGATGGTGCCGTTCTTGTACAGTTCGACGCAGGCGCGCGACCCCCAGTCGAAGATGTTGGCCGCCAGCACCCCCTCGATCAGCGGGAGCAGGCGCGCGGCGGGCGGCATGGCATCGAGCTCGCGGAACAGGTCCGGGAGCACCTCGATCGCGGCCGTGTTCTCCTGCGCCTTGTCGAGCCTGCAGCCAACGCCAGCGCCGCACAACACCGCACATCAGCATCACGCACAACCACGACGCGCACCGCCCCGCGCGGCATGACGACCAGCCATCGTGACCGCATCAGCTCCCTCCTGCAACACATGCCAGCCGTCCGCGGCCGATGTCGCCGCCCTCCCCCTGCAACCCTCCCCGCACCTGTATGCGTCGCGGAAGTTGAACTCCCTCAGACACTCTTCCCGCATCTCGAAGATCTCCGCGAGCCCCAGCCGCCCGTACGCGCCGGGCTCGGCCTTGAGGCGGTGCAGGTGCGCGGTCAGCGCCCGCGCGAACGCGTGCGCGCGACGCCGCGCGTTGGCCGCGTTGGCGTCTGACCGGAAGGCCTTCTCCTCGACCATGGGGACCTGCTGCAGCAGGACCGACAGCCAGTACTCGCGCTCCTCGGGGTCGTCGATGATGTCGACCGTGTTCGGCTCGTAGCCGCCCGGGTCCGCCAGCAGCGGGAACGGTTCGAAGGACGGCGCCCAGTGCAGGACGCCCACGTTCAGCGACATCTTCGGGGACTGCTGCGGCGCCACGCGGCGCGGGGCGCCCTGCAGGGACGCAGGCGGGCTCGCGCCCGGGGCCTGGCGCTCGAAGCAGAACCCGGCGGGGTATCCGCGGTCGATCTTGAGTTGCGACATCATTTGTACCTCGGGGGTGTTCAGCGCGGGGTGGGCGAGCGCGGCGTCCCCCAGGTGGCCCGTGGAGTCGCCGCCGGAGGGGTAGTCGTCGCCCTCGACGCTCGGCGGCGCCTGCGGCATCGCGCCGTCGGCCTCGGCCCCGTCGGTGGCCGCGGGGGGCTGCCCCATCTGCATCGACCCGACCTCGATGAAGCGCTCGACCCACGACACCTTCTGCTCGAGGTTCCCGATGAGCGGGCCCTGCACGGTGCCCCCGAGGAAGGGCGCGCCCATGCGGAAGCGCTCGACGAACTTGGCGCGCGAGGGCACGGAGCCGACGATGGGCCCGTGGCGGACGGTGAGGAAGGAGCCCATGACGCCGAGGAAGCCCTCGTGGCGGAGGAACATGGCCTGCATGATGCCCTTGGACCAGAAGTTGATGGCGTAGGAGATGGTTTCCATGGTGTAGGGGTGGCCGCGGATGAAGAACCCGCCGAAGAAGACGCGGCGGATGGAGTGCAGCGAGGCGTTGAGGTACGCGATCTGCCCGATGTTGTACGACACCATCCGCATCAGCGCCAGCGCGATGTCCTGGGGCCGGTACTCCAGCTGCGCGTCGCCCGCCATCACGACCTTGCCGAACGACGACGCGATCATGCCCGCGGACAGCCCGATCGCCTCGTAGTCGTGCCCGCCGTAGATGTCGCCCACGAGCATGTCCACCGCGGTGTTGTCCCCCTCCACCGACAGACTCAGCAGCTCCTCGAACGACTGCGTGCCCGTCAGGAGGCGGCACAGACCGAGGAACGTGCCGCCGCCCAGGTTCGTGCCCGACACGCGCTCGTACTCGCCGTGCCCCGAGACCTGCGCGCGGCGACGTGGCGGCGTGAGCGTGGTCGTGGCTGGCCGCGGCCGGCAAGCGTGGTGCGGCGCGGGGGCCGTCGGGGCGCGCACCTTGATCATGGAGACGCCGGAGCCGACGTTGACGAGCAGGTACGGGTACAGCTCTTCGTCGTCCTTCAGCGGGACGAACTGCTGCACGCCTGCTTGGAAGGTGAAGGCTTCGTCGCGGATGGCGCGCAGGAGGAAGCCCGCGCCGGCGACGAGGCACCCGATCTCGTCCTCCTTCTCCAGCACGACCCCGAGCTCCTGCTTGAAGAGGTCCGCGTACTTGTACGCCCCGCCGCCCGTCGCCTTGACCATCGCGACGTCCGTGTCGCGCCCGCCGCTGTCGAGCGGGCGGCGGTGCAGCCCCTTCTCGCGGATGAAGTTGATCGCGTCGTGCACCTGCGGATCGACGCAGCGGCCACACCGCGCCGAACGTCTCGTCTCGCGTCGCGATGCGATGGCCGTTCAAGGTGTTGAGCGCAAGCTGCGAGCCCGGCCGAGGGCGGGGCGGGGGCACACGCGCGCGCCGTGACGGCGCGGACAGGGGCGAGTGCCGGGCGCGCGTGCCTTGGACGTCTCGAACTTGACGAAGTGCAACTTGCCGCCCCGCGCTGTCGAGCGGTGGGTGCGGGGCGTGGTCTCGATGTCCTGCTCCAGGTCGTCCGGGCCCGACGAGCCGTCCGTGAAGTACACGATCTTGATGAGCGACCCGCCGATGTCGATCGCGAAATGGCACACGTTGCGGCCGTCCTGGTTCGGGAGCACAATGCTGGGCGCCTCCTGCACACCAAGGTGGCCGCCGCAGCGGTATGTGCGCGAGAGACGCGATTGCGCGAGGCGCGGATTGTTCCTTGATGGAACACCGACCCAAAACGGCCCGTTCGGTCCAAAGGTCGCGCCGGGCGTGCCCGGCTCGAGAAAGTCATCAGGAGATTGCGCACTCCAATGGGGGCTGCCAGGCCGTGGCTGGTGGGGGACTTGCGAGCGGACGGCGGGCGCGAGACTACGCGGTACTGGTGCATCGTTGGGGCGAGTTCGGCGTCGCGGTGCGGGGCCTCGCGCGTCGGCGCCGGCTGTGGGCAGTGCTGTTGCTCACCCGGCCGCTGCCTGAGCCGGACCCGGAGCCGTTCGAGTTCCGCCAGCGATCATCCTGGGGCTCCATGCACGCCCCGGCGAGGTCGAGGAAGCTGCCCGTCCGCACATGCGTGCTGCGCCCATTCGTGGGCGCATCTTCGCTGTTCCTACGCGACATTGCGGCGCCCGCGCGGGGCGAAACCGCCCGTCAAAGCGCCGACCAGCTTCTAGCTCCCACGGCGTTCCAACTTTCGATGCCCCTGCGGTGTACGCAGCGCGGGCCGGCTCCCAACAGAACCGGAAGCCCCACGATCGCTCCTCGCGTCGATCGGGCGTCAACCACCCAGTGGCTATCTATAACGCCCCCCTGGCTCACTTTCGCTCACATCTGGCGCCGGAGACACGCACCGCACGCGCTCAAAGGCCGCGCACCGTGTTGACTCTGCTACCATGTGGACTGCACCCACGTCAGCCCGCCAGCGCAGCCACGCCCGCGGAGTGTTGACCTCACGGCGTCGCTCTGACCAGGCGCTCCTTCCCCGCCACTCCATCGCCGCGCGGCCACCAGCCCGTCGTTGTCGTCATCATGGATTACGTGTCCACGCATCGGCACAGCACGCGAACGGCCATCCACTGCCCGGCGCCCAGCTGCCGTGTGTCCACTGCCCGCGCGCCCCGGCGCCTGGCACGTTCGTATTCGCACGTTCCGGGTCTGGGGGGGAGCGAGCTCGATGCTCGAGGCGCCCGTGTCTCCTCGCCGGGCCACGGTGGGGCGCCCCGTCGCGTGCCTTAAGCATTCTCGGACGCAGCTTGCCCCTCCATCGATCAGGTGCGGCGATGCCGCGCGTCCCGCACCGCGAGGACCCTCGAGCGTTTTTTTTCGGGCAATCGCCGATCGCGAGCAGCCACCCCCATCAGGCAGCCCCCCGCTTGCCGCTCCTCGTCCACAAGATTCTAGTCGTCCGTCCCTGCCCCACCATTGCGCCGCGAAGCCCGTCGGGCGCGCCGCGTTCGAACCTGCCAACCAACTACGCTATGTTGCCGTCGCCGGTGTCCCGCCCGAGCTTTTGAGCTGCCCGAGCTTTTGAAACAGCTGGGCAGCTTCGAGCGCTTCCAGAGCGGCGGTCCAGACACGCCGGGCGACGATCGCCTCCCCTGCACCGTGCCCGCGGAGAACGAGGACCCAACGAAGGCCATCTTCGACTTGGGATCCCCCAACGAGGGATTCCGCGTTTGAGGATCCCAAGTCGCAGATGGCCTTCGTTGGGTCCTCCTCGTCCGCGGAGAGCACGGTGCAAGGGGGGCGGTCGTCGCCCGGCGTGTCTTGACCGCCGCTCGAGCTCGTGGGCGCCGTACTTCCCGTACGGCGCACCTCGAGCAGCCCCCGGGGCCGTCCGCGCAGCCCTCACCGCGACCCCTCCTCCCCGCGACCCCCCTGCCCCCGCACGGCACCCAACCACAAGACGCCAGGCACGGCATGCCCCTGGGAGGCAAGACAGAGGCGCGCAGGACCGCTACGGACGCGACGCGTGCAGCACGACGAGCTCCCGCGCGTCGCGGCCGCAGGCTGGCCACCTGACGACCGCGACACCCCGGCCAGTTGGCGCTGTGTACGCTGTCGCGACCCGCAGCGCCAACCGCCGCCGGCGGCCCGGAGGATGGCCGGGCCGGACGCGCCGGGGTAGGGGCGGATGCTCTGCAGCTAGAGGAGGGGAGCGCCACCTCGCCGGTCGTGGGGGTCTCATAACGCCCGACCGGTGACACCCCCAGGGCCTTTCCACAGCCGGGGGGGAAGAGTCCACCCCCCTCGAGCCGTCCCACCTTCACCTCGACGTCGACCCCGCCGCACGTCGAGGCACGGCCCGCGCGAGTCGCGCCCATCCCCCGGGCGCCCACGGACACCCCTGCATCCGAGCGCACCCCCCGACGTCCCTGCCGGCCCCGATGCCCCCGGGGAAGCGGAGGGAGACGGGGGGCGGCATCAGCGCCCACGCCCGCGTCGTCTACGGTCCCGGCGCGCCGGAGGATCGAGCACCCGGAGCACACACGGTGCAACGCACCAGCCAAGCCCCTGTCATGTCTGTCATGTGGTGGTGGTCCTGGGTTGGCACACCCTGCCTGCGCTCCCATAAAATACGAAGTCGTGCCAGCCCTCGGCCACCCCTTCCAACCCGGCGACCAGCGCCGGTCCTTCGGCGGGGTGAGGGCGCCCCGTCCTAGGCTTTCCGCGTCGGATCCTGAGACGCGCCTTTAAGGCCACAGGCGCACGTGGGTGGGGGCTCCGGCCTCTGCTCGCGCCGCACCGGCCGACCGGGGAACCGTCTCCGGAGTGTAACTCTCTGTCTCTGTCTCTGGAAGCGCCCAAAGCTGCCCGACTGTTTCAAAAGCTCGGGCAGCTCGGGCGGGACACCGGCCGACCTCGGGCCACCTACCGGCACATCCTGCCTGCGAGTCGACCCAGCGCGTGGACGCGGTGCGCCCGACAGCCGCTCCTCCACGACCTCGCAGGCTGCGACACCCCTCGTGCCATCACACAACGCCGCCCCGCGCTAGAACGTCGGCCCCACGTGGAAGGACTTCTTCCCGGGCTTCATCGGGTCGTACCCGCCGGGCCCCGTCTCCTCCCCGCGGCCCCGCCCGGATCGGAACCGCGCGTCCTGCGCAAACGCAACGCCCCGCCGCGCCCCCAGCGGCTTCCGGCTGGCCGACCGCCCCGTCTGCTGCGCCCAGTGCTCCGCCGCCGCGCCGCCGCCGCCGCCCCACCCGGTCCCGGGCGCCAGCGACGCCACGCCGCTCAACTCCAGATCAATGAACGGCGTCGGGTCGTACGCGCCCGGACCGGGCTCCGACGACTCCGCCTTGAGGCCCAGGGGCCGCCCGAAGCGGTCCGTCTTCGCCCCGAGGTGGAACATGCTCGACCGCTGCGCCTTCTGCGGCCGCCGGAGCTTTTGTGTCGGTGCGCCCACTGCACACGGCCGGGGGGGGTGTGGTGTCAGGACGCGGGTCGGTGCGCGGGTGGGCGGCTCGGGAGGGAGGCGCGGAGCCGCGAGGGCGGACCTGGCTCGCCGGTGGCGCCCAGGTCGGGCTCGCGCGCGTCGCCTTGTTCTGCCAGCAGGAGCTCCTCAAAGGACTTCTTTCCGGACGCGTGCTTGTTGGGGAAGCCGCTGTGGCCCGCCGTGTCCTTGAAGAAGCTGCGTGCGAGCGGCCGCGGGCGTGGCGGGGCGGGTTCGGCCGCGTGGACGACGGGATGCGGCCACAGCCGGGAGCGCGGGCATGCAGGGCGCGTGGAGGCGCCGCGGTGGCTCACGTGCTGGGGCTGCGCGGCTGCGTTCATGACGTGGGGACAAGGTACCTGCGTGGCGCCTCGGTGACGGTCCGGATGCTCGAGGGCGCCTCGTACGCGCCGGGAGAGGGCCCTGCCGTGGGCCTGAAGCGCGGAAACCGCGGCTGGGAGTCGCGAAACGCCACGGTCACGGCGCCCGGCGTGGGGTTCCCGCCAGCGAGCCGCGGAATCCGCGCGGTGTAGGACCCCGGACCGGGGTCGCGGCCCTCCTTGCGCTTCCACACAGGCGCGTGCGGCGGTGCCACTCCCGCGGGCTGCGCGAACGAGCTGGACAGCGCGTTCGGGTCCCTGTAATCTGGTTTCGACAGGAACTTGGCCTGCCCGCGGTACGATCCCGGCCCCGGCCCCGTGAACGCCCTGGCGTGCGGCATCCGCGACGCGTTCCCCGCCAACCCTCCCGCCCCGCGCCTGCTGTGCACGCGGTGCGCCGCGCCGTCGGGCGCCGGCGCCGCCGCCGAGTCGTAGTGCCCCGGCCCGGGGATCCTCGCGCCGCGCCGCCTCTCGAACCGCGAGGCCGTGGTGTTGAACGGCTGCGTCCTGCGCGACGGACTCAGCTGCGTGCGGTCCCTCTGCGACCGGGGCACCGACAGGAGGCCGCCGACGAACGCGGACGGATCGTGCTGCCCCTGAGCCTGCGAGGAGCCCGGCCCCGACCCCGCCATGGCTGCGGAACTCGCACTGGTGTGACGCGGCTAGCACATGGCGTGACGCCCGACGCCTGCCACGAAATGCTGGTTTCCCGTCGCGGTCTCCGGGAGCTAGAGCAGGGCCTTGCAGTGCCGCTCGCTGCGGCTCCGGCGGGGCAGTGACGGTGCGGCGAAACGACTCCGAAGGACTGGGCACTCTCTGTCAGCTGCTGACAGCGTGGGTGCACTGCGGGTCGCGAGGGGGCGGCGGGGCTCGTTGCCCGGTAGCACGCGAGTAGATGTCAAGATAGCAGCGAGTCTCGTCTTGCGCTTTCCCCCCTGCTGCTCCGAGGACTGTCCAGCAGGTACATGCAACACCAGCCGAGACTGTAGGCCCGTTTGGGCTGCTGCGACAAAGGCACGGCGCCGCGCCCGGAGGGCACGCTCTCGATAGATAAGGCGTTCAGGATTGGCCATCGACTGCGGCTTTGATGTCGTCTTAGCGGCTCTGTGGGCCACTCCAGCAGCTAGCGACCCCTGGCCCTGAGAGCCGGACGCCCGGGGTTTCGAACTTGCCGCGGCTGTAGTTCGAACGGAGGCAAGATGGTGCCGCGGGCTGCGTCGCTCGTGCTGCTGTGGCTGCTCGCGGTAGCAGCAGGAGTGCGGGGTCAAAGCAACATCGCGGTGTCGTTCCCGAGCGGACAGACGTTGACGGAGGGGGGCAGCTTCACGTTCTCCCTCTCCCTGGCCAAGGCAATCCCCGTCCCCGCCGGAGACGCTGAGGACACCGTCACGGTCCAGGTGCGCACCGCCACCCCCTGCAACATGGCCCTCCTCCGCACCTCCGCCTGAGCGCGGCATTCCGGACGCGTGTGGCGGCACACAGTGCTGTTTTCTGATGGCTACCCACCCGCGGCGAGCACACCCACGCTGCGCGCCCCACAAGCGCGGCCAGGGGCAAAGGCACCTGTGCAAGTCCACAGCCCGCCGCTCCGGGCTCGGGCGGGCAGGCCGGTCTTTCGCGCCTTCGCGTGACCCCACGTCGTCGTCTGAACGGCCCGCCGCGGCGACCTCGACGGGTGCGGTCCCAGAACCGCCATACCCCCCCCATCACCCCCCGCAGTTGCGCATCAAGGCGACGAACGGCGAGGTGTGCACGACGGGGCAGAAGGTGTGCGAGCTCTCGATCGCGTCCCTCCCCAGCAACTACCTCTTCTCGTCCCGCGGCGGCGTGCTGGCCTGGAACGTCCCGAAGAACCACACCATCCCAGTGGCGGCCAACTTCCTGGTCGACAGGACGCGGACCTACACGGCCGAGTTCACGCTCGCGAGCACGATCCCCGCGACCTTCCCCCTGGAGACCAGGGTGAGTCGCCCTGCCCGCCCGCGCCCCGCGCGCCCGACGGAGCGCCCCTCGCACGCGCCCTGCCTCACCACGTGCGCCTCCGCCGCGCCGCGCGCAGGCCTTCAACCTGACGGTCCTCGACGACGACACCGCGGGCCTGGAGGTGTCGACGACGTCGATCGCGCTCAGCGAGGGCCCCGCGGGCACCACGTACAACCTGCGCCTGACGGCGGCACCGTTCGAGACGCTGACGGTGGGGTTCAGCCCGTCGACGCAGACCGTGTTCGGGCGGCAGTACAGCCTGGCGTTCACGCCGTCGACCCTGAGCTTCACGACGGCCAACTGGAACACGTTCCAGGCGGTACAAGTGACACACCCCCAGGACTTTGACAAGTCGGGCAACCTGGCGCTGACAATCGCGCACACGCTCAGCGGGGGGTCGCTGGACTTTGCGTTCACGGGGTACAACACGGCGCCGCAGAACGTCGCCGCGGCAGTGACGGACATCGACACGGCGCTGGTGAACGTGACGGCAACGCCGGTGAGCGTCGCCGAGGGCTCGCAGACCGCGAACGCGTACCGCGTCACGCTGTCGTCGCGGCCGTACTTCGACGTGATCGTGCGGACGCGCGCCACGTGCACGAGCGTGCGCGGGTCGCCGTGCGCGTACCAGGCGTTGGGCACAGAGGGGGGGGAGTACCTCAACCTGACGTCAGCCAACTGGCAGACCGGCGTGCAGGCGACCGTCGTCGCCGTCGACAACACCTTCGCGGACGACGGCGCGTCGGGCACCGTCGAGCACTGGCGCGTCGACAGCACGGACGTCAACTTCAACACCTCAGCGCCCACCCTGCCGACCGTCAGCGTCACGTCGACGGACAACGACACCCCCGGGTTCGTCGTCGACGCCGGCGCGGGGCTCGACTTCACTGAGGGCGGGTCGACCAGCCTGACCATCCGCCTTCTGACCACGCCGTACAACCCGGTCACGGTGTCGCTGGGCGCGACTGACAACTTCGTCAACCTGTCGCCGCCGCGCGTGTACTGGGAGGCCGCGAACTGGACCAACACCGCGACGGTGACGGTCAACCAGGCCGACGACGACATCGACGAGGGGGTGCGGCCCCCTGACGCATGCTGTTTGTGCGTTCTACTTTCGTGCCACGTCAGTGCCCCGCGCCTCACTGCCCGCGTGCGCGCGTTCGCTGCAGGTCCGCACGAGCAACGTCACGCTGGCGGCGTCGAGCAGCGACGCGGACTACACCAGCATCACGCCCTTGGTCCCGTTGACGTCGCGCGACAACGACGTCGCAGGCCTGGTGCTGACGAGCACGAACACGGACTTCGCCGCGCTGATCGCGGGCAGCAGGACGACGCCCGTGCAGCTCATCGAGGGGCAGACCGGCGTTGAGATAGCCGTCCGGCTCGCCACGCGCCCACGGGCCAACACGCAGGTGGTGGTCACGCTGACGGTGAGCTCGAGTCAGCTGACACTCCCCATGGGAGAGTCCTTGCGGTTCCAGGGCGGGAACTACAACGTCCCGCAGACGCTGCGCATCGACGCGACGGACGACATCCTCACGGATGGCAACGTGATGGCCAGCGTCACCGTGAACGTGTCGGCGCCGCTCGCCGACTACGCAAACACGCCGTCGCAGTCGTTCCTCTTCACGGCGGTCGACAACGACGACTTCGCGGCAGTGACGAACGTCGACAAGTGGGGCGGGCAGCTCTGTCAGACGAACCCTTGCGGTCAGGTGGCCATGTCAGTCCCCCCCGGGGCGTTCGGCGCCGCGGGGTCCAACGTGGCGCTCCAGGAGAAGGCGCAGCCCCCGGCGTCCGACGACGTCGCGAACCCCGCGCCGCCGCTCGCAGACAGCCGCGTCCCCGCAGTCAGCGGCGTCTACGAGGTGCGCAGCATCAACACCCCCCCTCCACGACCTGCCGCGACGTCAGACACCACGATCCGGTCCCCGCCTTGCATACCCCCGTCTCGCCTGTCTCACACGGCCCCGAACCGACGTGTTGCGCGCAGTTTCAACCCACGGGTCAGCGTCTGGAGGTTCCAGCAAGCCTGTCTCTCGAGTACCGCCCGGGTCTGGTGAACAACCTGCGCAGCGGCGCCGCGACGGTCGCGGGGCGGCGGCGGCTCGCGCAGGCCACGCCCGGCGAGCCCGTCGTGTACCGCAAGGTCACCTCCCCCACGGAGGGTTGGGAGGTGGTCACGGACGCCGTGTACATCTCGTCCGCGGGGATCATCGTCGTCGTCACGCAGGACCTGGGGGAGTTCTACGTGGGGTTCCGCCCGGACTCGCTGAAGCCCGCGCCGGTGGTCGTCGACACGTGCGCACTCCCGGGCGTCGCGGCGTGCTGCGAACGGTCCTACGTGGACGGGGCCTTCAGCGTGGGCGAGTACGCGCTCTTCCTCTCCGTGGTCCTCGGCGTCAGCGGGCTCATCGTCGGCGTCTTCCTCGCGTGGCTCGTGTGGCGCCTGCTGCGCCCGCGCAAGGCCGCGGCCAGCACGCAGGTGATGGAAAAGCAGGTCGCCTACCCGGAGCTGCCGGAGGACGGCATCGAGGAGGTCGCGTTTGACCCGTTCTCGCGCGACCTGGACCCCTTCAGCGGCGTGGAGCCGGACGCGGCGCGGGCTGCGGAGGAGCAGCCGTTCCACTTCCATCCCACACTTGGTAAGCTCACGGGGAAGCACGCGCCGGAGTACCCGGCCATGCACCCGGCGGCGTACTACGCGTCACAGGGGCAGGTGATGCACGTGATGGGGAACGTCGGGAGCTCGCGGAAGCTGTTCAACGTGCCGAAGCAGTCGCGGCCAACGCGGCCGCCGCCGCCGGGCCCGCCAGAGGCCTCCACGGCGGCGCGTGGGCCGGCACCGTTCGATACGCGGCCGGCGGCGGGGACGACGTCGTTCCGGAAGAGGGCGAAGCGGGGGCCGTCGCGGAAGGACATGCAAAGTTCGCGCGTGCACCCGCTGCTGGTGGAGGCGGCGGGCGCGGTGGACGCGGGGGTGGACGCGCGGGGGGCGAGCGAGGACCTGACGAACTTGCGCGCGGCGATGGGGGCGCTCGACTACGTGCCGAGCACCGTGCCGTCGCAGAGGACCAAAACGGAGGGTGCGCGCAGCGATGCTGGGAGGTATGACAACGACAGCGGGCTCGCGACGGAAGTCGGGCACCCGCGCAGCGAAGCGCCTAGCTCGTACATCGAGCCATAGAGCGGGGACAGCGCGGCGGCGCTCGTCAGGCCCGCACACCTCCTTCAAGCAACACGGCGCAACAACAACATCAGGTCTTTTCCAAGACGCATGTGAAACCTCGAGCAGACCGTGAACGCCGCGAATCGCAGTCACAGCCCAACGACCGCTTGTCGCTCAGTTCTCGTCGCCGTTCAGCCCCGCCCCGTCTCCGTTGATCCCTGCCAGCGGCCGCATTTGCCGCAGCAGCCGCTCCTGGTCCACGAGGATCCCCGAGTCGCTCCGCACCGCGTACTGGTTCAGCGGGTGCGCCTTGAGCGTCCCCGGCTGCCCGGCCATCCCGGCCTTGGGCGCAGCGGGCATCGCCGCCTTCATGAGCTCCGCAACGGCCGCGTCCTCGCTGGTGCCGCTGTCCTTGCCCGGCCACACCGCGTTGCCCTCGGCATCGAAGCCGAAGCCATCGAGGCGGTCGTCCGGGAACCGCTTCACCCCCGCGCCCTCGAGCACGTCCGTAATCTCCTTCCCCGTCAGCGCCTCGCGCTCGGTGCACGCCGTCACGAGCGCCTCCAGGGCCTTCCAGTTCGTGCAGAGCCCGTACAGGGCCTTGGCTTCCGCGCCCTCCATCGTCTCGGTGATGTCCTGGAGGCCCGCGCGCGCCAGCGCGGCCGACACGGGCAACACCGCGCGCGACACGTCGTTCGCGAGGTAGCGCTCCTCGTTGTCCATGAGGATCATCGGGCCGAGGCGCTTGTTGAAGCCGTACCGGAACACCATCTCGCGCGCGACGATGTTGGCCTTCTCGACGTCGCCGCCGCCCCGCAGCGACATGAAGTCGTCGCCCAGCAGCAGGCGCTCCGCGCACCGCCCCGCGAGGAGCACGGCGAGCTGCGACTCGAGGAAGCCGCGGGTGTAGATGTTGAGCTCGAGGCGCTCCTCCTGCGGAATCATGTACGTGTGGCCCGTGGGCTCGCCGCCGGGGCACACTGAGATCTTCGACACCTCGTCGTAGCCCGGGGTGATGTACGCGATGAGCGCCTTGCCAGCCTCGTACACCGCGACGTGCCGGCGGGTCAGCTTCGACACCGCCTCCGTCTCGAACTGCAAGGGCGGGAAGGAACGGCGTGCATGGGCGCGAGGCGGCACAGGTCGGTCTGCGGCCCGGGGGGGCTCGGCGGGGGGCTCGAGCGCGGCGTGCGAGCCGGGGTGCGTACGTTCGAGGTGGACGATCCGCCCTTCATCGCGTACTTCTCGATCTGGATCTTCTCGAGCGCCTCGAACATGACGGTGTCGTCGATGATGCCGTTGCCCTGCCGCACGGCGAGGATCGCGCTCTGGTTCATCAGATTCATCAGCTCGGCGCCCGTGAACCCCGCCGTCGCGCGCGCGAACCGGTCCAGGTCCAGGTCCCCCGCCAGCGACTTGCCGCGCGCGTGCACCTTGAGGATCTCCGTGCGCCCCTTGGCATTCGGGAGCGGGAGGTGCACGAGGCGGTCGAAGCGCCCCGGCCGCGTGAGCGCCTCGTCGAGCGACGCAGGGCGGTTCGTCGCGGCCAGCACCACCACGCCCGTGTTGTCGTCGAACCCGTCCATCTCCGTGAGCAGCTGGTTGATGGTGGTGACGCTCTCGTCCGAGCCGGTCGCGTTGTACGAGCGCTGCTGCCCGAGGCCGTCGAACTCGTCGATGAACAGGATGCACGGCGCCATCTTGCGCGCGCGGGCGAACATGTCGCGCACGCGCGCCGCGCCCACGCCCACAAACATCTCGGAGAACTCCGTGCCGGCGACCGACAGGAACGGCACGCGCGCCTCGCCCGCGATGGCCTTGGCGAGGAGCGTCTTGCCCGTCCCGGGCGGCCCGACCATGAGGATGCCCGCCGGGGACCGCGCGCCGTACTTGAGGAAGAGCTTGGGGTTCTGCAGGAAGCGGACGATCTCCATGATCTCCTGCTTGACCTGCTCGATGCCCGCGACGTCCGCGAAGGTCGTGTCGGAGCGCGAGACGAGCTCGAGGCGCGCTCCGCCGAAGATGCGGTCGCGCTTGCGCTTGCGGCCCAGGCGGAAGGAGAACTTGATCAGCCACATCGAGAACACGATCGGGAACATCAGACGGACGATCGAGAACAGCGCCGTGTCCCACACGTTCAGCTCGTGGTCCCTGCGCGTCGCGGCACCCCGCGGGGCTCGCTGTGAGACAGATCGTGGGCGGGGCGCGGGGGGAGTGCACGTGGGCGCGAGCGGGCGCGTGCCTGATCTCGACGCCGTTGACCATGAGGTGCTCGAACAGCTCCGGGTCGTACGGGAGGCCCACGCGCTCCGTGCGCGCCCCGCCCGGCGTGTCGTCCTTGAGGTGCACCAGCATGGACCGCCTGTCAGGGGTGTACTCGACGTAGTCCACGAAGCCCTGGCCCGTCGCCTTCCAGAACTGCGTGTACGTCATGTCGCGGAGCTTGTCCGTGCGCCACGCCGTCATCGGCCACGGCTTGCCGATGCCCCGCTTGGCGGCGTCCTGCTTGTCGGCCGGGATGCTCTCGGGGTCCTGCGACACACCGATGCCAGGCTCGAGCGGTCTCGGTCGCGCACCGGGGGTCGCCCGTCACGGGATCGGGCCGGAGGGCGGTCGAATCCCGCGTCGCGTCACGCGGCGGTGCAACGGCCGCCGTTCCGGGCCGGAGCGCACTCTCAGCGGTGATGGGGGCGCGCGATGCCGCGCTCACTTGCGAAATAGAGCCGACGTGCATGGAACTCGGCGAGTGCGCGGCGTTTGGCGCGCTAAGCGGCCAGGTCGCTCAGCCGCAGTTGCGGGCCGGCGCCGGCGGGGCGTTCCGGGCGGCCACGCGCGGGGCACGTACCGGTATGAGTGCCTGAGTGGGATCGGTCTTGTTTCCCTTCTTCTTCCCCGTCCGCGCCTTCCCCACGGTCATGCCATCAAAGCCGCTATCCTCTTCCGCCACGTCCAGGCCCGTGTATCGCTCCCCCGCGGACCGACCAGCCTCGCCCCCGCGGCTCGCCTCTACCATCATCGCCCTGTCCGCGCCCAGGCCGGGCGGAACCGGGCGTGCGTGCGACGCCCGCGGGAGCAGCAGTCCGCTGACAGCCGCCGCACATCCAAGCGCCAGGCCCGCCGCTAACCGCGGCAGCGGAGGCGCCTCCCGCCGAGGGCCGTCTGACAGCTCGTCCGGATGCGACCAGCAGCGTCGAACGCGCGCGTCAGGCTCGTCTGACTCGCCTCGCGACGCATGCGGGGGCTGTGCGCTGCAAGTGCAACTCCTGCGTAACCCCCGCCTCGCACACTCGCCCGCGGACGGTGCGGCATGGCTGATCGACCGCACACGCCCGAGCGCCGTCCTCGTCCGCGAACTCCGAGCGCACGGAGGCCTGCTTGGCCGTGTGGCGACCCCAGAGCAGGAAAGCCGCATTGCGCAACTGTCCCCGCAGGACGGCTTCCTTCCCGTCGCGACGTCGCTAAGCTAAACGTTTCGCGCCGAATGCGGCGGCTGCGCAGCGTCGGTCCCGGGCGAGCGCCCCGCGTCGAGCCAACTCGGCTGCACAAGCCGTTCCTGCTGCTCCGTTCTCGACACACGGGAGATGCCAGGCCCCGCTGTGCACGGACAGCGTGTGGCGCGCGCCTGCGCAGCGGGGAGCCGCTGAGGTCCGCTGACGGCGCCCGCCTGGCTCGAGTGCGGGGGGGACGTCTCCCTGGTGCAAGCAGTCGCTGCCTCGCGCGCGGCCCGGCTAGGACGCGTCGCGGGCGGCAGCTGCGTGGGCAGTTCTCGCAGCTGCGTGGATCGCAGAACAGTGGCGCTAGCTGCGTTGTGAACGCGGACCTGGACGCACGCGCGGGGCGACCGGGGGGGCTGAACGGACCCGGGCGGCGCCCCTCCGCGCGCGACCGTCTCGATCGACTGCGACGGGGATTCCTGGGGTCGCATCGGAGCGGGGCGGGCCACCATGGGTCTCACGCGCGCGATGAGGAAGGCGCTGGCCGGCTACAAGAGGTGGAACATATTTACGGGGGACACGGTGCAGGTGATTGGCGGGAGGAGGGACGTGGGGCGGCAGGGGAAGGTCGTGGACGTGGTGCGCGACAAGACGAACCCGGGAGTGATCATCGAGGGCCTCAACATCGTGAAGAGGGCCGTTCCGAACCAGGAGGTGCCGAACAGGAGGGAGCGGCGGAAAAAGGGGATCGTGCTGCCACCGGACGAGAAGAACCCGCCGAAGTTCGTCACGGTTGAGGTGCGCCCAGGCCGATACGGGCGCCTCACGCGGCGGACGCCTCGGTTGAATCTTGCCAGACCTAACTGGGCCCGTTCTTCGCCGGCGCCGCCGTCCCCAGCGTTCCAGCCTGACCCCCGGCTTTCTGCTACGATTCACATACTCGCGCGGGCGCCAGGCAGCGCGCGGGCGCCCTCCATCGGCACCCCCGAGCGCCTCTCTGAGCCCCTCCACTCGCGCTGATCTCGCCCTGCACGCCCCCGCCCGACCGCGCCCGCCGCGTTCCGGCGCCCCCTCGCAGCAACCGATCCACTACAGCAACGTGGCGCTGCTGGACCCCGTCACGAAGCAGCCGTGCCGCGTCAAGTGGATGAGCGTCGAGGAGGACGACGGCAGCGTGTCGCGGGTGCGCGTCTCCATGGGCAAACAGGCCACGCGCAGCATCATCGAGCTGCCGCCGGACATGGAGGAGGAGGAAGTCAAGTCGAAGCTGCTCTCAAAAGGTGCGACACCAGCGCCACGACCCGGACAGCGCGCGCGGGGGGCGGACAGAAGACGCCCGTGCTTGAACGTGTGCGCCATGCCGGTGCGCGCTGACGCTCCCACCCCCCCGCCCCTGCCGCGCGTCGCAGGCCCGCTAGACACCGAGGCGGCGGATGTGTTTGCACGCACCTACGTGGAGGGCGAGATCCCTGACGTGTGTCAGCGGCTCGACGTCCGGGTGCGGAAGCTCGCGGAGCGGCGGGCGCAGCAGGCGGCTGCGCAGGCGGACGGCGCGCAGTGACGCGGCGGGCACTTGCGCCAGCAGACGCCCCGCGGCGGTGCCGGTGTGCGTACGCCGTGGCGAAGGCGCGACACGGGGTCGGGACGGGCGTCCTGGCGGCCGTGGGGCGCGGCGGGGCGCCCGCCGCGTGGTGTTCCGTGAACGTCGGCACACCACCGCCGCCAGGACGCCCGTCCCGACCCCGTGTCGCGCCGTCGGCCTTCGCCACGGCGTACGCACACCGGCACCGCCGCGGTGGCGTCGCAGCAGGAGCGCGCCGTCCGTGAACGTCGGCACACCACGCGGCGGGCGCCCCGCCGCGCCCCACGGCCGCCAGGACGCCCGTCCCGACCCCGTGTCGCGCCGTCGCCGCAGCGCGTGTGACTACGTGCACAGCGGTTCCGTGGCCCGTCCGCGGCCTCACAGGGGCTGGCAGAGGCCCTCGAGCTGCAGGTGCTGCAGGAACGCCTCGAGCGGCCCGATGACGTCCTGCGGCATCTCCTCCGTGACCAGAGTGCCTGCCTTCTCCACGCGGATCAGCGCGGTGCGCGCGTGGTCCATGCGCTCGTTGAGCTCGAGACCCTGCGCGTCGGAAGCAGCCTGCGGTGTCGGGCGAGCTTTCTGCGGCCCGGGGCGGAGCTGGGCGGGGGGGGGGGGGTTGGGGTGCTGCGCCCCTCGCCGTAGAACATGGACTCTTCACCGAGCACGAGCAGGGTCCGGCACTTGATCTTCGGCACCGCGTCCCGCAGGTCCCGGCGGCTGAGCGCCGCGGACAGGTACGCCTGCGTGGCTGCGTTCGGGATGCGGTGCAGGTCGCGCTTGAAGGCCTGGCTGCGGTCCCCGCCCTGGTTGATGAGCTCGAGGGCATTCGTGCCGAACATGCGCGCGAGCAGGAAGGACTCCGTCGCGTGTCCGAGCCCGATGAACGCCAGCGCATTCAGCGCCACCTGCAGTCGTGCACAACGCGCGTGCGAGCCCGCTCGGAGGCCGTCGCTCGCGCAGCAGGTCGGCGCGCGGGGCCGCGGTCGCGGGGAGCGGACCTTGCCGTACGTCCACTCCCACCAGCCTGGCTTCCGCACACACGGACCAACCAGCACCAGGCCGGCGCACAGGCGCGGCTGGGCGGCCGCGAGGAGCGCGAGCGCGGTGGCCCCGGCGCCCACGCCGAGGAAGAGCGCCTCCCTGAGCTCGAAGTGGCTCGCCACCTGCCCCAGCGCCTCCGCCAGCGACTCCAGTGTCATCTTCCTGGCCTCCTGCAACGCAGCGCGGCTCGACGCGATGGGTCGCGAGTGAACGCCGCGCGCTGACGCAAGGAGCGCGCGCGCACGCTGGCTTGCGTTGCGCTGGTGCGTCGTGCGCGCGGCGGACGTGGCAGCAGGTGTGGCGCGGATGTGCACGGCGCGCTTGTGTGGCGGGAACGCGAGCAAGCACGGTGCTGCTGCGTCGCGACGTAACGCCGGCGTGTTGGAGAGCTTGTTTGGTACGTTGAAACAGCAAGTGTGTTCAACCAGTGAACACCAAGACAGCTGTAAAAGAACAAATGACAGTGGCTGTGTGGAGGCTCACCTGCGGGACGCTGTCCGCGCCGTCCTGGTGCCCTGGAGCGTCGACGTGGTAGAAGCAGAACGTCTTGGAGATGGTGGACTTGGGCCCCGCGCAGAGCAGGAGGGAGTGGAAGGCGCCGACGTGGTTGGTGCCCACGTCGTGCATCGTGAGCATCGGCGGCCGGGCCCTGCGCGACGCACACGGCCGGGGGGCTCAGCGCGAGCGTGCGGGCGGAGGCGGCGCCCGAACCGTGCGTCGACCGGTCGGGAGGCGCGGGGAGGCCGGCGGCGGTGGTGGTTCGGCCGCGCAGCTCGGTTCTGAGGGAGCCGCGCGCTCGCGGCGGCCCGCGCTCGCACCTGTCGCCACACACCGTCACATTGAGCGGGCCGAGGCTGGTGTTGACGCGGAACACCTCGCCTCCGAGGCTGGCGGGCAACTCGACGGCAAGCAGGGTTGCCTCCTCGCCGTCTTCCGCCATCCTACGCCCCGCAATTCAAGCTTGGCGCGTCACCAGCCTCCCGTAGGACGCGCGGCGATTGGCTTCCTGTGCCACGCGGGCGAGGCAGGGCCTCGGGGCTGCTTGCACCTTCGTGGACGATCTACAGGCGTAACCTCCGCGCTGCGGGCCCAATTGTGCACTCCAGCGCGACCGGGACCGAGCTCATGCCTCCGACTTGCGGGGTTACGCATACTTGACCCTGTCGCGCGAGGGAACGCCCCGCGGGTGAGCCCAGGAGGCCTCTTGAGGGGCTTCTACTCCGGTTTCCAGCGGTTCCGGGGCTTGTGGGAGCGCGAGGCGCTGCCACACGGCAGTCCCAGACGTATGTGATAAAACCGGCTGAGATCACAGGACAGCCAGCGCCACCGTAGCACGAGGTTCCTCGAAATTACTGCTGGTGCTCTGCCCAGGAGGCTTTGCTGGTGCTGGGGGTGGGCGAGCGGGCGTGCAGGATGCCCGAGCAGACCATCAAGTTGATATCCGCCGACGGGTACACCTTCGTGGTCGACTACGACGCGGCGTGCGTGTCCAACACGGTGAAGAACATGCTCAGCTCCGCAGGTGCGAGGCCCACCACGCGCGCCGGGCGAGCCGCGCTGCCCGCAGGCTCGCACGGTATCTGTAGAATCGACGCGTCTGGCCCTCTCGCCCGAGGAACGGGCAGTACTCGCGCCGGCGCATGCATGTTGGGCGCCAAGCTCGCACTCCTGCGCGCTCCCATCGGCGCGTGTCGCGGCGATTTGGCCCGTACTAGTCCTCTATGATTCGGGAGGCACACTTCATGTCGCCGCGGGCTCGAGTTCCGCCCTCACAGCCGCGCGCAGCGCTAGCAAAGGCCCACAGAGGACTTGCGCGCCGCTTCCCTGGCGCCGCGCGCCCGGCCTGGCGTGGTTCGACCGGCCTGCCTGCTCGCCTGTCGCCAGCACCGCCCGCCGCCGTCCCAGAGCGCCCGCCGTGGTGTCCCGCGACACGCCAAACGCCACTTTGCATCATCACGTCTCAGCGTCCTGCTTGGCCGCGCCCCTCCAACCGCGGCACGTCTTCGAGGCTGCCTCCATCTCATCCCGCGACGCGCCGCGCGCCTCTCTCCGGCCCGCCGTGGGTCCGACCGCGCCTTGACCCCCCCGGCACGCGTCACGTGTCGCAGGTAGCTTCATGGAGACGGAGCAGGGCGAGATCAAGTTCCCGGAGATCACCGCGGAGATACTGGAGCGGGTGTGCCAGTACATGTACTACAAGTGGATGAACCAGAACGCGAAGGACGTCCCGCAGTTCGAGATTCCAGAACGCATCGCGCTGCAGCTCCTCATGGCCGCCAACTACCTCGACATCTAGCGCCGCGGGCTGTGAAACGCACGGAACGATCGGGATGGCCGCTGCGCGCCGAGCCGTGGCCGCCGGGCGCCGGGGCGCGGGGGGCGTCTCACTTGCACGCGGCGTGCGCACGTGGTGGTGTCTGGGCGGCCGAGCGGTGCCTGTGGCAGGTCCGGAGCAGCGGGCATTCGTGCGTGAGCGAGGGTGTCGCAGTGTGTGGTTGCAGGCGCGAGGACCCGCGTCACGTGACGTGACGGGTGGATGTTCATTGTGCACGTTGGTGTGTCCGTGGCGTCCCCGAGGCGCTGGAACACGCAGTGGAGGATCTCAGGTGCACGGGGATAGCGAAGCGGCGGCAGGCGGGGCCTCGCCGTGCCGCAGGCGCCGTGTTCCCTGCCAAAAAGGTCGGGCCCAACGCCGATTGGGCAAACTCGATAGCTGCTGCAACTCTGGCATCGAGATCCGCGCGGAGGTCGATATTTCGCACGTTGAGCGGCCGCGAAACGAAGATCAGCACACGGGTATCATCGAGTTTGTGTTCCTTTCGCGAGCACGCCCAACGCCACGCGTGCGGAGACGTGCTCGTCACAAGCTGCCCCACGCCATGGGTGTTGCCGCGTCCACGACGTCCGCGAGGCTGAAATTCGCCCCGAAAAGGAGAACTGCGGGCGTGCGAGGATGCGAGCGACGCAGCCGCGGGCGCGGCTTCGCGGTTTCCGACGCACGGATGTCGCACATTTTTGCCCCAAACCACTGACCGGCAAGTTTTTGCGGGTCGAACCAAGGACTTTGAGATCCCAGAGGCCTTCTGTGTCGGATCACGCGGATCACGGATCCGAGTCGCACGTTCAGCGGCGTCAACGCAAGCCCACTCGCACGGGCATCGCCGATCCGAGTTGCGGCGGGTATCGTGCGAGTGGACGCGACACAATGCGCGTTTCCGCGGCAGCGGTGTTTGTTTCATCGCGCTCGCGGCGGCTGCCGGGCGCTGCGACGTCGAAGAGCGGTCCTCCAGGCTGGCAGGCGTCGTGTCCGCGCGGCTCCGTGCGGCAGTCGATGCCGGTCTTCCCCTCGCCGCGCGCGGATCATGGAGTGTACTCGCGTCAACAGTGCCCCGGAGAAGTGCGCCGGGCTGGCGCCTATCTGCACACGAGGCGGCGCGATCGCGACAGCGAACGGCACTCGTGTCGTCAACCGCACGTCGCTGGCATCTGCGTCCCTGTGACCCTCGCACGGCGAAGAGCCTGCTGCTGGACATTCCCTTTCCGGGCTTCCGGACCCGCGCATCGAGTTCCACGCGTCCCTCGGGCAGCTTTCGAGCGCGTACCGCGGAGGTTGTCTCGACTAGCCTGGAGAGGCGCACACATGGGCGTGGACCGCCTCCAGCTGGTCACGGTCGCAGCCGGAGCAGTTGCAGGTGAGGCGGCCGGTCCTGGGTGCCTGGCGTGGCGAAAAAACGACGCCCGCAAGAAGCTGCGAAGTTGAGGGCGACTGGGGGCTCCCCGACTCACGACGACGGCGTTCCGATCGGAGGCATTCAGCGCGCTTGATTTCTGGTCTAGCTGCCCACGTTCCTCGTTCACCGCTGCACGGCCAGAGGCGCTCGCCGACGTTCCGCCCCTGTCCGGACTGGTGGTTCCGCTGCAGTTGGCGTATCGGTGCTGTTCCGCCACGGGACGCGGCACGCGGGCAGGCCAGGATCCGCCATGGTCGCACCGGTTGCGTCGGACCACGGCAAGCGCGACGCCATGGAGGCATCAGGCGAGCGAAACCCACTGTGACGCGCGGGAGGGCGCCCTCGCCGCCCCACCCCAGCCCGCGACGACGCGCCAAAGCCAGGCCGTTGCACAGCGCTCTGCGCACACAACACCACGTCCCGGCGCCCCCGGGGCCAGCGCGATCCAAAGCTTTCTCGCCACTAGTTCACGCGCGCGGGGACCACTCCTCCCCTGCGCAGGGCCTTGCCTCGCGCCACGCACCGTCGCCCACCGTGACTGTTCATCTTCCCCCCGCGCAGTTCTCGCGCTGCCGCCGCACGTGCCGCCGGCCGCGGACGCCGAGCACAGCCAGACGGAGCTTGACACGCAGCGGGCGCTCCCCGTCGCGGGCCACGACGAGCGGCCGGGCCCGCACCACGCGGTGGCGGCATCCGTGTCGCGCATGTCGCTCGGGCTGGTCATGGAGGACGTGGTGAAGAACATGCTCGCGCTGGACGAGGACAGCGAGCGCGAGCGGCTCGCGCAGGAGATCGCGGAGAGGGCGGTGGCGCTGGCGGTGGCGGACCTGGACGACCCGGCGAAGCAGCCGGGGGCGCTGGAGAGCGAGCGCGCGAGCAAGGTCATCGGGGCGTTCATCGAGCAGGGGCTCAACATGTGGTAGGCTGGGCAGCGCGACCGCAGCGACCGCGTGGGACTTGTGACGCAACGTGTGTGGGCCGAGGGGGGGTTGATCGTGGGCAGCAAGTGGCGCCCGCCTCGACCGTCGGTGAGCTCACGTGCTGCGCGGCGGGGTCGTCCGTGCGCTGCCTGCCGCGCACGCCGCCTCGCCGCGCAGCCGCGGCCGGGGCCGGGCAGGCGGAGGCCGCGCTGATGGCACACAGGCGTGTAGTTTTCTTGCGTCGCCACCACACCTCGCGCCATCTCCGCCCGTCCGGGCCCCAGCGCTCCGGGCGGCGGGCACGCGGTCCTCGCCGCTTTTCATAGCGACAAGCTCGTCATGCCGCGTGCCGCTGCTCAACGCAGGCGACGCGGGGCAGGTGCAGCAGATGCAAACGCACGGACGGCAATGGCTGCGCCCCCTCGCTGACGTGGTGGTGGGCACCGTCGCCGTCGATAGTGGAGCGGGGGCGGCCGCGGACCTGAAGCTCCTCTCTGCCACCGCGGCACGGTCGCGCGCCCCCCCCGCGTCGCGATGGGGGACTTGGAGCGTTGCGCGCCGCAGGGGCGTGCGCGGGGGCGACGGGAGTGCTGCGCGGGGGCGTGCTGCGCGAGGTCGCGTTGGTGCGCCGCATCTCACCGCGCGTGACGTCGTTCCGCGCGTCCGCGCCTGCAAAAACAAGGCCGCTGTGCCCGCGTTCCTGGCTGTTCGCGCTTCGGACGGCAGCCCGAGGCCCTCGAGCCACCGCAGGCGGCTGAACACTTCGCGGGTGCACGTCGCGTGGGCGCATGGCGTCACCCGCGACGAATCGAGCGCCCCGCGCGATTGAACAACAACACGAACATGGGGATCGAACCGCCTCCTCGGCTCGCGTCGCGGCGGACGACCCGCCGACCGGATCGAGCGGTCGACTCCGGTCCATCGCCACAGGCCCGCCGCGGCCGCACACTCCCCGCGGCCTGCCGGGTCACATCGCCCGTTGTCGGCCTCGAGCGCCAGCTAGACCCCCCCCCGGTGCTCGAGGATCGCGCGCGACGTTGCGGCACGGCGCGCAAGCGGCTTGGTAGACTGCGTTTCGTTTTTTCCGGGACCGATCGGGCCGTTCCGAGCGCCCCGTCGGTTCAACGAGGACCCACCACAGCCCCAGGTGAGCGACCCGCGCAGCAGCCCGCGAGGCAGCATCATCGCGCCACCCGGCCCGCCAACCGCCAAAGATAATTGTGTGGCGTCCATGCGCGCGCGTGCGGGACCACCAGCGCGCACTGCGCCCCCGCCACGCCGTGCTTTTGCCCCCCTTGGACTCCACGATCGCGCTTCCCGCGGCGCCCGCCCGCGGCCCTGAGCCCGCGTTTTCCCGCTCCTTGCATTACGACAGCTGTCGGGCCCGCGCCCGTTTCCCCCGTGCGCCGCAGACGGCGCCGCCGCGCCCCGCGATCTTGCTGAGGTGACCCGCAACGCGAGAGGCGCACCCCGCACTCACCGTTCGCGGCGATGCTGTGCAGGAACTCGCCCAGGTTCGTCTCCACCTCGGTGCCGTCCTCGAGGACGTGAACGGCCCTCATCTTCCGCGGCTTCTTCGCCAGCCGCGACATCAGCGCCACCTTGTCCTGCTTGCTCGCCTTGTATGACTCTCTTCCTCTCCCGGTCCGCGATGCACCGATTCTGCCACTCGCGGGACCCAGTGGCAGAAGGGGTGCATAGCGGACCGGGAGCGCAAGAGGGTCATGCCAGCCGGACAAGCTGGACAAGGTGGCGCTGCTGTCGCGGCTGGCGAAGAAGCCGCGGAAGAAGAGGGAGGTCCACGTCCTCGACGACGGCACCAAGGTGGAGACGAACCTGGGCGAGTTCCTGCACAGCATCGCCGCGAACTGGGACCCGGGGCGCCGCCTGAACACGAAGCTGACGGACGAGGAGAAGCGGGTCGTGGAGGGCGCGGCGTGGTTCCGCGATTGGCTGCAAAGCAGGAAGGTCACTGTGAACATCCCGGGTGTCACCAACGGTTGTGCGGGACCCACTCGATTTCCCCGCCTGCCCCCCCGCCATGTCCGGGTCCCACCGCCCAGACGTGGTGTGCACCGTTCCCGGGCGGTGCGAACCACTCTCCCACATCCCGTGCGCACGTGGCTCCATTGGAGCCTCGGCGCTGACAGCGCCGCGCGGAATCAGCGTCAGCCTGCACGAAGCAGCCGGGGGCGCTCGAGAGCGAGCGCGCGAGCAAGGTCGTCGGGGCGTTCATCGAGCAGGGGCTCAACATGTGGTAGGCTGGGCGGCGCGACCGCGGCGCCCGCGTGGTCAGGGACTTGTGACGCAACGGCGGCCACGTGTGGCAAGTGTGTCGCTGTGTGGGCCGAGGAGTCGGTGATCGTGGGCAGCAAGCGGCGCCCGCCTCGGCCGTCGGGGATGCCGCGGGCGGGGGGCACTCGGCGACGTGGTCGAGGAGGGGTGTGGAGCGCGCTGGTCCGACCCAGAGGGAACGACGCCGCTGCGTCACGGGGACGAGGTGCGGGCGCGCAGTGCCGGCGCTGCACTCTGCCGCGCGCTTGTTCGTGGCCGCGGGCGCTGCTTGCAGGCAACGGCCCTATCGCGTGAGTCGTGCTGGGCGGAGAGAGAGCGTGCAAGTGGGCTCCGGGGTTGCGAGTTGTGGTAACACACCCCCTGCCCTGCCTTCGGCCCATCGGCGGGGCCAAAGCGGGTGTGCAGGAGGTGCGGGGCCCGGCGGTGCAAGTGGGTGACGTCGTCTGCGAGCCCGGCGGGCTCGAGCACGCCGTCGCGATGCTCAGACCGCCCACGACGCACACGCGCATTTCTGGCCCGCGCGGCTGCCCCTCGCCGCTGAGCGCACCACGACGGCGCGCCGGAGCTCCACCCACCTGCCACCGGTGCGTGCCCGCTGCGTGCGGCCCGCAGCGACCCCGCGGCGTCGTTCGTGCGCCCACGCCGTGGACCATCGCACGGATCTATCGATGCGGCGCGCCTTTTCCGTCGGCCGCCGCCGGCGGGCGCCGAACGCGCCGCCGACCCTTTGGCGTGCCCTGTCCTCCGTCGCGCGGGCGCCCGTGCGTGCGACCCCGCCCACCGCGGCGTCGCCACCCTGTCGAGCGGCGAACACATCACGCCCGCCCCGTCGCAACGCCCGCCCGCGCCGCACGCCTGCCATGCGCGACGCACCCGTGCTCCCCGCCATGCGCGACGCATCCGTGCTCCCCGCGCATCTCACACGCGCCCCGGCCCCCGCGCGCACCCGCTGCACCACGGTGTGGCGCGCCCGGCGCCACCGTGTTTCGGCGCTTCCCGCTGCGCCCCGGCCGGCAGCCCCCGCTGCAGCCGCGCGCCTCGCGCGGGGGGCGGTCTACGGCCCGCTGCCCGTCGCAGCGAGGCCAATGCGGCCCCGCTCGCGCGCGCGGCCGCACCGGGCGGTCAATTTTGTTCACCCCCCTTGCTTCGCGCGCCCCGCTCTCATCGCCGCGCCCCCGCCCGCGCCGCGCGACATCCGTGCTCCCCGCGCATCTCACACGCGCCCCGGCCCCCGCGCGCACCCGCTGCACCACGGTGTGGCGCGCCCGGCGCCACCGTGCCCGCGCTCCCGCGGGCCCGCCGGTGCCGCGCCCGGCTGGCAGCGCCTGCTGCAGCTGCGCGCCTCGCGCGGGCGGTCTACGGCTCAAGGCTGTTCGTCGCAGAGGCCACTGCGGCCTGTCAGGCGCGAGGCCGCACCGCGGTCACTTGAGCCCACCCCTGCTTCTGCGCGTCTCAGCTCATCGCCGCGCCCCTGCCTGCGCTGGCAGTGACATCCGTGCTCCCTCCCATCGGCACCTGAGAGGCCGAAGGCCCATAGCCCCCGGCGCGACGTTTTCGCGCGTCCACACCCCTACTCCTTCAACATCCCCAGGTGGTACACCCCCACCACCACTGCCGCCCTGTTCTGCCCGCGCCCGCGCTGGCCGGTGCCTCTGTCCCCTGCGCGGCGCTCCTCCCAGGCGTGCAGGCATGATTTGGCGTCCGCCCGCCGTGAGCTGCGGGCAAGACGCTGGGGCGACCAGGGGGCACACAGGCATCCCCACGCGATCCTGGAGGATCTGCATGCGCCGCCCTCATCGCGCGGGAGCTGGCACCGTCTCAACCCGGTGTTATCGCCGGAGCGGCCTTTGCCACCGCTCTCCGCCAAGAGTGCGCCAGCGCCGGTGATTTGGCACGACAACGCTGCCGCGTGGCTGCGCCTGGTGCTCCGGTCAGGTGGGGCTCCCCGGTGTTCCGCTTCCGGCCGAGGGGCCCCAGGGGAGCGGCCCGAGCCCCTGTTCCATCGTGCGCCGGGCACTTCGTTGGCTGACGTTGTGACAGTGGCGAAGACAACGATCCGCACCACGCGCGCCCCCGCGCCTCTGAGCAGCAACGGACCGTCACCCAGTGGCGGGGACCCGGCGATCGCTGTCGCCCGGCAGGTGCTTGTGTTGGCCCTCGGGCGCCGCACGGTTAGCAAGGCCGTCGCGAAGTCGCAGGCAATCGTGCACCAAGAAGTTCGACGGAGCCGCGGGCGCCTGGTGGTGTCCCGCGGCACGAGGCACGTGTGCGCTGCTCCCACAGCGAAGCGGCACCTCAAGGCGCCCGCCTCCACATGCTGTCCATGTTCTGTACATGCGGTGAGCGCGCTCCCCGCCCGACCGACCCTTTGTCTGTTCTGCGTGATGTATCGCGCCTGTGGGCCGTCTAGTCTTCCCGGCCCCGCGCCACGATAAAACGAGATAACCCAGCAGGTCGGGTTGAGGACGTGCCACCCCGTCTTTCTCGCAACCGCGCCGCCCCGTATGCGCGACTCTCGCTTATGCCCGCGCCCTCGGAGCCCCGGTCGCGTGCTTGAGACCCTGGGCGCCACGCGCTTTTCATCCCCACGTGATTATCGGGTTTTTGATGATAACCCCCAGTCACCCCGTTGCTGTTGCCTGGTCTTCCGGTCACCGGATGCGGGTGGCGGTCAGCGGCGCTTCCGCGGAGTGGTTGCGGACTGTGAT